CGTCTGATTATTATGCGTTGCCTAGAGCAGGTTCCAAGAGTGATATATAGAACGTGTTGTGAATCCTTATATGTTTTGGAAGCTCCAGTTTAAATGTGACTAGCCCATATTGTTTCTTGATTCGGTAGGGTCCTAGTTTCGTGTAATCCAGCTTGCTGCTGAGTCGTCGTGTTTTGATATTTCTTCTGAGTAGGTAGACCATCCCTCCCTCTTTCAGGCTAGTCTCTCAGTCCTCTTTTTGTTTGCGTACTTGGTTGTCTTCATTAATATTTCCTTGAGATATTCTTGAAGTAGCTGGTGTAATTCTTTCATTCGTGACGTTGTAACCTGTGCTTTGTTGGCCATAGGTTTCATTCCTCTGGAGTTTGTGTCCAGGTTTGGGTGTTTTCTATAGTTTGCAAAGAAAGGAGAGATGTCTGTCTAGGCAGCACTGTTATTATAAGCAAACTGTACTGTGGGTAATAGCTCGACCTAATTAGTTTGCTCATAATTTAAATAGCATCAGAGATATTACTTAAGGACCTAGTTTGTCCTTTCTGTTTGGCTATCTATTTGCAGATGAAATGCTGTCAATAGCTTGTGCTTGGTACCTAATAGATCTATAAGTGATTGCCAGAAAGTTGATGTGAATAGCTTGTCTCTGTCAGAGATGATTTCCTTTAGTATCCCATGTCGCGCAAAGACTTTATCCATGAACACATAGACAAGATCAATAGCCTTTACTGTTCTAAGGAATAGTATAAAGTAAGCCCACTTCGTTAGCTATTCCACCACCATCATAATCACATTATACTCTATACCTATAAGGGGATCTAGGGAGTGTAGTAGATTAGTGATAAAGTCAATCACTATTAACAACCATGATTTATTAGGCATTTCCAGGGATATAAGCAGTCTATAGGGTTTATGTCTAGAGTGCTTTGTTTTGGTATATATCTCACAGTCTTTAATGTAGATTTCCATATCTTTCCGCAGCCCAGGCCAAGGGTCGAAGTCTCTGGTGATAAGTTTAATTATCTTGCTGATTCCTTAGTGCCCTGCTGTCCTTAAATCATATTGTTCCCTAATTACACTCTGTTTTTGTTTGTCAGTTAGGCCGATCTCCATCAGCGTGAGTGTGTTCATTATTGGTTTCCTGTAGACCAATGATCTATTATTAAGCTTGAGTATCAAGACAGGCTTGGGCTTGCTCCCAGCCTTGTAGTCTAGTCTTCAGCTTAAGGTGTTGGTACGCCTATTCTTGGTTCCTCAGATGTGGGTTATCTTGAACCAATATGTTAAGAGTGTTTCAGACTATCTGACTTGTCTTCGATTCAGCTCCTTTGTAGTGGTCCAATAGAGTAGATTCTTATGATCCATAAGGATCTGAATGGGATACTTAGTACCCTATAAGTATACTCTCTATATCTTCAAGAATTCCACTATTGCCAGTAGCTCTTTGTTATGTATATCATAGTTGAGCTCTAGTCTCATTATCTTGTGGGAGAAATATACAACAGTCTATAGCTTACCTTGATCCTCTTTCTATGTTAAACAGCCGCCAATCACATAGTTGGACGTGTCTGTTTCCAGTGTCGCTTCTCGCTCGGGGTTGAACAATGTAATGATTGGCGCGGTGGTTAGTCGCTAGATAATACCATTGAAGGCTTCCTTATATTTGTTAGTCCAAGTGAATGGAACCTCTTTCTTGGTTAGGTTTGTAAGTGGTGCCGCGATCTTTGAAAATCCTTTAATGAATTGTCTATAGTAATTAGCCAGGCCTAGGAAGGATTGTACATCCTTAACATTTGCTAGCGTTAGCCATTGCTATAGCGGTTTAATTTTCTTTAGGTCTAGTTCCAGTCCTTGATTGGATACAATGTAGCCCAGGAACACTACTTGTTGCTTATGAAATTCACACTTGCTGAGTTTTACAGGGAGCTTCTTTTCCCTGAGCCACTAAAGTACCTTTCTAACGTGAACTGTGTGCTCCTTTATAGTTTTCGAGAAGATAATAATATCATTAAGATATGTCATGCAGAAAATGTCAAGGTATCCTTTCAGGGTTTTGTTAATCAATACTTGGAAAGTGACAGGGGTGTTAGTTAGTCTAAAGGGCATTACAAGATACTCATAAAGACCCTATCAGGTGTTAAACACTGTCTTTCATTCCTCACCCTTAGCCATCCTATTTCTATTGAAGGCATCCCTTATATCTAGAGTGGTGTAGAACTTTATACTGAGTAGTTAATCTTGTGACTTATCAATACAAGGTAGAGAGTGTCTCCATTTAATAGTGATTGCATTGGTTAGTTGGAAGTCAATACATAGCTAGGGTTTGCTGTCTTTCTTTGTTATAAAGACAACTCCATACACAATTAGTGAGGTGGATTTATGTATAAACCCCTTTTCGAGTTCCTTCTTTATGTACTCTTGGAGGAAGGTTTCCTCCTCCCTAGTATGTCTTTGGGGCTTAGTGTAGTGCGTTAGCTTCTTGCCCTCTTTAATAGGTATCATGTAGTCCTATGGTTAATATTCTGATAGAGCAGCACTCCCTACTAGTTCGTTAAACACATCCTCAAAATCTTTATATACTGAAGATATATCTACTGAGACTATTTCAGCTAGAACCCTACCTCGCGGTCACACCTATATTGCCTTTGCAAAAGGTACCTTTAAAGATAATCAGTCTTCTATTGTTCTGTGACTGCAATTCCAGAATTCAAGCATTTATTTAGTCCAGTCAATTACTAGATTGTGCTGTGATAGCCACTCTATACCTAGCACTATATCATATTTAAGTTTAACTATATCAAGCAATAATAGTTCTTTATAGTTGTTTATTCTTAGGTGTATATTGCGCAGTTCATTGTGGATCCAGCCATCATTATAATCAGCTGGTGTCCTATCTGCTATGGTTAGCGGATAAGGCCATTCCTTGGGCTGAACCTAATCTTTAAGTTTGTTAACCAGGATAGTCCCTATATAGCTTCTATTGGCTCTAGAGTCCAGTATTACCCTAATCAGTATCTTGTTTAACTCAGCTGTAAGGACTATATAAGTTGAGTGATACTCTGATAGGATCATGTCTAGATTTAGTGATTGAGATGTATAAATGGGGTAGATTTGCCTTGTATATCTACTCCCTATTCATTTTTTAGGAAGTGTATATATGGGTATAGTAGCTATTCACAGGTGTTATTTGTATATGTTTGTCCTGACTTGACTATATCCCAGAGGTATATTGGGTGAATGTTGAAATCTGGGTAGTGTGGGTTAATATTAGATAGGTGTTGGTGGTCCTTCATGAACAGGGCACAGTTGGTGTTAACATACTGAAAGTATTCTGCTATGAAGTCCTTGTTTCCTCGATTATCAATAATGTTGTCGATAACATCTCTTCCTTTAACTATCAAGCTGAGTGATTCTTTTTCAACTGCTGTCTTGGCGTGTGCCTTCTCCCTTTATTCTAGTAAACACTCCTGGAGTCCCTTAAGAAGTGTAAGTATAGTTTCCTTGTATTCCTAGGGGTAGGGCTGATAAATGTGAAGGTTCTCCTTCTCAGTATATTCATCATCTAGATAGAGCTACAGGGTGAAGCTTTGTACGTCTTGCTTGAGTATATCAGGATTGAATAGGACATAGATGTGCTGTGTACTGTTCCCACAGCTTCTATTACATGCTGTCCTTCTCTAATAGTTAGTGACAACCTGGAGGAATTCCAACGTTGTCCTAATGACTATAAATAGTGACTGTTTAGTGGCTCAATCATATTCCAGAGCCTCAGGGATGTTGTCTTCCTCTTCGCTTGTGTCACTGTCTGAGTCCCTTTTATCCAAAGTACTAGCTAAGGTCTCAGACGCCTCTGTCAGTATAGAGTTGGGTATCTTGATCTCAGGGCTTTCAGTATTCATTATATTCAGTGTATAGCCTTCCTGGGGGCTTTTGCTATATTGATATCTCAGAGCTTTAGGATACCATCCTATAGTGTCCTTATTGGATTTGTGTATGAGACACAAGTCATTATAGCAGACTGTCCATAATAACATATTGTGGTCTTCTTGTTGATTTCTTCGGTAGGCTAGTTCTCTAGTGTAGCCCCAGAACAGGTCCAGCTCCTCCTCAGAAGTATTTTCCTTATTCTATATTATTATAAGACCATTTTGTAGTGCATAGGTGCTCATACCAAGGAACTCGATGTTCCTGGCGTATAGTGAGATAACTCTATGGTTCCACCTTTCGTAGAGCTCCTGGCTTATATAGCCCAAGAGGATGGCCTTGTCAGGGTTGGCCATACTCCTATTTACCAGGTAGAAGTGCTATACTTCTAGCTGCTTTGTTTTATAGTTCTTAAGCATGAGCTTGCCCTGGGCCCATTGTGCTAAGAGTTCATCTTGGATTTCATTGAATCCCTTCTATACTATGTCCTTGCCCTTATAGGGTTCAAGGTCGCCCACTAACTCAGTGGCGCTCATAATAGTGTTGGCCTTTTTTCCTATTATACTAGCTGATTCATTGTTCATCATATGCAGTTCTTCGGCGGGTGCACTTTGGCATTCTCTCGCCTAATGTCTAGATTTTCCACAATTGAAGCACAGGTTATCTCTTCATCGTTTCTCCCATTTGTGTTTGCTTAATGGCTTACTATAGCGGCGTCCCTTGTATGGAGAGCTGGCTTGTATGGTATCAAGATCTATTAGAGTATAGCCCCCATGGTCAGTATTACCTCGTTAGCCACCTTAATATCCTCCTCCTTTTAGTATAAAGTGTCCTCCGCTACTCTCTATCCAGAGCTTATACAAGCAGTTGTCTATATCAATTGCTGTATCCACCATCCCTTAATAGTTCTCAGGAAGGGGAGGCATCATTCAAGAACAGACTTCCGCCTTCAAGCCTTGATAGAACAAGTCGCGGAGGGCGTCATCAGTCTCTCCCTCATCCCAGCCCAGACATGAGACCACTTGTTAGAACAAGGAATAATACTGCGTAGCCAATCCAGTCTACTTAAGCTGGTGGATCTATCAGGCTGCGGCATATTCGTCATTAGAGTCCCCAAACATAGTCTTGATTTCCTTCTCAAACTCGAAGAAGGAGTTCATTAGCAGCTTGATCTTGGCCTTAGCCCCTGAACCATTACCAAAATAGTCCATAAGGTAGGGCTCAAACCATACAAAAGCACTTCCCTTAAGGTGAGTCAATACAAAGATCACCTTAGATTGGTCGTTAGGGAATCGGCTAACCCCCAGCGCGAAGGCCATACAGAGTTGAACCAGAAAGGCTCAGAGCTTGGCTTGATCTCCATAATAGAGGTCAATCCTTTCCTTGCCCTTGAGATTCATCCTAAAGAGTCTATTGTTGTTAGTTGTTATGCTAGATATACTTGGGGTAGGTTGGTGGGTAACAGTGCTCCTGGTAGATCCAGTAGGAGATAGGGCTTAAATACTAGGCATAAGTGTTGTACACTGTATAAGGGTAGTCAAAGTGTTATGAACTGCTCAGAATGTCAGGTTTAACTGGGTTTAGCAGCTGAGGGTGTATGACAGGGTTATGCGCTAGGCCAAAGTAAATGATGGAATAGCAATTAGAACTATTCGTTATATACTAAGAGCAGTGTGGTAGCGAGCAAGATATACTCACTGGTTAACGAAGTTGACTACGAAGAGTCCTATCTAGGGTCGGGATGGGGCGTCCCTCTATATAGTGCTGTATAGCTGTGAGGTGCATTGGTGTATTGGTGCACTGGTCCAGTGCAGCAATGCAGCAATGTATGCCAAGCTCGTCACGTGACATGCCTGTATCGCTACCCAGGAGCAGGGATGTTTCCTGGCTTCAGTGCTCGCTTAACCTTCCCTGTATGGCTAGGCTAACCGTACTGCGGCCTGGGTCGTAACACAGTGTTGGAAGTCCTTGATATTGATGGGACCGTAGGTCAAGGTAAAAGCCAAGCGCGTGTATTGCATTGAACTTCGTCCCATCCCTAGCACGACTTCCCCACACTTATTGACATGCGTCCCAAGGTGAGGCTAGACTCTCGCATCTGGAGTTGTGGTCGCTAAGATGCATTGGTTTCTTGTTCTGCTGGGAAAGGTTGGCAAAGATAGATCAAAACAAAAATCGCTGTTGAGCCTTGGCGCACGTTTTGACTTGACATAGTCCCATGTTCGTCGGGGCCTCCTCAACTTTCATCACGTATTTTCTGAGATGCTTGTTCGCCACCACCTGTCGTCCAATAGTCTCTCGAATTAAGAAGTTCGTTTTGCGGCTGGCGAAGCTGGTATTGTACCGAAGTGGTATGAGACTGAGGCTTGGCGGATGTTTTGCCTTAAGCTGAGTGCCATGGCCAATACATTTTTGCCACATTGTACGATGTGCTTTTTGAGATGCCTGTACTCTGTTGCTGTTTGAGCAAAGGTGACCAGGACGATATGAAGCTTTTTGCGCTGGGAAAAAATACGTACGGCCATGAGCGACATGAAGCGCCACTTTTAGGGGAACGGGCACCTGTCTTCAAGTCCTGCAGAGTGCATTGGCGCTGCTCTCTGCACAACTCGAGTGTCGCGCACTTCATGGTAACGTGCGCAGGAGACATACCGCACTTTAACGCTGGCAGCTTAGCGTCACAGGTCCAGACTTAAGCTCAAGCGCTAAAGACCCTTCGAGCCCAATCAAGTTTATACCAGCAGCTTCTTGGGCTTCAAGCGGCCCGAAGTTTAAACTGAGTTGTGGCCCAAGACGTCCGCACATCCCCTTGCTTGCTTTGCCTCAGCCAAATTTGACGTCCCGTTGTCTTTAGAAGCGAGACGTATCGGGGACGCCCAAATGCTCGCCCATCTCGCCTAGCACTAAACCTAATCGGGACAGAACTCCGAGAGCAGATTTGTATGGGTTTTCAGTAGTAATTGTGCTCATTGCCTTCTCTTTCTTGTGTTCTCGTGCTGTCGCTGTGGGTCTCGATCAATTTCGACGTTGGCGAGGTGGTCTTGGCGTTTTTAGTGTTTACCGAGGTTCAAGTTTGCCGAAGTAGCGGTGTGACGTCAACACTTACAGAGGCTATATCTTGTCAGCACGGCCTCAGATTGAGCTGTTTCTTACCTGTAGAGAACCGTCCTATGTAACGCTATTTAAATATCTAAGAGTTGAAGCTGTAGCTTATCTCCTCGTCAAGCCAATTTAAAACGTTCGCAATGGCTGGGTCGCAAATCAATGCGCTTAAAGCAACCCCAACGTATACAGTGCTTGCCAGGCATTAACAGCGAGTCTGGTTGAACATGCTGCTCGCTATAGAGCCAGCTAATTATGCCCTCCCTATTAATGGAGAGGTCTTTAAAAGCATTAATGCCTATACACACCACCTTAATAACTAGGGTCTCTTCTCCAGTGCTTATATCGTTAGTCCTACATAGTACCGCTTTAAGGGTAAGGGGCCAGATCGCATCTAGAGGACAGCGAACTAGTGCTGTGTGTACTATAGGGAGAAGTCTCGTAGTAATAGATGACTTGAGACTACTGTTGAGTGGGAACCTGGTACTAATTAGTGTACTACACAGCGCAGTCAGGATACAGGTAATCGCAAGTTTGGTTACCTGCTTAAGTACTGCCTATTGAACCCAAAGTGTGGTGGTTCTTTGCAAGGTACTTAGGTGGTGAAGAATGGTGCTTTGGCTGATACTTATGAAGGTCATGATGCTGTTGAGAACCTATTCAAGTGGGAAGAGGTGTATTCATGGTCGCTAGCATACTGTGATACCCTCAACAGGGTAACATAGCGGCGCGAGTCTTGAATAAAGTGGCCTAAGGCTTGTTATCATCTTGATAATAAGGCGGCAGGCCTATTAATGGATTCTTATATATACTATAACAGGGGTTAGACTACTAAAGTTGGCGATCTGCTATTGCTTGATGATATATGCTATGTGCTGATTACTAATAGATTTAAGTATGATATACTCTTTAATGATAAGGTTGATAAGGTGGGTAAAGTGGTTATGAAGAAGGTAGAAATGGTGATGTTCTGATACTATGATATAGTGTTATATATCTGTTGATTTATTAGTAGCTTCCTTGTTATTATTAATACAATGTTTAGTATAAACAGCTATTATATATCTCTACTAATTATGACTGGACTTACCAATGAGAATAGGATGTTTCCTGTTGCTTTTAGCTTTATATCTAGAGAGTGGGAAGGTATACTCAATGCCTTCTTTGATGTGCTTTGAATCAATGTCTTTTAGCCAAATAATTGCCCTTAACCAGCTGTCTAGATGACTGACAAGGCCACTAGAATTGTCTCTCTTATCTAGAACATTAGCCTTGGTCTAGACGTGACCTGGCAGCTCTATTAATAGTATACTAAAGAAGCTATTATCTGGTATCTCAAATAGATCTATATAAAGGACAAGATCTAGGGTGTTAGTGAGAAATATAGTGAGACTAATGGGAAACTACCTAGTAAGGGTCTGTACAGGTATGTTTAGAACTATCTATAAGTGCTGACACTAATTACTCTTATTAAGGCTCGTAATAACCTTACTGATAACCTGATACTAGTAGATATAGCCTATATTAAGCAGAATTAGGTGCTATTTAAGCCCTCGCTTGTGACGTCTCACGTATAGAAGCTTTGAAACCTGGGGAAGAGTACTATATAAATTAGCGAGTCCTTTCATTAAGATATTCACCTTATAATGCATAGGTAAGATACTCTTGAAGCTAGCACTAAGAACCTCACGTATTGCCTTCTATGGCGCTATAAAGAGCTGAATAATGATAAGTAGAATAGTAGTAAATAATAGCTAATGTCTCTTAATACCTAAGTATTTTGTAGTCTACATAGCTGAATTAGCTACTATACTCTCTATAAGATATTAAACGAATGGAACTACTTGAAGAAGCACACTGACGAGATATGTAGCAAGGTAAGTAATAGTGACTGTCTATATGGCTATTACTGGTAGTTCTGTCTACCTTATTAATATTAGCTACTTGTTTATCTAGAAGAAGATATTATGATACTAATAGGCCTGCTATATCTATACTGGTAAAGAAATGGGCCAAAAGCACTATATGATTAGTACCCAACCTATAGCACTATATAAAACATTGTTCTATTACCTTGCTGACTTGTGATTAATGAGAAGCTATGGCAAGTTAAGCAGGCACGTCTATAACTTTAAGATCTGTAGAGCCTTTAAGACTACGATTGAAATGTATATAGTTCGCTTGATATGATGCTTTGTGTAGGCTTGAATCTTATTAATTTTGAGTAGCTACTAAAGTATGTACTAGATATCCTACTAAAATGCAATTAGAAGAAGAAGAAGGACACAATTAGATCTTGAGAAATAATAGGTCAAGAGGTAGATATTGCTGCCTATAAACAGCAGGCTAAGATCCTATAGCAATAGCTTAATAACCATTAAAAGATGCTTGATTAATAACTAGGTGTACCCAAGATAGGCGTCCCTGAAGTAGGCGTACCTAAACCACTATCACCAACACTAGCCGAGTACTTTGAGAGTTAAATAGACGTCCCTAAAGCAGGCGTACTAGAAATAGGTGCGCCTACTTTGGGAACGCCTATTGCTAACAGTGATAGTAGTGACGATAGTGACAATAGTGATAGTATTATTACACTAGACAGAAGAGGTGCTACTATAGCAAGTTTGCCTACACTACTACCACTACCACCTCCACCACCTTAAGCACTACCAAGAACAATCAAATTCCCTGACCTCTTGTCTGATCCTTTATAAGCCGACTTCTACCTGCCCCTATCAATAGTGCCAGTAGCTAGCAAGAGGTAGAGAGACACTACAGGCATAAAGAACTACAAGAAACTACTCAGCAGTGACGGCTTGAGTAGTCAAGATTTGAACGACTTCAAAAAGTGCCGATGAGGCCGCATTGTGACCAATTTGAACGAGCTTCGTAAGGAGACATCGTACGAAGTCAATAGGCAACTAATTTGATAGCGTGCTTCACGGCACGTTCAAAACACCAAGAGATGGTCTCATAAGTCGTTAATTGGGTGCGCTACACCGCCTGCAAGTCTGCCGTGATGGCGGCGTTGAGTCTCTACAAGCTAACACTAAAAACGCCAAGACCGCGAGAACAGTGCTATCGCTGCAGTAGTAGACGGCGCCGACGAGTAGTAGGCTGCGAGAGAATGCGGCGAGCACATTTGTATGAGAATCGCAGTACAAATGTGCTCTCGGAGTTCTGTCCCGATTAGGCATAGTGCTAGGCGAGATGGGCGACGACTCAGGCGTCCCCGATACGTCTCGTTTAGAAGATCCAGTGCCGACCGTTGGTTTTGATGAAAGTCTGGCGCATCATGATTAGACAGCTTTTCGGAAAAGTCATGTTACGAGAGTAGTCGGTCATTTGAGTGTCTGTCACTGTACGCCGGAGCTTCCTGGCTTCAACGCGGACTGTTAGTAAAGCTCGACTGCAGATGGCTGCGACGAGCGTATGCAGCTCATTCGAAGTGATGTTGTTCAAAAATCCACGGCTCAAATCTTGTAGTAGTGGCTCGGAGTTCGTGCTATTCTGTGCCGCGAGGGTGCCGCTGCCTCTTCGCTTTCTTATAGCTTGTACAGCGGCAGTGTGCAAAGAACACGATCATGTACTTGTTTTGGAGGTCGGCAAGAGTTAGCCCACTACCTCCGGGCCAAACGACACATTTGTATCAAAACTTACTACACGTACAGTGACAGACTACCACTCACTGCATTGAATGAGGCAAGACATGGACTGCCTATCCATGCTCGAAGTGCGCCCTTGTTTTCTGGACCTCGGACATCTGACCAGAGTCACTGTGCCTCTCAGCTCCTCTTACTCCCACAAACTCAAATGTACCGCTGACAACAGAATCTTTCTCGGTTTGTGACAGCTAGGGACAGTTTTTGAACATGGAATCCGACTTGCAAGGATCCATACCTATCCACCAAAAGTTCTGTAGACTCTCTCCCCCATGTACGAGACGGAACAGCGCAATTGCGTTTACGGGTTGGGGTAACGTTTGGAAATATGTTTACAGCGACAAGAGCTGCGGAAAAGCCGACGGACAGTTGAAACGCCTTTCTCAGGCCCACTAACATGCTTCCTAGGCGCTGTTTCACTCTCTGTACGCAAGGTAAACTTATTTCAAGCAAATTAGTGAGTGACCATGGTCCGGACTCTCCAGTACCAAGTTTTTAAAAGCTACAAAGTCCCGTTCAGAGTCGAGAAAGGCTCTGTGCTTCTTTCTCCGGCAACGTATGACACTTGACAAGAGGTTTTTACCAGTCACTTCACACTGAATGACAGGGCTTGCCAATGTAATCGAGATGCGAAGGGAGTTTCAAAGTCTTGGATCAAACCTATGAGCAGTACTAACGTGAGTTTCCCGGAATTTTTCGGTCAAACGCTGGCCTTTGTCTCGTCGAGAGGTCGCTCAGTTGAGACTGGACCCCAACAAGCCCGCGAGAATGTATCTGTTGTGGGCCTGCTCTTCGAGAATACCGAGAACTCATGCTCGGCACGTAATTACACGCGCGTTCTGTCTGGGTTCCGGATTTTCGATCGATTCGACCAATGATGGCAGTCGTCAGGAACAATTCATGGATTTTTTTCTTCGTTCAGGAGATTCGATTACGTTCTAGGGTGCCTGCTGTACGTTTCTGGTTCCCTTCCAGGCCTTATCCGACACCATTCGCACAAGATCTTTTGGTTCAGAGTCAACCATTCCCTGCGCCCATCGCGCTGGAGTTTCTCCCGTTTAATACAGCCTGAGACACTATCGTCGAAGTGACCAGCTCAGCGAGACCCTCTTTGAGCTCAGAGACCCGCGTCGAACCTCTTGAGCTGGCTTGGCAGCTTCTTCCGCGTCGATACTAGCCGTTAAAGCAGCTATGTGTCTTTTTACACGCATGAATGCTGTCAATTCATGAGATGTGATATCGCCGCTGTCGTGTGTGTTGAGCCAAACAATTGTGAGCCTCTCCGAGGCTTTGTCGAGATTTCTGTCCAAGATGTCACTGTGCTCTGGCTCCGTAGAGGCTAGGTTTTGGCGTCTGGACCATATAACTGTCATACTGACCAAGACACTTCCCATGGCATGGTGTTTTGATCAGAAAGAGTCTCCTGGAGCCCATCAGACATGGACTAGATCCCCTGGTTCGTCAAGCGACCTTGAAGCAAGGAGTGGTCGATCAAGACGCCCCAAGAGAGGAGCATGGAGGTTCAAGCCTGACGTCGGCAGGCAAATGAGTCACGAAACCATTCTTGAGCTGAGGCCCTGTGGCTAAAGTTCACTCCCAGCACGAGAGTTCTCGCGACTGTACTACCATGCGCGACATGCTTTAGCGGCACGAGAGTCCTCAGAGAGTAAGTACAAGCTACTTACAGGCTCCGAAAATATCGGGAAGACCCAAGAAGAGGCAGTCTGAGCGCCATAAGTTTAGGACCAACACAAGGAAGTCACGATGGAAGGCCCGTGGACAATCTATCAGGCCGTGAAGATCTGTGGCTGTCCGGCATACGACGTTACGCCGCCCTAGAAAACAAGCATGTCTTGTAGCTCTGAAGCTCTGTGGAGCCTAGCGTAAAACACTAGTGGCAACTAGCCATTCTGAGCCCAAAACCTTACGAACAAGCACTTGTACTTTTCTGGCCCGAACGAAAGCACTAAAGAACACAATCATAGGTTTCTCACTGTGTAAATTCCGGTCAACCATCCAGGTAAGATGGCACCAATATTGCCGATTGCGAACGATGACCCTTGTTCCCTATACCTCCTTTTTGTTGGATGTCGCCGCTGACGGTTTTTTGATAGCAGATCTCCTCTGACACACAAAGGGTTGAGCTACGGCAGACCATGTCGGCTGTACTGACTTTCGGGTTCGACGAAGACTTCCATGGCCCCAGACGAGATAAGATGACTCGAGCCGTTACAGCTACAACTTACCGTTCAATCGCCACATTGGACCAGGAGGGCTACTCAGAAGCTTTCGGAACAAGCGTAGAACGCCTGCTCCAGGTGAGATGTCCCCTGGAAGGGCGGTCAGGGGCGAAATCTCAGTATGAAGCCCCAACCAAACTTGATTGTGCTCGCGAGAGCCGTGCTCCGACGTTTTGGGGTCTCTTTTGGCTTTACAACACGTTGCTTGTCCTAGATAAACATCAGTCCGCCATGACAGAGAGTCTTTTTGCCCCTTATGAGGCATGCCAGGAGGCGCCAGACCGGGTGATATGCTCGAGCTCGAGCTCTGCAGGCCCGAAGTCCTTCATAATAGTGCTGTTGGGCATGTGACTTCGCCAGGTAGAAAAAATCGTCGGTCAGAAACTCAGAACCGCAGTTTTTGGTCTCCCGGCGAAAATTGTCATAGCCTGCAATAACCACATCACACAGACACACACAATGACCTGCTGAACGTCTCAGATCGTGGAAGAGCGCAAGTGGCGTTGAGACGACCCGAGAATGCTTCACCATGCCGGCACGCTTCGGCCTCCTGCAGAGTAATTCCGTAAGCACTTTTGTTGCGGAACAAATTCTTGGAGTGGGCTTCAAGTCCTCTTCGGATCATCGTTCTCGCCTGGGAATACTGTGCCAGCAGAACAAACGAGTACCTAGTTGCCAGCTAGCAACAAGCAAGCTGTGACAAGAAGTCGTGAATGACTTCCAACGCCTGTCGCTTTCGTATGACAGCGCTCTACCCAGCCAGAAATCTTTTCTGTGAACTGATCTCAAGTGAGGACTCGATCAGCAAAGTCATTACACCTCGCAGCTAGGGGCAGCTTCTTCAGAGGCAACTCAGAGTCTTCATAGCCATAGCCTGACAGGTAAGTATCGCCCAGTCGGCGCATGCTGAAAGCCAATATCCAGTGTTTTATACAACTGCCTGGCGTCCGCGATCCATCCTTGTGGTCTGCACAAGGCCGCGAAATTGCTGTGAGATGGTCAGCTACCATGGCCCTCGTGAAATTGGAGCAAGGACAACATCTTGCAGCAACCACTTTGCCTTGATATTGAGATGTTGCCTCGATCGACTCGTCACGACACCTTTGAGAGCTATGTTGCGGTGAGAATATGTGCTGGTCCGACGAATGTGGTTTCGTAAGCCAGAGACAGAAGCGCAGGCCAGGCAAAATTGTCCCGAATCACTGCCCGGACTAGTGGCGAGCATAAATCGCAGACCTCTACGGTTTGGAGAGCCTTCGCTGCTCATTCGGGGCGCTAGAGGGAGGGCTGGTCGGCGTATAAGACGTCGCCCGCAAGTCATCCGTCTGCGAGGTCTCGTTACTCGCACGCAGCCGAGATCCTCGCTCGGCTGCGTGGACCTACGTCTGCTGGGCGGATCGGGGCGTCTCATTGAACTGGTTGACAAGATTGTGAGGGCATTTGCTCCGTCGGTTGACGTAGACTATAGCCTCCAGGATCGCTCAACAGTGACTGCTGAAGTTTAACGCGAATTGGTCCCTGTGGACGTCGATTGACCTGAATATCTACCCAACACGGGCTGACTACAAACAGGGCTTATTTGTCACCGGATGGCAGTCAGCTATAGGTAACACCGGTCGACATGGCTATGGGCGAGTGCACGCCGAACGACCAAACAAGGTGCAGGTCCAAGCAATCTCCTTCGCGAGTCCGACCCCCGTCGCTCCCAGGGCGAAGCGGAAGAATCAGATCCCGACAACGTACTCAGAGTGAGCTTTCTGCGCGGGAGTGAGCTTCTCCCGAGGTCGTGGCTCCACGGCCTTTAGCGTGCTGCAATCACGGAACGGATTATGTCGAAAGCAGTGCCAAGTCTCGCCGGATTTGCCCAGATCTGCCGCACAGTAAATAAGCGGGCTCGATGAATCACTCCAAATCCCCAAAGAAACGTCCATCAGGTTTAATGGAAGGCTCAGAGCCATGTCAGAATGCTCCTCGGCATCTGAAGCGTCGTAATGAGCGCGGAAGCGTTGGCTCCGTGGCCTGGCAGCCCCTCCGTCACAGCGACGAAAGTCCGTGCTTCTTACTTCTTGTGTTGTTTCCGCATCAGGACCCTCGGTCCATAACCAAGGTCGTGTCTCTCGAACGCATGGCGCGTCCGTACAGCGCATAGTCTAAGCCAATCAGAAGCAAGCATAGGCATAAGACTATAGGTAGTCGCTTGAATGTCGTAAAGCAACAGCTACCTAGAAGTCACAAGTCAGACACAAATCAAGCGTAAATAAGTTTCCAGTAACTTACAGATGAGGCAGGAGCGACTTTGGGACGAGGTGAAAGTCAAGTGCGAGTAAAGTAATAGTGAGCTATAGGTGAGGCAGGGATAACGTGTTTATGAAGTGGAAGTAAGGTAGAAGAAATTAACGTGCGTTTTGGAGACACGCCTATAGCTCAGCACACATTCAGTTAGTCTCGGAACGCGATCGATAATACGATGGGCATGAGGCGGCCCTCATCGCGTCAAGACCTGCCAGGTTTACCATAGCGTGAATGAGCATCCGTGCTTTCAAACGCATCTCCGCACCTTAAACACCCGCTTATATGGCCCATTCGAGGTCTCTAGACACGTTTGAATCCCGAGTGGCGCCCGAAGATCTCGCAAGACGCACGTGGGCGCCAATTGTACGTGCCAAGCCTTGCCAATCCGCTCCGCTCCGCTCTCCGAGGTCGAAGTCCCATTCCGCACCTCGGACACACACGTGGTCGGCCCAGCAGAAGCCACTCAGCCTAGCTGACATAAAGGTGGTGCTTGCAAACTTCACAGGACGCTCCGAGGCCGCCATCTCGAAGCATGCGTAGTTGATCCTGCCACTTTCTGCCGGTGAAGACCAGTGTCCGTCCCACAATACCTTTCTCCGCTCTCCAAATCAACATCCTCGCGGTTGAGCAAGAGAGTACGACCTTCTAGATGTGTAAGTTGGCGCATGGCGACCCCGGAGACATCACGGCCTTCGTGATTTGCCATTATGTGAAGACCGGCGGAAGCCCTAACCGGCTTGCCGTAATCCAAGCTCGTTTTCCGCGTCCTCTCTGTCGCTCTCGCACAGCCTGACGAAGGCTCACGGGCCTGATCGATCTCGAAGTGGTGCTTGAGAGGAAGCCTGGAAGCTAGCACTCTAGGTGTGCCAGACTTGAATGCTCATACTGTGCCAGATTACCAGAATCCGTGCTGCAGAACATCTTGCCGCTGCCTGAAGCAACAACCACGTGGCATATTTGGTGGATAAGACTCTGTTGTGATATAAAGTAGCATACACGAGGCTCACAAGAAGCACGGAAGCCACTGTCCTTGAGCGTGCCACTTCCTGCCACACGAGCGAGCTTCCGGGCATTTGACGCCATTTCTGAGCTTCGAAGTGGAACTCATCTAATCCAGTGACATGTACCGGTCCTATCGGGCTGCAGAAAGCGGGGGCCTAGCAGGAAGCTCGGAGCGGAAGCCGCCATTCTCAGACTTGCCACATTCTGTCGTTGAGGGCTACTTTCAATGCTGCATAAGCTCTTACCGCGACCCAAAGCAACACTCATGCAGTCTGTCGAGTGACCGAGTCCCTTTTGCGGTGCAGAATGGCACACAGGCACTTCACAGAAAGTTCGGGACCGCCATCCTCCTCTGTGCCAAGCCGTGCCAAGACCGTTCCATTTTCTGAACGAACGGGAGTCCGTGCATCGAAGGCCGTTCCGGCGCCGCAAAGTAGGATCCAGTCAGCTCAGTAGCACGTAGTGGTCATGCTGACCCCCAAAGTGACGGGCTGAAACATTACAGGAAGCCCGGGAGGCGCCCTTCCAGGACCCCGATCTGAAGTATGCAGCGCAGTCAGCGCCGGTGCTTCAGGCACGCTTCGCTGTCCGCAAGATCACGCATAGAGCCCGCCGTGGCACTCCAGATCTTGGCCCAACAGTAGACTACCCATGGAGAAGCCGCGTGGAGTGTAGAAAAATCGATCCCCCGGGGCCCGGCAAGACGCACCTAGCGACGAAGGTCTACTCAATGGCAACGACTTCCGGAGTGCCAGGTATGGATTACAGGCGAAGCCAGAGCTCTCAAGTGTGCCACAGGGTCCACTGCCACGAAGACTCCCGGGTGAAGCCCGGAAATCCCATTCTGCCAAACTGACCCTGGCTCCGACAAATGGCAGGTCTCCGTGGTTAACAGATCGCTTTCCAGTCCGTGGCATCGTGTATCCGGCCTCTCAGGCAACCTGGACCACGGTGCAAGCACGCATATAGCCAGAGGCCACCTCGATACTTCGGTGGGTCGATCCGTACCAAGGCCGGCCCATGATTTGGGCGAGGACAAATGTTGGGCGTCGAGTTGTCGTTTTCGGTCCCCCGAGTTTAGTCAATGGGACACCATAGAGCATAGTCGCACGTTAAATACCGCGCTGGCGCGTAGCATGGTGGGCTGAGGTGCAATTTTCCTGGCTTTGGCGCTAAAAGGCTTTTCAAAGCACGCGGCCAACGTTGCGTGGGTGTTGCCAGTTCCGCTCCCTGTAGCTGCATACTTTGAACTTCCCGAGAGTCTGAGGTTTTATTGTAGCTTCCGCTGCTGCATCCGAGTATATGTGTGAATCCGGGAACCTCTACCTAGGCTGCCATGGAATTTGTGCAACTGTCGCGCGTTTCTCTGGAACTCTCCTTTATCTGCAATCGATGTAAGGCCGCAACACCGCACTGGAGTTGTCCTGAAGCGATGTCGCTGCTTAGCAGGTCTGCAGTTTGGTGGTGAGATTCTACTAAGACCGACCTTTAGCTTGTTCTGGTGGTGAGCTTCCGAGCTCCCAGGACGGTTTCCGGGCGTTGGGACAAGCACTGAGAAATACCAGGCAGGCTTGGCCCCGGGTGCGCATCCGCTAGCGATACGCTCGTGGATTAGGCCCAGGAGGTGGTTTCGAAGTTTAGCCAGGGCCAGTGTGTTTCGTGCTCCGACGACGAGTACCCGGACTTCCAGCAGGGCTTTCGTTCATCCAGGCCGCTATGGTGGCCTAGGACGGCGGCTGAAGATTGAGTCAAGTGCCTCTGAAGCCTCCGCAAGTGCACGGTGGACCACGGACCTTTCTGGCTAGTATCGGAATATATGTGCTGTACCTACAGCAAATCAGTAGAACATGAATGAGACCCACTTGCCAGACCGGATTTACACACGTCGCGTCGTAGACAGCAAGAATGTTTCATCTCGAAGAGCTGGCACGCGTCGAACACAGCAAATTGATCCCCGTTCGAGCCAAGACCCTGGGGCAGCTAATGGAGACAGCGAGTATCCACCGGGAGTATTGCCGAGACCTATAGAGCGCTTCTATCGCCCAGGGTCAGCTCAGAGAGCCAAATTGCAGGGCCTATGCCAGCTGTGCACCACGTTCTTGCTTGTTCTGATACGTGGGCTGAGGCCTTACTGTCATGAGGCCTGCGAACCGAGCCCACAGGGCGTGTACAAGAGCTCAGGATCACGTCCTGGTGCTGGATTGCTTGATGACGTTGTGTTCGAGGCCAGAAAACGCGTCTGGAGTCGGTGTGAGCGTGGGCGCTTCTCGCGGAGCCGTTATAACAGGTAGCCCTCATACCCCGTAAGCTCTTCCCAGATCCGGCATCTAGTCTCATAGTATGACAGCCGAGCCGCCGGACCTGCCTCTGTCCAGGACGTACTGATGAGCGAGCGTCATGGTCGAAAGCTCTTGCCGAGAACCTCCGAAGTCGAACCACGGGTGTCCAACCTCCAGCATCGCTGTCGGAACCACCGCTCGAAGGCATTTTGCGGCTCCTCTGCAGTTGCGTTGTCGTTATGGTCGTCTGCTCAGTGACTCCCGCTATGCAACATGTTCCGGCAATGGTTGCAAGTGCACGGATTTGGCTGAAGGCACCTAAGTTGGCACCAGAGACTGGTGTTGGCAGGGCGTAGCCAGCAGCAACAATCGTCTTCTTACCATGTTCCCGTGGCTCGTGAGTGCTCAGCCCGATGTTTGTTGCGCAACGAGGCTGGGAGAGGCTTTGTAGAGCACCCGTGCGTCGCCTTCGGTGTTCGATGCCAAGATACGGCATTTGCAGCGCACCTCGTATTTCGTCATCGTACAACATCATAGCAAGCCGAGGAATCATCGGCAATACCTAGGCAGATAGTGACGCACAATGTTCTATCCAGGCACTTGTGGAAGTCCCGGAGAGGTTTCTGTAGCAACGGACTGTGTCTGCAATGTTAGTGTTAGTGCCAAGAGGCGGCATTCACATATGGCGCCTTCCGTTGCTGCGCAAAGAGCTTAGAAGGCCTAAGACTATATTTGTGTGTCGAGTACGTGGTCAGCAAGCCTAGAGTGTGTATCTCGAGGCGCGAGACGGCGTGTCTGATGACGGATCTGTTCTGCGCCGCTGAGTGCCAAGAAAGGCTTGCGCCGGTTCCGTTGTCGGGCGATGAGCCCGAGAAGTCCAGGTCTATACCTGCATGTTGTGATCGACTCAAAAATCGTGAGAGAATGTACCTCGAGCCACGGGAACCTCCAGACGTGTCCGGCATTGCCTGCATCTTTAGTGCCAAGATAAAATTATGGGTCAGTGCAATTCAGTGGCCCTAAATGAGTCCCGTAAGCCCTGCACATCACGACTATGCTGCACATCGAGCTCAGAGATCGCAAGATGATGTCGTCAGGTTGTGGAAAGGTTCCTGTGGCAACGGATTGGGATCGCAAGGCTGGGTAAAGGCCAAGAAAACAGACATTGAAACAGGGACAGGTGGCAATTTCCCCCGCCGTCGGACGATGCAGGAAGCTCACTTTCAATCATGAGCAGTCGAGGAATTGAATGTTGACAGTGTCGAGCCAGATATATCGAGTCGCCGTGTTCGGAATCTAGGAAACTGGCCTGCCAACGCTACCTGAACGCATCAGATCTTGCCGACTCAAAGTGACGCACAACAGGCACGTAGCGAGCTTCACTGAATCGTCGGAGGAGTGATGACGACGTGACCATAGCAAAGTTAGCCAAAGAAGGTCTCTCGGACCCGTACATAAGGAGAATGGGCATGATTGATACGTGGCGTCGGGGAAATTGACAGCCTTGCGGCGTTGCGAGGCCGAGCAGAACTCACTGACTCACACTAGTGCCAGATCGAGGTCTCCACGAGTCGTGCCATTCCACGTCATTCATTTTCATCCACTCGCGTCTCTCGACGCACAGGAGATGGTCTCATCGCGCTCACACTTATTTAAACGCGCTGTGATGTCTGAGGGTCTCAAACCACGATCTTTCAAGTACCGCGAAGGCTGTCCCGGCACCGGGAACCCGACATGAGCTTCCGCAGCCCCAAAGAAACTTCCTCACACTTTCCCGATGCGTCACGGTATGAGGCACTTGCAGAACAGCTCTGTAAGTAACGGTCACGTCCTTTAGATGTACGCCATATTTGTCCTCGCCGCAGACCAGATTCGACATGCATTCCCTCTATCGTGACATACTGTCACTTCGCCACCACTGGCCACAACCAACGTGCCCAAGTTAAGGACCATCAGCTCAAGTGAAGTACCTGAACGAAGGATCATTCTCTCCATCGATTAGCGCACTGGTATCGACATCCTCCGCCTTCAACACACGACCTTGTGCTTTATCCCGCCTGCGATTCTCGCGGACCATGATAAACTTCATCGTCAGGATAGCCGTGATTGCCACAACGTTGCAGCAGCTGGTGGCGATGAGTGTCGGGATATACGAAGGCGCATACTCGACGCGGAACGTTGCTGCGGACAGCACACCAGCCAAGTTGCCCAAACCAACAAGAAAGCCAGTCTTGGCAGCACGTGAGTTCTCCTCAGTGTCGTTGTTGTTATGCCAGCTGTGCACGAGACAGGAAGGAATGTATGCGCCACCCTAAAACAATCAGCGAAAGCCCTCTCACGAGAAAGGCAACTTACAGCAATGAGAAAGCAAGCCATGTAGGCCACACCACCCTGCTTCAGCGGATCGACAGCAGCCAGTATGATCAACCCTACCAGCGACAAGCTCAACGCGAAGACCAGATGGAAACCTCTTTCCCTGAATCTGTCCGAAGAATACGTGGTGCACAAGAGGACGACAAAGCCCACACAGTTTGGCGCCACAGTCCACAAGTTGGTCTTGATCACCGAATAGCCCAGACGCTGCACAATCTGCGGCAGGAAGTTGCTGACAGTGGCAAACGCAACAGGATAGTTGAAGGAGATCAACATCCACAACAAGAACTTCTTCTCCTTGAAAGGGGCGAAGGCCTTCTTGAGATTGAACTTAGTCGAGATCTCGTGACTGGCATCCTTGAGAGTACGAGCCTCGCGCAAGACTTCTCCTCAGCAGTCAGGAACCAAGCCGTAGCAGCATCAGCCGGCAACCAGAAGAAGGAAGCCGCGCCAATGATGACGGTGAGGAGACCTTCAATCAGGAACAACCACTGCCAGCCGTGGATAGATGTGTGACGAATCTGGAAGACGCCGTAGGAGATGAGTCCGGAGAAGGCAGCTGCCAACAGAGCTGATCCAAAGAAGATTGCGATGCGGAAGCCAAGCTCGTCGCGCTTGTAGAACAAGGTGAAGTAGAAGACGGAACTGCAGAAGAAGCCAGCCTCGAATGCGGCCAAGATCAACCTCAGTGGTAGCATGCCCGCAAAGCTCTTGGCTGCGCACTGGATCAATGCCATCGAACCCCATCCGACCATGAGTGTCGGTAGCACACGCTTGGCGGTGTATCTCTTGGTAAGAAGAGCCAGTGGCAGATCACACAAGCCGAACGGCACATAGAACAGCAGGATCAACAATGAGTACTGGTTGCCGGTGAAATGCATGTCCTTGTCCATGCCGTCCGTCTTCGCATTGCCGAGATTCGATCTGTCGACCCTATCTGCCTGTCAGTCATGGAGTAGCGTCGCTCTTCGTGGTATGCTCACGAGTTGAAGAAGTACATCTGCATCAAGGTTAGCGCGGTCCGTTGTTTGGGGCTGGAGGTCTTACCAGTGCCATCCATGGCAGCAAGTAGAAGTCGAGCTTTTGGACAAGCTTCCGCTGTACAGCAGGGTCAATGGCGACGATCTCCTGACTGCCGCTGCTTAGAGACGACGGTACGTCACCCTCAGTGACACTGGGCTGCTTCTGGAGAGCCATTGCAGACTTCTCTTCATCACTGACGTTCGCCATGCTTGATGCTGGTCAGAATTTGCGAATTGGGGCGGAAGAGTTGCAAAGAGAAACAGCCTTGTCCAGACTGCAGGTTTATAGCACGCAATGTGAGTTAGGACGAACGCTCCGACTCGGGGCACGAGCAAGTAGAGGCAGGAATTGGGGCAGGCGTGTTCCTGGCCTGCGCTATGCTAATTGGTGTTGGGAGACGAAAGATGGACGTGATGGGCCTATATACGGCAGCTAATGCACAACAAGGCGACAGTCTATATGGTCATATCTGTCAAAAGATTCCAGCCGTCGAAAGCGGCCGGGACGACCAAGACTTGGGGACTATAGAGGCCATGGGCCGAGAGATAGGCTGCGCGATAGCAGATCTCCCCGTGTGCATACTGGTATCTCGACTCTCGTGGGCATGGAGCAAGTCCACAGCGTGTGTACCGTGGGCAAAAGACTCCTGCGAGTGATCCTATTCTGTTATCGAAAGGATGTACTTGATAGTAAAAGCAGTGCGATCAGCAGCCCAGATAGACACGACTGCTTGGGACCCGATTGGCTGACGGCTTTGCCAGGCCGCTAGCCTTATCTCGTGGGTTCTTGAGCTTGAGCTCAAGCTCGAAATCGAAAATCCCCCACCTCTGGTGACCTCCAGTTCACTTTACTACGCCCACCTACCGGGGCCCAGACAGCTCAAGCGTCTGGATTCTAACCGCAGCATGGGACATCCTGGGCGTCATTCCCGCCCGGCTGGATCAAGCCGCTGGAGGCTTTCCGCTCCCCAGGATATCCACGGCTCCAATAGTGGTGTTCGCGTTTCGGGCTCTGGTTCTGACGCGAGTTCGAGAGATATTGATATCAACAAAACCGCACAACGAAAGCCGCGAACATCTGGAGAGTGAAGCGATCATTCTGCCTTCTGACAGTCAACACTAGACGCAAACACTATGGTTGAAGCACCGCCTATTCTCGACATCAGCCCCTTCTATGCGAGCGACGAGGCTGCGAAGGCGAAGCTCGTAGAACAAGTCCGCAATTGCTGTCTACACAATGGGTTCTTCCAGATCGTCGGCCACCGGGTGCCGCTAGAACTTCAGGAAGCCTTGCTGAAGAACGTCAAGGACTTCTTTGCCCTGAGTCCAGAGGACAAGAAGAAGGTCCACAAAGGTATGTGAGGCGGCGCCCGGTGGCTTCCACAGCTGACGGTCCGCAGACAATACGACATGGAACAGAGGGTACGAGAGCATTGGGTCACAGATACTCGAGAAAGGCACCAATCCAGATCTCAAGGAAGGCTTCTACATTGGCGAGGAAATATCGAAAGACCACCCTTACTTCGTCGAAAAGAAGCTCAACTCCGGACCAAATCAATGGCCTCAATCACTCCAAGACCCGGAGACCTTCCGAAAAGTGTCTATGGAGTACTACCACGCCCTCCATGGTCTGGCGCGCGATGTTCTTGTAATACTCGCCAAGACCCTTGACCTAGCCGACGACTTCTTCTCTGAGTTCACAGACGGCGCCGTTGCAACACTCCGATACTTGCACTATCCTCCACAGCCGGCAGATTCTGATGAGAAGCTCTCCAGAGGCATTGGAGCACACACCGACTTCGGATCAGTCACACTACTGATGCAAGATGATGTGGACGGACTGCAGGTCTATGAGAAGACCACCAACGAATGGCTGGATGTAGTGCCGACCAAGGGCGCATACGTTGTGAATCTCGGAGACATGTTCCAACGGTGGTCAAACGATCTCTATATCAGCAACGTCCACCGAGTCATCAACAAGTCTGGCAAGGAGAGATATTCTGTCCCGTTCTTCTTCTCAGGAAATCCGGACTACACAATTTCGTGTCTGCCGAATGTTCGCAAAGAGGGCGAGCCAGCCAAGTACGAAGATATGACTGTGACGGAATGTGTTGGTGGTGCATATAAACGGAGCTATGGTGCGGCAACTGCTCATAATGCGCAGAGGGAGAGAGCGGACGTGTCTTCAACTGCTCAGCCGATTGCCGTGTAACGACGCTTTCGACTGTATTCACGTGGTCTGTGATAGCGAGCACGAATTTGATTTCGGGATTTCTTCCTACTACCACGATGCTTTGTTAATCTACGTGCATTCCTGCATCACGGCTGTGTGCACAGTAGAGGCCACTCCCACGCCATTGAACGTTGACCCAGGCGACTCCTGAGCTGGTCAAGCTGTGCGCAGCTTGGGACAAGAACGAATCCACGCTTGCGTACCCCAGACCTCTGGCCACGTTTCAGATCCGCCCTGTGCCCACTTAGCGGCCTGAAAAGGTACGTCTGTACGGCCGCGGTGCCTCATAGACGCCGGTTGACAAGTTCACGAAGAATGGGGATGTGCGGGTAGCAGCGGCCTGCCCATATCAAGCTTCGGGGCCTCGCCAATCCCGGAAGACCCTGGCGCCGCCTGCTGATTGTGTCGAGTACCGCTATTGGCTGATACGCTAAGGCTCACGTTGTCGGGGCTTGAGGCCTAGACGAAGGAGATACCGTTCAGCATGTTCATACACAGAGGCAGTACACGACGACACGTTGCCTATAACCACGACCAGTGCTCGCTTCACACATCAGCAGTCCACCATCAACACTTTGCACTTCAGAGACGTCCCTAGATTGCTCGAGCCATGTCCCACAATATGGAGAAGAAGCCCGATGTTGAGGCTGCCGCCGCCCCCCAGAGCGAGCTCGAACCCGTCGACTCCATCAAAGCAGGACTCACTGCCACTCTGGAGGATCAACAAAACAAGGCCTTCTATGGCGCCTCCGTCACCGACTCCTATCGCCTCAAGTCCGAGCTGGTCGGTAAAGCCATGGAAGAGATAGGCATGGGTCGATACCAGTGGGAGATCTTCGTCGTGACCGGCTTCGGCTGGATCTGCGATAATTTCTGGTCTCAAGGCATTGGTACCATTCAGCCTGCAGTCAAGCTCGAGTTCGCCGACGTCAGCCGTGTCAGTCTCTCCTCAGTAGCATACTACGTCGGCATGATCGTTGGTGCAAGCTTCTGGGGCATCTCAGCAGACTTCATCGGTCGAAAGCCGGCCTTCAACCTCACGATCCTCATCGGTGCCGTCTTTGCTGCTGCTGTGGCCGGACTCAGCAACTTTGTCCCTTTCTGCATCTTCTGGTTCTTCATAGGTACATCTGCAGGTGGCAACGTACCTGTGGACTCGATGATTTGTGAGTACATCTCGCGGCCCCTGTGAACCCTTGCTGACACTACTTCCAGTCCTAGAGTTCGTCCCTGGTAGCCACCAGTACCTCCTCACCGCGCTCTCCGGCTGGTGGAATTTCGGCCAAGTCATTGTCAGTCTCCTTGGCTGGGTCTTCATCGCCAACTTCAACTGCCCAGCTGATGCGACCCCTGCTACTTGCTCCCGTGCCGATAACATGGGGTGGAGATACATCATGATCACTCTCGGCGGTCTGGCGTTGGTCTTCGCTCTCGTGCGGATCTTCGTCTTTCATATGCCAGAGTCTCCCCGCTATTTGCTCAGCAAGGGCCGTGACGCCGAGGCAGTGGATGCCGTCAACTACATCGCTCGCCGCAACAAGAAGGCTGAGCCGCTCACACTTTCGATGTTCACCTCCATCGACATCTCACTTGGTCTGCCGCCGAACCCACATGCCGAGGGCAACACAGGTCTGAGCCACATGGCTCGCCTGAAGGAGAACTTCGCCGACTTCAGTGGCAGCAACTGGTCCAACTTGTTCAGCACACGCAAGTTGGCTCAGCACACCGCCATCATCTGGACTGTATGGCTCGTCATTGGTGGGTTCCCCAGTGGCCAGTTTTATACTGAAATCCTAACTCCGTCACAGGTATCGCGTACCCACTATACTTCAACTTCCTGCCAACCTACCTGGCTCAGCGTTTCACATCCAACAACTCCTTGAACTACACCTACCGTACATACTGCATCACTTCGGCCGTCGGTGTGCTCGGCCCTATCTGTGCTTCACTGTTGGTCCGCGAGCCTCACCTTGGTCGACGATACTCCATGACATTGTCGGCAATTGTCACAGGAGTGTTCCTCTTTGCGTATACCGCAGCCAAGACCGAGTCGACCAACCTCGCGTTCAACTGTGTAACGTCCATCCTTGGCAACTTCTTCTATGCATCATGGTAAGTCTCAGCGGCCTCGAAGTCGTCCTTTGCTAACGACCGGCAGTATGCATTCACGCCGGAGTCCTTCCCAGCGCCCGTCCGTGGCTTGGCTACTGGACAGGCTGCAACACTCCTCAGGACTGGTGGTCTAGCAGCCAGCTTGATTGGCACGTACACCAACTTCTCGGTCGTGCCCATCTACGTCAGTGCTGCGATGTGGATCGCGACCGGGCTCTTGTGCATCGGGCTCCCATTCGAGACTGCTGGACGGGGAGCGCTATAGAAGCTGACCTGGATTCATGGCGCACAGGCGTTGTGGCTCGTTCTCTCGTTATCTGACCGAGCATTGTGTGCGGACCATGTTAAAGCAAATTTTAGAGATCTGTGTGGTATCAGAGAAGACTGCCACCGTCCAGAGAATATGCAGCCTCGCCTATGGCGGTTCCACTAGCCTCCTTCTGTGTTCATCTCCAGTCCTTGATGTCCCTCGTAAAAGTCGAGGAATTGAGGCGTACGCATTCGACGAGCTACCCACTTCCACGTTCCCGGATCGTGCGTGACCAAGAGCGCGACGAATGACTGCCTGCCTGGGAGGCCTTCATTGCTGCCGACCGGGATGACAGTAGTTGCACTCCGACCCCACGGAATCTCATCTCGAGCACGATGTGACGGCAAACGAAAAGATAGATCGGGGTCCGATGAAAATATGAATATGATAAGCGCCCTCATGCTTCCAAAAATCCGCCGTAGTAGTCATCAAACCAAGCCATCGCCGACTCCGCACTGCCTTCCGTATTGACATTCCACCTGCTAACGGTACCAACATAGCCGTCTGGTCTCACGTTGACAAAGCCGACTTCTCCGTCTTTTAGCTTCCCAATCCATTTCTCCGTGACGCCCTCGGGCTGCTTCGTTGACTCGCTGCGTATATCATCAATGTAGAACGTCCACCTAGATTTCTGCAACGGGTCTGGCAGATCTGCGATTTCGATGTCCTTCTTCGGCATGGTCGTCACTAAAGCATAGGTTGCTAGTCGGGAGACCGTGTAATAGCGCTGAGGTTGCACAAACTCCTCGCTTTCTGGCCGCTGGACGTTGAGCTCCTCATACGATTGGTCCGCAGCAATGGAAGCCCGGCCGAGCACCGATGACGAGGACGTGAGATGCGTGTACAGTTTGCCGAGGAAGGCTTTCGCGACATGCACATCAGGCGTGAAAGCCCATAAGCGGAATTGTCCAAGCATGGGGATATCTAGCTCGAGATCGACAGGATTGGCGTCGATGTATCGAGTCGCTGTGGCAGGCAGTAGCAAATTCCCCGCTCGAAGCTTGCCCAAGGGAGCTGCCTCGGGCTTATTGAGCACGTTCGGATCGTACTTAACGCCGGCGCCGCTAATAAAGCCTACGTTCTTCGAGAAGTTCTCGGCAAGTGCCTTTTCATCACCGCCAGCGAACGATGCGGCATGCTCGAAGTCGAACGTGATGAGGTCAACCGCAATTTTCCGGCGCTCAGCCTCGAAGGTCGCCAGCAGTGAAGGCTTAGCAAGACCTCGAATTGCAAGGTTGAGCTTCCACGAAAGGTTGAAAGTATCGTGCATGCTCGTGTTCATGCCCTGCGCGGCCTTAGGAGAATGTGTATGTGACGCGTCGCCAGTGATGAACACGCGGTTGGTGTCGTCAGTGAATCGAGACGCTACCCTCTGACCAACCTTATAGACGCTGAACCATTCGACAGACTTCCAGGTAAGCTTGTAAGGTGCGATGATCTCTTGCGCTCGCTTGATGACGAAGTCTTGTGTGGCGGCATCTGATGGCATTGATTCCTCCATTCGTGGATTAAGCTCGATATACAGACGGGTCATGTTCCTTTCTCGAGGGATACAGAGAATCGTTCCCTTCTCTTCTGAGTGAATGACTACCTTACTCCACAGGTCTGGAAAGTCGGTCTCGATGACACCATCCAGCACACCCCACGGCGCTCTGCTAGCCTCGCCTTCCATGGAAGTGTTAGGCATAGCTTTGCGGACATTCGAACGAGCCCCATCACTTCCGACGAGGTACCGTGCTCGAAGAGTTCGAGCCTTGCCCGACTTTGCTTCGGTGCAGGTAACTGAAATAGGCGCATCAGGGTCGTTCGTTGTCGTGTACGTGCTGAACGGCAGATTGCGATGGACGAAGACTCCTCGTTCCGCCATGTCATCGATGAAGATATCCTCCACCATACCTTGGTGGACAAGCAAGATGAACGGATTCTTCACATCGAGATCCTCGGGATAGTGAGCCTCCCTACCAGTTCGACGCAACGCATTTTTGGAATCTGAATTCCAGAAGCAGATGTCGTAGATGCGTACGCCTTTGCGGAGAAGGTCATCCCCCAATTTCAACTGACGAAATGTCTCGATGGTCTTCGGCTGCAACCCATCAGCGCGCCCCGTAGACGTCTTGTCAGGCCTGTCATCGACGATGGTTGCCTTGATGCCATAGCGAGCCAGGTTCGACCTATCAACGCGTTAGCTTGTGATAGGAGGCAGAATACAGATGTCCACAGGTCTTTGTGAACGTAGGGCGGCGCCAGAAGACAACTTACGCAAGCATCAAACCAGCAGGACCCGCTCCAGAAACAACGACATCTTCGATTTGCTCTTCCAGAATACCGTTCGAGGTCCTGGCATCAAAGCCTTCACCTTCTACGCCTGGCGACATCTCTGGCGAAGATGACAACTGAGATCTGCCACGTTTCATCGCGGCGAAGGACGAGATTTGTCTGCTGACTGTCCAACATCCAAGCGTCCCAGTTTTCTGCTGAACCGACGCGGATCACGAACTATCGCGGCGACAAGCGGCCCATCTTGGACGAGTCTCCAAATGAGTTGCACATATCCGAATAGCCAGCCATGAACGCTACGAGACTACGAGAATCCCCCACTATCGGCTCTGCACGTGGTCTGATAGAGGTGGTCGGAATGGAACGGGGTGAGCTCCACCAAAAAATTTGGCTTTGCGTGGGCGAACCGAAAATTTTGCCACAGCCCGGCGAAACTGCCAAGATCTTCCAGCGCGATCACTTTCTGGAGATTCTCAACGGTCAGAGGCAGGCACCGGCAGTGGAGCGATGCTGACTGCCCTGAGTGGTCAATTGTAGTACGCGGAAGGCGTGGACCTTGTGCGAGACATAGGTCGTCGTGGAAAGCAGATATCAAACCCCTGGTCCTTTGGTACCTAAATCACCACGGCCTTTCCGAAGATGACTCAGAAGCACGCATTTGACGTGGCAAGCAAGCGATCATGGCAAGATGTTGTCGCTGCAAAACGAAAGGAACAAGCGACGCTGATTCAACAGTACTTGGATCGTGGCTTCTCAAGTTCGGCGCAGCTGACTTCGATCGTCGATATTGAAACCATTCCCGCCAAGATCCTAGCCAGAGAGACCACTACGCTGGATGTCATCACTGCACACATCGACCGAGCTATAGGAGCGCACCGTCGCACCAACTGCTTGACAGAGTTGCTCTTTGCTGAGGCAATCGAGACTGCAACACGACTCGACGAACACCTCAAGTCTACAGGCAGCCTCATTGGTCCTTTCCATGGTGTGCCGATCACCCTCAAAGATCAATTCAATGTTAAGGGCTATGATACGACCTTGGGCTACGTCGGTCGGGCTTTCCGTCCTGCCGCTGAGGATGGCCACATCGTGGAGGTACTCAGGAAGGCAGGAGCGATTGTGCTTGCCAAAACAAATGTGAGCTCTTCTGCAGGAACAGCTTGCACCTTTATGCGCTACTGACTGATTCGGCCAATAGCTCCCACAGTCAATCATGTGGTGTGAGACAGACAACCCTCTTTGGGGTCTTACGACCAACCCGCTGAACCCAGCCTTCACACCTGGAGGCTCTACTGGCGGCGAAGCATGTGTGCTGCACTTCGGAGGCTCTCTTCTGGGCTGGGGAACTGACATTGGCGGATCAATCCGCATTCCATCTCACATGAACGGTTTGTTTGGACTGAAGCCAACGTCGTCCAGATTGTCATACGTTGGTGTCCCTGTATCTACGGAAGGCCAGCAGCATGTGCCGTCCGCTGTCGGACCAATGGCACGGAGCATGGACTCTCTAGTGTTTACGATGAAAACACTGCTCGATGCCAAACCGTGGAATGCTGATCCAGCAGTGACTCCGAAATCATGGGACGACATTGCATTTTCCGAAGCACAGAACCGGCCGCTAACCATTGGCGTCATGTACGATGATGGCGTCGTCAAGGTGCATCCACCAATTGAGCGCGTGTTGTTTGAGATGACCCGTGCTCTGAAAGCGGCAGGCCATGAGGTGATTATGTGGGATCCTTCACTGCACGCGGATTGCATTCAGGTCATGGATCAGTACTACACCTCGGATGGTGGCGAAGACATACGTCGTGATGTTGCCGCCGGAGGTGAGCCCATGATACCACACGTTGAAGCACTCGTCAACCGAGCACCGGCGATCTCTGTGTATGATTATTGGCAGTTAAACAAGCAGAAGATCCGACTACAAAAGGCATATTACGACAAATGGAATGCCTGCCAAGGCCCAAGTGGGCGCAAAGTGGACGTTTTACTGACTCCGACCATGCCACATACAGCTCTCCCACACAAGGGTTGCCGTTGGGTCGGATACACCAAGATCTGGAACTTCCTCGACTATCCGGCGGTCGTCTTCCCCGCAGGCCGAGCAGATAAGCAACGTGATGGCGGTTTGGACTCCAATCACGTGCCTCGGAACGAAGCAGATGCATGGAACTGGTCCCGCTATGACTGTGTATCCATGCACGGACATCCAGTAGGCTTACAGATTATTGGTCCAAGATTTAGCGAGGAAACTGTCCTCGGTGCAGCAAGGATGTGTGGGTCGCTGTTGAGCCACGAGGAACCCTACGTCAACGGGGCCACAGACAGTACTTCTGCTTTCGACTGGAGCGCGCTGTTGACCACCTAGTCAAGTCAATCGGAACCGGACGGCCTTCAGCAGCTAAAAGTTTGCCGGTCACCAGCATCCGTGGGCGTATGGATATCATATGCTAAGTTCTACCATTTCGTCACGCCACCGTCGACGCAGAGATCCTGTCCCGTCATGTACTTGCTAGCATCGCTGGCTAGAAATACGCATCCGCCTCTGATATCCTCCGGCTCCGCTACTCTACCATTCATGATCTCGTCCTTCCAGCTTTCAAGCAAATGCGGGAACTGTATGAGATTAGCGCAAGAATGGTCAACCACCATGTTGGCTTACCGGTGCAGTCATCTCTGTCCTTACGTATCCTGGAGATATGCTGTTGCATCGGATACCATATGGCACCAACTCGGCAGCAATCGCTGGGCACATCGCTCTCACGGCACCCTTCGTTCCACAGTATGCACTGCTCAGCTGACTACGGATAGCCATATAGCTGGCGATGCTTGCGCACAGGACGATGCTACCGCACTTGGTCCCGTTCTCGATCATCTGCTTTGCAGCCAGCTGGGCGGTGTGATAGACGCCCTTGACGTTAACACCAATCAGCCTGTCATGCTCCTCCACGGTGGTGTCGAGGAAGCCCAAATTGCGATTGACCCCTGCTGTCGGCACACAAATGTCGAGTTTCCCATCGAAGTCAGCCTTGAATTGCGAAAAGCCCTTCTGCAAACTATCGATACTGCTCACGTCGACGCTGAGCTTGGTCAGCTGGCGTCATTTCGTGCAGATGGGCTTCAAATACATGTAGTGCTTTGTCTTGACACCATATGTTTTCGATATCTCGTGCCAGCCTGCAACCGGCTCGATCACATCAAAAGTAGCAACATCCGCTCCAGCCTCAGCTAGACCCTCAGCAAAAGCCAGTCCACATCCTCTGGCACCTCCAGTGACTAGGGCTGTCCGACCCTTCAAGGAGAACTAAAGTATAGTCGTTAGGAATGTCCGATGGTCCTCGAAGCACTTACTCTGCTGCTCATTCTGAGTACCTTAGGACTGTGCAGTAAAGGCGTAACCTATGTCCTCGGGCGGTCAACGCAAATACTCGTCTTCGAAGAGCCTTTTGATGTTCGCAGGGACACAGAGTCAATGTACAAGCGCTTCTGGTGAATCGATTCGGTCGTCTCATGCTGGTGCCCTCTCAGAAGCATATCCAGCGCCAAGACGCTGCCCCTGGAAGGCCAATAAGAATCCACTACATTGCCCACCAACCGAGCGACACGCCCACTCCTCCGGCTATTCACGTCATGCAAGCTGCACGTTACAGATTAACCTCTTTGTCACCACCTCCCGCCGTGATAAGACCTAGTCAATCGCAGTCGAGCTGCATGACATCCTTGGACACGCGGCGAAATACCGCGTGTTGGGCACGATGCCAGAACTCTGTTGCCGTGCTGATCGTCCACCCCCACCTGCTGCTATCCGAGTAATGGTTTCACTGCAAAAGGTAACATGTTTTTACAAAGCGCGGGGTGCTGCCCTCGGATCGCGTACGTGACTCTTGCTGTCTACCTCTACCGCAGCTTCAAGCCGACTCTTTGAAAAGGTCAATTCAAAGTGTTTACAGGAGGCGTTGCGCAGGCGAGATGCGCTTCCTTCCTATTCTCGCCCTCACGGGCGCCGCCATGGCTCAGGCTGAGCAACTCGGCATGATGGACAGACTGAGCGCCTTCGTCTCGAACTTCACCCTCGGCTCCGATGCCTCGCAGAAAGTGCAGGCACTCGGCAAGAAACGTGTGCTAGTCACTTACGGGGTCGACATCGACGCAGTAGCTGGCTGGTTGGGTAGTGTGAGTCTGAAGTCTTCGGCCGTTTCGATGATCCGGGCTGATCTGTCGACAGTATGGAGGTGAGGACTCGACGAGCGACATATCTCGTGGCATGTTTGCTGGGACCATTGGCACCCGAAGGCTCTTGAAACTGTTCGACAAGTACAATATCACAGCCACTTGGTTCATCCCAGGCCACAGCCTGGAGACGTTCCCGGAGGAGTGCGCCATGGTCCGCGATGCAGGTCACGAAATTGGCTTGCACGGCTACTCTCATGAAAACCCTGTAGACATGACTTTTGAGCAGCAACGAGATGTTCTCGATAAGACCTACAAAATGATCACAGAATTCGCTGGAAAGCCGCCTCGTGGTAGTGTTGCGCCGTGGTGGGAGGTCTCTCAGGAGTCCACAGACCGTAAGTATGTCCATCCGCTGTGTTCATATGTGACTGAACTGTCGCTAGTCATGCTCTCGTACGGTATCGAGTACGACCATTCCATGTCGCACCACGATGCTCTTCCCTACTGGCTCCGAACGGGCGACTCATGGACCAAGATCGACTACAGCAAGAAGGCAGAGGAGTGGATGAAGCCTCTCATCAAGGGCGAGGAGACCGGTCTGGTCGAAATTCCGGGCTCGTGGTACATCGACGACTTACCGCCTATGATGTTCATCAAGAATAGCGCCAATTCCCACGGTTGGGTCAACCCGAGAGATATAGAAGACATCTGGAAAGACCACTTCGACTACTTCTACCGAGAGTACGATGAGTTCATCTTCCCGATGACCATTCACCCGGACGTCAGTGGTCGTCCGCATGTCCTGCTCATGCATGAAAGGTAGCTAAGACCTTGTTCCGGCCAGGCTTAATGTACTGACACAAGCACTAGAATCATCGAGCACATCAACAAGCACGCAGGTGTCGAATGGGTGACTATGGGGGAAATGTGTGATGTGAGCATCTCCGGAGACCTACCCACCACCTGTCTGTGTCCAAGATCCCCTGCTGAAGTCGGATTTTACAGGACTTCAAATCAAAGAACACGCCTCCTCCAGGCGCCAAGATGCCAGCGCCGATGGGATCAGTACTCAAGAAGCCAAATTGAGCGGCCTAGTCTGGTGTTCTCGGTGGCAAATATTGACTACATAGCCCTTATCAAAAACATTCCCTCGCTCCACTTGCCCCACGCAAAGTCCCGTGCCTTGACTCGGTCTCGTGCCCTTTCGAGACTGCTTCCTCTGCGCATCACCGTAATATCAGTCTTCCGGCACCCATTGGGCGCTGCATCTCACACTTGACCCCGGATTCGATGCCCAAAGTTTTGAGGTGGCTGATGTGATGATTTGAAGCTCGCGTCACCATGGTGGGTCCAATTGCCTCGTGGGATGTCGACCCAGACTCCATTTCCACGGTGCCGAAGTCCGCCACAGTCCAGGGCTGCTTATCTTACAGTACCTGGACGTACCAGCCTGGCCTGGCTTAGCCTAGCCGCCTAGCCTAGCTCTCCCCCATTCTTCGTCCACCTTCGACGCATCGAAAGTTCAACATGGGGCAGACTGACGCTAAGGCGCTCAACAGGCTTTGACTCGGCATTATGCGGCTTCTTGCAGATGGAGAGGATGGCTTATCTACACGTTGCTAATTGCTAGTAATGCAATCCACCGCGCGTCTAAGATATGGGGCATGAACCCTTTATCGAGCAGGGAATGGGAGAAGCGCGATCTGGTGATGCATTGGTCGGTCGTTCAACGGAACACCGACTACGCCGTACCAGACCGTCTCTGACTGCGTCCACAGGCCGAGTGAGTTCTGGGCGACGTTTGCCGTCCACCTTCTGCTCGGGTTAATCGAAGATAATTCTAGAGCGGTTCTGGACGGGACGGTTATCGATCGCGGTCGAGTTGATGATCCGAGAGTCAGGACAGGTCTGACGCTCGCCAAGCCTGGCGATAGATCTGTGTCACTACAACGACGTCCTCAGCCTCGGACTCGTACGTGAAATGCAAGCCCTGACACCACAATCACGAGGAGATACAGTAAGATCTTCACCAAGCTCAACAAAAACCTAGGTCGTCCATACTGTGTTCGGTGACACTCACTCACACCGACCACGACGTCCGGTCAAGTAGAGGGCATTGAAGCTACCAGAACCAAGCGGCAGCCATGGTTGTGGTCAGCTCATCCGGCATCTCGGGGGCAGTCAAGAGGAGCGGCCCAGCACAGTCATCACAACCACAGATCATCAAGCCTAGACAAAAGATCCAGCGCGATGCATCGACAAAACTCAACGTGAGTGCCGAAACCTCTACTATGTGAAAGAGCCACTGACACTAAACCTGCAGATCATAATAGTAGGTGCTGGCCTGGGAGGCGTGGGTGCGGCAATAGGTTTGCTGCTAGGCGGCCACGATGTAACGATTCTCGAATCTGCACCACAAATCGCAGAGGTTGGCGCGGGCATACAGGTTCTACCAAATGCCTCGAGGTTGCTACAGGAATGGGGCATGAAAGAGGCGCTCGACCGCTACTCAACCGCGCCTAGCCATGTAAACATGCTAGGCTGGAAAGGCAACACCATCACTCGGATGAGCACAGAGGACTCCGCGAAGCTGTACCCAGGCACAGCATATTGGGACTTCCACCGAGCGAATCTACACAAGTGTTTAGTTGAGCGAGCAGAAGAGTTAGGGGCAAAGCTTGTCGTAAACAGCAAGGTCGCCAACGTCGTCGCGAAGGAGGAAGGAGCACAGTGCTTCTTGAAGACGGTACAGAGCGGAAAGCGGATCTCGTGATCGGCGCAGATGGCATTGCAAGCAAAATGCGCGAGATCCTGCTAGGACGTGCAGACCCGCCTCAACTGACCGGAGACCTAGCTTATCGGCTACTGCTCAAGACTGAAGACATGAAGAAAGACCCGGAACTGTTGGAATTCATCGAGAAGCCACAAGTCAACTACTGGCTAGGCCCAGACGCACATGCTGTCAACTACGTGCTTCGGGGTGGTGAGCTGTTCAACATGGTACTTCTGGTACCAGACGATCTTCCAGAGGGCGTCAACGTCCAGCCAGGGAACATACAGGAGATGCAGGCCTTATACAAAGACTGGGATCCGCGAATAGTGAAGCTCCTTGCGCTCTGCGAAAGTGTGCACAAGTGGCGCTTGGCCATTAAGCAGGAAGTCGAGATGTGGTCGCACCCAACAGGCAGCTTCACGCTTTTAGGAGATGCCGTGCACGCCACGCTGCCTTATCTTGCGTCGGGGTAAGTCGAGCCGCAACCTTTATTCATAAACGTACTCGCTAACGACGTCCACACAGTGCTGGTATGGCCCTCGAAGACGGTGCATTCCTCGGCGCTTTGTTCTCTCGCAGCACTAACCCGCGCGATCCCGTCGAACGTCGTCGGCTGCTTGCAATTTACGAGAAATGCCGCAAAGCACGCACCAACATGGTCGTCTCAAGAGGCAACTTGCAACAGTATTTGTACCACTTACACGACGGGCCAGAGCAACAAGAACGAGACCGAAAGATGCAAGCAATGGAGCCGGGTGAAGCTTTGGCCTGGAGAGACAGCGGGTTGTCTCCTCAGCTTTTGGGCTATGAGGTAGACCGAGACATTGATCGATTTTGGCATTTACAAAGTGAGGAGATCGTGGCGAAACCACATGCGCCTCCAGGGGGAATTGAGGAAACTGCTGTCAGAGCCAGTCTGTAGGCAGTCAGCCAGCACTACCAAGGAGAGCCTTCAGATGTTTTGATGTAGACCAAGGTTGTATTCATTCGAGCGCTCTGGATACCTACCTATCTCACAGCACTCATAGGCTTCAGATAGAGGTGGTTCTCACCACCTCTCAATGCTTTCACCCCTCCTCTGCTACCACACTGCCTTGTGATCACATGTTGCCCTCTTGACCCTCTTAGAACGCGTCGTATTGGTCTTGGCGTGCCGTGAGACCCTTCAAGACCTTGACTCCTTCATGTACGACAGCCCAGCGAATGTTGCTGAGATCCTGCGACATGATCGTGACTAAGCCTCTAGTGCTGTATCTCCCAGCGGTACGCCAGAGCCCGCCTGGCACCCCACTGGTCATGCCAGATACAAGTGCATTCATCTCGGCCTTTGCGTCCTCGCGGCTATATGACATACCCATACTGGCACCATCATCGTCAGTGACGCTATCGCTGCGGCGTCGGGCGGCGTCCGTGCTAGATACGGCTTGCGAAATCGGTCGATCAGGTCGTGAGCTGTTATGGAAGGACCATAGAACCAGTGTCGCTAGATACAGGCACCAGGAATAGTGGAATGTCGTATTGATGAAGTTGTCCAAATTCATGATGCCATCACGCAGAAGGTGGGCGGCATGCCAGACTGCTGCTGTGCAAGATTCGCTACCACCACCGGGGCGGCCTTCAGGAGTCGACCATTCGCGAACTTTGCGCCGCGATCGGTCGAAATCGCCAGTACTTACTTGTCGGCCAATGATGTGGCGCGCTCCAGCATAGATCTGGAGGTCAAGCACCTCAACATTCAGTACGATGTGAGCCGCGTGGTAGATCGCAAGAGTGGATGTCGTAAAATGCTGGAATTCGGATCTGATGTTCGCGTTCTCGCTCCAATTAGATTTGCTCAGCGACGAAGACACGTTGAGACAATATGCATCGAAATCGGCGCGCCAAAGATCGTAGCTTGCACCAAGACGCTCTCGCCAATTATCTGTGCCTGTCAAATTGCCACAGCCTAATGATGTGTCATCTCTCCGCTTCATGTCCCAGGAAACAGACATCAAGCCATGTAGAATCAGAAGCCGAGACAAAGCATTGAGGTTGTAGGGAACCTGTACTGAGCCGGTCGGAGACATATATGCCTTGAGAATAGGGAGGAAGAGCCGTGGCGCGCTTTCGCGTTGATAGTGCTGCTGCCACTCCTGTTCTGATTCCGCCTCCCAGATGCTGGGGCTACACGGCAACGCTGCGCGTAACTCGAAAGATGACATACAAAGCGATTGGCTGAACAATACTGCGTGCTGTGTGTCCCACATGAAGCAGAGAAACGCGAGTCTCTTGCGTGATTCGATTTCCATAGCCAGTCGCCATTGTGTCGTGAGGTCATCTGTCGAATGGGTGAAGTCAGGCTCGCTAACGCTCTGACAATCGCTCCGTCTGATCAGATTGATCAATAGCCCGTGGAACAGGTGGGACATATCATGCTGCTTCTGTCCTGCGCGAGATTTGCCGAAGCACTCCACAAGGAGAATTGTCTGAAGCATCCATAGCGGAGGTGAAGCGGTAAACTCAACGTTTAGAAAGATCTGCGGCCTCATAATGTCGTGTATACACACAGCAAGCCGATGCGCGTTCTTGTCGCTGTACGTGGCGCCAAGGAGTAGCATGGCGAGGAGGTGAAGCATGTCGGCCTTATCTGGTTCAAAAGTAGCTTGGTGAACAAGGGGATACACATTATTGAAGCGTGTCCAGAAGAGCTGGAACCAGAGCTGCAGCGAGTCCAGAGACAGAAGCGGATGTTCTTTCGATAGTGGCGACCCATCCGGTGCCTTAGCGGCTGCCTGCTGAACGACATCTATCATCCTAGCCCACGTAGCCTCATCGAGTGTTGGCGTCCTTCCCGTAGAGCTACCGCGATGAAACGAGCGTACCGGGCCTGTCTCTGTTGGCGACCTGTTCGTGTTCCGGTTCCATGATGTGGATGTGATGCGGCTGCCTTGACCCTCCGAACATATCGACGCACTCGAAGGCTCTGTCACTGTGGCATTTGTGCGGCTCAGAACGTCTATTTGTGATGCAGGCGTACGGCTGGATGGTGCCGTGTAGTCTGAGTTCGAAAAGGCCTGTGGCGATCCAGATGTCGCTGACTGCATTTCTGGAGGACTCTGATCAATGGTTATTGCATCTGGAAGTCCAGACATTTGATCAATTGACTTAAATAGCTGGTAATCATTTTGAGCGAGGAACGACTGCATCGGCAGTGACGGTATTGGCTGTGGACGTTGTGGTCGCGACTTTTGTGCTGGAGCCGGAACAGATGTCGAAAAGGACGATTGGCTGTATGCTGGAAGGCCTTGCGCACTGATTTGAGGAGCAACGTTGTCGTGCTGAGGCTGATGAATCTGCGAGTTCATGTTGGACGAACTGCCGTTGGCGTTGAAAAGCCAGCTGTAGTTGTTCATGGTTGTGTAAGGCATGTTGAAGGACGACGCTGTATCAGGCGCGAAAGCGTCGTCCCACAGCTGTGTGTTCTGCTGAGTGGTGGTAACCAACGGCTGTAGTGGTTGCATACCCCAAGATGAATTGGCAAGGAAGTCAGACATGTCCTGGCCAGGCGCACTCTGATCATGCATAGAGTTGCCTGGCATCAAACCGAACAAGTGTTGCTGGTTGATATCGACGTGTGAGGGATCATGTGGTCGCTGCATCTGCATGTCATCGAGATCGATCTCCGGATTCGATTTTGGAGGCGATGGAGGAGCGCGAACAGGACGCTTGGAGACGATGGTCTGTCCATCTGAGTCAAGCCACATCCGCTTCCTGGTCTCGACAATTCCTCTACCGGGCCCTCCGGCTTCTTCGTCTTTCTGTACATGGCGTTGCATATGCCGCTCAAGAAGGTCAGGCCTCTTGAAGTGTGCGCGACATCGTTCGCAAGTGCTGCCTTCAGGCGAGTGGTTGAGCATATGCCTTTGAAGGTGGTCTGATCTACTGAACGCCTTTCCACAGTCTCCCCAATTGCAGACGTGCTTCTTGACCTGGCTGTCGGCAGTCATTGTGGCAGGCGCCAGCTGAGGTATTCCAAAATTTCGGTTATGCAGAGGACTCCCTGAGCTTGAGAAAGTGTTGATTGGTATCTAAGAATGATATTGCCCAGCAAGCCAAAAATGGTAGTTGTTAGGTCGACAACTTCATTGGAATTGCACGAACATTGAAGTGGTGCCTTGCTCTTGGCTCAGTGAATTGCGCTCAGTGAAGTACGCTGATTGAAATCCAAAAGCATTGACGTGTCAGGAGCGTAGTTGAGGTGAAGTGCAGAACAGTTGGCCCACCAGGAGCTGTAGTACGGGCGAGGGGCCAGATAAGGGTGCAGCAGCCCACACCACACAAGAGCAAGCCAGAGGACTCCCTGTCCCCAGGAATTCGTCACTTCCAATGACCGTCGTTCTAGGCTCGCTAGGCAACGATTGGAAACCTTGATAGGGAAGAACTCGGCATAGTCGCGATTGCCTGCCGCAATTTCTCGGCACTGTATCGCGCTTACTAAAAATTACTGCACAGGACGGACGTCTCGAGCTCGAGAAGGAGCCTAGGCCTAATCTAGGTAGTGCAGAAGGAACGAGTGGCTGAGGAGGACTCTGCCAGACAAGTGTATGACTATTTCAACCAAGCCACGAGGGTTAGATTAAACCAAACGCCAGAGATGCGACATGCAGAATCTATCTATGCTCCCCAATCTCTCATCATGCAGTGAGCTCCTTCGAGCCCGGCTCAAAGAACGGGTAGTCAACATAGCCCTTCGTAGGAGGGTCAGCACCATAGAATGTGCTGCGATCATACTCATTCAACGGCAGACCCTCAGCCAGACGCTTTGGGAGGTCCGGGTTGGCGATGAACCACCGTCCGAAGATGACTGCGTCACTGTCGCCAGCATCGAGTTTCGGCAGAGCATTGTCGCGGTTGAAGTTACCAGCGGCCACGAATTTGATGTCGCCCTTTGCCAGGATTTCACGGAAAGGCTTCAGCGAGTTCTTTGCTGACGAGGTCTCCTTCTCCAGAGAGCCCATCTTGGCTTCCTCATCGAGGACCTCATCGAAGCGAGGCTCGACCATATGAACGTATGACAAACGGTTCTCCTTGGGCATAGCCGCGAGCTGCTCACAGAGGTACGCCCAGTTCTTGTTGGGATTCGAGTCGCGTGTATCCTGGAAATAGTTGTACGGGCTGAGACGAATGCCGACCTTGTCTGCTCCAACTGCATCGGTGACAGCTTTGACGACCGCCAGAGGGAACCGGCAGCGGTTCTCGATAGATCCGCCGTAGTTATCTGTGCGAATGTTGACGTTATCGTGCAGAAATTGGTCGAGGAGGTAGCCATTAGCTCCGTGAATCTCGACTCCGTCGAAACCGGCCTCCAGGGCGCGCTTTGCGGCAGCGGCGAACTCTTTGACGGTCTCGTCAATTTGCGCTTCCGTCATGGCTTTGGGAGGAGTCTGAGCGAATGGAGCACCTGTGAGAGCGTTGCCGGATATTGGGATGTCACTGGCGGATAGAGCGTCTTGCCCATCGAGGAGATCGTTCACTGTAGCACGACCGACATGCCATAGCTGACCTGCAGAACGTCAGCTCTGTGTCGCGAGGTGGTAGAGGCATGCTTACAATAAATGTAGCCACCTTTTTGATGGATAGCATCCGTCACTCGCTTCCACCCAGCGATTTGGCTTGCAGTGAAGATTCCAGGCACCTAGAAATGTGTGAGCGTCGCGTATTCCACAGCCGAACTCGCGCAGGGCAGACTCACACCAGGATAGCCGCAGGCTTGTCTGCTGATAGGGCAGGCTTCTGTGAGCTGAAAGCCACCCTTGGAAGCTCGCTGCGAGTAGTACTCGACATTGATATCACCCGGCACCCAGATGCCATCGCTCTCCTTCGGCGCACGCATCCGTGTCAAAGGGGCCATGAATACTCTGTGCTCAAGCTCCAAATGTCCCATCTTCAAAGGTTTGAATAATGTGGTGCCCTCTAGCGGCTTGAAGCCGCCAGGAGAGATTCTGGAAGGCATCTCGTGTTGCTGGTGCTGATCCGTTGGCTGTGTAGGTAAAGCGTGCTGTATGTAACTCGTGTGTAGAGATGCGCAGTACAATAGAGATTGAAGTCACGAACAAAGCAGCATTCGAGATCAAAATGGAAAATCGTCAACAGACCCTTTTCTTTTTGTCAACACGGTGCGAGACCGGGAGTTTGACATCTAGTGAGTGGTCCACACAGCTCAGTTGAGCGGGCGGATAGCTGGCATCATCGCGTGCAGCAGTGCTTGAGATTCTGCCACAGGTGGGCATGAGCCAAAGCCCACCATCCCATCCTTTGCTAAGCGCGCAGAATCCGATCCAAGATCCGGCGATCAACATGAACGACTCGCCACGATGAAAAATGATGGTTGAAGTTACCATGAGTGCAGGAACAAGCGTAGGTGGGCAACGTTGAGGAAAACAGAACCTTGGCGGCTCCAGGGCCAGCTCTAGCTTCACCAGCCGTGGACAACGCCTAACGCCTATTTTTCAGGAATGGGGGATTCGACCCAAAAATGACCCAAACATTTAGCTTTCTTTCTTGCTGACAACACGGCTAATCGTGTGGACCTGCAGGTATGGATGCCGAGCCACTTCCGCCTGTGGGACGGTCTGCCGTGCAGGTCAACCGGGCGCTGAGCTCCGGCAGAGGCATTGAAGACAAGAGCACGCTCGAGCAGTGTGTCATGCGTGAGATTACCACAGAGCTGACTGGAAAACGCGCGTACATCACGAAAGGTCGATCAACTATTGCGAGCAGTCCGATTATGAGATGAACGCGTTCTTGAAAGCAGCACCAGCACAATGACGGCTCTCCCCTTTCACGCGAAACCTGCGACGGTTCCCGCAGCATTCGAGAAGCTGCGACCGCTCATAGAATCGGAGTTCACGCAGTCGACATTAACATTCTATCTCAACGGTGTGAGGATCGACCTCGCAAACCCGAATCCCGCCTGGACATTGTTAGACTTCATCAGGTCGCGGCATGGCCACAAAGGCACCAAGCTTGGATGCGGCGAGGGAGGTTGCGGTGCATGCACTGTGGTTCTCCAGACATGGGATGCCTCCCGCAAAGGACCATGGCACACAGCTGTCAATGCCTGCTTGTATCCATTGGTCGGAGTTGTTGGCAAGCACCTGATCACTATCGAAGGACTAGGCAGTGTTGACCACCCACATCCTCTGCAAGAACGAATTGCCAAGCTCCATGGTTCACAATGTGGTTTCTGTACGCCAGGAATCGTCATGTCGCTGTACGCTTTGGTCCGAAACGCATACGACCCTGTGTCACAAGTCTTCGATCTATCAGCCGAGCAGATCGAGATGGAAGGTGTTCTTGACGGCAACCTCTGCAGATGTACAGGCTATAAACCGATCCTGCAGGCTGCCAAGACCTTCGTTACAGAAGACCTTCGAGGTAAGGTCAAGGAATCTCCCGCGGTGTCGGTGAACCTAGACGAACTCGAGAGTGATGTTCCCTACAAGTCAGAAGATGCCGTCAGAGTACCTGGTGCATCGTCAAGAAGCTGTGGTAGACCTGGTGGTTGCTGCAGAGACAAACCGCTCGCAAGCACAGCGGACTCCACAGATTCGACAGAGTCGTCGAGCGAAGCCACTAACTCCGCATCTGACGCCGAATCCCACACAAGCAACGAGCTTGATGTAACAGGCGCCGAGTATGGTAAGCCGATCCGTGCTCGAGTCAGGGCTACAGGGCCAGGAGATGAAGGTGAAGGGACCAAGACGAGAAGTTCGACGGACGTACCTCCGCCTGTTGCCAAGGACGGACACCTGGAGACCAACTTTGCCGCTTATACTCCAGGAACCGAGCTCATCTTTCCTCCAGCTTTGCGCAAATTCGTCCCTGAGCCGATATGTTATGGAGACGACAAGGCAATATGGCTGCGGCCAACCACGGTGGATCAGGTCTTGAGAATCAAGGCTCTCGATCCTACCAGCAAAGTTGTGGGCGGCTCGAGTGAAGTGCAAGTCGAAATTAGATTCAAGCACTCCAAATTCGTGGTTTCGATATTCCTGGGAGATCTACCAGAGTTGACAGCAACCAGCCTCCCCGACCATGAGGCAGGCATAAACAGCATGACGGAATTGATCGTTGGCGCCAACACATCCTTGACCAGGCTCGAGGGCATCTGTGCAGACTTGGCCCAGAAGCTGGGACGTCGTGGGCTTGTCCTCGAAGCGTGTCGGAAGCAACTGAGGTACTTCGCCGGCCGACAGATCAGGAACGCCGCCTCGCTTGCTGGAAATCTTGCTACAGCATCCCCCATATCTGACATGAACCCTGTTCTCCTAGCTGCAGGCGCCACTGTTATAGCTAAGAGCCAGGAACAAGCAGAGATCGTGCTGCCCATGGTAGATTTCTTCAAGTCCTACAGAGTGACATCTCTGCCAGCAGACGCCATCATCACGAAAATTCGGATACCGATACCCAGTGCAGACGACAGACAAATTTTCAAGGCCTACAAGCAAGCCAAGAGAAAGGATGATGACATTGCCATTGTCACAGCGGCATTCAGTGTAAAGCTTGATACCGAGGGCAAGGTGGACCGCATCTCGCTCGCATATGGCGGCATGGCTCCAATGACTGTTCTCGCAAAGAAGACAATGGCTGCCCTGCAGGGCAAGCCGTGGTACAGCCCAGAAACCTTGGACCTAGCGCTCAAGACCATCGGCGACGACTTCAACCTGCCGTTTGGCGTGCCTGGCGGTATGGCTTCCTACCGTAAGACTCTCGCAATGTCTTTCGTCTTCCGCTTCTGGCATACAGTCGTCTCAGAGCTTGGTCTCGGTCAGGTAGATCGTGACCTGATCGAAGAAATTCACCGCGGTCTCTCGTCAGGATCAAGGGACAACTACAATCCCCACGAGCAGCGTGTTGTCGGCAAGCAGGTGCCTCATTTGTCAGCATTGAAGCAGACACCGGCGAAGCAGAGTACATCGATGACATGCCGCCACAGAACAGAGAGCTATACGGTGCTTTTGTCTTCTCTCCCAGAGCACATGCCAAAATTGTCAGCATCGACTACAGTCCAGCTCTTGGACCAGGTCTGGCGCTCGGCTATGTCGATCATAATGATCTAACCCCAGAGCAAAACATGTGGGGTTCCATTAGGAAAGACGAGCCGGTGTTTGCGGCTGGCAAGGTCGAATCACACGGCCAAGTCATTGGTCTTGTGTACGCAGAATCGCAGCTGCAGGCACAAGCGGCTGCCAGGCTTGTTAAGATCACCTACGAAGACTTGCCTGTGATCCTTACCATTGACGAAGCGATTGCAGCTGAAAGCTTCTACCAGCATGGCAAACAGCTGAAGAAGGGAGCTGCTATCACAGAAGATACCAAAAAAGCCATGGACGATGTCTTTGCCAAATGTGATCGCATCTTCGAAGGCGTCGTGCGGATGGGCGGTCAGGAGCACTTCTTTCTCGAGACGAACTGTGCACTTGTAATACCTCATTCTGAGGATGGCACCATGGATGTGTACTCGTCCACTCAGAATACGTAAGTCAAACCAGGTTCCTGTCAGCCAATGCTAACATGGGGCGACAGTATGGAAACCCAAGAATTTGTCAGCCATGTCACCGGCGTGCCCTCCAACCGTATCAACGCAAGAGTAAGACGTCTGGGCGGCGGCTTCGGTGGCAAAGAAAGTCGCTCTGTGCCAATTGCATGCGCATTGGCTGTGGCTGCCAAAAAGGAGAAACGACCAGTCCGATGCATGCTGACCAGAGAAGAGGACATGATGACCAGTGGCCAGCGACATCCGTTCCAGGCCCGCTGGAAGGTAGGCGTCATGAACGACGGCACACTGGTTGCCCTCGACTGTGATTTATACAACAATGCCGGATTCAGCTACGACATGAGTGCCGCAGTAATGGATCGTGCATGCACGCACGTTGATGGGTGCTATGAGATTCCGCATGCCTGGATCCGCGGACATGTCTGCAAGACCAACACGCACAGCAACACCGCTTTCCGAGGCTTTGGCGGCCCGCAAGCGATGTTCATCGCCGAAAGCTACATGATTGATGTGGCAGAAGGGCTCGGCATGTCGGTAGAAGAGCTGAGGCTGAAGAACTTGTACAAGCAAGGCGATCTGACGCCTTTCCTTCAGAAGATCGATCAAGACTGGCATATCCCGCGGCTGCTGTCCCTGGTCCAGAAGGAAGCAGACATCGACGCCCGTGCCGCAGCGATCAAGAAGTTCAATGCCACCCACAAGTGGAAGAAGCGAGGCATGTCTGGCATGCTGCCTGTGAAGTTTGGCATATCCTTCGCAACTGCAGTCCATCTCAACCAAGCTGCCGCAAACGTCAAGGTATACGCCGATGGCTCCATTCTGCTGACGCATGGCGGCACAGAGATGGGCCAGGGTCTGTACACGAAGATGTGTCAGGTGGCTGCTCAAGAGCTCAAAGTGCCCCTTGATGCAATTTACACACAAGACACTGCCACGTACTCAACCGCCAATGCCTCGCCGACGGCAGCATCCAGTGGAAGCGATCTCAACGGCATGGCTGTGCTTGACGCCTGCAACCAGATCAACGAGCGGCTCGCGCCATACTGGGAGAAGTTCGGTCCCGGCGCAACGATGAAGCAGGTTGCTCATGCCGCTTACCTCGACAGAGTCCAGCTGTCTGCTGAAGGCTTCTGGAAAATGCCGCGCGTGGGATATAAATGGGGCAACTACGACGCAGCCACAGTCAACCCAATGTACTACTACTGGACTCAAGGCGTTGGTGTCAGTGAAGTCGAGCTGGATCTCCTGACAGGAGACCATACCGTTCTGCGAACAGATATCAAGATGGACGTTGGCCGCTCCATTAATCCTGCGATCGACTATGGTCAGATCGAAGGTGCCTTCGTGCAGGGTCAGGGGCTCTTCACCATGGAGGAGAGTCTCTGGACGCAGTCTGGACAGCTGTTCACGCGCGGTCCAGGAACATACAAGATCCCTGGCTTCAGTGACATCCCACAAGAGTTCAATGTTAGCTTTTTGCAAGGCGAGGATTGGAGCCCATTGCGCACTATTCAGAGCAGCAAGGGCATAGGCGAGCCGCCGGTGTTCCTGGGAGCTACGGTGCTGTTCGCTCTCAAAGATGCGCTTGTGGCAGCTAGGAAGCAGAATGGTGTGGACGAGGCGTTCGTTTTGGATAGTCCTGCAACGGCTGAGAGGTTGAGACTGCTGGTTGGGGACGATATCCTGAAGATGGGGACTGTGAAACCCAAAGAGGGCGAGCGGAACTTCCTCGTTGCAGTAGCATAGGTATCCAAGGCTACTCATCTACGTGAACCATGCTAAGAATGTACCAATGTCGTAGACTTCGCATGCTGTGGCTTCTTCCTCTAGTAGAACTTGAAGGCCTCTATTCCCCAGCTACGTCATCCCCGTTATCGATAGCACTTTTTCAATCACATCAACGAGAGCCATCGTCGCGATTTTCGCGACATTCAGCAGACTTGCACCGGACGGGCATGGCATACCGTACCGGTGAAGAGCCCGCCGTATCAATATCATCAGCATGCCCGAAGACAAGCCCCTCACCGCCCTCTGCGCTATCTGCCACACCGGCGACCAGAAGTACACCTGCCCGCGCTGCAACATCCACACCTGCTCCCTTCCCTGCGTAAAACTCCACAAAGTCCGCGCATCATGCTCCGGCATCCGCGACCCAGCCGCTTACAAGCGACGAGCTGACCTAGCTACGGCCAGCAGCATCGACTCAGACTTCAACTTCATCACCTCGCTCGAGCGCTCCCTGACGCAGGCGGACGACGATTCAAAACCGACGATGCGGGTGTTCAAGAAGGTCACGGATTCGGAGCGATTGGCGGGACTGGTGAAGGAGAGGGGCATCACGTGGAGGAGAGCGCCGAAGGGCATGAAGCGTCGGCTGGAGAACCATACCCGGATAGAGAACGGTGGAGTGTCGTGGACGGTGGAGTTCTTGCTTCCGGAGGCGAAGAGGGTGTGTTTGTTGGTGCCGGACTCAAGGACTGTGGGCGAGGCTTGGGAGATGGGTACTGCGAAGCCGCAGAAGAGCAAAGGTGGGAAGCGAAAACGCAGTTCAGGCGAGGAAGGAGCGATGGCAGCAAAGAAGCAGCAGGCAGCGTCTCCGTCTAGTGATGCGCGGATTGTGACTGCAGACTTCGATCAGGAACACCACTTCTATCTACTACGGCCGAACACGCTGTCCAAGGTGAAAGTGCTACGACCAGTCAACAGGACGGAGAAGCTGATCGATATCCTGCGCATTCGCGTCGTCATGGAATACCCTACGCTATATGTCAAGGCCGAACCACCAGATCGACTAGGCCCACCTTTCATGCTCGAGGAGAAGTACTTGACGGAGTACGGAGAAGATGTGTCCGCACCTCCTGCGGCCCCAGCGCAAGAGCCGGCTTCAGACGATGAAGAAGGCGAGGTTCATGAGTCCGAACCACCGATGCCCGAGGCTGTGCTCAAAGCCATGCAGGATCCCAGCAAAGTGCTTGCGGTACTCCAGGCGGATCTCAAGACATAGTAGGCTCTTGGATGACCTGGACCTTGGCTTAGTCCTACTTTTGCACCCTTCTATAGGGCTTCAAAGCTTTCCATTGCCAGCTTCTTCGTACCACGATCATTCTCCCAGCATGACCGATTTCCAGTTCAGGCCAATTTGCCCGGCACAAACGGATGTCCCGCGCTCAACCCACCACAAACCGCCCACGCCTGCCCGTTAACATAGCTTGCCTCATCACTACCCAGAAAGAGCGCCACTTGCGCCACCTCGTCAGGCACAGCACCTCTACGTGTCGGGTTCAGCTGCCCAACCTTCCCCTCCGTGCCCCTCTCGCGTGCCCGGTCATACATCGGCAACGTCATTCCAGTCTCGATGACGCCAGGACATATCGCATTGACCCGCACGCCGGTGCCTGTCAGCTGGTAGCTCATTGTCTGAGCAAGACTAACGACAGCGGCTTTGGAAGCCGAGTAGTCAGTAGAGCCGGCGTTGGAGCGCAGACCTGCCACAGAGGCGGTGCCGATAATGGAGCCTGATGGGTAGGGTTTCGATGGTGAGGTCTTTTGCATGGCGAGAGCGGCGTGTTTGGCGCAGAGGAAGACGCCGAGGCCGTTGACGGACATGGTTTTCATGAAGCTTTCAGCGGAAATTTGGTCGTAGGTCGTGGGTGTGCCGGGGATGCCTGGGCGTGGGGTGGATCGTGTCAGTATATCTGCATACACATAGGAGCTGTACAGATGGGGAAGGGACGTGACTGTACCGGCGTTCGCGAACATGATGTCTAACCGACCAAATCGCTTCACTGCATCTTCGCAGACAGCCTTGACGGCGTCCTCTTTGCTGACATCCAATACCGTCGGTATGACCTCTACGTCTGGATATAGCTCTTTCATCTCCCTCTTATGTGTCTCAAGATACGACGAGGCTGCGTCGCAGATATACACAGCCTTCGCACCATTCGCAGCATATTGATGTGCCGCGGCACGCCCAATACCGATGGGCGAGTTTGCTCCTGTGACGATGACGACCTTTCCCTCTACACGTTTCCCCGTCGTTGGTGGTGCGACATGACGGATGCGAGGTATGTTCTCAAAATTGCCTTCTGAGGGAATGCCCTGCACGAGCTGCTGGGAGAGGGCGTCCAGACGCCGCTTACTGGCCGCACCTGACATCTTCTACGGCGGCAGTACGGGCTTGCCTTGGGCGATCAACTTATGGCGTCAGCAAAGTTTCGAAGATGAATTGACTGGCGTAGAGTGTCGTGAGTACTGCTTCTGGGTTGCGAGTGTCTCCCTCGAGGTTGATCAGTCCTTTTGTGCGGTAGGTACAGATGAGCGCAGTGGGAGTCTGGGGAAACGAAACGGAAGCACCAAAAACGTGCCGAGGTTCGTTTGTCAGAACCACAAAGCTTGTTCAAGTGAGCGAGCAAGGCAGGTCTCCTGCCTTTTCAAGACTACTATCGGTCCCGCGCGGGGTCAGCCAGCGCCTTAACCACTCGGCCATTGAATCCCCCACCACTCGAGCAAATCGGACAGCAAAAGTGTCCCCAGGAGCTGCGTCGACAATTCTCGTATTGGTGCTGCTATACTCCTGACGGTGAAGGTTTTGTCAGGCTCACACCTTGTGAGAAAAGCACAAGGTACTAGATAAGTAGACTGAAAGCATTGACCAACCTGAAAATCTGCCAAGACCTCCTTCCTGTTGTCCTCCCTGTTCCAAGGTTCTGAATCAGATGGACCGTTTCAGAAAGCTCAAGGCTTGACAAAATCACCAACGTGGATCGTGCCCATGATGGCTCCTAGTACAGAGCCCGAATCAAAAGCAGATGCCGAGGCTCTCATCCCGCTTTTTCAACTTGAGAAAATCCTCAACCAAGGCGAGCTTCAACGACATCTCTTTGGTGCTAGAACCTTGGTACTAACTTCCCACAGATCAAGCCGGCCGCCGTCTGACCCTCCTCGGCACAATCAACAGTCTCCCCGCCCTCCTCACCCTCGAGCGGTCCTCGTTCCCCACATCTCCCAACTCCATCCCACCCCTCCTGTCACGCCTCACATCCACCACAAACCTAGGCGCCAACGACATCTACCGCTGGTATCTCTCCTCCCTCGCACCTCCTGTTACGTCCGACACAACTACGCCAACAGACCACGACCTAAAGCTCAACTTAATACACCCCTGCACGCCCCGACACATCTCAAAGTATACCCGACAACGCCTCCGACATGTGACCGAAACACCTTCCATCTACGCTCAGCATATCCGTCCGTACATCGCCTTCCAGCGCCAAGAAGGGAGATTGGACTGGATCTTCAACATCCTCGATGGCAAGACCGAGCAAGAGGACGTGATCTTACGCTCCAACTGGAATTCTCCTTCTGGAGACGAAGGCTTTCTCCTCCTTCCCGACCTCAATTGGGATCGCAAGACAATCGAGTCGCTCCATCTGCTCGCCTTAGTCCAGCGTCGAGATATCTGGTCCCTTCGTGATCTCCGCAAGAAGCATGTTCCGTGGCTGCGGAACTTGAGGACGGAAGTCGTAAAAGGTGCTGCAAGTCTTCGATTTCCGCTCGGCAAAACCAATGATGCCGTAGACAAACAGGAAGGGCAGAAGTCAGCAGCGATAGACGAGGACGAACTGAAGTGCTACGTGCACTACCATCCCACCTACTATCACTTCCACGTGCATGTCGTGCACGTAATGCTGGAGGCGGAGGGCGGGACGCAGAACGTGGGCAAGGCATGGGAACTCGGAGGACTGATTGCTACACTGGAGGGAATGGATGGGACTGGTGGTGAAGAGCAAGGCCTGGACTCTGTAGATGTGAGTAATGTTGTTGGGGAGGAAAGTGAATTGTGGAAAGGGCTCTGGGGGCCTTTGAAGCGTGGGCAGGAAGTCACCCTCAATGCAGGGACGAAATAGCGAGAAAATGGCAAGGTGGTTCGTCTCAGGCGGTTAGGATGGCGAGGGGCGAAAGGGCAAAATCGTTTCGATAGACAGGACGACTGACACGAAACAGTGCGGGACGGAAGGCCATGCTTGAGAAGACCAAACAGAGTTCTCATTCGGGCTCTATATCTCAAGAAGCTCCTGGCGCCATCAAGGCAACCATAAAGTCATAAACAGTCCAGGCAGGACCCAGCTACGTAGAAGTGGTCTGTTGACCAAAATATGAAGCCTCGTTGAAGGACGCTCACAAGGTGATAACACAAGTAGAAATGCTCCAAGCCTCTTTCCTTTGTTTGGCTGCTGACTGGCTGGATCTAGTCCTCTTCCAAATAACAAGTGAATTTGGTTGGCTTGCCGATGCGGCCGGTGAAGGTGCTCGTGAATGAGACTGCTGGAGTGTCAGGCTTCGACGGTGGTGGTGGCGGTGGTTGAGAGCCGCCTGTTGGCGGCGAAGGAGGACCCTGTGGTGGCTCTCCAGCGCTGCCGGTAGGGGCAGGAGGCTGCTCGGTAGCCTCAGGTGACTTGGTAATGGGCTTGACGCTTTCGGTGGCCTCAACTGGAGCCGTGGTCGTGGTGGGCTTGTCAGCGCCACCGGGCTTGCCAGTGGGACGAGGTCGACCAGCGGAGGTCGTGCTGGTTGAGGTAGCGGTAGAATTTCCATACGGTGGACCAGTGCTAGAGGGGCTAGGCGTAGAAGGCTCAGAGCCGTCAGAGCTGCCACCTTCCATCAGAGGTGGGCCCGGGATTTCGTAGGAGGTCAAAGCTGGGTAGTAGATGCTGCGGATCTCATTAGCCTCGTCTTGGGAAATCGGGTCATGGACGAAGACAGCGTAGGAGACTTGACAAGAGTACTTCTTTGTTCAAGTGAGACATGCTCCGGTAGGACTCAATATAGAGCTCATTGCCGCGTACCAATGTGGGTGTGGAAGCGTGACTTACTTAAGAAAGATGCCCGGATCGGTCCACGAGTAGAACTCTGTAGCAGAGATGCCACCTGACAGTTCATTGGTACCAGAACCGGTGATCTCCACGTTGACACACTGAGGGTATGGTTGGGCTCCATGCTCCTCATGAGAAGAGTGCAGAGCAATGGTCTCATGTCGCCAGACATACTTGCCAGGTGCAATATCTGCTGGAACTTTGACGCTCCAGGTGTTGTTGTTGGCAATCATGTCATCAGATGCCCATTTTCCAGGAGCCGGCGAACCGTTGACAAGACCAGCTTCAGCTACCTTGATGAACTTCAAGTCAGTCTTCTCGACGCTAGTGCAGTCGCCGCTCGGGCAAGGAGCCAGATAGTCGATCATAGGTCCATGGTGAGACTCTGGCCATTCTGTCCATTGGAACTCCAATGTCCCACCGGCAGCGATCTTGACGTATGCACCGCCAGGTGTCGCGCTTTTGTGGCAGATGATGTCGGGACCGTTGAGATCTGTGACGAAGCCACGGTCTTGCACAGTAGGGATGGACCATCCAGCGACAGTTGGTGGTGGACGTTGGTATTGGAAGGCGGGGTCGTACCCCAGGTTGTATTGACCATCGGCAACGATGCCTGTGACAATGCCGTGAGCGGCAGCCTTGCTAGCGAGCGCTAGAGCTCCGGCCAGAGCGACGTTCTTGCTTATGATGGACATAATGACTCCTGGTCAACTTTCGAAACAGATCGAGTAGGAAGAGGCGGGAATATGATGGCCTGCGGAAGATCTCCGATTGGAAGTTTGCTTCAATCAATGAAGCTTTGAATAGAAACGAATGAATGTTAGGGTCAACAGACCGTAGCGAATGACTGACTGAATGAACGACTTGGATGCCTCCCGAGCACTGGAGAGAAGAACTCACATTCCCACTGAGCAAAACTCACATATATACATCAGCTATTCTGACCGCGGCGGTACGTACAGCGGGCTGGACATAGCAATCCATATCGCGTGTTTCATGCCGAATGATGGGATCAGTGCACCTTGTCAAGCCGGATCCATTGCACAGCAAGTCGGCTACGCTTAGCCACATCCGGTAGCCAGGAAGCCACAGTCAGACAGGTGTCCGCATTCAAAGGGAGCAGAACCGCGTCGAAAGATAGGAGAGCGGCTGAAATGCTGGGCGACGAGCATCCTGCGCAATCAGATGCACTGACAATATGCGGTGAACCTGGGCACAAACGATGGCAGCCCGCAAGGATATGATAGTTGAAAAGGCGCCATCGAGTGTCAGATGTAGCTTGATTGTACGACCCTGGCTAACTCTGCAGCTTATGTTCGTGTTTGCTCCGGAGGCAGGGAAGAATTCGCGGACTTGTGAGATCTGGTCTTGAAATGTGGAGGATTTTGTTGTTTCAAGGAGAGAGACGCCCACAGTTCGAAATGAGGTTCGCGCTTGGCGTTTCAGAACCCTGCTTGCCCCTTTGGGCCCAATTCTCATCGCCGGACTCTCACAATCGTAGCCTCAAGTACCATCGATAACACCTTCTGATGATCATCTGCAGGTAACAGCGCGTCCTTGTATCGGTCGCAGGTGTTCCAGTGCCTTGCCTCTGCCTGAGCTGATGACTGCGGCGGTAGTTGCACATCGCACGCTGAGCTTCGGAAGACCCCAGCCCACGAACTTTGCCTACTTGTTGCCAGAGGCCCCCTACTGCGGATACAACAATTCGGGATATGCAGGTCTGTCGCGTCGTAGCAGCTTCGTGCTGAGGACTGCGATGACTGTCCAAGCTCCTCTTGAACGGCCTGCCACTTCGAGTCGCGTTCGATGGACCTCTTACTCCGTTGACTCAGCGGCAACTGGACTTCATCGCATGGCTAGAACGTGCGATTGACACTAGTCAGCTGCGCGGGACCGTGTTGCTCAGAAACATGAATGCCTTGTAGGCCACGACCGTCCGCTGCCACCGAAGGCGACGGTGCCCCTGCGCCGGCAAATATCGGTGAGCTTTCCCGTGCCAAGCGCTGACCTGCCCTCGGTGGAACAATTCCGCTCGCTTAATCTCTCCAGATGTCATCCTGGGCGTTCCTTCACCTACGAGATATCTCCCGGGTCTGCACGCGTGAGCTGCGCTGCTTCATCTCGACTCAGATGTCATCAGCTTGTTAAGTACAAACCCCGTCTACGTCGAACGTCCCGTACATGTGACGTGCCTCGTGATCGAGATGACCTCCCGCACTGGGGTTGGTTCGCCAAGATGCACTATGCGCGTGCCCAGCATTGGCAATCCCGGGGCTTAGCTTCAAGCTCGAGGGAGTCCAATCATGGTCACTGGAAAGCTTGCCCAGCATCGTGTCGGTGGTCAACAAGATGTAATGGCTTTGGCTAAGCACTAACAAACCAGCTGTGAGCAAAGTCTCTTACTGGCCACCCCAGCCGTGGTTTGCGCTCGCCTGAGTCGGGATCAAGCCCGTCTCCATCGATGACCAGCGACACAGCGGCACATTCGGGGCCCCTCACATGTGTTTGTGGAGTGCGATCTCGTTGTGAATTTGTGATCAGATGTTTCCATGTGGACATAAGATCTTCCAGATTTCGGTCGACCTCACTTGATTTTTCTTCCAGGCATTATTGCACTTACTCACCTATCGCACTTACTCGCCTATCGCATCCAATCTCGACCACATCTTCCCTCACGCAAAATGGTTGTGCCACCGACCCCGGCGCACAAGGTCGATGTCTATCAGGACTCTGGTGTGGCTGAAGAGAAGCTCGGTGTTAAGCAGACCGACGCGAACCAGGAGCGCAACGAGCTTCTCGCCAGTCTTGGAGACCCGGACGAGGGGCTTTCTGAAGAAGAGAGGAAGAAGCTCGACCGAACGTTGATGTGGAAGGTAGACTTATGGTTGATCCCGTGGCTCTCGTTACTGTATCTGCTTTCTTTCTTGGACAGAAGTATGCTATGCTATCCACCGCGCAGATATAGGTCCTTTGGCTGATTCCGCGCAGCAAATATTGGTAACGCACGTCTCGCAGGCATGGAAGCAGATCTCAACATGGAAGGGACGGACTACAACCTGTCCTTAACCATCTTCTTCATATCCTACGGTATGTCCCCATTTCCCGAGCCTGATCCAGCAGACATACGGGAACCAGTCTGGATTGAACAATAGAGACACTTGTGTCGGACACTCGATCCGCCTACCTTGGTCACATGGGCGAGGTAGATTCTTTGTCCTGCCAGCCTGCATGGTATCCCACTGACGGCCACTTCGTGGTCGTCTAGCTTTGCCTCGGGGATCACTTCAGTGTCTCATCTCACACATTCCCCCAATGTGCTGGTATAGGCTGACCAATACCGGCGGGAAACAGCCCTTGCCGAGCCACTGACGAACACCTTACTGAAACGCCTCACGCCGCGTATCTTCTTCACTGGCATCATCTTCGCTTGGGGCTTGATGTGAGTTGACCTCCGTTTCCATCCAGAGCGACCAGTTGAGTCTTTCTAGTATGACCTTAATGGGTCTCGTTACAAACTTCTCGGGGCTTTTGGCCGCTAGGTGGTTCCTAGGGATCGCTGAAGCAGGGCTGTTCCCTGGTAAGTCTATCTGTTCACGCCGCTACGCGGCCGTCTGGCCAGCAGTTGCACTCGACCTCGCTGACACGAAGCAGGAGTGAACTACTATCTATCCTGCTGGTACAAGGCTGGCGAGATCGGCGTCCGATCTGCCCTGTTCTTCTCTGCTGCTGCGCTCGCAGGATCGTTCGGTGGCTTGCTCGCCGCCGCCATAGCCCTAATGGACGGAATTGGCGGTAAGCCAGGCTGGGCGTGGATCTTCATCATCGAGGGCATTGCCACCGTCTTTGTAGGTCTATTCTGCTGGTGGATGGTCTTCGATTGGCCCGAGACTGCTCGGTTCCTGACGCCAGACGAGCGTATTCGCGTTCAACGCCGTCTCATCGAAGATCGGCAGGGACGGACCGCCGAGGACTTCGATAAGCGTCATATCTGGGAGGCGCTAAAGGACTGGAAGACCTATCTGTACATGGTCATTTACATGGGGTGCTTGACACCGCTGTATGCCTTCAGCTTGTTCCTTCCTACGATTATACGTGGAATGGGCTATGCTGGAACTCGCGCACAGTATGTGCGGTCACAGTACGTGGTAGCATGCATCAGCTAACCACTTCTGCAGGCTCTTGACTGTGCCGCCTTACGCCTGTGCGGCGGTGGCGACGGTCGCTGTAGGCTTCCTAGCTGATCGCACACGCTGGCGAGGGTACTGCAACATTGCGACAGTTTCGATTGGTATCATCGGATTCCTTATGCTTATTGCTACGCCAAACGTGGATGTGCAATACGCTGGAACGTTCCTTGGTGTACGTTGAGCTCCCAATCCCAGCGTCCCTACAGAGGGATCCTCGCCATCATGATCTTGAACTAAGACATATTATACAGGCGGTCGGGATCTATCCAACAATTAGCAACACAAGTAAGCCCACCAACATCTACGAGTGTACAAGCTAAAGTGTCTCCAGTTTCATGGGTTGCCAACAACACCGAAGGTTCTCTCAAGCGCGCGGTTGTCATCGGCATGGTAGTCGGCTGGGGTAATCTCAACGGCGTGGTCTCCTCAAACATCTACATCACCAATCAGCGTCCGCGATATTGGACTGGCCACGGCGTTGTCCTGGCCTACCAAGCCTCTTCCTCCTCGGTGGAAGCATCGCCATGCACCTGCTGCTGCGCATTGAGAACAGGAGACGAAGCAGTGGTAAGCGTGATAATATGCTCAATGGACTTACGCAGGAGGAGAAGTGGATCAAGGGCGACAAGCGGCCGGTAGGCTTCGACCTTCCGCTCCTGTGGATCTTGCTAACGAGTCTGTTTAGGACTTCTTCTATACCTTGTGAGAGGTGTGAAGAGGAGTACAGTACACCTCCTGTATAACTGCGATGTATAGATGGAAGATGCGATAACATCAGCCAGTAGAGCGGCCTCTCGGCTTGAAGATATCGACTGGAGTCGATTTGGTGCACCATTCCCGCCCGGAGGGCTGGCTGCACGTCGTGCCGCAGCCATCATCTGCAGCACGATTTCCACGTCATACAAAACGCTCGGCTGAACACAGCCAGCTTTCGGCCATACATCGTCTGGTCCTCCAATACTCACACGGTGTGCTTGAGAATCGCATGCATTTCGGCCTTAGGCTCCCGTACGACCCCAGAGTCCTGGGCTGACGTAGGAGCAGGCAAAGCCGTTGATCACAATAGCGGATCAATTCTATGAAATATATATACAAATGAGAAGCATTCCTGTCCCGCAATCGACCACAGGGTGTGGAAAACAAGCCTTCCCGTCCGCTCAGGCAATTTAAGCCACACGCCGAACGGTTAGTAGTTAAGTGGGTGACCATTAGCGAATCCCGTTTGTTGATTGTTTTTGGAATTTTTGCTGAAGAGGCCTGGGAGAGAAATTTTCTAGCATTTTTGCGAGGCTGCGATGAAGCCCCGGGATCGCTGCGCTTCCCCCCCCCCCTAGAATCACTTCAGACGGTCGGTGGATTGGCAATTGCCGGAATTCAGCGTGTCAGAGTGAGGATCGACCGCATGGCTGCTTCATCTTTTCATCGTCGACATTCGGTACAAGAGATAGCTGCTCTGCATGATCCTGGCCCGGAGTGAAAGCTAAGGTGACTTGACGAATCTGGTCTTTCCATATGAAGGAGCTTTGTGCCTTCAAGAATGGCGATTCGGGGGTCCGGGACAAGAGCAAAGCAGACGGCTCCCCTTATCTATAATGACAGTGGGAAAGAGCCGGCCGGCGACAGCGCGACATAGATTGGCATAGCGTCCAAACTGGGTGAGTGGCAGAGTTGATGATTATCTGGAGGACAGCGATGATGTCCGGAATGACAATGACGCCGATAGCGGCCGTGAAGCTGAGAACAACGTTGGTCGCGACGAAGTGAGTACAGCACCTGCAAGACAGGTCTGAACACCGTGGTGACAGCCAGAGTCCGCTTTCTCCGGAAAATGGTTCGTGCAGACGCGCATCTCGACTGTTGATGGCTCTCGTCAGTCTGGACAGTCGTCAAGGGATTTGGCGGCTCAGTATGGAGGAACTGGGTGCCCTCTCGATGTCTGCATGCCTCTGAATGGTGGAAGGGAAGAGACGCTTCTTTCTCACCAGATCTTTCTAGATACCAGACAGCAGACAATGGCGGGCCCATTGACCTCAGAGCTACCAGCCTTTGCTTTATGCTAAAGGCTTAGATGTCAGGTTCTCTTGCTGGCTTCTGATGGTCGCTCCAACACCTTACTCAACATGGCGACGTCCACGGAGCACGAAAGTGTACAGCATACAGACGAAGACAGTCAAACCAAACAGCCCCTAGTCGATGATATTTCGGCATACGCAAACGAAAGCACGGATAGAGTGATCCTTCAAAAGCCGGTAGATCTCTTCATCGAATGCAATGGTCATCTCTTCGGAGTACATCGCGCGATAGTCGAATCACACTGCGACCCCTTCGACAAAGTCGGCAACACGGAACTGAATTCAGAGATGTATCGATGGGAGGCACTCAAAGACTTGCTTATCTACCTGTACAGGGAAGACTTCCGCCACCTCCTACCACAGGACAGGAAGCCTAACTCCAGCGACTTCGATGAGTATTTTTGGCGTCTGGTGGAAATGTTCGTCATGGCGGACAAACTTGCTCTGCGCAAGCTCGTTCGTACCATCTCCCACCGGATCATCAACATGCGCGACGTATTTCAGGCCCGGAATCGGACTGCGGAATGCAAAGGCACACAGATTGCGACCTACCTCCAAATTCTTGGCCTCCCTCAAACATCGACAGTAATGGAACTACAGGAGAGGGTCAAGAGCCTGGTCATCGGCTCCGCCATTCCATGGGAGCCAAATCTCCTCAGCCTGCGCATCGAACCCGATGACGCGACAACGGTCAACGGCGGGAGACGTAGGCCGGTTGCAGGGGCAGACAGACGTGCCGAGCTAGTTGATCTGGTTCGCCGGGAGCCAGCGGCAGCTCTGGACCTAATTCTTCATCTGGGGAACGCTATGTCAGATTTGCAGAAGCTGACACTCGATCAGATTTGCATCAAGTGTAAAGTGAAGGGGTTGTCCATGGAATCGAAGAGCAAGTATCAAGGCATGAATGAGAGATTGCGGATCTAGACACTCGCATCGAGTCGCTCTGGTGAGGAACCTAGCAGAGGGTGAGCACGTTAGATGCATCTGGTGAACGCCCTTTTGGAAAGCATGGTGGAGGAAATCAATGTGCCTGATTGGATAGTGGGAGCGTTATGCTGTGAGCACGTCAAACATACGGGCAAAAGACTGAAGACTGGAGACTGTTGGTAGAAAGGAGAGCGAGCAAGGGCCAACGACGGAATATGGGTGGCGATTTTGCCGACGAATGGTGGCTTGTGTGGGGCTTCTTGGGGCGGACGGTGCCTTGGGGCGGGCCTTGGGCTGATCATGACATCTCTGCTGTACAAGTACTTACTTAAGCCCCCCTCCCCGAACTTCGTGAGTACGCGGAGGTACTAGTCGAGTGCTCTGCATGTGTACCAGCCACATACTGGCCGCCGACATCGAGCATAGGAGGAGAAGGAAGAAAAGCCTTTTCGTCCGCTCCGGCAACTCAGGCCACCTGCCGAGCAATTAGCAGTAGCTGCGTGATTGACCGACAACAGATCCTGCTTAACCGTTGATTTTGCAAATTTCTCGTGGATTGCTATCAATTTCGTATGGATGAGAAAAGGGAACCTCATCTCCATAGGAGCCAACACTAACAATACCGCTGGGCCGGATCAATAAAGACAGAAGACCGCCGAGATCGATGGGTGGCTTTCTTCTAGGGCATCCTAGACCACCGTCGTGACTTCAACGGACCTGAGGAGACTCACCTGGCGGTACCTGTGGTCTGGAGTTGATGCCGAACTTCGCGTTGTCACCTGCGAAACAAACCAGTGATCGCTAGGTGAAACAACGACAGGCGACGTTCAGCACGCTCCCGCCGAGCACGCTCCCGCCGATGCAGCCGCCGTGGAGGCACATGCTGAGGAGGCCTACTTCTCGTTCCTCCGCTCGTCCAGACAAATACACATCGCACAAATGATGGCCATGTCCATTCCGGCAGCCACTGTCACAACATACCTGAGGTTCAAGTCAATATGAGTTCTTGTCACTCTGAAGGGATGTTTGCAATGAATGGATCACAATTCCACTTACGTCTGCTGACCACCCAACAACTCACGCGCATTGAAGAACTTCCGATCGATCAACGCGACCGGCTGGCCCGTATGCTCATCGGTGATCTCTGCCCTGCGATCGAAGAAGTCCCCTTTCATGGCGAGACGGCCTTCCTTCGCTTGCCCTGTCTGCTGATCCTTGTAGGTGAAGACACCCACCGCCTTGGAACTCCCGAAGGACCATTTGCCTTGTACTTCGAAGAAGCGCTTTCCCTCAGGGTCCTCGGCATAATACGTGGACGGGAAGGAGAATGTCTGCTTGCGGATCGTGAAGAGGTGTCTACCCGACATGTCTTGGACTGACTTGCGACCTGAGATTGAGAAAGCTGTGCCCCTCACCTGGAGCAGAGGTTGGTTGGATGGGTAGAGTTCGATGTGGAACGAGTCGCCGGAGAACGACATTAGACGTTCGCGCAATTTGATGTTCTCGCATTGTCGCTGTTATTGCCAATGTTGGTCAGCTTATACATGCCACAAGTCTGGGAAACAGAGGAGATGATGGCCTGAGCAACAGAGCCAGTGCTTTAGGCAGTCATGAGAACGATGTGAAGCCCTGTAGAATGAGACTGAAATCGAGAAAGATGCCAACTTGTTCTAGAAGTTGAAGGCAGGCTGATCGTTTTCAGGGACAGGTATCTCGGACGGAGTGTTTGCATATGAGTGAGGGTACTCAGGCTTGGGGAAATACGCACAGCAATGAATTCCGGGAATATGGCGATTGGTGCGGGCAAGGGCCTGAGTTGGGCGGCCATTGTCGTTGGACGGTGTCGCGAAGAGACACGCTTTGACCGCAATTTGTGGAGCCTCTAACTTGGCATCGATCAGGCTTTTGAATGGAAAGGATGCTTTCTAGGAAATTTTCTGAACTCGAAGAGAGAGAACGTCCGCAATCAAAGGATCGATCGTGAGTTTATACAGTGATTGTGGTCAATAATGCCTGGCAAAGCATGAGGTAAAGTGTGTTGCGGGAGAAGGGGCCAAAATCCTTCCCCGTCCCACCTGCCAGTGCTTGGAGGATCGCCGAAAGATCGTTTTCAGGCACAGCCCGCATGTCACTGGCTGGTGAACTGGGCACTTTCCTTAGCAAGTTCAAAAGCCTTGTAGTGCAATCGCAATCCATGCCGGCGTTTCTGGGGGCGAGGTACCCGTGGACCGATATAGACTCGAACAGCGAAAGTTCCAGCTGTTCGGAAGGCGTCATCAACTTTGGGTTGGCTAATAATGCTGTAATCAAGCACATTCGAATCAGGCAGCCGGTCACGCAATCAGATCTACAGCTCTAGTGCAACCGAACAAACAACCTGAATGTATCGTCCACATCGTCTTCCTGATCCTCGCATTCGACATCCAAGTATCAACACGACGGGAAGGTGAAACCAACGATAGAGCATAGCCTCTTAGGCAAGCTGTAGCGGACCAGGAGCCGGAGACCAATATCTGTAGGTTGTACAACTTCGGGGCCGCAGCCATTGATTGAACGATTACGTACCCTGCCCACGGCCCCCACACCTGAGACCCCTAGATCAGCGGCAAGCTGAACCAGGTCGTAGTTTTGACCGTGTCGCAAATGGACAAGACACTGAATGATCTTGATTCGTAGCACAGAAAATACCACTTCACGACATGCCACTCGTAGCCTCTGGGTCCCGACCAAGAAATACTTTGTGCATCCGCTTGCTGATGACGGGACCGATGCGCTTGTCGCTGAATCCGCCATCTTTGTTCGTACTCTTGCGCATATTCTCCAGAAGCATGTTGTCGTTCTGGCGAAAAGCTTCCACCAATTCGCGTGGCGAGCTGTACTTGAAGACAATGCTCTGCGCGATGCTGGGTGTGACGCGCTGCTGCTCCTCCAGCATACGCACGAATGTCTCCTGGGCGTCATCTCCGCCCTTGAATTGACCAGCTCCCATGTAGAAAGATGCTGATTTCAGGTTGTGCTCTAGCTCAACAACGCGATATGGTCGAGAAGAGAGGCTTTGTGTGAAGGCGAGAATCTGCGATGCCGTCGCTGCGTCTGATGTCGTGTGATGTATGACGAGCGGCTGGTGCTGAACCTGAAGATACAGCTGAATATCTTCAACTACGTCGTTGGTGATGGCACGAAATTGCTGCGCCGGTTTCGCTGTCTTGCGCTTCTTAGGCTGTGACGGTGGCTGATCGACTACCTCTGCCCGCACTGCCGCAACGTATTCTCGGTTCTTCGTATTCTCATTCCTTTTGAGCCACGCGTAAAGGCCCTGGATGATATAGATGAGCCTTCTGCCCGGATATCTGAAACGCAGGCCGGCAACGTGTTGGTCGAAATGCTTCTTCATGACTGATAAAGCGATCTCGTCGCCCTCTTCGTTGCCCATCCCAATCTGCGCGAACTCCAAACCACTCAACAGCATAGCAATATGAGACTCGTCTTCGGTCCTTGATCGGCCTGTAGGCATCCACTGACCTTCATCCTCATTATACGTCGCTTGCACCTTTCGTTTCCACTGTACGACCTTTCCGGCATGTAACCATGGCTCGACGTTATCGAGTGTCACTTCTTCGTCTGCAAACTTGATCTGCACGTCGTGCTGTCGCATGTACTCGGTGACCTGGTTGCCCAGACTCAAGCCCTGGGTCTCGCCAGGCATTATTAGGATCATCTCCTTAGAGGTTTCTTTCTTATTCGTCTTTGCTTTGTTCACTTCAGCAAGATCCTTGGCCTTCTGCTTTTCTTTTTCAACTTCCGCCCTTGCTTCCCTTTTCCGGCGCTTCTCTGCTTCTTTTTCGGCCTCCTTAGCTGCTTTCTGGGCCTCCTTGTCGGCAGTGTCAGCTCGATGTCGAGCACTGGGGCCTGCCTGCTGGTTTCCGGATGCTGGGTGAGCCTGGGAGGAGAATTCTATAATGTCAGCGGCATCCCGTTCCTTGTTCTCCGGTGGTTCGGAAGGGTGTAAGCCCTTGCGGTTCTTGTTGAGAACGCCCACATCTCTGTCAACAGATGTATATCCAAGCACTTTGTCTACAAGATTCGAATAGTTCGATTGTGAGGGACGGATATCATCCGCTGTGATGCTGTCCGAGGACAGAATATGAACGTGCTCATTGCGTTCTGGGCGGCTTGTGCCAGGCTGTGGGGCGGACGATGTGAACTCGATGTCATCAATATCTGCTGGACGTTGTTTGCGCGTCTTCCTAGTGTCGGACCTCGCAGGAGCAGACGAGGATGGTGCATCCCACCCAGCCGGCAAGTCAAATACATGGTCGAATTCGTCGACTGTTTTTCGGGCTGAACTTCTTGGCGAGCTGGATCTTCGTCGCTTCGTTGGTCGTTCTTGCTGGGGTTCGAGGTCTCCGGTTGAGTCAAAGTCGTCTACAGAGTAGATCGAGGGGCCAGGTCTTCTGCGCGGGGACGTGCGCAAACGTTCTACCACTTTGGCAGTTCTGTATGGGCTCACGGGTGGAGACGAATCTATACAGATGATCTCCATGACAGATCACAAAGTCCTTGATGTCCGATGTGCGGGACCCCAGCCCATTTTCTTCTCATGTTAAATCAGCCCTTTCCAATAGCTTTTCCCCAATGTGCCAGTAAGTGTCAAGTGATGTTCGAGGCAGGTGCTAGTCAGTGATCGACAGGTTGAAACTCCAGGACTGCCAGTGATGGTAAAGTCGAGATCGGGCTTGGCATGACGCGATGACGCGAGTCGCGCTTTCCGAAATGGCACGCGGTCACGTGGCGGGGGTCGACAATAGTCTGAGGTCTCTTGATGCTCTTTGCGGTCTGCACGGCTTGTTCTGCGTAGGTACATTTCCGCTCTTGTGCACCGAGGAGATGTTTTCGACATGTCTCTGACAGCATGAGCATAGAGCATGCCTCTGCCAGACGAGGAACTCGCCCAGCGTTGCGGCTAGGATGGCGTCCTCATGGACAGTCCAAGCCAGCTCGAGGTATGACAGTCGAGCCGCATTGTTAGCGACGTCCACTGCTGCAACGATCATACAATATGGTAGCGTCCGTTAGCGCCGTCGACGCCACTCGTGAGGAATCGGGATTCTTCAATGCTGCCGGTTTGAGCTTCTATTCTTGACAGTACGGCTATGTCTGGGCAGTCATTGCCAGTGAATCCTCCCACAGCTTCTTGGCAGCATCAGAGTCATACGCGTAAGGTGCATAGCCTGGCGCATGACCCGGAATCTTGGACTTTGGATCGAATGGCTTGGCCTCACCACAATCTTCCAGGTACTTTCCCCCCAAGTCGTTCAAACCATGCCCTACGGCAGCCCAGACTTCTGTGGCAGCACCCTGCTCGGGCGACTTCCAGAGGCCTTTTGCCTCTGGGGTGTTGATAAATCCCTGACCCATGGGATCGTCTTTGATATGGCGTAGCAGAGGCGTCTGTATAAGTCCCGGATGAACGCTAAAGCCATGGATCCCTTCGCCACCGCATCGGCGTTCAATCTCACTGGCGAGATATATCTCTGCTGTCTTGGACTGGCCGTATGCCTGTCCAGCATCGTACTTCTCCTTGTCGAAGTTGTAGTCGTTGAGACGGACCTGGCCCCCCCTATGCGCGCAGCTCGCCAGTACAACCACTCTGGAAGGAGATTCACGCGAAGCCGACTTAGACAAACTGTCTCTTAGAACTGAAACAACAGGAAATGGCTCAAATAATTGACACCGAACTGTGTCTCAAAGCCGTCTTTGGTCCGGCCCTCCGGACACATCATAACCCCACCGTTGCAAATGAGAACGTCCAGGCCGCGCGCCTTGTGTAAGAAATCGGAAACGCCACTTCTTATCGAATCGAAGGAGTCCAGCTCCATTCCAATCACGTCGATAGGTACACCTTCAGTGGTACTGATGCTCTCAACAGCTTTCCTGCCTTTAGCTTCCTCACGCGAGGTAATGAAGACTTTGGCTCCTGTTGTTTGTCTGTGCGGTCAATCGTCAGCTTTGAAGTGGGTGCAGGGTTGACCATGCTTACAACGCACGAGCAGCCTCGAGACCCAGACCACTTGAGCCCCCTGTGATCAGGATTGTTTTGCCTGTTAGCTTGCCCAGGAGGCCTTCATCTCTGATGATATCGGCAGCAGTGGGACGGCCATCCCCGGGACCTTTTGGGTTCTTGTGCTCAGCTTTGTATGGCATTTTGACGTGTTCGATCTTGTTGGAGTTCCTGGTAACATATGAGTAATGGCGAACAGGGACTCGCAAGACTGGGAGACTGGCCATCTTATAGACCGACGTGGCTCCTCCGCCGGAGCAACGACGCAAAACGTGACTGGCCATGCCAACGATATTCGAGCTACGATACTTTGCTCTAGGGTGTGAATGGGAACTGTGAATAAGTATGATCCGGGTACTCGGAGATGTATGGTTTGACAGGAACTCTAACGGCTTCGCGAAGTTGTCAAAGTGTCTTGGCAGCTACTGCTTTGGGAGATGGTAGGTATGGCGACCTTTGCAACCGTTTCTTATATGGACATTCTTCCCTACGCATTGGTACTGGCTTACGTCTGGGACTAGATCCTCTCTAGGTAGCTGGTCACAAGTCTAATCCCTACTCGGTCGTGTGCATGACGATGAGGCTGCACACACGCAACCTGTTGCCGGCTCCATTGACGACGTCATGAACACGTTCCTTTGGATCAGCAAAGACTCAACATCGAAGTATCTCTCCCACAGCTCTCGGTCGGAAGACACCAGGATTCGTCACCATGTACAACGTCAACGCATCAAGCAACATTTGGAGGGCCGCCTCAAGCCCCCTGCTATTCGACCCACTTTGATCGCTACGCTACTCAAGCCAGAAGAGAAGAGGAGTCTCGACTATTTCGTTCGCCGAACTGGCCCGGACTGGTCAGGTTGGGAGGATGGCGATTTCTGGAACGTGTTGGCCTTACAGACGTCGCAGCAAGACATAGCGATTGCCCATGGGTTGGTTGCAATTGCCGCGTTGCACGAAAGCTCTTCGTCGCCTCCAGACACAGTTCACGCAATTTGGTTGCGGCATTTCGCTATGTCACAGCATGATCTGGCGTTGAAATGCTTGGGGTCCACGCCAAATCTCAGCCATCCGCTCAGCCTGATGTCTTGTGTCATACTCGCCAGCTTGGAGAGCTACGAAGGACGATTTCGCTTGCTGCGCTCCGGTACAGCCATCATCGATGAGGCTTCAATGTCGGTCGGGTCAAGATCACTGGCTTCTCTGCCCGACGCCAGCACACGAGTCAGTCGGGAAGTGGTCGCGCTCATCAGCCGACTGCAGGGCAGACTTTGCATGATGGGAGACATGCCTGCAGCCCTGGCTTGCTCTGCTCATCAGCATCGGTCACGTGGTCTGCCGCCTAGACATGCCCCGGTCCCGCCAATTTCTTTCTTGACGCTGAGAGCTGCTCGAGACTGTCTCGAAGCTATCCTTGTCTGGGGCTCAGAGCACGTCATCGAGGCTCACGAGACACCCGAGACAAGGAATAACTTCAGTGCTCTACTTGGGGGCTATCTAGAGCGGTGGGGAGGAGCTCTCAATGCCATGAAGCTCGTAAATACAGTGGGAAACACAAAAGTTCTCCTGCAGATTGCGGCGCTGAACGCAATGGTGTTGCTTCTAACGTGTTGTTCGTCTGACGAGACCGTCTTCGACTCATACAACACAGTCTTTCAGCAGATCATGGATCTCGTGATGCAGATTTCTGTGTCTCACGCCTCGCAAGCACGGGTGTCTTTCGGCATAGACGATGGATTGATCGACATGATAGCCTTCGTCGGATCCCGGTGTCGAGACTCCGACGTACGGCGAAGTGCGCTTCATTGGCTCGAGGCAAGGCCTCGTGCCGAGGGCGAGCGTCTTAGTGGTGAGACGGCGCAGGTTGTCAGGGCTTGGATTGATCTCGAAGAACGCCATAGAACGGCTGGTTCCGGCTTGCCTCCAGAGTCGCAAAGACGGAGGTTGCTCTCCGGCGAGAGATACCACGACCATGGTCTCATAAAGCTAATTTTCGTCTCCTATCCTTACGATGATGTCTCCCGAGGCGCGACCGATGAGGTGTGGATATATCCTGGGAGAATTGGCAACGACCGCAATCGCAGACTTTGGCTCAGCCTGAGCACATGCCTATGGGCAGACCAGACGCAGTCTTTGGCCCAGGATATGCCGCGTTCTTGGACCGCGAGCAGAACAAAGTCCATCGACTGCGATCTACGGCGTTCCATTTCCCTATACCGAGAGTTTGACATGACTGCCCATGCTAAGCGCATACATGGAGGGACGATGAATTGTGTATATATTTCCAGGGACAGCTGTACTTACTTAATTAGAACGTGATATCTATGCCAAGCTTTTGTCGGCAAACGCGTCATTTGTTCTGACCTTGCATTCTGCCCCTCGCGAGCCTCTCTGCGTTCTGTCTCGTTCTCTGCGTCCTGTTACCTTCAGCCGTCCATCCCAAGACTTGCTAATGGCGCCGAAAACACCTTCCCGCTCAAAGCGAATCGTCTTCTTCCACCCCGACCTCGGGATCGGCGGCGCAGAACGCCTCATCATCGACGTCGCAGTCGGGCTGCAAGAACTAGGCCACAAAGTCACAATCTTCACATCGCATTGCGACCCGACCCACTGCTTCGACGAAGCACGAGATGGTACGCCCTGCGTTTCAGTTCTGCTGTGTGCGATACTGAATTCGTTGACAGACAGGTAGGTACCCTCGACGTGCGTGTGCGCGGCAATACCCTCCCTCCCACGATATTCAACCGATTCCATATCCTCCTCGCGATCCTCCGCCAAGTGCATCTCGTCCTCGCGATAGCGTTCTTCGGGCATGAACTGCGTGACCTCAAGCCAGATGTGTTCGTCGTGGACCAGTTGAGTGCGTGTGTGCCGTTGTTGAGGTGGATCTGTCCTGATCGGGTGCGGACGCTGTTCTACTGTCATTTTCCCGATCAGCTGCTAGCGGATAGACGGGAAGGGGGACTAAGAGGTCTAGTCAAGAGGATATACCGGGTGCCTTTCGACTGGTTCGAGGGTTGGAGCACGGCGGCGAGTGATGCGATCGTGGTCAATTCGAAGTTCACGAAGACAGTTGCGGAGAGGATCATACCTTCGCAAGAGCCGTTGACGGTGATATATCCATGTGTTGGCTCAGCGGACATCGATGAGATGTTGGATAAGCCGCTGTGGGATGACAAGTTCAGGATATTGCTCAGCATCAACCGATTTGAGAGGAAGAAGGATATTGGGCTGGCTATCAAAGCATATATTGGGTTGAGCAAGTCCGAACGAGAAGGCACCAGGCTCGTTCTCGCAGGTGGCTACGACCACCGAGTGGCCGAGAACGTGCAATACCACCAAGAGCTGGTCGACTACGCAGAACAACAAGGCCTGTCCACAGCAACAGCAAGGACAGTGCCCACGGCCCTCGGCATCCCAGACAGCGTCGACGTCCTCTTCCTCCTCTCGGTTCCCAGCTCGTTCAAGGTGACTCTACTCCGCCAAGCGCGCCTACTACTCTACACACCCATGAACGAACATTTCGGCATCGTGCCCGTCGAGGCCATGCAGCAGGGCCTACCCGTTCTCGCGTCCAACACAGGAGGGCCACTCGAGACAGTCGTCGACGGCGAGACGGGCTGGCTGCGGGACGCGTCGAAGCCGGAGGAGTGGACTGCTGTCATCCAGACGGCGCTGAGTTCAGACAAGGCTGCATTACAGCGAATCCAGAAAGCAGGCAAGAAGCGGGTAGCGGAGAATTTCACGAGGCCGACCATGGCGAAGAAGTTTGAGGATGAGATCACGAAGATGTTGGGGAGTAAGAGGAGTGAGTTTGTGGATTCGTATCAGATTTTGATGGCGCTGGCGTTGGTCGGGGCATTTGCTGCGGCGTTGATAACGGTGGTGATGGCGGCGGCCGTCAATCGAGGTGGTGATGGCAGGGCGACGGAGTTTGCGACGGCGAAGAGGATGGGGCTGGAGAAGGAGTGGAATCCTTTCCAGTTCGTGCCGGGCATGTTATGAATCATGATAACCTTTCCTCAGAAGAATATGGTTCGGTTTCCATTGGTACACTTTCTCTCTACCAAGCTCGAATTTTCTCAGACGCTGATCGTCTTGAACACCCCAAATCCGCCTCCACCCGTCACAACCGCTGTCCCGGGCATCTGCGAGTGCCAGTGGAACTCCTTGCAGTCCTCCGCGCTGTGTATGAAGAGCAGCTGCGGCGGCACTTTCTCCTGGCCCTCGCCAAGACCCAGGCCGGTCTCGCGCCCGTACTCTTCGTCGTCAAGCTCGACAGCGAGGTCCCATAGCGTGGCGGTACCATCCGCACAGCCGATGCCGACGACGCTGTCGTCTGTGGGGTGCCATTCGATCGAGGTGATTGGCTTCTTGTGGAACTTGAAGTCTGCTACCGGTGAGGGTTTTTGGACTTTGCTGTCGCCAGAAGAGGAAGGTTTCCATTGCCGCAAATCCCACACGGCCCATTCGCCGTCGTCTGCGCCAGTAGCGAGCAGGTGGAAGGTCTGGCGCGACCAGGACATTACGTTGATATCCGTGTTGCTGACTTTGACGTCGACCGCGGGTTTCCGATTCTTGCTTCGCACGTCCCAGACTTTGACTGTGCCGTCGCTGCTGGCGGAAGCGAAGACAGTCTTCTCGTTGGGTGACCATTGAAGCTCTTCGACTGCATCGGTATGGCCTACAAAGGGCCGGTTGTCGGTGGCCCAGCCGCCGCCCTCGGTGCGCTGTGTGCTAAAGATCTGGCCGTCGTTGTCGCCGGTGATGAGGCGGCCGTGTGGGTGGAGTGAAGCGGACTGCCAGTCAAGGGCGTAGCCTTCGGATTTGTGCATGCGGAGTGTGCTGAGTGGTTTTGAGGCGGTGGTGGGGATAGTGGTGCCGGGTGTGGTCAGGCTCTGAAGGTAGGGTGAGACGTCGTGGATGACGATTTGGCCATTCTCGAGCCAAGTCGCGGTAAGTGTTTGTGGCATTTGTGATGGGTCTGCTTGTGAGGTTGCGGGCTGGAAAGCTCGGATGCGGTTTGTGGTGCTGGGGAGAGGTATGCTGCGGGACTCGAGAATTGGTTCGGTAGAGGCCTCTTCGTCGTCGCTCTCGTCGTCGCTTTCGGAGTCGGTCTGGTTACCGCGATCCATTCTCGAGAGGCCGCTCAAGCGCAGGACGTAGAGTTCGTTGTCTTTGGCACGGCCAGTCTCGGCTTGTGTCCCTGCGACAGCATAGAGTGTTCGAGGGTAGCTCTTCCGTTGGTCGCCGAGATTGTCTTTGACGATGTCGAAGGACAAACACGGCCACGTCGTCGACAGAGGATGCAGCATCTCGTAGGTTGAAGGATCAGGTGCGAGCGTTTCGCCGGGCTTCAGTATTGATCTACCAGGTATGAACGTCTGTTGCTTTGAGTCGACTTCCATCGCATCGCCGTTCTGCTCTGCTTCTCGCTCCGCATCTGGTCTGCCATCTACGCCTGCCTCCATGATCTCGTCTTCAGACTCGTACTCATCTTCGAACTCGTCCTCGAAGTCGATGCCGTTCTCGCCGTTGGTGCCAGTGTCGGGACGCTGGCCGGCTTTGAGGGCGCCATTGGGCTGGTCGTCTGTCGCTGCTCGCTTTGACATAGTGTGGGTTGCTGTGCTATTGTGTAGCAGACATGCTGTCGCAAATTATTTTTCAATCGCCAAAAATTATTTGACCCCGCATTTTGGCAGATCTCAGCCTCGTACTTACAGCCTCGCCATGCGCGACAGCAAGACCTGCCCGGCGAGGGGCACTCCTGCTTCGAGTGACTTGGATTCTTTCCAAAGAACAAAAGTCATCAATCTGACATTGACTTGCTCCTAATCCGCGCCGAGTGACAGCGCGCTGGCAGGTCTGGAAGACATCAAATGTGCGGATAAACTTCTAGATCTCACCCCTCGAAACGCGTCCATGCAAAGCGTTTGAATTCTACGCGCCGATTGGCTGAGGCCCAACCACATCCCTGCGGAACTGCTCTTGACAGACGGGAACACCACACAACCGCCAGAACACCCAGCAGACTGCGCTTCAGCGATCCAGCATACTCATTACAATCCCTGAAAAGACCTCAGCTGCCGAATGTCTGCATAGCGACCAACTCGTTCATTAAAGACCGCCTCGGCAGACTAGCCGCCATGGACTTCAATCAGCCGCACGATCCTGCCACGGACGCAGCCTACAATCCTCAGATAGTAAACGAGCAAGGCCAGTCACAGGAAGATTTGCACCACAATGGACAATCACAGAATGGCATGACAGACTCACCTATGGAAGGGGTCGACTCGGGCTCCCGATACAACTCACCAAACATGGCATATCAACAACAAGGCGGCTCGCGGCCCGGCTCAGGTATGAGCGGTCCTGCTGCCGGCAACTCATATCAGGGTCAAGGACAGCAGCCGCCGAGCAAGAGCAGCGTTGTGATCAAGGTCGGCATGGTGGGCGATGCGCAGATAGGCAAGACGAGTTTGATGGTTAAGTACGTTGAGGGAAGCTGGGACGAGGACTATATCCAGACGCTTGGTATGTCGGGAATGCTTCAGGGGACTGACAGGTGGCTGATGATTCATCACAGGCGTCAACTTTATGGAGAAGACAATTTCGATTCGAAACACTGAAATCACATTCTCGATATGGGATCTGGGTGGGCAGAGGGAGTTCGTCAATATGCTGCCACTGGTCTGCAATGATGCGGTTGCGATTCTCTTCATGTTCGACCTGACACGAAAGTCGACTCTCAACAGCATCAAGGAGTGGTACAGACAAGGCCGCGGCTTCAACAAGACCGCTATACCCTTCCTGATCGGAACAAAGTACGACCACTTTGTCAACTTCCCACGAGAAGATCAAGAGGAGATCAGTACTCAGGTACGAGCTACACATAGATCGCCGTTGGCCGCCTACTGACATGAACCAGGCACGCCGCTTCGCCAAAGCCATGAGAGCCAGCCTCATCTTCAGCAGCACCAGTCACAGCATTAATGTCCAGAAGGTTAGTCACAGTCCTCGATCTCATCTGCTAAGCCGTCCTTACTGATGACTGCCGTCAGATCTTTAAGATTGTCCTCTCGAAAGCCTTTGACCTGAAGTGCACCATACCCGAGATCGAGAATGTTGGCGAGCCGCTGCTGCTGTACCAAGCCGTCAACTAAAGGATCGGCATTATGTTGCCTGCCTGGACGACACCACTCTTGGTGAATGCAACAAGCAGGACTCCTAAACGAAGCGTCAAGAACCCTTTACGAAGAATCATGGCTGTAATGTGTGTCTATGTGAGTAGTGGAATACTTGTGATCAGTAGTGGCGGATGAAGAAGGAACGTTGCGAGAGGGACGACCTTCGAAGGTCGACGTCCTCCTGCGTCGTCTAGACGATGGAGAAAGTTGAGATTGAAGCCTCGGGGGCCCGCCTAGTCACATTTCGGATAGCGGGCTGTTACCCGCTTGCCAGGAGTCTGCATGCATAGTGGATAGTACCGAGCACAGAACAGGCGCTTCTTGTTGACACTCCAGACAGTCTTTACACATCTAACATGAAGGAAGAACAAGGAGACATTGAAAGATAATTTTATCTGCATTGGTCAATGCTTCTATCGCTCAATGCACTCCCCACGCACAAGGTGCTTTGTGTGGAGAGGTGAGGCGTCCATCGAAATGATATTGATGTCGCCTCGCATTCGCTGGCCCGTACGGCAGCTCGTACCTTCGAGGCGCTGCACACTAGGAACATGCTCATCTGGTAGCGAATCCTCCATCCCTTAGGAGACGCCGTCGGAACTCCACCAGCGTTTCCGGCCCAGCCTCAGGCTCTACCTAGGTTCCCTCCGCCTGCTGAATCCCTCTCACCACAGCCGCAAACTCCTTGCGAACCATCTCAATGTACCCCTTCCAGCCGACCATCTCCCCACCGCCAGCGATCTCGCCTGCCGCATTCTCGAAGTTTCGGTCCAGCTCCAACGACGTCCGGATGACAGCGGCGTTGGCTTCGTTGGCTTTCTCGATCTCTTGTTTGACCGCGTTTTCCTTGAGCTTGACGCCCAACACGACCTTGAACTTCTCTGCTAGCGGCGACAGACGACGACGTGTCTCCTCTGGATCGAGTACGGTAAGGCGGGCGAGCATGAGGTTACACAGGGTGCGGATGTCGGCGTCATCGGTGATTCCATCCAATATGCGATCGAAGATGCGCGGGATGGGCAGGTGCGGGATCGCAGCCGGGCAATCTAGTAGCGCATACAGTGTGGCGTACGTAGCTTTTCGGAGGTCGAGACCGCCATCCTCGTTGTGCTTGAAGGGTCCGATCGTGATGACGCGGATGAGATCTGGCTTGATGACTGAGTCGTCGAGGACCTGTGGGAGGAGTTGGCCGATTTCGGGGATGACGAGATTGGGCTTGTTGTGAATCGCGGCGTTTAGAGTGGTAACGGCAAGCCGGCGGTTGCTGAGGTCGGCGTCTGAGAGCATGGTGCGAAGCATTGGGACAATTGTCCGGGCTAGTAGAGTGTTGTAGGCGGAACTTGGGTCGGCTAGGGTGAAGCGGAATGCTGAGATTACTGTGCCGCGGGTCGTGGCGTCTGGGCTCTGCAGGGACTGGGTGAGTAGAGGAACATAGGTCTGTGGTTCGATCATGGCGACTCTACCGATGCACTCGGCCGCCACGGCACGAGTGTCATCGGTTGTGGACAGACCAAACAACTTCTGCCAAAGCTCCTGTGCAAAAGGCACAAAGTCTTTGCTGTCGGAATCGGTGACGTGTTGCAGGATCTCCTTGAGTGAGTGAAGGTACAGATATTCCTGTTCTGAGTTCTGGCCGAGATTCTCTATGATGAAAGGCAAGCAGGCAGAAAGGTTGCTGGAACTAGCGCTACCCAGAGCTGTCGCTGCGGCCAGCCGTACGCGGTCAGACGTTGAGTTCAGGCAGCCTGTGAAGACGTCCATTTGCACAGGTGATTTGGCACCCGTCCTGAAACCGACTTCTCCGAGCACTGTAATGGCGAGACAGGTCGCTTCCGGATTCGTCGAGGTCTGGATTTCTGTCAAGAATGTAGGTACAGATACAGCAAGCTGTGATGTCGAGAACACCAGTAACGTGCCAATGGCCCGACCCAACACAAGAGTGTCACCAGCGATTCCTATCGCAAGGAGACTCTGCATGAGACCGTTGCCGACACCCTGCTCAGCGATAACTTTGATAACCAGGAGGTATGCTTTCAAGGGTGAGCCTTCGAGACGGGTTTTGCTGACGGCGCAGAGACCTTCAATTAGGTCGTCTGTTATCAGGTCTGAGGCACTCGTGGGAAGGATCCTAGCTAGTATGACCAGAGCGGGAGTGAGGAGATTAAGATCTGACGTCGCTAGCAGTGGCAAGAGTTTCTCCTTGAGCTGCGCAATCGTCTTTGTGTCGTAGAGCGTGGCTGTGACAGTGTTCAGTGCTAAGTACTGCAAAGCCTCCAAGCAAGCGGCACGCAGCGCCCGATCAGCCTTGCGTAGCTGATTAGCCATTTCCATAGAGACTTCTTGGACCCATAGCCCACTGACGTTATCGGACACCCCAGCGGATTCACCTACGAGACCAATAGCTCGAGCGCTGGCCAAGCGAGTTGTCTCGTTTCTCAGACGGTCATTCAGAATGCCTAGCGCTTTTGCGTGGTGTGCAGATGAGATGAGCTGCGTTGACGATGTTCGGGCGATCAAGACACCGAAGACCTGGATCGCGCGATGCCGGACTTCAAGATCAGTATTGTTGTCAGTGACTCGATTGACGATCACATCGAACAACTTCTCAATGTGAATCGCATGGTCTTGATTTGGCGTAGATAGCCGTGGAGGCGTGAGCGCTTTCACGAATTGTTCCAGGGTAGCCAAGGCCTCCCCAGAGACCTTGTCGTTTCTGCCTCGAGCAACTGCTGTGACTGACGGAATCAGCGCAATGACGAATGGCGTAAGCACAGCTGTCGAATTTGTCTCGGTGATAGTACTGATTGCACCGAGCGTCTCGATTTGGAGGCCAGCAACAGTGCTCGAGGAGCCAGAGCTTGCACTCGCGCCGCTCGGACCCAGACCCGGCTTTAATGCGTCGGCGATGGGGTCTTCTAGTTGTTGGAGGTGATCGGCAAGAGCACCGTTGCGCGACAGAGCCAAGATCTTGATCATGGTGATACCGGCCTGCTTGAGCGGGATGCCAGCCTTCTTCCACATCTTGCCAAGTGCTTGGACCATCTTAGGTATGACTGCTGCAAGATCGGCCTGAGCACCACTTGCAGGAGGGGATGATGGGGTGATTGGAGGGCTCGCACGCGACAAGACAAGACCTCGTAGCTCGGGATCATGCTGGGATACCTCGCTGTCCTGACGTCTCCGCTTCCGACCAGTAGTGGGAGGAATTTCGAATTCTTCTGAGCGGTGAACAGTGCTGGACGAGCCGGCTTTCTTGATGAGGGTCGTGGTCGCACTGATGACCTCGAGACGAACATTGTCTTCGCGTTCGTTGTGCAGGCGCGAAAGGAGACTTGGGGCTATTCCGTTGAAGAGCGTGTCGTGGTCTGAAGCAGAAAGACTGCTGATCATTGTGGAGAGAGCTTTGGCAGCGCACCGACGTACTTTCCAGCTGAAGTCATCGACATCACTGAAGGCAGCATCATCATCGAGATCCGCGTATTCGTCGTCATCGTCGATATTGTCATCTGTGACTCCGTCATCGCTACCAGCGTCATCGACACCGCCCATATCTTCGTCGTCTGTGCTTGCAACATTGGGATCGTACTTGAGGAAGCGAAGAGCCGCAGCAAGGGCGTCGTCCTGGTGCTCGGCCATCTCTGTCGGACAGGAGCCTAGGAGAGCATCCAGTGTCTGTAGAGCAGCCTCACGCATCTCTTCCAATTCAGCATCGGTCTCAGCGTCCTCTGATTGGTCGTCTTCCTCGTCCTCATCGATCTGTAATGCGGACAACACATGCGGAATGGTCAAATGCAAATATGGTCCGAACTTTGGTGTGGACTTTGCAAGTGTGCCGATTGTTGCAATCAGGTACCGACGGTGCTCATTGGAGATCTGTGAGGCCTTGAAGGACTGCGCCAGGGCATCGACGAAGGAGCTGACTTGTGACTCCGAGAAGTGGACGAGGAGGGCGCCAACACCAGCAAGTGCTCGTTTCTTGACAACACCGCCGGCTTGTGGACTCTCGATGATGTCCATGACTGCTTGTGCCAAAGCGATCAACTCCTTGTCCTGCAGAAGTGTGCCATAGTGCTTTACTATTTCGATCAGGACGTCTACAGCATCAGCGTTGTAGCCCTTGCCCTTCTGAGGCTGCAGTAAGCCAAAGGGAGGTTGTGCCGACGACTTGCTCCCGGACAAGACGACTCTTCCCACGAGTCGCGGAATCAGCACTTTACTGATCGCACTGTAGGCTTCCTTGACATCTGATACAGAGACATTGCCGACTTGAGGATGGGGCAGACTGGCAACGAGACTTCGCAGGGCCGAATTGGGTACGGAGTGATCGATATCAGATGCGGTAAGTAGCTGAGTGATCTTGTCGATAGTGGGAGCGATGAGCTCGTTTGGAGTCCTCGCGGCCAGTGGCCCGATACTACATATGTCAGCCACCTGAGTACTACGCCAGAAGATTAAGTCAAGGACGCTTACCATTTGAGGGCTTGATTCTGGACTTCACCATTCTGGTCACCCAATGCATGGACCACGCCTTCGATGACACGACCAGCGGTGGGGATATCGTTTCTCACCCATTCAGTGTTGATATTGGACAGGGCACCTTGAAGATCGCTCAACTGCATGAAACGAATGTCTGGATCTGGGTCCTGCAGCTTCTGGATCATGCCGCTGATTTGTGTCGCGGTGGCACTACGATCGCGCGACATGGCTGCGGTTGGCTGCCACGCGGCGCCGGTCGTATGTTGAATGTGCTGATCGCCTGATCGACAAGGCTGCGATCTTGCCGGTCAATCAGCACGACAAGAGCATAAAGTAACGCTGACCAGACGCCTTCTGAGGACTACGACAACTTTTTGAAAAAGGTTCAGAATGAACCCGAGTGCATTGGAGTGATACAATTGAAGTTGGAGATCAAAAAATGCAAGGCGCCAGGCACGTCATTCTTAAATGGGAGCTTCCGGCTGCTGTGGACCTGGAGTAAAGCTCCGGGGAGAGCGCATCATCTTCAACATTTTCCGGTGCTGCACTTGAAGCTTCTTGACTTCTTTTCAGCTTGTTCGCAGAGCACACCTCACCTCGATAATATGGCGCTCCCGAGACCAACTCCTTTGCGAGCACCATCGCAAGGCCTTCGACGCCATGCCTTACGCCGCACCATCAACCAAGCTCGAAGCAGTCCTTTCCGCAATGCGGGCAGAAGATCATACGCAAGCGGCCACGGCCACGAAGCAAAGAAGAGCTCAGATCTACCATGGTGGGTATCTCGCTCGACTAAATTGACCCTGTAGTGACGATTCTGTAGGTTGATTGGATCTGTCGTCTTCACTGTCCCGGCTGCCTCGTGGCTACTCGCTCAAGCTCCCGCAAAATCTTCACACTATGATCATGGCCATGGAGAAGAGGGAGAAGAGCATGACGAATCTTCCGAGGAAGCGCCTGCGGACGAGGAGGCCAAGGATAGCACTGAGCTGATGAGAAGCCGGAGGACGATTCTAAGGAAGATTCGGGAGCTGAGGCCAAGGATGATTCCAAGGACGACAGCGACGACAAGGCCGAATCCAAGGATGATGGCGGCGACGAGAAACCAGAGAAGGACACCAAGAAGGACGACAACAAGGACGAGAAGGGCGACGATGACACACCGAGCGACGATAGCGCAGATGGTGTGCCGAACCATTCAAACTCACAGTATTTCCGCAACCCTAACATGAAACCAGGCGAAGGGAAGCAGAACAGGCCGCCGACGGAGAAGAAGGGAGAGAAGGACGTGAGTGTTATTACCGTCCTCGTACAGCTTTGTTTGCGTTACTGATTGCTTGCGCGCGTCGATCGATTATGTTTAGTCTTGATTTGAGTCCAGCAATGCTTTACGCGAGGTTTGCTACTTTCTTTGGCCCCTCTCCGATTCTGACTTCTCGATTAGGCTGCGAGCAACTTTTCAGGCGCCAAACATCCAGCAATCAACGACCCATCGAGGAGCAAGAAATCCCATGGCCCAATGGAGACAGCAAAGATTCACGGTACAGTCAAGCCGACATATGCTGACGACAACTTTGGACAAAACTCTGAGGACTCACATCCTGAGGAGACGAAAAACTCGAAGAACGAGAGGCAGGAATGAACGACCTTCCGACCGACCAGAACTGGACTTCCACAGCATGTTACTCGGACCATCGTGGGATCCTGGTGTATGTAGACAAAAAGTAGAATCGGCGCCAGCCTCGCCTTTTTATTCTTGCGTGCGATCAGTGATCGATCTGTCATCTCGTCTCTTCTCCTGCGCTCCATGTTCGCGACTATAAAATATCAACTGATCTTGAGCACCGGTAGGGGCCCGTGCCAAGGAGCGCGCTCCGCTAGAGGTCTTACGGCATACGAAATAACTCGTATCGCGTAGTTTCCTCTGGCTGCGGGCTTATGGTGAATCGTATATAACCTCTCCTCGATCAAAAGTATATTCTGTGCATTCGGACCACATCACTCCTGGCTGAAGGTAGCGCCGGCCAGAGTATTCACTCCCTCAACACCACCAACCGCCCACAACTATGGGTCGACCGCGACGTGCATCGAGCGGGCTACCCGCAGATCCGCCGTCCAATGTCGGCCCAGCAATGTCAACGCTCGTAGAGCGGCCGGACTCGCCATACATCAGCGGAAACGTCAGTGACCATCCTCGCCGAGTCGGCGCACAAGCAATTGACAGATCAGTAGTACGACAAGCACTTGAAGCCTTCCTCTAAGCGACGGAAAGCACGCTCCCTCCTCCGCCGGTATAAGCAGATATCACTACGGCACACATGGCTCAACCCGCTCATACTCGTGTCTGTCATACTGGCATGTTACTATGCAAATCCAGGACCGCAGAACCCTCTCCACCGAGCCATATTCCTCTCCTATCCGCTAGGACCAGATCACCCAGGCGGCCCAGTCATGTACGGCAAGGGAAAACACGACTTCACCTTCGTCGCATTCTACACCATCGTTCTAAGCTTCACAAGAGAGTTCTTCACACAGCGAGTCATCCGCCCCATGGCCATCCGCGCTGGCATCCGAAATCGCGCGAAGCAGTATCGCTTCATGGAACAAGTCTACACAGCCATGTACTTCTCCGTCTTCGGCCCGTTCGGCCTCTATGTGATGTCGCAAGGCTCCCTCTGGTACTTCAACACGACCGCCATGTTCGAAGGCTTCCCGCACCGGAGCCACGAGGGCGTCTTCAAAGCCTACTATCTCCTCCAGGCTAGCTACTGGAGCCAGCAGGCCATTGTGCTTATGCTGCTGCTGGAGAAGCCTCGCAAGGACTTCAAGGAACTTGTGCTTCACCACATCATCACGTTGGCGCTGATCTTTCTGAGCTACCGGTTCCATTTCGCAAAGATGGGCATTGCCGTGTATATCACCCACGACATCAGTGACTTCTTCCTCGCGGTAAAGCCTTCCCCACCCCACTCACGTCCGCCACAGCCATCTAACCAGAAGCACAGACATCCAAAACCCTCAACTACCTCGACAGCATCCTCGTCGGCCCCTACTTCGCCTTCTTCATCGGCGTCTGGATCTACCTCCGCCACTACCTCAACCTCCGCATCCTCTACGCCACCCTCACCGAGTTCCGCACCGTCGGGCCCTTCGAACTCAACTGGGACACCCAGCAGTACAAGTGCTGGATCAGCCAGTACATCACTTTCGGCCTCCTCGCCAGTCTACAAGCAGTAAACCTGTTCTGGCTGTTCCTCATCCTGCGGATCGCGAAGAATTTCGTGTTCAGTAGTGTCGACCTCAAAGACGAGCGCAGCGAAGACGAAGAGGACGAAGAAGAGGAGGAGAAGGACGGAAAGGCCATCAACGACGCAGCAAGAAAAGCGCTGGAGAATGATACGGGCATGCATACTGACAAGCCTGTCCTCCTAGTCAACGGCGAAGCCATCAAGCCAGAGGCGAAACCCGAGGGGATTCGGGATCGGAGGAGGAAAGGCTGAAGCAAGCCGACTCCTGGATCTGCCCTGGCCCAGAACGTGTACGAAGACGCCGCTTTGCTGCATTCCCATGGAAACGAAGTCGGCGAACAACGGCCTGGATCTCACACAATCAACTACACTGGCTGTGCCCTGCGGCAGCCACTCGTCCTGCTACGATGCGAGACAAAGTGGGTTGGGATGGTTAGGAACGCCCAAGACCCTTCTTGACACGTTTGGCCACCCTTATTTCCGGTACCTCAAAACTTGTCCGAGTATAGCCACTTATTAATATAACATTACGACGAACGATACGAGGTATGCACTGTTATGCTCTCGCATGAGGCAGTATAGCGGTCAGGCATCGAGCACCCATTGGGCACTTGTGCCCGGCTATCATTTGACAACGATCTGGGTGATTCAGAGCTACTTCGAGCAGAACGGACACACATTGCGCTTCCCTCAGTCACGCACTGATGGAGTCTGAGACCGGCCGTGCTCGGATTCGAGCATAGTTGATTGGATCGCTTGGAGGTTTGGAGCAGTCGGCCCCATACGCTGTATATATATGTATAATTCTACTCCTCAGAGGAGCCGCATAGTAATAACGAGTGGGTATCTTGGGAGAATGAGAAGCCACCAGCACCAGTGATCCCTAACCTGTACGAGACCGCCGAAATCCAAGGGGGAACTCTTCCTAGCTCCATACCTTCCCCCTAGTTGCTGCTGGCCATGTCGCATCTGGGTAATGACCCAGGAAAAACAATAAGCAAAGAGTCGTAAATCGTAAATCGAGTGGCGAGTGTGCCGTGCTTCCGTCACGCACGTTCCTAGCGCTTCTTCTTCGTCGAAACTGATCTATCATCCGCCACTCCCATCTCTTGCTTTACACTTTCCAGAAGATTCCTCGCCTGCCTGTCCCTTTTCTCAAAAGGCCCGTTGAACAATCCTGGGAGCATGCGCTTACTGTTTGCATGGTCCGCATCAAATTCTGGGCCCTGCCACCCTCGATCCTGGCAGATCTTGACCGCCTCTTCAAGAAGCTCCGTACCAACGCCTTTCCGACGGTAACGGTTTTTGGTGGTCCAGCCGCGGATGACGCCTGTGATGGGCACAGGTGAGTTCCTGCCGTTGCTATTCTGCCGCCGGGACGACTTGTTGCTGCCATTCCGTGAATGTGAGCCATTTCTGCCAGGCCTGACTCCGCGGAGGATGAGAGCACCGATGGGAATGTCGCCGAAGCGTGACAGGACAAGGTCGTCGGATTCGCCTATTATAGTGTTGTTGGCATCCGAAGAGCGATCCTTGTCGAGCCACTTCCACGTGCCCACGGACTCGGCTTCATCGATGTAACCCCTGCTCAGGAGTCTGGTGGTCGCGAGCACGACCATGAAGAAGCCACTGACTGTTGTGCCAATAACGGCGAGATCGAAGTTCCAGCTGTGTAGAAGTATTTGTAGAGGTATGCGAAAAGGGCGACCATGGAAGACAGTATCAGTGGATGCCAAAGGATGGCGCTGGACGCATATTGGCGCTGTTGTGCGACGGAGTCGGCAATTAAGTGAAGAACCTCGACCTTGTCGTCCTCGGAGGTGACGACTGTTGTGGTCAGAGGTGGAGGGTTGGAGGGCGGTTGTGATATTGAGGGAATTTCTAATGGGTATTCATCGTCGGCCATGTAGGCCAGTGGTGAGGGGAGTGGCAGAATAGAATTGACCGAGGGACGAAGCGTAGGTCGGAGATCTGGGGTGTTGCAGCACGAAGGAATCGGTGAGTCAAGGTCGATAGTCAGGTTGGCTCTCAAGGTAGTAAAGAATGCTGTCAAGTTGTTCAGCTCGTGTGCTTGGGAAATTTGTTGATGGCATACGTACCCGCAGAAGTTTTGAACCCTGGTATCTTATCACTAATGACAGCACGTGCTCCGTATGCATCGTGGAATAGGACAGAGGGAGCCGGTGGATATACCACTGATCTAACCGATAGAAGCGAAGAGGCAAAGGGAAGAGCAGAGACAGGCGGTGGCGGCGTTGGTGGAGGTGTAAGTTGTTGAAGGTATAAATGTTCAGGTAATTTCATAGAATGGTGCCGGCCCATGATGGTGAATGCAAAAAAACTCGTCCCATTTCCCCATTAAGCGTCAACGCCGTGCAACGCTGCTGCCGGGCGCAATCGCAGCAGGTACGACCCGCAAGGTATCGATTGCGCTTACCCTGCGATGACGTTGCAATCGCACCAACAACGCTTGCGGCGGCTTTCAGCCGGCGCCTGGGGAAGGCACCAGAGGATTAAATGGACTCGAGGTGACGATGAGGGGTCAAACGCGGGGGCAAGCGCACCCTGTTGAAGAAAGCGAAGAGAACAACGCCCTTGCCAGAATCTGTCTCTATAGAACGAAGAGAAGAATAGACTGCAGGTAGATCATGATAACCCACGAGGGGCACGAGGGGTTCATATTATTTGAGCATGATAGCACATTCCAAGACTGTCGCGGTGTATAGTTATTGGAACAGGGCGGGCTGATTGCGCAAGAATGACCTACGCCAGGATCCATATTGTTCGAGGCTTATCGTGAAAGGAAACAATAGTCGTGGTTGGTCTTGATAGCGCTGATATGGCGGGGTTCAGGGAGAAAGATTGAAGAAGGGTGATAGGGTGTCGATACACGGTGAAGCGATGTTCTGAAGCACAAGCGTCAGTTTCGACCAGGAGTTTCGAAAGATAACCCAAAGGTCGATCCTGACCTGTTCCTCGTCTGCGGCTTGTAAAGAACGCTCCAGATATGCCTTGGTCATGCAGCTAAGCAGCAGTTAAGAACTAGTAGATGCATCGCGATTGTCGGACCTCGGAGCGTGCTACCAGGAAGCCCGTCGACTCTTGCGTATGATTCATCGCCTGTAACATGCAGTGCATTGTCATCATATCCCACTCAGCGACGATGCATCGCTCGAGTTATTCCTCGTCAAGTTGCTATTGACTCGACTCCAGCGTTCGGGTTTCAGAAGTGCTGAGACTTACAATAGCTGTCGTCATCGCGCTCGTCACCTTCTAAGCACACATCGTGATCACGAGTCAACTTCACGAACACCCCGGGCGGGCACTGGCATAATCGCGAGACCCTCGTCATGAGGAGCTTGGCGCTCCAACGTGGTCCATGTGCTCGAAACATCGACAGACAAGATAAAGGGCATCACATATGGTGCGGAAATGCCGGGGGCACGGTGTTCAGCGCATAGAACGGTTCAGCTTTGGAGGTTTTTGACAGCAATGCCGGTCTTTGGTTGTGAGGCAGGAGTATCAGCGTAGGAAAAGTCATGGCGAGAACGACCTGGCTCGCAGAAAAGCTAACAGAGCAGGCAGGGTCGAAAGTGAAGAAAGAGTCTTCGGCATTCGGCATTAGTAGATCGACTCATCGCTGTAGCCCGCACGTTGGTAAGGAATTCCTGCCCCATTGACCCTAGCAGTCGTAGTCATGTTGCCGTCGTTATATGTGTTCGAAACAGCGCCGGCGGCAGAGTCGGCGCCATATAGTTGCTGACCATAGATGTTGCTCTCAGCATTACTACTTACAGGAGTGTACACAGCATTGCTCATCTGCTGCAGACCAGCTGTCGAAGTCTCTGGGCCCGCAGATGCGTTGACGTCCATTGCGTAGTAGTCTTGGGTTGGGTCGTTCCAGTTATCGAAGCCCATAGCCAGCTGCGATTGGTCTTTATACCACCAGTCTTGCGATTCCATGAGATTGTCCAAAGTTGCAAAGCTACTGGCTGTGTATGAACTCGGATCGGCTGGCGACGTCATGTCGCCACCAAACGTGCTGCCGTTGGAAGCATTCTCGGAAGGCGGGCGCGGTCGAAGAAGATTGTATGCAGCCTGCTGAGTTTTCGTGAGAAGTGATGAACCACGAATTTTGTTCGGGTTCCGGTTGAAATCCGTCGAGTTTGAGGGTGGTGCTGATAGATTACCAGAGGATCGACGAGTGTCAGGGACATCAATTGGTGACGGAGCCATGGCTGCCGAGAGACCACCTCGGAGCTCCGCATTGAAGGTCTGAGGTCCGTACGACAAGGGTCGTGTGAGCATCTGCTGCTGGCGAAGCGGTTGAGAGGTTGCCGCTTGTTGCTGTCCGAGCTGCGTAGGGGTTTCCTGTTTCAAGACCTCCGATATTGGCTGCTGGCCTATGTGTCGGTACGGCTGCCCGAACTGCCCAGAGCTTGGTGGCGACGGGGTTGCGTGATGGCGACCCCATTTGAGGTTTGCACGAGCGAAAGCGGCATCTGCTTCCTCGGGAAGCTCAACTTTCCACTTTTCTGCGCATACTCTGAGGATCTGGAGCGTCCGTCGCGCAGCAGTCCAGCATTCGCCCATCTCCTCCAAGTGCCTTGCGCCGTGTGCGATGTCTCGTTTGGCAGTCTTGTCTGGCATATTCAAGATGTGAATCGTGCAAGCGGTATGCAGGATATATATTGCAATATTGCATATTTGTCGAAGGCCGTGCGTCCTCTTGTAAAGGCGGAACAATTTGGATATTGCTCCTGCTGCCTGAGTACAGAACTTTCGAGGAGATACGTGTTTTGGAAGCGGCGATGTTTGTTTAGTGTACTTCAAGAAGGGCCTATAAAGATGGATGTAAAGCAGTTGGTGGAACATGTGCATTAACAGCACTTGTGGGAGTTGCGAATCCTTGGCTTCGAGCTCTGCCGGCAGCTCTTTCTTCCAGGACTCCAAGCGTGTATGCACATCACTCAGTTTCTTGAGCTCATGTTGCCTGTTGAGAGGTTTATCGTTGAGACTAGGGTGGTAGAACGATTCAAGGAGATCGCCAGAAATTTCTGCAAGCCTTGATAGCTGCCGCGCGACGGTTCTGGTACGCGCTGGCTGTGCGTTGGCTTGCACGATGCCGGAATCGGTGTATGGCGACCATCTTTCAGAGTCTTCCGATGGGAACACCTCCGGCTTCCTGATTGTGCTATTTGATGTTGATAGCTGTGGCTGACGGCCAAGATAGTTTGACCAGCATTTGTCAAACAAGAAACATCCCCAGAATGTTATTCTCCGCGCATCGATGTCTTCGTCGGAGAGTCGTGAGTGTTCGTTCATTGGTTGCGCGTCGATATTGAGTCCCAGGTCCATGGCCATACGGAAGCTCATGCCACTGTAGACCCAGCCTTTGCTTTCATGTCCGCAGCCTGCTTCGCGGACAGACATGAGTGCCATGGCTTGCACGGTACATAGTTTAGCGTTGGCGAACTCGTCGTCTTCATACAGTAGACGTTTGGCCTCCTTGAAGTAGTGGTCACCAGTAGTGCTCGAATCATCTGGAACCGCCTTTGCGGCTGCCTTGTTCGAAAAATGGCATCCCAGCGCCAGCATAACATTTACCAGTAGCGCAGAACAGTACTGCGAGGGTGTCCCGGTCAGAAAGTCTCGGTAGAAGAGTTCCTTGGACAGTGTCGTAAAATAAGCGTAGTGCCAGCAGAAATACATGTTCATGAAGTGAAGAATGAGATCTTTATCCTGAGTGACTGTGGTCCATGACACTATTGCCTCTTCTTTCGGCTTCACAATGTCAGCAGCAGCACTGGCAGGAGTTGAGCCATAGTGCTTTGTTCGAGGCCATCCGTCATCCAGATCAGGTTCGATGTCCCGCCAATGAACTTGACGGATCCGTCGAGATAAAGATCGCCCATTCTACCAGATAGTTCTTGCTCGAACTGAGGTACTTCCGCAGGTTGCAGGGCCAGGGATGGTGGCGATTCCGGAAGGCCATTGGTGGCGATGCTTTCACCGGCTTCGATTCTGGTAGCGAGATCTTCCAGATTCTCGCATATCCGGATTTCGTGCACCAGGTCGGCGACATCATCCTCTTCCGCATTTAGGATTGCCTGTATAAGAGTATGTAGAGTCGAACTCTTGGTCTTGAGATCGACGTCCTTCTTGTATACTCCCTTCCTTCTCTGATCTGTGTGAGGCGCATATTCACATTCCGTCAAGTAGACCGAGGCGCAGGCGGCGCATTTCGGTAGTTGACCATCACATCTCGATTTGCGCCTGATAGAAAAGTAAGTCAGCCTCGATGCGCGCACACGGGAGGTCGCGGTAAAGATTCACCTTCGACACGCAATGCACGCAGTACTGATACAGCGGCGCTTACTAGCAGCGCTTGCATCGTTATCTCGGCCCTTGTTCTTCACCTTCTTCTGCGTATACTCATCGCCGTGGTCAACCAGCGCATGCTGTGACATTCCATTCAGGCTCATGACTGCCGTCTCGATGGTCGGCGACGAGGAGTCAGTCGCTCAGTCAGATTGATAGCCGCGACCTCGCGCCTATGCCGAAGCAGACAGCCGAGTACATGTTGTCGGACAGCGCCAATATTGCTAAGCGTGGTTGCAAACAAGGCTGTCTTATCATTCCGCATCCAGGCCAGCCGCTCGTATTGGAGGGCCTGGAGGGGTGAAGAACTAGGGGGGTTACGGGATATGCCATCCGGCGCCCCACGTATCGGCGAGCTAAACCCTACTACCGACCGGAAGACCTCCAGGGCTGGGAGAGTGTTGAGACAGAATCAAACGGGTATCATATGATAATCTAGTAATGCTTCTTTACTTTAATGCCAACATTTCGCACAGACGCCCAAACTGACGGCGAAACCTTCACCGGCAGTTTCCTGCCCTTCAACCTCTGATCGACGAGCCATAAGCCAACCACGAACTGGTCCCTGGTCAGAGCCATGTCGTTCGCGCTGCCAGCAACTAGCGTCCAGATTTCTTCTAATGCGTAATATGGCAGCCGACTTCGGTTCCATACCTCCTGCACTACCACATTGAGTACCATATCATCAGCGTTGGCGTCTCGTGGCCATTTCCGTCTCACGGTATCACTCTCAAACTCATGCAGGAATCCACGATTTGCTGCCCACACTCCCTCGTACCGCTTGCGTTCTCGTTCCGTGACTTTGTCGCGCCAGCGCTTTCGATCGCCTTCATGATGCTTGTTCGGGTGCTTCCTTATGATGTGTCGCCGACCGCGTTTGGTCTCGTCCTCCTCCTCCGGCTCTGGAGAATGTTTTCGTAAGGTTTGCTTCATAGCGCGCCTAGGTGGCGGCTTAAGAGGGGCCTTCCTGTCTCCTGTGTGACTGGCTCGCAAGAAGTCCATAGAGTGTGATCGTCGGCGCGGTAGTGCGGGCGGATGCTTCAAGGGTGACGTAGCTCTTGAGCCCTGTCGCGACGATGCAAGTGAAGAGGCGACCATTGCATCAGCGAGTCTCTGTGCCGTCATGCTAGTTCCAAAGCTCCTCGGAGACTGGTCCACATGGCGTGGCGAGGTGCCTCCGACCGGTCTTAGAGGAATTGATATAGGCCGCGACGACTCTTGCTGGGCTTGTGGAACTTTGACATGCTGATAGGTTTCGAGTTCCTCTTCTGGCTCAGTGGAACCGTAAGTGCTTACGTTGACCGCTTCGACTGTAGGATCAACTTTGCGGGCTTTGTTTGGTTGTCGCTTGGACGGCGGCTTTGGAGGCGGTTCACTTCTACTTATGGTGCTCGAGTTAATGTCTGGCAGAAACGACCGGCTTACGGGAGGCTTCGGTGCTACCTTGGGAGCAGGCCTGGGCTCGGGCGAAGGGGGCATGATGCCTCGGCTCGTGGGTTGTGCCAGCTGAGGGACGCGATCGAGATCTAGCTGAGGCTGTGAGGATGGTGAGGCAAGCGAGCCATTAGCGACTGGCAGATCTACTGCACTGAAAGTATCGTTCAGTGGTGATCGACCACGCCTGACGAAGGACTCCCGAGAGGACGATCGCGTTGGAATTATAGGCGGCCGCTCACGTCGCTTGACCGGTGGTCCCCGTGCAGGACTGCTGTTGGCGCTCGCTGCCTTCGCTGCGATTTCTGAGGCGGTCCGCTGCAGTGGATGCTTGCTTATCGTGTCGTTTTCAGCAGTGCGCTGAGGTATTAGGTACGACCGACCTCTGACAGGAGATGTCGAATCCCTCTCACCGGTCGTATGTTTCCGAATCTGTTCTCTGTTCGCCCGCTCTGCTACAGTGGCAGCTCCCAATGCATTGATCGTTGTCGGTGTCTGAGCTGCGGCCGCCGGCTTCGGTGGAGGGCTGAAGGCCAGCGCGGCTCCCTGTAGGGCTGGGGAGACATCGCGCTGACGTGCAGTAGGGACTTGGAGGGAAGGCTTCGGCGCGACCGGTGGGCGCCATTTCCGGCTGTCAGTCATGAAGCCATTCGTGAGTTGAGTACGGACTCCGGGTGGGCGAGAGTCCGAGCGTAAGGCCTCAGCGCCGGCGCAATTCAGCTCTCATACATGCAGACCTGGGGACTACTTTGAGATGCACATGTATGCAGCTTCGAAGCATCGAGTGACGACTGGCACAAGCGCTACTTCAACAAGTGTTAAAGAGCTGAGCTGCACTATCACAGTCAGCAGTCCACCTGCCTCTCCGGAATTAGCCGGCATAAACCCTAAGCGTGCGGGTGGTGGTTGCCTTGGTTCTGCCTGATTTGCCCTGTCACTTGCGACCCTCCTCAACCGTACATATGTCCACGGTCCACCCCCAGAATGTGACGCGTTCTGCGCGTCGCTCTGCACGTCCAACCAATGCTGCCATTTTTCGACGAACGACTGTGCCCGCATCATGTCGGTCAATGGTGATGGCGAGGATATGGACCTAGATGAGGTGCCACTTGGATCAGGTACACAAGCCCCCGTGATTGATGTTGCTGCCCGTGAGCGAGAGTTTGACGAAACATACCCCAATCGGCCGCGCAACAAGAAGAAGACCCTGCCGTTTCATACACTTCTGGACGATCTCTTCGATCCGTTGAAGAAGAACCAAAATCCTCAAACTGGTCAACGAGCCCGAAAGCAGATCGGTCCCGATCATGGCCCAGCACCGGGCAGTCACGGCAAGCGGCGCGCCATAATCGAAAGTTACATCTCGAGATGGCGACAGCAGGTGGGTCCAGATTTCTTTCCTGTAATGCGAATCATCATACCCGACAAGGACCGCGACCGAGGTGTGTACGGTCTAAAGGAGAAAGCCCTCGCCAGGTACCTCATCAAGATTATGAAGATTGACAAGAACTCGGAGGATGGCTTTGGACTCACCAACTGGAAGGTCCCAGGGATAGGTTCGTCATCATCAGGCGATTTTGCCACTCGCTGTCAGGAAGTACTTCAAAAGCGTCCTTTCAGGACAGAATATGGAAGCATGACGATTCAGGAGGTGAATGATCAACTCGATAAGCTTTCGGCAGCTCAGAAAGAAGAGACACAGCTTCCCATAATTGCCGACTTCTACCGACGGATGAACGCTGCTGAGATGACTTGGCTCATCAGACTTGTGCTTCGGCAGATGAAGATCGGAGCTACAGAGAAGACCATCATGGACGTATTTCATCCGGATGCAGAAATGCTTTTCAATGTCTCCAGCAGCCTGCGTCGAGTATGCTGGGATCTATACAATCAGAATATCCGTCTCGAGCGCGAGAACACTGGAGTAACGCTCATGCAGTGTTTTCAGCCACAGTTGGCATACTACGATGGCAACAACTTCCCAAAACTGGTAGAGTATCTCCATCGCTACTCCACCGACGACGATAAAGCCTTCTGGATCGAGGAGAAGCTAGATGGAGAACGGATACAAATGCATATGCAGCGGGATCCTGGACAACCAGGTGGCTATGCCTTCAAGTTCTATTCACGAAAAGGCAAAGATTACACATACTTGTATGGCGAGTCCTTAGAAGACAAGGAATCGTCGCTGACCCAGCACTTGAAGAAGGCATTTCGTGACGACGTTTCTAATCTGGTTCTCGACGGTGAAATGGTTACTTGGGATCCCGAGTTCGATCGGCCTGCCGCCTTTGGAACGCTGAAGACCGCAGCCCTGGCCGAGAAGAGCAACCCTTTTGGAGGCAAGCTTCGGCCACTGTATCGTGTATTCGATATCTTAGTGCTCAACGACCACTTGCTCACGCAATATGAGCTGCGGGAGAGACGAAAAGCCCTCGAAAAGACCGTCACAAACCCAGTATATCGAAGATTTGAGCTGCACGAGCACATTGTGGCTTCAGCACCTGATGAGATCAAGGCTCGCCTTCGTCACGTCATCGAGACAGGCGCTGAAGGTCTTGTGTTGAAGAATCCTCGAACCTCATATTCTCTCGGCGCACGTCTCAAAGACTGGTTGAAAGTCAAGCCGGAGTACATGGAGAACTATGGCGAATCGATAGATTGCCTCATCATAGCAGGCTACTATGGCTCCGGCAAGCGTGGAGGGACTTTGTCGTCCTTCCTGTGTGGTCTACGTGCGGACAAACATTCCAAGAGATTCATTTCGTTCTTCAAAGTCGGAGGTGGCTTCGCAGCTGGTGACTATGCTACTGTTCAGCATAAAACCGACGGCAAGTGGCAGGAATACGATGTGAAGAAGCCACCCAAAGACTACATCACTCTCGCCGGTCCAGCTCATGCTCCGAGGGAGAAACCAGACGTTTGGATCAAGCCGGAGGACAGCCTCGTTGTCGAATGCAAAGCTGAGAGTTTCAGAACGTCTGACGAATTTGCGACAGGCATTACTCTTCGCTTCCCACGGTTCAAGAAGTTTAGGGACGACCGCAGTTGGACGGACAGTCTAACTTTTGATGAGTTCCGGAACCTCAAGTCTCGGCTTGAGGAGAAAGAGAAAGAGCAAGAGGAGAAGAAGGAACAGTTCAAGGCCGAGAAGTCTCGAGCAAAGCGGCGTGCCCTCACCAACCGAAAGAAGCCTCTCAAGGTCGTTGGGTATGGACTATCATCCCAAAGTGGTGAAGTTAAATCAGACCCTGAAGCACGTGTGTCCAACGTCTTCCACGGTCTCACGTTCTTCGTTATGACAGAGTCCCTGCCACCCACGAAGAAGACTAAGCCAGAGCTCGAGGCTATGATCAAGAGCCATGGCGGCAAAATTGTCCAGACAGCCCATCTTGCTCCGCCTAAGGCTACCTCATTCACCAAGAAAGACGAGGACGGCGAGGCTTTTGCTCAGCCCGAGCCTGAGAAAGTCATCTGCATTGCGGAGCGCAACCCTATCAAGGTGGCGTCACTGATCAAAGCGAATGATACACTCATCGTGAAGCCGGCATGGATCTTCGACTGCATCGCTCAAGCGAAGAGGGATTTTGCACATGGATTAGAAGAGTTCCCACTTCTCTTCGAGCCTGACAGACACCTGTTCTTTACACCGGACGAGCTGAAGGGCACTTTCGATGAAAATGTTGATAAGTATGGCGATGCCTTCTACCGCGAGACCACAGTGGAAGAGCTTGAACAGCTTTTCAACAAGATGGATGATGTGGCCAACAAGAGCTCCTCTGCACCAAAGACAAGCGCCAAAGCCCACAACTCACTCGCGGATGCTGCTGACGGCCTCATTGCACAGCAAAGCGAGTCAAGCGGCACGGAGATGAAGGGCTGGATGTTCAGAAGACAGACTCTGTACTTCGACAATGCCACCACGACCGATACGTCCGACATCAACATGACCCTCGCCTGCAACACCGCCCTCTTCGCAGGCGCAACCCTCGCAACTTCAATCGACGATCGAAACAGCACCCAGATCATCGCTTCGCCATCAAGCAATCTACGAAACATCAGGAAGCAGCTTGCAAAGCGGGGTAGTCAGAGCAAGATCCCTCGCGTGGTCACACCGCAGTGGATCCTTGAGAGCTGGGAGGCGGGTACGCTGCTAACTGACGAGCGCTTTGAGGCGCGGTAGGTAGCTAGCTAGCTGACAACGTTCTCTTCAAGCAGGGAAGATCACAGAAGTCAAAAGCCTGAAACACGAATTGACTGGTGGCTCACGGACCGTAGTGACCAACGAACCCCGCGCAGCTGCGATATATCGATCAATCCTGGCTGATGTCTGTAGTAGGAGGTCAGTGTCGGGTACCGCGTCATCCGGTCTGAAATGAAATTGTTCGTCAATCGGTCTCTACTCAGCCTAAGCGTCAACCGGCTCGCGTGAAGCCGACCGCTCCTGCTTCCATTGAGCAGATGCTCCTTCCCTTCCGCATGTGCCCGCCCGCTCCTTCTCTTCTGCAGACGAAAACTGAGTCATGCCTTCCACTTCCATGCTCCATAAAGTGGACCGCACCTGCCATTCACGTGTTCTTCGGTCGAGCTTATCTACAACCGGTTGACAGGCAGCCGCATCCGAAACCGGTTGACGAGATCCGACTTCCATTCACACTGCTTCGACTGAAAGTGCGTACCCAAGCCCATCCGTCGCTCGGCTGAACATGCACGAGAAGCGTCATGACCATGGTGTCTGCGCGATGAGTTTGGCGTACCGACACTGTGAACTGGAATACACGCTGCAAGACAAGCAGGCCAGGCTCAAGCATAGCATTCGGCGTGCATAAATATACACACGTATAAAACCAAGTCTCGCATTTCCGCGGTCCATCGTTGACAGCTTCGTCTGACTATGATGCTACAGTGTATCCATCAATGCCACACAAGTCCCATACTCCGTTTATGCGTCCTTTCTGATCATGCCCGCGGCCCAGACTGTCACAGAGACGCGTCCTCAACGAACAGCATGCAACGACGTGCACTCCCAACCTTTCTGGAACGGCAGTAATTAGATCTTTTCCTACAAAATCACGCTGCTCACAAGAGCTCCTAGCTCCCGGGTCGGGAGTGCGCATCAGCTCTTGGTGTGTCGACAGTGTTCCCGTCAGCAGCAGGAGCACTTTCCTGCTCGACTGCTGGGCCGTTGCCATCCTGAGGCGGTCCTTCCGATAGGGCAGGCTCAACCGTTGGCGCCGCCGTAGGAGGCGGAAACAGCTCCTCCAACAAGCCCGGCAAGAGCCTCCCAACCCTCTTCGCCGTCTCCCGCCACAGCTCCTGTTCCACTCCTCGCGGCTTCTCCTGCTGCTGCTGATGTGGCGGTATCAAATACCCGTCACCAGCCATAACAAGCAGACAATTCTTCACGCCTTCCATCACGGCCTCCTGCATAGTTTCCTGCTCGCCATTCGACACGCCGCTGTTGAGCAGACGATCGAGGTAGTATAGCGTACGCGCCCAGATGAGGATTAGCCAATTCCTCTTCTCGATCTTCTTGGTTGGCGACTGGGGTGAAGTGGGTGCGTCAGCCCCTTGCTCTTGCTGGAGAGCCTCAGAAGGCACGACCTCTTCCTTCTCCGTGACACGAGGGGGTAGTACAGCAAGAAGATCACGATAACGCAGGAAAATATTGCAGAGCAATTTCGCCGCCTGGACGCGAGTTTCGCTCATGCCCGTGGGGTCGATTTGGTAGACCTCGGGTTTCAATAGCCGCTGAATGAGCGCAAACAGGACCTCGGTGAAGATGTCGGTCCAGGGATGGGGCTGATCAGGGCCTTCCTCTGAGTTTGGCTTGACCGACTTCTGACTCGCCAGGTCTTCCGACAGCAAGACGCGTTGCAATGCACTGATTGCCCTATTCCGCACATCGCGGCATGGGTTCGTACACTGCATACGGAGTGACCGAAATATTGGACCCCAGTATGCTGTCCAAGCCTCGCTATACTCGAGATGTGACTGCGCTATAAGGGTCGGCGTCAGTTCTGTGACTTTGTAAATGAGTGTGACTGCCTGCAGAGCTCGTTGTACAATGACATTGACTCCTGGATTGGGTTTCGCAGGTGGTGGGGGAAGGCCGCGACGGCCCTGAGTTGGTCGTTGTTGTGGAGCACCAATACGACCAGCAGTTGCGAATTCATTCGCAAGATTGATAGTAGCCTCGTAGTTATCTGCAGTGACTGCACTCGGCTGAGTGCTGGTAAGGGTATTGAGGATGTTGAACACGCTTTCTGCCTGAGTCTTGCGCTGGTGAAGTCGTTGTAAGATGGACCAGAAATCAGGAGAATTGGTGATCTCGTTCCTCAGTGGCGTGGACGGAGAGATGCATTCTGCAAGGCCTTCCACTATCGATGGTGCGGCGATAGTAAGAAGACTGTCGTCGAAGCTGTTTAGGCTGTGTAGGACTACAGGAGCGCGGATAAAATCATGCTCCTACTTCTTGTTAGTTCTTTCTGGAACATTTCTCAAAGAGGCAATCTGGAAGTACTCACATATGCGTGACGCAGAAGCTCAAGCAGGTGCCGTACTACCCTAGACACAGCCACAGGATGCATGTTTGAGGCGTCCCTGACATGATTCTGCAGTGTGCTGGCCAGCTTTTCTCCGGCTACAGCTATTGTCTCCTCATCACGTACCGAGAGAATTGTCGCAAGCTCTAGTAGAAAGACTGTCCCTGGATCATACTCCGGACCCGATCTCTGCCTGTGGCCGTTCGCCCTCGACGCATCAGGAAGAGGTCGCTCTGGCATCACAGTCACCACAGGAGTGGATTCCTCCACATGGGAAAGGAGCGCATTCACTAATGACTTCGTCTGGCTTGCTGGAATTCCGAACATGTGACTTATGACTAGGGCAGGTTGACATAGTTCGACACAGGAGACGGCACTTTTAGTGTTCTCAACCTCATCCTCTGATGGCTCCGGTGGCGCATAGAAATAGTTTGCAAAGGTCCGACTCCAGCCACTTTCACCCGCTCTCCCATCCTTGTCCGTATCCTGCGAAGGCGGCTGTAGAGCGACAGACTCAATTCTGGCTAGTCGAGCATCCTCGAGCTTCGGTAATGACACCAAATTGAAAGAATTAACGAATAGATTCCGCACAATGCGGACAATGTAGATCCAAGTGTCTCCGATGGCGAATTCGTGGCCTGTCAATATCCTGAATAGCAGCACTGTTGAATATTGTGCTTTGTAGTCCCTACCAAGTCGCACTGCTAATTCGGATACCATGATCTTCCGGTCGTCCTCGACTTGAACCTCCGTGTTCAGTGACGTGCTTGGCGGGATCTCAGCAGCCAGACCACTGACCTGGCTTAGACTGTAGACGATACGATCGAATGCCTCGGTGATTTTGTATCTGGCAGCAAGCTGCGCGCATTGGTCAAAGCCCACCGCGATTCGAGAGAAGACGGCGTCGTCTGAAGCAGACATGAAGACATATGTGAGTGTAGCCACAATAGGTTTCCAGGTCGCGTTGAACATTTCCGCATCGAAAGTGTTGGTCTGACATAGGTCCAGGGGGCCTGCATCGTGGGTCTTCATGAGTAGCTCTTTCCAAGCATAATCGAATGCATGCTTGTTGTCGTGCTCATCAGGGAGAATGATTTCATTGTCCTTGATCGCATCATATATCTCTTGCAAGTATTCCAAGGCGAAGTCTTTACCGCCATTGACTCCTCGCAAATTCCGGGCAAAGTCTTCCGGTGTCATCCTTTTCTGCGTCTTCGACGCGTTCGGATTGTATAGGTCCGTGTTCAGCATGATGACAGCATATGTCAATACGAATGCAGCATCCTTGTCGGCAATCACGCCAGCATCATCTTCTTCACAATACTTTTCCGTGAAGGTGCTAACAATACGTTCGATCAGGGCGGACTCGCCTGGCAATCGGAAGGAACCTAGCACTTCCCTCAACGCCTCATCGATCCGCTTTCCAGCAAATTTAAAGAGACTCATGAATGCTACGAGCAACGGCTGGTTATTCTTCTTGCTCAGGAACTCACCAAGCTGCTTCTTTGAGATATGCGCGGTGCTCTTGAGGAATTGAGCAATCTGCATAGGGTCGTCGGGAATGGCAATGATGCCATGCTTTGTCAAATACGCCACGCCTGCTTTTGGGTCGTCATTGAACTTTGCTGCGCCTGCCTTGACTAGTCTTTTGCGCATTCGCTGCGCTCGAATCTTCGCCAGCTGTTCAGGCGCGTCCTCTGCAAGTGGCTGATGTAGTCGATCTGCCATAAATTGGATGAAGCTCAGTAATGAATCTAAGCACAGCGGAGGGACACTTGTCGTGCTCCATGTTGCTGCGTCGGGGAACGCATTCCGCGATAGCAGGCCGATCATATCTTTACACAGATCCTGCCTGTCGACGTCGCAATCATAGTTGACGAAAAGCTCCACCATAAAAGTTGGTATTCGGATCAGAGTGCCAATATGCTCTATCATCGCCTCTCGAGCCTCCGGCCTCCTTGCGCCGCCCTCAAGACCGAGCTTTTGACGGTCCTTGATCGGCACTGGAGTCGACCGGCCACTACTTGGCTGTGATGGTGCCGGCCTGACCACCGTAGGTGTTTGAGGGATTCCGTCATATAGCGAAGGGTCGATCCCGGGCTCGGGCGGTATCGGAACCTTGGGATGTAGGCAGGCCACAAGATACGACAGGAATAGCTCCTGCTGGAGCTTCAGCAGCTGTCGACAAGTGGCTAGTAGTGTCCCTGCCACGCGCAATGAGCTCCCAAGCAGCTCTACGCTATCTGATCGGACAAGCTGAAACAAATGCCGGCACAACGAATCTTGCACGAGATCTGCAAGCATGGGCTGGCGAGCGATAGCAGGCCCAGCAACTTCGAGCGCCACATCAATTATCCTCAAAGCCATGATCCGCATGGGATCGGTATGAGTACGATTGTGTGGATCGAGCAGATCGATCAGAACGCGAAACAGCTCTTTTATCGAGGGCAAGCCGTACGGTCTGATGTCCTCGGTCGACTCGCCGTTCGACTGTACCGGCTGAAGCTGCTCGAGCGAGGACGTTGGCCGGTCTGCAGCATTGGTAGCATCGACACGGGGTCTGCTCTCGCTTCCTTCGATGCTGGGTCTCCCCTCAGCTGAGCCGTTGCCCATGACACTACCATTCATGGGAGGGTCTATCCTGACATCGTCCGTAGCCACGACGCTCGCCAGTGTGCCCGCCCTACTTCGTGCCTTGGGCAGTGGTTCCTCAACCTTGAGCTCTTTTAGCCGCCCGAACACAACTTGGCACATGGTGACCATAGCCATCTCAGCACTTTTGCGCAGGATCTTGCTAAGCCGTGCTTGACAGCCCATGCTCAGTCCCGTGCTCATCATCTCACATATGCTCTCGTCGCCTAGTAGTTGACCTTCCGGCCTCGTCATAATGCTCTTCATGAGCTCGAGTATTCGCAGCAAGACGTCCTCGTCGAACCAATTGTTACTTGCCTCGAAGCGGCAGTGAGTGATGGCCGCACTCAACAGATGCATAGCAAAGGATATCCTCGGACTTTGCACCGTGATGATGTTGTACGCAAAGAACCTCGTGACAGAGTCGACCGCCAGACTCGTGATCGCAGCGCTCGTAGATGACGATCGAATGACCTGCAAGAAGGGATGTAGCAATTCCGGTGCATCGACCTTTGAAATGTCCTGGCAGCCGGCCAGATCCCTCCTTAAACGTGCGAATGCAGCTAGCAACGGATCGTCGGCTAGACTCTTGCCCTTCTTGCCACGCAGACCCCATCTACTTGCCAACGTTGTGTCCGAATCTTCCTCTGCAGGTTCGCGGTTATTCGGAGTAGCAGCTCTGCTGGTCGGGTCTGGGATGCTGAGTCTGCCAGCAGTCCTCCTGGCACGCTGAGAGGCTGACCGGAGGATGTCCTTCTCCTTCTCTTTGCTCGCCCCGCCGCCGAGTATGGTCGATATGTTCGATTGTGCCCACCGAGGGTTCTTGCGCATGGCCGATGTAATTGTTATACATTCTGTGGTGATGAGAGCCACCGCGTCGATGGCGATGGCTGGGCGAAAAACTGATGGACGTCGGCTGCCGTCAAAGGGCTCGATCGTGTCAGGCGAGGTGAGCTGCATCCTTCCAAATAGTGGCTCAACGTCGGCTTGCGTCTGCAACGGATCTAGTCCTTCTGCCATAGTGAAAGACGGGTCCAAATCGCTATAGGTGTCTTCCACGAGACCGTCCAGGCGCGTTGCTACGTGGGACACATGGACGAGTAAACGAGCGACATCTGCCTCCTGGTGTTGTCAGTGGTCCGTTCTGTTGTTGCCTAGCGATGCTGGCGAATATGGACAACTGTTATTTACCTCGTGGTCAGTCCGTCTTCTTCAATGATCTAGCGGCGCATTTGACCGCGATTCTGCCGGTGCGAAACGTGTCAACCGGTCTGGCCTGTGCCTGTGTGCCTGCCCTGCGCAAGTGGTAAGCCGCGGTGCTCAATACAGGATGTCGCAATTTATGTGGATAGCTGTTGCGTGTAGCATGCTCGTTACTGCCAGTGTTTGAACGATTTGACAGAATGAGTCTACTCAAAACTACACAATAACGCTCTTCGGGTATTGATCTGTACACTGTATGCCTTCCATTCCCCAACTCCCAAACGCCCGTCGCTTGCCAATGCGCAAATTCAGTCCAACATCCTCTGCTTGCCACAGCAGTGTACAGAGATTGCACAAGTACCACCACAGCGTCCTCCAAACCCGTTCAAGGCCCTTTCAAGGCTCGCCCGCAGGTGCACTAGCCAATTCCTCGCCCTCCTCCAACAAGTCCGAGACCCTCGCCAGATTCTGAATCGTCTCCTTCCCTTGCCCAACCAGCAGCAACTTGTCCGCATTGTCCGGCAGACCGAGATACGCCGGCGGCTCTCTCTCAGGCAGCTGATCGACCCAGCCCATGAAGTCCTTGATAGTGGTTCCACTCGGCACCTTGAGTGGCTCTGTGCTCGCTTCAGACACCAGAGCATGTTCATTCTCATACGCAGCAGGATCAAAGATCTTGCGCACCAAGTCTCCAAGCAGACCAAAATCTCCCTCGTCATCAATCTTGCCTCCGTACATTTCCATAATCAGAGTCCGGATCAGATCCCACGGTAGCTTGACAGGCGCCACGTTGGAGCGGCCTTGCGCGACGTGCTCAATCCAAGTATCAATGATGAAAGCGCAGCATTCGTAATCGCTGTCGTTGAACTCCCAGAAGCCCTTCCAGCCAAGTGTCGGCGCGTATCGAAGGCGTTCCTGCAGAATGGCGTGAAGGAAGCAGAGCAACAGGTAAAGTCGGCCCTTCTCCACAGGCGCTTGTGTACCACGATCAGACAGAACAGCTAGTGTGTCCTTCATATTCGCACGCATACCAGCAGGCTGTTCGTAGACTAGTGCCCGTGATGCTCTGATAAGGTTGACTGGAATCTTGGGGCTTGCTTCCATCGACAGAAAGATACGGAAGTCGTCGTGAGGCTTCACTGCGGTCAGACGTTTCTCCAAACTCTGCAACCACTGCGGCGCGAGGTGTACATTTTTGATCAACACCCAGGTTCCGTTAGCGGCAGCGCTCGTGATGGCTTTGTCTGCGCTTGCAACGCTCTCTTCCGAACCCATAGCGACGTTGGCACACGAGGCATTCTGCTTCTCGACGAGTGCATCAACCTTGTAGCTGGCATCAAAGCCAGGACTCGACATGAGCGCAATGGGGACGATGCTGTTCACTTGCTGAACAATGAGGCTCAGACTGTCGTCTCCTGCGAGGATCTCTGTACCAAAAACCTGCTTGACTAGGTTCTGAGCGGCGGGCATGAATCGGTCTGGCCGGGCAATCTTGACAACCAGCAATCGCAGAAGCTCGTCATCGATCGTATTGTTGTTGGACTGCCACAACTGCGGTACGTAGCGTTCGGCGCGCTCAGCAGACATGAATTGTAGCCAGTCTTTGCTTCTCTCATCAACGACAGCGCCCTTGAAGGGCGGCTGTCGCTGGATCTTGGCAACGATGTCTTTCATGGTGTCGGATTGCTTACTTGAGCTGCTCGAGGTTGGTCGCTCGTCCAGGACTAGCTCGAGGATTGATCGATCAAATTCGTAAGGCGTAGCTCGAATTAACAACACCGCAAGAGCAATCCGGTCTTTCTGCAATAGTGACAGCGATGTCCGCTGGAACGTTTCGACGAAAAGATTTTTCAAAATGCTTTCGCCGCGCTTTCTGTGGTCTTTCTCGTCGCCCATGTTCTTGGCCTTGGTGAGTACCTCGCTAAAGATGTCCGTGAAGTACTGTAATGAAAAGCGATATGTGTGATTGAGATGGTACAATTGCTCCAGAATAGCGAAGATCGCACTGCAAGCGTTGGCGATCCAACCATAGTCCTCTGTGATGCGCTCGACCTCGGTCATGACGCCTTCTGTCTCCTTCATCTTCTTCGAGATCACTGCAGCTTCCTTCTTGAGTGTCTCAAGTGTCTGAATTACATTGTCGTCGTCCAGAATGTTTCCACGAGACTCATTTAGAGCTTGAAGAAGCCGCTTCTCGAGCTGTCGCAAGTTGGTATTAAAATCTCCTTGCATCTTGATCAGATTCGTGCGACGCTTGTCCACATCTGGTCTTTCAGACTTGAGGACTTCGTTGAGTGACTGCGTTCGCAGACTGCTTTGTGTCACCGTGAAATTGACGAATGTGGTACGACTGCACACATCAGGTGCAAATCGAGCCGAGGGATCCCTCGTGGAGAGGTAGAGGCGGAAGCTAGGCGAGAAGTCGATTTCTTGCTTGCCAAGCTGTATCAGAACACGCCCACCAGTCTTCTGGTATTCCTTGTTGAGCACATGGGTTAAGATCGGATCGAGATATTCCGCATCCTGGATCAGGATCGGGTTGCCGAATCGTAGCGCGCTTTCCAGCTGCTTGGTGAATGCATCGTCAAGGAAGCTCGTCACAGTCAGCTTGCAGCCTTCGTGCTCCCGCTTCAGAAACTCGGTCACCCGGCTGGAGGGATCGATGATGAGTGGATACCGATTGAAGCGCTTGACCATGATCGCATTCTCCATGCACAAGTCATCGCCAGGAAGTGTGTTGCGCTGCCACTGAAGACGTTCGTCCGCAGTCGACATATAGCCCAGTACGCTGGCATCGCTCTTGCACGCAATGCCGGATTGTGCAAGTTGGTGCAACCAGTCATCCACCATAGCCTTGCGAAACTGCTGATCATAAAGACCCGCATAAGCCAGGAAAGCGGAAGCAATCACCACGTCTCCAATGAGGGTCTGAATTTGTGTTTCGAATGATCGGCTGCCATCCTCCCATCTACCACGCTCAGAAGATAAGCTGTCCAGAAGACGAACACTTCGATCAACCTTTGTCTGCACGCGGGACATCTCGGTCTTGATCTCCTGGGTCTCGCTTATCAAAGCTGCATATTCGGTCTTGTATGTTGCAATGCTCTGCTCCAGTTTGAGGATTGTGTTCTCAATTGCTTTCGCCTCAGCCTTGGTGGTCAGAGCTTGATCCTCCAATTTCTCGACCTCTGCTCGGAGTGGTCCGACACGATCGAGAATGGATGAGTAGTTGACTTGTGCCTGCACCCACTGCACGAGCGGACCACATGCCTTGCTAGCGCGATTGACTCTCTCGAACGTGAAATCATCGTTGGACAAGAATTCGCGAGTCATCTTCTCTCGTAGCGCAGCCGTCATTTGTGCTTCGTTGTCGTAATTAACGATGCTTGCGATGAAGTCCTCACGACGGACAATGCCCTGAATGGTTTTCCAGCCGTCAACCTTGTTGCCAAGCAAAGTGCAGACAGATTCCAGTGCAAGCTTCACACCGTTGGGTGGGTTGGCCATCGATCGGACTTCCGTAAGATGCTGCCGCTTGATGTTGCTGACACTACGTTGCGCTTCCAGCACGGCAGGCTCAGCTTTTGCCAGGTCGTTCAGTACAATCTCTTTGCGTTCTGCGACCTCTTTCTCTTGGATCTCGAGCGCTGCTTGGATCTCAAGCGATGCCGCCTTCCGAGTCTCGGCTTCTCTCTGGTCAGCCACCATTCGTTGTAGCTTCTCGTTGGCCTCTGCATCTTTGGCCTCAAGTTGCGTCTTCTTCTGGGCAAGGCTGACTCTGAGGTCGCGAACTTTGTCTACAGTATCCTTGAGCTTGTCAAGACCAACATTGAGGTGGCGCTGTTGATCTTCGAGATCCTCGCGCTTCTCGCGAAAGAGCTTGACGAAGTGAGCGACGAAGTCCAGGTAGTGCCGTGGCGTCAGATACGTGATCATGCCCTGCTGCTTCTCCAGACGCATATTGATCTTGTGAATAGAGTAATGGATGTAGACCATCGCGTTGACGATAGAATCACGATGAGAGGCGGGTAGCTGGAGACCACTGTAAGCTACAGGTATGCTGTCAGGAGACTGAAAGTTGGCTTTGTCCAGATCCAGTGATTGTGTAAGCTCGAAGCCAACTTGGTATAGAGCTTGATCCGACCAGTCGCCCATCCAATTGAGGACGCAGCGATTGAAGAGCGCTGGTGACGTGGCAGCTTTCGAAGACAGGCCTTCCTGAGGCGGATTCATGGTGAACACGACATGTAGGTTGCGCACGATCTGCTGCGTGAACCATTTGTACAGCTCTTCCTGCGAGTCCAGGAGCAAGCCTTGGCGCTGAGCCCCTTCCTTGCAGGCGGTCATTAGAGAAGCATACTCGTCACCTTCGAAAAGACCCGGGACTTCTCCGTTGGCAAGCAATGTGTTCATGCGTTCGAGAAAGCCGGAGTCGAGCACGTTCGACTCGTCCATGATGAAGCACAGCTTCTGACCCTGGGTTCCGCAGCGACGTAGCACGTTACGAAGATCGTCATCAAAGTCCTCTGCAGAGTACTTGCCGTGTACTTTGATTTGGAAGACCGAGAGGCCATTCATCCATGCCACAAATCGTGACAAAGTGGTCTTGCCGCTGCCGCTCGTTCCGATCAGGATCAGATGACCTTGTGGTTGTCTGAATACACGATCAATGCGAAGAGCGTGTTCGAGCACATCGTTGAACAACACCAGAGGCACGTCCACCTCTTCTTCGCAGAAGGTCTTGAGACGGGCCTTGACAAATTCGCGGAGCTGCTCCTGCTCAACGGAGACGTAGTTGCGAGACAGCCAATTTGAGAAGAGTATAGGTCCATGCAGGGCAGAATCAATATTTGCAGATGGGAAGTGCTCCAAGGCCGTCTGCCGGACCATGTCCGAGGTCCAATCACGCTCTTCTTGCGTGACAAGTCTATCCGAGAACAGGCGCAATGCTTCGTGTGCCCAGACCCGAATGAGTCCCTCCTGTGAGAGCTGCTCGAGTGGCGAGATCGCTTCATACACCCCGCGAACCCATCTGGTCAGCTCACGCGGAGAATAGACGTAGTGCGGCTGAATATCTGCTGTGAATCTTGCCTGAGACTGAAGGAAGAAGCCAACCATGGCACGGGTCATGGCATCAGCAAATCCCCGAAGGCTGGGTATGACCTTCAGGACCGCATTGTTGAACGTGCCATAAATCTGGTGAAGTGACATCTCTCCAGGGTAGTCGACCATGACGACTGGTGCATGGCGAAGGAAGCGAGTGCCCATTGCATGACGACCTGCGTCCTCGGGCGGGTTACAAGCTCCCACGAATTGGATGCGCTCAAGCGAGACCCAAACTTTGTCTGAGGTTCGCCAGAAGCCGTTCTGCTCAATCAGCTGCCGGAGGAAGCTAATCGCTCGTTGAGTCCCGTACGTGTCTGGTGCAGGCAGATTGATCTCATCACAGAATATAACAAGCCATTTGCCAATCTGAGTCGGCGAGAGGACCATGCCATTCAGTGTCTTGCGATACTCGCAGTACTGCTCGAATGTCTTGACAATCAGATCTGGTTGCGTGGCACTTGAGAAGTTCAGACCCACGACTTCCATGTCGGGCAATTTTCTCAGAGCACTGAACAGGGTCATCGTCTTTCCAGAACCGGGAGGCCCACAGAGCATCAGGGGCTTGTGCTCGGCCAGCCATGAATACAGCACGTCCTCATGACGAACGGTATCTACGGTCGGAATGATGACATCCGTCTGCGTGATTGAATGTGTGTTCACCTCTATAGTAGGGACTTGAGACTGCCATGGTGTCCATTGCGCTTGCGGCAGAGTGGCATCGTAGTCGATCAATGATGTCGAATCATCCAATGTCGGCACTTCGGTGTTTGTGAGTGTAGCAATGTAATCTCCGAACGATTTGCGGATGGCTAGGGATGCATCACCGACCAAAGCCCACACCGTCGCCAGGAGTAATTCCTTTGCCACATAAGCTTCCACCTGCTCGTCATCGAGGGGGAACTCAGGATGATTGACGTTGTACTGCAGGATGTGTCGACATGTTTTGACCAACAGGGAGAAAAAGCTGTCCAGAGCTCGCGCGACCGTGAACTCCATGATATGTTTGTAGACAGCAGCCTGCTCGAGCGCTTTGAGAAGGAAGTCGTTGCGTTCCAGAAGCGCTCTGAGCACGCCCACGATCTGGAGCTGAGTATTTTGGACCTTGGCTGGAGCAGAGCCAGTCCCGATGTCTTCATCGATGTCGTCGAAGCTCCGACTCGCGATATTGCGTAGATAATAGTCGATCATGAGCGATGGTGTCACAGTGTCATCACTGAACCACACCATGCCACAGCGACTCACAGTAGCCAGAGTGGCATATTTCAGGCTCTCGACCTCGAACATGATGCGGACATTTGATGGTAGATTAAGCCGCTCGCCATTGGGAAGTGTAAGTAGCTTGTTGTCGTCCAACACACTGTTGAGATTTTCCACCCAGACTGGATCGACCTCGCCATCAAAGATGATCCAGTGTCGCTTTGAGTCCTCGCCACGGAGATTGTCGACGATCCTGCGAAGTGTGGCTGTGAAGAGGCCGTCGGTCCATTCTCGAGTTGTGCTATCAAGGCTTCCGTAGAGCGCCTCTTTTGACATGACTTTCGGATCGATCAAATGGTGGACACCCTCAATGCCATCGACACGCTGGAGCGCTTGCTGAAGGACTCGCCAGACTGATGTCTTGCCGGAAGCCGAAGGTCCGACCATCATAACACCGTGATGGATGTTCTGGATCTGGTACAGTTGAATGATCTTCGTCATCCATGCCTCTGTCGGCGTGAGGTTTTGCTCCTTCATAACTTCCGCGATGGCCGTCTTGAGCTTCGTCAGGTCAGCTGGGACGTACTCAACACCGGGAAACTCCTGCTGCTGGACGTCGACCAATTGTTCCACGTCAGACTTGATCAGCTTCGGCGACACTGTTTCTCGTATACTCTGAACAATGATCTGTGGTTCGGTGATTTCGGCTGTGGCTTCGCCTGACGCCTGAGCTTGTACATGCATTCTCTTGAGGCCGCCAGAGCTGACAAGAACACTTTTCAAAGCACGCAGTCCGAAGTCATAGTGAGGCTGTTTGGACAGCGCTCTCGCACAATGGTCGAAGAATGGCACAACTTGTTTTGACACTGCCTTGGCTTGCTTGAAGCCTTGAGAGAACAGCATAACTTCGGCGATCAGCTCTTTGTCTGGCTTCGACATCGCAACACTGCGGAACAGCTTCTTCAGATTGTCAGGAAGGTTAGAGCGCCCAGCGTAACCCGGATTCATGGTGATGAAAAGACCGGAGTTCTGATTGACTCGAAAGCGTCGCCCAACGAGTTCAATCTGGGCTTTTTGCTCGTTGGTACTGTTGCGAAGTCCAATCTGAATGTTTTGAATCTGTTGCGAGACGGCGGAGAGGATACGCTCTTCCAGACGATTGAACTCGTCGAAACAACCCCAAGCACCGACTTGACAGATACCCAGGAAAATGCGACCCATGGCCTGGAAATCGAAGGTGTCGTCACAGCAGAACACAAGGGTGAAACGACCGAGTTGAAGCCCAAGAGCCTTGACCGATTCTGTCTTGCCTGTGCCAGCTGGACCATATGGCGAGCCTCCCAAACGCTGGCAGAGTGCTTGCGTTAGAGTGAGGAAACAGCGATCGGTGAGTGGTGTTCGCACTAGGCGATCTGGAGCTCCAAGGTATTCGTAGCCATAATGCAGTCGAGCATTTGCCATCTCTACTGTGAGACGATCAAGCGGCTCAGCTTCAGGATTGTAGACATAGCGCATGCATAGTATCCAGAGATGGTGACCAGGTGTATTGGCCTCGGCTTTCATCAGCCTTGCAATCACATCGCGTTGATGAACAGCTTCGGTAATGAACTGCTCGCATTTACGGCGGGTGAGTGCTGGAAGATCTTGCAGCACACTCTCCGCTAGCATCTCAAGAATCCGAACCTCTGCATCGTATAGTTTCGACAAATCGGCACCAGCTGCTTCCAAAGACGTTTGCACAAGCTTTGTCCATACCGCTTGCGCGCCAAGAATGGCAATCTGCGTGGGGAATTTGGTCAGATATCCAACGAACTGATCGACGTTGAGTTCAGGCGACTGGAAGATCGACTCAAACTCGGTAAATGCTTCAGCTAAGAGCTCTGCAAGTGTAGCTTTGACGTTGTTGTCGAGCGCGGTCAGCCAGTCATTGATCTTCGGCAGCTTGATGAGCGAGACTTCCTTCTTCAGTGGTACGACTTCGCCTTCTTTCGATGAGATAGCAGTGATGATATTGTCGTCGTTGACTTCCGCGCCAGAGATACCAGCAAACATCTTCTTGAAATGCTTCGCAACTCGGGTGGTGTCGTTGCTGTTGCCGATGATCTCGAGAAGGTCCTCGTCGCCCACGAAGTAAAATCTGGGGAACTGAACGCGCTCGCGCTCAAGATACTCGCCAAGGGCCTTCTGGATCTTGCTGAGCAAGTCTGCCAATCGTTCTAGGGACTTCTGCACACCCGGAATTCCAAGGACGTCCATCACGAAGGGGGATTTCGTGACCTTCTTCATAATGGTTGTGAACTCGGTGTTGATGTTCGAGAAGCGACTGGACTCGGTCGGCAACAAGTGCTGGATTTCCTGATTGCCAATGAAGACACCTTCGAGATAGACCCATTGCCGTTGTACGTCGATCCAAACGTCGAACAGGACGTGTACTCGATTGAGCTTGTCTTCCCAAGATGATGCTTCTTCTTCGAATTCTTTGTAGTAGGGCGAATGACGCATAGCTTGTAACGAGTTCAGATTCTCGCTGCACTTCGTGAACAGATCGTCCCAGCCGCGAATCAGGCGGGTCTTACTCTGGTACATGACCAAATCCAGCGAGTAATTCTGCCAGGTGTCGCGGACTTGCTTCACGAATTCTTCCAACGCGAGTTCGCCCTGAGCCTGCAGGATGATGTCCTTGATGATCGACTCGCTGGAAACAAGCTGCAAGTCCCACACGTCGCCCAAAGTCATTGATATCTCAGAGTATCGCTTGCTGGGCTTCAGAGCTTTGAAGATTTTGGCCCAGTGGCGTTCCCGAATCGCATCGGATTTCAGCTCACCCAGCAGAGAATTCGCTTTGATAAACTGTCGAAGCACATTCTGCACATGTTCAAAGGCGGCGTACTGGCGCATACGGCTGGGCATCTCCTTAGCCATCTTTACCAAACCTTCCAAAGACTGTCTGATCTTTCTGGGTTGTACGCTTGACCATAGGCTTTCTCGTAACTCGTTGATACTCTGCCAGATCGTTGAGAGCGCGGACCAGACGGATTGGAAGTCATGGACCTCTTCAATAGTAGCAGCAAGATCGTCGTCTTTCGTGAAGGGAAGTCCAAGTGCTTCCTTCGCTCGTGAGACCGTTTCAAGCTCTGATTGCAACTTCTCGAATTTGGTCTGGAAGGACCGCAGCAGAGCTGATGCCTCGTCCGGAGGGATTGTCCCAGATATGGGTCGCTCGTCCTGCCATTGAAGAGCTGTCTCCTTGACGCGAGCGGAGATCAGGGTATCCTCAGCTGCGATTTTGGCTCGCAAAGCGTCAGTCTGTTCCTCGACCAGTCTAGCCGTTCGATTCAGGATCTCCTCGAATGCGCTCCATTCGTCACTGATCTGATTTGCGGACAGCCAGTCGCTTGCAAAATTGTATCGTTGTCGCGAGAGTGCGGTTTGACCCTGACGGAAGACCTCGATTTCTGGTTCCCACAGCGTAGCATTCCGCTTGCACTGCTGCACGATGGTTATAAAGGCCACAGCCTGAGCCGTCGAGCTGGTCTCGAGCGACTGATTCTCGAGGTCCGCTCGGCTTCGCTTGAGATCTGAGAACACTTCACTCATCCGACCGCCAAGCAGCTTACCGAACTGCATAGTGACATCGTACTGCCATTGATCATACTTCTGCGTAATCTTGGCTTGGATTTGCTTGTAATTGAAGCTGACAGTGCCGAAATCCTTCTGGTCGCCAGAGGTGTCAAATGTCGACCGTGCGTCTCGGATCTCCTGCAACAATTGGTGCCATTGTGTCAAGTCTTCGCCCAAAGCCTCAGCGATGTTGTCTGATCGAAGGTCCCACAACGACTGATATCTGTACCACTCTTCGAGGTACAGAGACATATCGCCAAGCTTGCTGTCGACTGCGTCAAAAGCCGTCTGCAACGAACTAACACTGCCTTGGACAAGATTTGCGAATGTCGCATCGGTCTGTACAAGGCTTGCTGCTGCAGACATCTGGTACCGTGATGCTTTGATCAGCCGCAAATGGCACAGAACGTTGAGGTACTCCTCAAGATTCACCAGCCAGGATGCCTTGACGTGGTTGAGTGGAGGCTCTGTGAAGATTGTTTGGTTATTCATCAGGATGCCAATTTCGATGCGAGGAAAGCTGATTTGATGGACATCGCCTTCCTGAGGCTGTGCCTGGAACACCTCGCCCTGCGATGTAGAGGAGAACGACTTGGTCCAATATTCGAGGGCGGTGTCCAATCGGTCTTGGAGGATGATGCGCAGGTCGCTGTTCAGTTTCTTGACCCACGAGTTCAGATGTGCGTAATTCTCAAGATTGAGCTTATCCACACCATTTTGGACAGTGTCAAAATGCGCTTCGAAGGTCTTGAAACTGTACGCACAAGACTTCATCTCATTCATCGCCAGAGTGATGTTCTTCGAGATCTCCTGAAGAGTCCAGGTCTTAGATTGAAGGACGGAGATGGCTGCCGAGAGGTCTCGCACATATTGAACGTGCTTACTATCCGACCGAACCACAGAGGAACTGCCATCGCCGTTGGCTTTCTCTTGTGGGAGCTCGTAGATGTGTACGAACGACTCCCACCGCAGTGGAACGCCCTTGGAGAACAGCAGCTGTACATCTCGCTCATATCCGATCAGAAGTTGCGAGACTTCCGGCATGGACTGGATAGTTCGCGAGACAGCCAAGTATGCAGTGACACTTTCCATCAGGCTCAGAGCGAACGGGTAGACACGCTGTGCTTCCTTCGAGACGTTGGAAATCGCGTGCGGGATCTGGAAATTGAGCCAGGTCAGGTTTCGCACTTCCTTGAATAACGAGATTACGTGGTTGTCAAAATTGACGCCGAACTCGAGGGCGCCAGTTGCTCCGCGAGCACGTGTGATGCTGAAGAGTCTGCCTGAAATCTGCAAGTTCCTTCGTTGGACGTCTGCAAGCCATGCCTCGTAGATGGTTCGTGTGGTGAGCTTCTTGCGGAAAAGATCACTTTCGGCGTGCAGCTTTGCACCATCGGCGTGCAGAGTCCAGTCTTGACCAAGCACTGCTTCGACCTTCTTCATGAGAATGTTGAGCTGATTCTCAATTTGCCGTACCCACAGAATTGAGCCCGCCACAGGAGGAATGTCACGCAATTGAGCCATCATCTGCGTCTCTGAGCCGCCATATTGAGCCTTGTAGCGTTCGTGAAGTGCTGCGATATCGTTCTTGACGTTGTCCAGGAGCTGAGCTTGGTATTCACCAATGGCACCACGAACCTTAGGTCGGACGAGTAGTGCGTTGAACTTGGCGAACACCCGGAACATCTCACCAGCTGTCTTTGCGGTCGCGAGTCGATCTCGTAATCGCGCTATGATCGAATTCTCGACTCGCGACGTACGTTCGGTGTATTGGAGCTCTGCTTGAACCCAGATCTCGGTGCCATCTGGTGATGTGTCAAGCACGTCGACTTCTCGGATTGCGTTGTATGCATTAGCAACTTCTTGCACTGCATCGACGTCTCCTATGTCCTCGAGTATGGCGACACCATCCGAGCTTCCAGGTCGCGACATTGAGTCTGGGCCAGATTTTGGTCCGAGGACGGATGCAATCGTCTTCTGCAGCTGCTCATGATTCCGTCGGAATGTTCGCACATACTTGATGCGCTCTTGCGTCTGCACATGACGAGGGTTGATCTTGATTGGCACAAACTCAGTGTTGCGTTTGCGAATTAGGTCTCTTGCGATGGCTGTAAATTCTCGTACGGACTCCTCCCAAGTAGCCCAGATAGAATCCGCTGCACGAACGATGTCCTGGAATGCGGCGTAAGTGAGGGAGAGCAAGGGCTTTCCACGCAGGACTCGATGTATCTGAATGTTCAGATCTTCTGAGATACCCTCCACCAGTTTTAGTGCGCGCTTGACAGGATAGTTGCTGCTCAGTCGAAGTTTCTTGTTGATGTGATTGAAGATCTGGGTTAGTGCTTCTTGGACCCTGACCAAACTTGTGGCTGACGACAGCTCATCGAGTGGAAAGTCTCTCATCAGCACATTGTAATTGTGCACAGTGGTCTGAGCAGGTGCAAGATTCGTGTCCTGATTCAGACTGATGCCTGCCTGGAAGCGCTTGCCGTTGTTGAGAATGTCCAGAGTCAATAGTACGCCCGGACTTTGGAGCGATTTCTCGACTCGGCTGAGGGCTGACTCTAGTGACAGCCAAAAGTTGATCTCCTGAGCCGCGGAGCCGCATTCTGAGTCTTTCACGAGTTTTGTTATGCCCTGAATAGACTTAACCCAATTGTTGACTTGGCTCTGCACGCTGTTGAGCACCTTGGAGTCGTCTAGAACATGGGCAGGTATCATTGAGATACTCGGTGTCTTGCCAGCCGCCTCAGCCTGTTGCAAAACATCCGCCACAATGGGGTGCATCGACAAGTTGACCATGGGGATGTCCGTGTTCTGCTGGAGGTGCAGCAGGCTCATCTCCAACTCGCCTAGTCGTCGACGTGCGCCCGGTATCCCAGACTTTGCTTCGGAGTCATACCACATCCGACCAGCGGAGGTCTGACTTCGGGTGTACGATTCGAAGTATGGAGTAACGACATTGTGAAGAAGGGAATGCAGGACCTCGAATGGTGATGCGCCTGTAGTCTCGGAGGGACCATCTTCGTCTGGTATCGCTGAGCTGGGTAGTACAGTGGCATTGATCTGCTGTGCGATCGGTCGGCTGCCATCAAGACTGACTGCCTGTTTCAGGAAGACGATGGACGAGACGGTCGAACGGGACGCTGAGAATTCGGAGGATATGGTGTATACATGCTCTATTCCTGATGCTTGAATTAGCAGGTGACCTCGTGCATGACGTATGAACGACTTACTCGGTGTATCATCGTGGCCATTAACCAATTCGTCTCGCCGGTCCTTGTGGGCATAGAGTGCGGGTTGTGACTCTGTAGAGAATTGGGTGACTTTCTCGATCGTTCCTGCTCGTTTACTCTCTGACAGCAGACTACCGACAGCTTCGAGTTCTCTTCTAGCGGTTCCCAGCGACGTCTCGATCAGACTCGCGATATGTTCAAGGACTGCTAGCGGATCTGGAGGTTCGAGGACTGGAGGGGGCCCGGTGCCATTGGTGGCAGACGGGCTGAGGACTTCCATCATCGGCGTATTCGAGGCCGCATTAGTGATTCGGTGCCTTCCTGCAAAGCTCAAAACGCCGGTGCAATGCAGTGGAAGGCTTCAAAGACGTATGATGGGGGAAGATAGTGTTGACTGTCTGGACGCTGAGCGGGTTCAACTTTCGGACTGGAGAACACGCGCCACGCGACATCTGGATTGGTTTTAAGGTGGAGCCTGCAACTGCCGTCTAAGCCGGTTTGAGCGCAGCCTTTTTGCATGAACGGATCTCCTACCAAATCGTACTAGTTGCGATCGACAGCGCCGGTTGACTGATCGATGCCCGCGGTATGCCTCAGTGTTTAACGGCATATGTGGCTGCTACTCTCGCATGGGGATCTTCGTCGCTCGTTATTTGCTACGACGGCACGACAGATGGATCTTAAAATGTGATGTTCTTACTTGCGTAGTCGACTCTGCTAAGGGCGATGGCATTCCAGCGATGGGACTGCTTGAACCTTGAAATTGGAATATTTAGATATAAAGTCATCATCATTACCCGACACCCAACTCGCATCAAGATCGTCCCATATACTTAGAGGCCATTACGTTCATCACATTCTCTCGTCCAACCAACTTCTTCTGAATACATGCCTGTGTATAGTCTGACTCGCTCATGAACCATTCGCTGCGTTCACATCAACTCATCGCCCAGGACTCCTCCAGTTCCTGTCCCTCGAAGCATTCCATTCTCTCGCCGTCCGCCACGCCGGCAGCACCACACTGGGCAGGAAGTCCTCCCGACGCAACTGGAAGTCGACACTCTCTGATCTTCCGTCTCAACGTGCGTGCCTTCGTCAAAGACACCCACTCACGGCACTGCCCATTCCTGTCCTCTCGTTGTGGCGAATGACCTGCAATAGCTAGATCAGGCAAAATGAGTCTCCGAATGATAGAGTCCGCCCAGAAGCTGGATCTGTCGTCGTTCATGAAGCTGAATCGGTGACGCTGTCGCGGACTTAACCTCAACTCGCGCCCGCAAGTGCCGCACATGGTGGATGTCCAAAATCCCGCAGTCCCAGAGGTGGGGACCCAGAGCCATACGTGCGTCTGGATGCTCACAGTCATGGAGCAGTCTCCCAGTCTGTAATAGTAAGATGTGTTTGACACGACCACCTGCTGGTGGTCGTGACACTTTGGCTGTTTACCTGGCAATGCCGACTTTGTTGTTGCTCATATTTGTGACTTCTCGAACTGCCATGGCATACTCCAAATCGAGCTCGGAAGACCCATCGTGAGACCTAGCAGGCGGCCAGCTGTCCCGGTTGTTGATGATAGGAGCTTCACTCGCTAGTCTTCGAGGTCCGTGATCGACATGGTCTAACGCATCAATGGCATTCTCTTCCAGGTCTCGGTCACGGGATGCATTCCGAGCGATATTGGCGTATTGATCTGGGCCATTGCTTTCCTCCATTTGCCTCGCATGTTCCCAAGTTGGCTTGATGTAATCGTCGTGGTCGGCATCTGGCATACGAGGGAGGTCGGAGATCGGAATTCCATTTCCTTGTGGTGGAGGCTCTGCCCAGTTGTTCGCGTTGACGACGCGCTCGCGGTGGGCTTTCATCCTACTATCTTCATGGTCGCCAGTGAAGCTGCCCATCCGACTGAGCTTGAACGCTCGAAGTCGGTCCAGTGCGGTCTTGAAGTCGTCCAAGACGACGGAGTCGGTCAGACATTTGAACACAAATGACAGTTTCCAGAACGGATTGATGCCGACTGGGAGGGCATTGGATAGCACGTTCGTGACCGACAAGATGTCCAGCACAATGAAAATGATAGAGAGCAGCATGGCTCCGAGCATGACTGCAAATCGAGGAGATATCCGGACAATTTGTACAATGGTCAAGTCGTACTTGCTCTTGATGTTGTACATCAACAGAACAGCTGCCGCAATCCACCACGGATCCCTGCGATTGTCAATTCAAGAATCCAGAGGACAGAGCGGTTCTCGTACCTGCACAGCGCTTCATATGGTCTGGTCTTCAAGAAGACTGTGTTGACATTGTGGAAATAGGTGAAGTTGGCATATATCTCCACGATCCAGTAGGGAAAGGACAATATGATGGTGCCGATGAATATCCTGCTGACATTCCTCGAAAGAAATGGCTTCAGCTTCATCCACGAAATGATGTTGTGCAGACACCAGCTCGCATTCAAGGGTATTGCGGCGACTGAGAGCCACCAACCATATATGGGCTGATTGAACAGGATGAAGAAGCCTTGCCAGTAGCCCATGACCAACTATCGTCACTAGTCAGTCTCTGTTCAGACGTGCGAAAACGTACAACTCACCTCAAGTAAAATGAGCTTGTGCAAGAGCACTCCACGTCGCATGTTCGCAAGAGTAATACAGCTCATGATAATGAGCGCGCCGACCATGAAACCCTCAGCCCACGCCTCGAGGACCAATCCATTCGGATCCGTGGGCTTATTGACTTCTCTTGACACCAGCGCATGAATGCCATTGTTCAGGCTGGACTCGGGAACAGGACTCATTGTTCCTGAGCACGGTCCCCACTGACCAAGGACTCGATCGTCGTTCGTTGGGGAAAATTGGCGGACTGTGCGCAAGCTCTCTTACGAGCATTCTCGTCGGGCGTTCATACTCAGTCACTCGATAGACGCACGATCAGACGTGTACTCGGCGAGACTGCACTTTTGAAGTCGCTAAATGAGTGATGTATGAAGGATCGACAGAACCGGAGTGGTGGGAAACGAGCAGAAAGAGGAGGCGAGTGGGAAACGGGCTTGCGCAGCACAGGACGATCTGGGGGAAGAAGGGCGAACTGAGGGCTAGCCCAATCGGCCGGTCGATGAGCCAGCCAGCCAGCGAAAAAGGTCTCAGACCGGCGGGCAAAATCACGACAGCGCCCACAGAAAGTGAGGAAGAGGCCCCCGCACGGTCTGGGGCGTGGCCACGAAAGTCGCGTGGTGAGCAAAAGCTTACCGAGGACGCCGAGCCAGATGATTCCGGGGGTTGCAGAATTTTAGACGACGCAGGGGTCGTGAATTAGCCTCAATGAGGCCCATAGGCTTCCGCTCGCACGAGCACGAACCATTTCACCAACACGAACGGGACCACATCATCTTCCTGAGCAGCCATCTGCCCAGGACGCCGCGGTTCAACCCCGGATTTGCGACGGAGTGTCAGAATCTAAATCAGTCAGTCATGATCATTGGCAACAAAAGCGAACAGGTCTTCCTGTCATTGATGCTACAACTGACTCAAGAGCAGTAGTGTTACGGGTTCTGCAGCGCCTTCTAAGGGCCAGCGAGAAGAAATTTTCGGCCCCAATGCGAGACAGCGCCCACCCCATGAGGGAGTTGCTGTTGTGACTGACAATGCTTGTACTCTACCTTGGATGCAGTACACACCGTCCGGCGCCAGCAGGTACTCATTCACAGAGACACTCTGGAGAAGGCCGAACAATCGTGAAGGTGGTGCTCGATCGAAGGCCCCCGTGCCCCAAAATCACGAGCTCATGAAACGAATCATGCAGGGCACTCATGCACCTGAACACGCAAACCAGGCTAGATCTTGAAGATAGCCAGTCTTACTGCATCTGCTTCTACCATTTTCGGATACTCCTCCGTACCTTACTGAGCGACTCGGTCACGGGAGCCGAACGCAAACGTATTCGAACATCACATATTCAATAGGTTCTGATCATGTCTGGCCTCGCGGACGAGTCAGTCCTGCACTATTAGGATATGATGCTGCCACAATGCCCTCAGATATCTCTCTCGTACACCGCGAATGACAAAAGATGGTCGGGACTAGTTCATCGCGCATGTCGATGAATCGGTGGCACTTCCTCAGACTGCCTTTTGCAGATCGTCTTCGTTTGAATTGATTCCGCTGCAAGCGATGGTAGCCAAACTGTCATATCGGCAGGCTGACCATCTGAGACCGACGTCAAATGCATCATCACTGCCGATGCTATATTCGGAGACCTGTCCCAACTGGCATCGGCGCAGCGACCTGGTGATACAAGCCTGCTGCCAGAAGCTCAACCCATCGATTTCGTCGCCTGCATGCCTGCGAGGACACCGGCCCCAATTATACCGCCATCTCGGGCCTCCCTGAGGAAGACGCTCTTGCCGCCATCTTGAACGCCCGCCCGCATGACTAATCTGTCTATGAACCGCTGAGTCTGCTCCTTGAAATTGGGATAATGCTGAATGATGCCTCCAGTATATGCTATCACAATCTCTTCAGGACCTGCCTTCCAAGCTGTAGTGCCTGGCGCTGGCGACAGGCCATCTCGTGTATTCCGGTCCAGAGCCGACAGAGCTTTGCCTTTTGCCTTTGGCGACGGAGGCTTGCTATCTGTCTCCATTGGTACATCCTCCTGACCTTTCACTGGTTCCGCAAGCGCGATCTCGTTCGTTGCCTTGAGCAGACCGACTGTCGCCGCAGCAATGAGTCCGGCGGATCTGACCTGGACCAGATGAGCGATCTTGCGTAAAGCTCCCGCAGCGTGTGGAGTCCAGCCCCAGTTCGACGACTCTGGTGGAGGTATTCGTCTCTTGAGCTCACCTGCAAGCTCGGAGTCGGTCCTTGCACGGGCTACTACTGCACTGACAAAGGTGGTGGTGAAGCTGTAGCTGTGTACAATGGTTGCCGGTAGCTGGGCCGGATCCAGACGTGGCTTGTGTGCTTTGGTCATGTAGTCGAAGAAAACGATCCTGATCAACTCGCCGATATATCGTCCACCAGTCATATATTCCAGTGGTTGAAAGCCCGGCCGAGCACACGCGGCATCTAATTGACGATCCCAGTCTGTTGTCACTTCTGCTAGTGGCCCACATGCGCCTGAGATGGTGATTTCGGTATTAACCACTGTCTCCTTTGCATCTGGCGCGACTTTCTGTATCTTAGCGACTTTCTCAGCCCCAAGGTCCGAGAACTTCATGGGAATTGTTGCGTTCACACCGGTGCCCACAATTATGCCAGCTGCTACCCTAGAGTTTGGTAAGGACTTGACGCTATATGCGAGAGAGGTGAGGGTTGCAACTGTGTCGTTAGTAATGGCTGCAATCTTGAGCTAGGCAGAGGTCCTAGTCGCTGCCGTTTCGCTCTTGGCTCTCCATCTGGCGATTGTCGTCGGCGTGTATGGCGTGCATAACCTTGTAGTAAGGTAGGGCCAAGGTCCAGATCTGAGTTCATTGTGAATCCTTTGCCCATCGGCATCAAGGTGGCTGAAGCCAGGTCATCTTGCCTGCCGAACGTTAGCTTCAAGCCCGACAACAGTGGGCGTGAACGAACATCATGGGGAAACTGAACGTGACGCCCATAGTCAGCTCCTCTGGTGGCTCCACTCTCCCCATGTCGGCGTTGAGCCGATCACTGACAACCTCTGCTATACAGTCCCCAATCCACGCGAACAGATCCTCGGTCTTGTCCATCTTAAGATGCTCACCAATCGGCCAAGCCTTCTCAAGTGTTCGCCTCACTCTGGGTCGTTGAGCATCTCTGATCGGATCACGTGACCTTTCCCCTCCATTCGTGGGCGGCGCCTGCTCGTCATGTTCACCGTCGCCGAGTAGTTGGATGTAAGCTACCCGTAGATTCGTGCCTCCCACGTCAATCGCAAGAAAGGAACCAGTCTCGTTTCCAGATGGCAGCTTTGTGACTGGCGTTGGCAGGAATTGCTCGTCCGAGTTCAGCGCAAGTTGTCGATAAACCTTGGAGAATTCCCATGCCAGTGAGTGGACTTGGGCATCGTTCATCTGCAAAGGCTGAAGATATGCCTCGAGCTCCTGTTCCTGGTCGTCAGGAGGCGGCGTGCCATTGCTAGCTGTCTTCACGGATGCCAGCTCAGACATCGCGTGTCGTTTGTCTTGTGGTTTCCGTTGGCTTTGTCACGGCACCTTCCTTTGGAATGAGGAGAGGCCCGGATCAAATCCACGAAAGTGTCAGAATCCAAGATCTCAAGGAACTGGGGCCAAAAGATGTATACGGAACAATATTCAGATGAATACTACGTTGCTGCGAGGGGATATCAACCGGATGTAACCTGTAGACAGTGGTGGAAAAGCAGATGAGCAAAGTACCCTCAACCAAGAAACGTCAGCCTCACAAGACCACGAGTTGCTTAAAATGCAGCTCCGGTCATCGGTTGGTCACAGTCGTTGTGCAGAGGTTGCTTTTCACTTTGGGTGGGACGTGAATCAAGGGGTCTGAAGGCTCAAGTCTCCAGGCCTGCCACATGGCAAGGTCTAGCCTGGATCCTTACGCCTTTCCGCGCCATTAGCTCATTCGCGTAGCCTACTGTCGGCCTTGTTGGGCGGCAGTCTGCCCGATGATTGACTCGCCCTGGTCAATAGCGCTTCGCATCATACCTTAGCGCTGTCCGCTCAGCTGGTAACATATATCCTTGTGCTGAGCGAAAGCTGTCATTGCAGACGACTCGATGAAGGAAAAGGTTGGGTTCCGTGATTTAGAAGATGGACGCGATATACTTCGTGACTACTTAGTACTACTGGTAAAGGGCAGTTCCCCACCCCGAGAGCTCTCATCTGCAGGCTTCAAAAGCCGCGAAGGCGTTGAAACACGCGGCAGGGCTCACCCCGCGCACACTCCGAGTCATTTGCGTTGACATCAGCGGTATGTTCGTACTTATCCGTCGCAAGGAAAAAGGATCCGGGTCACCGAATTGATCGTCGCTGACAGCGCGCATGAACCCGACTTCCTCCGTCGAGCATGTGTACAGTGTACAGTCAGAGGTCGGTTGTGTTCGCTGTGCACCTTCATTTCCCATAGAGTCGAACTATGGGGAGCCGAAGACGTGGGGGAAGTGCAGGGCCCTGAAGGCTGAGGGCTCTCGATCGCTTCCGGGGTCTGGTGAACTTGCCAGGTTGTGACCACAAGTACTGGGCGTTTTCCTACAGCGGCCTCCCTGGCTAGAAAGCTCACCGGGTATCAATCTTTGCACTGACATTCAAGTGAAGCTCATCTCAAGCACACCGACTCCATCAGTTTGACAGTGCCAGGCCCTCAGCGCCCTCCCTGGGCGAGAAAAAGCAGCCTTTGTGGCTCAGGAATGGAAAGTGGTGCTTGGAGAAAACGCCCAGTACTTGAAGTCACAGCTCGCTTGCAAGGGCAGGCGCCAAGATATTTGCCTTTCGGCGCGGAGCAACGTTCGTGTTAGCACTGCAGGCTGTTGCAATTCTCATATTCGCATACTCACCGTCGGAGCCAATTTCCAAGGTTTTCATTGTGACTTGAGACAATAGCAGGACAGCATGTATCCTTCGGATCCAGAGAAAGCGCGTCTATCTGTGGAAGGTCTCGCCGAAGAGGAACCTCAACCACGATGCTCTCCTCCAGCACATGCCACATGGCGACGACGATCTTTGCTGTCAATACTCCTACTCGGAGTACTCCTTTTCACCATACCACGAACCTCGTTCAAGTCAATATCGAGACCTCTCTGCCCACACGAGGGACGTCGGAGCACGGCAGAATCCGGTATCGGAATGAATGGAGATGACGAGAAGATCAAATTGGAAGCACATATAATGTCTAAATGCCCGGACGCTCGAGACTGTCTACAAATGATGGTGCTGCCAGCTATGGCGAACGTGTCAGACAAAGTCGACTTTACACTGTCCTACATTGGGACGGTAGATCCAAAGTCGGATGCAGTGACCTGCATGCACGGACCTTCTGAGTGTTTAGGAAACATTATACAGCTTTGTGCGGCAAAGATCTATCCGGACCCAAAGCAATATCTGGGCTTTACCAACTGCATGATGGCCGATTACAGGCAGATTCCCGAACGAAGCCTGGTGGAAGAGTGCGCATTCGAATACGGAATCGACTTCAACACACTGAATGCCTGCATCAGCGATGAAGGAGAGGGCATCGAGTTGTTGCGCGCGAGTGTTGAGCGGAGTCGCAACGCAGGCGTGACTTTCAGTTGTACCGTGAGGCTCGACGACGAAGTTCGTTGTATTCGTGATGGCGGCCAGTGGACCAATTGCGACGGAGGAAGCAAGGTGACGGACCTCGTCGCCGATATTGACGAATTGTACAAGAAGCGGAATCGGGATCTGTGAGGCGAAATTTGCTGGCGTTTGATTCACCACCATGATACCCCAATGGCTGTCGGTTGGCCTCGAAGAAATCAAATATAGCGAAACATGTTTTCGCGTACTCCTCGTTTCATCGACACAGCTTTGCCGTCTTCCAACTCAAGACCAGCTTCCCCACCGTCCCCAGACAGGCCCTCCATGGCCTTTCGAATGTCTTCGTCCGACTGCGTAGAGCTTCTCTTGACAGTGGACTTCTGAGCCGCTGCCTTCACAGCTCCTTTCTCCACGGGGTCTTCTTTGTCACTGCTTGACGATGCATTGTCTTGCGATTTCGTGGCATCGGATTGTGCCCTAAGCTGAGAGCCTATTGATAGGCGTTGTGCTGTGACAGCGGATGTGCGTTGGCCGACTCTCAGCATCGCTTCAGAATTGATCGAACCAACGTACTCCTTGACAACAGAAAGGCAGATGTATCAGCCATGCTGAGTGAAAAATGCCTTGCCTTGCCCGAGTTTCCAGTCACTCTGTGGTTGTGAAGTCACCCAATTCCGGGGTCGGCTTTTCATTCCGTCTGGGCGGAGTTAGATACTTATCTCAGGGCTGCCTGACTGTGGCCATATCAACCAGAGCCCTTTCACCATCATCTTAGCCACCTTGTCACCACCTCACCACTCTATCTTTCGCGGAGGCTAAGGTCGCGTTGAGTCTAAAGCCGCGCCGCTGCCATAGAGCGACTGGTCTTCGCAACAAGACCACAGCTCGAGCCGCTGAGCCACGAACCGTCTGAGTGATACCCCTCCAACCACCTGTCAAGATGGCGGCAGCCGCACAAGCCCAGTACTATAACCTCTACAGAGGCAGCAGGTGAGCTACGCCATCGCGAGCACGAGATCTTGCCGCAGCGACTCTCTTGCGATATTGACGTGGCTATACTAGTGTTGGCGAGGCGCTCATCGATGCAATCGACGAGCTGATCAATCAGTCACGGATCGAGCCACAATTAGCGATGAAGATATTGGACAACTTCGACAGAGCCATGTATGAGAATCTGAGCGCCAATGTCAAGACCAGAGTGACGTTCAAGGTTTGCGCAGGTCCTACAGGTAAGGAATCATCATTGACTTGTTCTGTAGGGCCACCTGGAGACCTATCGATTCTGCGACGATGTGTGGACTTTCCTTGTCAAGGACGTCAAGTTCAAGTCGGAAGGCATGACCGAGTTTACTGGCGACAAGGTCAAGATCATCAGCTGTAATGCGAAGAAGCCAGGCGAGCAATGATTGCTACCTTGCAAAGCGGCATGGTGGGCTACCGGCACTGTGGTTTTGTACGACTTATGAAACATTCGCGCGGCGTTGACTAGGCTTTGGGTGTGAGGCAGGAAAATCTGCACCGATCATGGCGTTCATGGGCCCTTCGCGGCTTTGTATGTACGGAACAATTTGGGCGGCGAACACGAAGATGTTGTGGTTATACTAGACGCCAATTGATACCCCAGATCAAGAAAATGCAGAACGGCTTTCAGAGACTCATCATGCTAATCGCACTTTCCAAGTCAACGCTTTCCAGTCTCGTAGTTTTGCTTCTAAGAATCAACGGTCCAGTAATGCTAGCACAGTTGTACTCATCGTGATCAAGCGGGCCCGAAGTCAGAAGGCGGCCGTTGCCAAGCCTAGGCCTCTTTGGCGTTGTTGCCTTCTGTTACAAGGCATGGTCAACAGACTGCTTCACAACTCTCTACGACACACATTAAGTCATGATCACGTCTCACCGGCAATGTTTGACTGATTGGAAAGACCACCCGCCGTAAGTCCAGTCATCGTTCGTGCCACAGCTCGATCATTATGGCGCGTAAAAAGCTACCTTGGCTAGCTGATGCCAGCACTCCATCTAGACCATCCATCAAGCGTGAAAGCCCGGGCATAACCACCCCGCCACGGCAGCGCAGCATAAAGGACTGGCAGACGACTCCACGAACGCCAGCTTCAAGACCTCGCACGCCACAACGCCTATCTGATGCACCACAACATGCCGTCACAGCCCCGGACCCGATGAGGGAAGGATTTGAAGCCGACGATATATGGATGATGGTGGAGGATGAGTTCAACGAAGTTGCGAAAGCATTCTCTGCACATTTGCACCAAGCCGAGTACGAACGACGTGTCAAAGCAGCCAAGGAAGCTCCTCCGAAGTCACCACCTGTCCCAGCCTCGCCAATGTCCAAGGCAACGAAACGCCGACTGGGCCAGGATAGCTTCACGCCAGACAGGCCGCTTCTTTGACACAGATTGGTATTGAGCCCGAAGCTATAGATGCTGGTGGACAAGACGACGATCCCTGGCGAGGGACACATCTTGCTCCCTTGGTCTCGGTTGGAAGTCGGAAGAAGATATCTTTGAAAGGGCTCGATCGGCTTCCCAGTTCCAGTCGAGCGGCACAAGGATTCTCAAGGGTCACAGAACAGCCAACCACCAAATCAGCCGCTACAGCAACGGCAACGGCATCGAAGTATGCACGTAAAAGTGCTGATGTAGAGGACAGCCATTCTGACCTCGCCAGTCGACCAGAGCCCGAGTCTGACAGACGCAGGTCGGTTCGAGAGCTCCCGGCAGAGCTGGTCACGAACCATGTGCGATCTGACAAGTCTTCCCGAGACACGAGCAGAGCCTTCCCACCTGTTCACATCAATGGAAACCCACTGCCCAAATCGAGCGTTGCGAAGAAAAGATCAACAACGGCAAGATCATCTTTCAAAGCGAAGAAGGTGAAGAAAGAAGAGGTGATCAAGGAGGATCCTCTTGAAATGCCTATGTGGTAACAACAAGGCTGACGAAAACGGCCTCTCTTCGTGAACTTCGTGGTGCGCCTTCTTATCGACAAATTGGGTGCTGAACGCGATGCAGCAGGTGGTGGTTATACAATTTGTGGTGGACGAGCCGTAGTCTTTGCTACTTTTGTCGCATATCCAAATCTCTCAGACCCGCTGAAAAAGCCTCTACGCGGCTGGTGACGACGAGCATATCGTTGCTGCGACAAGGTTAGCAGACTGGCGGCATGACTGTCTTCGACGGTTCCTCACCCGTTGCTGTCTTTTCCGAGACACACAGTTTCTCGCCGAAAATCCGTCGGCAAGCCAATGATCAGTGGCCTTGGCCCATCGTCAATAGGATGAGGCCTGCTCATCTTCTTGCGGAGCCAACTCTTTCCAGCTTTGAGCCTATCCATTGGTCGTTTAAAGTCGAGACAGGGCATGTAAAGGAGCTTCCTAAGTGGTGAAGACGGCTAGCGTCTGTGTTCGAGCTCGTCGAACGTTCGAGGAGGGTGATAGTGTACACTGATGCTCAAAGGCCTTCTCGCAACGCTAACTGGAAACGCTGCATAAAACAATTTTTCTTATGAAGAGAAGAATCAGTTCAGATCATGATGGTTGAGGACGAGGCGAGATACATGAGAGCATCAACATCCCATTCTCAGGTTATATGGATGAGGGCTTGGGTGACGCCCTCTCACCTCTGACTTCGGAATCTGAAATTGGCTTGATCGTGCAGGGACCCATGCCAGCCACGTCAAGCGTGATTGTCCTGCTACTCAGACGCCACAAACCTCGGGATATGAGAATCTCCCCCACGGAAAGCAAAGGGACAACAGGAATGTTCAGCCCCCGTAACTGCAGCAAACTCACACAACATAAGGACAGCAACCGTGCGTTTCGCCAGTCGCCGCCGACGGCTTTGCAAAGACGAAAACACTCCCAGGTCATATAGGCGAACCAGAATGTCGGGGCATCAGTCGCTGTGAAACATCCGACATCCGTGTTACACAGACGACAACAACTCAGAGGATATCTCTCCGTGCGTCGTTGCACAGAAAGGTGGAGCGGAATGGGCAGCGCGCCAGGGAAATATCCGTCGATCAGACGGGCCCTTGCTTTGAATCCACATTCCGACTACAAGTTAAAAGTAAATCTGCCGGAGCTTGCCTACAGTACAACATCACAGTCAAAGTCACAGACAGCCACGAAAGCTATCATTCGAATTACGCGCCTATCGATCACATAGGCCTCGCTGCTGCATTCGCCGTACGCTTAAAAACAACTGCTTCTTCGCGTTCTATCTCGATCTCTTGGCTCTCCCTGTTATTCTCAAAGTACGTGATCTCCTTGCATTCCCCTTCATGCCTCATAAACGTGTTTGGCAGCTTCTCTGACAGCGTTCAGAATTCTGTCCCCCGAAGTACCCGCCTCATGTTTCACGTCGATCCATGCTCTTCGTTCACAACTCAAATGGAAGCATTCTCCGTGCCATCTCGCGAATCACACTGTCTAGCAACCAAGAAAGCTTAATGAAGTGGTAGTTCCCGTTGCCTTCATTCCTCACCACGTCAGGGGTGCAGACCCTGATCTGCGGCACAGTGTACTCGTGCCTGAACATCTTGCTGAGCATCGAGAATGCTTATTTAGGATAATTCTTGATATGCACGCTCCTCAACTTGACGAACTGCTCGAATCCAAATCTTCCCATACTGACACCCTTCCCACTCTCTTTCCAACCAGTCCATGCCAGGTCCGGCGACGGATAATCCGCGCGATTGACGAACACGGTCCCAGCCTCGACCTGATCCGCCAGCTCCTCGCCGCGTGGAACGTCCTTGGTCCAGATCGTGGCGGTCAGACCGAATTGGGAGTCATTCATCAGATCTATGGCCTCTTCGTCGCTCGAGACCTTCATGATGGGGACGACCGGACCAAAAGTCTCGTCTTTCATCACGGCCATTGAGTGATCGACACCAGTGAGCAGGACAGGCGCGACATAGTTGCCTTCGGTGGGCAGGTTCTTGAATGTGCTGTTTTCCGGTGTCTCGTCTTTCGCGCCGGCGGCTTTGGCGTCCGCTACCTGTTTCAAGATCGCCTCTTTCGCACGAGTGCTAACGACAGGGCCGATATTGGTGTCTTTGCTAGATGGGTCACCCAGCTTGTAACCTGCCAGCACTTTCTGCACTTCGCTCACGAAAGCATCGTAGACCTTCTCATGAACATACACTCGCTCGATCGAGCAGCATGATTGTCCAGAGTTAAAAACAGCGCCATCAACGATCTCGTCTGCGGCCCAGGCTGGGTCGACATCGGCACGCACGTAGCTGGGATCCTTGCCGCCAAGCTCCAAGCCAACGCTGAGGTCGATGCGGGATGCAGCAATCTTCTGGACAGCGAGACCGCCGGCTACACCACCTGTGAAGGTGACGTGGTTGACGTTCGGCGAGAGGATGAGAGGTTCGAGATCGGTAGGCGTGCCGCAGTGGACGTATTGGATGACCCTTTCTGGAAGTCCCGCTTCTTTGAAGATCTCAGCCATGTGCTCTGCTATCGTTGGTGTTTGTGGCGATGGCTTGAGGATGACCGCATCGCCTGCCAAGATGCAGGGAATGAGCGAATTGACGAGGATGAGATATGGGTAGTTCCACGCGAATATGACAAGCACCACGCCGACGGGTAGCTTCTCTATGTATCGCTTGAAGTTCGTCTCTGAATCTCCGGGCGTAGGTGCCAAGGCCTCCGGAGCGATCCGAAGCATATACCGGGCACGAAGGAGCGCAGTGGCGATTTCTTTGGATGTGTATGCGATGGGTCGGCCCATCTGCTCCGTGATCTCCTTGGCCAGTGCATCTTGTCTTGACTCAAGGATCTCTAGAGCTTTCTTGACGATGGTTTGACGTGATTCGAGGGTGGGATGTGATTTCCGGAAAGCCTTGAACGCTTTTTGCGCGGCTTCGCCTACTTGAAGGAGTCCATCTGCAGATAAGCCTTCTCGGGTCAGCACAGGCTTGTTTGTGCTCGGCGAGATGGTCGTGATATTTTCTGTCGACATTGTGGGTTAGTGAGTGGGCGCGATAGATAAAAGAAGAAGACAAGTAAGGACAAATATCTGAACAAATTTGTTCGACGCCCTGCGAATAGGTCTCGGCCCGTGTAATGCCCACATAGTGGGCTGTGGTTGCCTAACAAGGCGTCGAGAATCAAATTCGTCTAGCCTGGCCGAACTCGTTTCCGACCTCGTAAGTAGTCACCCCTCTCTGACAAACTCCCTTGGCCACGCCGATGGTGTTTCACTTGCTGTCGGCAATCAGCGTTGAGCTCGTAGCTCACGTTGTAATGCTACGCTACGATGTGATTGCTGATCCACCAGTCCCAGGACAGGAACACCGTCAACCCCATCTTTTTGCTATGGCCAGAATGGCTCATTCTCGATGATGTCTTCAAATTCACTTGATTGTTCCATGTCGGGTGGCCGCCAGACGGCTAGTCGCAATGTACAGTGTCCAGGTCATGACCAGACATATCGGAGGGTAAGTCTGGGTGAGGTGTACTGTAGCAATCTATAGAGATTCTCCAATTCGGCAAGGCAAACAAGCAGGTGAGCACCACCCAACAGTCACAAGACAATTATGGTCCGTCACTTGTACTGTGACTTGTTGATGGAGTGACAAAGACAATTTCCAGAAACCTGTCGCTCCGGAAACTGCTCGGCAATGTCTTCAATACATAAAGGCCGCCCACTTCCAGCCTCCTCCATCCAAAATTCTCTCTCGCGCCTTGCACCACCACCTTCGTCTAACGACTCGTACACCGGCACCTTCCACACATTCATCGTCATCCCGACTTCACACAAGATGCCTCCAAAGAAAGCTGCGGCTCCTGTCGAGGGCGGCGCCATGACACTCACACCTGCCATGATCGCTACCCTCCATGGTGTCCTCACAAACATGACCGACTTCACACCCGACTGGAACAAGATCAAGGCCGACACTGGCAAGCAAAATCCGTGAGTACGACTCTGCCAATCTCTTATTCCTTTATTGACAGATATTAGGCGTCGCGACTTTGCAGAGCTCGCTAAGAAGATGGGTCTCCTGTTCGCCAATGGCACGTTCACCAAGATCGAAGACGCCGCTGCCCCTGCTGCTCCGCCTGTCAAGAAAGCTGCTGCAACCAAGAAGGCTCCCGTTGCCAAGTCCGAAGATACCGATGCTGATGCTGCTGCCCCTGTCAAGAACCCTGCAGCGACCAAGAAGGCTCCTGCTGAGAAGAAGATTGTGGCTCCCAAGAAGGCTCCAGCTACCAAGAAGAAGGCCGGTGAAACTACTGGACCTCCGGCGAAGAAGCGCAAGACCGACGCCAAGGTCAAGGCCGAAGAGAGCTCTGAGGACGAGGCAAAGGAGGGATCGGGCAAGGAGGAGAGCAGCGAGGGCGACGAGGGTGGCGAGAATTCTCCGAGTGCAGATGAGGACGAATGAGCTGCTACGGTCCAATGAGCGCTGATGGCGGCGTGCTTTGTGTAGCTGTCACCATTGGTCTGCGACACTCGTGTTCTACGCTGATCCGTTGAGAAATTTGGATGACGAGTCATGATGCAACTGGGTGGACTTATGGCGTTTACGAGGAATCATTCACTACAGCGACCCCCGATCCAGCAGCTCGATTCACTGCACAGCACATGACTAGGCAACATTGTCGTGCCTACAAATATCGAAATCACTTCCAAAAGTTTTTCCTCTTTTCCTTTCCTTGCACACCTGCACCGAAAGCTGTCCTCCTGACCGCAATCTACCAAGGCGACTGTAAGTCTCCTGGCAAGCAGTCCTTCCCCAAGTCAAGACGCTGACACTCTGAAGAGAAATCGCAGACCACTCCACACAATTCAAGATCTTTGACCAAGGCTATCAACCATGCCGCCCAAGAAAGCAAGCGTCTCCACAGGTGGCGAAGGCACGCTCACTCCTCGTAACATTGCCGTCCTCTGCGCTGGACTTCGCAAGCTGGAAGGTATCAAGGTCAACTGGGGTGAGGTTGGCAAAGAACCAGAGGTCAACATCGGTCTAGCTCGCAATGCGTAAGCTGCCTTGGCCCAGCTCGTGGTGCTTACACAGCTAACACGCATTCAGTCAGACAGCCTTCCGCGACGCTCTCAAAAAGATGGGCCACGACATGAAGGGCGGCATGGGCGGTGCTCGGATCTTCCGTATCAGTGATGAGGAAGAGGCCCCGGCTGCCACTCCAAAGCAGGCTGTCAAAAGCGGCAAAGCTACTGAGAGTGGTGAAAGCGAGAATAGCAAGTCTGTGAACAGCAACGGAGGTGAGGACGAGGCCGAGGACAAGGACGACAGCGACTCCAAGACCCCGACCAAGAAGCGCAAGATGGATGCTGATGAGGCGACTTCAGTATTGGCGAGAAGAAGCCCAAGATTGAGGACGATGCATGAGCACCAAAGACAGGATTGGATTTCCAATGGTAGCTCGAGCTTTCTCAGTGAAGACGAACAAGGCATGAGTCATCGAGCAGAGACATGGATAGTCAGTCAACGAGAAGAAGTGAATGAGAACCTGACTCCCAAGTCAATGTTCGCACTATAAGTACCTCCTTCGCCTCTCAGCTACTTCTATTCTCCTTCCTACCTCTCAAACAACTTCCTTGAACCATCCACTTATCTTTCCAAGTTACTCAAGATCTCTTTTCGACTGATCCCATCGACACACACTCCAATATGCCTCCCAAGAAGACTGCCGCCGCTGCCGAGCCGACCGGTCAAGTCGCAACCTCACTCCTCAGAACATCAAGGTTCTATGTGCTGTTCTGCGTGGTATCGACTCCCTCAATGTTGACTGGAAGTCGGTTGCCGCAGAGTTGGATATCAAACGAGCTGACAATGCGTAAGTCCCCTTCGATGCTATTATTAAGGCCAAAGTCCTGACATATATAGCGGAACCGCTTTCAGAAATGCCATCAAACCGCTCGGTCTCAACTACAAAGCCGGCAAAATCTTCGCCATCGGCGATGAGGCTCCAGCAGCAACCCCGAAGAAGCTGGTTTCCAACAAGAAGACCAAGGGTAATGCCAAAAGCACCAACAGTAGTGGCGAAGAGTCTGATGAAAAGAGCAGCGGCTCTGACTCTTCAAACAAGCGCAAGAAAGATGCTGAGGCTGGCGATGGTGGCAATGTCGGCAAGAAGCCCAAGATTGAGGAGGACGAAGACTGAAGACGTCTCTGAGGTTCTGCGGCAGGAACAGAGTCCATTGAAGCGCTCTTCGGGGTCGGGGTGAGCGCACAGCTTGGCTCTGAGTGAAGTGACCAGCTTGTTGTACCTTCAGCCAGGAATTCGATCAAGTGGGTCATCTGAAGTGAATGAAATCACGCTTACAAACGAATGAAGCATCTGAGCTTGACTTCGAAGACTTCTGCCCTTTGCAGTCCGCCTTTTCTCTCCTCTCTCGCCCTTTCCCAACACATTCTTCCCAGAACATTCACACTTCCAAAGATGCCACCCAAGACTCCCAAGAAAGCTGCCAGCGGCCTCCCGGGAGGAGAAGATGTCACCCTCACCGCTCGTAACATTCAAGCCCTTGGTGCTGCTCTCCGGACCATCGAAAACTTTGACGTCAAGTACAAGGCCGTTGGTGAAGAGATTGGCATTACCAATCCTAGCAACGCGTACGCTATCCAGAGGCCGCCCTGATTGTTCTGTCGCTAATTATCGGTAGTCAGCGTGGTGTTCGAGAAGCATTGAAGAAGCTTGGACTTGATACCACAGGTGGCAAGATCTACGCTCTAAACGACGAGGCTGCCGCCGCTACACCTACCAAGATCAGCAAGACTGCCAAGTCCAATAGGAGCACTAAAGCTAATGGTCAGAAGCGCAATCCCGCTGATAAAGATGGTGACGTCAAGACGGGTGATGAGGAGAATATCAAGAAGCCAAAAGTTGACGCTGAGCAGGGCGATCTCAAGAAGCGCAAGATCGAGAAGGATGAAGGTTGAGGTGGCCTTCAGAGGTGCTCCTGCGGTAATCCGACGCAATCGCAGCCTTGGACATCAGTCTGAGAGCAGGAAACGACCCTTGGCGAGGCATCAGCGTAATCTCCGTTGAACAGACGACGTAACGTCGAAAGTGAATGAGCAGCTTGAACACAAACGGATGAAAGAATTCAAACTTGCCTTCGAAGACTTTCCACCTCTGCATCCTAACGTTCCACCTTGCATATCACCATCCAGTCTGCGGTTTGCATCCTTCATATCACGCCCCAAGGTTCCACGTCCGCCGAATGATTCATTATGCCTCCCAAGACCAAGACTGCCTCAACCGACCTCACCGAGAAGAACCTCGCAATCATTCGCGCAGTCCTTTGCACTGCTGACGGCTTCAATCCCAACTATGGCGCTGTCAAGGAGGAGTACGGCCTGAATCAAAGTGGTAACGGGTATACTCAACTGCATTGAGTTGCCGTAATCTGTGCTGACATCAGACAGTGCTCGCGACTTCAGACAGGCACTCGCCAAGTTGGGCATCGACTTCTTGAACGGCAAGTTCATCGACCTCACTGACCAGGCTCCTGCTGCGGCTACACCCACCAAAACTGCCAAGACTGTCAATGCCAACGGTAAAGCCAAAGCCAACAGTCAGAAGCGCAAGCAGTCCGCTGGGGAAGATGATGAGGCTGAGAATAGTGGAGCTGAGAATGTCAAGAAGCCAAAAGTTGATGCTGAGCGAGGCGATGTCAAGGAGCTCAAAGTCGAGGAGGAAGCCTGAGCGACAATCGTGGAACTCGTCGTCCTGAATACTGGCGAGGACCTGGCACGTACATCGAGAGCATGGATCAGGATGTATCTCGGACGACCACACTTGGGAAGCGGTCAGACTCAGGAATCCAGTGAGGCATCTCGAACCGCACATACAGGCAATGAATAGACCTAGCAAAGCCACAGTCAAATCGCCTTCGGGCTCCAGCCACTCTTCATACACATCGGTGGTCAGCTTTCTGGCAGGCTTCAGAAATCAGCTAGTGAAGTGAACAAATCAAGTCAATCAAACCTCGCACTCACCTCCTTCAAGCCCGAGAAACACTTCTCTTTCCCCAGAAACTTTCCCTCGCCTCCGCACTCCAGACATACTCCCTCATTTCCAATATCGTGTTTGCCAATATCACCTTGTTGTGTACAAATCACTCTCCAGCTCTGTGAGTCGTCACACTCTCAACCCCAGCGAATGCAAAAGACTTACACAATATACAGACCAGGAAACCACCCGCCACCATGATGTCACCCAGTGTTCCCTCCGCTGGTCTCACCGACAAACAAATCGCCATCATCCGTGCCACTCTATGCTCGCTCTCTGAGTTCAAGCCAGACTGGGCCTATGTACTCAAAGAATACGGTCTGGCCAAGGGAGGTCATGGGTAGGCTTCGATCACCCTATGAACTATTGTGCTCCGTCACTGACAGACTTGCACAGTCCGCGAGATTTCAGAGCTGCCTTCCAAGGTTTCGGTCTCGACTTCAAGAACGGCAAGGTTATCGACACCCTCAAGAACAGCCAGGACGAAGACGAAGCTCCTGCTGCGACTCCATCGAAGAAGACCACGGGTAAAGCTAATGGCAAAGCCGTCAGCAAGGCCAACGGAGCTGGCAACAAGCGCAAGAAGACCACTGCCGACGCTGGTCAGAACAAGAAGGTCAAGGTAGAGGAAGAGCCCGAGCTCGAGGACATTAAGGAGGAAGTCGACGGCGACGCTGCTGCCGCGATCGCTGCCAGTGCCTGATGGGCTTTGACTTTGTTCATATGAAGGGGAGTGCTCTGGAGCTGTACGAGCCAACTGTGCTGATAGGATCGCCGTGAACTGGGAGACAATTAATGCAAGGACGTTCGACCCGGAAGGCGATTGCAAGGCTGTTATTGGAAGGACTCTTGCCGCTGCCGTTGTCAGGCGTCATCCATCACCAATACACAGGTATTGACGAAGCAAAAGTCCACTCAGTGATCTCCCAGCTCCGTCCTCGTTGCCAAGATTATCTTGGCAGGGCCCGACGGACCGTCCTGGGTACGAAGTTCGATGAGGTCTACAGAAATCGAAGACAGAAAAATGACCCCTTAGTCCTGCGATTCAGGATTTGTATCGAGGGTTTGCCCTTGTGACATCTTCCAACACGTGATCAGGACCTGGAGATAGTCCGAAGCTCTCATATGCGCTGATTGGTATCTCTTTCTATCTTCTTTTCGGTGTCCTATGTTACACTGCTGACCGACTCGCTGTGCTTGCGCGGTAGAATGCTATCACCGCAGAAGTCAAGGGAAGCCCAGCGTCAGTATTCGAAGCCCTTGCAGCTACGAGTTGGACGCTCTGAGCCTACAGCATCGAAGCGGAGCGGCTGCGTCCGATCGATCTTCCGAAGAGCCTCGACGACAGGCATCAGTCGTCAGTGCAAAATCATGCTCCCATGCCATTAATCGTGCAACACATCGCATGCAACTCAGTCTCAGTGCCCATGTCCATCATCCTGCTCCTGGGGAGGATCTAACTTGATCAGGGTATCTATTCTCATGATCGCCACACATGCCTCGACAGCACTCTTCAGCTGCTTGATTTTGCTCATACTCGGCTCGAGGACTCCCATCTTGACCACATCGGCCAACCGGCCCTTTGAAAGATCCAGGCCGTAGTTCTTGTACTGCCGCTTCTTGTCCAGCTCTTTCTCCTGCCGGTTGGCATCTCCTTCCTGAACACGCTGGCTGAGTGAGTGTCGTAACCGTAATTGAGCAAGCAGTTCTGATGAGTCGAGTGCCGCGTTTACTGCCAGGGTCTTCGGCACGACGAGTAATGATTGTGAGAACTCGCCGATGGCCAATTGTTCTCTTGAGGATGTCGTGAGGGCGAATTCTTCGAGGTAGATGTGCAGAGCAGTCTCCACAGCACCACCGCCTGGCACCACTGCGCCTGACTCCAATGTCCGCTTTACTGCTGACAATGAGTCGTGCACGGAACGCTCCATCTCGTCCAGCTGATAGTCGTTTGACCCTCTCAGGATGATGGATGCTGATGAGGATGCCTTCGTGCCCTTGACCAGGATACACTCGTCGTCTGAAATGCGCTCTTGAACCACCTCCTCGGCATAACCCAGTGACTCTTTCTCGAACTTCTCGTCTCCGTTCAGATCTGACAGACTGCTGATCAAGGTAGCACCAGTGACCTTGGCTATCCGGCGGAGGTCCTCCTTCTTACATCTTCTGACTCCCATTGCACCCTTCTCGATGAACAGCTTCAGCACCATATCATCAATACCTTTAGTAGTAAGTACAACATTTGCGCCAGCCTTCAATATCATTTCGACGCGCTCAAGAACAATCCCAGCTTCGCGTTCTCTGATCTTCTCCAGCTGCTGAGGATCCTCGACTGTAACGGCAACTCCGAGTTTCATTCGCTCCTTCTGTAGATTCATGTCCAGACACGCAATCTTAGCATCGCGTATTCTCGTCTTCATGGCCTGTGAGGCGACTGTGCAGTTCAGAGCATAGCCGTGGACTAGTACCGACTCGAGTGCGCTCTTGCCGTGTGCTTTGAGGATATTGACAGCCTTGACAGGATATTTCACTTCATTGTTCTTCTGGGCGTTGACGGATTTTACTGCGAGCATAGCGTCGACGACCATGCGGGAAAAGAAGTCTGAGTCGGAGCCAATGACTTTGCTGGACATCGAGGTCTTTGCAACATTGATCAAGCTCTCCTTGCCCAGACTTTCGACGGACGTGCTGATGTTTTCTTGAAGGTACTTGACGGCCTCGCGGAGTGCTCGCCGGTAGCCTGTGATGATGACTGTAGGGTGTATGCGGTTCTTCATGAGTTCGTTCGCTCTTCGCAGCAGTTCGGCGGCTATGAGGACGACCGATGTTGTGCCATCGCCGACTTCCTTGTCCTGCTGCTGAGCAAGGTCGACCAGTATCCGGCCAGCTGGATGCTCAACGTCGAGGAGACTGAGGATTGTGGCGCCATCATTGGTGACGGTGACATCTCCTATGTCGTCGACCATCATCTTGTCTAGTCCCGAGGGCCCGAAGGATGTCTTCATGATATTCGCGATTGCCTGGGTTGCGAGGACATTTTGATCCCGTACATCTGCGCCGCTGATCTTCTGACCGCCCAAGAAGAGAGTGCCAGCATTGCGCGGTGTCTCGAATATGCCGGCCATCTTGCTGAGGCTGCGGAGAGTGTTGTGGTATAGTTGCTATGTAGATCATGCACCGGCAAGCGCATTCCAGGAAATTATTGATGCCAAGACCTGCGGGCAAGCGCGGGGTTGAAGTTACCGCGAAGGAAGGTACGCACCAGCACGCGACTCATAATTCTGACAGACAGATCTTATAGAGCAATTCGAATTCATAGAGCGAGCGTGAGTCTGCGGTCTTCTTTTGAGCGTAGAACCGCTAGTTCTGGGCCTACTGAGGCTCCAACATGTCTCATTCTCGCAAAACTTCCAAGACGACCGAATTGCCTGTGCGCCCAAAAGAGCCAGACATGGACACCGCTTCGGAGCCTGCTGCGGCGACAGAGAACAATGTCACTGATGACAAACCCGCCGACAACAAGCCTAGAAAGGAGAAGAAGCCAAAAGGCGACAAGCCCATTGGCAAAGCAGAAGCGAAGACTCCAACAGCCAATGCTGGCAAGGCAGGAGGCGGTAAGAAGAAGAAGACCGACGGCGCTGCTTTGATCGGAATCGGCGTGGAAAAGGATGTCGACTTCTCGGAATGGTACCAGCAGGTCTTGCTCAAGGGTAACATGCTCGACTACTACGACATCTCCGGCTGCTACATCCTCAAGCCCGCTTCACAGTTCGTCTGGGACGAGGTCCGCGCATATTTCGATGCCAAGATCAAGAAGATGGGCGTAAAGAACTGCTCGTTTCCTCTGTTCGTCTCGGAAGATGTCCTCAACCGGGAGAAGGCTCATATCGAAGGGTTCGCGGCCGAGGTAGCCTGGGTCACCCACGGAGGCAGCACCAAACTCGAGAAGAAGATCGCCATCCGCCCAACCTCAGAAACAGTCATGTACCCTACTATGCCAAATGGATTCAGAGCTACCGTGACCTTCCTCTCAAACTCAACCAGTGGAACTCAGTCGTAAGGTGGGAGTTCAAACATCCCCAGCCATTCCTCAGAACTCGCGAGTTTCATTGGCAAGAAGGCCACACTGCCCACCTAACAGAAGCCGAAGCTGGCAAGGAAGTCCTCGAGATCCTCGATGAATACGCCAATGTCTACGAGAAGCTCCTCGCCGTCCCAGTCATCAAAGGCCGCAAGACCGACAAAGAGCGTTTCGCTGGCGGCTACTACACCACTACCGTCGAGGGCTACATCCCAACCACAGGCCGCGGCATCCAAGGAGGCACATCCCACTGTCTAGGCCAGAACTTTAGCAAGATGTTCGGCATCACCGTCCAAGACCCCAGCGCCAAAACCGACGAAGAGAAGAAATCCGCAGAAAAGCTCTTTGTCTGGCAAAACTCATGGGGTCTCTCCACCCGCGTCATCGGCGTCATGGTCATGATCCACGGCGACGACCGCGGTCTCGTCCTGCCACCCCGCGTCTCCGAGTACCAAGTCGTCATCGTCCCTGTTGGCATCACCGCCAAGACCACCGACGAAGAACGCGAGGCTCTCTACAAGGAAATCAACGCCCTCGTCGAAGTTCTCCGTGCTGTCGACGTCCGCGTCCAAGCCGATATGCGCGACGGCTACTCCCCAGGCTACAAGTTCAACGACTGGGAACTCCAGGGCGTGCCACTCCAACTCAAGTTCGGTCCCGGCGAGTCAAAGGGCCACTTCGTCTCGACCTCCCGCCGCGACCTTCCCAAGGGCGAAGCCGAAGGCCAGATCGCCATCTCCGAACTCAACACCGCTGTCCCTGCCCTACTCGAACAGATCCAAAAAGACCTCTACAACCGGGCCGACGAGAAATTCAAGAGCCACGTCAAGAAGTTGACCAATTGGGACGAATTCGTTCCCGCCCTGAACGACAAGAATGTGTGTTTGATCCCGCACTGTCTAACGGAAGAGTGTGAAGACCAGATCAAGAAGTTGAGTGCGCGGAAAGCGGAGGAGCAGAGTGGTGTGCCGCAAGACGAGAGAGCCCCGAGTATGGGTGCCAAGAGTCTGTGTATTCCGTTTGAGCAGCCGGAGGGGATTGAGAAGGGGGTCACGGAGTGTGCAAATCCGGAGTGCAAGAATAAGGCGGAGGCGTGGTGTTTGTTTGGGCGGTCATACTAGGGTGAAACTCGTCCGCGAGAAGCGTTGCAAGGGGAGTGAGTTCCAAGGTTCCTTCGGATTTTGTGCATAAGTGCAGGCGCGGGACTCGCTCCACCAGGCCCTTGTGCGCATGGCCGGGATGAGGGAGGATGGAAAGCCCAGGCCAAGAATTTTATGACACACGAGGCCTGCGAAGAAGGGATTGCCGGGCAGCAGAAAAGGTCTCGGCGTACGGACGGGTAAGCCTGGCATGAATGAGATCATGGGTCAAGACTTTCACCTCTTACTAGTAGAAGCCGCAGAGCCAGTCGAGTCGTGTTGTGCGGGCGATGAAGCACACGAACGACGTTAAGACGCACGTGTAGCAAATCAGAAATCTTCAAAGCGAATGGTCGACGGTTCGTCACACAGTCTGCCGTTACGGTACATGGCCACCATCTTGACTTGATGCCTCAATCCTCATCATCAAGATCAACATCAAGCGCATCCGGATTCACCGCCGCCGCAGCAACAGGCGGCTGCACCGGCGGCGCACGATTTCCACCCTCAGGCCCCGTACTCGCCGCCACGAATCCCACCGGCGCCCTCGCTTGCCGCTCCAACGCTGCCATTGCATCACTCTTCCCTCCATCCTCGTCCTCGCCCTCATGCGTCCCATTGACACCACCAGCCGCAGCTTGCCCCTTCGCCAAAGCCTGGTTCGCGATGAAGTTGATATCCGTATTGAACTGCGCCGCCACACTCCTCTTGATCCTGAGCATTTCCCTGAAGGTGTCTTCGTTACCATGTGCGACTTCGAACTGCTCCCACGTTCTCCAGAACGACATATCAACGCGCGGATCCGCGAATTGGCTACCATGGGCGTAAATAGCGCGAGCCCGATCGACCTCGCCCAATCGGCGTTCCATCTCCGCGAACTTGACACACATCTCCTTCGCGTCCCTGTCCGGCAGCGCGGCGATGGCGCGCTCGTAGATAGCACGTGTGTGTGTGAGGCCGAAGTTTGCTGCGGCTTTGGCGATGTAGAAATCATACATCGCCAATCGATCTTTCTCGGCGACAGCGCTCGTGGCGCGCTCGTAGATGCGCATAGCGGAGCGAGCGAGGCCGCGGTCTTCCTCGAGGGCGCCGTACATGAGATAGATGGCTTCGCGAATTCTGGAGGGACGTTCTCGACTGCCTGCTCGAAGAGATCGCGGAGCCGCTCGATCTCGATCTTGCGGGCGGTGGCTTTGGTGAGGTACAGGTTCCAGAGCTCGAACGCGACGGGGTAGGAGAAGAGGTCGAGGCCGCGCTCGTAGATCTTGAAGGAGTCTTCGTGGTAGTTGTGCTCGGCGAGGAGGTTGGCGTAGTTGACGACGGTCTGTGGGGTGGCGATGCGCAGCTCGAAGATGCGGTCGTAGACGGCGCGGGTGGAGGGGAGGTCGCCGACAGATTCGACGAGGTCGACGTAGAAGGACCAGAGTTTCCAGGATTTGTGAATGCGTTGTTGGGCGGACAGGGTTTCGTCGAAGTAGTCGACGGTGCTGCGTTTGGGCGCTTGGGTCGCTTTGGCCATGACGTTGATGGCGTTGTCGAAGTTTTCGGCACGGAGCTCCATTTCGGCCCAGCCGATCCAGGTGTCGGCGAGTTCGACGACGGATTTGTAGGGGACTTTGACGGCGCGGTCGAGAATGATGCGGGCGGTGGCGAGGTCGTTGCCTGCTTCGTAGAATTTGGCGTAGTTGAGCCAGAGGTCGTGGAACTTGCCGACGGCTTTTCGGGGGTTGATGGCTTTGATGGCGTCGGTGTAGGTTTGCACGACTTCTTGCTGGTTGTCTGCCCAAAGCGCGATGCGCTTTTCCCATTCTACTACGTTGTTGGGGTTCTGGCGGAGCAGGACGTCATTTACTAGGAATGGTCGTCGGTCCATCAGGTGCTCGAAGCGGAGCATCTTCATGTCGAGATCGGCGTCTTTTCGCGCGTCGGTCTTGCCTTTGGCGGCTCGCTGGGATGCGGCCTCCATCAGGGATGAAATGACGGTCTCCTCGAACTCGACGTATGCGTCAAAAATCATGGTGAAGTCTCGGACGGTCATGACGGTCGTGATGCCTTCCTCGAACACATCTCTGGCCTGCTCGAGCTCGCCTCTCGAGATCCAGTAAGTTGCCAACGCTGCCCAGAAGCGTCCACGCTGGTCCGGAAAGCGTAATATGCCACTGCGAATGATGGCATTTGCGTCAATACCAGAAGCCAGGCTGTCACCGATATCCCTGGCCTTGTTGACGATGAGCTCAACCATCTCCGTCCATAGCTGGAAGTCACTTTTGACGTGTTTTGACTTGAAGCGTGGGTTATCCAGGATCTGTATGTACCTTTTCACGGCCTCACGGTATTGGCCAGCATCGATCAACCGCTCAATGTAGTCTTCCATGTCCTCCGGATGGATCTGCACGTATCGTGCCCAGATCTTGACGGCTGTGTCTCCCGATGCCGAATCCGCGAAACCTTTGTATAGCTTCCATAGTCGATTGTGCTGAGTGACAGGCAGTGCGCGCAGGGCACGGTCAAACGTCCTCCGGGTCGTGGTTACGTATGGCTGTCGCAGCAGAAAGGCTAGATACATCTCCCAGATAACTGGCATCTTATTGAGCAGCACTATTGACTTCTCAAACAGCGCATTGACCTTCTTGAATTCGGCCCTGTACTTGACGGCGTTCTTCTTCTTGAGATGCTTGATCCTGAAGTCAAGGTATAGCTTCCACAGCTTGTACGACCGTGGCAGACGGATGCAAGCCCGCTCCATGACAAAAGCCTGCTCGTGGACCGTGCCATTACGCATCTTGTGGTCGATATATGTCAACCATGGTCGGACGCTGCCTGGGTTCCGCAGCACATCCTGTTCGTAGAGAGCATCATCGTTGGCGATGAGATAGAAGTCCGGCCTTCGCTGATCCGCGCTCATCGTGACGTCGCCGTTCAATGGCCGCTTGAGGATGATTCCCGGCATCTCCTGAGCGGCATGAGCGACAGCGAGGTGTCTTGAAACGCGATCTGCAACTTTTTGGAGTACAGAAAATAATGGCGGGCAGTTCTCAAGCCGGATGATGGTCGAAGGCAGATAGTTTCTCCGACATCTCCGACTGATGTCAATGCTCCTGCCTCGACTCGATGGCATGCATGCACTGATCTGCAGCTCTTCCCAGACCAACTTCTCCACGACTACCTCTTTTTTCACTCTCTACCCTCGCGCATAGCGAGCAGGCGTCTTCACAATGTCGTCAGGCGCCGGCGTAAGTCTTGTCCACAGCATCGGGAGTCCTAGCTAACAATGCATGATAGCGAGAGGCCGTGTTCCCCACACGACAGATGCTGGGCCAGATGAAGAGCAAGCTCAAGGGCGCACAGACAGGACACAGCTTACTGAAAAGGAAAAGCGAGGCTCTCACGAAGTGCGAAGCATCCTGACAGATCTACATGACCACACTGACCCCTCTCAGACGGTTTCGAGAGATCTTGAAGCGCATTGACGAAGCTAAAAGGAAGATGGGCCGTGTCATGCAGATCGCCGCATTTTCGCTGGCCGAGGTAACCTACGCTGTTGGCGGAGATATTGGCTTTCAAGTCCAAGAGTCTGTGAAGAATGCCAGGTTCAGAATTCGGACCAAGCAAGAGAACGTGTCCGGTGTCTTCCTCCCAGCATTCGAAAGCCAGCAGAAAGAAGAGATCAATGACTTCGGTTTGACGGGTCTGGGCAAAGGCGGCCAGCAGGTCCAACGGTGCAGAGAAACATACACACGAGCTGTGGAAGCTCTGGTTGAGCTAGCAAGTTTGCAGACTGCTTTCGTCATCCTGGACGAGGTCATCAAGGTTGTCAACCGCAGAGGTAGGCACTCCATGTATGGCGCTCCGGACTCTAAGCTTACCCGCCACAGTCAACGCTATCGAGCACGTCATTATTCCAAAGACGGAGAACACCATCAAATGTATGTCCATCGATCTGAATACCGACCTTCTGCTCGTGGCTAACGAACTCCAGACATCAATTCAGAGCTTGACGAGCTAGATCGTGAGGAGTTCTACCGGCTCAAAAAGGTCTCGAACAAGAAGCAGAGAGATCAAGCCGCGGCAGATGCTGAGATTCGAGAAATGCGCGAGAAGGAGAAGCAGAGCAACGGTGGCAAAGCTGCAGAAGAAAATGGGGACGAGGGCGGAGGCGACATCCTTGGCGAGCAAGGCGACGAGGATGTCATCTTCTGAGAGGGCATAATGAAGATACGGCAAGGCACGAACGTGGCTATATGGAGGACTCTGCCAAAGCGGGCGCACAGCTTAGTCGTGTATGAATCGAAAGTCGTTGGCAGGCGAGGCTAGCAGACCTCAGCCTTGCATGCTATGGGTATCAATGTAGCTACTATGATGGAGCTACCGTCAGTGTGCCAGACGGGGTCAGATCTTCGTGCAATCTTTCCACCCGACCGCGGACGACATGTCTATGCCCGCTGGTACGTGACACGAATCGCCTTGCCCTCATCACCAAGCTGCATCCCCGCTGTCGCCTCCTTCGCACTGATCGCCCCTGCCTCCGCCTCATACTCCACGAACGCAATCCCCTTCCGTCCAGGCACCATTCTCACCTCCTTGAACCCTTCGAACCTCGAGAATATCCTCGACAGCCCATCCTGATCATAGTCCTCCGGCAGATCCCTCAAGAACAGCGTCTTGTTCGGCGGCAAGTACTCGTCCGGAATCACCGCTGCCGCATTCGCACTCGTCCCCTTCAAGCCAGCCCCCTTCTGTGCCTTCGCTGGCCGTTCACTTGCCGCCGCCGCCGTCTGCCCCACAGGCCTCTTCAACTTCTGCGTCGCCGCCTCCTGCGCCTGCTTCCGATCCTTCTCCGCTATCCGCGCTCGCTTCCATTTGTCTAATCCATCCTCCCCGTCCTCTTTCAGCACGGTAGCATCTGATCTTGTCCGCGCGAAGTCGAGCTGCATGGGTTTGTCAAAGAGCTCGAATCCATTGACTTCCTCGATGGCTTTGGCGGCGCTGGAAGGGTCGTCGAAGACGATGAAGGCTTGGCCTTTGGCCTTGAGGTTCTGTTTGGCGACTAAGTCGATGATAGTGCCGTATTCGGAGAAGACCTCGGTCAGGGCTTCGCGGAGGGCGTCGGGTTTTATCCGCTCTTCGAGATTTTTGGCGTAGACTCTGTGGGCTGTCAGTGAGAGGCATGTATGGGCAGTGCGAAAGAACGTACGTGGAGCTGGGAGGGGTTTGAAGTGTGGTAGCCATAATGGCTAGGCCAGGCTCAGAGCCCGTCGATGATTTCGTGGGTCGCACGCGTTTCGGGACGGATGGCGGGGGCGGTCGCTTGTGCGATGGCTTTTTTCAGACCTTGCGCGAAAATGTGGTGGAAATCTAGGATATGTTGAACTGCAAATCGTAGTCGCGTTGTCCAAGGCTACGAACTCTAGCCAAAGTTCTCCGCGCAGATCAAGCCCCACTGACGCCAAGGAGCTTTGCCAAGAGATCTTGGCGCGTTTGACGAGAAAGAAGGAAGGCCTTTCCTCGCATCAGTTTGATGCTTCCGACATCTCGGTACATGGATGAATCAACACACGGCGAGGTACACATCCGTACCCTGTAAGGCAGCATGGTTGATATGGCTAGTTCTTGGACGAAAGTATGAGCCACAGTCCTGCCGACTTTCCGCCGTTGCAGTATTTGACGCTTCCGCCCATCACCACCTATAGTCGGAGTTGCATCCAGCTTGTCGCAGCACGAGAGCCCTCCCTGCAAGGGCGGCTGTCTTCGCAGAACAGAGTAAGTATGTCCATGTCGATAGGTGTATAACAAACGCTGTATCATGATGGCGCTGTGCGTCGAGACTCAGGCTCCGTCAATCCCTCTTGTGGCTGTTGATCATGGCCCCAGCAGAAGTGCTTCGGAACCATCGCTCCGATGAAGCTGCATCTTCTCCAGAGACCCATGGGGTCTCCGCGAAGGTGCTTCTCCTCACCGTCCCCCGTTCTGGCCTTAGCTTCCTGTCAACACCCTCTGTCGAGGCTCCGAAATGCGACTGGACTGGTTCGACGCGGACTCGCTGCATCTACTATAGTGCTTGGCAGAACTCGGTAGTGGAAATGGGGATTCATCCTTGCCACCATGTGGTATGAGTATAGAAGAGTCGAGATTTCCGTGTTCTGCTCACCTTCAAGCCCTTCTCTTGCCTACGCATTGTCTACATCTCCCGAAATGTCTACCACTAAACCACAGGATACCATCAAAGCCAATTGGAGGGCCTTCGTGGCTATCGGCGTGATCATCCTCTCGCCTTTTCAATATGGTGCGTTCTGGCCCGTGAATGCTTCTTTGCCCAGCTCTAGCTGTCCACATACTCATGCTGTCCAGGACTCGACTTCGGGTTGATCGGTGGGCTGCAGGCCATGCGTGGCTTTCTCGAGGTAAACCTATCCACCCTCGTCGTAGACAGTCACTCACAGTCACCAGGTCTTCGGCCATAGAGCACCCAACACACCTATCGGATGGAACCTCTCGCCCGTCCGCCAACAGCTGATCTCGTCCCTCATGACCCTTGGTGCTTTGTGAGTGTTCTGTCCAAAATTGGGTCGGGAACGAAGTACAGACTGAAGGTCTCAGACCTGTCTCTGATGCCTTTGTCTCGCACTTCCGTTCCTGTCTCCCCTCCACCCCAGTCCTTCACTTCCCACGCACGTCCCGATCCAAGCTAACATAGAACGAAGCATCTCTTCCGCATTCATCGGTATTGCAGCCAAGAAGTTTGGACGCCGGCAGTGTCTGTGGGCGGCGTGTGTCCTCTGCTGCGTCGCCAATGTTATCATGATGGCTACCACGAACATTGGAGCACTATACCTGGGCCGACTACTTATCGGCCTTGCTAACGGCTATTTGATGACTGCTAGTCAGCTGTACATCCAAGAGTGTAGCCCTCCTCAGTTCCGTGGCCTCTTCCTTTCGGCGTTCCAGTTCTTCACGTCGTTCGGAACTCTGATTGGGACCATCATCAACTGGGCAACGGCAAAGCGAGACGGCAGGTCGGCCTACTTGATTCCACTGGGTCTCATCTACGTGGTGCCCATCTTCATCTTCATCGGAATGTTTTTTGTATGTGCCATGCCTGCTGCCATGATGCACGCCTGCAACGCTTTCACTGACAACTACCAATCCAGATTCCAGAAAGTCCTCGCTGGCTCATCCTGCAAGGTCGCTATGAAGAAGGCTACAAGTCCCTGCTCTGGCTCCGCCCGGAAGGCGCCGACGTCGCAGCCGAGGCTGAGACGATCCGTGACGCTATCGAGCGAGAGCAGGAGATGGGCAGGGGTGTCGGCATCTTCGACATGTTCAAAGACCCCGTCGATCGTCGTAGGACCGTGCTTGCTGTGTGTGCTGTTTCGTTACAGGCTGCTTCTGGCGCTATGTTCATCATTGGTAAGTCCTACGGGAACTCATGAGGTGATCGTCATTTCGCTAACAATCATGAAGCATACAAAGCATATTTCTTCGCTATGGCGAAAGTGGACAATCCATTCGGCATGTCGAACGTTCTTAGCACTGCAGCTTGGTCGCCATCATCATCAACTCCCTCATCGTCGTGCGCTACGGACGCAGACGTGTACTCTTGATGACAGGCCTTATCGGATGCGGCTTCATCCAGCTGATCGTCGCTCTTGTGTACCAACAGCAGCCTGGTAAGCCCTCGACCGGCAAGGTCATCGTGGGACTGTCTTGTATCTACATGATGCTGTATAACGGCATGATCGTGAGTGCTCTTCCCATTTCCGAGCTATGAGCATGTCAGGACTGACGTTTTCTCAGGCTACCTACGCATGGCTATCCGGAGGCGAGATCCCTTCGCAGCGGCTGCGCTCCCATACTTTCGGCCTGGCAGCCGCGATCGGCTTCGCCGGAGCATGGCTGACCACGTTCACCGCGCCGTACTTCATCAACCCTGATGCATTGGCATGGGGGCCGCGCTATGGCTTTATTTGGTTCCCGTCTTGCTTGATCGCTGCGGCATGGGTCTACTTTTGTCTGCCCGAAGTGAAGAACAGGACTTTGGAGGAAGTCACGGAAATGGTCAGCACTTCTCATCATTTGATTCGTGCTCTCGCTAATCTGTATGCTAGTTCGAGGCCCGCCTCCCTGCCCGAAAGTTCAGGACTTACAAGACGCGAGCTCAGCTGCCTGCTGTGGACGATGAAAAGCTGAGTCAGCAAGGTGTGCAGGTCGAAGACGTCGTGAGCAGCAATCCGAAGGCGACTGCCGAGGTCCAGGTTGCAACTGCTTGAGCGACAGGAGGCCGAGGAATCGGATCTGATCACCATTGCCTCAATAGCAGGAGGCGCAACCGTCCGCACTGGGTCTAACGACTCAACGCCAATCGCGGCAAGGCACAGTGGCATTGGATTAGCACATCCAAGTTTGCAGAAACAGTGCCCTCACACCTGTGCAAGCTGCCGAGCGAAAGCGAAGGGGCGTTGAAGCGCCCTCGCACCGAAACCCTGTCGCGAGCATCCGCACCCCAGCTTTCCCACTTGCACAATCTCGTAAGTCTGAGTATCAATTAGGTAGTCCTTCGAACGAAATTGACACTAGCAACCTGGAAGCGTAGACGCCTAAATCAGGGGCAACGAACACTCACAGTGAGGTTGCTGATGCCATGCGCTTGGCAACTAATTGCGTAACCTTCTGGATTCACCAATATCTGGAATGGAAGATCTCTGACTCCGGTTTCGCGCTTTTGCTGGTCCGCAAGTTGCTGAAGCCATCGCCAAGCCCTGGTTCTGGCATACTGACGGTGCAACTTCGCGCAGAGGCGTTCTTCATGCCATGCCCAGCGTTCCTGGCGCAAACCGCGACTCTCATATACTTCCGCATGCGGCAGCCACATCTGGAGCGCCCATACCAGATCCATCGAAGTTTCCTTCCAGACAGGGCTGTTGATGATGACCTTTCTCAGCCTGGGCATAATGGTCATTAGTTGAAGGCCGAGACCTTCAACGTCTCTGTCGTCGATGAAAGCCTCTTGCGCACACGCGAGGTAGGGTGTCAGATGACGCTTCACGTCCTCGTTCATGGCTCGGTGATTATAGAAATAGGGTGTAAGAGAGTCGGCGAACACAAGGATGGCTTCTGCTCGAATCGACTTGCAAGCGACAAGAATGGATGGTAGCGAGGCTCCGCCTGCGGGCTTCTTGAATTTGTGAGATCCATCCTGTCTCTTACGCTGACGCTCGTCGTAACTAGCTGATCGACGACGAGGATCATCAATGATGAGACGAGAGCCGTGGAAGAGATGGGTGTAGACCATTTGTCGAACTTCCAATGGTAGGGACAAGAATTCGGTGGCGTCAGCGTCGGACGCAGTGGAGAGGAGAGATGTCAATGGCTCGTCCATGACGAGAATGCCGTATGCCGATCGAGGACTGGTGCAAGCACGGTTGGAAATCGAGAGGTCGAGTTTCGATGAAGTGGCGTGCTCTTAGAGCAGAAAGACACTGGAGTGGAGGTGCACGCCGTGAAGGCCACTTTCGCTGCGGTGACTGTCACTTAACTCACGGTTGCCGTAGAGACTTGGGAGAGCTTTGGGTGAAGGAGAGAGGCACTATTGCTTTTCGTTAATCAATTCTGCCTAGAATAGCGCTCACCAAGGAGGTCTTCCGCGATGTCGGTGTCTACATCAAGAGGTTATGTCAGTCACCACTTCCTCAACTATTCCTAGATACCATACTGAACATCATAGTTGCAGTCACTTCGGCAGCTCTCGCCATCCTCAACTTGACTCCGAGCGGCAGGTGCCAGGTGGCCGGTTGAACACTCCCATACGGCTGTCCTCGACAGAAGGCTGGGGCATCAGGATTGCAGGTTATGTCGGAACCACATGCTGCGTTAGCGATGCATCTGCATCAGTAATGGTCTGCATAGCGTAGTGGAACGAACTCTGTTAGTTTTCGGTAGGTGCATTGCCTGTATTCCTGATCAGCCATTCGAAATGAGGTCCATGCACAGTGGCGAGTTGGTACACTGCAAATGGCATGGTGAAGTTCATCGGAAGGATAGCGAGAACAGCGCTGACCCGGACTGGTCCTGCTCTCTTGTTTGTGGGCAGTTCGAAGTTATTCGCTGCCGTGAGCTGACACGTTGGAGCGCTCCTGACCACAGAGCATGTATTGGAAAGCAAACGCCATCAACCGCGGCTAAAGAGAGCCGACGTTCCTTACTTGGCTGAGAATTAGGTTCGAGCATGCTGTCTGGCATAGCGATTCGAATCGCATATAAGCCGCTTGGGACCGCGCGAAACTCACGACAAGGCCCAGTCAAAAATCCTGTGTCAGCATCTGGACTCGCGCACGCAGCATTCCCAAGCATGAAGGCCACAGCTCTGGTTCTCACCGCACTTCCTCTGCTTGCCTCTTCCGCCACCCTCCAGGTCAACCTCTTCTCTGAGCCTGACTGCAAAGGTAGCAAACAGACGTTCACTATCGGCAACCTCGAAAGTTGTCACAAAACACAAGGCTTCAAATCGTACGGCACATCAAATGTCGATCAGTCCTTCTTCAATCGTGAGCTCAGACTTAGTACATGGAGCACCGAGGACTGTCGACAAAGTGCTACTATCACCATCGGCGAAGGCGTAGCTTTGACGAACCAGAATAACTGCCATGAGTTTGGAGCGATCAACGACCCCAAGAGCTTGGAGCCCGGGGCTCGTCGCTGGACTGGAAGAAGCTTTTACGTTGGGGGATGAAATCAGCAGACAATATAGACCATGGCTTTCAGAGTGTCTGCTGATACAAGTTCCCATAAAAGATATGCATGTCATGTATCTGTGTTCCGATACCGTTCGTTTGAATGATACAGTACCTACCTCTATCTACACTGTCGCCTCCTGGCTGACCCATCCATCACTAGGATGGATCTCATACCCAGATTTGGTCACTCGTTCAGTATTTCGACAACATGAGCCTTGCATGTGAATTCGCGTGTGAGGAAGACGCAGCTGATCCTGCAAAATCTCGAAAGTCAACAGTTGCGTAGACCGTAAGGCGGAAAGTTTGCCTTAAATCACGTCGACGTACGCCAAGCCTTCTCGAGTGGTGTTCACCAGGGTGAAGACGTCCTACCATACCTGCGCTTCGCATGCCCGCGATGCAGTGGTAGAGACCGAGCGGCAAGCCGCGTCGCTGACACTACTTGTAACTTCGTCGTCGTGCGCTTCTCGCATCGCCGCGACTGATTTCACACAGAGATGGCAGACCCGAATCGTGTATCGCATTGCGCGAAGAGAAGCTTGGTCAAGTGAGGAGTACCACTATGCCCCGAATGCCTTCACGCTGTGGCGGTATGTAGCGACATCAGGGTGTCCTTCGGGACACATCTTCACATGAAATGCGGAAGTTGATGCAGGCACCCAGCAACGCGTCCGCCACGCGAATATCACTTCGTCACTTTGTTTGCTGCTTCCCGAAATCACGAAATGAACACGATCGCAGGCTCAGCACGTATTTCATGCCACAAACTCTTCCAACAATTTCTCTGCAACTTTCATCATCCACCTCCGTTTCGTTGCTCGCAGATTGCAGGCCATGGCGCCCTCCACAGCAGCTCCCACTACATCGACACCTAAAGTGGCCACGGCAACACCTCATAAGTGTGGTGCATGCCCCAAAACACCTCAACAGGTTGGTCGGCCCCTAAAGACCTGCGCGCGCTGCAAGAAGATCTGGTATTGCTCCCGGGGTTGCCAGCGCAGTCATTGGAAGCTCCACAAACCTCTTTGCGCCTCGTTGGCTCAAGGTAGCATTGCAGCCGCTCCCGACGAGCCAATCCTAGAGTACTGCGAACTAAGCGAGCTCGCTCGTCGTAATGGCGTCGACATGGCCAGATTGTCGCAGACGCTTCCGGATCTGTCCAAACTGCGGCTGACTGCCGACATTCCTTTCCACACAACAAACAAGACCTTGAACGACTTGCCAGTCGATATTCTTGCTCGCATCATCAAGCACGTCCTACCAAAGTCTCTAGTCGTCCGAGCTGACAATCCTCTTGGTCGTTGGCAACACGATTGGCGTCCGATGTGGCTCCCTAGACTACGTCTCGTCACCAAGAAGATTGGGAAGGTTGCTGAAGAAGTCATCTCCATCAACGCTGGTCTGTCCGCATGCGACTGGGAAGACACTGGTAACTCCTTACAAGCGCTTTATCGCAAACAGCACGAGAAGGTCAGCGACTCGCCCAAGTGGGGTTCGACACGCTCGATAGAGTTGGCCAACGTCTTTCCAGTGTACCTCATGAGCAATGTCAAGCATTTCCGGCTTTGCCTGAATCGCCAACGCTTCAGTTACCGCTATGACTCGATCGACCTGTCGATATTCCCCAACCTCATAGAGCTCGAGATCACCGCCGGTGACCCTGCGAAAGACATTATGCATTACGCAATGTGGCTCGGCCACTTCAGCAACATGAGCATGGTCAAGAAAGGGTACAACGACAAGAGAGTCACTGCTCTGAAGAAGGCGCTGGATGAGGTCGGCGTTATGCGGCCAGAGCTGTTGAGGACCTTCGCCAACTGTAATGCACGACGTGTTCAAGAAGGGAAACCGCTTTACAATCAAGCATCCGAGGATATGTACAATTACACAATGTTCTTCCGCATAGGTTGGATGCAGGTCCTCTCAGCCAAGAGATTGTTCCGACTTTACACCACAGAAGTGCTGGGTATCGACAGCAAGAACATCAAGGGTTGGAGGCCAGACATGCTGATTAGGGTGCACTATGCTGACGAGATGAGTACGCCACAGAATGCCGAGGAAGTAAGTAACGCACAGAAAGCCACTGATTTTCGCTCGTTGTCATTCTGACCCAAGAGATGTATGGGCCATCATAGCTTCGAATGTTTACTGACAGTCGAGACGCAGATCATTACCGTGTGGATCACCGAGAGCGATTACGGTACTAAGCTACGAAGTGAGGCTCTGCTGAATCGCTACGCCAACTACGAATACTACAACATGTAGCGGGAACCATGGTGCTCAATAAAGCGACCTTGCATAGACACTGCTGTCATTCTCCAGAACTGTGATGCAAGGTCGTCGAGCAAGTTCAGCGGTGATCAGAGACAACGGCGTGCTTCTCTGCCGGCGCGCGTAGGCGATTTTGCGAGATGAAGAAGTGGTACCACGAATCGTCACCACAGTCTTGAGTTCGGCGGCCAGAGCATCTTCCCAGCATATCGCACGGTACCTGATGTGGCACGAGCGCTCCATGTATGGTGGCAAGACGATCTCATTCCTCATCAAAAGTGTTGGGCACGAGCATGGGAGAAGAAGGCGTTCAAATGTAGCAAGTACAGAACTGGTACAAACCAAGACGATGATCTTCTACGATGTGATATTCCTTTGGAAACATCCTATCTTGAAAGACACAGCTACCTTAACAGAAAAGACTTCGGCGGCAACGTCGAGGCTTCCTCTGCCGTCATCGACGGCGTTCCGTGCCCAAGGTCATCAGCCTAGCGTCGCGAATTGGCCGAGTTGACCGCAGGTGCCGTCTGTCGGGGCAGTGATTCGATCGACTTCCCCGTGCCAGGGCGGGCTTCCGTGAGTAAGCTGTGACACGATAACGTGAGCGTTTTCTATGACTGGTCATTCTTCGAGGCGTGGACTCTGACGGCGCCTTCCCGGGCTAGGAGGTCCGCATCAGGTCCTTCCTACGGATAGACAATCAAGTGAGGCTCATTCAACATAACCTACTTGACCAACGAACTAATATCAGGCCTGAAGTGCCCTCCCTGACCCAGAAAACAATCATCAGGCTGAATTGAACAGAACGCTCAGTACTTGTAGTCATAGCCTGGTGAGGCGATCGCCCCAATCTTAAGACTTGAGCTGAGGCCCAGAGCATCCAGCCTCCGACCAAGCCATAGAAATGTCCTGAACAGCTGCACCCGTCGTCGCGTTTCCAAAGTTTCTGACCGTGCCCTCTCCTTGACTCGCGTACTTAGACCACCCTGTCGCCTCCAGTCCAGCGGCACCTCCCTGGGCAAACGCCACCCAAGCATCTTGCATGGCTACGCTGGTCTCTATCTCGAACTCTGTGCTGGGTCCACGGTAATTTGGATGAGTTCCAAATATCATAGGCAGTTCTCCGGAGTGGAACGCTCCGAGCCAAGGTCTGGGACTGATATTGGAGAAGTTGCCGCCGTACCAGTACGAGTAGGTCTCGTACCGGCGCGCTGGCGTAGAGAGATCTGATAGTTCGATGGGCAGAAGAATCTTGACAGGCGAGCCTGTTCGGTCAGGGTCTTGTTCAGCTCATCTGGCCCGAAAGGCACGAAGGGCACCCCGTCTTGACTGTTGGTGCCGATAATGCCTGGAATATTAGGGAGCTGATGGTTCAGCGTCCTCGCTGTAATGTTGACAGGTACATTCTTGTCATCAGGCACAGGACGGAACGTGAGAGGTGGCTGGGCTTGTGCGTTGGAGTAATTCGCCAGGAAGTTGTTGATCTGGTCAGCGGGTAGCCCACGCATACATGAGAGCTCTTCTGATGGATCAGAGCACCCTAGCTGACTTGCCACGTAGGTGAAATTTGTGGTGAACGGTGTGGTGGTGGTGGCGTCTCGTGCCGTACCCGAATCAGTGATGAAACCTGAGATGATGGGGTCTTCGGAGTAGGAATACACGTAGTACGATACGCTCGATGCACCGGCCGATTGACCCCATAGTACCATGCGTGAGTTGTCCCCACCGAAGGCAGCGATGTTGTCCCTAGTCCATTCGACCGCGAGTCTCTGATCAAGTAGACCAAAATTCTGAGATTCAAGACCGGCAGCATTTGGAAAACCAAATATGTTGACACGGTAGTTGAACGAGACGACTATGACATCTTGCTTGCGCTGGACCAATTGAGTTGGAATCTGGTATGGCACGTCGATCCCGCCCGTAGTAAAGCCACCTCCGTAGACAAAGATGAGTACTGGAAGGGGTCCCTTGACTTCCTTTGGTGCCCATACAGCGGCTGTAAGGCAGTCCTCGCTGATGTTCCCGGTCTCATTGAGTCCCTGTAAGTTGAACTCCAGCACGTCTCGATTGTAGACCGAAGGAGGAGTGCCTAGCCACTGCATACAACTTGGTGGGTATGCCGTAGCTTCGATGACCTCGGACGAAGGCGTTCCCAGCGCTTGAGGCGGAGCAAAGCGTAGGTCACCAGTAGGCGGTTCTGCGAACGGGATACCCAGGAATTGCCTCACATCGCCGTTCAGCTTGCCATGGACATACCCCGAGGTCGTCTGTACTGTTAGCCCATCGTTGTCGGTCCACGGCGGGCTACCTATGACAAGCTGTAGCAGCGTCAGCAGAGCTACGGTGGTCTTCATAATGGTTTTTGCTGGCTCTCTGCCACTTGCGTCCAGGGCGGGCGTCCGCTCCTTTTGAAGAGTGTGGCATTTGCGCTTGCAACTTCAACGACATCATGGCGGCTCTTAGCTTGACTGAAGCGGAGAAAACTCTGTCGTAGCGTTATGGAATCTTGATGGTGCCGGCTATATGCCACTGTTGGACTCGGCTCAGTGCTACTTTCCCCGCATACATCACTGGCTGTTCCGATCTACAACCTTCCTCGCCTGCGTATTGAAGCACCGAGGCGGGACAATCTCATGTAGTTCGTTGGCGAGCTTGCGAGAGGATGTCTCCCGAAAGTCGACATTGGGAAGTCGTGAACGTCGACGAAATGGCATACATGCAGGCATCGGCAACGAAAGGAGGTCTCAATTTCGAAGCAAGTCAATTTGGGAGTCTTGTCAACCGGTCTGGTCTGCGTTCCTGAGCAGAGAGACCAAGTCGTACCTAAAACCCTGTAATAATTCATGCCTTGCGTCCACCTTACAACGTGCTTTCCAGCGCGTCGTAGTGTTTGCTCTCGACTTCAGAGCGCGTCCGCAGCGCCACGGACCACTCGACACTACCATGGCGCCCTCCTACCTCAATCCGCACCGTCTCGCGCCACTTACAAACCCATCCTACAACATCTACCTCGTCCCAGCCCTCCTCATCTTCGAAGCCGCCTTCCTTTCCGCCATAATTCTCAAGGTCCCATACACAGAAATCGACTGGGCAACCTACATGGTCCAAGTGCGCAAATTCCTTGTCGACGGCGAGCGCAATTACGCGAAAATCGATGGCCCGTCCGGACCCTGTGTCTACCCTGCGGTATTCCTGTACCTCTACAGCGCGCTCTATAGTGTGACGGATCAAGGGCAGGACATCAGGACGGGCCAGTGGATCTTTGCGGGTGTCTACTTATGCGTGCTGGCTACGACAATGATGTGCTATTGGAAGGTGGGCGCGCCGCCGTGGCTCATGGTGTTGTTGGTCGGGAGCAAGAGACTGCATTCGCTGTTCGTGCTGCGACTGTTCAATGATTGTTGGGCAGTGGCGTGCTTCTGGGCCACGGTGTGGTTGTTGCAGAGGAGGAAATGGGAAGCTGGTGCATTGGTGTGGGGGGCTGGGGTAGGTATCAAGATGGTGTTGTTGCTCGTGGCGCCTGCGTTGGCGTTCATCTTGGTCCAGGGCGGTGGGTTCTTCGTGGGTCTCTTCGGAGGGGCAGCCGCGGTCATGTTGCAGGTCATGACTGCTGTGCCATTCTTAGATCCAAAAGACGGGGACGCGAAGATGTATTTCACGAGAGCGTTTGAGTTTGGAAGGCAGTTCTTGTACAAGTGGACGGTCAATTGGAGGTTCGTATCGGAGGAGACATTCCTAAGCAAGGGCTTTCAGGTAGGTCTGCTGATCCTGCACGTCTCCATCCTTCTGGTGTTCATTTACGCCAAGTGGATGACTCCGTCAAGGCTGTCGAGTGTGCCGCAATTCCTTCGCAAATTTGCCGTGCAAGAGAAAGGCGCCGCGGATGAAGATGTCTCCGCTCGCGTGACTCCAACCTTCGTGATGGATGCTATGCTCGGGAGCATGGCTGTCGGGCTCTTGTGCGCCAGAAGTCTGCACTATCAGTTCTATGCATACCTTGGGTGGGCATCACCATACCTGCTTTGGAGATCTGGTGGCGGTGTCTGGTGGGTTCTGATTAATTGGGCAGTCCAGGAGTATGCATGGCTCATCTTTCCGCAAACCGAGCTGGGCTCCATGCTGGTTGTGTTCGAGCTTGCTATCCAGGTTCTGTCGGGTCTCATTGCTCCTCCCACGGATCACATCCGCCCACCCACTGGCCCAGCTCGGAGGTCAAAACCCAAAGTTGGCTGAGGTGCGACAACAAGCAATAGCACATTTCACCGCTGTTCGTCTTCGTCATCAGATGGCGGCATTTTCCCGACCGTCGACTCGTCCTCATCGCTGTCAAGACTGGCGCTCTTCTTGGCGAATGCTTCGGGCCAGAATGATGCCTTGCGCCAGGCCTTCTCATCTCGAACGACGTTCACGATCTCGCCATTGATCTTGTTGTCCCGGTCAGCTAGAGTTGATGTGTCGATCAGAACGTATCCTCCACGCTTGAGCCATATCGTTGAGCGGAATTTAGCCTCAAGCTCAACCAGCAATACCTGCAGAGCTCCCGTCCTAACTTGATAGAGGTTCTTGCCTTTGGCACCAACAATCTGGGCAATACACTGAGATGCGGGGATCGATTCAGGCGGAGTAAGCGTGTCCTCCACAGTCGCCTGCAGCTTTCGGCGTGGAGGACCCATCCTTCAACGAAGATAGCAAATGTCCTGATTGAGGCTGAATGGTAAGACTGCTTATCAACAAAATTCGCGCAAGATACGCCGCGACGTGGATCATGCAGAAACGCTGAAGATGGCGCGTGGTCTTGATTTGCGGAAGGCTCAGAAAAATTTCTCCGCAGCACAGGGCATCAGGCGGTTGAGATGCCTGAAGCGTTAGTATCCCGCCAAGGCACATCGCCCAACATGGCCCGCCCACACGTCACAGAAAAGCCCTGGATCGCAGAACTGTCGGTACCGCTGCTAGAACGGCTCAATGGATCAATCAAATATAACTGCATGGTGCAGAATTAGGAAACCCACGCCTGGCCATCGCATTTGTCTTATGTCAAGGGAGCATATACAATAGCTGCATCAAATTGTCTCTGCCTCTGATGCGGCTGATGTTCTTCAACGGCTCTTGAACTCTATCAGGACTTCGCCTGCACCATGTCCACGATGTCTGCTTCAGCATTTGGTGCTTTCATCCACCACGAAAGCGATGCTCACACGGCTCCCAGACCTCTGGACAAAGCGATAATACACAACGCAAACGCCGCAGGCCCTTCTGACGTCGAATTAGACACATTGCAATGGGGCCAGAAATTGAACGGACCATATGAGCTCGCTCCGGCGGGATATTCCATTCCGCCTACGCCAGGAGAACTCGAGCAGAGTCGACCCGCAACTCCGACAGATCATGTTGTGGACGCTCTAGCTGCGGCATCGCCGTACACAACTAGGAACAAGTGGAGACTCGCAGCTGCTGGCATGGTGTTCTTGTTTTCAGGCATGAACGATGCAGTGACAGGTGCGGTGCTGCCATCAATCGAGGCACAATATCACGTTTCGTACTCAATAGTGTCTCTGCTCTTCATCGCCAACGCCTTGGGATTCATATCCTCAGCACCGGTCATCTCTACACTTGATGCCAAGCTTGGACGGTCTCGTCTGCTTATGCTGGCATGCTCGTGCATGACTGTGGGATTCACTACACTTACTTGTGCGCCCCCGTTTCCGGTCATTGTCGTGGCGTTCTTTTTCTCCGGGACTGGCATGTCTCTGTTTCTGGCAGTCTCGAATGCATTCATAGCGAATCTGATGAACGGCACAGTCATTCTAGGTATGTACGCATATGCACCTGAACCGAGCATGCTCTGGTCCTTCCCGATGCACTTTCAGTCTAACGGGTGCAATAGGTTTTATGCATGGGTTGTACGGCGTTGGCGGAATTGTGTCACCATTGATTGCGACCGCGATGATCTCGAAAGGCATCAGATGGTCGTACTTCTACCTCATACCTTTGACGCTTGCAGCACTTAGCATTGCCTTCATGGGATGGTCATACCGAGGCTTCGAGGCCGATGCGGCGGTTCAGCTGATGACAGCATTGGAGCGGACTGCATCTCGTCGAAGCATGCCAGGAGAGCCAACTAAACGGCAGCAACTATGGATCTCTTTGAAGAGTCGCACCACTTTACTGGGTGCGCTTTTTATTTTCTTCTACCAAGGAAGTGAAGTCGCTATCAGCGGCTGGGTCATCTCTTACCTGATCCATTATAGGGATGGTGATCCGTCACAAGTTGGAAACGTCACTTCTGGATTTTGGGGAGGAATTACACGTGGGTAACACCTTCCCGGTGCTGTGAGACCTTGTGCTAACGGGAAGCAGTCGGCCGTTTTATTCTGACGGGCTTGTGCCACAAGATCGGCGAGAAGAGGTCAGTCGTGGGACTAATCATCGGAGCCGCAACATTCCAGGTTCTGGTTTGGGCAGTTCCGAACATCATTACGAATGCGGTCGCGGAGAGTATTGTCGGCTTCTTCCTCGGTCCGGTCTACCCATGTGCGGTCGCAGTCTTCTCGATGATTTGGCCGCGGAAGATACAAACTAGCTCACTCGGGATTGTCACATCTATGGGATCCTCTGGAGGAGCATTTGTCCCATTCATCACAGGTCTCATGGCGCAGAGACTGTCAACGGTAGTTTTGCATCCGATCGCCCTCTTCTCATTTGCTGTCATGGTTGTGGCCTGGCTCAGTCTACCGAAGATCATCAAAAGGACCGAATGAGCAATCGCAACAGCTACTAGAGCGCTCCCGATCTGGCCATTGCGTAATTCAAAACGATCAAACGACGGTTCTCTGCCAGTCGATGCCAAGACAGATCCTCGTTTGATTCTCACCTCGGTATCTTCTAGTGCTACACATCACATGTCATCTCTGCAACGTAGCACTACCGGCTATTCAATAGACCACACCGAAAACGACTTCATCCCCTTCAAAGTGATAGCAGTGACGCCCGCGGCCATAAGGCAAAGCATATAGCAATGCGCGCCTTACTGAATAAGACCAACACAGCCAAAGCAGGTAGTGGCGACAGAGAAGGTGGCCTAAGTCGGAAAGCGTGGAACTGGGCGAAGCAAAGTGTTTTGGATTCAGGGAAGAATGAAGAAAGCTCGAAGCCACAGGAGGAAAGCGCATCCGCTCAGACAATCCGAGTTGGCAAGCACGCTGTAAGAGATCGCAAAATGAAGTTCGAAGTAAGTCAGTCTCGACGTCGGGTTCATTTCGTCTCATCACGTCAATATGAAGGCGGTCAGAGCTTTCTTCTCAATCTTTCGGATGTCAGGTCGTCAATAAGCGTGTTTGTCTGTTGACAATGCAGTCCCCATTCATTCTGGCACACCAACAATAGTGCACGTGACTTCCGTACCTCCCAAGTGAGAGTGAAGTGCCAGCAGGTGGCGTTGACAAGGCAACGACAGCAGCCAGCATCTTTTACGTTTGTCCAAAACATGGCACTTTCTGCGCTGCCCACCAGTCCTTCATTGTCCTCGAAAACACTCTCCTTCACAGTCACTCCTTAGGGAAAGATCGTCCACCATGCATATCATATCATTCTTGGGACTTATTTGGCTAACCTTCGCCGCGCAGGCGCGAGCACATCCATATGACCATCAAACTCGGGACGACACCTCGAAAGGCCTCTCTGTCGAATCTGCTGATCTACTCGGAATCGTTCGAAGTGCGACCACCTACGTCACCCGAGATCTCGGATTTCAAGGTCAGCTAGGCTCCTACATCGTTCTCACATATGGCGACACCATGTATTCCGACAGTAACTACAGCGATACCTGGCGAGGTATGACGAGCGATAGCGCTGCGTTCGCCACTCACGATCCACTGCTCGTTGTCGACGCTGATCTCGATGAGAACGGATTCCCACGCCAGTTCTGCCCTATCAACAAGAAACTGGGTGAAGATGCTGCAGTATTCTCCCTGGGAATCACGAACGTAGTCGAGATCGAACCTGAACACGGTGGGTTCCCTTTATGACAGGCCTTGGGTATGGCTGACATGTAGTCAGGTATCCTGTACTTCCTCCTCAATCATCGCCCTGGCGGTATCAACAACATCAAAGGAGCCGGTGTCGCCACGATCAGCCTCGATACCGATACTGAGCCTCCCGGATTGACTGTCAACCGTCTTGGGCAGTACTGGTGGGATGGCGACACTGAGCCATGGTACGGGGATGTCGGAGCTATTCGCACGAACGGCTACATCTATGCCTATGGTCATGCTAAGGGCAATGACTGGGTATACCTAACTCGTGTCGATGATAAGAGAGCCACCGATCTGTCTGCATACGAGTACTGGAATGGCGAGGGCTGGCAAAAAGAGCGTCTGCACACAAGAGATCTGAGCGAGAAAGAGAGTGTCTTCTGGAAGATCAACCAGGGTCAGGTCATCTGGTCGAACTATCACAAGTGCTATCTTTTCGTCTACTGCGGTAAGCTTTCAGCTTTCGAAATGTTCTCGGATCTGGTCTTTGACTGACATGGACATTTAGACATGTGGTGGAACAGCAAGGTACAAGCTCAGCGCGCTTCTGCACCAGAAGGTCCGTGGTCTGAGCCTTTCGAGTTGTACCAGGGAGTTCCCATCACGGAGGGCAGTACCTGCTACGCAGCCATTCCACATCCTTACTTCGACCACAGTGGAAAGACACTTGTCGTCACATACACAAATCACCCCAATACTATCCAGGCTGTGAAAGTGGTAAGTCTCCCGGTGTCCATCGGTGCGTGCCCCGATACTGATATGGTCGTAGACATTCAGCTAGACATGTCGGTGCACAGTATAGCATTTTGACCGGATCCGCGAGGAGCTTTTGGGAAGAAATTTTACCATTGCTAGCTCTGGTGGAGTTTACGAAGAATTTTCAAGCAAGAGGTCTATAGCAATTTTCTGGTACCCTATGCCACCTGCGATATCACCGATGCGAACCTCAACAGACTCATGCCGCCATGACGTCGAATCCTACCAGGAACGAAGTAGCTAATAACAAGAAGCGACAATTTTACCGTGAGAAATGCTTAAGGTTTCCACCCTCACGCCTTGGCAAAACAAGATCTTCCAAGAAGCGCTCCATTTCCCCTCTCTTTCGCAATGACGTCCACCCCATGGCACAACGAATCGATGTCGCGTGGCACTGCAGCGGTCGCTCGACCATGCGGCTACTCGCTGCGTGCCTTTTGCTTGAGACAAGTGTCGCAAACAACAATCTTCGCTTCAGAGCTGCCAGCGCGTTCAAATGCCCGACTTCTCCTGGTTTCCAGTCGTCGATCATCTGGGGTCGCCGCTGATAGACCTCGCCAGAATTTGCCGCATCGTCGACACAAATCAGCTTGCGCTCTTGGCATTACAGGGCGAAATCCTCTTGTTTTTGTCGTCCCTCCCCGCTCTGTTTGAAATGCATGCAAAGCGAGTGCAGACTTGATGTATGATGCAGTTGCTACATGCGAGCTCATGGCCGGGGTGCGTGGGCGCATCGCAAGCGGGCTTCCTCGCCTTTAATTACTCTATGCGCTATGTGCCCCGTTCTTTTGGCTCTGCTCTCGGAGCACTACATATTCTGATTCTTCCCTCTTGTTTATGAGCTTGACGTCCAGTTTCCTGATTGACGAGCATAACTACTTTCAGCATATACACAGCACCACAGAGTGACCGGACAACATGGGCTTACTGCTGAAGAAGCCAGACGACGAGCCAGGAGCAGCATGGCCGGCAGTCGTCATTGGCCTGTTCGTGGCCTTTGGTGGTGTTCTGTTTGGCTACGACACAGGTATGTTCAGTTCAGCAAAAAAGACGAGGACCATATCCCTGACAGAATGACCATAGGAACCATTTCGGGCATCCTGGGCATGGAGTATTGGGTCCGAGAGTTCAGCGGAGGCTACACTGATGCAGACGGCCAACCGGCGATCAGCTCGGGCGACGAGTCTCTGATTGTCTCGATCCTGAGTTTGGGGACGTTTCTTGGAGCCTTGACAGCCGCCCCAGTGGCAGATTACTTTGGACGTCGGATGGGACTTATCCTGTCCACTGCGATCATCTTCAATTTGGGAGTCATCCTGCAGACTGCGTCTACTTCACAGCCGCTGTTCATCGCGGGCAGATTCTGGGCCGGATATGGTGTAGGTTTGATATCTGCACAGGTGTGTGATCAGATACCCAGTCCTCGTTGTAAGCTGATCTTTCCTAGATCCCATTGTACCAGTCGGAAACAGCACCCAAGTGGATTCGAGGCACTGTCGTAGGAGCATACCAATTGTCGATCACAATCGGGCTTTTCTTGGCAGCCATAGTCAACAACGCGACCAAGAACCGGGACGACACTGGCTCTTACCGCATTCCTGTGGCTCTTCAGTTCCTATGGTCGATCATCCTAGTTGGGGGTCTCCTCTTCCTACCAGATACCCCGCGTTTTCACATCAAGAAAGGCCGCCACGAAGCCGCTGCGAAGGCCCTCGCCCGCATTCGTCGGCTGCCTGTCGATCACCCCGGACTCGTCGAGGAACTTGCTGAGGTTCGAGCCAATCACGATTTCGAGATGAGTCTCGGGAAGGGAACGTACGCAGACTGTTTCAAGGGCACCGTCGGCAAACGTCTCATGACTGGCTGTGCGCTGCAAGCGCTACAGCAACTCTCCGGCGTCAACTTTATCTTCTACTATGGCAAAAAATGCCTACTTTCAGCGTGCCGGCTTCGAGAACCCCTTCACCATTCAGGTCATCACGAATTGCGTCAACGTCGTCTCCACCCTACCTGGACTCTATCTCGTCGAGAAGCTGGGCCGCCGCAACTTGCTCCTCTTGGGCTCATGCGGTATGGCTGCGTGCCAGTTCATCGTGGCCATTACTGGGACAGTAGCTGGAACCACTGACCTGGCAGCTCAGCGTGCGGCCATCGCTTTCGTATGCATCTACATCTACTTCTTTGCGTCTACTTGGGGTCCAGTCGGTATGTTATGCCAAGGTCCGCCTCAGTAGGAGTGTTCGCGCTGCTAACAAGAGACTACAGCATGGGTCGTTACGGGAGAATTGTTCCCTCTCAAGGTCCGCGCCAAAGCACTGTCGATGACGACTGCAACGAATTGTAAGTGCCTGACCGAGTTGTGCCGGCGATGCTGATCATGATACCTCGAAATAGGGCTATTGAACTTCGCAATCGCTTATAGCACACCTTACATGGTCGACGAGGAACATGCAAACCTGCAATCCAAAGTCTTCTTCGTCTGGGGCTCCTTTTGCCTACTCTCGATCGGCTTCGTGTGGGCATTAATTTACGAGACCAAAGCGCTCACGCTCGAGCAAGTCGACGAGTTGTATGAGCTGGTTGATAAAGCTTGGCAGAGCAAGAAGTTCAGGCCCAAGGTCAACTTCCGGGAGAGCGTGGCTGAGGAAGGCCAGAGGGGCATGAGTTTGAGGCAGATGAGTATTGCGCAGGAGAGGAGAAGGAGTCAGGCTGGGGTTGAGGGGGGTGAGAAGGGATTCAGGGGCGAGGAGAGATCATGAGGATATGAAAACGCCGGGCATGGTCATCGTGAGGTGATGGTGGCGGTCCGAGTATGGACTGGCTGTGCGGCAGGATGAGCTAGGCACCTTCATCTACACTGATGGATGTACTCAAGCCGACGATCGAGATGGGCACGTCGGCAGGATGTATGGAACCGGGAACCGAAGTATAGGAAAAGGCTAGGTTTTGGTCTATGCAAGATGAGTGAGATACATGTCAGGGGTGGAAGTAGCAACATCACAAGATAAGGATGAGAGCGCAACTCACTACGTTTCAAATATACTTGCTCTGCTTGATGTGCAGATAACATCAGCGGCAAAAAGCCATTCCAGGTATGCGGAGGTGGTTCATCTACTTGCTACGAAGCATCTTTACAACGCCGGTTGACACGGATATTCTTGCCCCATCAAAGTACAGTTCATCAAAGATGGACCGGCGTCCGTTATGCGAAGCTGGAAGCAGCAGCTATCGACGGACGCGGCTTCCGGGTTTCTATACAATCTCTCAAGAACGCGCCAGCCAATTTTGCAATAGTGCCTTGACACTTGCTAGCAGTGATGGCTCTTCGGTTGGCAAGCACCTTTCTCACTTCAGGTCCTCCTCCCAAACCCAAGCCTGCTCCACCTCACCTGGGATGAGCGCCTTCAGCGCCATACCGTAGTCACCCTGATTCGGCGTCCGCAACAAAGTATGCACATGAAACCTCTGAGGTTCCTGATTCGTCAAGAACACGCCCGAGTGGTGGTCGAATTCGATAATTACGACCGGACTCTGGATTCTATAATAGAAGATAGAGTTGCTGCTACTATAGTCACCAATCCAGCAGAAGTAGGTCTCCTTGAAGTATTGCTGTGCTTGCTTCAACCGCATGTCGCGGGCTTGTTGCGGCAGGTAGAGGAAATATTCAGCAAGGGTTTGAGAGACGAGTGACTGAGCTTCGGGGCCAAGATCTGACACCAGGACGCCTTCATATGGTACAACGCGATTGTCGCGGTAAGCACCACAGAGGTGGCGTTGGTCGTCTCTATTCCAGCGGCCTGGTGGCATAGCTGGGTCTTTCATCTGTTTGTAGATCTGAGCGGTAGTCTGCTGGGCCACTGAGAGGGACTGCATGAGTTTCAGACCAAGTGCTTCCTCTTTCCTCAAGATCTTCGTGCCCTTGTAAGGTCCTTCGTCGATCTCGTTTGGCTCGGCGCCTGTGAACCAGGGAGAGATGATGAGTTGGGACCGATAGAGGAAGATGTTGAGACATAAGTGGTGACCGTAGAAGGATATGCCCCAGGGCGTGGTGTCGATGGGCTGCCGAAAAGGCAGAGGTTGTAGCTGAATTCGTTGCATACTGCTTTGCCGTCGACTAGCTCTCCCAGGAAGCCATTGATCCGCATTGCAGAGACAGCCTTCTCGTAGCCCTCTGGAGATAGTATCGCCTTCAGCAACGCCATTGTAGCGTCTCGCACGGCAGGCGTGACATCGTCCAGACGAATGCCCTTATCCGACAATAGAAATTCTGGGTTTGACCACGTCCGCCATTCCGGCGAGTCGATGTGGTGCATTGTCCTAGCGAGTTCTTGGGGCGTCAATTGTGAGATTAGATCGGTGGCTGCCTTGACAATAGCGTCTATCGGAATACCTTCGTCCTGCAGCTGGAACAAATTTGGGCGTACGTTGCCATCACTTGTGACGCCCTTGTAAGGTTCTGATAGCAGCTTGAGCCAGTGAGTATATAGGGCGTGCAGCCAAGGAGGCCCATGGTTCTCCTTGAAGTCTTTGGCGTACACATGTGCACTCTGTTGCTTCATAGTCGTGAAGCGTGGTATGCTTAGATCTGGCAGGTACTTGCGGTACTCGCCGCTGGGTGCGGCTTCCGGATCCATGGCTGAAGGATGCTTGTTGCCTGGAAAGATCGTTTCTTCAGTCGAACTTCCAGCGATGGCACCGTTCCTGCTCCTATCACAAAAGCTTCGCAGAGACTCACTTGATCTGTGGCAGTGTATGGAAGGACAGAAGACGTATACGTGAAGTGATTTCGGCATAGCCTGTAGTCCTACAGGAGTCATGGTTCGGCTTCCCCACCTGTCTCCCCCACAGTGTCCCACATCCGGGCCACGCAGGAGCTGTTAGGCTAGGTATCCCAGCAAACAGACAACGCCCTATCGGTCATAGTCGAGGCTACGATCCATCGCATCCTGTAGACCTGACCGGGCAACGTAGCGGGAGATCTGTAGGTTCTTCTGATGTCTCGGGCTGTCGCAGCATCGGGTTTCAAGCGTGAGTGCCTTGGGCAATGCACATACGCCGACTGACGTGCCAGGGTTGGTCCGATTCACGAATTCGAAATTTCCAGACAGGATCCGAGTAGGCCAGCCTCTTTCAGATAGCATTGATGTTGGTCTGGCCGTCGCAAAAGGCGAACAAGTACATGTAGCGCTCTTCAGTGGAAGGTCTGTCCTCAGCCCTGGCGAGCCCACAGGTGATACAACGACTATCTCTCACCTCTATTCACCAATCGCACGCCACGAGACAAACACTATACGTTGCATTGGTCTGAACTACCGATCGCATGCCGAGGAGGTCAAGCTGCTTATACCAAGCACGCCGTCTTTGTTTCTGAAGCCATCAACGTGTCTTGCTGATCCATGGCCAACGGCTCCATCCATCCTTCCACGCATCACCAGACAGCACGATTGCGGGGACTACGAAGCCGAGCTTGCCGTCATCCTGGGAGCTGATGCCAAGAACGTCCCTGAGGAAACGGCCCTCGACTATGTCCTTGGCTACACCGCCGCCAACGACATCTCGTCGCGAACACCACAATTCTGGACTTCACAGTGGGACTTCAGCAAAGGATTTGATGGGTCATGTCCGATCGGTCCAACCGTTGTGTCGAAGGAGCTTATTCCGGACCCGGGAAAGTTGCGGCTCAGAGGCATCCTGAACGGCAACACCATGCAAGACTGCGGCACGGACGACCTGATCTTCAGCGTAAGCAAGCTCGTGGCCTTTCTCAGCCAAGGCACCACGCTGCCGGCTGGAACGGTAATCCTGACTGGAACGCCAGCGGGCGTGGGCATGAGCCGAAAGCTGAGTCTGAAGGCCGGCGACGAATTTCATGCTTGCATTGAGCCGTATGTTGGGACACTCATCAACCGCTTTGGAGACGAGGTATGAGGCTCTGGAGTTGATACGTTGCTCGTGATGGCAACGGATCTACGATGAGAACCTCGAATACAACCTCCAAAGCGCCCAACATCTAGCTGAAGGCATGGCGAGGTGAGTGTGGCGCCTCAGCCATACTGCTGACGCTTCAGCACTTCATAGGCGGAGATGAGCCTGGAGGTGACCCGGCTCCAGTTGTATGCTTCGAAGTCATAGCAATCTGCCAGTGAAAGTGTAGAGCTTGCCGCGGGAAAGACTCAAGAGCAATCGCCCGCACGACATGCTTTCTGGACGTCGAGGTCCGAGATGTCCACATTCTACTTGTCCCGTGACTTGGAATGAATACCGAATGCATTGACATCCTGAAAGTCGCTAGTGAATATTCCTAGGTGGCCGGGACAAGCTAGGCATTATCATACAAGTCTTACAGGCAGTTCCGCGCGCACAGGTCGTCAGTTCTTTCCAACGACCTGAGCGATCTTTTCCAGGTCCAGCTCTCCTTTCCTTCCCCAGCCTTGGCTTCCACTGGGCACACCTGGCCTAAACTTTTCATACATGCCGAAAGCCCTTCGATTAAGCTCGTCTTCATCGTCCCTCCATGCCTTCAGCCCTTCCTCCATAGCCTTTCTCGCAGACGAATATGCTTCCTTCCCACCATACTTGCTAATCAAGGCGGACTCTGACTGCGGCTTGGGTTTGCCGCTCATCATGACACTTCTGCCGCCATCCTTAGGGTTGAGAGGCAGAGCGAAGGACATCACATCTAGATTTTGTGGAGCATCGTCCCTATCCTTTTCTCTCTTCTCCTTCTTCTTTGCCTTGTTGTCATTGTCATCATTGGGAGGGTCCATCTTACCGACCGCTCGCCCCTTAGATATGGCACAGAGGGTCGCGATCGCGGCACCTGCGCTGAGACATGCCTCCCAGTTGAGGTCTGGGTAGAGAAAGCATGCGACACATGCAGCCCAGAGTGTCAGGACTGGTGCACGATTGATCATGATGGGCTTGCTTGTGGACCTCTCGTTGGCTTTTTCAGATGCATCATCTTCCTTCTTGGTGCCGTTCGCCGCATTACGCTTGCCTTTAGACTGTGCTTCGGGTGCTCCGCCCCTGGGATCCTTCCTCCTCGTCTCAGCGGCTCGACGAGCTGCACCGACGGGGTCCGAGGGCGTAGAGCCTTTCGGCACTTTGCGTGGGCGATTCTCTTCCTCTGGCTTGTCCGAAGGAATTGACTCCTTTGGTGGTGGCGTTGGTGGTTGATGAGCCTTCGTTTATTCGAGCCTTGTTGCTTTTGAGGCTTGTCGTGATTGCCAGATCCAGAGCTGCTCTTTCCTCTTTGCTTCACCGGAGCATTTGCGGCAGGCTTGACGTCAAACTCTTCAAGGGTTGCTTGCTTTGGCTCGCTTGCGCCGCCAGTCTTGGAACGTGTGCTTACCATTATGGCTGTCGGTTTGGGTGAGGAAAGATGAAGCAAATTTTCGATGGGAAGTGCTACAGCTTCATCCCAGGAGCTTCCGGAAATGCAAAGAGGTGCCTTCTCAACTATATGGCGTCAGGACGAACAAGTCTGGGTCATTGCTCCGATCGACTGGTCGTATCTAGCGCACCTATGTAGCACTGCTACATGCAGCTTCAATGCTATGAGGTAGAGGGACATTTGTATACAATGATCATAGCCATGTGGACGACGTCAACATCGACGTCAGCGAATACGGTCACGTGAGCATTGACAGCAACTTCTACTATTGTCCCCACTGAGGACGAGCCAGGCTGAAACAGGGCGTCGCTGCTTAACAGGAGGTTCTCACAATCTAGACGTTCTCGATAAGCATACGGAATTGTGAATAAGTCTGTTCGGTACGTAAACATGAAGTTGCTTCTTGAAAACATTTCGCTATCATGCCTCGCCCTTTCTTTTGGGCAAGGGGTATATACAGCATGATCATCAGATTTCCCAAACAATAAACAGATCTTTCGCTGAGAGAGACTTGATTAGCACCATTGGCTAGTCCCACAACAGCCCAATGGGCCCGACACAATGAGCACATTCACGAACGACCAGTCGTGCCTTCCGGGGAACCATGGGCAGCAGGCGCACCTGCGTCTATCGCGGGACCTGGACCGTCGGACGGACCGCCCCTTTCCTGCTGCGCCGCATTTTCCCGCTGGGCTGCCAGCGATGGCGGCGAAGTGGCAGGAACGACCGGCGGGACCGAGGGGGCCAGATCTGGTGTGGCTACCTTCTTGCCCGCCTCTCCTTGCTGCACGAAGAAATCTCTCGTCGCGGTTCTTGAGCCACCGCTGATGACAGGCGTCGCTGATGGCGGAGAAGTGCTGGGTGCTGGAATAATCACAGCCGCATTGCCAGGAGTTTCAGGAGGGCGGTCTTGCGCCGACGGGGAAGCAGTAGCGACCGCTCTCGTCGCCTGCTGCACCTGCGCCGGCGGCGTTCTTCTTGGCTGCGTGTTCCGCCTTGACACAGGCGAACGTCGGACGCGTGACTGAGGTGAGCTCCTTGGCGATCCTTCGATGGCACCTTGTTCGGCGAATGCGCCTCGTAGGCTGCTGGGCCCGGGCTGTAGAGATGGCACTGGCGAGCCCGCTACGGGCGGACTTTGCCGATCTTGTTGTTGTGGCGTTGGAGCATTACTGTGCTGCTGCTGCCGCTGCTGTGTAGGCGTCCTACTCTGACTTGACGAAGATGCCTGTGGCGGTGACCACGTCTGTCCGCGTCGTGGCGCCGGTATTATCACCACGTTATTGCTGGATACACTTGTGCTCGTCGCGCTGGATGGCTGTCGACTGTGGCCGCTTGGTCCCGCTTGCCCATCCTCGTCATGCTGGACGAGTGCCTGACTCGCTGCGCTGATCGAGCTCGAGTTCCGAATCTCCTCCGGCGACCACGTCCGGCCCTTTGGAGCAGGAATGACCATGATCGGTAGAGGTGGCGACGGGCCGCTTCCGTTACGTCCGAATCGATCCCGTTGCGCGATAGCGAATGCGCCCAGGCGATTCTTCAGATTCAATGTCTGGTCGATGGGTGATCGTCGTTGTCCGCTTGCGATTTGAGCGCCCGCAACCTCCGCTGGAGGCTCTGCTCGCCTGCGCTTGAACGGATTCGGTACAGTAGACCAGAATTGTTGGGGTTTGCGTGCCTGTTGCGTGGTTTTAATCGCTGAAGGTTCGACTTCCTTCACGATTGGCGGATGGTCTTCAGTCGACGAATCCGAGATATCCTTAGGCAACTGGACTGGGTCCGCGGGAGGCTCTGGCTGTTCGGGCACTGTCTCCGGAGCCGTCGGCGACGGGCTGGTAAGGTTGTGGTACCGGACAGCATAGACTGTGCTAGCGGCGCTTGCGGTATCGCTGCGATCCGGTGGCGACGCTGCTGGCTTGGGAGGGACGAGCCGCACACCGGTTGTAGTGTCTGTTCCGCCGGTGGGCGGGCCCTGACTGCTGTTGCTGTCGTGCCCTACAGGTCTCTTCCGTCTCCGCCGTACAGGCAGCTTATTGCGCACATGCCTGATCTGGGACATGATTCCAGCCGCCTTCTCCAGATCACCACCGTCTCCCTTGCCACGTCTCCGTCGATGATAATCACTGTCGTCGGAGGAGGGCCGATCCAGCATGTCGTCACCATCAAATATCTCACGACCGAGGATGCCATCCTTCCGCTCGTCTCTTTCCAAAGCCTCAATCCTTTCTACCCATTCCCAGACCACTACACTCGCAGCAGCTGCACCCACCCATCGGATGTATTCACCCCATCCAGCTATTTTCGGTAACGATATGTCCAATACAAAGAACACCACGGGTATCAACACTGACATAAGCGACATCAACGCGACCAAACATATATTCCTCATTTTCGGATGCCAGAACGCGAACCGTCGTTTCGATAACGAGTAGTATATCACACATGAGGCGTAGATCAGAGAGATGGCCAGCTCGAATAGATAGTTCAGAGCCGGTATAGCATCCGTAAAGCTCCTCGGTCTCGTCCCAGGACTGTCGCTGATGAAAGAGTCGAGGATGCTGAAGATGATGTCGGCGGAGACGAGCGCAAAGCCGAGCCACTTGATGGTGACCTTCTCTTTGTGGCGCGGGAAGAGGCGGATCAGCGTCTGGACCTGGGCTAACCAGATGAACGAGTCGGATATGATCCTGACCACACGAATCAAGACAGTGTTGACGACGTCCTCGACCAAAGCGCTCGAGTCGAGATAGCCTTGGTAGTACTGCTCCTGGGCGACATGGAAGGTGTCCGCAGCGGCGATTGTGAGGGAAGTAGCCACCCCGATCGTAGCAACTTTCTGCAGCAGCGGCCTCCTCCCTACACCAACCACTGATGTTGAAGTCGACAGGCCATGTCGCGATAGAAAGCCGCCTCCGCCGCCAGGTCCACCCACGTAGAAGGTCCGAGGCGTGATGAAGATGAGAATGACCAGCACATAGCTTATGACCGTAGCCGTGGCGAGCGCGAAGATCTGTGGGGAGATGGAAGCATAGAATGGCTCCCTGAAGCCCAGCACGGTCGAGTTGCCTGTCGTATCGGGACTGATGATCGATTCATCGCTATTGCACGGGAGCAGATAAGTCGCTTGAGCGGCCAGTCGCGTGGAAATGTTTTCGCCTAGAACGAGTATACCTATAGACGCAAACAGATCAGTTCCAGGCTCTTCAACGCGGTATTGTAAGTTGCGACAGAGGACAGCGAACAAGCTTCTCTTGTTTGCTACAACATGCGCCTCCAGTCGGGATCGACATACCTCCAGTGGGCAAAATGACAGGTGTACACCATTCTCGGGTACCTGTAGCGGATGTCCTGGTGTTGATCTGGCCCCATAGCTGGCGTGCGGATAGTGTAGGGGTTGGCTGCATGCTCTTGCTATCGATCCGAGGGAAGTCTGGGTGCGTGCGTCGACCGCATTGTTGAGTGGTCGCGCTGTGCTCGGGACGATGCGCGCGGTTGGGTGGGTGATCTCGGTCGGGAGTTGCAGACGTTGGGCTTGAGTAACGGGCGATGGTATAGAGGCCGTTTTAACGTCACGTAGAATGGCAGTCTTGCTGGGTTTACTGTGTTGTTAGTGACTGAGGGCCTTCGGTGCTATAGACGTGAGGTTCATGGGCGGCGAGAAAGCGGATGTATGCCGGGCCGAGTCCTCTCGGCGGAGGCGAGTCCGTCCCTAGGTGTGGGCCACATTAGGTTTGAGATCGACGCAATCCCATGCATCTGCAACACAGTACGAGGCACACCTTCCCATGGGTCCCTGAGCTCATGGTCGCGCCAATTCTGTGGCTCGATCAATCCATACCCACGGGCCTGGAAGCACTTCGTCATAGGTGTACCAGACATTGCAAAACCTAGAAAGTTCTTATGTGCTCAAAATTGACATTATTAGGCAGGTACTGCCGGGGCTATGTACGGGGTATCTGGGGGCGCTAGCTGGGTACGATCTGCCATCGCAATATGTGCTGAAGGAGCGTCAGACATCTGTCCGACAATATTCAATCGTTCCTCGTGGGTATCATAGCAATCATTCATAATGTATTGCGGAGGCCTCCATGGCCTGATTTGGCCGTCTGTCCTGCCACACACGCAGGAGCTAGTGGCTTCGAGGGACTCAGTGACTCGGTTTACGACTTATTGAAAATCGTAGAGATGATCCTGATTCAGCCATTGCATCGTGTGCTGATCGAACGGAGCCTGCGTGAGCACCTCAAGCATGTCTTGCGTGCCCACGGTGGGTCCAATGCCGTGAAAGCCTTGATCGACGCGGAAACCGTCCATGTTGTTCAGTGCATCTAATGGGAGGGTGAGCCAGTCTGCATTCGGTTCGCTGTTAACGCTGTGATCAATCCCATCGTCGAGAGCAGGGTCGAAGTCACCGAAATTAGGCGGTGGGATGAATGTTCGGTCGGAGAACTCAGCCATTGGTCGAGCCTCGATGTTGGCAAGAGGGTCGGAGTAGCCTGCCGAGAATGGCGGCACACCATTCCCATAGGCTTGGTTCGGATCCATGAAGCGTTGGTGGTGATCGTTACCATTGTGGTTGACTTGAGGCGACAGAGCCCGTCCTGGGGTGTGCTCCCGACTGGGTTGGCCGGACCCATTAGGACGCTTCTGGACGCGAATCATGGTTTCTTTGACCTTCATCAGTATGCCCTCGATCATTCGTGCTGTGGAGCCACTAAGATGAACATCGTCGACGACCTGGGTGGTGAGTAGTTTGGTTACTTTCTCGAGAAGATCGATGCTCTTCCGAACCATTTTCTCGTGGTTGCCTATGCTCAGTCGCTAGGAAATGTCAGCCTACAATGATTACCGTGGTGCGAGAGAAGACTTACCTTCAGTGTGAACATCATGGCCGACAGAGTCCGTAAGAATGTTCGGACAGGAGCATCCCTCAGCACACCGAGAGCATTCATCTTCCCACTGACCAATTCCAAGATGTGAAGCGCTGCCTCGGTGAATTGATCGATGTACTGCTTATTGTTGCTCACAGATCGGACCATGTTGTTGGGCGAGGAACCTGGCTGGACCCACTGCTCAACGACATGCTGCAGGCCGATCGAGTTGATGTATAGCCGAGCATATTCGAATTCCATCAGCAGAATGCTGTCCATGACCTCATCCAGTACACCTCGATCTCTCTTGAAGTGGTCCATCCAGTCATTGAGGAGTGGTGTGAACTTCTGAATTCGATCTCGGTACTTGGTACCCCGGGTCAAGTTAATGGTGTACTCTCGCGATGGGAATATCTCTCTGTTAGCTTCATCCATAATGTTTGCGATGTGGGCCCATAGACTTTGCATTCGATCGACACGCTCGCTGCGAGTGCTGTCGATATTCCGCCACTGGTCCAGGACGGTCTCGTCGAATCGTAGTATCGACGGGATACCAATTCTGCCACTGGTCTGAGCAGCGTAGACAGTAAGCATGCGGCGTATGCGATTCTTTCTGGGGAGATCAGGATCATCGCGACCATGACGGCTCCTAGGATCATCAAAAGCGCCCAGTTCGCACGCAAGAGCTTGAGCGAGACTCAGCAGATCCCAAGACATGCGATCAGACCTCCAGGCGGGCTCCAGCCAGCTCGAGCCAGCTGCATTATCGTGATTGTCCCCGTCAGATTCGTGATAGTTGGTGCCATCGCCATTGTCTTCGCCCATGAAATTCTCTGCAAGTAGACTGATCTCGTCATTGCCAGGAGAGAAATGTAGTGAGCGTGGCTGCCAATCAGTGAGCAACAACAGCGCTTCGATGGTGCCAAGAGTTCGAAGAGACCCAACCCAAGTGAGCTGGCCGTTTGCTAGTTCACGAGTCTTGCCATGTTTGCCTCCACCAAACTTCTCCTGGCCCCACAGAAGTCGTTGCACTTTGCTTGTCAAAGCCCGCCAGAGGTTGTCATGTATCGAGTACTGTCTGGACGTTGAGGAGGCACCTGTGAGCTCCTTGTAGCGCGATGCGACCGTGAGTATTGCGAGGGCGAGAATTGGTTCCGATGTCCACAACTCAAGATGTTTGCGCACATCTCTATAATCTGGCAAGACAATTGGGGTCATCGGTTGCAGCCTATCGTAGAAGTAGTCGACATATGCAATGCCCTCTTCTGCCGAGAAGAATCCAGACCTTACGAAGGCCATGCTATTCCATATTTTCAGCGCGTGCCGATAAGCCACAATCTGATCTGGGTCGAGAATGCTGCCGTCTCTGTTGACGTGAGGCATACCGGGTGCGATGAGCTTGCGCTTGAGCTGTGCATTCATCTCGGTACGGCCCTGTTGCTGCATGGAGTTGGCCGTGTTGGCGAGCAAATGCAGCGAGCGCTCGCTTGTGGCGATTGGGTCATGGACGAAGCTCTCTGCAGCTTGACTCATGAGCTCGCTGTTTCCGTCCTTCTTGGACTGGGAAGCATTGCCAGCTGTGCTACTGATCGAGGTGGTTCGGGTCTTGAAGCTGTTGTCATACGATTGCCGTATCGTGGCGGCATGTTGGGCGGCGAAGTGATTGGCTGCGCTTGCATTGGAAGCCCAGGTGATACTTGACCTGAGGGCCACCCGAAAGCGGCATTGCCAGGTTGAGTCGCTGGCGACGGCGTCTGAGTATGCGAAGTCGTGCGAGGGCGCTTGTCCACGTGGGTGTCGTCAGGTGGTGAGCTTGTTGGGCTTGGAGACTTCCTCTTCTTTCGAGTGTCGGCAAAAGTACACTCTTTGGCTTCGCGTCGACATCGTGCACAGGGAGGAGGATGAGGTGCGTCGACGGGACCACTGTGCACCTGTTAGATTTATTCATGTGTTGGGAAGCAGCAGGGCACGTACAGATCGCATTTCACCTTCCTCAATCTGCAACCTTCGCATGCTTGATAGTTGCGACGGTGCTTCGCAGACGATTGGTCGCCATCACCGTCAGCAGCGTCTGGGCCTGGCGAGGTGTCCGCACGAGGGAGGCCGATCGCGTCGCCTACGTTGACATTGTATGACATGGCGCGAGCGCGCGTCGTTTCGCAGAGGATAGAAAATGATGAGACGGTTATCAACGGCAGACCACCGCCGTAGGAATGCCGCTGGCTGGGCCGTGGCAGAAGACCCCACGGATGCAGTGCCAGCGCCCCCCCCGCGCCCGCCCGGTGGATGGTTTCCCCGCGCTGTCGCGAAGCTTGGGATGCTTGAAGCCTAGTGAAGGACGTAGTCCGTATCTGGACGTGACTTCGCGGAGCTTTCGGACGTTTCTTTGTATTCGTTGCTCAGTGTGTCGGTGCGGATGGTGGACAAATACTCGGTCTTCAACGGCAGGTAGCAGATGAAGACACAACTTTATAGAGGTACCCCCCCGGGCAGAGCAAGCTATTGAATGCATACACCAGTCACCACGTCACGTAACTCTGCCCAATATCGCCGGCTGTATGCGCACCAGCAGTGAAGAGAAACAGTGAAGACCAGTAACTCCGCTTACAAGCCAGGTGGCAGTGAAGAGCCAGCAGTGAAGACAGAATGTCATTTGATATGCTTCACATCCATGAGCAGCTTGCTGGAGTTTGGTGGACCCAATGCTGCTCAAAAAGATGCATCGCATATTGTACAGCAACATCGAGCGTCACTATGCTTCTCGAAGGTTGCTATGTCGATACACGAGCCTCGATGGCGGCGACGCCGAGTACAGCTCTGCAGGCTTCTCCTTCGCCACAGCTCCACCGTTGGCCTGAACATGCTTCAAGAGTTCGTGACTACCCTGCACGCTATCCTCACTCGTACGACGCGATATCGTTGGGGTCGCCTTCCCGCCAAGCAGGCCTCTGATCCCGCCAGCTTTCCTGGCTGGCAGATCGCCAGAGCCAGCGGTTAGTACGTATAGCAGATATTTCAGGTTCGGCAGAGTATGCCGAATATCCAGGACTCGTAAACCAGCTTTGCTCATCAGGATCTCGATGTTCTTGTTGAGCAAGAAGACTCCATATTCGAATTTATAGGCGACGCTCGTGGGGTGGAGCGGATAGCGTCGCTGCGTCAGACCAGCCGAGATGGGATCTTCGATCCACGACTGAGAGGAATTGACTTCTAATGGATATGGTAGTCCGCAGCGCAGATACAGGGACAGGTGTTGAACCAGCTGTGTCGTGAAGCCAAACGCAGCTGCAATCTCGTCTCGATTCGTGTCATCGAATGTCGAATTTGGTAAATGTATACTTCGAATAGTAAACTGCAAGGCTTTGTTCTTGATGGCTTCGATTGGGAACACGACCATCAGGCCTCGCCGACCCGGCGCATCTGTCCGTGGCACTCCTCTGCAAGTGTCTGGTTAGATGCTTTGCTCCTCTGGATGCTTCGGCGCAGCTCCTTCGCTTCGGCGCTACTAGCATCGGGAGACTGTGCCGCAAATTTCACAGCATCGCGTCGAGCCTTGAGGTTGCGACGTAATTCGTCAATGCGTCGTTGTAAATGCGCGTTCTGCTTGTTCACGGCTTCCACCGCAGCACGAGCCGTGCTGACGCGATCTCGCTGAGACAGAATTGCCTGATCACGATCTCTGGCAGGGTTCTGTTGGCGCAAAAGCTCATCCACGTCTTCCTCCAGCCGCTTACGCTCCTTCAGAGCGTCCTGAATACATTCATCCAAGTTGGCCAACTGCATCAGAGAATCAAACGAGCTTCCAGTCTGTGTTCGCTCCCCCTTGGTGTCCTTCTCGTAAGGGAACATTTTGCTGCCAGCGGGCATGTCGGTGAAAGAGGTATAGATTCCGTCGGACAGGTGAAGAAGGACGCAATTCTCTGGCAGTGGATGATGGAAGGCATCAAGTGTCTTCCCAATAAATTGCATTGACCGAAGATTCAATGATATCTCGAGGAGAACAGCCCAATCCGTGCCTTCTGAGCGCTTTGCCCAGACACGAAGCAAACAGGCATCGCTTCTCGAGATGTTGGGTCCTAATGCGTCGAGGTCGAAGAAGGCGAAGCTTGGGTTCATGCTTCTCTCCATGATCTCACTTACATAGATCGGATCTGACGAAGTGGTTGAGTGCAATGTGAACCAGGTATCGATCAGCCTGTGCGCTGTCAGGTCTCGTAGCTTTTCCTGTCGTGCTCGTGGAGTAGCAGAATTCCAGTGCAGTGTGCTTCGCCGACGCATGCGACCCACCGGCCGTGCTGTTGGGGATCTCCCATCATTACTGTATGCTGTTGCTGCCTTCTGCAGTGAGCCCGGGCGGTGGTTCTTCGCCTCGACGACATTTGTGAAGGATGAGCTGTGGGTCAGCTTGTGTGCGTCTCCCCGGAGTGCTCGCTTGGTGGGCGAGTCAAGATTGTACGGCGCATCGTCGTCGGTTATGGTTTTGCCTCTCTGCCGAGACGGAGTGGTCGTGAGGTCCAAATTGCGCAAGGAGACGCCATGGAGGTGTCGTAGCCTACGGTTCTGCGCAAGTTCAGTACAGCGAACTCACACAGCAGGTTGGACTCACCCAAGGAAAGATGAAAGGTCTCTCGTGGCGCACTGCCGGTCCAGACGAGTCATGGCCTGACATTCCCTATGTCGTGCCGCTGCATCTCGCTCGGGTTTTGCCGGTCGCCAGAGCCGAGTGCAGTGGAAGTCGGTGTACTAGTGGTGAATGGTGGTAAGAGATTCAGAAGGTTCAATATGGCGCCGCGGATGCACTGACGTACCCCAGGTGGACAAACGAAAATGTCCCCAGTCAATGAACTTATGGTTACTACATTTAATAATCCATTTCTATTGCTCACGAGCCTAGCTGTTCAATGCACTCTCTGGTGGGATCAAATCGATTCATCATATATTCCTATCCATGATGCTGTGCGCATTCACAATTGATTGCTTCCCAATTGTTCTCAAAAGTCCTCCAACTCCACGCTCTCGAAGATCACCAGCGACCGGTTCTTGGCTTGTCATTTACGAAGACTGTCGAGACGGGCCTGAAGATCATCATCTTCACCGCCGCCTCCGATAGCCTGCGCGACGCGGTTTTGGGGAGCGGCTTCCTTCTGTAGTCCTGAAGGGGTCTCGCCCAGCTGACTTCGTTAGCACATTGATGGAGAAACGGCAGGCGCATACGTACGGCTTGGTTGAGGTCGACGCCTATCTCATCTAGGACCTGATTGACGACTTCTTCACCCTCTTCCTCGTCTTCGAGACCGGTAACATCGTCAATGGCATCGTCCATCATTTCCTGCCGCTGGTCCATAATGTCGTTCTCGCGCTCGAACTCCATTGCTATGCGCTGGAGGGCTGGTAGATTCATCTGTCGGTTCATGCTACCGAGCAGTTGCGTTGCGCCCTTCATAGACTGCATCATCTGTTCATTGCTCCGCACCGTCTGCACCTCGAGTGAGTATTCTGGTCGCGACCACACGAGTGCCTAGGGAATGTACCTGAATCCGTAATGATATAGCCTGGAGTTGGGTTCGCATCTGATAGAACTTCCCAATGTACCGCCGTGTCCGCACCAGGTCCTTCGCTTGGATCTTGCAGGCTCCGATCTGACCATTCTTTGCACTCTTCTTGATATCTTGAACGAGCTTCTTTTCTTGATTCTCGAGTTTGGTTCTCTCCCGATCAAGCTCTCGCTGCGTCTTCTCAAGGGCCCTTTGGTGCTTGCGAAGCCTCTCTGCCGGCGTCATGCGCTTTCCAAACGCCCATTCTATAATCTTTGGTGGGATTAGTATGAGATCAGCCAATCTTGACGGACAACGTAGGACTGACGTTCATGGTGGGGGCGCTCCGTGTGCAAGCCTCCGACCACTATCGTTGGGCTTCGGGACTGGAGATGTGGTCTAGAATCGTGGAGCACAATGATGGTTCTATATGAACATGGAAAGGGCAGCCTGCTGTGGTAGTAACTGAGCGATTACTGTTGTTGCAGTAGAGAATCATGGGGGCCTCCTCAGTGACGCATGGGCTTTTTAGGCGTGGTTCTTCCGCTGTTTGGCCAGCCCGGAAACCTCCGCCATGTGACTGCATCAAACTCCACTGCTCAGACTGCAACTTTTTGGCTGCCTCCTCCATCTCATTACCTCACGCCTATTCATTACTTCAGATTGCGACGAGATACCCAATGACGCCTCCTCAGGGACTCTTCCACAGCGACATACCTCCAGACTACCAGTCATGAGCGACAAGCCTAGTGCCAGTGCCAAAGGCGGCAGTGGCAAGGACAAAACAGCCGACGACCAGAATACGGAAACACAATCCACCTCGAATTCCTGGGTCGCTCCCAGCTTCATGACTGCCGGCACTGGTCTGGAATCGACTCATGCGGCGGCACTGATGGCGCAACTCGAGCAGGATTCCGGATACGGATCAATGCCTGGCGACAGTCAATCGCGAGGTGGCGAGATGCGCGCCTGGGAGGATGGGTTGCTCAGAGACATGCCGACACCTGCGCATACTCCTCGGCTCAATGGACAACCCGACTCGTTGAGTGAAAATGAGAAGCGCGTGCTCGCCAGCCATGTTCATCAGCTGCAATACAACCAGAACCGAGTCGCACTTGCGAAAGCCATCGGCCAAACGGTGGAGCTCCTCAAACAATTGCAAGACATGAATGCGCACTGGCCAGCAACATATCCCTCAGTCAAGCGATCTGAGTCGCCCAAGCGGCGACCGGCTATCAATCAGACACAGTCGACGAGGGACACGTCAATGTTATCACGAGATACCGAGAACATCGCGGCACCCAGACCCTCACCTTTGCGTAGAGCCGGAACAACCCTCGGTCCAGGTGCGGACGCTGCGGGCGAGTCTTCCACACAAGCTCAGCAACGAAAGTCGCCTGAACCGCGCCTACTTACATCTCAGATAGCCCAGGAGTTCTCCATATTGAAACTGGATCTCAAAGTCGGAGCGCTGTCTCAAGCCGAGCTCGTACATTCACTCGAAAAGAAGTCAATCGCATCGCTGCTTGACGGGAAGATCGGTCAGAGTGTCAGACATCTGCTGCTATTACGAGACCGGATCGAGGATACTTCGAGCAAGGTTCTCGTCACAGGCGACCTGAACGCTGGCAAGTCGACATTTTGCAATGCTTTGCTTCGAAGAAAGATCCTGCCGGAAGATCAGCAACCCTGCACGGCCTTGTTCTGCGAAGTCCTCGACGCAAAGGAAAACGGTGGACTCGAAGAGGTGCATGCGGTACACAAAGACACCATATACAACCGAAACGACGAGAGCACATTCGACGCATATTCGCTCCAAGAGCTGGACAAGATCGTCGTTGATAATGACCAGTACATGCAGTGCAAAATATACGTCAAGGACATCCGGTCCGTCGATCAGTCCTTGCTCAACAACGGCATCGTCGACATCGCTTTGATCGATGCTCCCGGTCTGAACTCCGACTCGGTGAAAACAACAGCTGTTTTCGCCCGCCAGGAAGAGATCGATGTCGTGGTATTCGTGGTCTCAGCCGCCAACCACTTCACATTGTCTGCCAAAGAGTTCATCTGGCAAGCTGCGCACGAGAAGGCGTACATCTTCATGGTGGTCAACGGCTTCGACAACATCCGAGATCAGGAACGGTGCAAACGTCAGATCCTGGAGCAGCTTGCAAAATTGAGCCCATACACTTACAAAGAAGCCAAAGAGTTGGTGCACTTTGTCTCTAGCAACGCCGTGCCGGTACAGCCAACACATCCGCCAGGTGGTCCAGGTGGTGACGCCGGCGGCAGTGGGTCAGCTTCAGGCGGCAGCGATCCTGGTGATGGGGATGACGACTCGAAGAAGGGCAAAGGGAAGGACAAGAAGAAGATAGAAGACTTCGAAGGCTTAGAAGGAGCATTGCGACGATTCGTCCTCGAGAAGCGTGCGCGATCAAAATTAGCACCTGCCAAAACGTACCTTATGAATTGCCTCGGCGACATGAACGTGCTGGCAACGGTCAACCGAGACGTCGCGCAATCCGAACTGGACAGAGTCTCACAGCAGCTTGCTGAAATTGAGCCTGAATACGAAGAACGCCAGAAACAACGGAATGTGGTCACCGAAAAGCTCTCAAAGGATGTCGACGGCGCCGTAACAGACGTGTACGATCACACCAAGGCGACATTGGCAGCCACTATCAGCAATGTTGGCCACGAAGATCTGGGAGTTGAATATCCCGGGCTGTTCTCGGCTTTCCAGTATGCCGAAGATCTCCGTGTCGCCATGCTCAACAGCATAGCAGATTCAGTCAAATCCTGCGAGGAATATGGACGAGCGAAGTGCGTCACTGGCGTGAGCATGATCAAATCGTTAGGACTACTACACGTCGGAGACAGCTATGACCAGCTGTCCTTCCGCTCAGACATGATGTTCCAGCGCAAGAGGGATGCTCTAGTGCGAACAGTTGATACCGACGTTGAGATCATGGACTTTTTCGACGTAGCCGGACTGTGGGAGCGACAAGAGAAGACACTCGGCACTGGACTCGCCGTGACGTTGGCAGGCACTTTGGGCACAAGAGCCATCGGCGGCCTTGGTTGGGTGGACGGGGCCTACAGTGCCTTGCGCGTCGTCGGCTCCCAGAATCTCAGAAGGATCGCGGCACCAGCTGCCGTAACAGCAGTCGTTTTGGCTGTAGCCTACGTCCTATCAACGATTCCGCAGACACTGCCTCCACGGCTGGCACGCAAGCTCTCTGCCACATTGACCGGCATGGACTATCCACACGCGAACGCGCATCGCATATCCGCCGAGGTCCGCCGAGTATTGCGCTACCCATCCCAACAACTATCAGTCGACTTGGAAAGAGGTGTGGAAGAGCTCAAGCAGAAAAGAGAAGATGTACAGAAAACCAAGAAAGAATCGGACGTAGCATTGAAGTACTTCGGCAACCTGGTCCGCGATTCAAGCGAAACGAGGCACCGGATAGAAGGCATCGACCTTGAAGGGCCGCTACCAGGTGCTGCTGGTGCGTACGCTGTTTAGGCTACCCTGCATGGGAATCGTATAGGATGATGATTTGATGGCAGCAACTCCGCTTCTTCTTCGACCGGAACGCGTCAGCGTCTGCAGTGTATGGTGTTTTCGGGCAAGGCATGACTTTGAATGGACATTATTATTCATAGCTGATCCGAGTATTGGCTTGACTCAAGAACGAGTATGGTTTTACTTATACTGAGTGTAATTTGATTTGGAGTGAGTATGTCTTGACTCGAATCGAGGTTCAGTTCATGAACAAAGGGCTCTCTAGCTATGGTTACAACCGCTACCTGAAGATAACTCTGTAGCGACCTGGAGTGTGTGGGACCATCAAGGACGAGCGCCGGAGCTTATCATGAGCCGGATGACTACCTAAGTACACTAGATCTGAGCAGACCGGATGACTGCATCGGGACCATGGCCCGAGGCACGAATATATTCGCTGGAAGCAACGTTCTTAGGCGCTGATGTGCTTGATCCATCGGGCTTTCTTATGACCGGACGGCAGGACACACATTATAGCTACATAGGTACTGAATGTGCATGTGGGACGTTCGATAGGGAATTGCTCACGAAAGATCATTGGGACCTGTAGGCAGATTTGTTTCGCGCATCGGATTATTCAAACGCTTGCTTGCTTGACCCTTTCAAATTGGACCCGGTGGTCATGAAAAGCCGTTGCTTGGCCGCCACCACCTCTGCTAACTATCCATTCCACCTTGCCCTATCACTCGTAGAAACAGCGGAAGCCTCAACGCTGTGATTCTCTCCAGAACGTTTGCGCCCGGTACAATTTACAAGGTAGATCGTCGCGTGACCACTCGCTCGGATGTGCCTGAGTCCTCCAGCAGACAGGCCCCTAAATCGGAGACTAAATGCCATTGTCTGCCACACTCGGGCCCAAGACTGATTTGCTCAGTGTATGTCGAGCCAGTATGCCGTAATCTACTCGCGACTGACATCACGACCGAAGAATCTCGACTTCGCCCAGTCAACGCAGACCAGGACGCGATTTCGCACTGCATCATTTATTAGCTGCCACTCAAGGTCAATTCATCGACTAGGATCTTCCACTTACTGCTAAAGCACATGCTCAAATACGCGCTCTTCCAGAACAGATACGTCATAGTGCCGCCGCTGGCAATGTTTCCACTGAACCAGCTCACATCAGCCACCGCTTTCTCAGCGCCAATGTACGCCATGCTGCCCTGGTGAGAGTACTGGAACGGTCCGACTTGCTTCGTCCTCCGCAGCTGCTTCTGTAGCTCGTTGATCTCTGCAAAGATCTGAGTGCGATCATCAGCCTTGGCAGTGGACTGTTTCTGGCTGAGGAGTCGCAGATCCTCCTCGATAGCATCTGTCTTGGCCATTGTGTTGAACAGCCGAGCGAGGAAGGCTCCTTCCTGGGCAGCGACCTGAGCTGTAGGCGCGTAGTTGGCAACCGCGCAGTCTCCGACGGCCAGATGTTCTCGGTGCCATTGACGACGAGGTATTCGTTGACCTCGAGGCCACGGCGGGCGTTCTTTTGGGCTGGGATCTGCGTCATTAGGTCCTTCACGACGGGACGAAGAGCGTTTCCGGTGGCCCACACCAAGAGACCGTAGGGGATCTTCTCAAGCTTCTTTGTTCCGTCGGGCTGAGTAGACTCGGCTTCGATGTACTTGTCCGTGACATTCTTGACCATAGTCTTGGTAAGGATCGAAATGTGCTCCTCCTTGAAGGATGATTCGGTGTAGTCGATAAGCTGTTTTGAGAACATGGGAAGGACGTTGGGCAGAGCCTCAACCAGGGTGACGTGAAAGTTGTCCTTGATCTGTGGGACCCACTTGCGTAGATCCTGCTCGAAGAAATCCTGTAGCTCGCCAGCGAACTCGACACCAGTAGGACCACCTCCAACGACGACCATGTGCAGAAGACGCTTCATTTCCTCATCGGACTGATCCTTAAATACAGCTGTTTCGATGCAGTCCATGATCTGCTTACGGATCTTCTGAGCATCGCCGACTTCTTTCAGGAAGCAAGAGTGCTCCTTCACTCCGGGAATACCGAATGTAGCATTTTCAGCACCGACACCCACGACGAGCATGTCGAAGGGGATCTCTGCGTCCATGGTGTCACCTTTGATCTCGGAATCGTCCTTGCAATAGATGACCTTTTTCTCATAGTCGATCTTGGTGCACTCAGCTTCGAAGTATTTGACTGTTGCTCTCTTGTGACGGAGGACGTTGCGGATGGGCTCCATGATGGAGCGGTGCTCGATAGTTCCGACGGTACATGACGGCAGCAGAGGCGTGAAGAGGAAGAAGTTGCGAGGAGAGACGACGATGACATTGTAGTTCTCGGTGTCGAGCTTCTTGAGGAGGGAGACGGCGCCCCAGCCAGTACCTATCAAGGTGAGCTGGGAATGCCAGGAGCTGCAGCGTAGAACATACCTAGCACAACAAGAGTCTTCTTTGTTGGGTCTGGCTCAAATTGTTCGTTCGGATTCCGAATATCCCAGATCTGATATCCAACATAGGCAGTACCACCAATCAGGGAGAGATAAGTAATGCGCCAGAGCCACCGGAGAAACCTGAACCTCTTCTTTGGCTTGGGACCTGGCGACAGCTGGACTTGAGGAGCATCAGCATAGCTGCGGCGAAAGCTTTGTTGGAAGGATGCTCGTGGCAAAGCAACGCGCCGTTGTAAGGGCACGGTCGGTGCACGAGCAGTTGATAGTGATGATAAGGTCCGTCTGGATGCGATCACGGGCGCGCGAGCTGCCAATCCGCAGGCGGACGGCGCCAGACGGAGGCCCAGCTTGGTGGCCATGATAAAGGCGTCTGGCTGTCTAGGGTGAGTACATGGGTAACGATGGTGAAAGATGAAGGAGTGGGAGCAGAATAAATTTGGTCGCTGTCAGGTTCATTGAGTTGGAAATGGCAGGTGGAGACAAATAAACTTTGGTGTATCGCTGGCTCCGAGTCTTGCAGGTCGCGCGGGAGAGCTCTTCATTCCCGATGACTGTGCATTTTGAGCGGAATGACCTTACACTGACGGGACTTGCTTTTGGGACCAGGAACAAAGCTCCGCTTAGAGACGATTCGGGATGCTCATTGGTATAGCCTTTCCGTACACACGAGAAAGACTTATGGGCGTGGAAGACAATTCGACTGGTCTTGCCTTTTGTCCAGTTAGGTATGTGCAGCATTTATTACCGTACGACTGCATCGGCTGAATGGGAAATCACACATACGCATAGAAGCTGCGCAAAAAGCAGTCTCTGCCCGAGTAGTAATTGTCAAAAGCATCGGACGAACAGACCGCACACCTCAGATGAGCATTCACTACATAGTGCGCTATGCAGGTATCTCGCCACATTTAGCCAGCGCTCTGTATTTCAACAACTTAGCACTGCCTTGTCGAACGCCGAAGTAGTTGCTTGACCCGATGCTCACGATGGAAGAATTTCCCAACTTTCTCTCATCGTGCTCCTGCCCTGTCGCTCATTCCACCTCATGCGAACAGTCCCAGATCAAACACCATCCGGCTTGTTCTCAGCTACCGGCGTGGCATCTTCCTGAGGCTTTGCCCGCTTCTCAGCAATGACGCGCTCTGCTTCAGCCTTGCCTTCTGGCGTCAGCTCAGGACCAGGTTCTTGCTCTTCTTCGATCTCCTGAATCTTCTTTAGATCTTCAGTTGAATCGTCAATACTGCTCTCGCCCACGTTTGACAACCGTCGTGCTTCCGATACTATCATCTCCACTTCGCTGATGGCACCTTTCTCGTGGGAGACCTCCGACTCAACTCCAATATCGGTGGTGGTATTCGATTGTAGTTTCTTCGGATCAAAGCGAACGATCATGACAGAGAGATTGTCTGTCGAGAACCTTGAGAGAGCGTGATCGACGAGCATTCTCGATGCCTCTTGAGGATCTTGTGTATTTCTGACGAGGTCAACCGCCTCCTGATCCGAGCAGACATCCCATAGCTGTCAAAGTTAGCACATGCTGGGCGAAGTCGGACGAGATGACACTTACCCCATCACAAGCCAAGATTAAGAACTCATCCTGGTCAGGTTGTATGACCGTCTCTGTGGTATACGGATGTCCAGTGACCAGATCCTTCAGGTATGAATCGCCGAGTGCGCGGGTGACAGCCAGGACGCCGTTGACCCTATTGTTAAGAATGAGTCCGCCGGCCTTTGATATTCTGCGACCCTCGTTCTCGTCCATGCCTTTATGATCGTACGACAGCCTCAGAGCCTTGCCGTTCCTGCATAGCACAATCCGAGCATCACCAACGTTCGCAGTGTAGAGTACTCGTTGTCGCGTCGCTTTCTGCTTGGCAGCTTGTATCGCCTGTGCCGCGGCCTCAGCAGTGGAGTTGCTGCGTGGAGTGTGGTCTTTGTCTTCTTTGCTTTCAGACGCCTCCGCTTCCTTGGCTGCTTGCGCCGCCAGAGCTGCGATGGCTTGCGAACCAGTCGCGGAATTCGACGTAGGCACTCGGTCTTCCCATCGCAATACAGCGGTGATAGCTGTGCAGCCACTGTTCTTGAGCGGTAGCTTTTCCAGCTGGTTGTCGGCAGAGGTGAAGGTCTGATCGAGCAGTTCTGGCACCGGGGTATTTGGGTTCCTTCGCATAAGGTCTTCTAGGAGGACGTGGAGCTTCTTGCCGCACCACTCTGCGGCGAATGTGCCGGCATGCCCATCAAATATGGCGAAGTATCCGTTGTCCGTTTCCACAACATGCTGCGCGGTATTTGTGACTTGTAGTGCCAGGTCCTTACCCTCGCCAGATTTCTTGCTCTTGAGTGAAGCGTCGGATGGAAGGACGGGAGCGGGTGTACCTAGGAAGTTGTAGAGGTACGAATGGGTGTCTTCCATCGTGCGACGACACTTTTTATTCTTGTCTTCTGTGACACCAACCTTGAATGAGGAGTTGGGAGTGGGCTGTGACTCGCCGGCGGAGTTGTTGTTGGTACCCTGTGGGACGCTCAAGGCCGCATCGTTCTTGCTGAGTTTCTGCATGGGCGTCTGGGGACCTTCGCGATCGCCGTGTATAAGAGAGTTCTTAGCCTGGGTGAAGATCTCGCGCGCTTTGGCAGTACTACTACTTCTTCGTTTCTTTGTGTCGGAAGTGGGAGTTCCAGCGCCTGATTCCTCCGACTTGCGCACGGGGCTCTCAGTCTTTGCAAGTGCTGTGTCGTCGGTCTTCACGGGCGGAGGCGCAGTCGGCGTTGTGGCGGACGCTGGGTTGGACTCAGTGCTATTGCGGGGTGTGGTGTCAGCGTCTGAATCCTTGTCCTTCTTGCTGCCAAACATGCGATTCAGGATCCCTCCATGTGAGGAGACCCGTCTCTCTGTAGTGCCAGCCAGCTTGTCTGTTGTTGTTGGAGGGCTGTGGGACCGTTCGAGCGGTGCTGATGTCTCAGCGATACGTGGGTTGGTAATGGCTCGGCGAGAGGGGCGGGCTGGCTGATTGGAGGCGCGGAAGCTGAGTAAACCGCAGTCGGGAATGCGAGACTTTAGGCCTCGACGCGGTCGCTCACTGTCAGATAGTACGATGCGATGTTTGCTGTTCTCAATTATGGTGGAATTTCTGATGGTGTACAAGGAGGAAGTGGGTTGCCGGCGATGTGGGATTGGGTCAGGGTTAACTTGAAGGGACTCGAGCGGAGCTGTTCGAGGGCTGGGCTGCGTAGGTAAATGCCCGCCCTAAGAATCACAGGGCGATCCGAGCCTAAACTTGAACTGCCTGCTCCCTGCTAGATTCGGTTTGTGGGGAAGGACAGTGAAGACCAGACGACCTCACGAGACTTGATATCTGCAGCGCTTTGGTAGGACGACAATATGAGTTGGAGGTTGCGCAGGTAGGGCAGCGTAGAAAACAAGAGTACAACGAACAATGTGCGATTGTGGGAGTAACAAACGCCGTTGCCTTGTGGTCGGCTCCAACATGCGTGTGTGATGGAGTTGGCTGAAAGGAGCGGGCACGCGAGGTGATCTGGATTGCGGGGGAGTTGTGCTATGTATCGAGATTATTTATGACCACAAACACAACCTTTCGACCTCTCGGGCTCCTTGCCAGTACAATACAGCCACATCACCGCGAGAACAGCATCTGGTTCTAGGTAGTTGGTATTACAGATCAACGCTGGATGCTCGGTACTTCGGCGTCGAAGCAGCCGTCTTTCACAATCCTGGGGCAGTCAAAGAAGTCGTCCGTCGGTCTCCGCGACATGGCTCCTGCGATCTGTAAAGCCGAGAAACTTTGGATGAGGTACATGCATGCTCACTACTGCTCAAAGGCTATCTCAATCATCGGTCGAGGCGATTATTGCCATCCCTAACGCCATACACTGCACTCGCTGACGCGTTCCGTACAAAGAAGCGGAGTTGCTGCCCATCCTTGCCCTGATCTGTCCAGACAAGGCAGGCCACTCATCAGGTCTGCAGAGCTCACGACTGGCACTCATCGTTTATGTTCTACATCGGCCTTCTCTGTCGAAGCCTCTCGAACGCTCGCGGCACTATTCACCTTGGGGTCTCTTTCTCGACAGCTGCTTTCTCAAGAGCTCCTTCCTCGGGAGCTGCTTCCTCGAGAGTTCTTGCCTCGAGTGCTCCCTGTCTTCCCTTCCCGGGCAAGCACGAGCACGCCTTTGATCCACTCTGGCAACTGCAGATGTTGTCGACGCGTGTATTTCCGATCGAGGGCGTCCAGACGGGCCAGCATGTCGAGTCGATGACCGACGCTTTGCAATGTGGGTCTTCGGAGGCTGGTTCTGGGGCATGAAGCCAACAGCAACCTCTGAGCCGCAACGCCCCCAACGAATCTCCCGTATCTGTCTTTCGCAACGTCTGTTCAGACAACCAGGGATCCCCGTGTATCAGACGATGCCAAATTTCAGGTGCGGGCTTGGCTTGATGCGACTAAACATATGGTCCATGTCTTTTGCATGCTTCAGAGGCGTAAAGTAGATTGTCCTGCCATCGTCAAGCAGCTCAATCATCCTTATTGACATCCTCCACTCCAGGTTTGGGTTGCTGCAGCATACCAAGCTCAGCCGCCTCGTTGATCGCTCCGAACCAGATATCCGCCATCACAGCATAGCCGGAATCCTTGGGATGAATGCCATCTTCATTCATATCGTCGAGCGTGATCCTCTCATCGTCCATCTCCGCCAACACGATCGAATCACCGTCCGCCTGCCGACGCGATACCATCTCTCTCAGCGCATCGTTGTACCCCGGCCGGAACTTCTTCATCTGCGACGTAGTGCTGATTGTCAGCGTGGAAAGCACAACTGTCGTCCCATCGACGTTGAGGAATAAGTCGTCCAGCAACTCCTCCATCCGCGCAGGCGCATTGGCAGTATCGAAGTCCTGCATTGCATCGTTGGTGCCAGCATTCAAGAGCACCACATTCGGCTGGAACCGGAAGGAGTCGATAGCTAGATCGTGGACCTGATCGATCCGGAAGCCAGGGACGCCGGACATAGAGCTATCCTTCATGTCACCCGCGGTGCTGTTGCCGACCATGTTCACGTCCCAGCCTTCGTCGCGCAGTTGCTTGCGAAGTACTTTGCGGTAGCCATTGCCGTCGGACGATTTTTGGCCGAAGGTGATGGACGCGCCAAGGGGCAGGATTCGTAGAAAGAAGTCGCCCGGCTGGGCTGGTCCACGGCTGTCGATGTTGGTGAGGACGGTATTGGTGGCGCCAAGGCCAGGAACGAATGTCGAGACGATTTGTAGAAGCGAGAGGACTGTGCTTGAGTTCGCGAATACCATCTTGGGCGACGCCCTTGGAATCGTGCTAGCTGCAAGACGTGAAGCGAATCGCAAGACCTGCAAAAGAACGACTGCTATATAGTTCCGTTCAAGTTACTGGAGTAAATTCAGTGACGTGGTATGAAAAGAACGTGGTTGGGAAGGAGTAAAGATGCCTACCCATCTTTTGCTACCGCAAAGGGCCGATATATGTCAAAAGGGACTGTCCTCAAACTGGACCGTGGTAGCCGCCACTTCGTATTAGCGTCAGTGGCAGTGACATCGCCCCAGAATACTGAAGGCTAAGAAAGGGCAGTAGATTGCAACTGCGAAGGTGAAACGGAACGCTACAGGGGTCATCTCTGGACGCCTGGGGCCGATTTCGTACACTGGTCGAGTACGCCAGAAGGGCTGTAATCATGGCCTCGCAAAAGCCTGAGGTATCTTGAGAAGGCACCTACATGGCTGAGTACTCGGGTGCGGTGGTCGATTTACAAGTTCGCGTGTCAATGTGTGAGGCGTGTGTGCGCGCGAAAGCTGCCGTATGCTCCAGATCACTACCTACCTATTACTGTACCTTGACTAGATGGCTCATTCTATTGTCGGTGCGCCAGTACCTGAATGGGTGAAAATGAACGAGTGCGCTGGTCGGCGTCAATGAGCCGCCCGAGCATTGATACCCATGTGGAGGCTCTAGAGATGTGAAGATGTTGTTCCCGTCAGGCACTAGTCAACGATCTGAAATAAACGAAGATCGCCATCGGCATTGTGAAAAATGCCCGGACCGAAGCACCCAGCCTTGCGACAGAGCCTTGTGAAGTGCCCACGTGACTCATCTTTTTCTGGACTGCCGCGAAGCTTCATCGAGCCAACATCTGCATGGCCATAGGAACCTCCACAAGATCAGGCCGAGCACAACGCTCACAATGCCGCCACGACTCCCTCTCAGGTCACTGGCCACCGTTGTCACACCGCCACTGACATCACTACCTACCAGCACCGCAACCTCAATCCCAACCTTCCTCCTGCCCTTCCTCACCCGCTCCGCCTCCATCCTCTCCAACCTCCGCAACGTCCCCCCTCCTACAACGCCCGCATCCGCGTCGGCCGCGGCCCTTCCTCACGAAAAGGCGGCAAGTCTGGCCGCGGACACAAAGGCCAGAAGCAAAAAGGCGGCTGGAACGTCGCTGGCTTCGCGGGCGGCCAAACCCCCGACCATGTCGTTCACGGGCACTATGGCTTTACAAATAACCAGCACAAAGTGGACATGACGGCGGTGAATTTGGATAAGATTCAGGAGTGGATTAATCTGGGAAGCTGGATGCGAGCAAGCCGATTACGTTGAGGGAGCTATGTGTTAGTAAGGTGGTGGGGAAGGTGAAGGATGGGGTGAAGCTGTTGGCGAAGAATGGAACGGATCTGACGACGCCGATTCATGTTGTTGTGAGTAGGGCGAGTAAGAGTGCGATCGCGGCTGTGGAGGCGCTCGGTGGGTCAGTCACGACGCGGTTCTACACACACGCGGCGATCAGGCGGATACGGAAGGGGGATATGCATCCGTATGTGAGCTTGCAGTGGGATCAGAGCGCGATTGGGAATGCGGCGTTGATGGTGGAGGGGGCGCAGGAGAAGGAGGAGGTCGTGAAGGGGTTGGGGTATGAGTTTCGACTACCGGATCCGACGAGCAGGAAGGATCTGGAGTACTACCGGGATAGGGAGAACAGGGGATATTTGAGTCACCGGGTGAAGGAAGGTCACAGTCCGAGCTTGTTCTATGCTACGGAGGCACAGATTGAGGATGGGCGGAGGGCGAAGGAGGAGGCGAGGAAGGCGGGTGTGATCAAGAAGAACAAGACGAATGCCGAGGAGAACAAGCTGTGGTAGAGGGTGTGCGTTTGTGGCATATGGAATTCATGTTGTCGAAGTGGTGTTGAGGACCGGACGAGCTTGGGGGCTGTAGCGATCAGCACCATGTAAAACAACGGCCTAGGGCGGTACAAGATCGCGCCAAGGCAAGACCATTTGAAACGTGGACTCATAGGAGCCCATAATACGACGAGGTCGAAGAAATCGTATTCAACGCTGTACATTCTGATGCAATGCTAACGAGTTATGCATACAACTCCCCAGCCATGCCGCTCACCACCCAGACAAGCACACCTCCAACTACTACTCCTCTAGCTTGCCTTTCCGCCCACCCAAGGCCTCCTCCCTCAACTCCTCCAGTGTCTCGCTGCCAACACCCAAGTCCAGGCTCGGAAACTGCGCAATCCGTATCCTCGTACTCCCGTACGGCTTCAACTCCACAACCCTCGCCCTTCCCTTACACTTCCTGGCCTCGCCTCGGGCGGCATATGCAACCAGCCTCCGGGTTCAGATCCCACTCCGCGATCGGACAGGCCAAGACACTGATCCCTACGGGCGGCGCATCACTCTCCCAAATCGGGTTCGGGAAAGTATCCTTTTTCCCCGGCCCGGCTTTGTCGTAGCGATTCTTATACCCGTGAAAGCGCGCCGTCGTGGGGTCGAGTGCGAGCGCCCACCACGCGTAGTCGATGGCGCTGCCGTCATCGGTGTCGTTGCCGGAGGATTGCTCAGCCGGGGTGATGGTCCAGTCCCTGGCTTTGTCGGGTGCCTCGCCAGGGGATTGGTAGCGTGCGGGTGGGCGGCTTCTGTACTCTGCGGGGATGTCGTAGGCGTAGAGGAGGGCGCCGTGGTGGATGGAGATGGTGTCGGATTCGTGGTGCTCGATGCGGACTGAGGCGCCGAACCAGACTTTTATGGTGAGTGGCGAGGAGTTGGCGGGAAGGAGAAGGGTGTGTAGGTTGGTGTGGGCGTCGGGAGTGAGAGGGAGGACTGATGAGTTTGAGGAGTTGCCCGAGTGAAAGAGTTGAATGCCGGCCTGCTCGGCTATGTTCCATTCGGGCACACGGATCGAGAAGCGGAAGGGATGCGCATGCGGATGAACGGTGTAGGTGAGGATGTGGGTGAAGGGGTAGTTCGTGTCGCAAGTAATATGGACCTTGTTCTTGCCGGCCTTGCCACTACTCGACGTTGGGTGTAGGGTGGTATGTAGCTCACCGGGTCCAAGCAGGGCGTGCACGATATGGTCCTGACCTTCACGCACGAAAGAAGAGGCAATGTATTTTGGTAGGCCTGTACTGAAGCGAACTGCACAGCATGGGTAGTTCGGCTCGGTTCCAAAAGTCTGACCCCATGGTCCAACGTTCCAGAAGGGTGTCCGACCAAGTTCATGGCTAGCGGGCTGATTGGTCTGAGCGACATACTGGTGAGCCCACCAATGAGGCAAGATCATAGCTGGCATAGCGTTGAATGCTGCCTCCTCAGATCGATCAGCAAAGGAGCCATCACCCAGTGCTTGGTGAAGGTAGTTCAGCGAGAACATCGATTCGACGACACTGCATAGTTCGGTCCCACGGAATGGTCGTTGCGATGACTGCCTCTCGTCACCATAGATCGCTCCTGATGGCGTGCCATGGTATCGGAAAGTCCAATCGACACCGATGCGGGCCTTCTCGGCAAGGTGGTTGTCGTGTGTAAGTCGACGCATCACAGCTGGACTCTTTAGACCCTGAGCTGCGTTGACCACATGCAGGTATGGGAAGAGCGAATCGAGAAGATCGTTGGGATGGTCCTCGAGGTTCTGCTTCAGGAATACGCCCTCTTGGAAGTAGTATGACCAGTCGTAGGCCATTTCGTACATCCACACGATGCAATCGTGCAGCTTGTCAGAATTTTCGTGAGGATGATGCTCGTACAGCCATTGCAGAACCAAGATCATGTCGGCGGCTCTCGATCGGCCCCACTGCTGGTCAAATAGAGCGCCTGGCTTCCAGACGTATCCTTCATAGCCTGTCTGCAGCATCTCATGCATGAGGTCCACAAAGCGATGCATGGAACGAATGACCTCCTTCTCTTGGCCAGGATCGGCCTGAGCTAGCTGCATCATCCCGAGGAAGAGAGGATATCTGCCCCAGAAGTTTCTTCGTCGTGTGTCCTGCTCAGGTCCGAGCCAACCGTCGTCATGCTGCTGGTTGTCAAGGATGTACCTGGTTGATTTCAGGACATGGCTGATGAGACGCTCATCCTCAAGGAGATATGCCAGCGGAACCACGCCGTCGTAGTAGTAGGTGTAGGCTTCATTCAGAGGTGAGTACTCCGTATGTCCACCCATCCAAGGCGCATCCGTGACCATGCGATAGAACTCATGCATTCTTCCTGGTAAGCCTTCAGCCATCAGATCCAGCTGCTGGCGCTGCCATCCAAGCGGTTTTACCGACCCAAGCGGAAATGGTTCAAACTTCAGAGGGAGCAGTGATTTGCTGTATTGGCTCGATTTGCGTCCTGCAACTTGAACGTTGTACGCTGGTGGCCGTGAGAAGTTGGTGAACCGGTCCCAACCTTGTTCTCTAGGCATCCCGTATGCATCGCGAAACATCGATCCGCTCTCAGGGCTGTTTCTAGCTGGTCCCTTTCGTTCATCGGATAGGTGAGCACTCTGCATAACCGATCTCACTGGCCCATTTCCGCCGCCTCCGATTGCGTGCTGACTCTCATCTGATTGATGAGCGCCGGTCGCCCTCATGCCAAGGAGCACTGCTCCGAGGATGAAGAAGGTTCCGACCATTGCGAAGTAAAAGACACTCTTCCTGCGCCCGCGCATAGCCTACCGCTCGCTGCTCGCGAGGTTGTGCTGGAAGTGACGATCGCTATAACGATATTTCCATGATTTCTAGATCAGCAGGAGTGTCCACGAGAGCAGGTCACGAGGATCATCAGAAAACCACCTGCAGGTACCGGCTCTTCGGAGAGCTTGGCGGCTAGACTGGTTCGAACATTGCGGGGGCTACCGCCCGAGGAACTCTCCTTCGGGCTATTCGGCGATCGAGCTACTGTACCCTTTTCTCGACAACGTCGCTGGAATGGTAGAAGGTGTTCCTCGAGCATGAGTAGGGAACTCCGTCATCGGTCCATGCGTCGAATATTCAGTTCTGCGTGACGCATAGGGACCATCACGTAATTCAGGGCATGATGCATGAGGTCTAGCGCTCGTCCAGTCCGAAACGCCAGGCTCTCTTCTCTAAGCGCTGAGGCCTTCCCTCACACGTTTCGTCCCAACCAGTCACGTCTTCGCGTTGGCCGCAGCTTTAACGGCGCTTCGACCTTGTCGGTCGTTGGCGCGCCAGACATGTTGTCATCGCGGCTGTTTCGAATTAGCTGAAGCAGTGTTCCAACGGCGGAAAATGTGCCAATGCAGTTGCCTTCCCAGCGCGACCGGACCTGTAACCGCTGTGGGCAGGAGCCTTCACGAGCTTGAGCCATCCCGCTCCAATGACTTGCCGTGATCGCAACAAGCATCTCAAGCACGATGATGAAAGTTCCTATGCCGGATCGTCGTCGCTGTCAGGGGCCCAAAAGGGTTTCTTCATAACTGCGACTACCTGCCCTACGGTTCTCACCACCTTGCCGCCTTTCACATTGACTACAGGTAGAACAGTCCTCTCACACGGAGTCCGAACGACCACGATAAACCCATCAGGATCGCTTCGAGCAACGTGGAGCATTCCGCTGTTACACCTCTGCCCAGCAATCAGCTGCCACGCCAGTCAGGCGGCCAAGATCAGCTTATTGATTGCCAGAAGCAGTTATGGCAATTTATCAATATCCTCAGGTGCCTCGCGCATCCCAGACTCAGCCTCAACGGCAAGCAGCGGAAAACATCTCGCATCAAAGCGATAATCGATTTTCGTTCTTGCCGACGCCAGCAGAGGCCAGAGGATATTCTTGGAACAGCTCAGAGGCAGACCCACGGCACTCACACGTTCCGCCTCTACCTCAACTCCCGGCGCAACTGAGCAGCCAGCAGCAGGAACCTCTTCACAACAATGCCAACGTTGCGCAGCCAGCCCCAGATTTTACGCTGATAAATAATCCGTCTTCGCAAGCAGTTGAGATTTCGCCAGCCCCGACTTATTATTCTCACTATCCTGAGGCTCAGGCTGGGCCGCAGCTTTATACAGGACAACCGAGCGAGACAAGCTCATACGCTCCCGCAGACAGCACTTACTCAGCGGCATGCTCAACTTCACACCTACATGAAAGTCACCCAGCACCTCCAACAGTGCCATACGACATCAAAACCGACAACATGCATTACACCCAAATGCCAGCTCAATCCTCCCAAGCAACACAATCTCAACAGCAGCATGCACCACCTCCAATCGGCCCCGACACGAATCCTCTCGCTCCAACCACACCCACCAGAGTCCACCTCAACCGCGAAAGCACCACAACGAACATGGCCGTTCTCAACCCACCATCAGCCACATACCCAGTATCCGCGACCAACTTCTCGCCACTCCCTCAACCAGAACGAGGCGGCACCTGGCACACCTCCCTTTTCAGTTGTGCCTCCCCATCCGTTTGCTTGACGTCCCTGTTCTGCCCCTGCGTTACCTATGGCCGCACACAATATCGCCTTTCCCGCCGCTCAGCAAAGTCCGACCCAACTAATTTTCTAGGCTTCAACCTTGCTGCAATCCGAGCTGTGTCGCATTTGGCGTATTATGCGGGGTCAATGCTATTCTGGCCGCCGTGCAGAAGACGAGAGTCCGGAAGACGTACGGGATGGAGCAGGAGCAAGGGGCTGGGGGCTTACTGGATGATCTGTGGAAGGGTGTATGTTGCTGTTGTTGTAGTGTAGCCCAGGACGAGAAGGAGATGAAGTGGCGGGAAGACGAGGCCAGGAGGATCACGGGAGCGAGTGGAAGTGGGAAGGATCAGGGGTATGTGCCTATTGGGGGAATGTCCTTTCGCAGTTAGCACTGTAGTAGAGGGCAGTCTGACCTGGACTTCGCAGCGAGAAACGAAGACTGAAGATGGAATGCGATGACGGTAAATGTATGACTATAACTACAACATTGCTGCTAAAACGCTCAAGCTCGCTCATGGGTATACATGGTTCAAATGACAAAACACCACCTCATGCTGCCACAGCCGCCGAGGCCTTCACCAGCTGACTGATCTCCTCGGCTCCCTTGGCCTCCTTAAACGTATTCGCATGCCTCGCCGCGATCCATCCCTGCACAGTGACAGGCTCATACTTGCAAGTCCCATCCTCATCCTCGCAGCCAGGCAAGCACCCGATTTCGAAATCCGGCTTTCCCGAGTAGAAGAAAGGTACACTGTACCTCTCCTTACCACTCTTGTTAATTACCCTGTGCAGATTGCTGATGTACCGATCATTCGACCAGCGCATCATCACGTTGCCCAAGTTCACCACTAGTGCACCAGGTGTGGGTTGCACGTCGATCCAGGAGTTGGTTGCCGCGTCGAAGACCTGCAACCCACCGACATCGTCTTGCATGAGGATAGTGATGCTGCCGAAGTCGGTGTGTGCGCCGATACCACGCTCGTTGGGATCGCTGTTGACTGGTTGAGGCGGGTAGTGCAACAGGCGGAGCACGGCGCCGGCTTCGTGGGTGAATGGGGCGAAGTATGTTGATGGCAAGCCCAGGGTTTCTGCGATAATGGACAGGATCGATTCGGCGAGGGCGGTCATTTGCTTGTGGTAGGTCTTTGTGACTTCGGCGAAGGTGGATGGGGAGGCGAGCTCCGTAGGCACGACGTTCTCGCCGCAGTGAATGCGATTTTGCTGGCGGTAGGGGTGGTCTAGGGGCAGGTCGCGGCCAATGAAGAAGCCTTCTTTCAAATCACCCGCCGTGCGCTTTTCAAAGTTTTGTGATCGTAGTGGCTCGTAGCCTAGCTTGTTGGGATGGTTGGCTTGGGAGTACTTTGACTTTGTCGACTCTGTGAGGTTGAAGAATTCCTTTGACTGTTGGAAGACGGCATCTTGGAGTTCTTGGGCGATGCCGTGGTTGGTGACTTGGAAAAAGCCTTTCGCCAAGCAGGCTTTTCGTATCTGGTCGACCAGGTTCTGATGGGCTGCGGCGTCTTTGCTGTTGAGTGCTGCGAGGTCGATGATGGGTGGGGCTGCGGCAGATTCTGTGTCTTCTAAATAGTCGATTCTGGCAATCATGTTTTCACGCTGGGATATAGCACACGATGTGGGTAAAGCTTGAGGTCAATTGAGCACACAACTTATCTTGAATGTTCTCTCGTGGTTCAACAGCAGGCGCAAGACTTATCTATATGCTGCCTTCATCCTCTCGCGCCCATGCTAGTGGTTGCTGATTGACGTTCACGTGTCGTCTGCACTGCTAAATTGAGGTATACTGCGCACAGAATACTTCTCAAGTAGGTAAGTACACGCTTAGGAGGGTGGCAGCAGCCACAGCAATAGCGTTCACCTGGGCACTCAATATCGACGTCATACAGTACCAGTACCACGGAGCCGGTACTGCGGGAAATTGCTCCAAAATAGCTCGAATAGAGTTGCGGCTTGAGGTTCCAAAGGTTTGGCTCCGACTTGCGCCTCAACTTAAATCCAGTATGCCGAGAGGTGTGTACGTCTGCTACAATGTTGTACCTAGTTTACAGCGCAGTAGTGGTGAGGCTTGCGCTTTCCGCTATGTGCTCGGATTTCGGTAGGTTGGACGAGCTTCCAGGAACGCTTTGCGGAGACGCGTCTGCAAGTCAGTCTCCAGATCTCCGCGGGCCTGCAATCGATCCAATGCCCCGAGTGGTCGGGACCTGCGAAATCGTCTTCTTCCATGCCAGCGACCAGGACCTGAGATGAACCACTCGATTGTCGAGGTCGCGTCTGCATTCTATCCCCGCAGACCGGGGCTCTCAAGGCTGCGGTCTAAGAACACGGTGAATCACAAACTTACCTTGCCGCCGTGGATATCATTGCAGTCTGACATCGTGCAAGTCGAAAGCTTTAGGAACAGGGTCGTCTCAGGATCCAGCAAATTTGGATGGAAATCAGTCTCATTTTGACGCGACTGCCCTGAGGCGATTTCCTCGTCATGGAAAGGCAGGATCAATGCCAGCGCTCCTTCTCATAGCGTTCCTGCCAGTCATCGGTGAGAGCGCCTCAGTAAAGAAGGTGCGTTGGGCCTCAGTCTCGATAAATTCGCGTTCTGGTCAGTCCAGAGTAAGGAAGCTCTGCTTCTTCTTACTTTTTGAAAGATCTTACTCTGGACTGACCAGAACGCGAATTTATAAGAAGAAGAAGCAGAGCTTCTTTACTCTGGACTGACCAGAACGCGAATTTATCGAGACTGACGCCCAACGCAAGGATTTCCCTGATCGCGGGTGAGCCCTGCGGAAGACAGATACTGCTATGGCGATGACTGTCCCAGACCTGTATGTGTAATTGTCATTCTCGGCGGCTCGAGCTATTTCCCGTGCCAACATATAGCAACCAGGAAGTGATCGTAATGGTACCTCGCATCTTCGCCTGCCTTGAATGCGGAAATGAGGCTTCATCGAAGAACCCTGGACCAGTGAATGGTCAGAGTCCGCCACATCACAATGTGCTCTTCTGTCCATATCGCGCAATCATTGATACAAATCAAGATGATACTCAAGAAGCTTTCATGGTCGGTACATATCCTAGTGAAAAGGTCCAATTCTCTCGGCTGCTGGTCCTGAGCTGGACGAGCTTCTCTCTGTCGCCATTCCGAGGCACAGAGACTCTCTTCACCACATGTAGTCTGTATCCAAAAGAAGTGTCTAGACGAGTGCAAGCTCGGGAGATACTGGATCGTGAACTTGGAGGCTAGATAGGGATGCCAAGATGCCACCCTTTACCTGATCTGGGGGCGCCGGTGGGGGCCGCCGTTGCACGAGCGGGCCCAAAGAAAAGGAAACGCGCCTCAATTTTGTCGCCGCAGCCTTCGACCCCAGGCGTGAAACGACAGACTTCAGAAAACATTCTCGTCCCAGGTCGGGCTTGTTCTACTACTGTCGCATCCATATCACGTGTACTTCTTGCGGCGGCGGATATTCCTCTTCGCTGGAATGCATCCCTCACACCATAGCGTCGCCCATCGGTAGCACATGAGTATTTGTACCAAGGGCGGCGGGCAGCATCATGGGACCCATCGAACTGAACAAGAGGCGCATATTCCTGCTGGCAGCCGCTATCTTTACGTTTACGATTCTATTCACTGGCTTGCCCCCTTCGAACACTGTACGACAGGGCGTTGACAGTATACCAGGCATACCTCATAGTCCGCCGTCATACTCAGGCATAGATCCTGATGAGGCATGGGACTACCCAGACCCAGAGCCGAAGCCTGTGAAGCCACCAGCAAACCCTTACAAGCCTCCGAAGAGGCCCGAATATCATGACGAGCCCGAGTATTACACTAAAACCACGTCCTCCAAGTCTGCACCGGTGCCGACTGAAACGCTGCTGGAAGACGAGCATCCGATCACCAAGTTGATGCAGCAGGCAGATCTCGACTTCCGGTTATACGAGGGAGGCTCGTCGCAAACCTTTCGTCAGACAATCGAGAAGTACCGCAGCAAATATGGCAGACATCCACCCCCGGGCTTCAAGGAGTGGTACAAGTTTGCGAGGAAGCGCAATGTGGTCAACATTGACGACTTCGAGCACATCATGGACGACTTGCGTCCATTCTGGACTGTGAAGCCTTCCGACATCCGCACCTATGCGGCGCATATGTGGGAGGTCGATGGCGATGGGCTCGCCGGTATTCACATTCGAGACCACAAGGTTGCAAAGGTCAATGCTGGATCGTGGCGCTCAGAGACGTTTCAGCAGATGGTGGAGACATTCATCGAGCATATTCCGGACATGGACATCGCCATGAACCGTTTGGATCAGCCTCGAGTCGTCGTCCCGTACGAAGATCTACAGAAAATGCTGAGCGAAGAAGAGGCCTCTCGGGTTATGCATCCCGAAGCCATGGACAGTTTCACTGAGTCCCAGTCCGCCCTGCTTGACATAAGTATCAACGACCCGAAGCTGGACAACTCGACACGCCTCGATGCTGGCTGGTTCGGCCATGCCGGCAGACAGTATATGGAGGTTGCATCTAAGGCTTGTCCGCCGGATTCACCCGCGAGACGGAACTATTCAGCCGCCGAAGCAGATGCCCTGTACAAGGAGCCAACGGCTGGCATCGTTACCAACTTCAACCTCTCATCTGACTTGTGCACTGTAGGTCCTACCATCAAGGACCTTCATGGACTGCTGTTTTCGGCGTCAAGCATGAGTCCAAGTCACAAGCTTGTCCCAGTCTTCGGCGAATGCAAAGTCAACATCAACAACGACATCATGTTTCCTGCCAACATGTACTATCGCCACGACTCTCGCTATGACTACGATGCGTCAGGCGATGTGGACTGGCGCGACAAGACCGACACCCTGATATGGCGTGGCGTAACATCTGGAGGCGTTCAAGTTGAAGATAATTGGAACAGAATGCACCGTCAGCGGCTTGTCCAACTGAGCAATGGCACATGGACCACTCTCAACCAGAAAACCTTCCCAGTTCTCACTACCAACAAGGACTCTTCGTCCACGTCGCACTCTTCGAAAGACATCGCTTACAAGCCAGTGTCAGACTTCGATGCCTCTGCTTTCGCTGAAGAGCACAATGATGTTGGGTTTGTTGAATCGTGGGGCTGTGTACCCAACTGCGACTTCTATCATGACGTCTTTTCATGGAAGAACCAGACCACGCTCACCTCCCAGTTTGCCGCACGCTATCTCATAGACGTTGACGGTCACAGCTTTTCAGGTCGTTGGCACGCCTTCCTCCAATCTAAATCTCTTGGCCTGAAAGCCACTATCTTCCGCGAATGGCACGACAGCCGTCTCTTCCAATGGCGCCACTTTGTGCCACTAGACAACCGCTACGAGGAGCTTTACGCGGTGATGATGTATTTCATCGGCTACGACAGCAAGGCGTCTTCGAAACATGAAACGCACTCAATCCGCGACATCACTCATGCAGAAGCCAAGGATACACTCGACTCGGGCGCCGAGATGAACGGCGTCAGACCCGCCGCCTCGACTTCGACTTCAGCTTTCACTTCTACGTCTGCCACCACTTCCGCCTCCAAAACCCCTCCGCCACCTTGATCCACCACAGCAACCCCGACATCTACATTCCCGCTCACCCGCGCGCCGCTCAAAAGATTGCCCGCCAATCCCGCGAATGGGCCAATCGCGTTCTCCGACGCGAAGACATCGAAGTCTACATGTTCCGCCTCCTTCTAGAGTATGCCCGAATCTGCGACGACAATCGCGACAGAATCGGCTACTCTGGTGACGGCAGTGATATGGATGATTTTGACAATGGCGTGAGTGCCAAGTATGGCTGGGGCGTGAAGCTGCCTGGTTTGAGTGGGCTGGGAGAAGGCAAATGGCCTTGGAGTGCGAAGCAGGAAGAGGTGGAAGAGGGGAGGAAGTATGAGGGTGGCGAGGCTGATTGAATGGTCTTCATGGCCGTAAAGCGACTTGTATGAATATGCGAGGCCTTTTGGGTAGATCCGAATGTGTACTCTGTTACATAACGAGTCCTCATGTAATACCATTCAGAGCTTTCTTGAGGTGGCGAGGACGAAGGGCGAGTTTACGGCTGTGCGAGCTTGCGGGACACAGCGTCGCTCAGAGGTTATGCAATAACGCGGTTGGACGTCTGCATATCGAGTCTTAAACCAGATCGTGGGATCTCTGAAGACTACCATAACTACTAGTACAGGCTACTGAGTAGCGCTTTTGATGTTTATGTGGTTCTCTAGACTTATTCCTCCACGGATCACGACTTACCTACAAAAAGTGTCAGGTTTTTCGTGAATATTACCACAAGCAGGTGAGCCGGGACATGATTGAGAAGAGATCATAGCATTTCGTCTTCCACGAAGTAGAACTCATTTGGACAGCCTTGAGTTGAAAAGGCCTGTACTCATTGTATTCAATACACTCAGTACACTGTACACGCCGTCTAAGAGCATGGGCAAGCATGCAGTCATGCTACCTGTTGCTTCAAGGTCCTCTTCTTACAGTAAATCGGCCCAACACCTGATCAAGTAGGGTGCATTATACCTCAGGTTGACAGGCACGAAGGACGGCAAGTTGAGATCTAGCTTTGTGAATGAGCTGGGCGACTAATAGCTCACCGTCGAAATTTGGCCTCAAATTGAGTTCCGCAGCGGCTAGAGCAATCGTGTAGACACCTTCGTGCAGATGCTGCCAGTCTTAATCAGCCTGTGAAGGCTACAATGCTGGTGCAAGAGATGTGAGGTTGAATTAGATGCTCTGGACAGGGAGCTTTTGAGCATCCCATACCCCACGCCGACCGGGTCGCTGAGTCCTTCAGGGTATATAAGTATTGTTGGAGCACGGCTTGGGCTTATCCAGACGACGGCTTCAACCTACTGGACATGCTTTAATGAGGGCGCAATAGCGTTTGCGGAGGGGGGACTCGGCTCCTGTAAACCCAATCCTTGACTTGATGTCACGATATGGACAGCCAGCGTTGCGGAGATCCAGCAGCAGCAGTTCTTGGTCCCGCGAAGTGGCGCGGGGAATGCCATGAGGAATCCGTTTCTGTTACTGTTCACCTGCGCCTGCCGGTTCTTGACTAGGGTCTTGAGGCCGACCCGACAAATTGTGCGCGTGCGGAAGAGATTGTTGTGACGGCTCCGGAGCCACTTGACAGGCTCTGGGAGGAAGAGACGCCTGTATAGAAACCTGGGTTAACAGTGATGACACCGGAGGCAGGCGTATGCTGGTATGTTGGCCTTCGGTCGGCGCGTGCGGCATCTGCCCTGGCTGACGGTGGTGGTCCGCTTGAGTAGAGCCGAGGGCCTCAGTATTCCCAGCATGCCAATTTGTAGGCCGCTGCGGTGCACTTGGAGTGTATGGTGGGGATTGAAGATGCGCTGCGTGGGCGTCGACATTTGCATATCGCCGGACCAAAGAGTCATGCAACGTTCGTAATTTCTCGAGCTCCGTTCGTAGATGATGAGACAGTGCTATCTCACCTAGCCGGTCGCTAACTATCCTTCAGCTTATAAGACAAAAGCATTTGCAGTCGGACTACCAAGGTCTGCTGCGCTCGAGACCACGTTGCTCCTGCAGTACCTAGCATGGACAGCTTCAAGCAGAGACAGCCTTTCCGATGACTAAAGAGACGCACCGTTCTTGGCAGATCCAGAGCTGACCTTGACGTAGTAACCAACCAGGTCCACAATCATCGTCTCCCAATCCTTAAATTTCCTTCCCATTGCCTCTTCCGTTGCACTGGCGTCAAACGGAGTATAGACGCTCTTGTGCTCGCCATTCGCTGGCAGCAACCCACTCTCGACTTCCTTCGGGAAGTGCTTCCTCACGATCTCGTTCGCACTGTCCCACGACTTCTCCCGATCCAGTCCATTCCAGTTTACGCCCCAATTTCTGCTGCCTTCATACTTGGGCTCCAGCGCCTCGATGTGGATAAAGGCGACATCATCGACATGGCAAACAAATAGAGCGGTTCCGGCTGGGTTCTTCTTTCCCAGCACTGAGGTCAAGGCCACCGTGTTCGAGCCGGAGTCGACCTCTTGAGGTGTGGTAGCCAACTTATTGGGTCCAATGACGAAGCTTGGCATGATATTGCTGACCTCGAAGCCCGGCTTTTCCTCCGCGACGAACCTGCGGGTAGCGCTGTAGGCCAGCTTCTTACTGGCGAGGTAGGCAACGAAGAAATGCTCGAATGGTCCTTTAGGGTCTTCCTCAACATTGTCAGCCGTGTATGGTTCGCCCGATGCGCTCACGACAGCAGCGCTCGAGCTCGTGATGACCACGCGCTTCACGCTTGAACTCTTTGTAGCGGACTCGAGTATGCCGACGGTTCCTCGGATGGCAGGCTGAATAATCTCAGCGTCGAAGTCTTTGGCATTGGGAAGGATCAATGGGGATGCCAAATGGACGATGTACTTGACGTCCTTCACTGCATCATCGAAAGCGCCAGGGGTAGTGATGTCGGGAACAACGACGGACGTCAGTTGGGAGACGTAAGGCTGCGTACTAGGCGCTGAAGCGATAACGTTGAACTTTGCCTCTGACCGCACGGCCGCCCGAACATTGTATCCTCGCGAGAGTGCTTCGATCAAGGTAGCATAGCCGAGATGGCCGGTGGCACCTGTGATGAGGACGAGGTCGTTACTGTGGTTGTTCGCCATTGCTGAAGGCTTTGATATTGCAGGGTCGCTTCCGAGGATGTCGATTTGATCGCTGATCTGTTTCAGGGTAGATGTGTAGTTGACTGCCAGCATGATCTTCTCGAACTCGCACAGCTTGCTATATACTTTCTGTGCCTCGTGTAGCAGTCTAGGCAGCCACCTGCACAAAGGCCATGTGCGTTCGCCATTATTGTGGTCGTTGACAAATGCGCAGGCAGCATGAGCTCGTTTTGATGATCAAGTAATGTTGACCCTATCCGACTGTTGGTCGAGTTGGTAATCTTGGCGGCCGAAGTGCCTTTTGGCAAGCATCAACCGCGGTTGGCGCAAAATGAATAGTAAACACCTGGAAGAGCTGGCTTAGGTAAGGTGATGTTTTAGGCTCGAGCAGGCTTGTCAGGCTTGGCTTGCACCCGTATTGGGGCCTTGGGGCTTGCGCCGTGGTCGGGCTCGCCGGGATCATGGCTAAACAGCTCAATCCGCCAGACCCTCTTTCATGATGACATCCATGATGCTGTGCGACGTTGGCATTTAAGTTTATCTCAACTGGCTCACTGGCAGGGTAGGGCTATCTCACTCAGTCACGGTCAGTCGATGTCAAAGGCTTTTTGTCATGGTATATCTAAGCTATAATACACAGAGCTTCGTGTCGAAACCCTTACCATTGCCTTCTTGGACTCGTGGTAGGCTTTGGGACATGTGTTGCGACCGAGGACTTACTTCGTTAGGCACGGTCGTCTCCTGGATAGTAATCAGTCTTTGGAGCTCTCTTGTTCTTCGGCCGCTCCTCGACGGTTCTGGTAAACTCTGTTGTCATCATGATATCGCCATGTCCTGGCTTCATGATGGCCTCCTCACTTGAGTTGCTATGGGTCGTGGTTCCGTGGTCCATTTCTGAGACGTTCGTCGACACTTCACTTCTCTTGTGTTCTTGCATGCCGGGACCTGGACTGTAACGACCCTTGGCAACGCCGATGGTATCTATGTCCCTGTCGAACACCTTCATGTGCATTGCATCTTGCGCGCTCAGTTTGCTGAAGCCACCATTGGAGGATGTGCCTTTGTAGTGCTGAGCGCGATAAGAGCCGTCTTTGGCATAGTGCCTTGTGCGCTTGTCGGAGCTCTCCCCAAGGATACGTGGAAGGAAGCGCTTGGCTAGTGGCTTGAATGAGGGGATGGATGCGGCGAGCACACCGATGTTTGCTTCGATGACAGACCAATAGAACGGTGGTGCAATGACACTATATGTGAGTCAGCCTCGTACGGGGAGAAGAGCCGCAGTGCAACCCCAGGTACTGCCGGGGGACTTACAAAGTTGGGTCATCGGACGTCAACATCACAGGGATGAAGGATATCCGGATGATTGAGGATACGCATGCACTGACGATGTTAGTCTTCCAGCAAATCGATTCACCTGGCAATACTTACAAGAGGCCCAAGCACAACATGACGCCAACGGCAATCTTCTGTTTCCGAGGGATCTGTAAGTTCTTGACGAGCTTCATGGGCAGTAGATACGCCAGCAGGTCGGTGAAGATGTTTGTGCCGGCATTAGCCAGGTAGAAGGCGTTGATGTTGACACATGTGGCTGTTGCTTGCAGCTCTGCATTCCAGGCACCATCGAGTGGCCAGCACTGGAAGATGCACACCAGAACGTTGGCCGTCGCCGACGCGGCACAGATGGCCATAACGATGAAGGCTATCTTGCGTAATTGCCTATCGCCCAACCGTGCATAGAGAGCCAGGACAGAGCACTTGATGAATCCGAGACTGGCATTGTAGAATACGGACGAGATCCAGACAATCTGATACGATCAGGATATGCGTTGGACTGTTTGCTGGTCACTCACCCTGTACATGCGGCCGATCTCACCAGGCTTGGAGAGCACAACCTCGATGTGGTCACCCAGACCATGACTAACGCCTGTATGGGGTCAGTATGCGTCACAAGCCAGGGGATTGGGAGCCTACCGATGATGTTACAGACCATGAACGCCCAGGTACAGCCAGCGGCAATGAGAATCAACACTGGCAAAATGTTCAGCAAGAGAGATCCTCAGGAACATGCACACAAACCATCGTCAAGTCCGACTGAATGTAGAATACCGATTCGAGCAACCAGACGTAAGGCGATGACAACGAAGGTCAGTGCTCCGAAGAAGATTGCAACAATCAGCGTCGTTGGTCCTTGAGAATCTGTGCGCATGGGCACATCGCCGCCTGTGCCAGACATATCTGGATGGAGATGGTTGCAAAACGCTGAGAGACTACTTTTGGTGGTATACCAGGAGCCGAACTTCACAGTCGAGAGTCGTTGAAGCCGTTACATATATCGCAACAATGCCTGCCCGGTAGGGTGCACGAACACCCAAAAGGACGACCAAAGTAGTGTGTTGCACATCTCCTGGACAATGCAGGTACCAGATCCACATCTAACGCCCATTGGGTTGGCCTATAAGTTCCTGCACATCTGCAAGACCCTTGTACGAGACCGCGGCAGTGAATGTCCTGCGACAACGGTGCAGGGCTAACAGAGGGATCGACGTTTGCTTCTGTCTGCCGACCGTTGAACACGGCATCCGATGTTCCATGGGGGCTCGTGCACTTTACTACCGACGTCTGCAGCACCTGTGATGTTGGCCGACGCCAATAATGCTGTCACTGTCCAGTGTCGATCCATTATGATGTGAGCGGTCACCAAGCTTGTCGGAACATGGGTCTGAACAACGTCCGAAGCTCTGGGCTAGATTGACAAGAACAGAATCGCTTGACCTTTTGCTCAATTTCTCGGCATCCCTATGAGGCAGCACGGGCAGCTATCCATGAGCAGCTGCTGCACACGCCAGTCTCAGCGAGATTGTCTGAAGTTGGGGAATGGCTCAACCGCCGAAAGGGGCCACGTACCATTGTGTTCGAGGCAGCACATGCACCGAGTCAGGAAAGAGAATGCTGGTGGGAAGCGCTGACGTATCGTCCAATTTGAGTACCGTTGGTACAAGTCTGTGACGGTCTTGGATGGGACGAGCACTGACCTGGACATCACAGAAGTTGTCGGGAACCCCAATGCCGTTCGCTACAAGATCCTGCAACTTGCTCTGAGGACAACGGTGAGGCCAGCGCACGAGCTAACCAAGGATCCCCGGCTTAGTTCAGCAAGGATCTGCCCCAGGATCACCACACTATAAGTTTAGCCGCACCGATCCATGTCGCGGGCAACCTTGCCTTGCATGGCATAGCGTACGGACCGAGGGCACACGACCGTTTCTCGGTTAGCAACCATTGCCCCATTTGCACAAGAGCCAGGTAACAACGGCCTGCTAATTGACTATTCTGACGCAAGGCGGATGGACGGTCAAGTCAGCAGTGCCTTACAGCAGGCAATGCATCAGCTCAACGTTGATATATCTAGTTATCTGCGCATTTACGTGAACAAAGGGCTTCTCTCAAAGCTCGAGAACATCGAGCAACGAATGGTGTTGATGCCGCTCATTTGCGGGTCGTCTAGATGACAGCACGAGCACAGTACTGACTATGCCACCGCCGCCCGCTTTGAGATTTTCACATGAATGTCGTTCCAGAATCCGACTCCGCCTTTGACGATGAACTTGCTAGATTGGCAGGATCAGGGAATTGTGTCTCAAAGGTACGGAAAAACTGGTCCAGCACGTCAGTACGTTGCCACGGTCAGACAGTGTGATGGTCGCGTACCTGTAGAGGACCTTTATACAGTTCCATCATGCAATGTCTTTGCCCAGGCAAATTCGTGGCCCGTAGCCGAAGACCATATTGTATTTGTCGAATTCTTTGGCAGCTTGGTCACTCTCGAGCCACCTGTCGGGCCGGAACTCGGCAGCATCTGCACCGTAGAGATTCTGGTCACGGCCGAGGACCCAGGGGTTGCATGAGATTTCGGTGCCTTCTGGTGCAAAGTGGTTGAAAAGCTGTAAACCACCTTTTCCGACCACACGCGGAAAGATGTTGGGCGCCGATGGCCACAGACGCATAGTCTCCTTGACACAAGCAACGTAGTACGGGCAGTGAGCGAGGACTTCTTCGTACTGTGGCATGGTCGAGAGGTGCCCCGCAGCCGTAGCCTGATCCAACTCCGCCATAAGCTTCTTGTACACTTCCGGCTTGCTCATCACCATACAGACCATTCCTTGAAAGGAAGTACCTGTGGTATCAGCACCAGCAAGGAGCACAAGTAGCACTTCAGCCTTGATCCAGTCCATCTCCATTGCTTTACCATTCTCGTCGCGTGCATCGAGGAAGCTAGAAGACGTCAGGGCGTACTAGGGGCACTGTCGACCACACTCACGTCTGAAGCAGGTCAATCCGACCGCCTGTGGTACCAGCCGCAATGTCTGCAAGACGTTCCTCAATGAGGCGATCGCGGAACCGCATCAAAGTTCCGATGCCGCTTTGATCTTCGGGTTTGGCAACCAGATACTTCTCCCCAACCCAAGTGTTCTTGATCCAAGTGGTGAACGGATGGAGACGAGCCAGCAGTCCGAAAGCTGGTAGGCCATCGTGGAAGCCTTGAATAAGACCGCCAACATCTGAGCCCGAGTCGACGAAGCCGAAGGGAGCACCAAAGCCGATTTCCGATATAATGTCATAAGCCATATAGCTGCGGAATTAGCACGGTAGTCACTACTTTATGAGCAACTTACACTGCCCACGGTGCAAAATCGAAGGTCTCACCCGAGGAGCAAAATTTCTTGTCCATCGCATTGATCCAGTCATTCATACGCGCGTCTATCAGAGGCTCCATCTTCCTGATGTTTGAGAAACTATACTGTTGCTGGGTCAGCCTAGCTATCGAGTTGTCTGGCAAGATTCAACACACCGGACCAGCTATGAGCTTGCGGTGCTCTGCATGCTGACGATTGTCCTGCATGTTGAAAACACTCTCGGTCTTGCCGAAGCTGCCGGTGATGTAATGCTTGGATTTGTTGACATTGCGACTGTAAACGACTGGCAGTTTCGTTGCATCACCGACGACAAGCAATGTTGGTGTGATCCGAACAACGGGTCCTATGGCAGGTCAGGCTTTGAATCTTCTTGTGGGATAGAAGGACTATACCATATTCGCGATGAAGATCAAGCATATGAACATGTTCACTCTCCTTCAGATTCCAGTACGTGATGTACAGCCGCGTAGCACTTGCCCAAAAGGGGCCTGGAAACTTGGACAATTCATGAAAAAAGCGGTAGTACACAGCCTGGTAGGCGAATTTGGCAAGGCAATAGACAATAGCGGTTGGCAGGATGCGGCCGAAAATCAAGACCGCCAGCGTACCCAGACCCGAGGCCACAGGATTCGCTGCCACCGTCATGACTTAGAATATCAGTGCTTACCAAAGACGTGCTGCAGATATGCTCAAAGTAGACACACACGCACGCATGAAGACTGTGACTTCGTAAATGAATGCGCCATCGGTTGTGGTGATAATGCTTGCAAAGGGTCCGAATCGGCGGGCCTCCGAAGCGTGACGTTTGCATTGGCTCCAGCAGCAATTCAGTCTTCGTGACTCGAACTGCCTCAAAGCCCGAATGTCGATCAGGCATGGTCTCAGCAGTATCACCGGAATTCAAGACTAGGACAGATAAGCGAGCGGCGTGGCTGCGCGCCACTGCCAATAGGCCGCTTCAATCTCGCAAGTCGTTTGTTCATCATTTGTCGAAGATGATCAATTGTCGTCCAGAACCTGGGGTGATGGACGTGAGTTCAGGATACAAAAGCATAATCTGGGTAACGACTTCCGACGTCTCGATGATGAGCATTGTGTGATCAGGAGACCTGGAACAAACGCGCAGACTTCGAAGATCCTGTCAGTGCTTAGGAATTCGTACTCTGATGTGATCGAAGTATGATCGTCGATTGATAGGCACTGCACATGCTATGACTAGGTACGCGACACTAACCTGAGGATAGCAGGGACGTACGTGCTGCGGTGTAGTCAGAGTTCAGGGGATTTTCCACTAAAATGCCGCTATTCTGGTCTTGGATTGGTGCTGTTGCAGCACGATGTGGGGGAGGAGCAAGAGGACTTCGATCTGTGTCTCGGCATTTGCACACTCCGTTATCTTCCACTTCCCCGACTCCTCCTGACCCACGGTTCGGCCAAGGACGAACTGCCGAATAGCTTCGAAGTCCAACCTAGCTTTCTCGATGTGCGATGATCAGACTGACTACACTGCTTCGAACTGCTAACTCAGCGAAGACCTTGCAGAGAAGTCGATAGGGGAAGGACAGCACGGGGCCCCCAAGGCTAGACATGGATGTTTGAAGCCACGTTTGGCAGCCTGCCAACCATGTGAGCCGTTGCAACGGCTGTCGATCTGCCACAGGGGTGCTCCGGGAGCTATGCTCGACCAAGACGCCCTATAGTATCTCCGAACATTTCTTGCTCCCGAACCGGAATAGCCTGACGCCTGGAAAGGTACTTCCGTCTCGCCTTCACTAGTACATCACTGGTCAGAAGGAGCCAAGTTGACATTGGCGCGTCTATGGCGCGTAATGCATCTATCGTCCGTGGTTGCATACAATGCACACTGTACAGATCAGCATGCATATCGACTCAGTCGCCATATGTATCATTTTTCTGACCGACCGCAGGCTGAGGCTGACTGTCTAGGACATGAGCTCAATTGAAGCCTCGCACGATATCGCATCCAGCACGGCCCTGGCAGAGCAAGTTTTTGTGTCGCTGTGGGACGGACAAGTTTTGTTGAGGGTGGCGGCTGTTTCAATAGTACCGCAACCAATCGCTCTAACGCCGCATACGTGTTTTGAAGACCGCTCTGAATGGAGCAGGCGTCGCGTCCTAGTCCCTGCATATTGGATATTTCCTCGAGCTACTGACCCGGTGGCTTTCGGTGTACCCAGATTCCCAGAAATACACAGTCGGGCAATCACCGGACGGCAAAAGCCTGAGGATGAATTCGGCCCTGCCGTTCGAAGCAGTCATCGGCCTCTGCAGGGCACTCCGATCGCAAGTGGATGGACCTCAACTGACTCGAGAGGTGCAGCCGCACGACCTCGGTAGCGGTACCATGACATAGCTTTGAGGAGTTTGTTGTTAATGATTCTTAACACCTCAGTGCTTTTCTCTCACCTACCCACGACATTTGCCCAGCTGTTTCCCTTCCAGTCTGCAAGTTCCAGAGCAGTGAAACTTCGCCATGGCGCTTCAAGGCAGCAAACTCTATACTCGGGCAATTCTTGCTGGATCGTTCGGCTTCGTGACCTTCGGCTGGGATGCTGGTGTGCTAGGTGGAATCTTGCTGACACCGGAGTTCATGTCTGCCATTGGTGTAAGTGCCATCACTATCACCGCAGAGCGACAATGCTAAGCTGTACAGAATCCGACCGACACATACCGAATTTCCATGGTCACATCCGTGTTCCTGCTTGCATCATGGCTGGGCTGCATGATCATTACAGCATTTGGCATGCGCTTGGGCCGTAGGACCTGGATCCTTATTGGAAATGTGATTGAGATAGTGGGCACGATCATTTCCGCCACTTCCTATAGCTATGGGCAATTAGGTACGTGGTCTCCAGAAAATTGCTTAATTGGATACTGACAATGCTTAGTGGCCGGTCGCTTGATCATCGTAAGCAACCTTTCTGGCTTGGACACGCTCGAGAATATTGTGGCTGATAGCTGTAGGGCATCGGAAATGGGTTTCTGACTTCCATGATCCCCGTGTACGTTGCGGAGATGGCGACCAAGAAAGAGCTGAGAGGCCGTGGTGTCAACGGAATGATTGCTGCGGCCAGCGTCGGTGTGTCGTTGGCATACTGGGTGTAAGCGATACAAGGAAGCGCCTCATTTCGGAAAAGCTCACACAAAACAGGGATTTCGGTATGGTATTCGCCCATGGGACGAGCGCAGTCTGGCGCTTTCCTGTCGCTTTCCATTCATTCTGGGCCCTGATCACCATCGCGTTGTTCTGGGGTTTACCCGAGACACCTCGGTATTTCTATGCGACAGGCGATGTGTCCCGTGCCGACGCGATTCTGTCTCAGGTCTATGGTGGCTCAATCGACGAACCGCATGTGCAGCACGCCAAAGCAGAGATTCTTGCTTCTCTCGAGCTTGAGCGTCAAGACTCAGCAGCACTGAAAGTAACGGACTTCTTCTGGGATACTTCCAGCCTGCAGACCGCCCGCCGTATCCGAACTGGAGTTTTGCTGGTCGCGATTGCGTACTTGATGGGCATCAACGTCATCTTCTACTACACAACGACGATCTTTCAGGTGTACATTGGGCTCAGCCCCTTGACGGCATCAGGCCTTGCCGGTGCGGCCAACACCGTGCTTGCCATCACTAATCTTGTTGGCGTCTACTTCCTGGAAAAGTTTGGACGCCGCAAGTGGCTGATAACCGGAGCAATCGGACAGACGATATTCATGGCCGTTTTCTTTGGAATGCTTGCGAATCCTGGGCAAAAGACTGGCGCGGCAGCAGCAGCGATGCTGTTCCTATGGATCTTCTTCTTTGCACCTACTTGGGGACCAGTCACTGTAAGTTCAGACACATTTATCCTATTGCAAGCCGCTGACCGTGTTAGTACGTGTATGCTTCGGAGATCATGCCGCTACGCTACCGCCACATTGGCTTCGCGCTCAGTGTGTCCTCGCAGTGGCTTATGGCATTCGTCACCGTGTTCGCAGGTCCAATTGCGCTCGCAGATCCGAACGTCGGCTGGAAGGGCTGGATCTGGTTCCTCGTCTTCAACGTCATTGCGGCACCATTCGGTAGGACTCATAGACCACCATTGTCCAAATCCGAGATATGCTGACTGTGAATAGTTTACTTCTGCTGCCCCGAGACCCGCGGGCATACCTTGGAGGAGATCGATCTGATTTTCATGAAAGATCAACTGAAGGACACACAAGCCGCCGAGACGCTCCGACACGGCGATGTCAAGCAGCCGGAGGCTTCTGTGATCCAAGAAGCAGCCGAGTCGCAGTCCCAGGAGAGCTCGGTAGGCGAGAAGTCGGTGGGCGAGAAGGCCTAATCGAACACTTTTGAGATATCCACGTTCAAGAAGACCGACATAACATCAGCCGGCAGAGGGGACTCGACCATTTCTTTGCAATTGGAAAGACGACAAAAGTATATAGAGTAAGCACAACTTCGTTGTCAGAACGCGAAGACTTAATCATGATAGTTTTAATCGTAACCGTGCAGGACCGCCAAGTTCAGCGACGGCGAATGACATCATACAAATCCAATCCCTTCAAGCTTCTGGTCCTGACACGCTTCAATGGTTACAAAGCCTCCGCGACTGCATGCACGCACAATCTTCGCGTCTCGACGAGCAGTGCCACGGGGTTACCTACTTCACGCGTTTCATCTCCTGAGTTCAACGGACAACGTCACGTAGCTACGGCGAATGCTGGTGACCGGGTCTCGTGAGCTCAGATAGTTCGACAGCGTCTCGACACAACAGACACCGATGTCTTGCTGCGGACTGCTAGAGTGGGCTTATGCGTACGAACAAAGGAGCAACAATGGTATGCATCCAGCATCGGCGCACACAAAGCTTTGGCATGTATGTTCTCTGTGGTTCTGTTGACATCAATCCCATTGAACAAAGGAGATATCTGCACGAGGAACAATGATGGGATCGCAAGGGTAAGTCTGGGGTTGCTTGCGCACAGACTGTTTTCGTCTCCCAAGTAAACAGACTCAAGTCAACAATGATCGAACCCTTTCCAAATTGGATTGATACAACCTACAGCGCTCTACGAGTCGCTTCCGCGGCCGGTGCGACATCTCTGATACACCATTTTCGACATGTCGAACAAGCTACCATCAGCCTGCATGGCTTTGCTGGCAAGGAACTGCTTGCGCTTCTGCCATACTCGACTTTCCAGATCACCTGTCTCGACGGTACATGCCATGTCTACGGCAAGTCAGCAACTTGGCTACCAAAGCATCTGGCAACGTACAACTTGCACAGTCTGGAGGGATTTTGCAGGAATATCTGGCTTGACCCAAACCTGATGATGCCCCTTCTCACAGCAGGGCTCCTGGCGCTGCTGCTTGTCCTTGCCGGATGTATCTTCTGTCAAATCCTTGTCGTCCTGATGCGCGCCTCACTGGCTTGTTCGTCGATCATAGCTACTGCCATCTGTACAATCATCAAGGCCTTATTCGTACAGTCCGGGATTTTCATGGCCTTTTGCGGGCGCCGAATAAGCAAAATTAATTTCCGACCTGTGTTGCCGTTCATGCATACTGTTGGATTATGGATCTGGATAGCCGTTATTTCAGTCATCGCGATTTTGATTATCTTCCCTCTGGTAGGCTTGCCCTATCTCCTATTGATGTTCTTCTACCATCTGAAGAAGAGATGCTGGGCCACGTCAAGCGTCCATGGGCAGTTTGAGGACCCCTACCTGAGTCACTCACAAGCTTATGTTAAAGAGACAAAGTCAATACCAGAGAGCGCAGATGATGATGGAGCTCAGACACTCGTGCCCCCGGGAGGTAAGCAAGGCACCTGTGAAGAAACATCTAGATCAACTCCAGATCTTGATGCTTACACTGCCAGGGCTCGGGCTCAGGCGGAAAGAAAGCGCGACGATGGAGTCTCTGTTCAGGCTGAGGCGGGTAACTCTAGCAAAGCACAAAGTGCTCGCATTGAGTACGAGTCCTTCAAGCGCTTCTCTGCTATCGGCAGGAAGGCAAACAACAAGAAACGGTCACGACCGACACGGGAGACGTCAACTGCTCCAGGCCAGGAGGGCGCTCGGGTGAGCAGCGACGATGCTTCGGCTACAGAGCAATGCTTGCCAGCAAAAGACGCTGATGCTGACTCGGGCAGTTCCAGTGAGCGACCAACCCTGGGCTCGTCGAGTACTACAGAGAAGACCCAAATCTCGAGCCCGCGAACCAGTTCACCGAAAAGATCGTCGTCATCTGCCGATTTCTGGTCGGATCCATGGGATTACGTCAAGATGCAGCAGCAAAACGATGACAACGCTAAGCAAGGCACTCCCGAAGAGCTCTTCGATCATAGCGAGTCCTTCTATGGACCAGGTCCGCAAGGCAACCAATCGAATTCCGGCTCCCACGGTTCACCCGGAGCTGGGCCAGATAGCCGGCAGCAAAGCGAACACAGTGAGGACGGACGACAGCAACAAGACTCTCAGCAACAACAAAGTCCACAGTCTCCAGCCCCCGAGTCCGAATCCATCTCGCCGTTCGATCCATATGTCGTCCTTAGCGTGGCCCGTACGGCTTCAACCAAGCAGATCAAGACTGCTTTCTATAAACTTTCGCTCAAGAACCATCCAGACAAGTTGCACACCAGTGCCACTGAAGAAGAACGTATCGTGGCCAAGAACGCTCAACAACAGCTGAATCGTGCTCATGAGATATTGTGTGACCAGATCTTGAGGCTGGTGTATCATATGCAAGGCATAGCAGGCCTGGGGAACGAAGCGGCCGTGAACGTGTACAGGAAGGGGTGGAGTGAATATGAGGGCGAGCAGATGGAGGCCTGGTTTGTGGCAGGCATGATCGAGCGGTCCGAGAGTTGAGTACGCTATGTCAGTCGAGGCTTTGACAATAAGTAATCACTTTTAATGATGTCGCAAAACCTGGGAAACTTGAACCGCAGGTGTGATTATAGAGCGTGGGCATTGGTGAAGCTCTCTGTGTAAAGTTCACGTCTAGGCTCTTGTCGGGCTGTATCGCTTGCAGTCATGTACGAGTGTTTGGCTAGCTCAAGGGCCTGGAAAATGAAGGGAGGTCAAATTTAACTGGAGCTCAGACGCCCGCAAGCTTTCAAATTCCACGCGTTGTAGTTGTTTTGGCGGAGACCCTTCCGATATTACATAATCTTTAACAGGGGTCCTCCTTCCTCACTTCCCACAAGGATGCTCCTTCTCATCCGCAAACACCTCGCCGCAGTGTCTGCATCTACAAGATGCACCAGCGGACCTGCTGGACGAACACGTCAGTGGATCATACAGACATGACGCGTGATACTCGCCGAGCGACCAGCTTCGCCGCAAGATGCTGAACTAAAATGTCATCACCTAGTCGCCCGACGGTTGCCGAAGGTGTTCGCCGTTTGATATTGGCCATTTCTGTGAATTTGCCAATCGATCACTATACTAGGACGTTCAGCCTGACGGGTATGTATGCATGCTTATCAAGCCCAAGATTCGATCCTGCTTGAATTAACCTTGCACTGTGTCGAGGTGTGCACGCGAATGCCTCGCCATGTGGAACATATCTCCGATGCGCCTGTGCAATGACAATCTATCTCCGGCGCCAGGTTGACTTGGCCGCCGGCGAGCAACCACTGTGGTATCGGCATGTGTCAACCACCGGCGTGATGGTCGAGCCCGCAATGCGTTCCAGTCCCAAGCTATCTACTGATGTCTTGATGATCTCACGTCCAACGATCTGCTTTGTTTCACAGGGCCCACAGCTTACCCCAGAAAGGATTGTATCTGCACCAGACTGCGAGTAAGGGCTGGAATATATATCAAGCTGACATCTCAAAAAATCACCGCTACCACCCGTTGGGAGCTTCGCATGCTTAGGAGCCTTTGAAAGCGCAAGTACTGATTCCACCCCAAAGACATCATGTGGCTCCGACTCTTACTGCCTGTGGCACTTCTATGGTCGATATCGAAATTGTACACGGCATTCTTTGGACCACTCTGTCGCTATCCCGGGCCTCTACTGAACAAGCTTACATCGTTGCCCTACGTCCGCGTTGTCTCCACTGGCAAGGAAGCTACAACTATCCGGCAATGGCACGACAAGTACGGGCCCGTCGTACGCGTCGCCCCAAATCGGCTTTCGTACGTCGGATTTCCAGAGACATGGGCCGATATCTGTGGCGTCGGCGCAAAATCGAACCAGCCAGGGCTTCCCAAAGATCCGGCCTGGTACGAAGAGACTCTCTATGGAACACCAAACCTTGTCATGTGTACCGACGAAGACCATCGGCGGCAACGACGAATCTTTGGTCGCGCATTCAGTGAGAAAGCCCTAAGAGATCAGGAGCCACTTCTGAGGCGATGGGCTAGTGCACTGTACTACAAGCTCTTGGAAAAGTCTGCCGGCGGTGCGTCGCTCGACATGCTCAAAATGTTCAATTGCACAACATTCGATATCATGGCAGACCTATGTTTTGCTGAGCCACTATACATGCTCGAGAATACCACATACGCGCCATGGGTGGAGGCCGTGTTTTCGATGCTCAAGCAGCTCACGCTCCTACGCGCAGTGCGCTACATCCATCCAGTATGTCTATGGCTTGTCCGCGTCGTATGCCGCAACATCCCAGCCATTCAGAACGAATACGTAAAGCACTGGAACTACACAGCTGAGCGCGTTGACCGCCGGCTTGCAAGCACGCCTGACAGGCCAGATCTTTTGACCGAAGTACTCAGCATGACATCGGAAGACAAGGACGAACGCTCGGAGGAGCTGAAGCTGCAGGAACTCTATGTCAATGCGCAAACATTCATGCTAGCTGGTACCGAGACAACGGCTACCGTCTTGAGCGCTGTTACCTTCTACTTGCTTTCTAATCCCGATATGATGACACGACTGCGCACAGAGATACGCAACACATTCGCTACGATCGATGACCTGCACCTGGATCCGCTGGCCAACAAATGCCAATACATGAATGCTTGCCTGAAGGAGGCCCTCAGATTCCACCCACCGATCCCAATTGGTCTGCCTCGACTCACACCGGCTGAAGGAGCGACGATCAATGGACAATTCGTGCCCGGCGGTACCAGTGTCTTTGTCCATCAGACTGCAACATATCGCTCGGCTTTACTATGGAAAGATCCTGACAGCTTCCGGCCGGAGCGCTGGCTGGATGGGAGCAAAGAGTATGAGAACGACAAGCGCGATTCCATGGAGCCGTTCTCCTTTGGTCCTCGGAACTGTATTGGAAAGGTAAGTCCGCAGACAAAATTCAGCAATAGATTTGAAATAGGCTGACGTTGTTGGCACAGAACTTAGCATGGCATGAGATGCGGTTGCTTCTAGCGGCAGTCACGCTCCATTTCGACATTGATTTGTGCGAGGAGTCATCGAATTGGGCGGATCAGGAGGTATATTCGCTCTGGGAGAAGCACCCATTGCACGTGAAGCTGAGACCGGTGGACAGTAGCTGAGCATGATTAACCCACGATTCAGTATTGAAGTGCTTGGTAGACAGCTGTATACTGTGACGACTTGGTGTAATTAGACGTGTGCATTAAGACCCATGCCTCCCTCCGAGACTCGCATCACCTAGCTCGCGGCAACCGCAAAGCCCACACTGACCATCACCAACACAACAAGCAATCGCTGGTAGGCTTGCACCCGATGATTCGCAGCAGACGATGGCGTGGACGCTGGCGATGCTGTAGAAGTCATTGTTGGGATGATGCCTGATGTGCTGCCTGTTGCGGACCGAGTCGAGGATGCTGTAGCGTGCGAGCTCGCCATTGACGTGTGCGTCGAATAGTCCTCGCTGTTGTAAGAGTCCTTCCAGATGTTGCCGCTATTGCCTTGGTTGTCGCGGTAATCACCTGTACGATACGTTACTTCAGCACATGCAATGAGAACGGCCGCCTTGTAGACCAGGCGTTCTGACAGCTCCCTCGAGAGCGGGGTGTCTCGGAGTGAGCTTACCTGTAGCTATATCAATACAATACAACCCACCACTTTCATCTGCCCAGCATGTGTCGCCAGTATTGCAAGTCAGCGTCTCCGCTCGTTTCGCCTTAATCAGACCACTGTCGTCGTTACTCGACCCAGATCCAATGAGATCATCCCCAGGGTTGCTAATCAAGTCTGATGTGGTGTCACTCGAGGAGTCTGGACATCCGACGGAATTGCACTGTCCAGTCAATGCGTTGTCAGTGCAGGCTTGATACGCTGTCGGATCGGATTTGAATTGTGCGCATATGTCTGTGATAGATGAGTCGGATCCCGGGGTATCTTGCGAAGGTAGACCAAGAGAGAAGGCGTTTGAGGAGGTGCATTCGAACGCGTAGGAAGTGAATGGGAGTACGAGAAGAAAAGCAGTGACGCGAAGGAGGAGGCTCATGTTTAGCATTGCAGCTGTTCAGGAAAAGATGAGTTGTTTGGTGCGAAAAGCTGCAATATCTGCTTCGGTGTGCTGAAAGGCATTGCCTTAAAGCACAGCAGCGAGACTGCCTGATATGTAAAGTAGCCTGCGCCATCTCAGCGGATTGGTAGGTACAGAATTCAATGCTGCGGTACGATCCCGAGACCATGTTCCAGCTGGCTGGAAATATAGTGCATTGAGGCTCTGTTAGAAGTCTCTAGATGGAGCAATCTGTCTTGGCATCGGCAGCCACAGAATGGCCTATTGATTTTGGCCAGCGGCTAGATTCGAGTCGCCTTCAGCTGTACTGGCTAGAACTAGCAATGACAAACACCCTGGACAGTCGGGACAGCTTCTCTCGGTGCATCATGAGGTTCTGGAGAGTAGTCAGATATGCGGAGGAATTCATTCATCCTACGTGCGCAAAGATTCGCGCGCCTGCCGATGGCGCCCTCGGCGTGGTCGACGCGGTACTCCGAATCCCATTGCATCACGGCTGAGCAAACGTCGAGCGACGCGTCTGACGCTCAAGGACGTGAGTCCAAGCAGATGCTCAAGGGTTCATGGTCGCCTGGATTAGGTGAAAAGGGGATCAGAAGTCTTGCAAGAAGCCAAAAATCTGGAAAGGAGGCCCGGGAAAAGATTGCGGCGCGACTTGATTCGTCCGGTCTGAGCGCAGAGTCCACCTGATACGAGCTGTCATATCTCACAGCAATCACCGGCTTTAGAATCGTCTGCCACGGACATTGACTAATGTTCCTGTCGTCGATGGCCAGCGTCGTGGATTTAAATCTAATAGCCAGGACAAAAGACCGTGATGAGGCGCAAGTTGGCCTTGAGGAGAGCAGGAGCGGCTTGATGTTCCGCCGATGCCTGAGAAAGACCGACGGTCGACTCCGGACGAATCGCAGAGACAGCCAGTACAGGCTTGCGAGACTTATGCTAACGAGGCTTGCAACGTTCCCAATGCAAAACTTCCTGACGTAGCCTGCTAACGCTTGTACATGAGGCATGGATGTACAAACGACGAGGCTGACCGACGCTTTAGCAAGGTGTATAAGAAGGTGGCCTTGACCCGACTACCATTATGAATAACACACCTACAATACCTACGAAGACAGCCTTTAAGAATAACTGACCAACACATCCAAACATGGCACTACCAAAACGCAACCTCGGCAAGAATGGCCCCCTCATCAATGCCATCGGATTTGGCACCATGGTAGGCTTGCTAGTGGTACCCTTACTTCGTCCGGTGTTCTGATGCACAGCAGTCCATTGGTGGCGCTTACAGTGATCCGAACGGTAGGGAGGCCAATCTAGCACTCCTCGATGAGGCATATCGCGTCGGTCAGTGGTTTTGGGACACAGCAGATATCTATCGCGACAGTGAGGAGACGATCGGCGAATGGTTTGCACGCAACCCGGAGAAGAGGAAGGACATCTTCCTTGCAACGAAATTTGCCTTGTCCTACGATATGACAACTTGGCAGCAGTTTGTCAGCAATGACCCGGAATACATTCGCAAGGCCTGCGCATCGAGCTTGAAGAAGCTCCAGGTTGACAGCATTGACCTTTACTATGTGCACCGAATTGACCCAAAGGTCCCTATTGAGACGACCATGAAGACTCTGGTAGAACTCAAGAAGTATTGACTGTCTCGCTCCTGGTTTGAAGCAAGCTGACCGAGCCGATAGTGAGGGCAAGATCAAGCACATCGGTCTCTCGGAGGCATCTGCAGCGACTCTTCGGCGCGCTGTTGCCGTGCATCCGGTCGCGGCTCACCAGATCGAGTACAGCGCATTCACTCTGAACCCAGCGGAGGAGCTCCTATCTGTTCACCGCGAGCTAGGTATCACGACTGTTGCCTACTCACCTATTGGGCGCGGCTTTCTGACTGGTCAAGTCAAGTCAATGGACGATCTCCAAGGATTCAACAAAATGGTATCACGGAACAATGAAGAAAACTTCAAGAAGATTCTCGAGCTGGTCCACAAGTTCGAAGAGGTCGCCAAATCACACGGCGCGAAGCCATCTCAAGTCGCTATTGCTTGGCTTTTGGCACAGGGCGAGGACATCATCCCAATTCCTGGCACCAAATCAGCAAAGTATATGGAAGAGAATAGCAAGGCCACCGATGTGAAGTTGACTGAGGAGGAGATGCAGTCTTTGCGAGCAGCAGCTGAAGCAACGGTACTGGAAGGCAGCCGGTATCCTGACATGATGCAATTCACGTCAGATACGCCGGCCCTCGAGAATTAGAAGGATAGACGCGTATCATAGCTTGTGTCCGGCATCTCTCCTCTTCTGCTTCATCTTTATGAGCGCGTAAATGCTCTGCAGCCTTGGCATCTCGATGCCCTTCGCCCTCGCCAACTTGATCGGCGCTCCTAGGATCACCTCGAGCTCCATCTTTGCACCTTTGGCCCAGTCCTGCTGCATGCTGGGTATGCTTTTGCTGTCGTTTTTCTTGGTACTTGCCAAGATCTGCTCCGCTGTTGCGAACTCTTTCGGCATCTCAATGCCCACCACTTTTGGGGCTGTGTCGATGACTTCCTGCATGACACCAATTAAATGCCTACTCATCTCCTCATCGAGTGACATATCAACGTTCGGCGCGCCACCTGACAGCACGCTGGATGGATTCATTGCTGCGTTTATAGCACATTTGTGCCACCGCAGCATCTGCATCTTCTCTTCTGGGTCGAACTTGGCGTCTCTGACGCCGACCTCGTTTAACCATCGCACAAAATCTCGGCCAGTGTCGTTTGGACATTTGAATGGCGCGACATTGATCCTGGTCCATCGATTATGGCGAATGACGCCATGCTCGACCTGCTCGCAGCTTGCGATCGTCACAGCGCTCAACACCCGCACACCCTTGCTGGACCATCGAGCGACATACGGCTCTTCGACCCCCAGCCCGTTCTGCACGAGGACTACCTTCGTACCATCGCCAACCAGACCGTTAAGGAGGACGGAGTCATCGCTAACATCTGGTAATGCCTTCGTGCTCACAACAATGTAATCCCACTTCCTCAATCCGCCCAAGGCAGGATTGCCGGCGTCAGCAGGCTTTCCGAAGACTTTGAAGGGCTTCCAGGTATATTCGCCAAACGTAGGAGAAGTCACCCGAAATCCTGAAGTGGAGACGGCGCGAAAGTTGGACCTGCATACCACGCTGACACGCAGCGTTGCAAGACGGGACAGAAGTGAACCATAGAAAGCGCCAATGGCCCCGGCGCCTAAGATTAAGACATTTTGTGTCGCCATCGGAGCAGTGGAAGGAGAAAAGAGTGTTCGGTGTTGCTTCCTGATTGCTTTACGCTTCAGGAAGCTATATCTGTATCCTAAGACCGAAGATAAGCGAGCGTCTGAACGAGACTCTGGCCCAATGGGTCAGGACGCGCAACGACTTGGGAGCAAAGCGTCCGTTTGGACAAGTCGTGCTCAGATGTCTTCGGCAATAAGAAGGTCTTGCGAAAGTCGAGGCGTCTGGCCGACCGATATAGTCGAGGTAGATGAAGAACTGGCTAATGTTTCTACCGTATCTGTTTGTAGATACGAACCCTTTCCTACATCTCCGCGCCTCGCGCCCGTGGTGACGCCTAGCGGTGCCAAGAGCATAGACATGCCTCGGCAACTCTAAATTCCTCTGCTTGCTTCGGAGGGAAGTGTTTAAAATTACTGCCTACCTAGGTACTCTCGTCTTTGTGAGATGATTGTCTCAAGGGTATCAAGGGCGATTAAAGATCACAGCGGCCACGACTATGTCGGCTGCGCAGGCGGACGATGCGATTGATCTGCGATCCATCGCATCTGCTCAAGACAGACCCTCTGCAGAGCACGAACCTCCGATCGACTTGGATCCAGTGGATGATGGCAGCAACGGTGACCTCCCACCCATAGACGGCGGCAGAGCAGCTTGGCGGCTTTTATGGTCTGCATTCATCTTCGAAGCACTCCTCTGGGGTAGGTATGCATCAGCCTGACATCGGGCGACCTGGACTCGATTCCAATCTCAACTGCACGCCCGTCATAGGAAAGCGTTATGCTAACCACATAGTGTGGTGGAGACACAGGCTTTCCACTGTCATTCGGAGTGTTCCGGAATTACTACTCGACACATCCTGAATTCGCCTCGCAACGCTATGTCTCTGTTATCGGTACTGTAGCATCGGGTATCTGCTATATGGGAGCACCGGTCAGCATCGTTTTATTGCGGCATACCATGAAGTACAGGAGGACTATGATTTGGTTTGGATGTATGCCTAATCTTCTCGGATGCATCTGATTGCTGCTCCCACGCAGAGTATGCTGTCTTCAAGTTCTTGCACTTACATCTCAATCAGGCTCATCTGTATCCTCGCCATACTCGTCTCCTCATTCACACACTCACTCGCAACAATCATCTTGACGCAAGGTGTGATGTACGGCGTGGGATTCGTTATCTTCTACTACCCGATCTTGAGTATGGTCAACGATTACTGGGTCGCACGACGTGGGTTGGCATATGGTATTCTCTGCAGTGCTTCTGGAGTTGCTGGTGTCGTCATGCCGTTCTCCCTAGAAGCAATGCTTCATCGCTTCGGCGCACCAACAACACTCCGAGCGGCTTCAGGCTTACTGGCGGTGACGACTGGGCCGTTCCTGCTGTTTCTGAAGCCGAGGCGGCCGGGTTCGAGTATGTCTGGCGCCGCTGAGACCTCGGCGGTGCCGCTCAAACCAGATTACGCCTTCCTACAGAGTCCACTTTTCTGGATCTATTCAACGTCCAATATCTTGCAGGGCCTTGGGTTCTTCTTCCCGGCGCTTTATTTGCCATCATATTCGACTTCTCTCTCGCTGAGTTCGCGGACAGGTGCTTTACTACTCGCCCTCATGTCTGTCGCTCAAGTCCTCGGACAGAGCACTTTCGGCTACCTATCGGATCAGAAGCAGAGCACATCTGCTTCGATGCTTACAATGCTCAGTCTGGTCAGCACGGTAGTGGCAGGGGCAGCAATGCTCTCGTGGGGCGCCATGAACACCCTTCCTGCTCTGATTGCGTTCGCCCTCGTTTATGGCTTCTTCGGTACCGGCTACACAGCGCTTTGGGGCCGCATGGGCACGAGTGTCACCAAGGACTCCACGAGTGCATTCATGGCGTTCGGGCTATTCAACTTTGGCAAGGGTGTCGGGAATGTACTTGCAGGCCCAGTTGGAGGTGGGCTGCTGGGAGAGCAAATAGGCAGCGGCGGGAGCCAAGGCTACGGGAGAGGCCAGTACGGCGCAATCATACTGTTTGCAGGAAGCTGTATGTTGGCAAGTGGTGGTTGTGTTGGAATGGGGTTGGTCAGAGGATGGGAAAAGGTCCGGCAAGTCACGGAGTAATCGTTGCGGGAGCATTTGGATAGGCATAAGCATTGAATGAATTACACGTGGAGGTTCTACACAGAGTGTAGCTCTGCGATCCGTGAAGGATCGTAGTAATGCTGCACAATTTGGAAGAGATTGTTCTTGTTCTTTTGTAGCATTTATCGGGCACCCCCAAGCGGAACCTCTCGGGCCCGAATCTGTGCCCCATTGATTTATGGACCGCAAACCTTAAACTCTGCACACTACCTTCAGCACGGTGGACTGGGCCACAGTGTTGACATTCAACACATCACTCGTCAGCTCGGACCCGAAGACAGCAATGATGAGATCACATATTATCACAACACTGACGAGCTTAATGAGGACGCAGTGCCTGATCGGCGACCATATTTCAACGCTCAGCAGACCCCTGAAGAATCCTGACAGGAAGTGCAATCTGTGCCCGTGAGTTGCACTGGGACTGGGAAGAACAGCAACGCTTGAGGAAACCGTCAGATAGCAGAAGGCTGCTGCCGCTTGTTTCGGCAACATGGCCACTACACAACCACTTAGGGTCCTCATCACAGGTGCATCCATAGCTGGACCTGCCGCCGCCTACTTCTTTTCACGGGCCGGCGCTTCTGTAACAGTCCTCGAGCGCTCGCCTGTGCTCCGTCTCGGAGGCCAACGAGTCGACATCCGCCGTACTGGCGTCAATGTGATGCGGAAAGTGCCCGGCATGGAGGCCGCGGTGCGTTCGAAGGCACCCGACATGGATGGTGTGGCGTTTGTCAACAACGCTGGGAAGCCATACGGCGTGTGGAAGGCTACGGGCGATCCAGACCAGCAGAGCTTGATCAGCGAGTTTGAGATCTTGCGCGGTGAGTTGGGGGCGATTTTGTACGATCTTACCAAGGAGGATCCGAATGTCAGATACGTGTTTGGGAATACCATCGCGTCAGTCGAGTACGGCCATCAGCGATCCGAGAAAGCCGATGAGTCGAACCCAGTCCGAGTCTCTTTCAGCAAGAACAGTCTCCCACCCACGGACTATGACCTCGTCATAGCCTGCGATGGGGCACATTCCGCCACACGGGCGACGTTCCTCAACTGCTCGCCACGAAAGCATATCAAGTCGACGAAATGCTGGGCCGCGTACTTCACCTTTCCAGGTGACCTTCTCAACGGTAGCAGAATTGAGCAGGCGCATAGTGCGCCAGGTGGCCGCTTCATCGCCATAGGCAGCGAGAACGGCCTCACGCGAGCAACACTGATGAAGTTCAGCCCTCCGGCAGGCCCAGATGATAGCAGCAACCCAACAGTGCGGCTTCGCGAGGCGATGAAGGAGGGCGACGATACGCTGAAGCGATATGTCGCAGAGCAATTCGCCGACTGTGGCTGGCTGACTCCTCAAATACTCGCCGGCATGAAGGTCTCGACAGACTTGTACGCCAGCGAGATCGTCCGAGTCCATCCACAAGCCATCCTCACGCATCCAGATCCAACAATCCCTTTCGCCTTAGTCGGCGACGCCGCTTCTGCGCCAGGCTTCACCGGCACCGCTACATCATTAGCACTGACAGCAGCGTACATTCTTGCCGGCGAAGTAGGAACACGACATCGCGGCGATGTCGCTGCAGGTTTAATCAGCTATGAAGCGATCATGCGCCCAATCATAGACGAAACGAGCTATAATCCCCCTCTTGCGACGACAATAATGGCGCCGCAGACTCGCCTCGGCATATGGATTCGAAACATGATCTTTGCTGTACTCACGAGGTTCGCAAGCTTGCTGAACCCACTACAAAAGCGGTTCGCACCTGGTTTTGGAAGAAATGACGAGGTGAAAGATAAGCTGCCGAATTATGAGTGGATAAGGTGAGATGACAGGTCACAGACCGCAGTCATGAGCCGCTGCAGCGAACCGACAGTCGTAGGACTGTGGGAGTACGCGCGACTGAGGACAAACAGGAGATGTAGCCAGGGATCCGTGGACGCGAGGGGGTGCTGGGAATCGCATCCACGCAGCCTCGTGCAGTCGCTATTCGATACGATGGGGGAGGTCGAACATGTATGCTCTATGCTCGAGAGAACATCTCGTATGCCATGCACTCCAGACAGGTATCAGTGAACAGAAATCTTCTCCCATATGGAGCAGACTGCAGGGATATGATGGCGCAGAGAAGTCGGTGGTATCCCCTGAGTCCCTGACAGAAATCAGTAGCGATTGAGGACTTCGGGAGGCCCGCCGCCCGTGGTTTCAAGCAAGCGACGCGCATAGACCCCAATGAGTTCTGGGATCTACGGGCCGCTGGCATCCGTCAAGCCTTGCAGCTTCCAAGGTTGCAGCTACGCAATTACAACTTCCGAAAGTCCAGATCTGCCAAAAGAATCCTGATCGTCCGGGTGGTGCTAACCCTTGGTGAGAAACCCTCGCCACGTTTGCCATCTCCACTCCTCGGACGCAATTGGCTGGAAATGCAATCCCAGATGTTTGATAGGCGCGTTCTTTGGTCTAGCGAAAGCTCCAAGAATGGTTCTTAGTATCCAGGGATGCGTAATAAGGTCATTTTTAAAACGTGACCTGTCTTCGTTAGCCCTCTGTGAGCATGACAGGTATCGTGACGCAGGAATTAAGCATGCCAAGAGGTAACTTGGCCAGGCTTCCAGCCAACTTACACCCGAAAATTTTGCTCCGGCCTCCGGCCGGCCCCTATATCAGGTACCCAAAGTAGGGGTACCTTTGGTAAGCGGTCACGGCCTCAAATCTGACCGTCACAATTATATGGTCACGGCAAACGTGACGCATTACGACTAGCGGTTACAGCAACCTTCCAAGGATGTTCGTATTCCTGAACTCCAACTCAACCTCTGGCCTATTAGCTATGGCACATCTCATGATGCTCTTTCCCACTTCTAGGGCTGCGAGTGATTACCCTCGGCAGCACGAACGGTCTGCTGGCGTCGATCCTGCCTGCCACGCTTACTGCGATCTTTCGATCATTTTCCTCCGGAAAGACGAGGGAGGTCGTCTATGGCAGTAGAGGGTCACACAGGGGCAATAAATCTTGGCATTTGCTCGACATATGTGCCTGATCGCTTCGAAGCACGATAAGCCGTTGACAGATTGACTTCATCGGGCGTGGACAAGTCGGCATGTGGAAGAGAACCAGTGCCGTGCTGTGGAATTGCAGTTCCAGAAGCACAGGTCTTCCTGCTGCAGGTGCCCCTAAACAGACCGGGATGTTGCAGGTGCTGTTCTCCAACAATAATGGAACATCACTCGATGAGAGGGAGGAAATCAGATCTGAGCTGCTTCATTGAGCCTGAGACTGAGGGCCAGACCTCGGCCAGCCTACGTTGTTGGGAATGCGGCCAACTATTCTCTGGTGCGGCCAGCGAAATCATGCATTCTGGAAATAACATGAACACGGATAAGAGTCGTGAACCGAAAATTGCGAGCGTTGAGCTCAGGGCATACACGAGGCCACCGAAGCAATCCACCAAGCATTCCACCTGGATATCTTTCCCGTATACTGGAGTAGGTTGTGCTATCCGGTGTTTCGATCCAATTATATGTGACGTGCTCTAGGCGTCTGGCACAAGCGTATCGCTTGAGAGGCGCAATTGCGTTTCCCTCTTCACTTTCTTTCTGGGAACACTCCTCGTACTCGACAAACTTCCCAGTCGCTGCCCGGAAACTAGAAGCGTCCTAATCGACTACTCATCTCGACTGCGACCAGCTTCTCAGACAACGAGCGTCACAAGCATGGCCATCTTTGCCTCGATATAGTAAGCGTAGCCATGAGTTCTGGAAGAGGACCCGGAAACAGCGGCTCAGGACAGCCTGCCCGGAGACAGGTCGCCTTGAAGTCGATGGCTGGGACAAGCGGTAGTGGAATGGCGCAGGGCGAGGGCTCCAAGCGGAATTCATCGGCTTCTGGAGGCCGCAAGTATGCCTCCCGTGCTTGCGTAAGTTGTCGAAGGAGGAAGAGAAAGGTAGAGTCTACTAGTTTCCTTGAGCAGTCACGAAGTCAGTGGTGCCTGCAATACTTCCAGGTGCCCTCTCAGGAGGGCGACGCCGCTGACGCTTTGCAGTGTGATGGGAATCCTTGTTCATCATGCCGCAAAGAAGGTGTTGCGTGTGTAATGGATCTTCAGTCAGATCAGCGCCGACAGATGAATCGTACAAGTCGCAATGCTCGGGATAGACTCCAGGAGAAGTTGGTCGACGTCATGCGCTGTGCACCATTGTCTGACGCGCAGCTGATGTTCGAGGCCATCAGGCACGACTCGGTACCAGCCCAACTAGAGACCTTGGCTGACCAGTTGCTGTCGAAGGTGGCCGATGTCTCTGACACCAACGGCTTTGACCACGACGGTTCCTTTCAGTTGGACGGGTCCCAGCTTTCCGATATCGTCGATGATAACGATCAGGACCTCGCTGCTTCGGAATTGTCCTATACAGCTGCGGCTGGCTCGTGCGACCACACAGACGATGATGTTCCAAGTGTGCTCTCAGCTTCATCCTGGCCAGCAGTTGGCATTCACATTGACCGGGCGCAGATCCTCCAGGCCATGCTGAGTTTCGTGGAGGCAGCCAGATCACAGTTGGCGAGTGGCATGATGGACCCCGTCGTTAGCCTCAGCCTGACTGGACTTGACCTCGATTTGTTCTTCAGGGATCGCATGGCCTCTGATGCTCATACAGTCTCAACATGGGCATGTGAGTTTGTCAAGTCATACAGTGCCGTCGACCTCAACCCTGCCACGCGGCTTGCCTTGATCTATATAGCCGGTGGATTCATAAGGTGGTTGACATTGCCTTGCAGGGGGACTTACGAACTGATGCCAAAGATCCTGCAGCTCATACCCATGGGCGTCCTGGACCATAGCCCCACTGACATCGATAGATGTCGGAACCACGGACTACAATGGCTGATCGGCATCATGCAAAGCAAGAAAACCCTTCTCTGGCGTTATAACTATGCCTCGTGCCTCTCTACTCAGACCGATCAGCATCCACGGCACCTGGCAGGATATTTTATGGCCCATTGCGATGAGATAAATAATTGGGAGAGTGCCCTAGCAACATAGTCGGGACCCTTGGTCCTCTGCACAGAACCCGTACTGGTGCCAGGAAAGAGAGGATTTTATAACAATATGGTGCTCCTGCTCACACCAAACGTGCCACACGGCGCTTCTGGATCAAGATGGCTCCTGCTCGGTTTCATTGCGCATCAGACAAGCGCGATTGTTGAGCATGCCGCAGGCAACCGGGCTGCTGTCAATTCAGCTGTTTGCGGTCTATTTCGCCGTCCACGACGTTCAACCGGGACCACTGATCCAGCAATTCGCCCATGTCAGCCAGCTCCCTACCCTTTTCACCGATTGCAGCGTAATTGGGGTACATGCATCCAGAGAAGAGATAGTAGTCGTCTGCGGTCCAGCTATCGACCGCGCTGGACCGAAAAATCACTGCGGTGGCCGGAAGAAGATGGTCAACCAAACTGCGCTCCTGCAATCGGATCCAGAGCATTTTCATCACCCCTCGTCCCAACATCCATCGTTTCGCAGCTACCGACAGGTATCCAATGACCACGTGCAATAATTGGGCAATGCCGAGCCCTTCGGGTAGCACATCGACCAGAGCATACGCTGCCATCGTTGCAGATTGGAACGTCCAAGGACACCACAGCGTCGTTGGACCTAGACTGCGCTCCGACCACTCGATCAGCTCAGCAATACCCCGGCAGGACTCAAGCATCGCCGACTGAGTGTGCTCCCGAACAGAGCTTGCAATGTTGATGTCGGCCAGTATCAGACCGCAGACGGTCATATGGTAGTCGTTCCAAGATAGATGCAGTTCAATAAGCGACCAAGACGGCACTGCTTCTACATCTATTCGAGCGTATGATGGCAGATCGTCCCGATAAGTTTGCAGCCGCTCGAACAACCACTTCAGCCTCTCCATGCGCGCCGTGCGGTCCAGTATAGGATGGCCAGGTATAGGGCTGTCATCCGGGTCTCCGCTGAGTATCGATGGGAGAATGTCTGCCCCGATCTCCCGGAGGTCGAACCTGGCGGCGTACAAGCCACTGGGTTGAATATTGCAACGGGTTCGCGACGTGGGTATGGAGTCCATGCTGTACTTGTTTGGAGGTCTTCTTCAGAGTACGGCCGCGGCGCGCCAGGCTTTGCCAGTCCCAGAGGCTTCACCCATATCATGGAGAAGTCAACTTCAATCGCGAACGCAGACCATCTTGCCATTCTCATGGACCGCTGGTAGTCATCCGTGGTGTATTCCTGGTGGCCCTGGATGATCAGGCTCCGAACTCTGCGGCTGAGCTCAATACACACTATCGGCAGCTGACGAACATATATCATCGCCTGTCTGTCCTTCTTCAGAAAACCAAATCCCATGGATAGAGCCACTAAGCCTTGCAGAAGGGCAAGCGTTGATCTCCCTTCCTCTTCTGCCCAGAGCTTAGCTACCTCGTCGGCGAAGTGGAGGCCTCTGGTTGTACTATCTCGATCGTAGGCAAATGCGAGGGGATGGTCACTGTAGAGCTGTGAGATTGTCAGCGTGTATCTTATCAGCCTCAGGCAGTCTCCTCTGCGTGTATCGGTCGAACGTGTCTCGTCGTCATGTCGACATACGATACACCTGGCCAGCTCTCATTGTTGTAACGCTAATTTCAATACAGACTTCCCAGGGGTATGCTTCCATCTCTTTGCGTTGCTTCTCCGTAATTGTATAGGAACTTGAAACTTACACAAGCAGTCAAGAGCAGACAATTAACCAGGAAAGGTGAGCAGTAGAGGCTGTCCAGGTCCCCTGACTGCATGGCGCCGAGGAAGATATCTCTGTTGACGCAAGGATACGACTCATGGTGCCAGGTGAAATACACGGTCATCAGGTGGGATACAAATTCGTCGTCAGCCGTGACATTCGTCCAGGGTCTGGCGGGAACTCGCACAAGAGGCTCGTCGGTCATGGTCGCAATGCTCATCACATCAATTCGAGGTCGGTCTTTCGACTTTCGACGGCTTCGGGGGGACGTTGCCGTTCGGGCCTGCGCTGTTATTTGATCGACGGAGGCATCGGTTTTGATCAGCCTGGAAAGGTCCGCGACAGCTCGATCGTCGTGCGTTCGAATGAAATCGAGGATCACATCTAGTGCCTCGCCCTTTGCGTGTAGCTCGTCAAGCGCACGCTTGCGGCCTCTTCGACCATCCTTTGCCTCATCATACACGCACTGCACTTTCTTCTCACGACATGCTTGACAAGGTTTGTCACCGTCGCACTTGGATATATGTCAGAAAATGGGCACTAAAAAGAGGCTCAGCATTGTCGTACCTTCCTCTTCGCTTTCTTGCATGCTTCGCACGCAGTTGCGACACTGGATCTAGTCAGTGTGGAGCCCGTTCCCAGTCAACACATATCGAACTTACTACTTGGCCTGCCTTGAAGTCGATGAGCCTTGTTCGACCGTCTCTGGTCGCCGTGGAGGACTGCCTTTAGGATATAGTGGTCTCGAGCTCTGAGTAGACATTATGGCGCTGATCAGAATCTGTACTCTGACAGCTTAGAGTGGTTCAGTGCCATATACTTGCCCCCCAAAACAGTTCCGGATGATGCCAAATGTTCGGGCGCTTGTTCCGGACGGTCTTAGTGGTGGAAATGATATCCCTCGTGACGGGCCTGGTTTGAGCGGATGAATCTTCGAAAGGTACCTAGTGGTCTAATATCAGTCTTTTGTATATATGTCCTGCAGAGCTTTCGAGGTACTGTAATCCCAGATCCGTCTTTGTTGGACACATCCATCCAAAGAATGCTTCGTCTTGGATAGCATTCTTCCAAAGTACCACATGGGTCGTTCGTGCATGCAACATCCCAAGCACGACTTCGTAGATTTACGCCTTGTCTCCAGCCAACTCGACAATCCTGCCCCAACTTTCGACCACCCAAAGATGCGAGACTTCTGCTTTCAATTCTACCGGAGTGAACGTGGCAAGTGGTTGATGGCGTCGACCGTCTAATGAATTCTTCGAGGATACATACGTAGGATGTGGAAACGACACCATCAAACTGGACCATAGTGGTGCGTTACGTCCTCGCATGGAGATGCTGTGACAAATGCGCTGAAGTTTTGCATCTGTAGATGGGGCGCAATGCGTTGGCGCAGATCTGGACCGCGCATGTCGCAGCGATCTCTTCACGTCGCAGCTCTGGAAGCTGCTGCGCGAGCATACAGGTGTGGCTCGACTGCGAAAGCCAGCTACAGGTCTGCGATATACCGAAAACGGCGCGTCCGTCAGGATGCATTGAGTCCTCGCTTTGGATCCGAAATGCCGGAGAGAGAATTCTACCACGTCGAGTGATGCATGAGAATGCTTGAAAGGCTGAATGCAAAGAGCAAGACGTGTACGTGGATTGAGGCTCGGCCTCTTCTGTGACCAAATCCATTCCTGTCGCCTCGAACATGTATTGCAGATCGACTGGGGCCGTTGAACTCACTACACCATCACTGGGGGCTACTGAGGCGATTTGGTTCGCGGAACTCAACGCAACTGTAGAAGTACAGTGGCGGAGGCATGCGTCATGCGGCCTGGGGGGAAAAAATCGTATGACGGGCATGGTCATCGAAAGCACACGCCGCGAGCCTCGTGACCAGAACAATTTCAAGGGCCTTCGATGCTATACTGATATAATTGTCAATCCGCGGAGCCCGCGAGTCTGCATCGATGGAGTAGTTTTAAGACCCCTGGAAGGCAAGGCATCCGCCAAAACAGGAGAGCGCGTCCGATCCAATCACATTTGCACCGGACGATCAAGCACAGTGCGCCGAGCTACGCCACTGCTCTAACAGCCGATAGCCGGAAATGCCATTCGATTGGTGACAGAAAGATGGCAACCTCTAATCAATATGTTCGTGGCTTTCTTGCGGTCTACCGTGTGCATCGTCTGCTCAATAAATTGGACTTCAGGCTACGCTGAGACTTCGGCCATTGCATTTGTAATATTCCGGTGCATGGATTTCTTTGGAGCATTTCTCCACGTGGGCCACCGAGTACTGCCACCGAGTACCATCACCCTTGAATTCCTCTGGTATGTCTTTCGTTATGCTCCTGACTGGTGCTCTTGGCTTCTGTAGAGAAGTCCGGCGGCTTGATTGTGGCATGCCGCGTCAGAGGTCTGCTTAGCAACATCATCTCGAGGCTATCCCAATACTACGATCACACGATTTCGATCACTCTTCCAGTGCTGGCGTGTCGCCAAAACATGCTTTCAGAAACGCTTCTGAGTACCGCGCTCCTTGGGCTCCTCCAGTCGCCTTCAGTATGCTTCGGACCTGTGCCTCGTCTTCTGCGGTGAAGTCCACTTCCCGCGCACCAGCATTGTCCTCCAAGTATTTGAGGGTCTTCGTTCCCGGTATCGCAATGAAGTCTGTTCGATCAGCGTCAGTTTTGCGATGAGCCAAAGGCGAATGATCCGAGCACTTACCGTCCCCTTGGCTCAGAACCCACGCTAGAGTCAGTTGCCCGACGCTGACCCCTTTCTCCTTTGCCATTTCCTCTAAGCCTCTCTTCAACCGCAGGTTGCCCTCGAACGCCTCTCTCGAGAACCTGGGGTGTACACTCATTCGTATCTTGCCCACAAAGGGTTCCAAATCCTCCCACTTTTCAATTTTCGCATTGGTCAACCATCCCCTGCCCAGCGGGCTGTACGTTACAATCTTCACGTCCAACTCCCTTGCAGCCGTAAGAATGCCAATCTGCGGATCTTCGAGATCTAGCGCCCACGGAGAGAACTCCATCTGGATAGCCGCAATCGGGTGTATCTTGTAGGCGCGTCGCAACGTGGTAGCACTGCACTCGCTCAGTCCAATGTACCGGACCTTGCCTGCGTGAACTAGCTCAGCCATTGCAGCCACTGTGTGCTCGATCGGTACAAACGGGTCGACGCGGTGAGCATAGACTAGGTCGATAGTGTCAACACCGAGACGGTCTAGACTTGCGTTCACAGCAGTTCGAACATGTTCGGGCGAGCAATCGATGCCCATCTCATAGCCGATCGGACTTGTAGGAGAAGGCTTGAGTTTGAACCCAAATTTGGTGCAAAGGAATATCTTAGATCGCAGACCTGGATTTTCCGCAAGCCAGCGGCCGATGAGTTTCTCATTGTGGCTGGAAGGTCCGTAAGCGTCAGAAGTGTCCCAGAAAGTGGTGCCGAGCTCGGCGGCGCGGGATAAAACTGCGAGGGAGTTGTCCTCAGGGGGCGGAGGATCAGCCGCACTGCTGGCTGATATGGACAGGTTCATACATCCGAAGCCCACCGCTGGGACAGTCGTGTCGCCAATCTTTCGAATCGAGAATGGCATGGTCGGTCGATAACGAAGCCGAGCGAGCGGAAGGAGGTATATCGTCGGATATTCTGAATGATTTCTTGAGTCAACCAGATCTTTCTGCTCTCTAGCAATCCAGACTTTCAATGCAACTGAAGTCAAAGCATGTTATGTTCCAATTATGATGGCTGGCAACAACGCTATATATACCTTGGACAACTCGAGCTCACGTCTGCGCAAGATCATATCACCACGGTATGTCCATTGATGGTAGTCGGCGATGGCAGTCGGCGATGGAAGTCAGCATATTGGTCGACTCAGTGGATTGCATCTGACTAAATTAGTAATCGGGCGAGTGATTCCCGAGCTCCCGAGTGCACACTACCTGGCTTTGACTCGATTGAGGAATTGTAATGCCAGGAACAGCGAGGAGTCCCAACTAATTGAAAGATCCTTGATGTGATTCAGCCTCGTGGGAAGGATCTGGAATTGGATTTTGATGCAAGGTGATGGAATTTCCTTAAGTCCGAACTTTGAAAAGCCCAAAGTCCGCCCGGGTGTGCGAACCGATACCGTAGGGCCAGGGCCACTCGCCCGCGGAGCGCATAGGTCTATGAAAGGCCAGCCAGGCTCAGGAAGCGTCTATGACACTGGAATGGCTTGAACGTGGCTCAAATGTGCAACACCTGGGGAGGCACCTAAATCTGCAGTTCGATCAAAGACTGGCTTGCTGCCTAACCTACCTCGCGACACCTGCCACTGACATTCACACTTCTGGGACGGAACGGAATGAGAGCGGCCCTGAGCCTTGGTCAGTTCCTGACAGCGTTCGTGGGCCAGAGGAGGACTCCAGGCCTGGGACTCTGGTTCATTCAGACGTTCACGACCTTGGGCCCAAAATATGGCAGATGCAGGACCGAACCAGCGCAATTGGACGTTTGCATCTCTCGCGCGTCACTTAGCTGATCTTGATCCTTTGCTGCTTTCTGGCAGGCTATACAAAAGCATGCAATGACTCTGAGCGCAGCCACAATTAAAAGAACCTGACGCTACGCCAAGCCCGGCAACTTGTGGTGACGTAGTGCCTTCTCGAGCTCCAAAACGGCAGGTCGCCTTCCTGTTCGGAACTTCAATCTGTCGCAGCGGGTTTGTACACGCGCCACACCAACTCGGCCATCATCGCAGTGCTTAGCCGGACCTGGTGTGTCCCGCCGCTGTGAGAAGGTCGGACATCTTCTCTGATATCGTCACAATCGCCGTATAAGACAGCAGTTTCTTTGCTGAGTTCATTGGTGACTGATGCCGGGTCAAAACTAGAAAGATGGGATCCAGCTTATCGACCTCGTCGTCGATGCCAACGGCAGAAAGTCGCGCCAAAGTCCAGCACCTCATACAGGATAACAAGGTTGTCGTCTTCGCAAAGGTTTCGTGCCCGTACTGTGTTGCGACGAAAGCGCTACTGAAGCGCAAGGGCATTGATTATACCTCAATCAATGTGGACACAACCTGTGAGATTCTTCTTGAAGTGAAGACGTCATGGCTGATAGTAGCGTATAGCTGGCGGAACGACCATATTCAATACTGTCAAGGAGATGACGGGTCAGCGCACTGTGCCGAACATTTTTATTGCTCAGCAACAGATAGGTGGCAACAGTGAGCTTCAAGCATTGAATAGGACAGGCGATCTGGACGAGATGTTGAGAAAGGCTGGAGCGCTCGCTTGAGCTACGATGGCCTGGTAGACTGCTCAACGACAAGTCCCTGTTGTTCTGGATCCAATTGAGTCTATTCTTTAATTCGATAGGCAGTCTCATCCTCTGACATCTATGCCACGGACAACCAGGAACGCTGTTGCAGCACCCAGAAAGCCTTCCGTGTATCAGGTGGAGATCTCATGAAGTCCCAAGAGAGATTGTCGACCTCGCCGCCCATTGCGGACGCACGATAAAGAGAAGGTATTGATCTTCCGTCAAGCAGTCTCAGGGTCAACGTCTGCGCTCCGTACGAAGCGAACCTGCAGGTGTGTGATACCTCCGTCAATACGTACATGCATCTCGGGTAAAGACCACGTTGTAGCTCGGCGTTGGCTAGTAAGCGTACTGCAGGCTATTCGGACATTCCTTCCACGTTCAGTTGCTGTACCCCGCGTCCGCATTGACTTGAGCTCAAAAGTATTGACACTTAGGTACTCCTGCAAGTCCGGCCAAGCCTGGCGCCTTGCTTCACGCCCTTGTTGATCGCGAGATCGCCATCACCGCAAATTCGCCCTTCTGGCAGTGGCAGCTGGTTTTATGCGCTCCAGCCAATAGTCCCCCGCGGTGACTAAGCGAGGTAATACTTGAGTGATTCCCTCCGTACCTTTCATTGATCGGAAGGATATCTATACATCCTTTCCTGCAAAGTTGCCGACTTTTCCCAAAATTGACGAGACAATTGTGACCAAGATTTCGAGCCTCAGACCAACCGCCATGGCTTCTGGGAAGGTCCCAACTTCCTCTGCCACCCTTACCTGTCTGTGTGGTGCAATCTCTTTACCCGGCAGCTACCTCAAAGAGTCCCACTTTCCAATCGAATCTGAGATCTGCCATTGCAATCCATGTCGCTACTCCTACGGCAGCCTCATACCAACCTTCTTCGAAATCAAGAACCCACCACCAGCACCCGCCCTAGCCAAACTCCGGAAATACCAATTTACAGATGTCTGTGCCCGCTATTTCTGCGCGACCTGCGGAACCCACTGCTTCGTCGACCACCCGCACAAGGACAATGAGTGGTTCTGCCTCACCGGCATAGTCGAGCTCCCTCCATCAATCCCCAATAAACCACCCAATCTCGTCACGATCAACAGCCACCAATACCTGGCCGACACTCTCGACGGCGGCATGGCTCCCCTCTTCCTCGACCCCCAACCCAACTCCATCAAACCCCCAACCATCTTCGCAGCGGCCTCTCGCGACCCCGACAGCGCACGCGACCCCACCGACGTCGTCACTATGGCCCAATTATCCCTCTCACACCCCTCCCCTCAAGCCTCCCACCTCAACGCAAAGTGTCACTGCAAAGGAGTAAACCTCTCCATCGCCCGCGCAGACTACACCACCAACCCGCACAACGTCCATCCGGACAAACAGCCCACCAACAAGGCCATCCGCGACAAATACGCCGCATGGTTCTGCGCCTGCCGCTCCTGCCGCCTCTCTACCGGGTCGTCCATCACTGGACACATGTACGTGCCTCCCGCGGCAATCACCGACGCCACCACGGGCGATTCTGTAGTGTTAGGGCTGCCAGCACTCAACGACTCCAAAGTAAACCAGTCTGCGGGGCTGAAGACGCTGACGCACTACCGCAGCACCGAGTCTGTCGTGCGAAGCTTCTGTGGGAACTGTGGCGCGTATGTATTCTACTGCTCTGTCAACCAGGACAAGGATGGGAAGGCCGGGGATGGACACGGTGTGATCGACATTGCGGCAGGACTGTTGCGGGCGGAGAGTGGGAGTATGGCGCGGGAGTGGGTGTATTGGGAGGATTGGGTGAGTCATGCGAATGAGGCCGTTGATCAGAAGCTGGTGGAGGTGGTGAAGGAAGGAGGGTGGAAGAGCGTTGGGCTGGCGCAATGAAGGTGAAGCAGCGGTCTCCGGCCTGAAGGTTTCCTTCGAAAATGACAAAGTGAACAGAGAAGCATCCGCCGTCAATAAGACATAGGGTGGCCTGCAGACAGCATGCGACCGACTTCTCGACACGTACATTTGGACTGAATGCGCAGACAAAAGAACCAGGAGGGCAGCATCGATTGTAGCTTTTGGCATCCTGCGAGGACAGTTACTTGAGCGCTCGCCAATCGCGATGTCTGAGATACAGGGCACAAGTACGAGACGCGCTTGGCTGAGAAGTATCAGTTTTGGTCGGGCGTCAAGGGCGGACGATTGAGATATGCATAGCATTCCGCAGCCTGGAGTAGTCATACTATTTCACACATCGATTTTGAAAGAGTGTTGTAAGCACTGCTCACTTCTATACATTGGACCACCATGTTGAGTGGTATATAAATGATTGGTTATCGGGCCGAGCGGGTCATAGAGGCAGAGTTACAAGTTGACTCCCAAGATCGGAATTTGGAGGACGTCAAAGAATTTCTGAATCAATGCAAGGCCTGCATGCGACTTGGACTTCGAACGTTCGAGCGGCTCTAGCGGAGATGTTGCAGTCAGAGTTGGCCGTTACTACGGTACCGGCATTTCCGTCGACACGGTATTGCCGGTCTTGCAGCAAAAGGAGGGGGAATAAGTACAGGTCATGCCAGAGACCAAGACAGTTTCGCTTCTCTATGGTTCACCACAAGCGCTGCGCAATCAGTGGCAGGGAGTGTATGACATATCGCAGAAATGGCCTCCTATCCAGACTTCGATACCCTACAAAAGGTAGCCGGCCAACCTCTGGGCAACGCATGGGGGTTTTGGGGTCCCAACGACGAACTTGGCTGTAAGAAGAAAGCCCATCTGTCGGACGAGCTAAGGTTGAACTACACATCTGACTGCTCTGCCACACAGCTCTCAATTATCTCACACCTGAGGTGGTCCGTAACGCGGCCAAGGAGATTAAGACTGGCGTCAGCATTCAGCTAGATATGCGTCTTGATGCCTTCGAGTATCGTATCGGCGGCCGTGAAGCATTTGAGCATCGAATCAAGGACTTCAAGGACAACGAAGACTACAACTTATATGCCCACGACGATGTTCTGACTTTCAATACACAGGGCAGCTCGCAATGGGACGGTCTCAGGCACGTTGGGCTGCAGCAGTCTGCGGTGTACTACAATGGGCTCAAGCATGCAGATGTTCGACGGGACAGTCATAGTGGCAAGCTTGGAATACAAAGTGAGTTTTCTTCCAAGATCCTCAGGTCTCGCAAATGTGGCATGGCTCACCATGGTCAGACTGGGTTGAACGAGGCGGTATCGTTGGTCGTGGGATTTTACTAGACTATCATCGCTGGCGAGAAGAAACTGGGAGGGCACCAGCCAAGGCAAATTCATCCGTTGCTATAACCACATCAGAGCTCGAAGCAGTGGCGCAGCATCAAGGCACCAAGTTCTGCGTCGGTGATATCCTCATCATCCGTTCCGGCTTTTCAGTCTGGTACCAACGCGCTCCGCAAGCCGAGCGAACCGAGTCACTACAACACTACGAGTTCGTGGGCCTAGAGCGATCCATGGAGTCTGTGAGATGGCTTTGGAACCACCATTTTGCGGCGGTCGCCGGCGACACTGTCGGGTTCGAATGCAATCCTGTTGACTTCCACGACAAGGATACTGTCAAGTTACATGAGTGGTTACTTGTGCATTGGGGAACTCCGATCGGGGAGCTGTGGGATCTTGAGAAGTTGTCGGCGACTTGTGCGGCACAGAAGTCGTGGTCTTTCTTTCTAACAAGCGCTCCGCTGCATGTATTCGGAGGGGTTGCTACACCATCAAATGTGATCGCTGTATTATAGGCAGCTACTGCCCATTCTCTCGGACCTCTCCGAGCACTCGGTGGCTCTAGGCTCCACGTCATGAGTCGAATCGGCAGATATGGAACAAGCGCGGTGTGCAAACGATTTCCTGCATAGGTGGTGGCTCGGTGAGCACCAAATGAGAGAAGACGAAGCTGGAAATCGGCTCAATCGACGAGTCGGCGTTGAGATGCCGGACCGAGATTTCATCCAGAAATTGTTCCAAATGCGGTAAGTAATTGTTTACCGACGGACCACTGCTTCATTCCGGGGCACGCTTTGGCGGAAACCCATAGACGACAGATTGCGTGGTCGATGATTTTCAAAGCCACGACACAGTAATGATTGCTCTGCCAATACACATTGCTTGAAGACGTCGCAGCTTGAGTATCGTCACAGATCCTTGACCTGCCTGACAACCGCATCACAGCTGGAGCCCTGGACACCCGAACAGCTCACCGGCAGGTTCGATCAAGCACTCCGTACGCACACCAGGCAATAATGTCGTATGCCACAGCAGCGGAGCAGCTCTTGAGCATACGCGACAAGAGCGTGAACGAGAAGCTCGACTATGTCCTCGACTACATTGCCATCACCGACCTAGTGCAGCGGTACGGTCAAGCAACCGATACGCGCGACTTCAGACTACTCCGAAGCTGCTATGATCGAGACATCGAAGTTGATCACACACCAAGTATAGGAGGCGGACTCTTTCGCATCTCAGCCGATGAGTGGTGTCGTCTCGCCGATAAGTTCCATTCTCAACTAGATGGCGACGAGCATATTATGATCCTTCTGAGTGTGGTGCTCAGTGGAGATAATACTGCTTCTTGTCACGTGCTCATGCATGCTAGTCATTACTACCGGAAGGCGAATGGGTCGCCGTATCAGACGATAGCTGGCACGTATGACATGGAGTTTCGGCGGACCGGAGCAGGCTGGAAGATTGCCAAGTCAGTTCAGAAGCTGCATTTCGCGAAGGGAAACTGGCAATTTCACGAAGAGATCAAGAACTCGCTCGGCAATCTGGGCGGTGCTTGATTCATGCTTTTCAGATGAACGATTGCGTGGATGTAGATAATGGCTGTATGCAATCACCGCAAGATGCTCAGCTTTGAGCACTTGAGTCAGACACTGCCCTGCCAACGGGTCATTTTGGAAATTTCTACATCTGCCAGTAGAATTTGATCTAAGTACTTATACGTAGCTTTCACAGCTGCTGAAGCTATGCCATCTGTGCGCGCGGACGATAAAAGTCAAAAGAAAGTGCTAATGAGATACGTGCTACGGGATCTGAGATAGGAGTAGGAGATTATTTAGGTACTCATAGAGACACCTCATTTGGTGGAATGGCGTGATCTATCTGTTGGCAATAGTGTCTTCATGCTTGTTCGTGTTCTTCAACATGCGATCTGTTCGCCTCCACTCCCCTTTCCTTCACGAACGGCTTTGAAGGGCTTGAATAGGCAATGTGGGCGGTCAGAGAGACCAGAGGTGGACTGCAAGCCGTCACCGTTGGCTTTCGCCCACAAAGTCACTCGGAAACCCAACATCGAAGTCCGTTTGACTCTCAAGATATTTCATCTGCGTTGTCGTCAATCTCACACTAAGAGCCTTGATGTTGTCATACAGTTGTTCTATCGTCCGTTGCCCCAGGATGGGTACCACACTTGTCGTCTTCTGAAGCACGTAGGCAAGGGCGATGATACACGGATTCTCGAGATCGTGCTCGGCAGCAACATTCTCTAGGGCTGCCGACATCTTTGCCTCCTTGTGAGTCTGTTCAGAGCGCAAGGCTTTGTGGTCAGGCTGCTTTTGATTCTCAATTTGTTTGCGGGACTGAAATTGGCCGCCACCAAGAACATCCCAAGGTGCTAGAGCCATTCCGAAGTGTCGAGCCATGGGTATGATCTCGCGCTCAAAGTCACGGCGCATGACGTTCCAGCGTCCTTGGTAGATGCTGAACGGCGTCTTGCCGTGGTTGGTAGCGTACTCATTCGCTATTGCAACGATCCATGCGGGCGTATCTGAGATTCCAAGGTAGAGAACTTTACCTTGCTCGACGAGGCAGTGCAAGCTGTCCATGATTTCTTTGACCGATGTTGTCCAGTCCTGTTGATAGAAGTCAGTGACTGGACCTCAAGGAATCTGCTTTGCAAGAGTTACCCCGACTCACCCACCAGTGGAGATAGAGTATATCAACATAGTCTGTCTGCAGTTTTCGGAGAGAAGCCTGGAACGACAGATGTAAGGACTTCTTGTGGTTTCCCGCATAGTTGACCGTCCTTCCTTTCCCAAGAGCATGGCTGCGATAGTCTGTGGTAAACCTGATCCACAGATCAGCCGCTGTGCCTTCATCGTCTGTAAGGAGAGACAAGGACATACTTGGTAGAGACGACTAGCATGTCACGATTCTTCCTAGCAGCCATCCACTCTCCTACCCAGGTCTCCGACTGCTCATCCTGATAGTTGTTCTACATTGACTTGTTCAGTTTGCAGCTAGGACCTCGTTGGGGTCGCATGTTGGCTTACAGCGGTGTCTATGAAGTTTCCGCCTGCTTCGTAATATGCATCGAGAAGACGAAATGACTTCTCCTTGCCGGTCTCACCCAGCCACTACGGTTCACAATTAGTCATGTCGCGTAGAACGATTCTTACGTTCCACTTACTTCGTGCCACGCATCACCAAGTGACAAAGCTCCCAGCGCAAACGGTGACACTCTGACTCCAGCACTACTTGATAAGATTCTATATCGGCCAAGTTCGGTCGTTGGCTCCGGAGGCGGTTTGAACGTGTCGCCCATGCTGCTCTGAGTAAACCGTATCGCTGGAGCCGCTGCTTTTTCAGCGCGAAGGTCTGTCACCCAACTCGCATACGACGTAGGAAAAGGATCTGACTAGGCTAAGTATCAATACCATATGCCTGCACAAGAAAGTCATTGCGACAACACGTCTCAGCCGTTCGACTATAACGCCGTCGGGCCGGGACCTGCCCTGTACTCCGACAGTCAGTACATGCATGCATCCGAATGTCACTAGTAAGTTAATGGAACGCTGACGACTATCCCACTTGGTCAGCATAGTCACAGCACTGGTACAGGATTTCTGAAGCAGCATCAAGTAGTGGGAAGATGTCCTTCCAGCTGCTGTGCGCTAAATTATAGCACATTGGCGGCATTCCCTTATACTGGAGGGATACCAGCCAACAATATGTCAAGCAACTCTTGCTCCGGCATCTCAGGGCCCAGTCAGTAGCCAAACCGCCCACGCTTTCCCCGCCAATAGTGTGGAATGGACTCGGCGGCGCCGGAATGATGTTTTATCTTGACTAGGCGCTCAATTTTGGAGGCACAACCTTCTCCACTTCTTCTATAGTTTGCTTTGATCGGCCGACCATTGCACTGACGGTGTTTGTCAGCTCTTTGTCGACGTTGGCTGTGAAGAAGGCGCAGATGAAGGCCAAGACGCTGAAAGCATGGAGGAGTAAAACACCGTCCGATAGGAGTCTGCGGAAGCCTGCTTCAAAGCCGATGAACCAATTTCGATAATCGTGGTTGTAACACCCTCGGCGGAGTCCAGCATTGTGGTATTGCCGGTTACGAAGGCTTGCAAGACCTCAGGCACACTTTGTTCAGGAAGTCCAGCTCCAAGAATTGCCGGAACGACTTCGGCAGGTACTTTGGAAGTGAGCTCATTAGTGAGAATTGTCGAATAGATTGCAGCACATGCCGCACCAAAGGAAGCTCGAATCGTTCCCATCATTCCGCACGCAACGCCAATGTCTTTCTGATCGTCGATATCGATGCCGCAGACGATCTGCGCCACTCCATCCGCCCAGCCAATGAAGAAAGTGCCGAGGAATAGCAGAGCCGTAGCTCTTGCCTTGGTATACTGATCACAAGTTGCCATGGCTATCACTCGTCAGAAAGTGGTAGAATGGGAGAGACTCCGTTGGACTTACATGATAGACAGATCGCACCAGCAGCAATGGTGCAGATATTTTGAATTCTCGTTCGTCCAAGCGGACGTGACAGTCCACATCCAACAATCTGACCAGCAGTAATTCCGAGAGCACGATGCATGCCTGATAGCCCACCTCCATCAGGTCGTCAGGGTCACTGTACAGCGCGGTGACCATTCTCGGCCAAACGAGCGCAAAGGCGTAATAAACACCGCCACAGACTCCTATCAGGATCACCACCGCCACCCAAGACCGGCGTCTGAATAAACCTTTAGGTACAAATGGCTCCTTGAGGTCCATCTTAGTTTCGTACCATGCGAAGACAATCAATGTGATCCCACCCACGACTATTGTCGAAACCACATATGACGAACGCCACGGGTAAACACTTCCACCCCAGGACAGACCGAGGAGGAAGAGGACTTCTCCCGCAACAAAGAGAAATGTACCGAAATAGTCGTAGTCTTTCAACCACCTCCAGATATCCTGTCTGCCATGCTTTTCCTCGAAGGTCGGAGGAAAGTAGAACGCGATAAAAAGAATCAAGGTAAGTGCGTTCCAGATGATATTGTAATAGTAGCACCAGCGCCACCCAGCCTTGGTGTTGAGGATGAAGATATATGCTAGAGCTGGTCCGAAGCCAGCCGTGGGAAGCTGCCATAAGTAGATAAAGGATTGTGCTGGGAAGCGATGCTTGACAGGGACCATCTCGCTAAGGACGGAAGTATAGGAAGAGCCTCCTGCTGCTGAGAGTCCGACGAGAGCTTGACCACCAATCAGAATTGGGACTGACTTGGCTGTCGCGCAGACAATGCATCCTATCAGACCCAGAGCGCTGGCGAAAATCAGAAAGTATCGTCGGCCGAAGAGATCGCTTAGACGTCCAATCAGTGCTAAACCAATGCCTTGACCTACAGAGTAGACCAAGGCTACCCAAATGATGGAAGGGTCGGGTCCGATGTCTGCATTGACATATGACAAGACAGGCGCGATTAGAGCAAATCCACCAGTGCAGGCGCTGAGGTTAAAGCATAGGGCAAGGTAGGTCCCCAGGAATGGCAGACTGTAGAAGTAGGACTTATCCACATCTGTCGCATTGATTTTGGTGCTGGTGGTGCATTGATGGCCATCCAAATCAGAAGACTGCTTGGTGGAAGACATATTGAAGACTGTCAGTGCAGCCCAACGAGGTCAGGGGCCTATGAGGTTGATATGAAGCCTGATGTTCGGCCATCATAGCACTACTCTTGGCCCGGTACCTGCTGTGAGCATCAAATCATAGTGGCATAGCCCGGCCCGAGGGTGGAAAGGCGAAGGGCCGGTGTTCGAGGAGCTCCATCTTCTCCGCCCCGCGGGGACTGTGACTGCCGGGCAGGAAGGAGGGGATGGGACGGACTCGTAGCAAGTACGAACACCTTGACTGTGGATACGACGAGGGCACTCAGATGTCAACTCGGCTACGAGGGACAGTGATTCCTTCTCGGGCTGCTGCTGGTCAGATGGCGACATGTGGCAAGGCTGAAATGAAGCCTTTCCTTGGCACGGGATATATTCTATGACGTCTGCAATGAGTAATTCTTGACTGGACAAGATCCATGGATGTTTTGAAGTTTTCAGGATATGGACCCTGGCTTTGCAACAGTCCACTGAGGCGACTCACATCACACAACAGACGCCCAAGCGAGACACTCGAGCTCGCCCAAACGGCCTTAATTGATGAAGCGCCCCCCGATCTCGTAGGAGGAATATTTACGCTCCTAAGCTCCGTCCGGACTATGCGAAGCAGTACTCCGATCGTGCGATGACTGGTTCATAGCTTTCCCCTCATTCTGCTGCTTGTGGTGGCCGTTGCGGAAGACTGTAGGCCTTTTGACCGCCACAACTTGGTCGTCTCTACTATTGCAGGCCATATTTCAGCCATGTCCTCTCCCGACATTTCACTCGACTGAGCTGCGTCTATCAGAGCCTCGTAAGGCGTTCTGTTTGTCCGTGCCAATACGCTGTCCAATTCGAATTCGGTCAAACCATAAGCGGATATGACTGTGTCAATGCTTTGTATGGCCACGTCGTTGATGGCTTGGCGATGGGCGTCTCGCAGATGGGCCAACTGCGTAATCGACAGCTGTGAGGCATGCACAAGACTTGGGTGGTGTGGTTCGCTCAATATCGAGAGTGAGAACTGAATCGGTGAGCACGGAGCGAGAACGGAGACCATTAATTGTGATCAACGGGGAGGCGAATACTTACTACCTGCGCCAACGATCTCACGTGCGGCGCAAACGATGTCTCAGCACCTTCCAGAGCGCGCACTGACCTCCAGAAACCAGCCCAGTACACATAATCTGCGTGTGCCATGGTGAGGGCATGACTAGAATAGCTGGTATCTTTGCCAGTTGTGGTATCATCGAGATACTGTTGCACCAGCGATGCTAGACGCGCTGTCAATGCCCATTCCTGGACCGCAGTTGACAACCAATCTGCGGCCGAACATATATGCGGTTCTTGCGCAACGCTACCCGACTGGAGGAGGCTCAGGTAAGCGATACTTGGGGGAAGTGTTTTCGTTCCGTTCCTACAATGCTTCGCGATTGCTCTGGTGACTTGCTGACTGATGACATAGTTGTCGCCTTCATATGTAACGGCATTGACAGTATGAGCATACATTCGGCCGAATCCTGCAAGCGCGCTGTACCCATGCCCGCCACATGCGATACGAGATATTTCTACGCCTCGGCTGGCAATCTCGGTACCGTATACTTTCGATGCCACGGTTTGCAGGTGTAAGTCTTCCAGGGCGCTACTGTCGCCAGTTCTGAGCACTGTGTGAGTGTAATTGTCGTAAGCCTCCTTGATTGCCTGCCCGACAATAATCAACGCTGTTGCCTGCCAATTGCTTAGCTCTACTACTCAGCAGCTCCGAGGGATCCATACACGTACCTTCGCGAGCAAAGGAATCAGACGACTCTTGACACTGCTGTACTCGAAGACAGTCACTTCTTCATGATCGCACTTGTCATCTGCGGTTGTGAAGAACTGTTTGCGGAACTTGGTGTAGTGCGTTGCGACTACAACGGCCTTGAGGAGGTCCCAACCTGTGAGCTGTGCCATCTGAGCGCGGACGGTCACCATTGACCCATATGCGTGCTTCGTGTTCGTTGGCTTTAGGTAGGTCCCCTCACGAGAGACTTGGGCGCTTCTAGCAAACATCTGAGACCTGGGAATTCGCACGCTATCAAACCTGAGGCTCCGTTATCCATTCCAAGCATTCCTTGATGAACTTTTGGCCCGAGTTCGTATATATTGATGCCTCTCAGTGTCTGATGTGATTCCAGGTCTCGAAGCTGCACAAGGAAGAGGTGTGGACCATGGTCTTGATCTCCTATTTGGAGACGCGCCACGACGATTCCATGAGTCGCCCAAACACCCGCAGCCCCGATCCAGTACTTGGTACTACTCAAAGTTGGGGAATCAATGACAAACTCGTCACTGTGAACATCAAACACAGCTGTCGTCTCAATTCCGCCAACGAACGATCCATGTCCTAGTTCAGTCTGACAGTAACAGCCGAGGATCTCAAATCGCTCGGCCATTGGCAGCCAGACATTCTTCTGCTGATCGGACATCTGTCGCTCTATGTTCGACATGAAAATGCGGTACTGAGGGTAGATCGGCATCATCCAGTCCGTCATGGTGATGACATCAAGCAACTGCGCGGTCGACCATTGATGGCGGAGCTTCAGAGCAACCAGTTGTTTTGACTGTCGAGCGATCCTCAGCCAGACGTCTTTCCTCGCTTGGGAATAGGTTGCAGCAGTTTTTGCGAACTCTGGGTTCGACTTGAGGACATCCAGCGCAATTTCTCTCCTTCGGAACCTCTCCTTTCCGCCCCAGAGATAATAAGCAAAATCACTCCGGACAGCGTCTTGAGGCACAGCTCGACATTGTCCGACATTCCTCTCCATGGTTGACCACGTGTTGGGAATCTGAAGGGTCAGATGCAAATTGGCCTTACTCGACTCGTCATATGTCATTCTATGAGATGCATACAACTTAGCAGGCACCTGTGTACTATCCCGGTGCTACAGAATGCTTAAGCAGTGCAATCGGAAGTGCTCTGCGGCTTTCGGACGAATGCAGCAGCTCCACGGCACCGTAAGCGGCACAGCTACAGCGATAGCAGCAGACAAATTACCACGTGCCAGATTGGACCAATTTCCATATACTAAGGTATCTCGATCACGTTTGGTAAAGCAGAGAAGTTGCATGAGGCACTCAGGAGCTCGTACTGCTTAGCGGAAAAGCGCCAATCGGAACCCGCCTTACTTATCGGGCCGCTTGCAGCACAGAGCCAGCATGTGCCAAGGCGTGAGAAGCCGGACTCCCATGCCTTCAATTTCAATGCTTGTCATTTGCAGCTTCGCAGCTTCGGTCCGGTGTGGACTGGTCCTGAAGTGCTCTCTACCAGAAGCCACACCGTCTGCTGAGGGATCAGCATAGTGCTCAGCCTAATCATCCCGGATCGGTTGACCTGACTCAGCGGATCCCGACCTGTTGATTCTGCTTTGTTGCTCGAGCACAGCGCAATCAGTCAGGACAGCAGACAGAAGGTGCTCCGATGCCAGCGGCTTAGTATACTACTTCGCCGATAGCCTGAAGTCACGCACAACTATGTGTACAACACATCTTCATATTGTCACACGTTATAAACTTATGCAATGAACTGCCAGTCTGCCCGTCAGTAGGTAGTTCTGCTCCTGTTTTGCGGAATCCATTGATTATTCTGAACCTATGGCCCTCCATGCAGGCGTGTCTGCGTCGTTACTTAGCGCAAAGAGCACGATCTTGCCAAACGGGCCATTGTTCCAAAGGCTTCTGACTATTGCACACTCGCGACATGCAGCGACCCCTCTTGTCCACGATTTGAACGCGAATATCACAGCGAATGCGCATGAACTGCTGGAAGCTGTTTTGGTCTTACGCTGCGCCATTCTGGACGCCCTACCGCCAGGCACTAAAGAGTATCTTCAGCAGGGGCAAGAAGTTTTTCTCAGTCTTTCAGCTGATGGTGGTTACGACTTCGCTGTTGCTATTCTTGCGATTCTCAGCATCAATGCATGCGCTGTACTGCTCAGTACGGCGATGCCATCGAGAGAACTACATCACTACGTATCCAAGACCAGATCGCAAATGATTCTATATACGGAGAAGGGCGCGTCAGCAGCGACTCAGCTTGTCCGCGATCACGCACACAGCCTGATAACATTTGACCTTCATCGCTTCAGGACTCGTGTTGTTCAAGTTGACGCCAATCGCGATTTGCTACCACGTATTACCATTTCGCATCTGCCACAAGCTGATCCCAACGGACCCGGCATTATCATTTTCACTTCAGGCACGACCGGACCACCGAAGGCAGTTGCCATTCGTCGCTCAACAATCACATCTGGAGCACAATCGCTGGCGGATCAGCTTGAACTTCGACCTCGCCACAGGATTCTGCATACTTTGCCCGTGCATCATGCCACAGGGATCAACCTGTCCTTCTTCCCTTTCTTGATGGCAGGAGCATGCATCGAGTTCCACACGGGCGGCTTCGACTCGCGGTGGGTGTGGGATCGGTTTCGACGCGGCGACTTGACTCACTTTACAGGAGTTCCCACCATGTATACTCGTCTGAGTCGGTTCTGGGAACAGGAAATCGCTAATATGCCGCCGGCTGAACGGACAACGTATGCTCACGGGGTAAAGCAGCTCGAAGCTATGTACTGCGGAACTTCAGCTCTGTCACATTCGATCAGCCAATTCTGGAAGTCGCTCCGTGATGGACACCCCGTATTGCAGAGGTATGGCTCGACAGAAACACAGATAGCCATCAACATGTCAGGCCGGGACGCACTCGATGTTCCCGACGGCAGTGTCGGCAGAGTGTCGGTAGGAGTCGAGCTCAAAATCGCAGGCTCTGCAGACGATACCAACGAGGGTGAACTCCTGGTCAGATCACCACACATGTTTGCTGGCTACCTGCACGATGATGCAGCGACAAGAGCAGCCCACGACGCGGACGGCTTTTTCAAGACCGGCGACATAGTCCAGAAACGGGGCGAGTATTACTTCATTCTCGGCCGAGCCAGCATGGATATCTTGAAGTCAGGAGGGTACAAGATCTCTGCTTTGGATGTGGAGCGAGAGATCACAAATCTTCCCTACATAGGCGAAGTGATGGTGGTGGGCGTTCCAGACGATGAGTTTGGTCAACTTGTGGCAGCGGCCGTGACTTTGCGAGAGGTTGATGATCACGCTCCAAAAGTCACGCTAAGCTCGTTGAGAGACGACCTTCGGCGCAGACTAGCAGGTTACAAGCTGCCGACTCTGCTTCGTATAGTTCCTGGAGAGCTTCCGAAGAATGCAACCGGCAAGGTCGTCAAGAAGGTGTTGGGGCCACTTTACTTTCCCACCGATTACGCAAAAGATTGTCAGGTTCAAGTTTGGTCCAGACGTACCGTAGTCGCGAAGATCTAGACGTGTTAGAGCGTACTTCATGGCCACACAATATATTCACAAGGACTCTTGAATCGATTGACAGTATCCTATTCGCCTGCGAAGCCGAAAAATCGGCCCAGTGAAGAGTCCAGTCCGATGTCCGGTCCCTAGGCTTTGTAGGAGCTGGAAGTCGGAGTGGGAGGTCTAGGGCACGCATGGTCTGAAGCAAGATCCGCAACCAATAGGCTCGAAGCGCTGAGAGCCCAAGATACCAAGTAGTCCTACGGAGCACTCTCTGAAACACATGTCATCGAACGATGACAAGGTGCCGGCCGAAGGGCCTACCAAGCGGGCACTGATCCGTGATTAGTGTCATGAAACATATCTGAATTCTTTAGCCACCCGCAATCAAGATCTTGCTGCCGTTGGTCTGAAGTTATCATAACAAGTTCGGAGTTCGAGCCACGAGAAGAGTGGTTGCCGTCCTCGACGAACGCTGCAAAGATGGGTTCTCTCACTTCTCAGGACCGTATCTCATTCGATGCATTCTCGAATATCATCGATGGCACTTTGCGTTCCTCCAAGCAGATGTATAACAGTGTCGATCCTAACACTAGATGTCCCAATTGGGATGTTCCGGTCGCTTCCCGAAAAGATCTCGATGATGCAGTCCTTGCTGCGCAAAGAGCATATGAAGGTTGGAGATGGACGTCCTGGGAATATCGCTGTGAACGTATCGAGCAGTTTAAGGAAGCGCTCAAGGCTTACGGTTAGTTAACCTTCTGAGACGAACAGCCTCTTGTGGCGCACGAGACGGCCAGCTGACTGGTAATGATCAGAGGATGACTTGATCGAACTATTGGTCAGGGAGACTGGGAAGCCACGGCGATTCGCAAAAGTCGAAATCAGTGGCACATACGGTCATTTGGATTGGCATATCAATCTTCCGCAGCCAAGAGGAGAGGAGCTATGGCTCCCTACACGACACGTTAGGCACGTGTACGTGCCCTTGGGCGTGGCAGTAGCCATCTGTCCTTGGAATTTTCCATTCAAGCTGAGCATAGCCAAACTCCTGCCAGCTGTCCAGACGGGCAACGCTGTCATCATCAAGCCAAGTCCATTCACTCCGTACGTGGAATTGCATCACCTGAGATGAGAGGAGTAGACTTACTGACAGCCAGATGATAGGTATACGGCACTTAAGGTTGTGGAGATCGCACAACAGATCTTTCCACCAGGGCTGATACAGGCGCTTGGTGGAGATGACACCCTAGGACCGGCCTTGGTCGAGCACCCGGGTGTACACAAGATCAGCTTTACAGGGTCAACCGGCGTGGGCAAGAGTATCATGGCTGCAGCGGCCAAGACACTCAAAAGGGTGACCCTTGAACTGGGTGGCAATGACCCAGCGATTGTGCTTCCAGATGTTGACATTGCGCAAGCTGCGCCAATGGTTGCCATGGTATGCCCATCACCAGTCCCACAGAAGATCTAGAGTCTGCTGACGTAACGATCTAGGGCGCATTTTATAACACTGGCCAGGTTTGCGTCGCTCGAGCGAATCTACGTGCATGCCGCCGTGTACGATGACTTCCTGTGCGCTTTTGTTGCTGCTGTCAAAGCCTTGAAAGTCGGTCATTCGGATGAAGAGGGAGTTATGCTAGGTCCTGTTCAAAATCAGAAGCAATACGACCGGGTGAAGGATTTCTTCCGCGACTCCAAAGACAACGGTCACCTGTTCGCTCTCGGCAATGTCAGTGATGGAGATGTCGAAAGCTTGTTTATCGACCCAGCCATTATCAGCGAGCCTCCGGAACACAGCATGATCGTCCAAGAGGAGCAGTTTGGACCGATCGTGCCGGTTCAGAGATATGACAACGTTGACGAGGTCATAAGGCGGGCGAATGCCTCCTCGGCTGGACTGGGAGCGACGGTGTTTGGGACCAACTCGACCCTCTTGCAAGAAGTCGCCGAGAGATTGGACAGTGGTAATGTATGGATTAATAGTTCCCCGATGGTCACGGCGGAGGCACAATTCGGGGGCGTGAAGGAGAGTGGCATCGGGACCGAATTTGGCTCTCTGGGGATTCTCGCGTATACCAGCATTAAGGCCATCTCTACAGCGAGATGATTGGAGTGGGCTTGTGCAGCTACTTTGTAACAGCAAGAAAGACTGGTAGACGATCTTGTGGTAAGACCACGGCTCAATTGCCCAGGCAGTCTCGGCATCAATGGCCCTGCGGTAAGCCACCTGATGTCATTTCGTGACACCCCGGAACCCCACGAAGTGGGGATACGAGCCGGCATGATCTGGAGGTCCTGAGACTTTCGCGCTTGTTACGAACAATAGTTGCCATATCTCCAGCCCCGGTCCTGCATAAATGCCGTAGGCGGTCCAGTGGCACTTCAGCTTTACAGCACACGTTTTGGTCCCCCGGCTCCGGGTGATTTTGATTTTAGGTGACCTCCAAGCAGGCCTGTGATACTTTGAATTTATGCTACAGCTGCTAGTTTCGAGATGACCTCGCTAACGCAGGTTGGATCCAATGGGAACGTCGCCGTGACGAAGCATTCACGCAATAACCCATCCGAGGTCTCGCGTGCACGCGCTGCATGCCGAGTATGTCGTGCCAAGAAGATCCGCTGCGATGCAAGAGACGGCAAACGTTGCTCGAACTGTACACTAGAGGACGTACAGTGCGAAATCATCCCCAAGCGGCCACGACGGTATGTCTTGGTCAGGTCGTCGTGTCTTCTCACTCTTGCCGTTGCTGATATTGAGCTCAGCAAGCGGATGCAGTCGGTCACGCCGATTCTTCCGCGACTCCCACCAACAGCGTATGACACGTCGATCACAGTCGAAAGCAATCGAGGGCAAACCGACATCGTACATCCCAACGGGCTTGAGGAACTACCATCTGCAGACAACGTCCATCATGTTGAGGTAAATGCCTCCGCGACCTCTCTCTATAACGTCGAGTCGGCGCAATTTGAAGACTCACCAGCGACGGAAATTGATCTGCCATGGTCGCCTGGTGGTGCCGAGCACAGGCAGGCTTATTCTTGTACGACTCGGAGTCTCTCGCCCAAATGTGCGCCACCGCGCCCGATGCAGTCCACCGCTCAAAATTTGCCCGACTTTATAAAGCCTTTACCGCCACATCTAGATGCTGACGATGTTATGTATCTCGAAAGCAAGGAGGCATTGACTCTGCCACCGCCTGCACTTCGGGATGATTGCCTGCGCTGTTATCTCCAATACATGCATCCCCTGTATCCCACTGTTGAATTTGACAAGATCTGGGCCGCAGTTCACACGCCGCATCAGAGCACGGAGCAAGTCAGCCTTCTACTACTACAGGCGTTAATCTTTGCTGGAGGGATGTGGCTGATGTCCGCCTTGTACGCAAGGCGGGCTTCCTAAGTCGGAAAGCTTTCAGACAGAGACTAGATAGACGAATACGCGTCCTTTACGATGCTGACTATGAGGATGACAGGATGGTCTTAGTACAGTCTCTACTGCTCTGGTCCTTCTGGTTCAGGAAGCCAAACGACCAGAAAGACGGATGGTATTGGGTCGGCGTCGCCCATTCCATTGCATATACCCTAGATCTGCATCTTTCGACATCGACCGAGACCTCCGATCACAAGTATAGTCGGCGCTTGAGGAAGCAAGTGTGGTGGGCCTTGTGCAATCGAGAGATTATCGCAGCATTCGATCTACGGCGAGTACCTAGATTTATCCTCTCTGCCGAGGATGTGTCAGCGATCAGTCCAGATGACTTCGACTACCCGGAGCACGCGTCCAGGACAGACGCAGACATGAATGGCCCATCGAGTGGTTCGAAGAGTGTTCTCACTCGTCTGAGCGTTGAATACATCAAGCTTACCCAGATCGTTGGCAAAATCCTCACCATCGCTTTCCATCGGAGCACTGGCAGTAAAGCATCCATCTCGCAAACCCCTCAGTGGACTGGAAAAGAGTCCATGATCGACGATCTAGTTGCTTGTAATCAGGAACTCATGACATGGCGGGACCAGGTACCCGATGAGCTCTGGCATCACGAAGTCTTGCCGCCTATCTCGTTGGAGTCCAAGTGGTCTCTGGCAACATCAAGTCACAGGGCAATGCTTTCCATGATGTACAACATGGCTCTGATGACGATCCACCGGCCACCGGCCCTTCCGACGGAAGTATATCACCCCTCAGGCCAATTGAGTATGACCGAGCGAGACAGAAGGCATGCAGCCCGGAGCCGAGTTCGAGATGCTGCACAGCAAATGACCAAGATCGCGATGGACTTCTTCAATGCGGATCTGCTCAATCACCTGCCTGCGACGGTCGTCAGTTGCATCATGCCCGTCAGCATCCATCACACATTCGATACCTTTTCCGAGGACGTTGCGCTTCGCAATAGGGCATCACGTCTGCTAGAGCAGTGCAGAGCGATGTTGGACACACTAGCAGAGCGTCAGTTTGCACCCTCGTGGGCTCTACAGATCATAGAGTTTATGTTGAGTCAAGCTAGACGGCGAGTGAGATCGGCGCAACATGGCTCGAAGAGATCTGGACTTCCGATTGCGAGCGACATCTCTCCTACCACGAGTCGTAAGCAGCCAGTGGTGAGACAGCAGAATGGGACTGCACTCGCAGATGCTGCAGGTATGGCTGTTGATCGAACATCGGCCGCATCTCTCCGCCCATCCTTGACCAGTGAGAATAACAATGCCTCCACCTCAGAAGATCCAGCAGACGCAAGCTACATTCACGCACAAGCTCCGGAGCCCATCACGTCGACTATCGCACATGAGGATGTAATAGTTCCTCCTTCTGGAAGTCTACAGCCCGACTGGGTCGACTATCTCAGCATCTTCGGCCAGGAATCGTGGACGGCCTTGCCATCTTCATCAATGATGTTCGGAGGAGGAGACTTGTCGCTCATTCATCCTCCCCCAGATGAACTTGCCGCTCTGGAAGACTCCTGGTTGAATTCAACTTATGGCACTGGTGATGGATCGGCGTCGACTTGGCATGTTGGCAATTTCTGACGAGCGTCAAATATACAACGTCCCGAACACTTGGTCTAACAGCAAGTTTTCTGGGAGACATGTGTATAAGATTATGGAAACTATGGTCAGGTGTCACACGTCCAAGATCTCTGCTCGAGTCTGATGTTGAATAATGCGACTTCTGGGGCTATTCCGAAAGTATACAGCATATAGCATGCTGCCCAGGTTCCAACCCGCAAGGCTTCTGAAACGCCTGATCCCATTGTCAGACACGCAAGCGGGCTCAGAACTGCGAGATCCCAAATCACATACTGTGCGTACTCCACGCTGCCTTCTCGTCCGAGCTTTGGCCCATTAACCGTGTTCTAGCCGCGGATGAGCCTCCCAGTGTTTCATCGGGCTCAGGAATCGGCAAATCGACTTGATCCTTGTGATCTCCGAAGATCTTTGCGATCTCCTCGAGTGGCAATCCGAGTGTATCCGGAAACGTAAAGGCGACCAGAATCGCAAACAGGAGAGGGGGAATGATGAAGCACAGGTAGAACTTCCAGCCGATAGCCTCGAAGGCCGTCGGGGCCACCTGCGTCCATAGGATGTTGATCGCGGTAAGGGAAGCAATCGTGGTTACCAGTCCCTTTGCTCTAATATGGTTGGGGAATATCTCAGCCATGTATGCGAACATGGTGCCGTCAAGGAAGAACTCGAAGCTGAGACAGTAGATGTAAATCATCGCTACGCCGGCCCGGAGTGCGCTCTTGTTTGGCCGGGCCAAATCCTCAGCCGAGGTAGCGAAGTTGGCCAAGATTGCGGCGAGCACGATTAGGCTGCTGCAGCAGGTGACGAGTCCAGCCACGATGAGTTTAGGGCGAGCGACACGATCGATGATGAAGAACGACAGCAGCCCACCTGTGATAGCCATGGTGTTGTAGCCCATGTTGTAACGGAGCTGGGTTACCTTATCGAAACCCAGGCTGCTGTATATTGTTGGGCCATAGTTGTTGATGACCAAGATGCCTGAAGACTCGATGAAGACAACAGTGCTTGAACTGATGAGCACTCTTTTGAGGTATGCTGGTTTTCGGAACATGTCTGACCAGGAGCTGTCTAGTCGCAGATCGGTCTCGATCGCCTCTGAAATCTGCTGTAGCTCAATCATGCTTCCTCAGCCGTATGAAGGCGACGGAGAGTCGACTCAGCTCGTTCTGGGTGTCCATTCATCAGCAGCCACCGTGGAGACTCTGGCACATACCACAACGCAATGAAGTGGCATACTAGCGGCACCAAGCCTACAATGAAAGGCCCTCTCCAGGCCATGTTTTCGTTTGCTGGCAAGTGGAAGAAGGCGTAGCCCATGTACGAGGCCATTGCGTAACCGAGAAGGATGCCGCAGCTGTGGAAATCGGCGAGAACGCCACGTGTCGCCGGCGGCGCGGTCTCGCTGATCCACATTGGAATGGACGCGACCAGCATGAAAACACCCGCACCAGCCACCGTCCGGGCGAAGATGAACATAGCGATGTGGACGCTGCCGGCGAGCAAGGCACCGGCAATAATGCTGACGGCTGTAGACACGCGAAGGGCCCAGAGTCTTCCCCAGGTGTCTGCTAGCCACGAAATGGTGATCACACCAAGAACACCGCCAGTGAAGAAGAGTCCGTTCGTTGTGGCGATGAGGTCAGTGCCATCAGAACGGGAGAGCAAAGCGAAGTAATCCAGGAAAGATGGTTGAGCTAGAGTCGTGCCTATGATTGCTGCAGCATAGCCTGCACCGAGGGAGCCTGCAGCCATGAGCACGGTGACGCCAACATTGTAGAGTCGAAGCTGGCGGCTCTTGACATGCTCAAAGTGCTCAGTCATCGTCGCGAGTGTTCTTGGCGTGTCGAACTATAAGCTCTGCTGCTGGCGGCTTGGGTTCCAAGTTGGCCGCCATACTCCGCACTCTTCACATCGCCATTCTTATAGTCCAATTCAAGTCAGTCAATCGATTGCCGCTCATAATCCGGGGTCCGGGGTCTGGGGTACATCGCACAAAGTCGTGTGTCACTGGCAGAAGGTATCGGCAGCGAAAGGGGTCAGGTCAGACTCCTCCCAAGCCATGATTGCTCGGCCCGGCAGACCAATCAGCACCGTGCACGGAGGTAAAGCTCTACGTCCCCCATGCAGTCCTCCCGGCGGGTTGTCGACGACCAAGTGACTCTGCACAGGCTAGATCTCGCACTCAACTAAGAGAGCGCTTGACTGATTCGTCGTTGACCATGGAATCAGCAGCTAGCTATTTATCCACTTCCTTCGTGAGATTTCATAACGCAGCTTAGTATAGGATAGCTGAACACCATTTGGCAACCATGAGTTCTCTCAAGCATAAGGTCATTGCAGTGACAGGTGCAGCCAGCGGCATAGGTCGTGCGATAGCTCGTGAGTGCGCCGCTCGTGGTGCTCGTCTTGCGATTGCGGATGTTCAACAACAGCCCTTGAAGGAGCTCGCCAAGGAGCTCGAGGCGCAAGGCACAGCAGTCACAGTCACTATACTCGACGTTTCGAATTCGGACAGCGTTGACGACTGGATCAACGGGACTGTTGAGTACTACGGCCATCTCGACGGAGCGGCGAATATTGCGGGGATCGAGGGCGATAGTAAGGTCTTCTGCACCATCGCCGAGCTTGGAAATCCAGCCTGGGACAAGGTGATGGGCGTTAATTTGAATGGTGTCTTTTACTGCCTGCGAGCTCAACTTCGGGTCATGAAGAAGGGTGGTTCCATCGTCAATGCTGCTAGTATTGCCGGACTTCGGGGCAGGGCTGGCATCTCAGCCTACAGTGTGAGCAAGCATGGAGTCATCGGATTGACCCGGTGCGCTGCTGCTGAAGCAGGCTCACAAGGTGTAAGGGTGAATGCAGTGGCGCCGTGAGTATCTTTCTTGTTTTCTGGTCATACCATCTTCTACGTGGCTGATAATTTTGCGTGCTACAGAGGCCCCGTGCAGACACCTCTGATGGACAGAGTCCTCTCGGAGACCAATGGTGGGAAGACCGATGCAATTGATTCTAATCTCCCCATACCGAGGATGGGAACACCAGAGGAGCTAGCCAGGACATTCGTGTTTCTGCTAAGTGATGAATCAAGTTGGACAACAGGCTGTATATACACCGTCGACGGGGGCGCATTGTGTTGAGGCGAGCATAACGATGCATACCCGCAAAACCGTAGGGTTCCTATGAACAGTATTTGTGCAACTTCCTGTTTCTTGAATATGCACATGAGTTGGGCCCAGACTGTCCCCGAACAAGTCAAAGAATATTCGAGTAATGGTCTAGTAGGATGGCTCTCTCTAAGCACGTTCGATCACACGCTGGCTGTAAGCAGCAAAGCCTGGACGGTGCTGGACCATTCCAAAGTATGCTGCCTTCAAGTTCACCTATATGAGCCGTTGCAAATGGAGAATACTTAAATCAAACACTCATGCACATCTGTACATGGTCCACTCAGTAAACTGTGTATACTAGACCCTCATCACGCTCAAAGGCTCGTTTGCATCTCTCCTCGTACTCAGACAACCCTCCCAGATAAGTCAGAGGCTGCACGCGAGCGCCGGGAACATTTGCTCTGGTCCACCAGGAGTCGGTGAACCTGACGAGATTCTCCTTAAACTGGCAATCAAGCAGCTTAGCCCACTCGACTTCAGCAGCTCGGTAGTCTCGATTGATTTGGCACCTCTATCTTCTGCTTTCATTATTAATTGAGCGACCAAATCAGTCTGGCAGTCCACTGTCGTTGGGGCATTATAGAGAGTTGTTGGACCTGGGAGATTTAGCAATTGAGCAGAATATGTAGGCGCATCTGCATACCTTGAGGACCAAAGACAGTGAAAAGATTTGGGTAATCGCTGATCATAAGACCAAGGTAGGTGTGTATCTCAGACGCCCAAGTATCCTGCAATTCCACCTTGCTACGGCTTTTGAGGCCGAGTTTATAGTAGCTTGCGACGAAGTTAGCCACCATCTAGAAGTCGTGAGATCAAATAGAGGATGACACTTACGATCCAGTAAAGCTCTCGAACCCGGTGGCCACTATCAAAATGTCGAACTCGTGAGTAGTACCGTCCTTCATGATGACACCGTTTTGAGTAAACTTTTCGAAGGGATTGTTGAGCAAGCTGACCAACTTCACATGGTCCTTGTTCATCATCTCGTAGTAGTCTTGTTCAAGTGGGCTGCGTTTGGTGCCGAAGTAGTAGAGTGGCTCTGTTGGTGCAAGTATCTCTCGCTTGATCGGATCTGAGATCTTGGCGCGAACTTTCTTCTTCCAGTAGTCGTAAACCAATCTGTTTGCTTCTGGATCAGTCCTTGCATCTGAGAAGGCAGCGAGGAACGCAAAACCTCCTTTGGCCCATGTTTCGTCGAAGATAGCTTCTCGCTGCTCGGCAGGCGTTTCCATTGCTTTTGGACCACGTTTCAAAGGAAAGCCGGACCATGAAAGACGACAGTCGCGAAAGAGCTCTGGAAAGGAATCCCGTTGCGTATTCCGGAGCTGGTCAGTGAGAGGTCTCTGCACCATGGGTAGACAAGTGCTAGGTCGTCGAATAAAGACGGACAGCTCGCTGGCAAGCTTCGCTGATTCTTGAACTACCTGAATTCCCGTTGCCCCTGCACCGATAACGGCAATCTTTCTACCTTTCAGAGTCGCGTTGTCAGGCCACTCCCTAGAATGGTAAATCTCGCCCTTGAATTCGTCCAGGCCGGGGAAGTTGGGAGTGTATGGTTTGTCCAAAGAGCCGCTCGCCACAACAACGTATTTGCTTTTGATGACAAGTCCTGTATCCATTGAGACGGTCCATATGCCTCTGCTTTCGTCCCATGACATGTTATACGCTTTAGCGTTGAAATATGTATCTTTCGAGAGTTTACAGACGTTGTCGACATGCTTGAAATATGCTCGCAGCTCGTTGCGATCCGGGAATCTTTCCGTGAATTTCCAGTCCTTCCAGACCTCAGGGATGTCCAACTGGTAGAAAGGAAATTCGGAATCGACACGCGCACCTGGGTATTTGTTCCAGTACCATGTGCCCCCAAGTTCTGGGCCAGTCTCGACTGCTTTCACACTGAGGCCTAATTTCCGCAGCTTGTAGAGAGCGGCAATACCACTGAGACCTGCGCCGACCACCAAAACATCACAGCAAACAATGTTGTGCAAAGAGCCCATTTCGATTTCTAGTCAAGGAAGACTCCAGATCCAGGCAACCAGACTGAGTTTCGCGCAGCTTGCGTGTTGTATAGCCTGAATGTCTGCACAGACAATACTCCTGTATTCCAAGATATTGGCCCGAGTTTACACGCAGAATCACTCACGCTTGCCCCGAAGACTTCAGCTTTAAGGACTGCTTCGTGGATCGTACCATAACGGCTGCGGGAGCCCGGCAGCAGTAGGTCTGCCATCACGGGAGCCCCTCGCATTAGACCCGGGCGGCACGATACGCCTCTGATGTACACAGTGCAACGATCCGTAGTATGCTCAGGTCAAAGAAATCAGATGCAGGTTGCCAGGCGCGGTACAAACAAACCTCGATGGGTGCATGCGAAGGGCCTGACCCTGTCGGTGCTACCAACCAATAAGAAACTCCGGATTGAACAATAATTTGTTCCGACTGTCAAGTCTTTGTCCGGGCCGACCGATTTGCTCATTTGCTCAGCTTCACAAGCTCATCACAAGTTCAACTCGCCGGATTTGAGCATGGCGCTACATGACACCAATGCCGCCACGGGCATTGCCCGGCAGCCCTCGCACATTTTCAAGAACAACAGAAGCTGTGACCAATCGGGCTCTGTGCCAGTCACTACACGACGACGCATCGTACACCTGCACGGGTCAGTTTCATTTGATCTCCCCAGATCTGCAAGCCGTAAAATCTTGCGAGTGGAAGTGCCAAATATAAGGAGCAGCTTCTGAATACTTCGCAACTGCAGGACCGACAAACTCAGGAACACCTACCACCATGATCGTCAAGAGCCCGATTCTCCCAAATGCGGATCTTCTGGCCCAGAGCCGCTAGAGGAATTCCTCGATGCCAAGATTCCCACCTCGAAGAGTCTTCCTGGCATTTCTTTTGATCCGAAGGCTTTGAAGAGAAGGTATGTTGAAGAGCGCGACAAACGGCTTCGAGAGGCCAAGACGCTCGGTGGTCTGGATCAATTTCAACTAGTTGAGACGAATGGGCCCTTCGCAGACTATCTGCAAGATCCCTGGGCAGACCGAGCTTTCAATCGAGCCCCTGTCACCGAGGACCTTGACGTCCTGATCCTCGGTGGTGGATACAGTGCACAAATTGTGGCCTCCAAGCTACTGATGAGGGGAGTTTCCAATTTCAAGCTTGTTGATAAGGCTGGTGACTTCGGTGGAACATGGTGAGCAGGCACTCTCGTTCTGGATATGGACGACGAACATGCTGACCTCATCTTCAAGGTACTGGAATCGCTTTCCAGGAGCACAGTGCGACATTGAGTCCTACATTTATATGCCCCTCCTCGAGGAGACAGGCTATATGCCAACAGAGAAATATGCCCGTGGCAAAGAGCTGCTCGCGCATGCCGAGCGACTCGGTCGCCATTATGGACTCTATCCAAAGGCCCTATTCCAGACGGAAGTGCAGAGTATGCATTGGAACGAACAGGAATTGCTGTGGACCATCAAGACCAACAAGAATGACAAGATCCGGGCGAAGTTTGTAATTCCATGCGCTGGACCGCTCCATCGTCCTAAACTTCCGGGCATCCCAGGAATGGACCGCTTTAAAGGCAAAGCATTCCACTCGTCACGATGGGACTATGACTACACTGGTGGCGACTCAGCTGGTACCTTGTATAGACTGCGCGACAAGCGAGTGGGAATCATTGGCACAGGGGCAACTGCAGTCCAGATTGTTCCTCACCTAGCTGAGTGGTCCAAGGAGTTATATGTCTTTCAACGAACTCCTTGTTCGGTTGGAGTCAGAGGCAACAAGCCAACTGATCCAGCATGGGCAGAGTCCCTGAAGCCGGGATGGCAGGCACACCGGACTGTCAACTTTAACAATCTCTGTAACGGCATGCCGGAAGAGCAAGATTTAATCAACGACGGCTGGACCGATCTCTTGCCTGATATTTTCGGCCAGCAGAACCCCGATCTAAGCCCTGATGAAGCTGCAGCAGCACGCCAACTCATCGACTACCAGAAGATGGAATCTGTCCGGGCGCGAGTAGATAGAGAAATCGAAAACCCCAGGACGGCAGAATCTCTGAAGCATGGTACAATGCGATGTGCAAAAGACCTTGCTTCCATGACGAATATCTTCCAGCATTCAACCGTCCAAATGTCTACTTGATCGACACCAAAGGCAAAAGTCTGAACGGCGTGGACGAAACTGGAGTACTAGCAAACGGTGAGCACTATCCAGTTGATGTTCTTGTGTACGCCACAGGATTCGAGCACAGTACCTCATTCTCCCACCGCGCCAATCTGGAAATCTACGGCCGGAACGGCGTCTCGTTGACTGAGGCCTGGAAAGAAGGGCCACGCACTATGCACGGCTGGAGTGCACGGAACTTTCCGAATTGCTTCTTCATCCACAACATTCAGGCTACGCTTACGCCCAACTTCATTCATGCGGCGAGTGAGACTGCGACACAATTGGCGTATGTGGTCTCAGAGTGCCAAAGCCGTGGCATCAAGAGTATCGAGCCGCTTGCTGAGGCTGAGGAAGCCTGGGTCAACACCATTGTCGACCTTGCTACCAAACGCCTTCAGTTTCTTGCTGAGTGTACGCCAGGGTACTACAATAATGAAGGCGAGGTCAATCTCTTGGCGGCCAGGGAGTCGGGGTATGGCGGTGGTGCGCCAGCGTTCATGAAGCTTATGAGTGAGTGGAGGGATGACGGTAGCATGAAAGGAATGGAACTCAAGTTCTGACGCTGAGAATTGTCATACAAATCAAAGCATCCAGCCTCCAACCAAGGCGACAGCAGCCCCTACTACCTTCGCACCCATACCTTCCGCAACCACCTCAGCAGCAGCATTCGCCGACTGGCTCGCACTTGCCGACGAACTTCCAGTCGCGCCGGTCGATTGCGCCGCAGACCCGCTGGAAGACGAGCCGCCACTGCCACTGCTACTGGTCGCGCTCATAGTCGCAGCTGCCGAGGAGCCTGAACCCGATCCCGAACCAGTAGAGGCTATCATTCAACCATGTCAGCCACCCTCCGTCTCACCACAAGAGACAGCCACTTACCAGCACCACTCCCTCCCCCACCCCCACCACTGGCCCCCGTAGTCTGCACAAACGTAAACGCGCTACTCCCCAAACTCGTCTGCCAACACGCCAGATAACTCGCTCCTCCCCCTTCCTGACCCGCCGTCTGCAACACAATACCTGTATTACACTGCAACCCAGTGTTCTGATAGCAGTCCACACTGACGCTACCGGGCGCGTAGAGCGTGTTGTCGCTGCAGGTGGTGTAGAAGTTGCAGGCGCTGCCTGAAGCAGTCGGACAGCATTGGAAGTAGGAGCCCGAGGTGGATACTGTTTCTGAGTATTCGCAGGAGCGGGGGTTGGAGACTGTTTTTGGTGGTGTTGGGTCAGCGATTTAGTTTATATACTGTATGTCAGAGGAGAGTTTTCACGGTTGTGCTGTTGTGAAGGGAGGTAATGCAGGTACAGGTGTAGTTCATGTAGGGAAGAGCAGGGATCTTTTCTGTGGGGGATGGAGGGGAGCCTCTAACATTCGCCGTTCTGAGAGATGAATCCCACGAAGCCGGGGTCTGTGTCGCGGGGGAATAGCTGTGCTGCAGCGGTGATCATGGGCGCTTCGTTTAGCGCGTAGGCGTAGCCGCTGAGAGCGAGCGCGACTGCAGTCGTTGGTTTTCTCATGTTGGTGATTGATCTTGCTGTAATTCTTTGCCGCGCACAAGCACGAAAAGAGAACTGTGTGGGCACAGTTCGGATGTTATAGCAGAGCTCTAATATACCCGCCGAAGGTTTGCGCTTTCCCTCCTACTGGTCATTGCCTCCGCATTCGAGGCCGTGACGAAAGCAGGGAGGTTTAAAATTAAATTTTTGGTGAGCGAGTAAACTATCAGTGGGGATTGACGCGTTCTCTCGCCTGATGCGGGTCGAGGTTATAGTCTGTCACAAGTCGTCGTGTCGCTTCTGCAATATAAGAAGCGAAGCGATGCCATTCACCGTCTTTTTGCTTGCGCTTCTTCGATCCGATCCAGTCCACCGTCCCTTTGCTGTCTTCGCGGCTTCTTGCCCTTCTTAGATGGCTTTGAGATATCAGTCAGGTTTGAGGTAGCAAAAGCCTGGGTGTATAGGGCTACTGCGATGTTCATAGCAACGCCACCGTTTTTCACCGTTTTCGGATTTCCAGCTTTTGCTCTAGACGAAGCCGACTACGACTCCTCACTTCTTCAACTTCTTCTGTAACCGCTTCTCAGCCCTAACATCCTTCTTCAACCTCGCATCCACAATCTTGTACTTCCCTTTCGTCCCCTTGGGCCGCCCACTGATCCCCTTATTATTCCCCCTCGCCACAACCAACTTAACACTCTGCTTCGGCTTGCTCTTCTTCGCCGCCCGACTCATCATCCTTGCAATACTGCTCGCCTTATCCCTCTCACTCAACGCCTCATCCTCCGCCAACAACGCACTCTTCTTCCTCAACTTCTCCAGCCTCTGCGCCGCCTTGAATTTCTTCCTTCCCTGCGCTTCTCGCACCTTCTTGATAGGACGGGCGTTCAGCGCGCGAAGCTTTTCTTTGATGGCAACAGCGGCGGCTTTGGTGACAGGACGCTGAAGTTTGGAGTGGGAGGATTCGTCGTCGAGGAACCACTCGGGGAGGCCGTCGAGGTCGCGGAAGGAGTAGCGATTGAAGGAGTCGTCGACTATGTCGGAGGATTTTGTGGTGCCGGTGGCGAGGGATTGCGCCATGGTCATGGCTTCGGCGGTGATTATGTCGATGTCGAGTTGGCCGTTGGGTTTGAGTGGGTCTTCGGGGCGGGTTGAGGTGGTGTCTGTGGTGGGTTTGTTGTCGTCGTCACTCCAGTTGTCACTTTCGGTATTTGTTGGTTTCGGCTTCGGCTGCGCAGCGATCTGTTTTTGCTTGACAGCTTTCGAAGATTGTGGTTGCTGCTGCTGCTTCTTGTGAGTTTGCTTCTTCTCGTCACTGTCGTCATCAAGCTCGATAGCACTGTCATTATCGTCGTCAAGTTCGTCAACGCCAAGCCCTTGAAAGATATCTTGATCGAAGAACATTGCAGCCTTGCTGGACAGCCCATCACTCTTTGCTGGTTTCCGCAATTGTAGCATCTCTGCTTCTTCATCGTCAGAATCTGCTTCAGCATCTCCTTTTCCATCGTCAGACAATCCCTCCCAGTCGTCAGTGTTCTTCTCCTTTCTAGCCCGTTTGGCTCGTAGCTTCGCATCTTGCTCCTCCCGTCGTGTTTGGTAATCGGCATACATGTCGTCTAGCTGCTGCTCAAGCTCGTCCTCTGCTTCGTCAGACTCGGCGTCGCTGTCAGTATCCGGTCTTGAATCGTCGTCGGAATCATCATCGCTCTCCTCCATTTCCCTAGTCTCGATCTTTGCCGGCGCCTCTGCACGCTCTGCCGTCTTGAGGTTAAATACCGCACCCTCGCCGCCAGGTCCAACCTGCTCCAGACCAATGTCGAACGGCGCGGTCATGTGCATTTGCATGCGCACCACTTCTTTCTGTTTTCGCTCGTTCTCTCTTCGCCGCTCTTTCCGTTTGGACTTGTCCTTCTGATCTTTCAGTTGTTGCATCTCTTCCTGTATCTGGAGCTCTTCGTCCATGGACTCGACCTCTGCAACTTCCTCGCCTTCCTTGGCGGCGTCATCTTCCTCCTTCTGCTGCTTCTTCGCCTTGGCCGACATGCCGAACTGATCACGAATTTTCAAACGCCATTTGAGTAGCGTGCGGAACTCCTTCTTTCCAAGTACTTTCAGATCCTTGCAGCAAAGGCGGATTTCGGCAGTAGTCTCCGGCATCCTGTTGACTGCGGCAAGGGCAAGATCTCCGTTGCCCGACTGCTCGAAGCTGAGCTCGTTGGTTTCGCCGAGGATCTTGATGGGGTCGGTGGTCTGAATGAACTCGCTGACAGGTACAGATTTGTGCTGGATGTATTCGCCCTCCTCGTAACCTTCACGCCTTCGCTTCTTCTTCTCCGGATTGAAAACTTTGGCCTCGTTGTTTGGGTTGATCTGCTCGACTTCTGCGAAAACGTGCTTCGGGTCCAGAAACTTCGGATCCAGTCGTTTGGGTGCCTTGTAGCCTCGGCACACCACGAAGATTTCTGCTGACACATTTCTCGACGAAGGTGGCTTGGTCGCCTCAACGAACGTGAAAAGCTGTTTGAAAACCCATAATAGCGCATTGTAGTCCTTGGACCGAAAGACCTTTGTGACAAATGTGCCGCCCTCCTTCAAGAACTCGGTCGCCAACTTCATCGACTGCAACACCAGCTCAGCCTGCGAGAAAGCATCCTGCACCCACGCCACACCGACGTTCGGCGCACCGTCGTGCAGAACAGTGTCCGCTTTCAAATGCTTGACATGCTGCCGTATCGTGGCTCGGCACTTGTCGGTCGTGATATCACCCTGAAACATGATCGTTCGCGGTATCGGCTTGATCGGGGCCAGGTCGACGCCCACAATCAGACTGCCCGCAGGCATCGTCTCGGCGGCGACTTGCGACCATGATCCAGGAGCGGCACACAGATCGAGGCAGACTTGTGACTTCTCCAGAAAACCATACTTCTTGTTGAGCTGGATCAGCTTGAAGGCAGCGCGGGCTCGGTAGCCTTTCTCTTTGGCGAGTTTGTACCATTTGTCTGTGGCAGTGTCAGCGATAGTGACCTTGTGCGATGCTTAGTGACTTACCCAGACGGCCTTTGCCGTGCTTCTTCTGGATGGCCATGGCAATACGGTCGGCTCAGGGGATTGACTGGACACACAGAAGCACAATCGACCGATGTGTGCTGCTGTCGAGGGCAATCGAGAACGAACGAAGGCGGCGTCGAAATAATTTCTGCGGAGGCGGCTCGAGTTGGAGAACGAGAAATGAGAAATGGACGGAGATAGGACAACCTACTCCCGCAACTCGAAGTCGGCAGACCACCACCTACAGGTTGAACATCAAACCGTTAGTACTGTCTGGCTATCTTGCTCCGGACATGAGAACACGCACTGTCAGTATCTCCGCGCCTCAAGGCAGTACGAAGATGGTGCTAGGTCGTCGTTCTATGGAGACTTGGACCTGGCTGTGTACGCATCGATTCAAAAGTGTGATGATACTAGCATGTTCTTACAGGGCTGCCTTGCCGTCTGTTGGCTGCACGACCGCCTCCGCTTCACCAGCGCTTTCTTCAAAGATCTCTCCGTCGGCCTCCTCAAAATCGTACGCCGCGTCCTCAGCCTCCTCATCGAAGTCTTCATTCTCATCAAATTCCTCGTCCTCGTACACGAACTCCTCCGCAACGTTGGCGCCAACGTTGCTGAACTTGGCCGTTTTCGAGCGACCGAGAGTGGGCAAGCGTTTGTGGGTGGACAGGTCACTCGAATGATCCTGCAGCAGCCTGTTGAGAATCCTCTGCTCGATGACTAGCCTGCCCATGCTCAAGAGATCCTTCACATCAACATCTCTGGCAGTCTTTAGTGCTCCGTGGTCCGCGAGCTCCTCCATGGCGGGTCCTATGCTGTTTGTACCGGAAATGAACAGGCAACGGCCGTGCCTCTTTCCCCACTGATTCTGTTCCAGGAAGTTCTTGAGGAACCATGTACCCTGCTCCTTTTGCAAACCGATCTGGTCCCCAACAACCACGAGCTCACCGAGTCGGTAGCGATGGCTTAGTGCTATCCGCCACGCCTTGTCGTAAATCTTGCGCTGCAATTCTGTGGCGAAACTTCGTTCTTTGCGGGGTCCGTGGGCACGCGCTCCCCCTTCTCGAATTGGTGAGAATCTATCTCCAACACGAGCTCTGCCTGTGCCCTTCTGTTTGTGAAGCTTGCGCTTGCTACCAATCATCTCTGTCCGGTGAGGCATGTGGGCGGCTCCCGTTCGCTTGTTGTCGGCTTCGAAGATGACTGCTCGGTGTAGCAGGTCTCTTCTCAGTGGTACGCCCAGATGGTCTGACTCGTACCAAGCATAGCGCTGCGGTTCTAGGCTCGGCCAAGAGTGTATCGTAGTGAGCAACTGAGGCGGAGCGTAAAGACTGAGATCAACGTTAGGGTTGATATGTTTGCGCGGTGGCTTAAGGACTCTTGAGCCCGGAATGTTGATGGGTGTCGTTATCGTTGGCAGATCGGTCGGCGTTGCGAAGCCGCGCGTGAGTCGGGGTGCTAGACATTGCTGGCGTAATAAGTCAGCTTCACGAAAGGTGCCGTTGATGGGACGAACGCCTACTGTAACTGGTTCAGAAAGGTCTAACCGCTTGATGTTCCTGACCAGACTCGAGAGAGTGCAGCCGCTTCCATGCATCACCATGCGCGCTTCGCGTGAGCAGCACTTGGAGCTGCTGTTTGATCGAATGAGAATCCGACGCATGTAATGGCTCGTGTCGATGCAGGAAGGCTTAGATATAGGGTGGCCGAGTAGGACAAGTGCGAGCTCTGCTACGGATGCCTTCGCAGACCGTATACGCAGCGAGAAGTCATTCAACTCTGTCTTGATCGATCAGGTATAGACACTCTCGCTCAACATGCCCAAATTCCCCCGGACATCACCATTGACAACGGCTACTCTATTCGCAATGAGAGCGCCGCGGTTATGACCCTCCGAAAGCAGCATCTGCTGTCGCCCCAAGGACCGCACTACCAAGGATCTGCTGCCGGGCCGCTCCACAATTCTGTAACGCTTTTGCCTCTGCCATGGAAAGAATATGCAAGTCAACGCGCGCTTTCCGACCTCCCCTTAATGCACTGATCAATCAGCTGTAGGGCTTCCGAGTCCGCTCTCGCGTTCCGCTCGCCTTCTCGCCTTGGCTCAGTATCCTCCGCCCCCGTCACCTTGAGACAAGCCTTCGCGATGTCTCCCAAGGCACGCTATATCAGGTAACGATGATCTTGTGCTCGGGTGCTGATCCCAGCCCGTGGCTCGGGGACCAGTGGTGCTCCAAGCATGCATTGGGAGTACATAATGGTAGGTCGCCCAGTGTGGTCAGGTATCTTGCCATTGTTCATCATTCTCTTCCCTTCCACTCATTGAGGATTCGCTGGGTCGTTGACCATATACATTCATTTCCCAAAAAGCTTGCGCTTTGACAGCTGCAGCAACATCCGTTCATTCACCCAACAAGGATTACCAAATTTCACCAAAACCTCAGACAACCCTCCACAATGCATCCCACAACAGCGACCCTCCTCGCCCTAACCGCCCTCGCCACCCACACAGCCGCCCACGGCTACGTCCGCACCTGGACCCTCGACGGCGTCTCCTTCAACGGCTACAGCCGCTCCGACGGCAACCCCAAACCCGACGCAATCGGCTGGTCCTTCACCACCCCCGACGAAGGCCCCGAACTCGACCTCACATCCCCCAACTTCGCCTGCCGCTCTGGCGGCGCCCCAGCCTCCTCATCCGGTCAAGTCGCCGCCGGCGGCACCGCCACCTTCCTCTGGACCTCCGATGACAAATCCATCAACCCGGACGGCTGGTCCGCCGGCCACCGCGGACCAATCATGACGTACATCGCACCCTGCAACGGTCCCTGTTCATCCATCGCCGACGCTTCAACCCTAAAATGGACGAAGATCGCCGAACAAGGCGTCACGGGACCAGCCAACACCCAGGGAATCTGGGCGACGGACCAGATGCGCGCTAACGGCGGCGTCGCGGCCGCTACTATCCCTTCCAGCATCGCGCCGGGAGAGTATGTGCTGCGCAACGAGATCATTGCTCTGCATCGCGCGCATCTCAGTGAGCCGGAGTTTTACATGCAGTGTGGCAATATTGAGGTCACGGGGTCTGGCACGGATGATCTGAGCGGGCAGGGAGTTGTGGCGAGTCAACTGTATAGCACTTCGGACGAGCAGATCTTTGGTTTCTCCGTGTATGACAATCGCGGGGATGGGAGCGAGTGGATTGTCCCAGGGCCGGCGCTTTATGGTGGTGCTGCGGCGGCTGGAGCTGGGAACGGAACAGCTACACCTTCTACGCTGCCGACTGGTACTGCGCCTTCGACTGTTGCTGGGAGCCAGCCAGGGAGCACAATCGTGCCCTCAATTCTTCCAACCGCTTTTCCCAGCAATAACGGAGACCCTCCTGCAAGCGGCAATCCCTGGCAGAGCGGACGTCCCCGTGGCTCAGGGCGATACGGGCAGTACTAGAAGCACAAAGTCATGAGCTTGCCCACGCAGAGAAGAGGTTGAGCGCGGGCGGTACACAGCGCCACTTGGCACCATTCATCAACACATTTTGCATGTATAGAAAAGACGGTCTCCTCATGTACAATGTACAAAATAGTACACAGTTGAGAACTATGTACATCATGAACTGAGACCCAGAACTGATGAATGCCCGCAGAGTTTCCTCGCTGCTGCTTCGGTAGTTGTTGCGTCAGCGTGGGATCTGCCACTCACGCAGCGATGCATGACAACTGTGCTGGATCGCATCAAATCGTGTGGAAGGACGTATTTGCAATACCCATCCCCAAGAACGGTCGATCCTGGCATGGCCGTCTCAGCATAAGGCTCTTCTATCATTGCGACGAGTGCCACGTACAGCCTCAGATCCCGTGGCAGAAGAAAGTGTGCGCGAACAACGCCGCAGCCGAACAAACTCAAGAACGAACTGGTCTGGCAACTGGTCTGACAACTGGTCTTATCACTTTATATACATATTGGTCATCCAATCTCGCAAACGGCAGCTGGTCATCCCGCGTCTTGTAATGCCCTTCAGTAGTCATCCCATCGTTGCTTCCTCCTCCTTGCTTGTGTAAGTACCTGCCTTGCCCGCCCACTGACTTGACCCATTGCACTTTCCTCGGCAGTGAGACCAGTCGTGCTGGCTTGACAACCTGTTTGACTTTCATGTTCCCTAGCAGCAACTCAACACCAGGAAACGATCACAGCTTCGTCCGCGATACCCGACTAAAGTCGACTTGAGAAAGAATTACCGCCTGCAATTGCCTAGCACAATATTCCACGCACTCAACTCTCTCCAATTATCGCACCAGACCTTCCTCCTCCGTCCATAGTTACCAACAGGCCCGGGATGAAAAGAACAGTCAGCCATCCAAGGATTGATTCGCGCCAGGTCAGCTTTGGCGCTTTTCGTGTCTCCTGCTTCTCTTCATCCTTCTCAGCAGCCCTTTTGTGCCGCATGCGTGCATGTTCCAATGCCGAAAACGCTACGACCTCGACGAAGAAGACAAGCCCCTTTCCCAGCCTCTCAAGTCTCAACCACCACAACAACCATCCAAGGAATGCGAAGCACCACATGATCGCAAGGTCGCCAGAAATATCGTCGCCACGGTGTTCCACGTGGACCTCCTGCTTCTTCTCTTCCTGCTTCTTCTCTTCCTGCTTCTGCTCTTCCTGCTTCTGCTCTTCCTGCTTCTTCTCTTCCTGCTTCTTCTCTTCTTGCTTCTTCTCTTCCTGCTTCTTCTCTTCCTGCTCCTTCTCTTCCTTCTCCTTCTCTTCCTTCTCCTTCTCTTCCTTCTCCTTCTCTTCCTTCTCCTTCTCTTCCTTCTCCTTCTCTTCCTTCTCCTTCTCTTCCTTCTCCTTCTCTTCCTTCTCCTCCACCATCGCCTTCTTCCCCACAGCACCATCCATTCCTTGACCCAACGCTTCTCCTCCTTCATCGCCAGACGGTACTGCTTTTCCTGTACTCGACGCTCCGCCTCCATCACAGCCAGCTCAAACTCCAACAACTCCAGCTGACGCACCTTCTCCAGCGCTATCCACCTCTCCCTGGCTTCCAGACGGCGCCTCTCATGCTGCATTTGTGTCTCCACATCAAAGTGCACGTCGGGCGGTCCATAGCGTAGCGTGGTTTTCTTTCTATAGCGGATACGTAGGATTCTGCGTGACGGACATTTTGCTGTCTTCCATGATGTCGGATATATGAGCTGGTCCCGGCCAAACAAGACGAGGTGGCGTGTCATGGTGATGGGTGATCTTGAGCTGAGTGGGCGGTGTTTGTCTTCGGCAACTTTTGCAGCAGGGTCGACGCGGCTGATGCGGGCCATGTTGACGATGATGAAAATGTTGATGGTGATAGTGATAGCTCCGGAGCTCACGCATGTATTGATGGTTGACACGGAATGTGAAAACGTTAGATGATACGTGGTCGCCTGTTGGTTTGCCAAGGACGAGCTGACTTTCCACCCGCGTTGTCGGTGTCAGACATGTCCGGTAGAAGATGTTGAACAGCTGGAACTCTGGTCGAACAGAGTTGTGTCTCCCAGATCAGTCCTCTCGCCGCCGGTTCCAGCTCCAATGAGCCCAAGCTCCTTCCTCAAGGAACTCTTCCCATACGGTGACTGCTCGACTGCCCAATTCAGCGGGACCATGTCGCAGCTTCGCCGCCTCGAGCGCTTTGCGCGCATACATGGTCGCCTTCCCGCTGTCGCCAAGAGAGTTGTATGTCAGCGCGGCGTGGCCGTATGCGGTGTTGATGAAACCTTCTAGCTTCAGTGTCTGGTAGAGCTCGATGAGACGCTTCGCCTTCTGGGTATAGGCCCAGCTGTCAGTGTCCGATGTGTCTGACTCCCAGTCGCCAAGCTCCGCTTCGAGAAGCTTTGCCTCAGCAAGAAGGGCGTCATCCTCCTCAGCATTTGCGCATCGATGGCAGGAGCAAGTGAAGCCGAACGCTTGCAGTAATTCTGATTTGCGAAACCAGGCCGGGCTAATGGGGTCGACGTACGAGACGGTGACTTCTTCCCCTTCAGCGATCTCGCGAGTGGCGTGTAGAGTATGTGTCAGACCTATATTGTCGAGATAGTACATGGCGTTGGGTGCACAGTCGTGGTTGAAACGTGATGCTTCGGGAAAGACAGCGAGGTGTTGGACAGATGAGACGTCGATGGCGAAGGCGTTCGTTTTGATGATGTCTTGTGCGTGAACAGCAGGATTATTGTATGACTTCGCTAGGTTGTTGAACGCATCACGAGTAGCCGGTGGTAGTTTTGCTACGGCGGTCCGAAGATGGAACTCACGCTCGAATGCTCGAGGGCTTTCGATGTTGTGGACGAGTAGTACTGGTGATGAATGCAGAAGTCGAGTGCCGGCCGGGATTAGAGACGTCGCGACCACTCCCATGCCCTTGTTGGAAAGGGCTGTGACCTCGAGTGATGGATGCATGGTGATCTCGCTCAATGTTCCACTGGCGTTCCTTCTCCCGTCCCTTTCCCTTGCAATCGCAGAGATGCGCTTCTCGAATTCGCGGGCTATGGACGGCGTTGTGAAAGCAGAGATGCCGCGACCTTTCTCGAAGGCGGGATGAATGTACACACATAGCTTATCATCGATATGGTCTAGATGTCCAGTACACGAGGGGTCGTCGTTCGAGTAGTCAGCGGGCTTTTCGTAAGGGAGACCGAACTTCGTCCCTGTATCGTGCCCATGCCGGTCAGACTGATTTTCGGAGTGGTCTTGAACACCTCCAATGCTACTCCCGTCATCGTCTCGAAGATTCGTAGCACAAATTGGCCATGTCGGCCTGCTGTTGCTGATGACTGTACATATTCCAGGAACTGATCTCAGCTGCTGCACTTTGCTGGCTGACACACTGCATGAGCTGACCGCAACAGCGATAACGAAGCGCAATACTTTCATGCTGCTAAAGTCGTGTCACTGCCACGAGCTGTGCAGCCAGCAAGAGCATCAGGAAACTCTTCGAAGATGTCTCGCGACATCTCTTCCTGAAACGATGACGGTTTCAGCCTCGGCAAGGGCGATACAGCTTGTGCCTGAGCACAAGGACTTCGCCTTACGATGTCAGCCATCTCACACTCTGTTCAACAGTCGCGTGCAGTGGGTAGCTCCAGATTCGAATGTTGCAATGCATAAATAAGTGGCGCCATCCACTTAGACAGAAACATCGACAAGGCAACTAGGATCGCGCCAAGACTTTTGGAGGGCAAGCAGGAGGCAGAATACTATTGGTGTTGTTACTCTTTCCAGGTCTACATATTTCGCGCCTGTCATACAGACAGTCATGATTCTCGTTCCTCCATCGAGTCGACATACAGCACTCCAGAGTCCTACTCGATGTGCTCAGTGGGCGGCAATGCTGATTGCCTCCCCTGTTCTCCACGACGCGCATAGAAAGTCTAGTTTCACTCCAAACCACCTTCAGACCTCAGGCGGAAGTAGTCGAAACCTCCTGCCCATTGCTCAGGTTGCCATCACCTTCGTCCCCGCCCACCAAGATATACTGTAGGATATCACTGAGACTCAGCACACCGACCAAATACCCCTGCTCATCCACAATACTTAAGCGATGTACCCTCGACTTGCGTATCGTGTCCAGGATAGTATCCAGTCCGTCCTCGTCGCTGCACGTGTAGATGCCTGGATGGGAAGCTGCTCGCGCGGAAAGGGCTTTGCCGACCGTCCAGGTGAGGTTGCCGTAATCGCCTGATTTCAGCACGTCGATAACGTCTACTGCTTCGAAAACGTTGATGAGCACGCCTGAAACCAAAAAGTGTTAGTGTCTAAGCTCATAGGGAGATCGCAAGAAGGCATGAGGCTGCGTGACGTACCATCATAAGTCACGACCGGCACACTCGAAATATTTCGTGTGACCATTTCATCAATGACATCCAATACCGTGCTATCCAGACTGCATCGCACAATGTTGTCGTACGTGCCAATCTTCAGCGTCCGAAGCGGCTTGCGTAGTAGATGATAGTCGCGGACGTTCATGGCGATGAACTTCAGAATGCGGTACTGTGTGATCACGGAGGTGACCATGGTGCGCTGGGTGTCGGAGTCGTAGCTGACCAGGGGTATACGACGGGCACGAGAGACGAGTTGTTTGCGCAGTGCGTCGTAGAGGATGGCCTCGGGGGTCACGCTGATTGTTTCGGGTGGGCGGGTGCCGAGGACGCGCTCGACCTCTGTGGAATGGGTTAGTGATGGGCTTGTCTGGGGAAGACGCACAGTGTCATCAGGTCATTGAATCGACATACCTCTAAGGTCGCTCAGCAGCAGATTGTCCACATCCTTCAACTTATCTACGTTCAGATTGTAGTACTGAACCACATTGAGGTAGTCGTTGACGGTCAGCAGCCCGGCATAAGTCGAAGTTGAAGAGTCCCACAGTGGTGCAGAAACAATGCCTGGTCTCCAAATCAGCACAATTCCATTGCCAATGCCTTGTTCCATTGTCTCCACCAGGAACAGTCACACTTACCGCACTGCACCAAAATTTGCAGGCTCTCCTTGACCGTCAGACTGACGTCCAGCTCAATCAGCCGGAAACTTAGCGGCAGCACATCATATGCCGTCCTCGCACGCAGAAAATCCCGTATCTTCTTCAAGCCTAGCTCCTCATCGCGATCGATCTGCCGCTTGATCTTGGGTGGTGCCTCGTCTCGCTTGTCCGCGGCCTTGGCCGGCGTGACGGGCCGACTCGATGCTCTGGGTCTACCGCTGGGTATTGGTTGTAGAAAAGTAGCGGGACTAACGAAGCTGGCTTCGTGGCCTGGGGCTATGTTGGTGGTTGTGCTTGCGGTTTTCGACGTTGAGTGTGGGACTGGTGGTGAGCCGTTAAGAGCAGCTGTGGTGGCATCGTTGGACCGGGACATGCTGCCGGGCTGAGAGTTGGGTTGTGAAGGCGGACTGGTCTGCGGTTGCCGATCCTCCATATTGTCCTCCTTCGATCGCAACTCCAGAATTTTGTGTCTAGTACTCTTCTATCGCATACCGGCGGAAGTGTCGGCGTCGTCCTATCGCGGCGTTGCCGCCCCTCTGCAGGCTATGATCCGCGTTGGATTGCCGCAGGCGAGTGGGTGGCAGTGGCCGGGAATAATAATCTTCCGTCTCGTGAAGCGATGGTCGCTGGGGATGAATTGGATTGCAGAAATAGATTGGGAATACAGATATCGGCGATGACGAACTCGGGGTCCCTCGCGCTTAGATCGGGCCTTGCAGTAGTGATATGCGGAGATGATGGCGAAGAGGCAAAGAGTTGAGGTTCAAGGCGTGGGGAAAGCGAAAGTGAAGCGTGGGCGCGGGGTGGCCCGCACGGCGGAAATGCTTGACATGTGAAAATCTTCCGGCCATATAAATCGTTTCCTCCATTTGGAGCAATACGGGAACGTCGTGCAACCTTTCAGAACGCCAACGCCAATGAGGGCTATCTATACTCTATACCTCCGCCTGCCTGACTCCTGGAGGGCACACATGTCAGGACGATAATGTCTATGCCGCTGTCGCTGCACTCTTCTTCTCAATATCCGCCAAAGATTCTTCCTGCCCACCCTTCAAGTAGTTCTCATACTCGCCCACCCGCTTCCCCGCCTTCTCCCACCTCGCCTTCCGCTCCGCCCTCTTCTGCTCCGCCAGCTTGTTCAGCGCCGGCCAGTACTGCGCGTGATCATACTCAAACTCCACCAAACCACCACACTCCTTCAGCAGCTGCTCAGGCGGCACATGCACCTTCGAGTCCTCGTTGAACTTGATCTTCTCCTTAGTCAACGGATCGATAAACGGCGTGATCAGCTTGAAGAATCCCCAGATCATCCACGGCACATTCGTGATCAATGCCCTTCCCAGCCTCTCAGGATAATGGTTCTGCAAGATCCACAAGGTCTGCCGCCCCTGAGCCAGCGTCGCGCCTTGCCCAGCCTTGGTCTCGGCAAAGTTGATCTGTAATGTCAACGTCTCCTGTCCGGCGGGCATGAGGTCGATGCTGCGCTCCAGCATGAACACCAAGTGCTCGATCTGACGTGGTCCACGCTCTGTGTTCTGCTTGCTCGGCCGCATGATCTGACACGGTCTGCCTTCATTGTCCCAACCAACGATCAGCTGCTTGCCGGTCTCGTTCTCGATGCTCATGTACTCGGGTGTGAGCTTCGTGTCGACGCCGAATTCGCGGCGCCAGGAAAGCGTGTTGCGTAATCGTGTCTCGGCGGCGGAGAGGTTCCATTTGTCTGCGCGGAGGTAGCGGAGCAGACAGTCTCGTGTCATGTACATGCGTTCATGTTCTTCTATGGGAGATTTTGATGCGCCGGCTTCCAGTGAATTAGGTACCTCTGTCCATGCCTCGACCGTAGCCAAGAACTTGTTGTACTTCTCTTGCTGATCAGTGGTCAACTCGGGTCGCACTTTGGGCTTGCTGGACTCGAGAGGTGCTCGCAGCGGTGTCTTGACGGGACCATCCTTTGACGACAGTGGCAAGGTCGTGTCGAAAGCCGGTTCCGTCTTCTCTGCAGTGCCATTTGTTACCGCCGCACCATTAGTTACTGTACCGGCCACAGCACCATCCGCGTTCCCAGAGACCTCGGTCTTCTCTACCACAGGGTCAGGCACAAAACTTGTATTCTGCAGCTTTGAATTACTCATGGCCTGCTCGAGCTCATGCATCGTCTTCTCCGGGTCGCCAGTCGCGGATGCGCTCACCGATGGTGCAAGCGGTTGTTCGGTAGCCATATTTGCAGCATGTGTGCAGAGCGTACTGCGACTCGCGATCAGGAGCCCTTCCTATATATGATGAGACGCTAGGCAGGGGTCTATTCTATCTTAGCTCTTTGGCATCATGTTGCGAGAGCAAGTTCGTTCACCCATCAGGAGAGTTGTTGAGGTGAGACGGGGGGCGGGAACTTTTTTGGCCGGCTCGCGTGGTCTTTCTCCAAATTTCGAGATGACTTCACCGCCGTTATCAGCCGATAGTAATGACTACGCCTTTCCATCATCACCATACATCGAGGCACCTAAGCAACGAGCTCCTGGCAACACGCTGGACGCATATGAACCGCAGGATTCCATCATTCGAATTGTCATCATTTGGTTGCATGACCTTAGAGCTCGAATTGACTCACGTAGATGGATGTGACGCGTATCGCGCGTCTTCTTCCGACAATCGGCGCAACTCATATCCCTCGCGATGTCGCGACACTGCCTATCCACCAGGATACAATCCAGCCTGCTCTGCATAAAGTATGAGCATATCACTGATGACTAGTCGTGTCCAGGCTACGACGGCAAAATATCAAATCGAGGTAAGCGATGTGTATTCACACATCTATATACACGGCGAGGTGCGGCTGAGGCTGAGCTGTCTCCCTGAACATGTCACCTCAGGTCCAACGACTTCACCACGAATCTCCTCTCCATCTTCTGTCTCTTAAACAATCTCCACGGCCAGTCTGACCAATTCTCTTCACTATTTCACCCACCAACAATTTCCAACCTCCTCTCAAACCCCCTTCCAACTTTGCCACAGCACCCCTCATAACCGTATACGCAACATCAACCCCCCAAACACATCCTCAGACCAGCACGCCAAAGCGAGCTCACATGCCTCTTCACCAACTCTACTTCCTCTCTCGCCGCCGCATCCTCGGACTATGCCTGCGATCCGCCTTCCGCGCCGTCTTCGCTACTACTAGGGAGTGACAAGCCACCGCTCTCAGGCCGCCATTCGCCCGCGTCCTTGCCATGGACGTCTACGTTGCATCCCAAGGAGAAGGGGCGACGCACCGATGCTCATTCCTGCGACGATGATGTTTTCCACAGACCGGCATTGAGCCTGATTGGGCGGTGACTTTGCGGTCGAGCGTGGATGGTGCGGCTCGACGGAGGCGTAGTGTTTTCCGGACTACGGCGTCGAGCTAGGGTCGCGCGAAGAGTTGATCCGTTGAGGGTGAGAGGCTGTTGGCAGCCAAGAGGCCGCGAGGTGATGAGCTACCACTCAAATGGTTTTGGCAGGATGCATTGGTGGGCTTGGAGAGGCTGGAATCTCTGTCGACAGATCTGCGATCCGGTGCTGTATCATCCGGCTTCCTGACGATCCGCCGCGTCACGCGGTCTCGTGAGCGAGTTGTTTGTCGGCCGGTCTCGGGTCAGTCAATCTTGTCATCCGGTGTCTTGCTCCCCCTTTCCTGTCAACCGGTCGGAGAAAGCCCCATCTTGCAGCCATGTATCAGCATACTATTTGATCACACGACGACAGGAACCGTCGCCGGCTTGGAAACGAGATGCACTACCTCTGGAAACACAAACACCTAGACATGAGCTGACGGTCACTCCGTAGGTCTGCGGGGTTATTCTAGGAAATGCAAGCAAACATGCTAAGTCAAGAATAAAATTGCTTGAATGGGCGCCTCACTGTATATGCTGCTCTAGTAAAGCTTACTCGTCCTGACGATGTGATGCCTCCCACGGGCAAGACGCCAACGCATGCTCCTACGTGCTAAGCATATATATTGTGTGTATCGCACATGCGCCATCATCACACCCCCTCTCCCAACCGCACCACTAACTTCCGTTCGCCCCACCACAATATCAACTTATTTCCCAATATTCTTCTCCGGATTCTTCTCAAACGCAACCACATACTTCCGCCATTCCTTGGCCGCCTTGTGAATCACCAGCCGCAAATCATCTTTTACCTCCTGGAGTTCCCACGCTTCGTCTTCCCAGTTTTGTTTCTCTGAGCCGGTTTGGTGGGGCGCCCAGCCTATAGCTTCGAGGCAGTCGCTGTTGTGTGTGGTCAGTACAGTGTTATAAGGGGGATGAGTTCTAAACATACCTCTCCGAAGGCGGCGTCCTGTATTCTGGGAAGAGTTTCGGCTCGACCTTGTGGCATTCAGCCTGGAGGTAGCGCGAGAGAACGTCGATGCGGGTCGCGGGGCGGAACTCGAGTTTCAACTTGTCTTCTTTTTGTAGCTCTGCTTCGGGTTTCTCGGGGTCGATCGCTTGGCTTTCTCCCGGAGGAGGAACACCTCCGCTTGCGACAGCTGAGCTCGAGGGTGCAGAAGAGGTAGACGAAGACAACCGCTTGCCAACACTTCTTGCAGTCTTCGCGCCTTTGATGTTGAAGTACGCCCACGCGGCATTGACCTCGAAGATGCCACTAACAGCAATCAAGACAATATCCACCGCGAGCGAGACGGGAAGGAGACCCGTTGCGATGACGCTGTCCCGCATGGCTTTGGACTTGGTGCGCATGACTGTGTTGACAAACTCCTCTCGCATCTGCTCCGGCGTGAGATTCATGGCGGGTGAGTACACGAAAATCATGGTGTCGAGGCTAACGGTCTTATTTGTCACGTGTCCTTGGATTGTGGGGTCTTCGGCGGAGGTGTCGTTGCCCAGGGGGTCTTTGTGGTCGAATGGAGGAGATGGCGAGCGAGATGGGGTTGGAGATGTTTTGCTAGCGCTGGGTTGTTGGATGCGGCTGAGGAAGTCGATGTTGGAATTGGTGGTGTAGCCCATGGCTTTGTTCGCACCGCGGATCATTTTGCCTTTGAAGCCGGGCCAGCTGGTGACCTTGGCTTCGGACGACTTGGCTTTGCGGACTTCAGCCTGCCACTTTCGTTGGACTTTGTGAACTCGATCTTCCTTCTGGCCTCGGGTGGGGTCTGGAGAGGTGGTGGGGGAGGTGTGTAGATCAGAAAGCGCTTGGGGATGGCCTCGGACGGAGCATTCTTGAGCTGTGGTGTTGGGAATGGCACAAGGTAGGCGATCAGCTTGTGCGGATCACGGGTATAGTGAATCGGATCGGAAGGGTTGTCCGTGCCAAAGTCTGTAGCTGTGCGGCGCGGCGGAGGCTGGAATCGATCTGTGGAAGGCGTCCGTGAAAATGCTGGAGGCTCGTTGAGGCCAGAGCCGAGCTGCTGGCCAGGTCGGATTGGTAGAGCGGGCGTCGCGTTATCTTCCTCGTCTTGAAGTCGCCGAGCTAGTTCGAAGTCCTGCTCCTCTGAGCTGAGGACGCGGGAGGACGAAGCGGTGTTTAGGCCGGGCTGAGGGGCTGAAGGTCGTGGTCGCGTAGGTAGTGGTGGCGCCCGATTCTCTTCCTCTTCCTGAAGCTGCAAAGCATATGCATAGTCTTGGTCACTGTCCAAGTGAACTGAAGGATGGACGGTGGACTGAGAGTGGCCTACCGCATCTGTCTGAGGCACAGGCCGAGGTCCTGGTAGCGGCGGAGGCTCATCGGTCCTTGACTCTCGATACTGATCGTAAGTTGGTGGCTCTGAAGGTGCGTTGTGAGCTAAGGAGTCTGATATGGGGACTGCTTCATGCGTAGCTGGCTGGCTGTAATGGTTGGAATCTGCTTGGGGAGGCACCTGGTCATGAAACTCATCTCCGGTCCCAGTAGGCACATAGGTTGCTCCAGTAGCAGTTGTCGGCGGTATAGATGGCGATGCTGTCGGGCTACTCCTCTCGAATCTCGCGGGCGACTTTGGTGGGATAGGTGGGATGACATCCTCCGGATGCTGGTTGGAGGGAGATGCCCAGACGTTCGAATGCTGGTCTGCGGGTAGCCCATCTCCGTACATGTCTTCCTCTACCACGTGCGGTAGAGCACCGCTCATCGGTTCGGTACGCATTGCTTGCGAGGCAGTTGACCGAACTGAATCCGACCGGATTGTAGAAGGCGTCGCTGGTATCAAGTTGACGGCCGGGACATGACTGCGTGGGGGCTCATGAGAAGGCACGTCGTTCTGATCAGCGTAGTAACGTCCTGAGTCTGCTGTCGACGCTTGATTGGACTTGTCCTGAGCAGCACCTTCCTCAGGTAGGAAGAGTTCTTGGTTGGCAATAGATCTATCCATTGTCAAAGCGCTGGAATCTGTGTTTCGATCGTGTGTCCTGGGCACTATTCAATCCTGAGGGTCTTGCACGCTTTTGAAGCACAGTATAAAGAGTGCCTAGGCTTGTCGTCTAATTCCAGACAGGCATCAACAAATAATCAAGGCTTGTACGCGTATGGACACGCAACTGAGGCTCACGTACAAATTGGGATGACGTTGGTGCTCTTGCATGAAATGTGGCTGAGCATCGTGCCTGCGCCACCTCGCTAAGTTACCTAGGTATCTAGATCGACCCCACCACCTTGAGTTTACCGAATTCCAAGATTCCGCTACCTCAATCGTCAGTGACCGTTCATCGCATCTGTCTTGGATCCAATTCCCGTCGGATCATCCCCTCGAGTCCATGTAATGGTCAAGTGCACTTTCCCAATCTTCCACCCCGCCTCACCCCTTACAAGCGTCCAGTGGTAAAAGCCGCCCTCATCGAAGAGATCGTCCAGCTTGTTCTTGTCCTTCAGCCATTGAGCGATACAATTTGTGCGCACAAACGCTGCCTGTCGGTCATCGCTGAAGGTGATATCAAAGTTGCTGCTCAATAAAGTGCAGACCTCGAAGTACTTGACGCCGCCGAATGCCCAGTCACCTTTCCCCTCACGACCGATATGTTGTCCATAAGGATAGATGGCGATACCGTCCTCAGCAAAAAGGTTTTCCCACTCTTTGCGCTTCTTCATATCATACATTGCCTCATCGTGGATGGCGGTGTAGTGATTGAGCAGCCATTGAACTGCTTGGATGTCCTTTACCTGTGCGAGCTCTCGCTGCAACTCGAGCACGATGGCTTGTGTGTCTTGGATCTGCCTGCGAAGATCTTCTACTTGGCTCATGGTGGTCGTGCTTTGTTCAGGGACACAGGATTCTAAAATGATCTTATTGATATGTTTGTGATGCCCCGTGTAGCCACTGGATGACTTCGCGTACATATATTACGGCCTGCGAGTGGGGCGCGAGACTCTGCCAATGGGAGGGTTGGGAACGATGTGCACAACCAATTGGAACGTAGGGGAAGTTAAACTCACATTTCACTTCCCCAGATTTGTTGTTCCTTTCCCCAGAGTCACCGGGTATCAACAAGCAAGCGGTCGACTATGGACAGCGTATCTCAGACTGTTGTAGTGAAGAAGCTCGAAGGCCACCCGATCACAATAATTACAATCAACAGACCTGATGCGCGCAATGCCGTTGATCGCAAGACAGCACAGTGTCTGTATGATGCATTCATTGCCTTCGAGAACGATGCAAACCAGAAGATCTGTGTTTTTGCTGGGGCCGGAGGCACATTCTGTGCAGGAGCTGACTTGAAGGCTTTTGCACGCGAAGCAGAAAATGAGCCATGGAACGAGCTGCCTGCCGTGCAAGGCCGCAATCTTGCACCGATGGGACCTTTAAGGCTGCAAGTCAAGAAGCCTGTCATCGCAGCTGTCTCAGGCTACGCGGTGGCAGGAGGTCTCGAGCTCAGCTTGCTCGCAGACCTTCGGGTCGTGGAACGTGATGCTGTGTTCGGCGTCTTCTGCAGAAGGTGGGGTGTGCCACTGATTGACGGCGGGACAGTTCGTCTGCAAGCTGTCGTGGGATACGGACGAGCCATGGACATGATCTTGACTGGACGACCAGTCAATGCTGACGAAGCACTGGCAATGGGCCTGGCAAACCGGGTTGTGGAGAAGGGCACGGCGACCGAAGCCGCAATCGCGTTGGCTCGCGACCTGTTGAAGTTTCCTTACGCCTGCATGCTCGCTGACAGGGCTAGTGTCGCATACAGCGCGTTCTCAGCCTCATCTTTTGAGGACGCGATGGCCAACGAATTCAATGGCGGGGCACCTGTGCTTAGGGAAGCAAGTAAGGGAGCAGCGCGGTTCTCTGCCGGTGCAGGGCGGCACGGGGACTATGGCAAATTGTAATTTGGGCCTGCGAATTGACGTACGATAGATTGGCAGTCCAGCGTTACGTGAGATTGTAGCTCCGCGCGAATGTTGTGTAGAATTTGGTCACTGTTGAAAGAGAATTGTAGATTCCGAATTATGAATGAGAAGACATAAATGCTCTCGGCGAGTCAGGCATTTTGGCTATCAGTTGGTCTTTGTTCGATCGAGCGAGTCATGAAATTCCCGAACCCCCAGCTCGCCCAGCCACCCATCACCTCATTTCACTGAGAGCTGGGGTAGCGACCAGGGGTTCAACTTGCCGTTCATGCCTTTGCTTCATCACTTTCATCAGCACCAGTTCACCTGATACTCGCTACAGGCGTAGGCTCTTCCGTCGCGTCAAAGTAGCCATTTGAGTTCTCTCTACGCGCAACCACCCGACACGTGCATCTTGTAGCATAATCTGTCCTGATCACTGCCGGCGCGCGTCTGATCGAGTATTCGAATATCACCACTGACCGGCGTCCCACGAGTCTCAATATCCCTGCATCTCCACCAGCCTTCAGGATGAGTCGGTCTTTGCCTCAACGCAAGAATCCTCTGATCGCGCCCGAAAATGCTCCTTCATGTAAGTGCACGAACATGAACTCGATGCGATACAGTACTGACAGACGCGACCATAGACAGTGACCTCGTGTCGCGCCGACGGCTGGGCAAGACGAAACTCGCGGTCAAGCCTCAGCAAGTCGGCACATCCAACGCGACGCAGCCGCAGAATCTCGGTCCGTTTGGTGAGTGACTGTCGTCGCGATTCACTCGAAGCACCCATCTGACCCGACCTCCTGCAGAATATGCGCACCTTCGCGCCCCGCTGCCCTCTGATCTGAAGGGATCGGAGATATTCGCCGTCCAAGGCACGCAGCCGCACCCCGAGACCTACTTTCTTATGCGCCGCAGCTCTGATGGCTTCTGCTCCGCGACCGGCATGTTCAAGATCGCCTTCCCCTGGGCGACGCATGCTGAAGAGAAGCAAGAGCGCGAGTACCTCAAGACAATCGATGTCACTAGTTCTGACGAAGTCGCTGGCAACATCTGGGTCAAGGAGCAAGCAGCGCTAGATCTGGCCGAGGAGTATGGCCTCACAGAATGGCTCAAGGCGCTCCTTGATCCAGCAGAGATTACACAGACCCCGACCTCGGCAAAGAAGCAGCCTATCGCCGCGCCACCAAAATTTGAAGTGAATGCCAGTGCGCTCGACAGCAACCCGAAGCTCGCGCCAAAGGGCCGAGGACGTGGTGGTGGCAGCACCCGTTTGCGCTCCGCTTCTCCGTCTAAAATCGCCAGTCCTGTGAAGCCACAGGCCTCCCCACGGAAGCGTCAGACGAAAGCGCAGAAGGAAGCCGCTATCGCCAATGCCAACGCTGCCAGTGCTTCTTTACAGAACGCTCTCGATGATGCGGTTTCCAATGCAGGTGCTGGCGACGGATCGGTTGTTGATTCCCAGCAAGAGTCGACACCGGCGACATCTCCTGCCCCTACCAGTACATCCGGCGGTGGGAACGTCAAAGTCGACATCGAACAAGAAGTTGAGCACCGTGGCAAGAACATAGAGGTTACGAAAACGAACGTTACGGTCGAGATGCCTGCAGAAGCGCTCAATCCGGCCGCTCCTACAGATACCGAGGGCGCGCTCGATGCAGCTAAAGAGATCGTTGAGAAGGTCGTGCAGCTTGAAGCGTCGAGTTCTCTGAAGGTCAACAACAAGAAGAGGAAGTTTGACGACGTAGACGCAAGCGATTTAGATAAAGAGCTACCGCAGCAGGCCGCAAAGAGGGCACGAGTGCTTGAGGAGGGACTCAAGAGGGAGAAGGTCCGGAACCGAGCATTGGTCGGGGTCGCGGCGACGCTGAGTATCGCGTGAGTATTGGTCCATTGTCTGTGGAGTCAAAGTGTCGTGCTGACGAATCTTGTGCTCTAGTGCGGCGATACCGTATGCTTTCCAGTTCATTTTCACGGCTTGAAGAGGAGCAGCCACGCTCGATCTGTTGACATTGTGGATGATCGTCACTGTGCGAGGACCGTTGAGTCGGACAGTGCGCCAATCCGTGCGCTTTCTTATCCACGGCCTCTGAGTGCCGTGCCCCTTAGCAAGTCGCAAAGACTCAAGTGCAGGGCCGCCGTGGTTGCCGCCGGGAAATATGCCCTTGCATACCCTGCACTGACGGACATGGAAGATCTGGCGTCGGCCGTGGCGCAGAGTTCGCTAAGATGCGATATGGAGTCGATCATTAGTGTTCACAACCTCCAGATTCATATACCCCTTGTTCCAGGATTTTGTCATCTTCTAGCAGAGCGAGAGGAGAGAAGCGAAGACAGGTCCAGAGCTGTCAACACCGCTTGCCAGAGGCAAAGCTAGAACTGTCCGCTCGGCAGACCTTTTGAAAGGAAGAGCTGTACTTTCAGATAATCATGTCACTACAGAAGAGAATGTATTGATCATTTTTCAAATGTTGAACCGGCATTAGATGCCACAATCATGTCTATGTTCTCGACCTGTCGCAGCCCCATGTGCTCCGAATAGGTGCGAAACTTGAGCCACGTGGTAGTGGTTCAGAGCAACTTGCACCAATGTATCGATGAGATACGAATATATCTCTATACAGAACCGTTCGTATCTCCATTGAGACCGGCTGACGTTCTTTGGTTTGGGCTCACATGAGACCGGATGACAGGGATCTGTTCTCCGAAGTTTGCCCGCTCGACGTCAAACCACGGAAAGCGCGATCGCCGAGAGACCTGGATCACTTGACGTCCTCCTTCCTCTACTCCGTCCACCATATTGCCTCCACGAGAGTCGCACCTGCGTGTGTAAACCAACGACCATGACGACAATTCACACCCTCTCGTCCCTCTCATCACAGGCCTACGCCGCGCCTTCGCCGCCCCGCTCCCAACCGCCCTCACCCATCGTCTCGCGCAAACCACTCCCGGCGGCACCTTCGCCATCATCACAACACCTGCACCGCGGAGACTCAATAAGAACCTCCTGCCCCTCATGCGGCTACGATGTCACCACCACGATCCAAGCTCCAGCCTCAGAGGAGGCGCAGCGCATGATCTCAGACCTGCAGGCGCAAGTCAAACTTCTCAACTCGAAAGCCGCCGCCGCGGTCGATAGGCTGGCAGACTATGAGGACCAACTGGGCGCGCTGCGGGCAGAGCAGTCGCAGCAGCAGCAGCACGGGCAAGCCAATGGACGGAACAGTGGAGACCAGCAGATGCTGCCACCGCCGCCACCTTCAGCGTCGCAGCAGCAGCAACAACCCCAAACACAAGGCCGCCTCTCCTCACTTCGCGCTCTCATCGGTGGCGGCAATAACAACAACAGCAGCAGCAACAGCAATACCCGCAGAAACCCCTCCGCCGGCAGCATAGACACCACCTCCCTCGCCGCCCCATGGCAACACCTCCGACCGCCACTCCACCAAACAAACTCCGCCCCTGCCCCTCTTCCCCAATCTGCTTCGACAGAACCGACTCTGCACTCACTTCAAGCCACTCTTACCACAGAGCGTACCCTGCGCGAGCGCGCCGAGTCGACTCTAAACCAGACCCAACTGGAGCTGGAAGAGCTCACGGCGACGCTCTTTGGGCAGGCGAATGAGATGGTGGCTGAGGAGCGGCGGGCGAGGAGCAAATTGGAGGAGAGGGTGAGAGTCTTGGAGAGGAGGGAACGGGAGAGGGGGGAGAGGTTGAAGAGGTTGGAGGGACGAATTGAGAGGGTTGAGCGGGTCAGGGGTCTTGTTGGTTGAGGTCTTTGATGTGGACGTTCGAGGAGATCTCTCAGGTCGGACGGGAGGGCCGCTGCTGGACCTGCATCCGCTTGTGTGGTGCTTTATTTGTGGCTGGACGGATCAATTGGGGAAAGCTACGGACTGTTCAGCTAAAACATAATGACGGGATATGACCATGACCTCGAATATGAACGACTTGAAGGCCGAGGATGTGTCCATGCACTGACTACTACCATCACGATGAAGCAGACTGCCTGGAAATGCGATCCATGAATAGAGCGAGAGCAAAATAGGGCCGGTGAGTCCTTGGACTAATTAGCTGAGCAACAGGAGCGGTCAGAATGGTAATGCTGCTGCGAGATCTACTGAGGCGACGATACAGCAGGTTCTTAGTCCCTACGAATCGCTGGAACGACGTCTTTCAACAATAACAAGAGGAAAAAAGTAAAAACAACCAAACCCTCAACGTCAAACTCGATCAGAGGACCATACTCCGCGCCTAATGAAAGTGCACTCCAGGGTCAGTGAAGGGTTTCTGCGTTCTCGTCTCTTGTTCGATTTTGTGGGCTGATTGTCGAGCGAAAATCTGAGGCAGCAATATATAAAGGCTGTTGGTTGGCAAGTGAACTGCTGCCACGAATTCTGGTGCTGGCGGGGTGAGTGGCAAACGAAATTCTGTTACAGAAGGGGGCCCAAGTGAGCTTCCAAATCACTCTCATAAGGAGGCAAGATTGTACTTGACGTTGCATTGTGCGTTTGCGCGGTCCTTGGTCCGATCAAAAGCGATCAATACCGACCAGGTTCTATCATGTGTCTCTGATGTGTGCCTTCCCCTTTTCTCTACCTTTCCCTTAACCCTTTCCTCGCACTTGCCGATTGAGTCGGATGAGGTCAATACATACGTTGTGTAAGCCAGTACTCGCGTGACGATCAGCGATAGTAGTCGCCGCTCGCACCACCTCCGCCGTATTGCCCGCCGTACTGCTGCTGTTGTTGATAGCTTGGACCACCTGCACCATACTGCTGCTGTTGGCCATAACCGCTCGACGACTGCTCATACCCCTGACTCTGGCTCTGCTGTCCGTAGCCACTGGCATAGTACCCTTCATTCCCACCAGTATACGGCGGCGCCATCTGCGAACTCCCACCATCATAGTCCAGCCCGCTTGCCGTATAGCTCTCATACCCGCTCGGCGGCGCCAGCGGCCCAGGACTAGGACTGCGCTCTCGCGCTGGTAGCTGTGACTCCTGTCCAATACCACCATACCCACCGCTAAGCACCTCGCTCCGCGCTGGGTCGTCTTCGGAGAGGCCCCGGGCGCCGGGCTCGTCGTCGAGGCCGCGTCTGCCGCCGCCGCCTAGGAATGATCCGAGACCGCCACCACCGGATGAGTGTCCACCGCCAAGGCCGAACTTGTTGAGTGTGGACGTCATGTTGTGCACGCCTGGAATGGGGAGTTTCTCTGCCATGTGCAGCATGTCGTTCAGTCCGCCGCCGCCGCCGCTGGGCTTGTGGTGCTGTTGTTGTCCGTGACCGCCGTTGCCGGAGATGGTGTTGTAGAGGTTGCCGACCATGCCGAAGGGTGACGATGAGCCGCCTTGCTGTCCATAGTTGTTGTGGCTACCGCCCGATCCAGAGCCGGCCCCAAGCAGGCCCGAGACGCTATCGAGCAGGCCGCCGGAAGCATGTGAGCCACTGGCGGCAGCGTTCATCTGTTGTGAAGACATCTTGTGGTGGTCGACCATGGCGTGGTCGGAGACGCCGGCTTTGTGGTTCTTCCCCGCCTTGACACTAGCACTACTGAGGATTTGGTCTAGGGACCGACCACGGTCGGGACGCTCGTCTGCCCACTTTTCGACGACGCGGTACATGTTGCGATGGATCTCGACGCGGTCGTCGCGTAGGGCGGGGTGGTGGAAAATGACTTCGACGTCGCGCATGACTTGTTCGGTCGGCACGTCTGTACAATGTTAGGGGTGGTAAGGTGTTCGGGAGATGCGACTTGCCTGGATGCTCCCAAGCGTACAGAACTCTGGGGGCGATGAACTTCAAGATCTCAGCTGCGACGTCGCCTGCGGGGTCATTCAGGATATTACTGAAATGATCCTTTGAGAGCATCGAATGCGTTGGGTCGGTTGAAGTAGGGTCGTTCCAAACGTCGAATTGATGCTTGCCGTTGGAGCTGACGACGCCTTCGGAGCCGGCTTCGAGAGACTTGGTGAGAGTGTTTATGATCGGTCGGATTATGGGTGCGAGAAGTGAGAGGATAAAGACGGTGAGCGTCTCGACGATGCGCTCAACAAGTGCCTCGAGGCCGGGGATCTTCTCAATGACTGATGAGATGGCGCGGACGACCTTGTCACGGAAGGCGAGGATCGGGTAGATCTGCTGTACAAGCTTGGCAGGATCGATGGACGAGTCCAACTTGCCGTCTGGACCTGCTTGAGGCTTCTGTTGAGGCTGAGAGGGAGTCTGTTGCGGTTGTGAGTTGACTGAAGGCTGTTGGTTCCAGGTGTTCGAACCAGGCATTTCATGAGGTTGCTGCCAGGACTGTTGCTGCTGTGGTGGTTGTTGCCAGTTCTGTTGCTGATGAGCTGGAGGTTGCTGCCAATTACCTTGTTGCTGGTGTTGTTGATTCTGCAAGAATGCATCGTATGCTGGGTCACCCCACGAGCGCTGAGATTCTTGTTGGTAGCCTTGGTTATATCCACCTTGCTGTTGATAGCCTTGATCGTAGCCGCTCTGTTGTTGATAGCCTTGGTTCCAATCGCCAGGTCCCGACCTCGAAGAGCTGTAGTTGTCATCGATACCTCGGCTAGATCCCCAGCTCTGGTTGTCCTGAGCTGCACGCTGAGAGTTGGCTTGCAAGCGCTGAGCTTCATCGCAGAGATCCTTTGCGCCCGGCACGGGGACCTTCGAGAGGAGTTTTACCAATGTCATGAGCGGGTTGTTGGACTGTGATGCGGTCTGAGCCATTCCCATAGCGTTGTCCATTTCGCTGATCTCACTCTGCGTGAAGTGATCGGTTGCCTCTCCTAGGACTGAGTGGTAGAAGTCGACCATGCCGAAAGTACCCGTGACAAGCGGAAAGATATGCTTGCCTCTGACATTGATCATCGCCCTCTCTCCAACATGTGGGAAGACGTTATGCATACCCATCTCGCGGAGAACCAGCTCAACATAATTCGTATGAGCACCGAAATCCTCGAGAGTGTGCAACCCTTGACCTAGTAAGCGACATGCTTCGGCGAGCTCATCATCGTTGCCTTTGAAGATACCACGTCCAGCACAATACTGTCTGCCATGATGAATACTCTGCTCGAATGACCACTTGACGAATGCTGCACTGGTGGCCCAGTGTGCATCCTTCTTGGCAATGTAGTTCTTCATGCCAGTATCTGGATCAACAGCTAGCTCAATATCTTGTACCGGAGCGCGAAGACGGGGGTCATATTTTCGTGCGTCCTCATTGTCGTTGTAGTCCTTGGGATTATCGATGTGTTCTTCAGGACGATAAACGCCCAGTCTCTCCTTCGTGACCTCGAACTCCGCTGTTGCGTAGCCGAAGCCCAAGAAAGATAGAAGCCACACAAGTACTCGGATGGTTTCAGGTTGTGCTTTCTTCAGAGCACCAGTGTCCATAGCCTGAGAATAGTCCCTAAGCCAGTTGCCGAAGTAGACGCGTTTCATCATCATCGAGTTCCATTTGTGGTGGCGTATGCATGCGACTTGCTTAAGTATATCCTCGATATCTCCATGACGCCAGTTCTTGCCTTCCACAGCCGATATGGATGCGATATTCCCAGCACCAAAGGCTTGAGCGGAGGAGACGCAGAGTAAGAAGACGAACAGGAGAACCAGGAAACTCCTCGACGAGAGCTCCATCTTGTCGCCGTTCTTTGATTGATTGTACAGTTGGCAGTGGTAGAACAAACTGTCAGCGATATCTCTGAGGTTGAATATCTGGGCAAACCGATCTTGCCCCACGTTGAATTCGCCAAGACACGGCTTAGGGAGGATCTGGCGGTCACGCTAAAGGAGCTTCACTTCAGCTTCACTTCACGATATAATGATGTCTTCACTCTATGAGCAGTCGTAAGAATCTGCCAGTGTTGAGCCTGACATCCGATGCTTTGAAGAGAGCATGTATGCGTTGTGGCTGTGGCTCAGCTATCAAAGTCCGCCTTGGTTCCAAAGTCCCATCATCGATGTGCACCGCCACACCCCCCTTCTCCGCTCCGATTATCGCTAGTGGTAGCCTGAGCCGGTGTTCATCTACTTCGTTGACTTTTTGCTGCGCAGATACTCCACCAAGCTGACTTCCTCATTCTTGTAACCCAGCTTCTTCGCTCTGTTCGACACAAATCGCATATCGCTGGACATGAGCATTGGCAGCTCGCCCTCACCGGCACCCTTTCGGTCGACGCTCTTGGCCACCGGACTCGCAATGACGCCTTCGTTGTACAGTACCTCGGCGAAAGCCTCTGCAATATCCTTATACTTTGTTTCTGTTCCTCCGATCAAGAAGCATCGCTCATAGACCGATCCTTGTGGCGTAGCGTCTTTGAGAGCCAGATCAAGGACTTGCAGCACGAAGGGTATGACGGCTTTGATGTGGAGACTGTTGAACACAGCGGTTCCCTCGCCGATATAGGGCACGAAGCCCAACTCCTTTGCCTTCTCGCGGTATACGAATTGGATGACGCCGTGAGCTGGAATCGGGCCTGCGGCTTCACCGTAGACCCCTGAAGGATAGATGATGTATGTTCCAGTCTTGCCATCCTTACCATGGTTCAAGACGCTTAGAGCACGTCAGTCTCTCATGTGTCCCAGGATCTTCGACTCGATGAATGGGCGACTTACACAGTATCAGGGCCTCCGTTGAGCATCGTGGGGTTGATGAGCTTCATATCCTCTGGGTTGTTGTCCTATTTCGAAACTTAGCAGGGGCCTTCTCATATCAACATCCTGTGGTCGACTCACATCCCAGACCTTCGCCTCAGCATGAGTTGCCCCATCGACCCACCGCTTGTCGACGAAGTTGCCTGTGCCACTCATATGAATGAGAGTCCTCTTCTTTCCCTCGGGTTGCTGTTTCAGGCCTTCGACGATGGACTCGCTGAGCGGCACATCCCACGATGAGCCTACATTGATGACGATGTCATGCTCTTTGGCCAAGGCAACAATCTTGTCCTTTTCGTCAAAGCTGCCATGGACAATGCGCTTCACAGCGGCGGTCTCGGACAGGTAAGTGTCGATTGTCTTATTGCGGACGAGTACGGTGACTGGTAACTCAGGATGCTTCTCCTTGAGCGCAAGAACAAGGTGGGCTAGTCTGAGGCATCAGTATGCTTTTGATACAGTGTTAATCGGCCAACTTACATCCAATGAGCCCGGTCACTCCTATCAACAAGATGGACGGCATAGTGATTTGGATGTATGGTGATTCGGTTGGCGTTTGCTTGGGAAGTTCAGTGTTGAGATGAAACAGCCAGATTCACTCAGTCCAGTCGCGAGTCCTTTTATGTATGTATGCTTCACCAGACTTCGACTTCTGTACAACATTTTTCCAGAGTGTCCTTCCACGACCGTTGCCGCGAACTTGGTAAGCGGTCTTGCCTGCCGTTGAGCCGTCTTGTTGCATATCGATCCGCAGCTGAGGCCATGAGGAAGGTGGGATGCTCTGTGGCAAGGTTTCGACTTCGCGGGTACCCGTGCATTTCTGTAGTCAATACTGAAGCACTTGCATTGACGGCTTAATCAGCGCCTGGCGTGAGCCGCTATTGGCGCAAACGACCTGCAGAATTTCCGGATCTGGGTGCTGGGCTTCGTCAATCTGGCAGTTGGCATTGGCATTTAGTCGGAATAATGACGCAACGTAGGCAAGAGCAGCGATGGTTGTGGTCACCGTACAATGCGACGCGGTTCGAGGCTATGTGCGTGCACTAATTGTGTAAGGTATGACTTAGCAGAGACCTGCGCACGTCTCTGAAGCTCCCTTCCTGAAGTCCACGTTATAACGCTCGGGTATTGCACCTGTCTGAATGCACCACCTATCCGAGGCGCGCAACGTGGTGTGTGCTGTGCTGTAACATGTGGGCTACGTGATCATGTGTGACGAGTTTGTCAGATAAGTGGAAAATATTCGAGGACAGCAGATGTTTCGAAAGACGAGATCTCTATTGACTAGTAATATAGGAATACATCTCATGGCGGCGACCATGGGTCGACCGCAAGGTCATCCGGAGGAATGACGCCCATAACCTGCATGCCCAACATATTTGTCCAAGGAGAAAAGATCGCTTGAGTCGATAATCCATTTCGGTCATTGTTGGTATTCATGCCGTCGACATCCAATAACAAGCATGAGTCGAATCGCTTCCTGGAGGGAAGCACCGTTCCCTGGTATGTTCGCCGTAACCCATCTGGTATCTCTGTTCGTGCATCAGACCGCTCTCATATTTTCCCACAACCAGCGCTGTACACGATCACCGCGTGTGTAAAGCGCAACTCCAAATGCAATCATAAACAACGGCTCTGCCAACAACCAACAGTATATGCAAAAAGAAGCCGTCGTCTATCGTGAATCTTGTCTCCTCCCACAAGTGTCTCTGAACTCCATGCCATTGAAAATGCATCGCTGTGCCAACACTGCGCCTCGTCGTCCTTTTACTCAAATGTCTGGTGCCATGATGGTATCGTCAAAAAATGCTCAAATATGCTGCCTAGCTCTTCGAACCGAGATTCGGAAAATTGTCGAACACGGATATATACAGTGGGTATGGTGATAATCTGATATTCGAGTCGAATCGCAAGGCAAGCACGCTCATCACAACATCAGCCCCGGCAAGATGCAAACTGTGGCACAGCGAAATGGCAAAGGAGCTGAAGGCTAATCATGGATGGAAGTCCACAACTGCCTACTGAGGCCCCCAACCAACCGAGGCCAGAGTTTGCATCAGACCAGGAGAAATGCTGTTAGGCGGGCTTGCAATGCGAATGCCCGTAGAGGGATTCACGATAGGAATAGCCCTTGTCCCAGATCGAATGGCCGACGGTTGGTGAACCTTCAGAGAATTGTTGTTGACTGAAGGTGAGATGAAGGCGGAAGAGGTAGCCGATAAGGAAAGGTGGTCGGGCTGTATCTGCTGCTGTAATGGCGAAGATTCGGGGGAGCCGCTTGACAGCGAGGAACGATCAGAGCCCGAGGAAACAGACTGCTTCTGAGATCTGTTAGAGCTTATCAACGATCTGAGATCGCTGTCACCAACCTCGTCAAATGTAAGGAGATTGGGACAGAATTCAAGGTCGTCGTCCAGATCGAAGGATCGTCCAGCTTCGAATCGCATGCGGAATGCAGCTAAGCTTGGGTTTTCAGGTACGACTACTTCTTTCTGAGGCTTTTGTTGACGATGGTGGCGGGCAGCCGCAGGTAAACGTGGTGCTCGGCGAGAGCGTCCATGGTGATTGTGCTGGTGAGGGATGTGTGACATATTTTGGGAGTAGTAGTGCGGCTGTTGATGACCGTAGAAGTTCGTCGACATGTTGTAATATGGTCTGAAATGCTGGGGTGCAGGAAAGCGGCAGGATTGCTATCGGGGCGGTGTTGAGACAAAGGAGGCCACGTAAACAATAGGTATCAGCTCTCGAGATAAGCCGACTGTTTGCGAATTGGCGAATAGATGGCGGTGATGTCGATGAAAGTGGTTGTGTATGTGTTGGGGATCAAAGTAGCGGTATAGATGAAGGTAGCGGGAATGGAAAGATGATGTAGGACGGGATGAGTGGTGGAAGGGTGAAGCCGGGAGGCAGGGTGAGAGTTGTGAGATGAGCGAGCCTGATGGCAGAAGAGGCGAGGCGATGAATGGGCGGCTTGGTTGGGTGGACTGTGCTGTTCTGGGTTCAAGCGTGGTAGCAAAATTAGCCCAGTCGGGCGCTTCATTGGACGAAGCAGACAAGGGACTGAGTGGATAGCGGATACTGGTCGGCGTACATTCCAGCATGCTACGGCACTCGGGCGTGCGCTATTGGGTAGAATAATCGCTCGCTAGGTCATATCCAGACCATAGTGGGCATCCAGGCTGCAGATTGCTGTCCGCACGCTGTGAGCAGTGCCCGATCTTGGGCAAATGAACTCGAGTCTTGCGACACATTGCCCCGGTCGTGCATGCTCGCATGGTAAGAACTGCCCCCTCCACACTGCTGACCGTCTTCTGCAGGTTTCGTGCTACGTTTCGGCTGAAGGACACATATTCGGTCGCAGTTACATGTACATCCGACACGACGTTTGGTGGTTTGCAGAAGCTGTAGTATGACGGAGGGGCGCGACCTGAAAGAGTGCCACATTCCTGAGTTGCCGGTAGCATGAGGAAACCGTCATTGTCGATCCGTCAGTCGAGACCCTGAAAAGAGACTGCGCCTTGTTTTCTGGCAGGTCCTAGTCTCATCTTCCATGCATCATGCCATGCGACTCCGAGGCCCTGACCAGGGGTAATTCAGATCGAGCACGGAACTGCTGCTGTGGGATACCGCTGATTTTGTACCTGAAGACTTTTGGGTCCAAAGTGCACGAAAATCGACAGGTTTACACGCGGATTCTTGTTTCAAGAGTCATCCTCTCACATTCCAGGTGTTACTTGCTGCAAAGGGCTGATGTACAAGATTCGCATTGTAGGCATCTTTACCTGTACTCAGAACGAAAGACTTAGCATGGTGCCTCATGACATGTCGTGTCGGAGCGAAGGTGCAGAGGCTCGTAGATGCTCACCCTCGCCCCTGGGAAGTCACACAAACGCCTCTAGGTATGATGATGCCGAAACAGCATCCCGTGGCACTGTGGCAGAGGTACGTACCCATTCTAAGCAGGTAAGGGCTGCGAAGCTTTTTGAAGATGGGTGCTTCAAGCTCGGAGCGGAGAAAGTTCCTGCCATGCCTGGGGAAACTTACGATAGGCACAATTTCTTCACGCCCGGCAGTCGCTGTCACTCAAAGCTTTGGAAGAAAGTTACGGCCGACAGACACTTGTATGCTTTCGCTTCCAGCAGCTTCGAGTCCAAGGTTGTTCAGGTAAAGAGTGTACTTTGTTGCGGGTTGCGCACGCGTACAGGTACCTCCGCGAGTCCGCGCACGCCCAATGAGCACCTCCCGAAGCCACGAGAGTCCAGTGCCGAACATTTGCGCCTGAACGCTGCCGATAACTTAAGATCTGACAGCCTCGCGCTCGCTTAGCGAGCATCAAGCCATCATCGACGTTCCGGGCGAATGACTGCCGGTATAGTGGTTGCTAATTCTTACAAAAGCACGAATTCAACTAACAGTTGAAAACTCAATGCTCCAATGTTCGTGGATGGTCAGCAGCTCTGATTCGACATGCTTCAGCCCCATATTCGAGTGTAGATCTCGACCACGTTCCCCTCGAACGTGCCCCGTGGGGCTTCATCCGATACTGCTCTTTTGCACTGCGTGGTACCTCACATGATCGTTTGGTCTGGGTGATGCTCCATAATGGAAAAGCTAGAGCGCTGATATATAGTATGTCGCGCCCCAGACAAGGTCTAGAGCAGGTGAGCATTACTTCGTAACGCTTGCCATTGTGCGCTCAATACAGCACATCCCATTTCGATACTGATCGCCGACATGGATACTGAGAAAGCTGTTGCAAGGACGTCGTCTTTCGACGCGTCCCACAATCTGCACGAGTACAACGAACGTGAGGGATACATTATCACCGACAATGCGCATGGTAATCTGAAGCATGCCAATGATGGCACAACCATTCTTTTGCCACAACCGTCCGACGACCCGCACGATCCCCTCAATTGGAGCTGGATGAAGAAGCACCTCATCTTGATTATTGTGTCCATGTCAGCCTTCTTGCCCGACTATGGCTCCGCGACTGGCGCCGTCACTCTCCTCCCGCAAGCTGCGATCTGGAACATGTCTCCCGACTATGTGAACCACAGCCAGGTTGGCAACGTTTTCATGCTTGGTGCTGGAGGTGTATTCGTCGTCGCTTTTAGCGCGTACTTTGGTCGACTACCTGTCCTCTTTTACTTCTTGGTTGTCGCTACAGCTACGGCGATATGGTGTGCGGCCGCTGTCACGTTTGAGTCGTTCATGGCTGCCAGGATACTGAACGGATTTTTCTCGACCGTCGCTCAAGGCGGAGCTCATGTTCATCTACGATATGTTTTATTTCCATGGTATGTGATTCGTGCTTGCCGCTACACCCAAATAGACGAACAAGCTAGACCCCCCCCGATGGTGTCCACGGACTGAGGGCTGACTGAAACGCAGAGAGAGCAAGAAAGATCAACATCTGGGCCGCATTCATTATTCTCTCACCATACTTCGGACCATTGTTCGCTGCTTTCATCATTTCGACTCAGAAATGGCAGATTCCCTTCTGGGTCTACGTGGCAGAAACGGCTCTCTGTTTGATTCTCACCATCTTGTTCGTCGAAGAGACCTACTACGACCGCCGCCTGCCGATCGAATCTCAACCTGACCGAGGCTCCCGAATCTCACGCCTTATTGGGCTATCGCAATGGAGATCCCGACATCTGCGCAACACCTTCGGTCAGGCTATGCTCCGTCCCATCAAGGTCCTCATCAAACCAACTGTCTTCCTATCATCGTTCTACTATCTCCTGACCTTTGCTTGGGTCGTTGGTAAGTGATTTGCTCGCGGAGTCTTGTGGATACAAAGCTGATCGGTGCAGGCATCAACACAACGCTCGCCATCTTCCTCACACCACTTTACAACTTCGGACCCTTGCAAATCGGTTACTTCTACTTCACGCCGATCGTCGCAGCAATACTGGGAGAGATCCTCGGCCACTGGCTGCACGATCTCATCGCGAATCAGTATATCCGCTCCCACAACGGCCACTTCGAGCCCGAGGCTCGCCTACGAGCCATCTTCGTGAGCACGCCATTCATGCTCGCTGGACTAGTCGGTCTGGGCTTCGCCCTCGAGGAAGGCTTCCACTACATGATCACGAGTCTCTTCTGGGGACTGTATGTCTTCGGCATCATGATCACGACTGTCGCCCTCAACGCGTACAACCTTGACAGTTATCCGGAGGCTTCTGGTGAGGTAGCTGCGTGGATCAACATGGCTAGAACGACTGGTGGGTTCATCATCTCGTACTTTCAGGTCACTTGGGCACAAGCGCAAGGTACGAAGGTCAGCTTCGGTATTCAGGCCGCGATCTGTGCCGCGGCGTTCTTCATTATTATCGCCCTGATGGTATTCGGGAAGAAGTTGAGGCTGGCCTCTGGGCCGTTGAATTTCGCTACTGCGTAGAAGAGGCTGAGATGGGTTTTAATGGGGGAGCAAGCGGAAGTCGGAGAGGAGGTGCAGGGACCGTGGGATAATGGACGGGCCTTTGGCCATGTACAGGAAGCGAGGGAAGATGGGTATTCCCAGCGTCGCAATTGGAGCCTCCAGGACAAGCGCTGTGTCAGACAGTACATATCCATGGATCCCGGCCCTATCAGGGGCCACGAAGCCATATGGTTTTCCAAATCTAACATCGTCCACATGGTTTTCCAAATCTAACATCGTCCGCCGTCTCGGGCACTGCTGCGTAATTGGCATAAACATACTCTCTGGCAGATCATGTCCCCAGCCAGACCTCGTCTCGCACGTGGAGGCGGGACCACGTGCGGCACTTGGACAGGTAGTTGAATAGATGCTTCCTGGGCGTTTCGTTCGACCGGTTGACTGGTTCATACGAGGCGTTCGAATTAAGGCGCTTCACCGACGTCTGCGAGCGACCATCACCATTGAAGGCTCATTCTTGATTAACAAGGCAAGACAAGACAAAAGGTCGAAGATGGAGGCTCGTGGTTGACCGTTCATGGCTCGACAGCGAGAACAGAAGGCCCGAAAGACTCAAGGATAGGACTGGCGTCCGCCATGGACGTGTATCAAAAACGGAACACCAGAGTTACTGGTACACAGCCCTACCCTGAACCTCCCGCAGCACACTTCTGCCTTTCCTACGTCTCACACTCCTCAACCCTCATCATCAATCCCCTCTGCACCCACAACCCAAAATTATCCTCAACCTCCAACGGCCGCATCGGATCCAACAAGCTCCACTCAAACCGCCTAAACAACTCAAACACCGTCTTCGCGAGCTCAATCCGTGCTATCCTCTCACCCAAACACTTGAACCGCCCGTACAGAAACACCATCTCGTGCTCCTTCTCCATTGCGACCAACTGCTCTGGCGTGGAATCAAGCCAGCGTTCCGGGCGGTAGACGGCGCAGTCTGCGCCGTAGATGGGATTGTGGCGGTAAAGTGACCATGCGGAGATCCCGATCTCTGTGCCGGCGGGGAGATGCATATTGTTGTAGGTATCGCCGTCCGGACCGACAGTTTTGGGGCTGAGGCCCGTGTTGACGGGGTAGTAGCGGAGCGTCTCTTTGATGCAGGCGTTGAGGTAGGGGAGTTGTTGGGAGGCGGAGTAGCTGATGACCTGATCCGACGGGACGGCTGCAGCGCGGACTTCAGCCGTGAGTTTGCGGTAGATCTGGGGGTTTGAGGTGACGTAGATCATGGTGGAGCGCAGGATGGTGCCGGAGGTGTCGCTGCCGGCGAGTATTTGGAGGAGGGCGTTGTCGCAGATTTCGCCGAGTGTGAGGTTGTGGTCGATGAAGGATTGGGTCATGTCATTCGGCGGTTTGTCGTCGGTCTTGGCGCCGGCGCAGCGCTGAGTGATGATGGAGTGGATTACGGCTTTAACTTTTCCCATGCCGATACGGTCTCGCATTGAGGGGAGGATGAGCCGCTGGATTGCAGGCATGCGCATTAATCGAGATAGTGCTGGGACTGCAGACATGAAGTTCATGGCGGGCATGTTGGCTTCCATCGTCGCTATGTATGCATATTTGTCCTCGTCGTCGGCGATCCAGCCGAATGGCTTACCTAAGGAGAGTGCGGTGATGATGTCGAGGGTTAGATACTGTAGCAGTTGCCCCATGTCGACTGGCTTTAATGTGCCGCCCCTGGAGGTGTACTTGACCTTCAGCAGATCAACGAGGCTCATGATGACGTTGTTGATGTCTGGCTCAAGATGAGGGTTCTCTTTGCCGGTGTAGCCCATTGTTAGCTTCTGCCGCAAATCCGCATGTTTCCTCGCGTCAGTCTCGGAGAAGACGTTCTCGCGATCGGCGTCGAATCGGAAAGCTTTGTTCCAGTCGCTTCGTGTATATGGTGAGCGGACGGCGGTCATCTTGCGGACGAAGGCCGTGTCGCTTGTGACGAGGATGTTTGGAGCGATGCGCACGAGGGGTCCTGTGGCAGGTCAGCCATGGCCTGGCGCCATAGTCAGTAGATCTACCATATTGCTTGAGCGCATCGTGGAGGTAGAGATGGCCTTTTCTACTGAGTGCCGCAGTGATCCACCACAAGCTGGACCATGCTGCTAGACGTGGCCCAGGGATGTGTCGCAATCGTCGGTAGGAGGCTATAAAGGCGTATACCTGGTAGGTCAGCCATATCACGAGTATTGCAGATATGATGGTCGTGGCGCTGGCTGCGTAGCCATTAGTGCTGCTCTGTTTCATGGTAAGCGCAAAAAGTCAAACCCATGGACTACTCTCGCAACGTCGACCGAGGATTGCAGGGGATTCAAGAGCTCATGGGAGTTCTGCCTGTGCGGAAATGACTTGCAATGCCCGGCGGCAAAGTAGTTCAGCATCATGCAGTAGCTTGCTGCTCGGCTAGAGGTCGGACCAGTACGGTCGTAGCATTTGTTCATCCATCGCAACGAGCTGATCATAGAGTGCGCCCAAGGAATCGCTATGAGCATTGCGATAGCTGTTGAGGGACTCGTCTGAGGCTACACGCGAAGACGTTCGGACTGGAGGCTGCCGATGCAGTAATCGACGGTCAAACCTTGGGCAAGGATCTTGGCGATTACGGAGGTGGTCTAGGAGCACAAGTCAGCCGGTCTCGCGTCAGACAGATTCTTGTCACCCGGTTTGTTGTTGTTCGGTCTTGTCATCCGGACTCGGTTCAGTTCAAGGTCATCCGGTCTTACCAAATCCTCTGTAGTCCCCACCCCATGTAGACTGTTATACGAGCAGGCAGTCACTCAGTAGGCGCTCCTCATTAGCATAACGGAAGGAGAAACTGCTAATGTAGTTTCCAGAAGACTGTGGACCGCCATTCACTGATCTATCGTACAGTTGAGGAAACAGCGGTGGATCCGTATTTGGTGTATATAAATGCTTGGGTCGTTGTTCGCCTCTTCGTGCGACTCGGTGCATTTTAGCATTCATTGGGGTCTATCTCAACGTCAATGACCCAAAAGAGATCTAGACCTCACACGGGAGAGCACAACCTCGATACATAGAAAGTCGAAGTCCTCAGTCTTGTTGATAACAACTGCCCGCTAGCAAATCAGCCAACTGCCTAGTAGTTTCTTCCGCAGGTATTATTCTGCGTTGTGTGACATCATTCAGGTGGAAATCACTATTGCTGTGTACATAGTCTACATCTACATGGTCCGACGTGTCTGCGCTAACCCTGAGTGTGTGTGTGCGTGGTGACCGCAGGATGCAAAGGTTGAGCAAGGTCCTGCAGAGGTCTCACCCTCTCGACCGCCGGTGCCACACCTCAGTCTTGCACGTTCCGCCATCTCGGAATGTAAAGTCTGGCGACTGCGGGACTGCAACAGGTCCAGCATCACTGCTCGCCACGCTTTGCGCGTCGTGGGCACGGGAAGGCGACCAGGGTTGCACGGTCACTTCCGTGTCCTTCCTGATCGTTCCCATCACAGCGGACTCAACATCGTCCGGAAATGCCGTTGCTTCAGATGCCATGCTATGCGTTGTACCATTCAAGCGTTCCTCCTGGCTATCTCCATCCGAGTCTGTTTCGAGGTCAAGCTCATCTCGGCCGTGGATACGACGTGTGGATTCTGCCGTGTCTGACTTGTTCTGCCCTTCAGAGTGAAGTGTGGTGAGCTTCACTATGCCGGAACGAGAGCGCAGTGTCCTCGAAGGGTGGTCGCTAGTGGGTCCGTCATAGCTGCTATGCTTGATGAACGGCACGTACCTGAGCAAGGGCCGTAACTGTGCAACGGAACCAGCACAAATGCCAATGGCGACTTCGCCGACTGTCCAGCAAGAAAGTGGCGCGGCGGTCTTGAGAATTCGGTCTGGCTCGCTGTAGCGCAGCAGGTAGGGTATGCGCACAATCGTTGATACGGACGCGAGAGCGCCTAGAGCCAGTATAGCGACAATGTAGACTTTGACACGCCTCTTAATCTGGACGTCCCAAAGCATTATCCCTGGTAGCACTGCCAAAACGAAGTCGGTGGCAATGCACGTTGCGCTCAGGAAGAGTCCGATGGCGATGCTGACGTCGGCGTTGCACTTTCCTTCGACTTCGCCCCAGAACGCTCGAAGCGGTTTGCAGGCGTTTAGGACGCCAATGATGGTCACTATGCCTGCGATGATGCTCAAGGTCATGATGGCGTACAGAACATAGCAGAAACGCTTCTTCCTGTCGGCTAGACGCAAAAGCGTGAAGCAGATGGAGCACTTGACGGGTACTGTGCTGGTCGTATCTATCCTCCTTGTCAGCAGGTGACACAGGCGAGGTTTCCTATCATCGGACGGTGACATGTCCCTGTAGCAATGGCCGTCGTGGTGGCGTCCGCCCAGGATCGCGGTTCTGTCGATGACAACGCCCTTCCGATGGCAGGTAGGTTTCATGGGAGACTCACAGATGATTTGACTTAAGAAATAGTATTTGATCCCAGCCATAGTGGTAGCGGCGGACAGTTCAGAGAGAAGGTAGCCACCGCCGTTGTAACACATTCCGATGAGCGTGGCGCTAAAAGTGCTGAACAGAATCTGTCCACATGAGCAAGCAGGAACCATTCGTGACGCGAACGACGCACCAGTCCAGCAAGCATGAGTCCATCATCCCATCCTAAAGCGTGGATGGCTCTTCGGACCGCCAGCCTGGCGGTCACGATGACCCAACTAAGGGCCACGCAGGCGATGCACAGGCCAAACAGTAGTTGGCCTGACCCTCGAAGAGGCATTGTGTTCGCCATGATGGCCTATTGTAGCTTCGCAGGCTGCGGCGTGAAGTGCATTGAAGAGGCATATGGACAATTTTGTAGGGTGGAGCGAGGGTTTCAAGATATACCTAGAAGCATGTACTGTACCTGCTTTTGGGGTAAGGGTATTGCCAGGCTGGGGAAGCCGCAATCATTGACAGCTCGTATTCAAGCATGTTCAAGTCCCCTGAGGATCAATGTGTGATCCTGCCTAGGTGCAATTGGCATTCAGGATCCATGGTAGTGGCGTTGACGCATCGCTTTGACAGCGGCTAGAGGTTCGCGAGTGAGTCGTCAACGATGTGTCCCAGCGGAGTGGTCCCACGAGCAAAGTCGAAGATCGTCAGCCAGAAGGTCGAAAGCGAGGAAGATGGTGTCTTGTTCAGGGGAGGCTGCACTCGAGCCACGGCCCACGGGGAGAGCGGAGCTGCAATATATGACCTGCATCCGAATCCGAATGACGCGGTGGACGGACACAGCGGATTGTGGACGCGCTTTGTCCCGGAAGCTGTGGAAGACAAGCTAGAAGATGGTCGGCGGCATTGCTAGCTGACTGGGCGCGACAAGTGCCTCGTGCTCATGGATGCATTCATGTTGTGACTGGAGGAACCAGCTCGGTGGATCTACCACAGTCGCTTGGGCGGCATTCTCTCGGCAGCCACTGTGTTGATCCCCAGGTCACGGTCGATAGTCACGATGCAAAGGACTGAGCGCGGTCCAAGAGCTTGAAGCTATGACGAAACAGAAGCGTGAGTGCTAAGCATCGCAATAGTTCCAACGCAACATGTTAAAGACGTGATGCAGAGAAGGGAGGTTGATGGAAGGATACTACTAGTAGGGGACTTCAATTTGAGAATTGGTGGGCCATCGACGAAGCTTGGCACATCCACTTTTTGGCGAGAGCGATCGTCCAGGAGATCACTTTCCGCCCCCTTCAACTTCTTGATTGTTTGTTGGACCTGATTGTTTGTTGGACCAAGCGGTGAGAAGCGATGTGTTCGTGCACACGCTAGCATATGCCTCTGATCACTTGAAGCGAATCGATCAATGACAGCACAAGATGCTTGAATCACGTGGCTGATAAGCTTGACGACTTCAACAAGTACAGGTGACACAACGGCGACGGTTCCTGCGATCCTCTAGCTGAACCTTCAGCGGACGACGCAGTCGTTCAAGTCAGCCCACAGCAGCCGACTCTTGCAGAATTCACGATGGTCTTCCGGATGCCTCCAGTCTGCCTCAACTCGCACGACGTCTAACATTTCAGATCTTCGGACTCTGCCCGACCTTCTGACCCATGGTACCTGTCACATACCGTTCCTCTGTATCCATAACACTGAACTGTGGCACCCAACCAGCCTTTTCTCGACAAAACTGCTCTTTACTCGGCTTCCACTTTGCCCACGAATCTCCATCGAGACCAGTCTCCTTAGCGATGGTCCCAATGCCAGAATGTGCTGAAGCCAACAATCCTGCGGGAATGCTGATGATGTCCTCGCGGAGTGGTGTCAAGGCGTGTAGCTTCGAGCCGCACGTCGAGCAGAAGGCACGACCCAACGGCTTGCCCGAGAGCGTGGTGGGATCATGGTAGGTCTTGACGAATTCTGCACCGCTGTGTAGCGTGTATTGCTAGATCAGGGCAATTGTGAGCACGAGCGCTTGCATGATCTGGGCATGTTCCGGACCTCAGGACCAACAGACTTGATACCAAGATCGCTGTGAGCAGAGACGACATTCAAACACTGCTTACCGATTTCAGGAAAATGCTGGCGCAGTGCAAAAGGGACCCGCCGTGACGTCTGATGGGCACACTTCAGGTCAGCATCTGTACCAAGGGAGGCGCGTCCGATTATCCCTCTGCTTGCGCCACACGAGGCCTGAAACTTGCTCTCCAAAACCAACACTACTTACTTGCAGTTCTCACAGTGGCAGATGACATTGTATATCGGGTCGCCGACTACGGTGAAAGAGACTGTTCCACATAAACACCGGCCCTGATCTACGGCCTCGTTGCCTGTCATCATACGAGTTCTTTTCGGCTAAGCACGCTTTGCGGCGGCTGAATATATCCGGCGATTTGTTTCGTGATTATAGATGGCTCTGGCAGTCCTCTACAGCTAGTGGAGCTGGGTGCGAGGGTAATGATTGCGAACGTACAGGTTTTCTTGACCGGGACCAAATACTATACCTCGTCTTGCTCATTGTATAGCCTGAGCGGAGAAAGGGCCGAGGCCCGAAACCCCGCAACAGCCGCTTTGGGCTTAAACGCCACATCAGCGTCGTCTTCATACATCACATCTTAACACTATAGGCCCCTCATACATGTCTGACAATGTACAAAGTCCGGAGTTCACGGCTGCGCCGCGAAATAACCATCACGCGGCCCAGGATCTCCCTCACTGAAGTCCTGATCGTCTTGTTCTACCAGCCCCAAGATGCCTCGCAAGTCTCATCCCCAGGCTGCTGACCTGACCCCGGCCTGAAGGACGCCACTGCTCTGCGGCGACGCAGATTGCGTTTCGGATATGATGACTCACGGCTCGATGATGCGTACACGACTCCAGGTAAGACGGACGTCTTCCGTATCGCACATCACCTCGTTCTTGTGGTCGCCGATCATCGGAGTCTGGAGACTATCTCGTTCCGCAAGCAGGTTATACGGGCTAGCGAGGCTGTGAGACGTGCTTGTTCGCGGATTTACGTGTCTTTCGCGGGTCATGATGACCAGAAGTTGGTGAGATCAATGCATCAAGTATAGAACTGTCTGTGAGGACAGTGGCCTAACGCCAGGGTATTCTCGTCATTAACGCTATGTCGCAAGTACTCCAAGACCCGAAAACAGAAAGATTCGACCCAATCAACTTCATTACTTCACCTCGCTCCGTGATTCCCTCTCCACTTACGCAGCAGCACTAATCAGCTCGTACTGCGCCTTGCTGATGCTTCCGCGCTGCTTCTGCCCTGTAGCAACAGATGCCTTCCTAGCCTTCGCCTCCGCCTCAGCCGCCTGTCGCTCAGCCTTGGAGACGAACATGGGCGACCAGACGCCGTCGACGAGCACGGGCTGCTCGATGGGCTTGAGTTGGTAGATCACTTTTTGGAGGAAGGATTTGCGGCGTTCTGGTTGTTGGGGGAGTTGTTGCTGTTCTGTGGAGGTAGCGGATTTCTCGCTGGAGCGGCGGGAGGATGTTGACATGGAGGCGTTGCGGGAGGAGGGGGTTGAGGGGGAGGAGAGGTTGTAGTAGCCGGCGTAGAGCATTTTGGTGGTGGTGATTGAGGTAGTGTTGGGTTGTGGTTGTTGGTGACGATGTGGTATTAGGGGTGAGTGTGTTGGTTGAGTGGGTAGTCGTTTGGTTGTGGTGAGTTGTGGTGGGTTGGCTTGTTATATATGATGAGGATGGCTGTCTTTGATATCTGTGCTTTGTTGCTGAGTGAGAAATGATGCGTTTCGAGGCATCCAGGCAAGCAGGTTATATACTTTTTCCGTACCTCAAGGATTACTATGAGGCCGACGGTCACTTGCCTTTCAAAAACATCAGATCCTTAATTGTCTCATACGCGCCTTGCAACGACCATATGACGCGATCTCCATTATTGGACATCCATGAATCAGAAAACATGTCAATAGTCGTTTGGAGCTGGCCTACTAAACACGAGCATGTACTGTTCGCTTGGCATACGCCCTGCACCGCTCTCCACCCGCCGGGGAATAGCGAGCGATGACAAACCGAAACAAGCCACGTTTTTCTTGCACATCGGGCTCCGCGCACGCCATGTGGTCCGCCTGGGGGTGTCATAGAGGTTTTCCTTACCAATTGAAGCGAGCCTCGTCGTTCAGCATGTGGTATCGCGACTGCAGTTACTGTTAGGGTATTTGTCGTTGTCATTAGAGCGATGTCCACGTCCATACTTGCCGTACACGTGTTGTGCTTGAAGACTTTTCTGCAATAAGGCGACTGGAGCTTCAGGAATTTTTATTGGTTTATGCCGTTAACTGCAAGGCACCTTGGGGCGTGTTTTGGACGTTGACATAACAGAAACTCCCTTGGAGTCGAAGTTGTGGAATTGCTGTTGAGGTTTCCCGGCTGGAAAAGCTGGTCTGACCTGCAAAATTTTCCTAGACAAGAGTGTTAGGCTGTGAGGACCACGAAGGGCGCGTTCGTGGATGGCAAGCACGAAATTGGATCGAGTTGCGGGTGATGAAGAGAGGGGATGATGTCAGATTGGGAGGAGAAAGATTTTCGCGCTGGAGGTGCCAGCGAAGGAGGAACTCGTGTGCCTGAAAATAGGGCGTGGCCTCGCTGAATAATTATGGTCACGTGGACGAGAGTTTCGCAGTATAATCTACGCCCTTCCAGTAGCCGCTTCGTGTTCCAAGTTCTGCTTTGAGACAGTCTATGAAGACTATGACACCCGAGCATATTTCTCGTGTACGTGAAGCGTGGCGAATACGGCAGAACTGCCATTGTGAGGACGTTGATTCCAAAGCTTCGTGACTGGTGGCCGCAGCTAATGTGACTGCTGGTATGGCATTCAAGATTACTAAATGCGAACGAGCATGTTACGCACGGAGCGAATGAATTGAGACACGTATTCGGCGACCTAAGATCAGTGGCCTGAAGCAATTGAATTACTGAACTATATGGTACACAACGGACCTACCTTCGAGGCAGGGAGGTCATCCCAAGGGCGTATATGCCAGCCGAGGACTCAACAGTCCCAGGAACATGGCTCTGGACACGAAGCCAGGAGGTAATCAACCGCTCACGACGAGCATGGCTCCATCGTGGGGTGCATACGCGATGTCCTCTTCGAGAAGACCGAAAGGCGACCACCGGGGACCCGTCCAACTTCACCGACTCTGTGATACTGACCAATTGGCGCAATTTTCTCGGTCGAATGCGAGGCAGTACAGCTGTGTTCTGGACGGCTTCTGCAACCCAGCGCTTTTGACGGAGGCTGTAGTGTGGTATTCTGTCCATCTTACCCGTATGATGCGCGCCGCGATGAAAGAGGAATATTTCTGAATAGGAAGCGAGCAACCAACCTCTGGCTTACTTTAATACAGATCTCGAATTTTGCCGTTGTAGGCACTCAATAACGACGGCGTTGTCTCGGATCATCGTAGTCGTTATCGTGGTGTCGCTTTCTGGAGCTTCCGCCGTAGTCGTCATCGCGTCTTCGGTCTCGATCGCGGTCGTCGTAGCCTCGATCTCTGCTGGCGACGGGCTCTCTGTTGCTGCCAGTTATGCCGCGGTCCCTACCATACCCACCACCTCCACCACTGCTGCCGCCAGCACCAGCTGAGCCACCGCCTCCGTAGCCATTGCGTCGATCATCGTAGCCGGAGCTGCCGCCGCCGCCATACCCACCAGAACGACCACCTGGACCACTGGGAGCATTGGCGGGTGGAGGACCTTGATTGAAGCCACCTTGTCGCCCACCAAAGCCGCCACGATCTTGATAGCCAATTCCGCCTCTGCCTCTGCCACCAAAGCCACCACGATCATTACCTTGGAAACCTCCTCGGAAGCCGCCACCACCGCGACCACCACCAAAGCCGCCACGGAAGCCACCAGGACCGCCGAAGTTTCCCGGTCCACCGAATTGCGGCCTAGGAGGAGGAGCTCGAGTATATCCACGACCTCCTAGGCCACCTCCGAAGCGACGTGGACGCCAGCCTGGTACCATCCGGCCACGCTCTACATCGACAACTACTTTACGGTCTTTGATACGTAGACCATCTGTGTCCTTGTATGCAGCTGTTGATTTGCGGTTAGTTCGGAAAGATCTTACCATTGAGTTCTCATGGGTGGGGATCATTACCTTTCATATCTCGTTCGCGTTCATACACAATGAAAGCATAGCCTCTGTGCGCCTTTTTCGGCTTTGATGTAGCATCGTCTTTGACGATACGTATTCTCTCAATTGGTCCGAATCTGCCGAACTCGCGTTCGAGGTCTTGCTCTTTAACATCGTAGCTCAACCTGCTCACGAACAGTGTTTTCAGAGCATCTCCTTTGACCTTGGGATCTTGCGCTGGCTTGAAGCCATCGAAATCATCCTTTGACATATCTTCGATGCGTTGCTTCTTCTCTGCTCGGACGCGGTCGCGTTTCTGTAGCCATGATTCTGTAGGTTGATATTCGTACTCTTCCGCGTAATTCTCGACTTCGCCGAGGAAGGCAGCAAGACCTGTGATCGTAGATGGTTTTGACGCCTTCTCTTCCGGGGCATTATCGAGGGGAGCGTAGTATTTGACTGGTGGTCGTGGTTGGAAGAGCTGAAGTAGGTCAGGGGGCAGTTTGTCTGTCATCGTGACGCTGATTTAATCGAAAGATTTGCCGAACACAGTCGCATACGCGACAACGCGAACCACGCTTTTGGAATGAATCAAGAAGGAAAGAATGCGGTCAGTGATGAAGGAGGTTGATGCAGACGGACAACGTGAAGCTCCTGCTGCGAACTTGAAAAAGGCAACGACCGCGTCTTGGCTTGGCAAAGCCCGCCTGAGCACGTGAACAGATAGCCAACACTTCCAACATCCAAGTCAGGTCAAGCTGAGGGCGATTCATGCTCTGTATACATCGTGAGACGCTACAACAATGTACTACTGTCTAGCCCCCCTGAATGGCCGCAGAATTGCCACGCTCGAAGGGCATCACTTCCAACCATAGCACATAGAATCTTTAGACACGATCCGTGGCGCCCATCTCGCGTAATGGGCGCTTTTGCGGATTCTGATCAGTTGGCATGACGGCCTGCTGCACATCTGAACGAAGAGTGTCTCCAAGCTTGGAATGGATCAACACGTACAATGAAGTAGATATAGATGCTCTCGAAGTTCGTAGGATGGTTGATGAAAGCTGGCCGTTGCGGGAGGAGCGTGTTCTAGGCACCTTCCTTAACTAAGACAAGGCCCGGGAGCAGCCACGACTCTATTCTTTCCCACTCGCTAATTCCAGCTGTTCCACCTGCGGGTCGTCAGTTGGGCAGTTACTCGCGTTGCGTTTCCAACCACATGCTCACCTCGTCACCGTGACTCTGACTTCATTCTACCCGTTCCACAGGCTAGCAGCACCCGATTTAATTCAAGGACTTGATACAAACGCAGCTCGGTATCATTGCAATCGTATTACACGTCGCGCTCTAGCATCAGTCATCTGCAACCCACAAGATCAGCACAGACAGGCACAACACAATTACCCAGCTGACTGCGGACCAAGTGATTGGGTCCTATATCGCACACATAGACCCTTCGGGGCCACACCATCTCCTTCGAGATGGGCAATACTCTTTCATCCTGCTGCAAAGGTCGGTCACTATCTTTTCCGTCTCTGCGACGTAGTTGCTGATATTCGCGCAGGGCGACCGAAAGATAGCCTCTACGAGCCTGCCCTCGCCGACAGCGAACGCGAGGCCGTTGCCGACCTCCTACAGTACCTCGAAAATGTAGGCCTTCTACTTGACGATCGAGGCGTGGTGACTGACCCCTCCGTAGCGCGGCGAGACAGACTTCTTCTCTGGCGAGCCTCTTCGGGCGCTGAGCACACTCGTCTACTCCGACAATGTCGATCTACAAAGAAGCGCCAGCCTGACATTCGCCGAGATCACAGAGAGAGGTCAGATCAGCTCGACCACCGAAGCCCTTCAGCTAACATATGGAAGATGTTCGGGAAGTCGATCGCGATACACTCGAGCCGATATGTTTCCTTCTTCAGAATTCTGATATCGAGGTGCAAAGAGCTGCCAGTGCGGCTCTAGGCAACCTTGCTGTCAACAGTAAGATGCCGATGCTATACGATGACCACTACTGACGCATCAAAGCTGAGAACAAGGTTGCTATCGTCGCGCTCGGCGGTCTGGCACCGCTTATTCGACAAATGATGTCACCAAATGTCGAGGTCCAGTGCAATGCCGTTGGGTGCATCACGAATCTACCACTCACGAAGACAACAAAGCCAAGATCGCCAGGTCCGGTGCTCTTGGGCCGTTGACCAGGCTAGCCAAGTCGAAGGATATGCGGGTCCAGCGAAACGCAACCGGAGCCTTGCTCAACATGACACACTCTGATGATAACAGACAGCAGTTGGTCAATGCAGGCGCCATCCCTGTCCTCGTTCAACTCCTGGCATCGCCCGACATGGACGTTCAATACTACTGTACTACTGCCCTCAGCAACATTGCAGTGGACGCGTCGAATCGGAAAAAGCTTGCCCAGACCGAATCTAAACTGGTGACGGCCCTCGTACAGCTGATGGACTCTGGTACACCGAAGGTCCAATGTCAGGCTGCGCTGGCTCTGCGCAATCTGGCCTCGGATGAGAAATACCAGCTCGAGATCGTCCGTCAGCGTGGACTGTCACCACTCCTGCACCTGATGCGAAGCTCGTACCTACCACTGATACTGTCAGCGGTCGCTTGCATCAGGAACATTTCGATTCATCCGCTGAACGAGTCGCCCATAATCGATGCTGGATTCTTGAAGCCGCTGGTCGACCTGCTCAGCTCTACCGACAACGAAGAAATTCAGTGTCATGCTATCTCGACCCTTCGAAACCTGGCCGCCAGCTCGGACAAGAACAAGCAGTTGGTTTTGGAAGCTGGAGCTGTCCAAAAATGTACAGAACTGGTTCTCACGGTGCCTCTCAGCGTCCAGTCAGAGATGACGGCATGCATAGCTGTGCTTGCTCTGTGTGACGATCTGAAGCCTGCCCTTCTCAAGATGGGTGTCTTCAACTGCTTGATTCCATTGACCGACTCGGAAAGCATCGAGGTCCAGGGCAACAGCGCAGCAGCGCTCGGAAATCTGTCGTCTAAGGTGGGCGATTACTCGATTTTCGTACGCGATTGGTCTGAACCGAACGGAGGCATTCATGGCTATCTGAAGCGCTTCTTGGCCAGTGGAGACCCAACGTTCCAGCACATTGCGATTTGGGTAAGATGACTGCTCTCTCTGCATGACCTGACTGACTCTGATAGACTCTACTACAACTCATCGAGGCCGATGACGCTAAGCTCTTGAGCCTCGTGGCCAAGTCCGAAGACATTATTCAGATGGTCAAGACAATCGCAGACAAGCATGTCGAATCTGATGACGAGGACGGAGAGGATGGCGAGGGCGAAGTTGTAGCCCTGGCACAACGGTCATTGGAGCTGCTCGGCAAGGGCCCAAAGCAAACGCTCGTCGAGGGTTGAGAACTTCAGTAATGCTTACTCTTATCTTTCACTGTATACCCGAGAAAGTTGGTGGTCCATATACTTGTGGTGGCGGTATGGGCATAGCGAGGCGTTCATGGATGGACTCGTTGATGCCGTCTCAAGACCTTGATGGTCCTCGAAATCATTTGCAAGTATCAGAAGATATCGATCTGGCAGGTATTGGCATACGCACAAAAGAGCACCAGTTGTGTTCATGACTTTTATGCCGTGCTTTGAGTGAGTGTCTGCTGCGAGACCATTATGTACAGTACCACAGCGCGACCGGGCACCGCGGGCAGTGCCTTCCGGGTTTGCGGGTACTTTTGACCGCTAATTGCAGGCGCCCGCGGGCGACTAGTAGGTAGCGTGCCCCACACGCTTCGGACCTATCAAAAACCCAAACCCGACCTCCGATTCTTTCGTCAACCATGACCACTATCCTCATGAAATGTCCGCTTGCGTGATGAGGAGCCGTGAAGGCTCTGCTATCGAAGCAATGCAAGTTGCGAAAGCTTGCCTACATCTATACAATGCCGCATCAGATGTAGACAGCCACTGTTGACGAGCCAATCATGAACGACGCGTGTATGCCTGGGCTTTGACCTCCCGTGCCCATGGCCCAATCCCACGAGCCCGATACGACTAATGTGCATATCTTGCTACGAGATAGCCGCCGAGGCACTACGGGAACCTGGTCACCGGTTTACTATAACTGCCCTTCGCCCACTCAGACGCTCTGGTTGCCACGAGATGGTGTGAAGGCAGTGCGTTTGCTGCCTTTGGGGCACTCGTGCGGCTCTTTCGTCGGGGAGTCATAGCCGTCTCTGCTGTCTGCGACGTGCACTGATCTGCAGACCGTGCTGGCGGTATATGAGCCTGTCAGCCCTGTGTCAGCCCTGGATCTTGCCTGCAACAGCTTGCGATACGCAAACGTTCTCACAGCGTTCTCACTCAACGATGGCGACTCCAGACTATTCGAAGGCGAAGTGGGACTACGGATACATCCCGGACTATCATAGTCTTACGAAAGAAACCTTGGAGCAGCGGTTGAAGGACAAGTTCGGAAACTGGAATTTTTATGTGGAGGTAAGCCAATGCGCTTTCCTTGCCCCGTGAATTGGGCAGCTCGTTAACGTCTCTTAGCAACGACCGGAGGATTGGAAAGTTTGGATCCCGGTGAAATTGACTCGGGTATGTTGACATCAATGAACTTCGCATTCGATCTGACAGATGTCAAAGAGAGAGATTGTCTCGCTGCAGACTGGACGCTAGTTGCCCGCGAACCAAGACAGCGCAATTGGGCTGTGTGCTGGAGCCCAGTGGCCAAACTCTATGGAGATTTGGTCCTTTCCTGACTGTCTTTGGGTCTTTGTTCTCAGGCGTTGAAGCATGGCAATAATTTCGTGGGGGTGACCTTACCCCTCATTCACAAGTTTGGAAGGTGTGTTGAACAACATACCTGCTTTCATGCGGGGCTGAGCTGCCCAGGTGCTTTGGAAAGGCGTTCCCAGGACGTCTAGTACCAGCAGCATAGCCACCATTTCAGCTTCCTTGCTCCGTGCAACATGTCGACCGGCATGAACACAATCCAATTGGGCTCTTCTTGATCCCGTGTGCCGCCTTCAGAGCGGTCAAATTGGCGTCACTCGCTAGGTCTTTCATACCCTGTATTTTCTGACGAAATCACTGACTCGCCACTGGGTCCTGCGGCCAATTGTTATCAGCGACCACACATATTGCAGACAACTAAAGCAACTGCGCCTTGGACATAATGCCCGAGGCCATTATCAGGCCTGTGCACACCTATGCCACCTCCTTGGGCGCAACGAGTTGAGTTATTTATTTCATCGCGAAGGAACATGATGTGTCGATAGATGTGTCGATAGACCCGCAACTCAGGCTTCACACGTCGAGACCAGAACCGCATGGCTCTCAATCGGTTCCTGCATTCCTGTGACCGAGCTAGTCAATATCCTGCCAACCTTCTGGATCCTGGCACGGGCGCGTCTATACTTGACGAATATGTGCGGAGATTCCGCGAGCGTATCAATGATGATTTGCGGCTGTTTCAGCCAGAAGTCTACGCAAACATCGGTGTCCATCACTACCGCGACGAAAATGGCCAACGACACTTTCACGAAGAAGAGGTTACTTCATTGTCGCAACTCAAGCGAGTTCTGTCTGGTGGAACAGCCCAGCCGCCAAAGGACAGCCCATGTACTCTCGTGTTTGTTGGCGCTGAAAGTTCTCGTCACCCACTGAAAATCAGCAAGGATATGATGCTCTGGCTCATGACTTTCTATCAAGTGTTGCCAGCGTTTCTGGATTTTCTTTTTGCCTTCGGAGAGAAAGTGCACGATCTAGACTTCCACTCTGGTGGATTTCGGGACGACACTCGCGTCGGACCAGGCCTCGCTAGGGAACGACTTGAGGCACTGGGTCGCTCTGGTCGGGATACACAGTTGTGCTACAATCTGAAAACCTTCGAAGCGAAGCCAGGCCTCCGATGGCCATGGTCCAGTCGACAAGCAGCAATCTTCCATTCTTTTGATGCAGAACACGGTCAAGCAAGCTGGATTGTCATCAAAGCCAATAATGCTCTCCGCGATCGCCTGAAGGAGCTCTCGATCTCCTCGCTGGCTAAGGACCATGAAACCTACACCAACATCTCCAAACAGTTTGCATTCACCTTAGCATGCCACTTGGTCGTCATCGAATGGTGCGGGGAGAACTGGCGCAAATATCTGTCTGATATCGAGCACCTGATCTTGCCGTTTCGCCGCCGTGCAGTCGTTGACAAGGTGCCTAAATTCGTTCCCGAAGATATTTCGGGTCAACAGGAAGGACAAAACATTGCTATGCTTCCTCAACAGCCGCGCCGAGATACACTCCGTCAGTTTGCGCTCGGCAGTCGGAATTCGACCTCGTTGGCTGCTGCTGCGCAGACCAACGCAATGCCAAGCCCAAATCCACAGCTGACAGGGCCGGTGCCGATCGCCGCAACAGACTTGCCACGTGAGCCTCCGAATCTGCCGCCTGGATATGACGCCAAGGTGTCTAGCGGCACCACTACCGAAGATGATCAAAGGACATCACAGATCCATGATCTCCAAGACGCTCAGGCTCTAGAGAATAAGGTGACCGAAGCGAGGCTGGTGCTCAGCAGCAACATTAGTGTGTTGAACCAAATCACGGCTTACTATCATGACCTTTCCAGCTGTCCAGATCTTCCACGATCTTTACAGTCCATAATTCAACGAGAAGTCGGTCGTTTCGTGAGGCGGGTCTCCGCTGTCCAAGGGGATCTCGAGTTGCATCTAGCACGGATTGAAAACATGTCGAGCCAGATTGGCAAGTACAAAGACTTTCTCTACAGCATTGTCGAGTACCAGGCTGTGCAAGCAAACCTCAACTTCGCACACGAAGCCAAACACTCTGCAAATCGCATGGAAAGGATGACGAAGCAGATGCAGGAGATGACAACGAGAACTCTTGTGGAGACAGTCTCGATGCGCATCATAACTGTTGTTACTGTGTTCTTCCTGCCAGCAACGTTTGTCTCTACTCTGATGTCAACAGACATCGTCCACTATCAGCCCTCCGACTCTAGCATAACATCTGGCAGCTCCTCGGCAGGAGCGGTGAAGCTCTTCGTCTGCCTGTCACTCTGTCTCATGGCAGGCACTTTTGCAGGTGGGTTTGGATTCTGGTGGGCTGCATTAAGCATTCCAACAACATTATGAATCTCGGAAGTTGAGCGACTGGCAGGATTCAATCACTCGGCGAAGCATGGCGTGTATGATAATACTAGATACTTACAGTAAGCATTCATGTATTTCTCAACAATGCGGACCATGCAAGACACAAGTTTTGAAAAGGAGAAATATGCCTAAACAGCGGCACGGGGGGTGCACTGGGCAGTAAAGGTCCCACGTTGTCCAGTAGATTCGGACTTGTACCTCCCTGGGTAGGTATATTCGGCAGGGTTGGCCTGCAGCTCATTGGGCTGCTCGGGCAGGGAGCCTCACTTCAGCCCCATGAAGGAGCATCGATAGCTTAGCGAAGCCTGAGAAGCTTCTTTCTTCTTGCGATCGGGTTCAACATCCTGTGTGATTGTCGCACATCGACACATCTTAATCCTGGCATATTTTTGATGTGAATTTTCCGGCCGTGTAGATGGTAAAAAGCTACCGCCCGCGTCGGGTGTGTTACCACCGTCATACAAGCTCGCGGTTAATGCGCCATCGACCATCGTCCGAAAGGTAAAGCTATTGCAACATGGACACCCCGTTCCGAATGGCTGGGCAGGGCTAATTGGGGTGGCAAATGCTTGTATGCGGGGTGAATGTGGTTCGCAGGGCCTTTCGTAAGGCGCAAGCGACAACGTTGTACAGCAGGCCAGATAAAGAGGGTCCTGCCAGCCCTCGTCGCACCACTTACCGTTGCGCTGTGCTTTATTGACTGCCCCAGATTGTCGTCCACCACCATGGATCTCGGAAATCCATTGGCATAATTCCAGTCGTGACAATGATGTCGCGGCCGCCCTCGTCCCACTCTAGATTCGATACCAATCCCGACATTCAGGAATTTCGCGAGTGGATCGATCGCGACAGCTGCATCGGCGTCAGTTTCAAACGTGATAAGTTCCAAGCTCAGAAATTTCTTCCACCCGATCGCATTCGAGACTGGTTCGACTGGCATGACCCAGCAAAAGCTACCATAATCCTGGGGCTCGTCCGCGCAGCGCTAGGCTCCTCTGCCACGCGATCAGATGCGCTAGATATCGCGAAGCGATGCCCCGAGGTATTCTGTACCCTGATATACATTGGCAAGGCGAAATATATCAAACTATTCCTCCAGAATAGAAAGTTATGGCGACTTCCTCTGGAAGCCAACAGTCGCGCCTCGTTTCCCAGACTGGCCAATGGTGAGGACTTCTTCGATGAATTTTACCAGGAGCAATGGCGCTTCTGTGCAGAGCCTCTGAGTGGTGGCCTCACCACATCGATAATGGAAGACGATCGCATTCTGCCACTTGAAATTGTGACAGAATTGAGCAAGCATGGTGGGTCAAGTGCTGTCGTGCACTTGTGCAAGGTCCTTCCTGAGCTCGACAATTTGGACCGGGATGGGCGCGACCCATCAGTTTCGGAGGATGGTCAAGTACGCTTGTCGTTGCAGCTCTTTTGATCCTGTCTCTAACTTGTCCGCCACAGACTCACCAATACGTGGTCAAGTCCTACCATGACAGCGACCAGGCCCGGAAATATTTCGAGGCCGAGGTGGATGCTTTCCAAAAGCTTAACAACACCGGCGAAAAAATACCAAACCTAATCGGCTGCTACGGAGCTTTCAAACAGAACGGCAGCTATCATGTCATCCTCGAGTACGCCAACGTCGGTACCCTTGAAGATTACTTCAACAAAGTGAACCCGCCAGAGGAAAAGGGCGATGTGTTGAAGCTGTGGACGAATCTCTTTGATGTAAACAACGCCTTGGTGAAGATTCATGATGGCGGTGATAGCAATTCGTCAGCTTCCCAGAAGGGAGAAATATTCCAAGGGTGAGTATATCAGTGCCCGAAGCCTTTTGAAGGCCACCTTACAAGCTGTACTGACCTGTGAAGCTGGCATCAGGACATCAAACCATCGAACATCCTCGTGAAGGGAGATGTTGGCGTGGATCCGTACGGCGTACAGTTCATGCTAGCGGATCTCGGCCTTAGTCATTTCGCCAACACTATCACCGATACTGACACGCATGGGGCAAGATCTTATAGTAATGTTGTCCCACTGTCCTGCTTGCTTTGGCTGACTCTTTAGGGGCTCCGGAATGCAACACAGGTGCAGCTCACGCCTTTTCCCTACGCGTCAAACAGGTGATCGATACTTGGTCACTCGCATGTGTCTACAGTGAGACTATTGCTTGGGTAGTCGGCGGCCAGCATGAGCTAGGCCGGTATAGAGAGAGCAGAAGACGCGCTTCTTCGGACAGCAAGTTTCCAGGATTTCACTTCCACGACAACAAAGGCAACGTCTCTGACGTTGTTGCCGACTTACACCAAGAGCGTTGGCTGAAACGACGGAGACTCGAAGACACTGTCACTGCTTGTATCTGGCAGGAGCTACTACAGCACGTTTTTGTCAAGAGCGAGGCTCGGCTCAATGCTCAGCAGATGGTCACGTTTTCGGAGAACGTCATACGCCGGGCCACGATCGGGCCCCTTCAGCGGGCTGAAACAGCTCCCACGTCTGGCCCCGACGATTCTGATCGGCCAAGGACGCCACCCAACAGTCCTCCAGGATACATGGCGTCCCATTCGCGCCAAACCAGCCACAGGCACCCACCTCTGGAGACCGCCCACAGTAGTCCTCCAGGTTCGTCGGCTCTATATGAGAGCAGTGAAGCGAGACGGTGGACTAAGAGCTCCAGTGGTAAGGAAGACCACAGCCCATCACCAACGACTGGATCTACGGAACCACATCAACATCATGGTTCGCCATCGCAGAGCCAAAATCGCCAGCCTTTGCACTCTAACATCTCTAGAGCTCGCACGTTCGATGAGCACAGACCAGACATTTGGGATGATCCAGGCTCTCCTGTCCCAATTGCGATGAGGTCGCGTGTTGCAACCGACAGCGCCTCACATGCCCAACACAGGGCCGATGTCAATCGGGCATTAGCCCTGGAGAGATTAGAAGCAGCACCGACACAATCGACAAGGCAGAGACCATCCACTCGAGAGTATTCGAGCACCACTGAGCCTCAGAAGATTGCATCGAAACTGCCTGATTTTAGTCCTGATGAGCTGCGAGATTGGGTGAAGGAGGTCAAGGCGGCGAACGAAGGCCTATGGAACAAAATGAAAAGTCGTGTCAGTACTATGCAGATCAAAGCATTGCCTAACGAGAAGAGATTCCTGGAGCAACTGAGCGAGCGAGATCATGTGGGTATTTTGCGCGCTGACGCTTTTCTTATGTGCTAACACACGTCTCAGATTTTCGTTCTTGATGATGGCAACAGCATGCGGGAGCACCGAAAAGCTATGACCCAACTCTCCACTAATCTCATGTTCTTTATCAAGCACAAGAAGCTGGACTTGGATGGGAGTACAGTCTGCTTCATCGCATCATCAAAGCAAATTGAGCATCAACACATCACTGAACTCACCAAATTTGTTCAGCGGAATCTACACTTCGAGGGCAAACCCAACTTCGCCCATCGACTGGAGAAGATCTTGGAGTGGTACCGTACTAAGCTTCGAGGGCAACCAAATGCGAAACCAATCAGTCTCTATGTGTTCACAGACGGGACATGGAGGGGTACCGATGATGCAGATCCCACTAGTCCCGAGGAAGACATCGAACTACAGGATGTGGCTAATGTCATTGACAACACCGTTGAGTTTCTCGAGAGCAGGCGTGCACGTCTGAAGCAAGTCGGCATTCAATTCATCCGGTACGGTGACGACGAGGTTGGCAGGGCCCGGCTGGAGTGGCTCGACGACGAGTTGAAGGGAGCCAAGAATATGAAAAGGGACATATGTGATACGACTGGCGCTAATGGCAATGTCTGGAAAATGCTGGTGGGCAGTATCGACTCAACCGTGGATCCATTAAAGGATGTGACCAACGGCGTGGTCCGATGATGGAACGACGCAATCAAGCGAAGTCGGGGAAGGCCTAAGCCTTCACCACACACTTTGTCAGCGAAGGTTACCAGAACGAAGGGCGACGATTGGCGACATTGTTGATTGCGGCAGGCACATCAGCCTCGATACGATGCACAGAACATCTAAAAATTTACGACCAACATGAACACCCAGAAATAGACTAACGACTTCACACAGCGGACTGAACTGCCAGCACTGCTGCTGGCCGGAAGGAACCAGCGTCCATATCGGCAAGCACGACCGACTCCGAAAATTGTGCAAGGCCAGAAAGGCACAATAGATGAAACCCTTGCGCCACGAAAATAGAATCGTGATTTATTACTAGATACCCCCTAATGTAATTGAATGTTCAGAATTTAAATAAGATCAACTGCGTCTTGTACCTCTTCTGCTAACTCAACCTTAAGATACCAGGCTACCTCTAACCCCACAATATATACTGACAACCTGAGTGTTGGTTTTACAATACTTGGCACACAGTTGTGTAGACGCAGCCATTGGACTGGAGTTCAGTTCGTCAGAGCATATCGGATAGATATGAACATCGATTCTGTACGATCGCGATTTCCATAGACTAGTTGTGCTGAGTATCTGAGAGGTCTCCAGGCAAGTAGCCGGTCTGCTGGAGACAGTACATGGGCTCAGCAGTCCAATCCCTGTTTTCCAGCCCTGGATGTACAAAATAAGAATCCACACAATCGTACATCGTCATACAAATCTCGTCCGGACCGAATATGTATGACTGCTTTTCACAGTAGCCTTTGTGAGCTTGCGCCCATGGCTTACACTGATTCATTAGCTTAGCATCAGCGTTACTGCACACAGGAGTGTTCCAGATTGTACAGGCACCTAGTTAAGACCTTTCTTAGCCAGCAATAGACACAACACGACATAGGCAGTGTACGCACCAATGTTATTGACGTCGGTAAATGCATCAAGGGGCTGCGCGCCTTTAGGATAGAAGACCTTGCCGTTATAGTCTTGTGGAAATTCTCCGTTGGTGCGTTTGTTCTGGCAGTCGACTGCAGATTTCCAGCTTTGCTCAGCACTCCAGTACTGGCTTAGCTTATTGCTGACATCGAGCATTTGGGTATAGCCGAGATGTCCCTTCATGGCGTAGTGTGTGTGACCAGCAGTGTCCCTGTTACCGGGGTCATCGCCCTCCTGTGGTCCGTTCCAATGATGCCAGACGAGTGGCCTGTTCGACGTGAGTCACACGATCTCCAGCTTGAGGGTGATGATACGAACTGGAGTCTATACATGCCGCCATCATCCGTCGCTCTGTATGATGTGGGTGTGTCCAGTAGAGGGACCCACGACTCCAATTGAGCGTTTGAATCCCACAAGTTGCGATAGAATTTCCTGTGTTGCTCGGTCAGTAGGTATTGCATAGGACACCGTTCTTCTACACGCACAAAAGGGGGATTCTAGTAGACTCAAAGACCTTGGCAATGATATAGTTGACCATAGGACCCTTGACTACCTCCACACTCTCGGTAAAGTTGTTTTTCTGCCTTTCAATCAGCAAGGCACGTTGTTCATCAGATACATGCGTACCACTGTGTCTAATAGTGCTGGTGGGGAGTGCCAGTCAAATATCTTTAGAAAGTTCTTCTTTTTCGTGGAGGGATGCTGACTGCCCACTGCCAAAGCGAACTGATCCACGTATGCTGTTCTGATAGCTGTGCTAGTTTGGGCAAACATGAAAGACATGTCGAAGAGGTTTGGCTGCGGCAAAGTGATTGACGGTTTTCGAGGGCCTATGAGCGCAAATTAGAGTTGGTTGTCTCTGCGAGGCTTTCAAGACCATACCTCTGATAGCATCGATGTACTCATACCACGCGAGAACACCGCCGATTGCTTCACCTGCTTTGCCTAGTGGACATGTTCCAAGAATCACTATGTTGTCAGCATTTGATTAACGAAGTGCGGACACTGAAGGCGTACAGTCAAAAAGGCCGAGTACGTCGAATGAGTCGTCTTCTGGCTTCTCCTTGGTCTCCGGAACTCTCATCATGTCAACTATTCCCGGTAGCACACCTGCCGCCCACGCTGTGGCAACGTTGAACGTTTCCAAGAGAATCCTGGTGACGCTGTACTGCTGGTAGATGGCCGTAGTTATCATGAAAGCGCCAATTTCGAGATCGGTAGCTGCAGATACTTTAGCGGGCTTCGGGACCATGTGGGGACATGGAGACAATACCAGTAGCCCCCGGCACCAGTGGCTCAACACAACCAGTGAGACTAGCCAGCATTAGAGTCTGGATCACAAAAAATCGATTTCGACTCACATATCACAATCCATCCTAATACCTTGCTTCCCATCATAGACATAATTTCCAAGGTTTTGCATGAAACTGTCGAAGAAGCCATAACGGTATGAGTCGTCTGAACGTGCTGCAACAGTCTCGAGGATGTTCTTAGATCCGTATTCAGTCCAGAGGCATTCCGGCGGGTTCTGGACCATGTTTGTATCGTATGCGCAGGATTCCGTTCGTCTGAAATGTGGCTGTTAGAGCAGCGTAGTGGATGGAGGGCCAAATTTCTTCCCAACGTACTCGTAAATGAACACATCTTCAACTGTCTCACTGGTGTGGGCAGCGTTCACATTGGACACTTTGTTAAATGTCATGCTCTCATAGGGACCTGGGTTGCTATTTGAGACTGCTCAGTCATCAGATTGTGCAAATATGGGAGCACTCACTAATAGCAAGTCACAGAATAATAGGGGTCAGGCTTGTAGACGAGGCCCCAACTCTGGGCAAGGCCCACAGATATTGTGGCTGCGCTCGATCGCAAGCTGGGATCAGCTGGTGCTGCCTGGTGTCAGTGTGACACATCTTTCGAACAACAAGAGTTTGCTTTACCCAGGGTCTTGACATAGTGGTCCAAGCACATGTCGAGTGCCTGTGATACGGTAACTGCGAGGTGAAATTTTGTCGGCTTATTCCAGATGTACTTTGCAGCTGGTAAAGTCGAGAAGCCATTGCTGGAGATCTTGGAGTATGTTCTTGGGTAACCAGCAAGTGCTGGAGGTGTTCCTTGCTTTTTAGGGTTGTACTTGAGTACAAAAGACCGACTCGTTCCTTGACGCTTTCTCACAGGTCTCATATCCGTACCATTAGGCAATGTTGAACTATCGGCACCTATGCCAGTGGACAGTGCGCTACTAGCAGTACTGCTGCTGGTGTAACCGACTGCTTCAGCTGTAGCATTTTCACCGGTGCTGTTAGAGTCATCTTCGGGAAGCGCATCGGGGTCCATGTAAATTGTTGAAGACCTGAAACTGTGTTTAGGGGCAGGCTTCTTTGGTAGTCAAAAAGCGATCATTGTGACTTACAGGGAAGCAGTCATGCTGTACTCATCAACTTGCGTAACGCTGATCTGAAACTCCGCCAGTGTATCGTTATTGGTGGTAGAGAAGGAATCTAGGCCTGTGAGCTTCTCCAGCTTGCCATTGGCATATGAAGGTACCTAGATGGTTGTCATAAACATATTTAACAGCTTCCGAAAATGCATCCTCGAGTCCAAGCGTTGTCCAATTTAAGTTGATGTTGGCCAAAAAATTCGAGGATATAGCAGTCAATGCCGAGCTGTCCACACTGTTGTCACCGCAAGAGATATCCCAGTCCGGTATAAGAATGTTGAGAACATCGTTGCAGCTAACGTCCGCGATTTTCGGCAAAGCCGGGATGGCTGCTGTGTCATCGACCTCAACCGGCCCATTCTGCGACTCTGTCCCATTGGTAAGAGTACTCTGTGCTGGAGCGTCGGGCCTGTATCTTGCACGGCAGGCTTGCTAGATGTCCTGCCAGTAGAGCTTGCGCCACCTTGCCCAATGATAAAGAGTAGAACGAAAACAACTAGACGTGGAGGCTTCATGGTTATGACGGCGGGATTTGCTTACACCACAAGGATCATCGATGCGCTGCCGCAGTCCTCTCGAGCAGCTGGCCAGTTTCTACTTACATGAGTGTTCGCCGAAGGAGTGTTCTAGGAATTAAGGGTCTCAACATCCACTGTGGCTGCTTTATGGAATGTCCACGTGGGCGCGTAGATAGCAGCTGAGACCCCTGATTCTCGAAATCCTCGTGTGGCTCTGATAATGAAGACGTATAAAAGCTGACAATGTTCATCTTCGAAGGGAAGCTCGAGTTTGACTTGCGAAGGAATGCTCCGTTCAGAATCGCGTCAGCCATTGTCCCAAAATACGTGTCATTAGTCGCAGGAGCTCCTTGAAGGAATGTAGGCAGGGCGGCCGTTGGGCCATGCCGCTTCGCGTGACATTCGAGCCCACCATAGGAGTTTTGACAACTGCGAATCAGGCCACAGGTTCAGCTGACGAGCTAGACGAAACGTTCGGCCTCTTGCGCCCACATCTCGAGTCGAATGGTGGGAAGTCGTGGAGATGAGACCAAGCAGAACGCGTCAAAACAAGCTTTGGGCCTTCTCCAAAAATATCTCCCTCTATCTCGCTGGCATACAATGCATCGTCACAATCGCGATCAGTCTCTACTAACTTACAATGAACGGTTGGATACAGGTTCGACCATTAATATGTGAGAGTACTCTTCTGCGACAGTGCAGGTGAATTAGTTGCTTACTGACGCTAGAGCCCGTGCAACTGGGCAGAGCGGTGTCGCTTGCGAAGCTTGCCTCCTGTCGTCTGCAGGCGCGCCTCCTAAGACTCTCATGCCGAAGCACGCGCTTTGTTCGCTGGACAGAAGCTCGTGGCATCAACTCAGCGACCCAAGCGACCGTGCGGCGCCTGTCGCAAATGGAAGCTGAGATGCGTACCCTTCGAAACCGAAGCAGTTTGCGCCTTGTGTCGGTCTTACAGACAACAATGCTCTTTCGTTGAAGCACCACCAAAGAAGATACGCAAATAGAGGGACGCCTCAGCGACTAACGCGTCCGCACGCATCAACGCGCCCCGAGCAACCCATCTTTGCTGGACGGCACGCTTGGGCGATGTGGCCTGCTGCTGCCTGTAGCTCCACAAAGTGATCCTAATCGAAATGCTGGCTCACACTCCTGCTGATTGAGCTGCCAGTGATCGTTTGGCGTCGGCTATGAGTTGTCGGAAGTCCCATGGCTCCAAATGCGCTCGTTCTTTGCCTGCTGCTTGCTGCTCTTGCTCGTGCTGCGCGTCTTGTTCTGATTCTGGTCCTGGTTCTGCCTCCTGCTGTGATTCTTGCTCCGCTTCCTGCTCCGTTTCCTGCTCGACTACCTGCTCCGCTTCCTGCTCCGCTTCCTGCGCTGAGTCCAGCTCGACTTCCTGCTCCGCTTCCCGCTCTGCCTCCTGTTCGACGTCCTGTTCTCGCTGCTGTGCTTCTTGCTCGACCTCCTGCTCTGCTCGCCACTCGGCTTCCTGCTCTGCGACCAGAAACCGTTCCAACTGCTCCTCTGCTTCTGCCTCCGCCTCGTCGTCCTCACCTCGATCCTCAGCACGATCCGTAACGACTTCATGACCTTGTCGAGCCCATCTGGCGCGACATGCAGGGCAGTTGATGTTAATACCTTGGTCCACCTGGGACTGATTCCAGTCTGCGAGACACACTGCGTGGAAGACGCGCTCGCAGCACCGAACCTGGACAATCCACGCGCGTGCTTCCCAAGGATCTCTGCAGTCCGGGCAGACCTCGACGTCGCAGTCCCGGGAGATAGTTACGGTGTCTGGATCGTCCATTGGGATTGAGCGCAGGAACCCGTTGCGATCCTCGTGTAACGAGACGAGAGCGGCAGTGATGCTGGGTGGCACTGTCCTGGTCATGCAGATGATCTCACGTACAGCGTAGCTGCGTTCGTCGATGTTCGAGGGCGGAGTAGGAGTAGGAGCAGGAGCAGGAGCAGGAGCAGGAGCGAAAACGTAAGCGAGAGCAGTGTTGATGACTGCGGGCGGCGCGAGAGCAAGGATAGCACCGGGGAAAGGAGCAGCGGAGGCCTCGTTGTGATTGCGGCGGAGATTGTGAGCTACCATGTCCATAGCCTGGGAAGCGCGAGGATTCTCGGCTAGCCATCGTTCGTTGTGTGCTATGCGTTCCCAAGCTCTGATCTCTGCTGGGTCACGGACTGTGGCGTATACTGCGTCGAGGAGATTGAATGAAGGCATCTTGTTGTCTGAGTTGTGAAGGTATTGGTTGAGAGAAGGGACCGGAAGGGTTAATGCAACTGAATGCTGCTGCTGCTTCTGCTTACAGTCGCGTAGTAGATGAGTGCCGATGATGAGTGATGTTCGCACGTTGTTAAAGTGGTTGAGAAGATACAACGAGAGCATGAACAGGGGCATCTCTATATACCTGAGGAGGAAGGTACTCATTCTGCTCAAGGTAATCACTGCTCAAGGTAATCGATCGTAACTGCAAACTGTACGCAAACCTGCTCATCGGTGACTGGGACGTGTCTGTGTATATACTGAAGGCTGAGTGGAACTCATCTGTGACTTAGAAAGGCATCAAGAGGCGGAATCATGTCCGAACCCTACTGCATCCTTCGCGCGAGCCTCAACATTCGTGCATGATATTCCACAGCCATGTCACCGCATTCCTCATGTCCTCCCGGGTTTGTCGTCGCATAAAGGACTGGAAAATCCATCTGCCATGTTAGCGTGAGGGCCTGATGGCCAAGGTACTGCATCAGATGATTCTGAAACTAAAAGCCGCTGCTGTTGGTGGCGTCGATGCGGCGCCTTTTCGGGGCTCGTTCGCTGTGGCCTTCTGCTTCTGATTCCATGCCTGCTTGTTGCTGTACTTGGGCCTCTGCCTCCCGGTCTGCTTCTTGTAGTGCCACACCCTCTGCTTCCTGTTCTCCTTCATGCCCTGCTTCCTGCTCTGGTTCAATTTCAGTGTCATGCTCTGCTTCATGGTCTGCCTCCGCCCCTAGTCCCAGAATCGCAAGCCACTGCTGTTCTCTTTCCAACTCTATCTCCGGTTGGTCGTAGATCACAGTGCAATCGTCATCCACGAACCACCTAGCATGACAGAAGGGGCAATTCATTCGGCTCTCAGTCTCGAGTTTGGAGCAATGCGCCCGGACAAGACATTCTGCGTGAAAGAAGCGCCTACAGAAACACTCGACCTGCACGACGCGCTCGCCCACCTCGTATGGCTCATCCAACTGGCACATCGGACAGTCCTCGACATCGGAATCTCGGTCAATGGTCCGGGTTGGTGATTCGTGAGGTACGCGAGAGCAAGGGCATGTGCTGGTATTCCCATGTGCGCAAGGAATCGCGACAGTGAAGGCGAGCGCTTTATTTTCAGCATTGAATTTGGTAGCGATGACCTCTTCGACGAAGTAGCTGTCTTCGTCAACGGGAGGAACGAGCGTTCTGTCGCTGTCGTATGATGTGGATTGAGAACCGGCAGTGAGCTCTCCTTGTTGCTGTGCAGGCTCTTCCTCGTAAGGAATAGCAGCCAGAACAGCAGCAGGAGAAGGAGCGGCGGAGCTCTCGTTGCGGTTGAGGTGGCGGCGAAATCGCCGGGCTGATATCTCCATGGCTGGGTTGGCATAAGGATTTCCGGAACGGTTGTCTGCAAAGGCTTGGAAATTTGCAATTGCTTCTGGGTCGTCCGCATATAACTCGCGAACCAGGTCCATGAACAGAGAGGATGGCATTTTGATGCTTGACTCGTGAAGGACTGGATTGGACTGGAAGGGAATGCTGCTGCTTGTGCTTGAGCACCCGTAGCAGAGGGGTGCTGATGGTGAGTGAGGTTTGGGTGGTGTCAAGATAGATGAGGACATACACAAGATCATGGGCAGCAGGATCATCGCTATGTAGTTGAAATCGAAGGTACTCACGATGCTCAAGGTACTCCGACGTCGTTGCAAAGTGGATGCAAACCTGCTCATAATCAATTGGGACGTGTCTGTGTGCATGCTGAAAGCTGTTTGGAATCTGTCTATCAAGGTACTCGTCCCAGGTCGGTTGTACCGAAAGAATCTGTCGCGCTCGATGTGTTGACAAAGTCTCAAGGTTCGTATAGCCGATACCTGAAGTTTGTTATGGAGGAGCGACGACGAGACTGGTGGCAAAAGCTCCCTTTCCTTTGTGACATGCTCATACTTCTATACCTTGCCATCATTGTACCTGATCCAATCGAGATCACTGAACACAATACCTTTCATGAAACTGTTTATATGTCGTTCAGAGCAAGAAATTTGATCACAAAAGTATACACGTGGCCTGCGAGATGCGAGTGTGTCGTGGCAGTGAGCTAGACAGTTGGGCGTGCATCCTCTCGGCTCTGACGATATGGCGAGGTCATGGACGCGGCCTTGCGATGCATCGGGAAGGCAGTGCTGATGAAGTGGAATGGACAGGCGTGTTGGATCATGCAGTGCAAGGCGTTCCGGGCGGCTGGGAGGGAAGTCACGTGCTCGCATGAGCCGTCGCGGTCTTCAAGACTCGACCACCGGAGTTGTTGAAGCGACGAGGACGGGAGAGCAGATCAAGAAAGCACGCTCAATGATGGCGGCTGCAACGATGGCGGCTGCCACGATAAAGTTAGCACCATTGAGGGGATCGACGTCGGAGCTCGAGACGCGTCATCGACCATCCGTCCCTGTCACTCCTCAGCGACAAGTCGCTATGCAGCAGTACACAAAAGCTCAGACAGCCACTTATATGTGGAAATCCACTTCTCTCTCTTGAGTCCCATTTCTCGGCCTCATCGATTCACACCATGGCTCCTCTGAAGGCCCTCATCTTCGGCGCAACAGGCGCCGTAGCCCGGCACTGCGCAAAAGAAGCCCTCCGCCACGACAACGTCTCCCTAACACTCGCACTACGCGACCCAAATAAACCAATCCCAGACCTCCCATCCTCCCTCCCGCGAGTCCAAGCTGACCTCACGGATCCGACCTCACTCCGGTCCGCCGTGCAAGCCTCAGGAGCAACATCAGCATTCATCTACGCCCAAGGCAGACACCGAGACAAAGAGCAGATGAAAGCCAGCATTGCCGCCCTTGCCGATGCAGGCGTCACCCATATCGTGCTTCTGAGCAGCTGGACGATCTACCCGCTCTCCATCGACGACGCGTACGCGCAAGGGGACGAGCACGCGATACCCGCGAAGCACGCCGCCGCGGAGATTGCATTGCGAGAGGTCAAGGAGAGGTATCCTGATTTGCGATACGCGGCGGTGCGACCGTTATACTTTGCTACTAATGTGCTTTTCGAGGATCTTTCGAGGGGAGAGGTCAATGTACTGAATCCTGCTGGTGGATGGGACTATATTTCGTCTGAAGATATTGGAACGGTGTGTGGTCGTCTGCTTGTTGATGGTGTAGAAGGCGTTGTCCCGATTGTGGGACCGAGGATCTTGTCTCAGAGCGAGGCGTGGGGCATTATTGGCCGGGTGCTTGGTAAGGAGATACGTGTGAAGGATGTGACGGAGAAGGAGTTTCTCAAGGGTAGTGAGGAGCCGATGATGAAGAGCCTTGCTCGGAATAGGCATAGGAGCGACGAAGAAAAGTATCCGACGGATTTGGTGAGCGAGGCGAGGGCGAATATGAGGAGGTATGTGGGTAGTGAGGGGATGGGCTTTGAAGAATGGGCGACGAGGCATAAGGGTGAGTTCAAGCAGTAAGTGTACGTTGGATCTCGACAGGTATTTGCGTGGCTAGAGTATCCATCGTGTGCGCTTACCATTTGTTGAGAAGACTGATGAATGGCTTTGATGCCTTGCTCTAACAGACCCATAATTCCACCGATGATTTGGGTATCCGTCATTTCGTAAACGCCATATGTATACTCCTTGATGTGCAACGCCTGATCCATGCAGAACGCCCTCGAGCTGCCCTCACATTCGCTGAATAGTCTGATCGTTCGTGAATTTGTCCAATGACTTCTGCTCCAATGCATCCCACCATTTGAACAGGAAGCTCTCGCAGATGAGCCGAAACCACGGTGTATACTTCAGATCCCTGTCCTTGCCCGACTGTGTCTCAACATCCTTGAACATCTGCCGCAGCTCATCGGGACTGACCCATCTCGTATCCTTGACCTCGTTTTTGTTGATTTCCAGATCTACCTCTGCCTCAATAAACAGGATATAATCGATCTCGTGCTCTCCCCATTTGCCGTCACTCGGCGCCAAGTAGTGTATCCGGGTGAGGAACTCGAAGTCCTGGAATGGCACTTGACCACTCCTGATGCCCAACTCGTGATCTAATTTCCGGATCGCAGCTCGCTTCGCCCCCTCAACGTTACTGACCAGATCACCTTTCCCTGCTTCGGCGGGGTGTGCCAGCGGATGACTGCAACAGGTATTCGTCCACATATCCGGGAACGTGATCTTCTCTGTCGCCCGTTGCTGTAGCAGGAGCTTCTTTGTGGTAGGATCGAACAAGAAGCAAGAGAATGCGCGGTGAAGCAGGCCGGCGTTGATGTTGGTCATGAGATGGCATGCTTTCTTGGATGCAGAGCCAATTGGGTTGTCGTCGGCGTCTAGGACCACGCATACTTCGTCCATTAATCTAATTTGCTCTTCATCGTAGCCTGCTAGGTCGTTGGTATCGGTATCACCGTTCGTGGCTAGAGAGGCGGTTGGGGGGAGATCTTCGCCGATGAGTCGTGTGTGCACTTCGGGAAAGAGACTTGTGACGTTTGCGGCGGTGATAGTTGCCGTTGAAGACATGATGGTTACGCGATCGACTGTAGGTCGCAGTAGGCTCTCGACGACTGCTTAGGTGCGACAATGCATTGAGCGTGAGGTCCAGTGCGCTTTCTTGAAATGGCGGGGAATCTCAAAATGTTTTTGTTCCAGGTCGTCCCATCCTTAAGAGAGCGCCTATGATTGGTCAGCCTTGCTTGAAAGGGCCTCTGTCGCTTGTTCCTGCTTCTGCCCCTGAAGCTACCTAGGTAACCCCAAAAGTACACCATGACTTGAGAGTGAGATGCCGTGCCTATATAAGTGCTTCGTGGCTTGTGCTGAGCCTCTTTGACTACTTGACTACAGAGACGTCGGTGGGGCAGATAGATCAGATGCAAACGCTAGTCTATATGGTACACAAGGCCTCGCACCCTTTTCAACATACAGCCAGATCATATCCGAGAGACACTGCTCACAGGCGAGTTCTTGACACTCTCCATCTCCCTCGACCTCGCTGATTGGTGCCCAGGCATCAGGAGCTCGAATCGTTCAGACGATTGTGCCGAACCATGCCCATCCCTTGCTGGGCTGTGCCAGCCGCCGGCACTATTGACGGCCAGATTTCTGCTCTTTCTGAACTTCACATCCCAGGCCGCCATCACCGGAACACGATTACCATTCTTGTCGGTCCACGGTCCGATACCTTGACCTTCGAAGGCTTGACGTTGAATTTGAAGGATGTCGTCCTCCTCCCATGATGACAACTTGGTGCAGGCGGTGTGTTCGTCGGATCCGCCGATCACGTCGCTTGGCCCTCGATGGCCTTTGCTGACCAGCCATGGCAAGTACACGTCCGTCAGGATAATCAGAGCGCTCAGCACCACGACCAGGATAATTCCGAGCATGCTGAATGAGTTGTATCCGGCGATGTGGACGAGCTGATTCTTGCACAGTTTTATGCCCTCAGGCTCTTCTTCAGGGAGAATGTAGTCGTGCAACCACTGGCCGTCTTTGATCTGGATATTTGGACTCCCAACATGATCGATCGTGTTCAACTGCAATCCAGCCAGAGTAAGATTGTGAAAGTTCTCGACTTCTCGGTGCCACTGGTCATCTGGCAGGGGCGTAGATATGCCAAAGGAGCCGTATACCAGCTTCGTCGACACAAGCACCTCGTTCTTGAGGAAGGTCAGCACGCTGTTTAGGCGCATGTAGTACAGCATTATTCGCATCATTTTGTAGAGCGCGGCCTGTCTCCCACTCAGCTTTATGGAGTCCGGAGCTAGAGCCTCATCGAAGTCATAAAGACTGCCGAGACGGGTGCAGCTGTTGTTCCCGGTGAGGGCAGGATTACAAAACTGGAATTGCTCCGTACATGCCAGAGCAGTGAGTGATGCGGTCGATATCCAGGATTCGTTCAGTCGATTGCCACCAATCGGCAGGTCTGCTCGGAAGAAAGGATCTCTGACCTCGCCTGTATACGCGACGCGGTTGTTCAGCGTCATGATTGAGACGTCTGCATCAGTCCGATTCAAGGCTGGGTCAGGCAGGAAGCCACTCTGTGTAAAGTTCTTCGCAAAGGCTGTGCGGACACTAGATACATCAGCCAGCGGCTATTGCAGTATCGCAAGACTTACTCGAATGTGTATGGCAGTCCCTGCACGTATGTCGAATAGTTGCTCTTCACAAAGGTGAAGTTGCTGATAGGTGTGCCAAAGAGGAAACTCGGCCCCAGATTCCAGTACTTGAAGGTATCGTTCGGCAGCATCGCCGGAAAGAACATTTCCGTACCAGGCTCAAGATCTTGAGTGAAGTCGGTAGAATACCTCTGCATGTCTATGGGCGCACAAGATGTCACCCTCCGCACTTCAAGCGCGTCTGAGTCTGGTGTGTTGACGCCCAGATGCTTTCGAGAATGGATGCGTCCAGAGTCAATCGTGTATGCGGGCGTAGAGCAGACACCAGCTGCGAAGGGACACTGCGCTTCTCGTATAATCTCTGAAGCAATGTACGGTACGGCAGGCTCTTTGCACATGGAATTAGATGAGTTCAAGAAGCCGCCAGCGTAGCAGCTCTGAGCATATATCAGACTCGTCTTGTATCCATTGTAGGCTGATACGAAGAGAGCGTCGCCCTTGGCCCAGTCCTCGCGGGTCCAGAGAGGGAAGTCTTTGTCTGCTGTCTGTTGCCCATCAGATCGTGGATTGATGATAACTCACAATAAGTGAATGGAGCGTACCTGTTCGATCCAGCCGCATGTACCACGTAGTAGACCTTCGGTATTGCCCATAGTCACTTTTGCGGAGAAGATACCGCAAACGACAAACACTGCGAGATTGATCGTCGCGAGTGTGGCGAGAGGGAGACTCCTTCTGAAAGCGCTTGGGACGGTTGATCGCCAGCTCCAGCCAGTCTCGTATATCCTCCAGATGCTTCATCACTCGTTAGCCTTGACTTTTAGAGCGAATGCATTTATCCAGCTTGAGGCTGTGACATCCAGGCGAAGAGTTCATGTATCGCCACGAATATAGTCAAAAACTCACAAGTCAGTCTCTGGCATCTTGGATCGGAGCAATGCTTGGTGCTGATGATGTAGGCCATCGCTAGAAGTTTGTTTTGTTCGGATGTGATGCAGAGTGTAGCATACGATGCCCCAGAAACGGCTGCCAGCCCAGCGGACGAGCAGGGCAACTATGGCAATCAATACGACACCATAGGAGCTTGGGACGGTAAGGGTCCAGCCCTCTGTCTTTCCCAAGCCTGTCTCGAATATCAGTTGTTACATCTCTGAAGCGCAGGGACACATACTCCAGTTCGTCCATACGCCCACGTAGACGTCTCGTGTCGACATGTCGCGAGACCAGTTCGCCGTCTAAACATCAGCAATCGCATCGAACCCGAGAAGAAGAAGTGCAAAAACAGCGATTTTACCTCTCATCGCGTTCGAGCGCAGCGTGCATGAGTCTAGCAACGCCATCCTGGCCCCTCACCATAGGGTCAAGCTCTCAGATACGAGAAGACCAATGATTCTGGGCCTGGGCTTGTCGAGCTGCGATCGAACACGAGCGACACGAGATATGAAGGCTTCGGCGTGCTTGGCACCAGTGGCAGGATGAGAGGTCGACCAGCGGATGTGCGATTCCGACTCGGTAGGTCGCACAGGGCTAGGGAGATGTCTCCTTGGAGCATTCAACAGAACCGCCGGGACTTGCGAAAGCCGGGACAGACTTCATCCTCGTGGCCAGCAGGAGCTCCGAGTCTACTAGTCGGGCGACTGTCCATACTTTGATGGTACAGTGGTTGATGAGGAAGAAAAGTGATCGAGTCTAGACTCACAAATGTGCTTAAAGTTGAAGTGGCTTGCGGCGGAGAGGGGCGGAGCTAGGCCCCGATAGGCTTCAGGCTTGGCGTGCATCATCCGAAATGTGTTCTGCTCTAAGGCCTCAAAGCTTCAACACGTTGTCTAGCCATCTCGATCCTCGACAGGTTCTCGACCCCAATGCGCCAGTCCTCATCGCTGTCATCATTCATGAGCCGCTTCCTTTTAGACCGCCGGTTGTCGAAGACTGTGACCGATTCGTAGTCCTCGTCGAACATCCATCGACCATCCTCGAACGTCTCGGGTAGCGATTCCCCAGACACAGTCTGATCATCCATGTCCATATCCACGTCTTTCGTCTCTAGATCTTCCCAGTCACTTTCAGCGTACTCTTCCAACAATGCATTGCATTGTACAGCGATGCGCTCCTCGAGGAATTCAATCTCATTCAGCAGCCGAGGCGCTGCACCATGGTAGTCCAGATCAAACAGTTGTGGCATTGAGATCAACTTGATGTCGTGTGTTTCCGATAACTGCTCGAGGTAGCTCAAGAGGCCGTTACGCTTGCAAATTAGTGATATGATGTGTTTCCTCTCCTCTGTCGTGTAAAAGTTGCAGCGCTTGCCGTCAGACCTGGCCATGGATGGCATGCTGTCAGACATCAAGTCCATTGTGTCGGCGGCCGCAGTCCTCATCTTGACCGTCTGAACTACGCTGTGATCATCGAAAGCATTTCTATGCAGGCGCAGTAGCTTTATGCGTTTCGCTGACAGGCAGCATATGTACTAAGACAGTGTTTGCCTACTGAGTGGGGTAGGGGCGAAATCCAATGATCCTTGTAAGTTGACCTTCACAGCCTGTTCGCTCTACTTGTCTTGGTCAGAATCTGCATCGATTCTGCTTGGAGTGGTCTTTCGGGTTGTGGACATACTCATACAGACTTAGAACCCGCTGGGAATGTCCACACTCAAGCCTCATCGTCTCGTCGACGGACCTTCGACGCCGGGTCACTGCCTCTTCAGCATCCGTTGGTATTTTGCTGACATGTAGCTTGGTTGACAATTGTGTGGGCAGAGGTGCTTATCGCAAAAGCTCCGATGAAAGACTCCCGAGTTGATGGAAACAGGTATGGCATTGATGGTAGTATCTGCAGGGACTAGAAACTCTCACGCCCGTAAAAACCACCCAAAAATTGTCCTCACACAAATGTTTTCGTACAAATCAAGAAAGAAAACGGAAACCAGGGCCCAAGGGGAGCGCGAACGCGCACCCAAAGGCAGAAACCAAAGCAAAAATTTTGTCCAGAAACGAGATCAAAAACCACCACGACGTCCTCCCGCTCCACCCAGGATCGAGTTCTGGCTCGGAGCCGGAACAACAGCAGCAGGAACAGGATCAAGAGCCTGCATCTGCGCTTCCATGCTGCCATAAAGGCCATGGATGTAGCTATCCGTGCTCGCGTTCCGGCTGTGGCCGTGGCGGGAACGGGAGCGCAGAGACAGATCCTGGTCGCGTGGGATCTCGCCAGAGGCCTCCCGAGCAAGGCGCTGGCGCTCCCCGATGACGAGCAACGTCTTTGTCTGTACCTTCTCAAAGATCTGGAAGGTGATGTATGGCGCGCCCAACATCTCAAAGATGCGCGGAATGTCGTTGAGCCACTTGCGGATGACGCTATCGCCTGCACAGAAAGTTCGGACCAGCATCTCGTTGGCCATGACTCCCCAAGCGTACAGAGCAGCAGTCATTGCGACGTGATCATGAGCAATGTCTCCACAGAACTCGACTTGTCCCAGGTTCTCGAGAATCAGACGGCGTTGAGTGCCCTGATCGTATTGATATTCCACGACCTGAGCGCGATTCTTGTCCTCCCACTCCTGGCGGACTCTGGCAATGCTAAGGGGCGAGATACGGCCAGCCTTGGCTTCCCGAAGAATGAATCGGTTGGCGCAGATGACTACCATCAATTCCAGGTCTGCAGTGAGACGGGCTTGGTAGGAAGGATCCAAGGAAATTGGGAACGACTGCGCTGGAAGGATCTTGGGTTCAGTACTCTGACGAATGTGCTCTTCCATGTGAGCTTCGCGATCTTCTTCAGCGGCATCGAACGTAGCGAAGCCGTTCTTGAGTCGTGAAGTCCACTCCTTGAGGCTGCGCTTGGCACTGCTGTTTGGGGCTTGATCTGAACCTTGTCTCTGAAAAGGCTCTTTGCTCGGTGTAGTCTTACCAATGCCTAGCAAGCGCTTGACGGGGGATCTTGACCGCTTGACAGGCTTGACCGGACTGCGACTGCTCTCAGGAATTCCAGCTTCGGTATATTGATTCTGGCTGCGTACCGGGCCCCGACCACGAGGCTCTTCATGATCGGAGGTGGACTTCTGTGGACTGGTAGAAGGTGTTCTAGCATATTGAGTGGTGTAAGAGCTCATCGGATGAGTAGATTGAGCAGGAGAGAAGTCTTGAAAGCTAGGAGCTGAGCGAGATGATGGCAGGCTTGGAATTGGTGGTGCATCGGTGGGAAACGCTTGCGCAGGTGCAGCTCGCCGAGTCGCTGTGGTTGGAGAGACAACAATCGGCACATCAGTGAAGGGATTGCTTTTGGCAATGTTGTGGAATGACAAAGGACTATACAATGGTCAGGATCACACAGGCTGCAACAGATGGCAAGGATGACTTACGGAGGAGGATTCTGTCTGTACTTCTTTAGCTCAACGTTGATGCCAGCAATAGCTTTGCGACTGCGAGGATGAGGCAGGGAAGGCGAGTTCTCCATCTTCTGCGGACGTAGGAGATCTTTTGTGATCGCTTGGAAGTCTTGCTTGCTTGTGACTGATTGAGTAGAAGTAGTCGAGACCGTGAGCTTTGCAGTGTCGCTACTGATCGGACGTGAAGGCGACGCACTTTTACTACGTCGTAGATAGCTCAATCTTGCTCGATCGCCAGGACTAAGCGGTAGAGGCTTGTTGAGTTGAGTCGATGCAGTTGATTCTGGCGAAGCAGCGCCGTCATGCCACATGTGCATCTCACGTGGTCGGTAGGGTGGCTCTTCGATCGGCTCAGGCTCCTCTTGTTGTGGTTGTGGGAAAGGTGGAAGGCAGCACAATAGCTCTGCAAATTTTGAGGTGCGACGAGTGGTGGGCGCAATTGTCGTGCGCTTGCGACCAAGGTGGAGTCGCTTGAACAGTCGAATTTTGCGAGGCTTCTCATTGTTGGCACTCGATGCTTCTGTCTGAGTGAAAGAAAGGCTTGCCGAGTCACCTGCGTTGGGCTTGGCAGCCTCGTTACCACCAAGTTCGATAAAGTCCTCGGGTGACCCAACTTCAGTTCTGATGTCGCCTCCGATAATATTAGCGTTGCGACGCGTCTTCCGGACATTCAGCGGCTCCGGTGTCACCCGGTAGTCTTTCCAGACACGATTGGACCTCGACTCGACATCAGTGTCTTGGAGCTGTAAAGGTGGGTCGCAAGCACGGGGTCCGAACGCGGCATTGTTTCTGCGCAAGCTCTCCGCGAAGGACTTCGGACGCATAGCAAGGACCTCTTCAGGACTTAGTCGACTCCAGTCGGGGCCTGCATTGACTGGCTCCTGGACAGTCTCTTGCTGGTCGTTGCGCTCTTCCCGTAGGTATCGAGTCGCTGGTAGTACAAAAGAGTCGCTCGATTCTCTGACAGACTGACTGGGTCTTGGGGTAGCGGTCGTCCGTGACTCCCAGGCCTTGCGAGTGTCAGGATCAAAGTTGGGCGACTCGAGCAATGCTGACTGTGGTTGCACAGTGCTCAGTGACGCAGAGGTGGACATTGTCGGACGACGGGCAGCAACGTTGCCATAGCGTATGATAGGTCCACGCTCTTCGGCGGCGCTTGCTGCTACTTGGCTTTCGAGAGTCTTGTACCGCTGAGAAGCATATGCTGGTACGGGGTCCCGTTCGACAGACTGAGGTGAGTCACCAGCCGAGTTGCTTCCTTCAAAGATGGTGGGCTCGACTGTGTTGATCGCATCGACATCGTCCACAGCACTCGGAGCCGAATCAGAAGTCGCTTCACTGCTGAAGATCTCGACAGGGTGGTTGCTGATGAAGTTCTGCGCTCTAATGCGTCGAATCTCAACTGGAGTGGCAGGCGGTAGAATGAGACGACCTGTCTTGGGCACGAATGGGTTCAGTGGTTGTGACTGGCAAAAGTCAGTTAAGATCTTGTCGCCAGTCGCTCATGCTTACGTTTCTCAGTCGCCAGAAGTTCTTCCATGGCTGAAAGATCTGGTCAGGCATGCCAACATGCGAGGAGCTCGCCTCTTCGAGGATCTCGTGGAACACCGACATAGCATCGCTGATGCCGTCGTCGCCATACTTGACATGGAGACATGCATACACTTCTTCGATACCGATGCTGTATGGATACTTTGGAACGACTGTCTCACCAACTCTCTCAAGGTAATCGCGACATCTTGCCTCGTCGAACTCTGTGGTCAGGTCCCATTCGATGTCTTCGGCCGACTGAAGACGAAGGACACCGCCGGGGCCTGCTGGAGTGCCTGACATGGTGCCCACCCCGGCTAATGAAGCAATTACAAAAAGCTGAGAATGAACGTGCATGAACAACAAAACGTGGTGAAAGTGGTAGGACGTAATGCCTGATTTGAGAGGTTGCTGCAGTCAAGTCGTGCCTTCCTTCGCGTAAGTTACCCTATCTTGCCTTATTTCCGGCGCCAAGGCCACGTGTTGTGGGCGACAGTGAGGTTATTGCACAGCATGGGAAGCAGCATTCCATCTTCCTCCCATCACTGATTGAACAACAATCTGGCCTTCATTTTCACACAAACCAACAGGGCAATGCTCAGTCTGTCACAAGTATACGTACCTAGTGACAGAAGTGGAAGCCCTTGCATCTGTTCAACTCTCATAGCTAACAGCTGCAATGCCCGGGCTGCTCGTTGAGATAGACATATTTTCATTTGTTAGTCCCAAACTACACGACTCTTCCAGCAAGGTCAGCTAACTCAATTCATACTCAAGTGGACCCGTAGGGTCATTTGCACCTTCCTCTGCTTACAGCATATCAAGCCCTTCTGGTATGCCAGTCATCGACCCGCGTACACCGTGTACATCGAGAAGATAAGGATGTTCCGGTATGATGGGTCATCCAAGCTCTTTGCCCTCTACTCAGCTGGGATGGTCTGCCTAGATCTGCTCGACATCTCCTTCAAGGCTGTCCACTTCCTGGCTCTCGACTTCTGGCACCGATCATTTTGGAATGCGTCGGGTCTTTTCACGATGAGATGGTGGCGGTTGAGGCGTTAGGTCACCCCAGGAAACAACGACTAGTAGTCGTGGACACGTTGAACGAAAGGCAAAGCCTCCAAATAAGCTCGACGCGGTCGGAAGAAGGTCTGTCACGTGACGAAGCTATATCTGGTGCGGCAACAGGGCAGCAGTGGAGAAACGACACACTTGCCGATGCGAAGATCCGGGATGCTGAACAGCTCTTATTTGCGGGGGAAAGCTTCGGCTGTCGACCTGAGCGATCTTCTCTCAATCACGATATTGGAGTGCTGACGCACTGGCAAAGGCGCGGAATGCTGACGGCAGTGATTTCGGCTGCACTGCCATGCATTCAAACGAAGTGTGTTTATCATACCTAGGTATATGATTATCCATGGTCTTGTCCGGAATATTCCAACAGCTGCCGTGCATCACCACCGAGCGTTAACTTCACACAGTATATATCCTCCCTCGTGACAGCTTCGTGTCGTGTTCGTCTTTTTCTTGTCACCCAGTTTCAGCCGGCAGTACCTAGCAGGGAACAACCCTATCACTAATCGTGCATACCTTTCGCCATGCCTAAAGACTACCGGAAACATGACGTTGTTATAATTGGAGCTGGTCCAGTGGGCTTGCTCCTGTCTGTGTTATTGACGAGATGGGGCTACAATGTACGGCATATCGACAACAGACCAGTACCAACAGCTACCGGCAGAGCCGACGGTATCCAGCCTCGGACTCTCGAGATTCTGAAGAACATGGGCCTGAAGCGCAATATTATGGCATTCGACCCGGCTCGAGTCTTCGAGGTAGCATTTTGGGATCCAGCGCCCGGCGGCAAGATCGTCAGAACAGGAACATGGGCCAGCTGTCCGGCATTTCTTGACGCCAGATATCCCTTCACAGCGTTACTCCATCAAGGTCTAATAGAACGAGTTATGATCGACGATCTTCGAAAGAATGGCAACGACGTTCAAAGACCGTGGACAATAACACGCTTCGAGACGAACAATGTCGACAAGGATTATCCCGTCGAAGTCGACTTAAAAAACCTCGACAGCAATGTCACAGAAACAGTCCGTGCCAAGTACCTGTTCAGCGGCGAAGGAGCCCGCAGCTTCGTCCGAGAGCAGCTACAGGTACCAATACGGCACAAAGACCCAATTTCACACGTCTGGGGCGTCATGGACGGCGTTTTGCGAACCAACTTCCCAGATATCAAGATGAAATGCACAATCCACTCCGACCACGGCAGCATCATGGTCATTCCTCGCGAGGACAACATGGTGCGCCTTTACATCCAGATCGCCTCTTCCACAGACCCCGACTTCAACCCACGGAAGACAGCAACCGTCGAGGAAGTCCAGACCGCGGCAAAGAATATCTTCCAACCATACTACTGCGAGTGGGATCGCGTAGAATGGTACTCAGTGTACCCAATCGGCCAGGGCATTGCCGAGAAATACACGCTCGACCACCGCGTCTTCATGGGCGGCGACGTGTGCCACACACATTCTCCCAAAGCCGGCCAAGGCATGAACACCGCCTTCCACGACGCCCTTAACCTCGCCTGGAAACTCCACCACGTCGAATCCGGCTTTGCCGACCGCTCCATCCTCACCACCTACGAGACCGAACGCAAATCCGTAGCCGAAACCCTTCTCGACTTCGACAACAAATACGCCGCCCTCTTCTCCCAACGCCAACCCTCATCCTCCGAGGTTCACTCCGCCTCCAACAGTGACACCTCCTCGCACACTAACACCTCCGCCCCCGAAGACGAAAACCCCTTCGTCGCCATGTTCAAAGCCAACTGCGAATTCACCGCCGGCTACGGCGTCGCCTACAAGCCCAACATCCTCAACCACTCCGCCGACCACACCTTCCAACACCCGCTCCTCCTCACGAATCACCCCAAACTCCGCACCGGCCGCATCCTCCCCAACAGCAACGCCACCCGCGTCGCCGATGCAAACTTCGTGCACCTCGAGAACGAAATCCCCTGCAACGGCTCCTACCGCCTCTTCGTCTTCGCTGGCCGCAACTCCTCCCCCAAGAAAGACCAACATCCACAACTCACCGCCTTCGCCAATGCAATGCAAGACCCCAAGTCTTTTTACTCCCGCTTCGCCTACCCCACCTCCAACCGGGACACCCACCACGAGATGGACAACCCGCACTCGCCACTCTTCAGCATCGCGCTCGTCCTCGCGGCGAAACGATCTGAGATCGAGATTTCTGACCTACCGGCCTTGTTCCACGACTACAGCGGCAGGATTTACGCGGACGATGTCTGGCAGCGTGCTGTCGCGGATGCGAAGGCGCCGGCGCATGCGAAGACGGGGTTCGAGGGTGAGGAGGGTGGAGTGGTTGTTGTGAGGCCGGATGGGCATGTTGCTTGTGCCGTCAGGTTGGTTGGGGAGGAGACGGTTGAGGCATTGGAGGGGTATTTTGCGACTTTCTTGCATAAGCAGCTGGTGCAGACGGTGAAGACTGAGGTATCGCCGGCGAAGGTCAGGGCACAATTGTGATGGACATTCCTCTAATCGATTGATTTGTGGCAAACACACCACCATGTGCGGGAGGCGTTGTGTCGAGTCTTTTGTGTGTAGTCTGATAGGCATGTATGTACAGTCGCATGATTTCAACGGCAGTCTAGTTCGCTTGCTACGTGCGCCTGGTCCAATTGCTCCAAGCATCGTGTTTTCAAGCATGCCTGTGCCTGTGAGGTATCGATTACGCCTCCTGCAGCTGCAAGTATAGTCATCAACGCTCATCCCAAACGCAGAACACAAAGTCATTACACTACGCCTTCTCCTCGCCCTGCACTTCATGTCCGAGTGCGCCTCTTCCCCCAGAAATCTTTCTCCTCCTTCCCAAGCACGGCCCAACGACCATCCACCACCCCCTACACACCCACCCCAATACACCACCAACAACCACACTCGGACTCTGCAGCACCCTCCTCAAAGCCATCCTCCCTCCCAACACAACGCCACCAAACCCCTCCCCATCAACAACCCTCCGATCCAACTCCCTCACCACCGCCTCAAACACCCCAAAGATCCTCTTCGCTTCCGCCACCACGTCATCCTTCTCCTGCCTGCTCAACTCCTCCCCTGCAATATCAAACCTCCGCTTAAACTCCCTCTCAACATCATTGCCATCCTCCTTGCCAGCGAAGTTGAAGAATTCCAGCGGCCAGTCCCGCTTGTCCGGACTCCCACCCCAGAACCCCGGCCCCGCTTTCTCGAGCTCAGCGCGGATGAAGCGCCCGCCGTTGAAGATCGCGAGGTATAGCGTCCACGCGTACGCTAGGATCAAGTGGGGGTGTTGGAGGTTGAGGGTAAATGTGCTTTTGTGGAAGTGGATTGTTGCGCCGATTAGTTTTTCTAGTTGGATCGTTCGGTGAGGGCCCAGTTGTTGGCTGAGGTCGTGGACGTCACGGCTCTGGCGGAGGTGGCGGGAGAGGTTTGGGGTGCGGAGAGTGTGGAGGTATGATGGTGTAGGTATTGAGGAGTCGTCGGAGGGTGGTTGTGAGAGGAGGGTCTCCCAGGCGTACTCGAAGCCGGTGTAGAGGTGGCGCACGACGCAGAGACCTTGTGCGTAGATGAAGGGGTCGGAAGTGTGGGGAGGCAGGCAGAGTGGGAGGCGGTTCGAGAGGAGTTGGTTGAGGGCTGTGTGTTCGTGGCGGATTGCGAGGGCGAGTTCTTCTTGAAGGGTGGGAGAGGACGGCGCTGGGGTTGGGGAGGCCATGGTCGCGGTGGGCGTGGTCACTTGTGCGCGTCCGGACGTCTCAGGTCTCGGGATCGTCTATGGAATAAGCAGGTATCGATGATCTAAAGATATGAGATTCTAGGTAGTGGATCCGATATCAATGGCGGAAAAGTCGCGGCGGGAAACAGTGGTCGCGTCAACTTGCAGGGCGTCTTTCGTCAGGCAGGTGGGCGAACACCTGTGGTCACTCCTTCACCCTTACCTGTAGAAATATTTCCATCGTCAAATGGCGCCATCGAGGCATGCGCCTGGAACCTTGATGGACCAAGACCATGGCAATCAAGTCTAGCATGAAGCTCGGCTCGGATCTGGCCCCAATCGGCCGATCGATGGAATGACTCGGTTATGGATGGCATGAGATGCCGTTTGACTCGCGGACAGGACTCGGCCTCCCTTCGCTCACTGAGCCAGGTCAGTGCAGCATCTTCTACCTTGCATCATTGATGCCTGCAATGACTCCAAGCTGCAGCGTGTCTGCATAACGTAGGTATGTGAAAGTGAACCTGCGCCGTGATGACTAGTTGATGGCAACGACGTTGTTTGATGCAGTGAAGACTCGGCAAGAGATTCCGGCTCAATTGAGGTAAAGGTCAAAGATTTCATCCGTTATAATAGATCTATATGTACCATCCCTACCGTGCACAGGTCCCAAGATCATTGATTCTGTGCCTCCATACTTTCCCACTGGACCACTTACACCACAGAACGCTATTTCAGTACGAGCCAAAAGCATCATGGCGCCTCTCGGAGTAGCCATCCTGGGTGGCGGTATCTTTGCAAGGGAAGAGCACAAGGTATGTTTCCCGAACGATTCGTGTCCGCGACCGAGACTTACGCCATGACAGCCTGCCGTCGACGCCAGTCCAGATCTCGACCTCAAAGCGGTCTGGTCACGGTCTAGCAAATCAGCCAAGACTCTCGAGGTAGACGAGAGCAAGGTCAATGTATACGCCGAGGATGCTGGCACCGGCAAAAGCCTCGACGATCTACTCGCTCGCTCAGACATTCACGCTGTCATCATTGCACTTCCCATCAAGAATCAGCCCGAATATATCAGAAAGGCCATCAACGCTGGCAAGCACGTCCTATCAGAGAAGCCTATCGCGGAGAACATGCAGGACGCCGAAGCACTCCTGACATGGTACCGTACCGAAGTCGACACCAAGAAGGTCACGTGGGCTGTTGCTGAGAACTTCCGCTACTTGGCCTCATTCAACAAAGGTGCCGAGCAGGTCAAGGACATGGGCAAGCAGCTAACGTTTCGGTGCCGCAATCAGCGCATGGTCACGGGAGGCAAGTATTTTGAGACCGAATGGCGCAAGAATCCGACTCACCAGGGCGGATTCCTCCTCGATGGTGGCGTCCACGATACCGCAGGCCTGCGGCTACTAATGGGCAAGGACAACCCATTACTCTCTCTATCCGCCCACAGCGCCCAGCTACAGCCTCACCTACCTCCAGTCGATACAATCGAAGCTGTAGCTAAAGCCAAGAACGGCGCCGTCGGGACGATCAGCCTCTCGTTTGGAACAACGCAGAAGGGTAGAGTCTGGGCCGTGGGCTGCGAGAAAGGGTATGTCAGCGTCTCTGGCTCGACAGTCACTGCTGGGGACAAGACATGGGAGATCGAGGACGAGAAGACTGGTGTGCCTCCAGAAGTTCGTGCTTGGGGCAAGGCGCTTGTGGCGGGAACGCCGGATCCGATGCAGGCTCCTGAGGAGGCTATGGCTGATTTCGAGCTCATTGAGGCTGCTCTGCGGAGTGGTGAGCAGGGTGGGAAGGCGATTCAGTTGAGGCATCAGGAGTGGTAGATAGTGCTAGATTCAGTCTTCGTCTACACCAGTCCCGTATCTACGGCAAGGAGGGAGCTACATTTGCAGGCGTTCTCTCATGTAGTGCGGGAAGCGATGACTTCGATGACTGGTATCATTAGCCTCTCCAGATTGCAAGACTCGTAAACTCAGTACCTAACTTGCAACAAATTGCATCAGGAAGCTCGCCTTCCTGATATAGCTTTTATCGGTTCCGACCTACGGTCTCCCATCGGCAAAATGGCGGGAATAAGAGCCATTATCTCCAGCCCCACGAGATCTTGGCATCTCATTTCGACCTCACAAAACTGGAAATCTTGGCAGAGAGGCTTTTCGGGAGCGCGGGTCAAGACTGCGACTTCAACCTACACGCACCGTTGAACCACACCACCTTTGATCCGACCACAACACCGCAAAGGTACGCTACCGACTCTCGATCGTCGACACTGTCGGCTTCCGCCCTACACGAGAAACTATACTGACTTTTGCCCAAGATGGTCGCCTCTCAGAAACATGTGCGCATCGTCAAGAAGCACCCAAAGAAATGGTTCAGACATCAATCTGATCGCTTCATGTGCGTGCCGAGCGCATGGAGAAAGCCAAAGGGTGAGTTCCCCGGCGTTTGAAGCCTTGAAAGGCGGAGATTGACCAAGGAACAGGTATCGACAATCGGGTGCGCAGACGGTTCAAGGGACAGATGGTCATGCCCTCTGTAAGTCATCACCGAATCACAGCTGTGTCCGAGGGGCAACAGTATAGCAGCGAGTCTGGGAAGAGCAAGAGCCTAACAACTGCAAACAGATCGGATTCGGCTCCAACAAGAAGACCCGCCACATGATGCCCTCAGGTCACAAGGCCTTCCTCGTTCACAACCCCAAAGACGTCGAGCTCCTCCTCATGCACAACCGAGTATACGCCGCTGAGATCGCACACGCCGTGTCATCGAAGAAGAGAATCGAAATCGTTGCTAAGGCCAAGTCGCTTGGTGTCAAGGTCACAAACCCTAAGGCCAGAATCACCACTGAGTCATAGATGTGATCTTTGCGTGGAATGTACTGGGAAGGAGAGCGGTGAGGTCACGGTCTGCGTTGTCGCCGCAGCCGGAGGAAGTTGTGGTCAGGCAGTCATGAATTGTGATGCCACATTGCAAGCACCGATTTTGATACATCTGATCGGACAGAAGGCGCAATAAACCATTTTCAACGTTCACCAGAAGGCTTCCACGGTCGGCGGGCATCACATTGCCCTGATCAAGAGCTTGCGATACGCGGCAGTGCGTTCTGTCCATCCCAGGGCCGACAAACTGCTCGAGAGGCAGATGTTCCGAGGCGAGCGACTGAGCCGATGAATGAGAACTTCTTGCCTGATATCATCTTCTTCACAGAGCGCATCCGTCTCGAGCTGCTTGAATCCTGCACCGATCAGTCACTTGTAGTCCGTATCAATACTGTAGCGCATGTCTCTCACTTCGTATGACCCGCTCTGCATCTCGGTATACTGCTTCTCCAACCTCAGAATATTTCGACATCATACACCACACTCTCCATTCTTCTCACTGGCACTCTCAGCCCGGCTCAGGGCCATCTTAGGCGGCCGCACGGGACTCGCTCCCAAGACTATGGCACTGGCGACCACGAAGCAGCCTCGGAACATCATCGACGATATTCACCAGGCAGGACATCCACCCGCACCGATTGACCTCCCAGACGTGATCGCAGCACCAGTAGGAGACCCATGGCCACGGCCCTACTACTTCGAGAACGGTCTGAGACGCGTAGCTCCCTATCATTACACATACAACACCTTCTGTAAACAGCGCTGGCGCGGACGCACAATCCTTGACATTTTCTCTTCAGAGTTCCGCGACCGGGATCGCGAGTACTACCGACATGCTATCGAAAGCGGGCATATCACGATCAATAATTCCCCATGCGTGGACACGAATACGATAGTAAAGAACGGAGATGTGGTGGGACACACGCTACATAGACACGAGCCACCAGTCTCAGCTCAACCGGTGGGCGTGATACATGAGGACGACAACATGATAGTCATAAATAAGCCAGCCGGCATACCAGTACATCCTGCCGGGCGGTACAAGTTCAATTCGGTGATCGAGATCATGCGAGCTGAGCGAGGCAACCATTTCAACCCGCTTCCCTGCAACAGGCTCGATCGCCTGACGTCGGGAGTCATGTTTGTGGGCAAGACGGCCAAGGAAGCAGAGAAGATAGGCGAGAAGCTTCGTTCGAGGACAGTGCAGAAGGAGTATGTTGCGCGTGTAGTAGGACGATTCCCTGACGGCGAAGGTGCAGGATCCGAGTCTGCTCAAGGCAACGGGAAAGGCGGCGTTGTGAAATGCGACGAGAGCATCTTACAGATCAGCCCTATCCTGGGTCTCAACCGTGCTAGAGCGACCGGAAAGTCAGCAAAAACGCTGTTCAGACGGATAGCATACTACCCGCCCACAACAACAGGCGCAGCTCGGACAACGAAGACTCCTCCCTGCCAACGACCGACAACCTAGGCTACTCAATCGTGCACTGCCTCCCACTCACCGGCCGAACACACCAAATACGCGTCCACCTGCAATTTCTAGGCCACCCGATCAGCAATGATCCCATCTACTCAAACCGCAAAGTCTTCGGCAACGGCCTTGCCCAAAATGACGCCTCCTCAGACAACGACGCCGAAATCATTGCGCGCCTCGCCAAGATGGGCAAGAGCGAGCTGCCTGAGACGTCTGAAACGACGACTCTTACTGTCAGCAACATTGACCAAACACGGCAGATGACCGTCTCCGAAGCGCAATCCCTCAAGACATCGCCTCCCGAATCCGTCCCAGCATCAAAATCTCACCTCCGCCATGAAGGCGAGCCACATGCTGGCATCCCCCAAGGCACTATCCACGCCTCCTCAGCTCTTGATCATACAAGCCCAACTACGTCATCCACTGGCCCAGACCCTGGTCCCTCCAATACAACAACCCTCGACCTCTCCCAAGGCCACAATGACCCCAACCATGGCCATCTCATCGCCGCCCATGATGCGCAAGTCGCCTCGTACAACAAGCGCAAGGGCGAGAAACTCACTGGCGAGTATTGCCCAGTATGCGAGACGCCGCTATATAGCGATCCTCTGCCGTCCGACTTGGGGATCTATTTGCATGCGTTGGCTTATGGAGATAAGGGCGGTGAGTGGAGGCATGCGAGTAGCCTACCGGACTGGGCGAGAAATCCTAGGGAGGCAAAGCAGACGGACGAGGCCTGGCCGGAATGGGAGAGGAGTGGGCTTGGATGGGAGGACGAAGGAGTGGGTGACGAGGCGGAGGTGGGGCGGAGGAGAAATCATGTGGGGATGGAGCGGAATCGGGAGCTCAATGGGAACAAAAACGGTTTGGCGGAAGATGAGTTAAGTGTGCCTGGCCCGGATCAGGTCGGCTAGCAGGATACTGTCGCAGCTTGCGATGTTGACATATGTCAGTGCAGCGACGGTCTGCAAAACCGTGCGCCTGACAAAGTCGCCAGCACATAATCAGACATCTGGTCTTTGGCCAATCGCCAACACCCAGTTCTAGGCCTGAGGTACGGCAAAGGCGATCGACGCGCAATTCGCCCTCTCCGTCCTTACGCCTCACAAAACAGCTCAAGAGGTCGCGCACAAGGACGTTGGGAAAGTTCAAGGCCTCCCAAATGTGGCAACGTCAGTACTCCACTCAAACGCTATTGCGCGTATATCGGCGAGATACAGACCACAAATAAGAAACGTCAGACTGGGACTTCACGATCAACATCCTTTGTCCTCACCAACTGCCTCCCTCGCATTTCCCAACCCACCAAACGATAATGACCACCGCCCCAACAGCCTCCGTCGCGCCCACCGACGCCCTCGCCTTCTACGGCCCCGGCGGCCAATCCGCCAACCTGAAACCCTACACCGGCTCCTGCTTCTGCGGCCTCATCGCTTACTCACTCTTCGCTCCGGACCTCTCTCTAGCGCCCGTCACGCAATGTAACTGCAGCTGGTGTCGTACACAGGGGCTGTATGGTCTGGTAGTCTGGAAGGAGGATGTAAAGTTCTTGGCTGGTGAGGATAAACTCAAGGAGTTCAGGTGGAATACGGGGAGTATGCCGCATCGGTTCTGTCCGGAGTGTTCGACGAATCTGTTTACATGGCATGAGAATATGCGGGGGCCGCATGTTAGGGAGGGGTGGGAGGGGAAGTTCGCTGTTGTTAACGTGAGTACTGATGGCTTCGTGAAGATCTTGCTCGTCGAGTGCTTGGTCAGAGGAAGTGGAAATGGCATCTCATGGGATGGAATACGTTACTGTTGCTGACATATCGGTAGGTGAGGACGTTCAAGGGCGTGGAACTTGACAAGCTGAAATTTCGGGCGTTCGACGGGAAGTCTTTGTTGCCGCTGGCTGAGTCTAATGCAGAGGCAGTGGACTTGTAGTCGCTCTTCCCAACTCGTATAGAAAGACTCCCTGTTCAGGTCCGCATGTGTACCTACCTAGACTCAATGCACGAAGAACGCTTAACTTGCAGCAATCCAATCACGAGCAACTGCGCCTTCCTCGCTTAAGTGCGCACGTGAGAGCTGCCTTGTTGGCCTCTGCCTTATCACGGAAGTCGCTGAATCCTCAAGCACCCGGCCTCACTGCGAGATTTGCCGCTATTGTGATAGAAATTCCCGGCAATGGCGTGGCACACAACTTTCGTCAGGGCAGTAAAGTCCTATTTGAATGGTACCGGAGTTGGCGAACTGACCGAGTCTGGTCATCAACGACCAGCGATGCCAGAGACTCTGACGGTCACACAATGCGACAGAGACGGGAACACTTTCAGAACAAAATCCTGGCTCGGCCGGCCCATGGAGACCGTTGAGACGAACACAACGCCAAACAATTTGCGAGTAGCGCTCTCGCGTCCGCAGCCTGTGGAGCAGTACCCCAGGCTCTGCGAGATCTGTCGAAGCGTTGATTTTGGTGCACTTTGGACATTCCGGAGGCGGTCGCCGACGCGAGGAGAGTGGCAGGTGTTCCACTTCCCGGCGACTTGGCCGTTGAAGTCCAGTGGCTGCATCTTGTGCGCGTTATGGTTGTATCTGCTCAAGAGTGAGGGAGCCTCGCTGCAGAAGGAGCAGTATTGGCTATTGACGTTCGAACCCCCTGAAATGGTGCCGAAAGCGCACGAGATCTTGGTACCGTTGACCCTTACGTTGCAGAAACGCCATCGCGCTTATCTGGAGTCATTGAAACCTGGTGTCTGCGCCTTTCTTCTTCCTGAAGAATCTCGAGCTCCTTCAGGACCCTTTCTTGACTACACATGGCTGAAGCAAAAAATAGCACAGACGGATGCCGTGGGAGCTCATCCACACAATAGCGGCTGTCTTCCAGGCATGAAGTTACTTGACTGTGACACGCTTGAGATTGTTGACGCTACCAAATGCTTGGCATACATCGCTCTCAGTTATGTCATTGGTGAGCAACCCTACGACATGCGAAGGTCACGAGAGGAATGTGCGCCTCGCTGGGAGGACTTCCCACGTACCATCAGGGACGCAATACAATTCGTGAGGAATGTTGGTGAACGCTATCTATGGGTGGATGCGATATGTATAGCAGCTGCGAACGAAGTCGAACGACAGAAGCAACTGAACGCTATGGCTCAGATATACGCCAGAGCGCTAGCGACATTAGTTGCCCTTGGTGGGAACAACAACAGCCCGATTTGGGGTGTATCCGTGGAACGCTCCTTACAATTCGAAGTGGACACTAATGGCGGACGCCTTCGGTTAGACACATCAGTCATCGAGACAAAAATGCGCCAGTCGTCGTGTGAGTGACCCCCAGAAGTTGCCATGAACACCTCCTGATTCCAAACAAGACTTCAAGCGTGGTTGGTGCCTGCAAGAAACACTTCTCTCCAGACGTCTGATCTATCCGCTCGAGGGCGGATCACTCGTCGTAGACTCTAGCGGCTACAGCTTCGAAAATGGCCTACATCGGACGTGGGACACAGAAGAATCTTCTTTCGCTGCGCTGAAAAGCTGTGCACCAGTCCATGAACCCATAAGCGTGGCGTTGTTCCTTCGACATATGAGTGACTATGGCAGACGGCGCCTGACTCGGGAGAGCGATGCATTCGACGCTATACGTGGGTACTTCAATCGCCTACCTTGGCCTTCACTTTGGGGCGTGGCACTTCTACCAACAGTGTCCAGCCCTGACCGGCGAGGAGGGCCTCACGATGCCGAGCAGAATGATGCACTGCGAGCCTTTTGTCGTGGACTCCTTTGGGAGCGCGATTCGCAGCCCCTTTACTACTCCAAGCTTGCGCCCAAAAAGTGGGAAGGTAGATCTCTTACGAATGAAGACGTTGGGAAAGCTGATGCAATTCCCTCCTGGTCTTGGATCGCGAAGCGACCGGCTCTGACATACAGTCGGGGCTTTGTCTATGTGTCCTCCGAGGAGCGGCAGACCTATCCAGCTAACGTCTCCTTGCGTGGGGCCTCACATCAGCGGACCACCCTGAAAGACTTCTCTCAGCATGCTATGTCTGGAGCCATGGCATCGGAAACATACAGCCAGCTGACCCTACATGGACCTCTCCTGAGCGTCCGTTTGACTCATCATCGGCGGGGCAACGTAATGTTTGCAGAGATACTGTGGCCCTGGGGGGAGGAGGTCAAGGAAGTCGCCAAATGCGAAGCAATCTATCGGTTCGACAGTGACCAGCCACCAGAGCTTCATCACGGCAAGAATACAGTGCTGGGGATCGTTCTTCTGATCCACGAATCCACTACACAAATCGCTGCACACTGCCTTGCTGTAGAAGAAATGGCCCGTTCCTGGCAAAGGATTGGTACTCTCACAGTCACGTTCACCGACGATGAGAGTGGTCTGACCACCGCAAACTGGCACGCGAGAATTCGACGTTGGTTGCAACGACTACCGAAGCGCACTATCAGCCTCGAATGAGCACAATGACAAGCTTTTCAGAGCTCATTTACTCTACATACGGATAAGCCTGGGCTTCAACTACCCATCTATGGAGCAAACTCACGAAGGAGCAATCCGCTCCAGTTCCAAAGGACAGCCACCCCAGACTCGGGGGCGCCGCTCCCATTATGGACTCACCTCTGACCCGAGCCAATGTGCCCACTTACTCAATTACCGCCTGGATATCCGGAGCAGTAGCCGATCGGCCGTGCTGTGACGCTATACAGCGTGGTCGCTTGGTGGCGAAGTAAACTCGAATTGACTAGCAGGCTCGAAATTGTCCTGGTATTCTCAGACAGACCGCCTGATGACTCTGGCCGCAAATTACAGCTCCACAAGCAACCGCGCAGCCGTCAGCCCGAGATAGTATCAGTGCTCCGCCGCCCACCTCCTATAAAACTCCAAACACTCCGCATTCGCCACGCTCGCACTCGTCTTGATATTCAATCCGCACAGAATCTGCTTCACCGCACCCTCAACCTTCTTCCCATTCATGGTATACGGAATCTCAGGGGTCTCCTCAATCACAGCCGGCACATGCCTCGCGCTCAGCTCCTTCCTCACCACACTCTGAATCCCCTTGACCAACTCCTGACTAAACTCCTGCCCCTGCGCCATCTTCACAAACAGCACCACAACCTCATCCGGATCAGCTTCCCGTTTCCGCCCTATACACAGCGCATCCTCCACCTGCGTCGAGAAGTGCTTAAGCACCAAGTTATAAATCTCACTACTCCCAAATCTCACCCCACTCGGTTCAGCACACCATCCGAGCGCCCCAGCATGTGTATCCCACCCGTTTTGGGGTTGAAGCGCACAAAGTCTCCATGATGCCAGATGCGCTTTCCGTCCACCTCGAATGTCTCGAAATAGCTACCCTTGTAGCGCTTCTCACCAGCGGGGCCGGGAGGCCAAAACATGACGGGCTGACACGGGAAGGGGACAGTGCAGACGAGCTCGCCAGGCTGGCCGGAGGAGGTGATGTCTTTGCCGGAGGCGTCGAAGGTGTGTACGGCCATGCCGAGGCCGCGGCATTGAATCTCGCCGCGGTGGACGGGGAGGAGGGGTGAGGGTGCGCCGAATAGGGACACTGTGGTAAAAATTAGAATATGGTTCTACAAGGAGGCAGTGAGAGACCTACCGATATCCGTGCCGCCAGTGATCGACCGAGCAGCAGGCCTTTCTTGGGAGCAAGTTTGTCGTACACGTACTGGAAAGTGCTTGGCGCCAATGGACTGCCAGTGCTGAAGATGCTTTTCAGCGTCTCCAAGGTTGCGCTCTTGGGCTGTGCTGTCCGGGGCTCTGTTCCCGCCTGTTCCAACACACTCAGATACTTCGCGCTCGTTCCAAAGTGCTGGATCTCCAGCTCGTCTATCAACAACGGCATGCTCATCTCTTTGGCTGGTTGGAACGGGCTGCCGTCATACAACACGATGGTAGCGCCAGATGCCAAGCACGACACCAGCCAGTGCCACATCATCCACGTACATGTTGTGAAGTAGAAGACTCGCTCGCCGGTAGAATGTCGCATTGCAGCTGATGCTCTTTCTTGTGTTGGAGAAGTGTGCCCAGGGCGCCATGGACGATTCCTTTGGGTGTGCCAGTTGTACCGCTGGAGTAGAGGATGTAGACTGGATGATCTGGAGGTAGAGGCTTGAAGGTCAGTTTTCTTGCCGAGTCGCCGGGGGCGAGAAAATCTTTAAATGCCTGAGCTTTCGCATTGCCGGGTGTCTTCAACGAGGAGATGTCGAAGTCCTGGCCAGGTATCGTCTCGAAGATGACGATGTCCTTCAAGCTGGGTAGTTTTGAGACTACCTCGCTGACTTTTACGTGTGTTGGATGGTTCTTCATGTTATAAGCCACACAGTTGTCCGCGAAGATCAAGACCGGCTCGATCTGCGTGAGCCGATCTAGCACAGCTTGGACACCAGTGTCAGGACTGACGCCTGTCCAGAGTGCTCCCAACGATGTAGCAGCCAGCATCGCGATGACCGTATTGGCGTGATTGGCAAGGTAGCCTGCGACCCGATCACCCGTCTTGACGCCAGCAGCCTCCATTGCCGCAGCGGATACCCTCACTCGTTCCCTCAACTCTGCCACGTGATCTCCGCCCTTGTCTTCTCGGTCGCCTCTATAACTGCTACTGAGTCTGCTGGCGGGTTGCTGGCCGGGTATAGCAGATTCTCAGCGAAATTGAGTTCGCATCCTGGAAAGAACTCTGGTTTGGGGAACATGGCAGAGTTTGAGTCGAAGACAGAGCTCGGCCATTTGCTTGCTTTGATGCCCGTATACTCCCATACTTCCTTCCAGAACAGCCCAGGGTTGTCGATCGACCATTGCCATAGGTCTTGATAGGTGGTTCCCTTCACATTATGGCGTTTGCGAATGTTTTGCTGAAAAATGTACATTTCTGTTGACTCCGGGTTAGGGTGCCGCCATAGCTCGACGTCCTCCTCCACGTCACCGTTGGTAGTGCCGTTCTGCATAGCGTATCGATTCTGAAACGACTGACAACGTGCTCCGACAGGCCGCGAAGGCTCGATTTCTATATAGCGATGCTCATGTCGTGGATATTGAATTTATGTGGCCTTCGGAGCTTTCCATCGCGACCCCGCCGACCTCGGCCGTGCCGATCGCATGGAACTGCGAATGTTTATCGTCATGGAGGCCGCCTCTGATCAATCCAGAACCCGTCACCCGTATTTCGCATTGTTAGAATGCGGAGAGAGTTTAAGCCTACGCTTTGTCGAGCGTCATCCGTGGTAGGATATTGATGAGTGCGTTCACAGGAAGTGGTGGGGGCAACCGGCGGTCGGGGCTGGACCCGAGTCAAATATATTTGCTTGCCGGCCATCGCACTAGTAGCGCCTTGGTTCTTGCTTCACACTTCGCAGCTATGTCGCAGCACGTTGATGACTGACGTTCGAAGAAGGAGACTCTGATCCGCTATGCTGTAGAACGTCAAGCCTGCGTCGAAGACCGCGACTTCCACGTGTCAAGCCACTTCCTTGGCCTGGAAAAAGGTTGGCTAAGTAGGTAGGAGGATCCAATGAAGAACCTATGAGTCAAAACTATGAATGCAACGAACGTGATAGACATCTGTTTTTCTCCCGTACACATCAAAGACTCGTTATGCGCGTTTCACAACGACTTTTCTCGCGACAAGCTCAATTGGTCTACCGCAAAGGTCCCGGCAGATCGGCGTCAACTATGTCTAACGCTAGAGAACCATCACTCCTCTACGCAAATCGCATTCTCACCTCCAAGTCCAACACCCCCAACGGCGAGGTCTCGCCACTCACCACTTTTCACTACATCCAAGCCCCGTCTACGCCACACATCGTGTCCGCAACTTACTCTGGTGGGAGTATTGTGCAGGGTCACCTCATTGGGACACTCAAGGAGAATGCGTTGAGAATGGTGTATCACCACGTGAACGACAAGGGAGAGGTCATGACAGGGAGATGCACCAGTACACCAGAGGTGTTGGAAGATGGGAGGCTGAGGTTGCACGAGAGTTGGGAGTGGACTTCTGGTGGGGTGGGGAAGGGGGAAAGTGTGGTCGAGGAGATCGAGGGCGGGCAGGCAGCGGAGGAAAAGAGATGAATTGTCGAGGCGGTACAGTGGTTCGAGCAGACTCGAGTTCTCAGGTTCGTCTATTTATCGCTTGATCCACCGCCATCGCCGTAGCCAGCAACTGTTCCTCAAACATGCTTCTCCCAACAAGCTGCAACGACAAAGGCGCTCCCGCAAACAGTTCCGGATCGTAGAGCTCGTGATTCTCGCGGTCGAGGTCATTGGCCGGCTGGTACGATGTGTCTGGAACATCGCTAGGCTCGACTTTGCCGACAGGCAAGATGATGGCCGGGTAGTCCAGGAGATTCCACTGCGAAAGATAACCCCACCACGGGAGATGGTCGTGCGGGTACGACGCTGAAGCAAAAGACGGAGTCAGGATTGCATCGACGGGCTTGCCAGTCGAGGTTCTGCTCGCTGTGGCGTTCCAATGCTCCAGATATTCCGTTTGGTACTGTCGCTGCTGTTGATTGCACATGTTTTGCTCATGGCAGTCCAGCTCCTTGGCCCTGGCAAGGAACTTTGCAACAGCTGGAATGGTGGGCTCTCCAGTCCTGGTCAGAGCGTCCTTCACGAACTTTCCGCCATTGGGGTAGTACTGCCTAAACGCCAGGTCCCAGGCCTCTTTGTGTTTGTAGGGCTCGAAGTCAATCACCTCATGTCCAGCCTGCTTGAGCTTCTCGACCGCGTCTTTAAGCGTTCTTTGCATCGGTGGATGAGGCATTACAACCTCGTCCCAGTACATGACGCCGATCGTGGTCTTGGAGGGCACCGACACAGGCTGCCACAACTTGGCCATGACAGCTGGATCAACCAGCCAAGGCTCAGAGGCGTTCCAGATTTTCAGTATCAGCTCGATGTCTCGCAGGCTCCTGCCGACTGGGCCTATCGAAGATAGAATTGCCGCTTGCCCCGTAAAGCCCATTGCATTGCCTCTGTAGCTGAATCGTCTGGAGGTGGGTCGGATGCCGTAGAGCCCATTGAATGCGGCTGGTGCACGGATAGAGCCGCCGATATCAGTCGCGATGCCCAGAGGCGCGCCTAAGCAGCCGTTCAAGGCTCCCTCGCCGCCGGAGGAACCACCACTGACTAGACTAGTGTTGAATGGATTCAGGGTCCGCCCGAAGAGGTTGGACGCTGTCTCCAGCGCCATTCCAGTCTGTGGCATGGTCGTCTTGACATACACGACTGCTCCTGCTGCTCGAAGACTTTGAACAGCGACTGCATCCGATGACGAACTCGAGTCGGCAAAATCGACCATACCGAGCGCTATTCTCATGCCTTTGACATCTGTGAGATCCTTTAGGCTGACTGGCAGGCCATGTAACGGTCCAACCACACTTCCGCTTTTAGCAAGATGCTCATCCAGTTCTTTGGCTCTGCGCATGGCGCCCTCGAAATCGATGTCCATCAAACAATTCACAAGTTGCTGTGCGATAGCAGCACGCTTGCAAAACGCTACTGTCACCTCCTTGGCAGACCAATTGCGAGAATGAATCTGCTCTAGAACTGATGTCGCGTCTTTGGCTTCAGTGATCTCGAGTTCCCGATCAGTCAAGATACCACAGCTTCTGAACACCGGCAATACGTTGCGTGGCTTGGCCGATAGTAGAGTCTCTGGTAGCAGCCATTCTGAGGGAATCTTTGCCTTCAATTCCGCTTGTACCCTCTACAGACTGGTCAGTGGATACAGACCGTGATGCCGTGAGCAACACAGTCCAGCGTCTCAGGGCGTGACTTACTGCAGCAGTCTGCTCCCATGAGTGTGCCATCGTAGGTGGTCCCAAGTCTCCCATGGCTCAGTGTTGCTTGCCTCGAAGATCGTTCGCACACGAATGACTACATAGTCGGGCCAGAGGCCTCCTCGACCTCATGTAGACCATCATCGCTGTGTTGTCCGCGATCGAGGATCGCCGAGTTATTGTGTGTCGTCGCGTGCCTCTGAATTGGTTGGTCGTAGCTCGTTGTGAGATGCCATTTCGGTAGTTGGGACCCCTTGTCGGCACCCCACCTTGGCGTGGGCATCATGACCCCCAACTGAGACGCCGACCGCCTATCTGACCTCCAAGAACACCGACCTAAAATCACAGTTGTGATGTGCCCTGCGCGCGTCGTGCTGTGGACGCTGTTAAGCCACGGCAAGCGCGACCCAGGGTTGTAGCCTAAGCGTCCCCACGTCCTACGCATCCCACAGACCTACACACCACGTAGGGTATATGCCATTACACCTGTATTACTGCCTTACGGGCTCTCGACGCTGCCCCAAGTCTAGACAGGTGACATCATTGATAGAGCAACAGACCCTATCTGAATTCACGAAGGGCACCCCAGCGACTTCACAGACCCGGCAGGTTCGGAACGACCGAGCCTCCGTCTCGTTCACCTGGAGAAGTCGTGGTTTCCAGCCAAACAAGGAGTGGCTCTTGAGAAAAGCAATCGTACGGGAAATGGTGCTGGAATCTTGCTCAAAGACCACGCGGTGTCCGTGAAAGTAATTTGCTTGCCCTAAGTCTACGAGTACAGTATCTGCTCCGCACCTTCCAACAAGGATCGCAGCAGTATGCCACTGCGCTTTGGCACGGATACTGATCCATCATGCGATGCTTACTCGTCGCCCGCTCATCGCCTCAGTACCTGTACCTGAACGACTTGTTCTCCTTATCAGTCTTGTCCGTGAACCCTTCAATCCCACCCTCACCAGCAACGTATTCCTGTTGACCCGCGGCGGCTTTAGCATCTCGCTTCCGGTTCACATACCACATATCCACACCCATGGCAGCTGTGACGAGCCAGCCAGTCCCAAGCATGATTCCCAGCACCATCGTGGCTGAGTGGTAACGTGGAGCCTCGCTGGGATCGAACACGAACGGCCCAGCGAAGTTGCCACCCCAGTATGCGACAAAGTTGATACCGTTGACAGTCGTACGCTTCGTATGCCCGGCGAAGTTCGCGGCGACGATCGCCCAGTTGAGCACGATGGCGCCGCCGTAGGCATTGACGATCCAGACGCAAGACGTCAGTGCCCACTTGTCGCTGGCTGGAATCGTGGTGAAGCCCACTAAAGCCGCAACGGCAAAGGCAGCCAGCACCAGAATGATAATGATGGTGACGTTTCGGAACCGAGATGCAAGGTAGCCCGCGATGCAGCTGGCGACCAGTTGGACTGCGCCGGACGGAAGCTGATATCGTACGGTTTGGAGAGATGACCAGCCAAAGCCGCGGAGCAGTGCGCTGTAGTATCCGCCCAATGCTCCATTGATCATGCCGATAGCGAATTGTTGGACCAAGAGGCAGTAGACGCGCACATCACACAACGCTTCGCGGATCTGGTACTTGAGTACTTTTTCATGCTTGACGCCAGTCTGATTTTGGGCGATACGCCACACAGCGGCTAGCTTCTCGTCCTTGGTCAAGAAGCGAGCATCCGCGGGAGTGGAAGGCAGCAGAAAGAAGCACACAGCGCTCAGGAGGATAGCTATGGCTCCAACGACCTGTGATCAACGGCAAGCAAGATCATTAGCGCATGTTCACAATGTTTTGTACGTCAGGGAGAGGCATGCTTGCTTACCAGGAAAATAAGCTGCCAGGGCTGTAGCGCAGCGTCATCGACGGAGCCCAAACCGACGCAGATGCCGGCTGCGAGTATATTGGCCAAGCCGTTCGATCCGAGGTAAATGCACATCCGAAGAGGCTGTTCGTCGCGGGTGTAGAACATACTTGTCAGGATGAGCCAAGCAGGACCCATTGCCGCCTCGGTCAAGCCAAGCAGGAATCTCAAGGCCAAGACGGAGCCGAAGCCCTTTGCAGCTGCGATGACCATTGTGAGCAAGCCCCAAAAGAAGATCAATACAGTCATGACCTTGCCGAGCGGGTATTTCTGGATCACCAGGCTGGATGGGTACGCCCCCACCATCAACCCAAGAGCGGCGACAGCAACGATCCATGAGTACTGATAACCTTCGATTCCGAGGTCCTTACGCAGGTTGAATGCGTTGGCGTAGTTCAATGTTGTCTTCTCCATGAAGCCCACCATGTAAACTGCACACTGTCATCGGTATAAATTAGCACCGAAACGAGTTTGGGGATTGTAATGCAAGACATACCATTAGGGGCAGTAAGATGAAATCCAGCTTCCAACGAACGCGTCGTGCCAGCCGCTGCAGATGCTCGGCGTCAAGCTCGAGCGCCTGGCTGTACAGCTCAAGCCCGGCATCAGCTTCATCGGCGGCGACGATGGCTGATTTCGAGATCTCCTGATCAATCGTGCTCGCTCGGTCTGCAACATCGACTGTATCGCCAGCCTTCGTCGCGTCTTTGGTGTAGGAAGACATCGTCACAATCTTGTAACTTGTTGTCAGAAAGAGTTGAGCTGGGCTTTGCGGTCGTGTCGTGTGTTCAACGCGGGAACATGGCAAAAATTGACATGCTTTTATAGATGGAACACCTGCACGGGACAGATGGCTTCGTGTCTAGCCAAGATCCTAGTTGAGCCGACGTTTATCTCAATCGATGGAGATGCCGGCATGCCTGTTGAGTCTGGATCTAGATGATAAGCCAGGAGAGATAAGCGCAACCTGTATGCTTGAGGCTGCACACTGGTGGCACTGAAGTCGATCAAACTGTCCCGAACAAAGCCAGGGAAGGCTCCCACTGGATCCAGGTTAGGATGCCCATAGCGAATCCCGACTCTGGGGAAGGATGGAGCAAAACCCATGCTAGCGTAGCTGGACCCGACTAGTGACTGCCAAGTAGAGACCCTGCAGCATGTAGCGTGGTGGAGCGTGTACCGAAGACCGAAGTCTGAGCAGAGAAGCGTCTTCATCTGGAACAGGCAGCCCACAACGAAGGTTGCATTTCAGTCTCGTTGTGCATGTAAATCTTCCATCGGAGACACGTGAGCTCATAGAGAGGCACATGACATTTTCGTTTCAAGCACCCACCGCACAATGCGTTGATTTTCTTCCGTTCATCGATCTGTCGACCGTGTTCCCGTGCGACATTGCGGATCGGTATAGCATCATGTCCATTCCCACGCTCGAATTCAACTCGCCCGTGGATATCGATCAGGTCACAACGCCCTGGAAGCTCAGACCTCAGCCAAAATATGTGTTCACGCACGCGAACGTCATTGACCCTCTCAACGGTGACATACAGTATGATGTCACCGTCGTGCTTGAAGGAGGAAAGATCTCTTCAGTTGGTGCAGAGCACGAGCAAGATCAGCAGGAGCAGTACGACATCAAACTCGACCTAGATGGTAGATTCATCGTGCCTGGCCTGTGGGACTGCCACGTACATCTGGTCGCAGTGCAGGGCTGTACCACGTTCGAGCAGATCCTGAACCTTGATCCGAGCACGTCGCTGCTTCGTCAGCCAGAGGTCGCCGTGGCTATGCTGGATCGAGGTTTCACCACAGTCAGAGACTGTGGCGGCGCGCTGTTGCCTCTGAAGCTCGCGCTCGAGCAAGGCATCCATCCTGGACCACGACTCTTCATTGCGGGTCGCCAGCTATCTCAGTCTGGAGGATGTACGGACAAGCGTGGGCCTGATGATGACAGCATATGCTGCGGTGGTGCGAAGCAAGGGGCCTGCCGCACGGTGGATGGCGTTCCTGAGTGCCTCAAGTTCGCTAGAGAAGAGCTGCGCCTAGGTTCGGATTTCATTAAGATTATGGCCGGCGGAGGTGTATCGAGTCCGCGAACCAGGCTGAATGATCTCGAATTCACCGAAGACGAGATTCGAGCCATAACAACCGTCGCATCGAACGCTGGGACTTTCGTAACAGCCCACGCATACACCCCAGCAGTGATCAAGCAAGCTGTAAATTGTGGCGTCAAGGGCATCGAGCATGGCAATATGATCGACAAGCCCACCGCGGAGCTGATGGCTCGAAATGGTGTCTACCTGACTCCGACGCTGGCAGGGTATGCGGCTGCCCTAATACCCGAGCTGAGTGGCTTCGTCGCTCCAGAGTCCAGAGCAAAGCTCGAAGAAGCAATCAGCACTGGGCTGAGGGCGCTTGAGATCGCCAAGGAAGCGGGTGTGACAATCTGTTTCGGTACAGATCTCATGGGCCCTCTACATTTCGCCCAGACAAAGGAATTCCAGATACGAAAGTCTGTGCAGAGTGCACTAGAAATACTGCAGAGCGCGACTGTCAATGCAGCTAGAATGATGGGCCGAGAGGATGATATAGGCCGAATCAGGCCAGGGTTCCTGGCAGACTTCTTGATCTTGAACGCCAATCCGCTGAATGACATCACGGTCTTAGACCGACCTGAGGAGCACTTGTTGGCCGTCTGCAAAGCAGGAAGGATCGTGTCCTCACGGTGGTCGAAACTCAGGGTCGACAGTCGGCGACCTCTTGAGATAGAGTGATTCAGGGCGTTTGAAGAATACCGACAGGCCAGCTCAGACTGAGGCACGCCTGATTGAGTCCCATGCGCTGCTTCGACAACTTAGCGCTTCATCTGTCGCCTCTCCCAGCTCGGACCAAGGCATATGTGACGCTTGTCTGACTGGCTCCGTCCAAATTGCGATTACAAGCTCAGAGCAGGAGAATGTCAATATTCAAGTCGGCCAGCACATCCCGCCAGTCAAGTTGCACGTCACCAACATGGCAGTCGCGTTCGGCTGCAATACCCTCGCGTCGTGCCCAGACGGTCTTCACGATGTCGTGTGCAGTCTTTCGATTGACTGCACCCAACGAAGAACAGACCTGGAGAGCGGCGTCAGCCAGATCTTGAGCCACCGGCTCGTATGCTTCGACGGCCGCAATGAAAATGGGCCAGATAGATACGGAAGCGGCACGGTCTAGGGGCTCCAGCAGCTCTGCGGCTGTCTGTAGCGTTGACAAGACTTGCGGTGCCACGGCGGACGGCGGATATTGTAGCACCACACGGAATAGGTAGATTTCGATACCTGACTTGAACAAGCACAAATTCTTCGCAATGATGTATCGCCACCTTTCCTCGAGGGTGCATGTTGGCTCACAGCTAGGCTGTTGTATCCATCGTTCCTGCTGTCTGCTCAAATACAGCTCGATGTCTGGTTCCATTGGCGCGTTGAGATCAGCAAGAATATTGCTGACCTGGACGAGTTGTGCTATGGACAGACGACCCTGAGGAGGACCCTGTGAGCCAGAAAGCTCCGATTCGAGTTGTCGTGCCTGGTACAGTGCTTTCATGAAGTGTGGTGTACTTCCCACAGTGTACGCGAAAGTCGGATTGGCCATCACATCGGCAATGACTTCATCCAATGTATCTTGGAAGTTGTACTTCTTTCGATTGGAGGCACGGGAAGCAACTGCGTCTGATCGATCTACTTTAGTAGTCCGAGATATGAGTCCATGCAGCACGAAACTCTGCGTTATGACCCAGGCGTCGTGCGAGACAGTCCAGGGTCTTCGAGCTAGGTGCTGTTTCACATATTGAATGGCACCTTCAACGTGGTGGGTCAGTCCTGCGGACTGTCCCTCGAAGCAGTGACCAGCAATGGTCACTGTTAGCATCGCGGCAAGGTTAGTAGAAAAATCTTCAGTCGGGCTGTCGAGACTGTGCCGCAGATGTCGCAGAGCGAGTACATAGTTTCGGGTTCCCACACGCAGATATTTAGAGGATGACGCCTGGCTCAAGTTCGCCCTTTGGAAGGCCGACTGTGCCAAGATGGCATGAAGCAAGGAGCACGCGGCTGGGGAGGTCTGCCATTGTATCGCCAGACGCGGATACGTCGAGTTCCATGGGTTGTGTTCGTCGTCGATTGGGGTCATGACAGGCGCGAGGGCGGAGATGTAATGATAGAAGAGATCATTCTCTTCAAGTGAGCCACCTGGTACCCACGGGAGTGACAGAGACCACGGTGTGGACGAACGAGCCAGGTCGAGATCGGAGGTCGTAGCTGTAAAGGTAGGGCTGTCGATGGAGATACAAGAAAGCTCATCACCTGACGCAGCGCTCTGCGGACTGTCCCAGATTTCCTCGACATCGTCCACAAGCTCGTTTGCTTCCGCTTCGAGCAGATGTGATACAGAGACCGCCTGACTAAGATTTAGCGTCCCAAAAGGACTCGGAATATCGTGGAGACGACATCGACATCGACTCGTATCTAGGTACGCGATGAGATGGTTGATCTCTTTAATTGTTCGTCCTGGATAGCCCTCCCAGGTTTGTTCACATGGATAGGCTCGACGGTGCTGAGGCTCATAGTGTCCAGTCTCCGAGTCTACCCACACTAGTCGTAGGTCGTATCCTTCGCATTCGAGTTTGGCACGTGAGCATTGAGTACAGGAAGGTATCTTCGTGTCACAACGCACACCCCGGCTCCTGCATGTCCAACAAGCTGTAAACGTACGTTGCGAGGTCGATTTCGGCATACCCGGTCGCCGTGCAACGCAATTGATGGAGTTACTGGTGTGAATTTGAAACCATTTTCGGCTTTGATGGTTGTGTAGAGAAAAGAGCAAGCCACAACGAAGTCTCGCTAGCCTGCAGAGTCGGTATACAGCAGCCAACATATGTCCGCGTGTGAAGAATCGTGGGAACTGATAAGGCAGGCCATAACGACATGCACGCCATACGCTAGTGGGCTGTAGGCTGTAAAGACTGATCGCAAGAGACTACTTAGGTAATCGCAAATGTCGCCTGCTGCCTGGAAAAGATGGGATGCTGCGGCAGAGTGCGGCAACCACGACCGAAACAAGTCGTTCACCTGGGCAAGTCGAAAGCTTCGAGGTTATGATGGAGTCCTGTCACGTGATTGCCCACTGACAACCGCCGTCATCGGATCGGGCAGCTCACAACGAGGTCTTCGACTTCGTTCCCCAACGCTAGTGACCGCTCCGCAGGTTCTCCAAGCCTGCCTGCGATGGCCGAAGAACGACACCCCAAGCCGTCATTATAGCTTAGGCTGCTGGCCGGCTCTGTCCTTGCCCACGAAGCTCAAAGCTGCAATCACCATTGCCTCCACCCCCGTCCGCAAAGTAGGATCAATGCAGGGCGCGAAATATGGATTGTGGTTCATGGGAATGTCATTCACCGTCCCCAACCGTACACGTTCGTCATAGTCTCTGGGGTCATGCCCGCCGAAGAACCAGAAGAAGTACGGGCGTCCGACTTCGCTGCCCAGGAGTGGGAAGTCCTCTGATCCCAGGACAGGCTGCATATCGAGCTTGTGCCTGTCGCCGAAGAACCGTGTGAACTGATGCTCGACTCTCCGCGTGACGGCTTCGTCATTGTAGGTCAGAGGATACTGATTCAGTCGAACGATCCTGGGCGGTGCGGTGGCCCGGCCAGCATCACATTCGGCTCTGACCACTCGAGTGAGACCGTCGAGGAGGACTCGTCGCCATTGCTCGGACACGCTGCGAATGTTGACTTGCAGTTTGGCTTCTTCAGCGATCACGTTGACAGTGTCGCCTGCTTTCAAGCTTCCGACCGTCACCACTGCCGTCTCATCTGGTGGCACTTCACGAGATACGAGTGTCTGCAGGCGCACAACAATGTGAGACGCGATCACGACTGGATCGATGGCGAGATGCGGCATCGAGCCATGTCCACCGCGCCCGAAGATGGTGATCTCATAGGAATCTGCTGCTGACATCATGGCACCAGACCGACTAAACACGTTGCCTGCCTTATGTGGCCATACGTGCTGACCCAGGCAGACGTCTGGGATCGGGCAGCCGTGCTTCGTGTACAGGCCATCATCGAGCATCATGCGCGCCCCAGCACCACGCTCTTCTGCTGGCTGGAAGAGGTAGATCAGTGTGCCGGACCAGGAGTTCTTTGCATTTAGAAGGGTTTCTATTGCAGCGAGGAGAGCTGTGATGTGGAAGTCGTGGCCGCAGGCGTGCATGGTCGGCTTCTCGATCTGGTCGAGGTGGGTGTCCATCATGCGTTTGGTCGATGCATAATCGAGTCCAGTCTTTTCTTCGACCGGAAGGCCATCTATATCAGCCCGGAGAAGCACAATTGGCCCATCGCCATTGCGATGGATGCCAATGAGTCCCGTTCCTCCGATGTTGGTCTTGATCTCGATAGGTGAGCTGTGTTTCTCGTTGAGGATCCGAAGCTCCGAGGCAATGCGAGCGCTCGTTTCTGTCTCAAGCGTGCTAATCTCTGGGTTGTGGTGAAAGTGTTTGTACAGATCTCTGTATGCCGCCAAATTTGGCAGATGTTGTTCGATCACCGCCGCGAAGGAAGACTTCGACATTTTTTGCTTCTTGTGTCAGAGTGTTGTAGCAGTGATGAGAGACCTCTTCACGATGCGCACGACCACGCGCCGCTCGACAAGACTAGCTCCGAAACAACCATCGACTTGATTTCGAGGATGCTTTGACGTGCGTACGCTTAGAAGTGCGCCGGAGGCCTTCTCGCCTTGAACTTCCATCTGGACCGTAGATAATCTGCATCAAGTGGCGTCGTAGACCGCTCCAGCATAGGCCAAGCATACTCGCATCCTTCGCTATAAAAGGTCCAATTTGAGATGCGCAGTGATGTGAGACATCCAAGTCAGTTAGTAGCACAGCTACAGGAATTTAGCATCGAAATCGTCAACGCGCATTAGCGTCGTTATGGGATGCCTGTTCGGTTGGTGACACATCTGCGGTGGTCTATTGGGTATTGTTCAGCAGTGGACCGCGGATCAGGGCAGGACATTGCTCGGCTTACACCCGGCTACTGCTCATCAAGGATTTCTGGTGAGAGGGGGCAGTGTTCTGATCGCCCACGAGGTCATGTCATCGCGTCTCGGTCCCTCCGGCTGCCTTGCGCGACGCGGACTCAAGGCCGATCTGATTCTGCTGGGCAAGTGTTCTGGAGGAGCAACGTCGTTCGGCGCGTTCGCTGCCGCATAGACATCATGGAGAGCCTCGACCCATCTAACGGCTCCAAGGGCATGATGCATGCAGGGACGTTCAACAACAACGCTTTCCCCACGTCGGAAGGCCTGGTAGCGCTTGAGATCTTCACACCTCAAAAAAAAGCCGAGCTCAACGTTCGTGAAGGGCGCATAAAGTCTGGTATCACATAGGTGCTTTTCGAAGTAGGCATATATTCCCAGAAATATGCCACTCACTTCGCGGATGTGCGTGAAATTGACAGCTTTGCTGGTCCGATAACTTTCTATGCCGAAGCAGCTGTCATCAACGGAGTTTCGGAGGCCGCCTCAGGTAAGCGTGAGAACCGCGACCTGCGCAATGCACACTTCGCGTTACCGAGGATGTACTTCAGCAGCTAGGAAGTCTGCTCAGCGCTCGCTTTGCCAGGCCACACGCGCTGAATGGGACAATCTGTATTACCATTTCATGCTTGAAAAGGGGATTTACCTTGCCAATCGTAGCTTCACACCACTCAGCCTAGAAGTTTCTGATGTGGACGTGGATATGTTCGTGAAGTCTGTAGAGAAGTTCGTGGATCGTCATGTCAGTCACTTGCGAGAGACAGGCGGGTCATGGCTGCCATGGAAGGCGACATAGCTGCGTGCCAGTGCCAGGATAGCTTCCTTTCTCTCTCGTGTCAATATAAAAGGTCCCTTCGATCACAAGTCGTGGTCTGAGGGCCTCTCTAAGCGAAGATGATGGGTTTCCACAAGTGTCATGAGATCCTCCGTGGTTCTTGAGCCTTCGAGGGCTCTGACGGTATAAATACAACACCTTTAGTCCCGAGCAGCTCGTTACGACCCAGTCATGGACCACAGAAAGTATTGATTAGGCATGAGATCTTGGTACGTAGAGTGGTTCGAAGTCGTTGGAAGATCGATAGCCCGGAAATGCGATTCTTAGCTCCGGCCATTTTGACGCGTTGACGCGTTCTCTTACTCGCGTTTTAATTGTTCTCCAAATCACACTGTATAGTGGTCTTCACCGCAGCAGTCCTGCCGCCCACATTCGAAGGCAAGACTATTTCCGTGAGTTCAGGCGACATTATTAAAGCATATCAGGAGTAGCAACCATGTCGGACGAAAAAGAGAACCTCAACGCGCTCTTCGCGCCCGCCGCGGCAGATGGACTCCCCGAAGACATATTGGGCGTTCTCGAGTCCACACAGCGACTACACTCGATCTCTGCGCAGGAGCTTTTTTACAAATGGGAATCATACTGTCTGAAAATGGGCTCAGAAGAGACCAAGCTGGACCTCGACACGTCTAGGATGTTCCAGAAAGATATACAGGATCAGCTTGAGAGAGGAAACCAAGGCAAGCATGCTGCAAACACGCGAGGTCTCGGCGGCAAGCAAGTCAATGCACCAGTCGGCGCCACGCCGCGTGGCGTGAAAGATAGCAGCGACGTGTTCGGCATGTTCGACGATCTCACGCCTAGCACTCTCAAGAAGAGCGGCAGTGTCAAGAGAAAAGTGAATGCAGACGACACGCCAATGCCACGCAAGGTGCTAAGTCTACTGCGGTGAAAAGCCCGCTGGAAGGTTCAGCCATTCCGTTTGCTTCCCGCGCCAATCCCGGCCAGATTCTCGAGACTCTCAACGGGCAAATCGCCCAGCCTGAACCGCCTCTGGCACCACCAGCGGAGCCGCGGGTGAAGCTGATAGCGAACACCGATATCAAGAAGTTCTCGTACCGACCGATGGCGCAGCGACTCTCTTCAAGTTCCGAAGTGCTCGACGAGCGGATCGACGCCTTCATACCACTCATTCAAAGCCACCACAAGCTTGAAGACTCTGCCTTTGGAAATGCTGCTGCCCAGTCCACAAACGAGATCGTTGCGGTCGGAAGAATTTGCTGTGACACACCAGAGAACAAGTTGAACGCGTCCTCAATCGTGCTAGAAATGAGTCGGCGAATGGGTGCTGGACTACGCGTGACACTTGATGTGAGCGCAGTGAAGAGTTACTGCTTCTTTCCAGGACAAATAGTTGCGGTACGAGGCACGAACGCTAGCGGGATGTACTTCTCGGTCAAAGAAGTGCTCGAGATTCCGCTTCTGCCAATGCCCAGCTCCCAGCCGGCCGCTCTGGAGACCATCAGCGACAAGCTCGACGAACAGCCTGTGAAGATTCTATTTGGTTGCGGACCTTACACGGCCGACGACAACCTGAACTTTGAGCCACTTGCTGAGCTCTGCGAGAAGGCAGCAGAACAAGTCGCCGATGCACTCATCCTCACCGGCCCTTTCCTTGACACAGAGCATCCCATTTTAGCCTCTGGAGACTTCGACATGCCTGCAGGCTTGCAAGAGTCGGATCCGATATCACTTAGCGCGCTCTTCCGCGTCTGGATCGCAGCTCCAATTCAGAAACTGCTGCAGCAAAATCCCAACATCACCATTGTCATGGTTCCAAGCACGAGAGACGCCATTTGCAAACACGTCTCCTTCCCGCAAGAATCCTTGACGGGTAAGAAGGAACTTGGTCTCGGGTCTAAGCAGATCAAGCTGCTGCCGAATCCATGCTTCATCTCTCTTAACGAGGTTGTGGTTGCAATTTGCGGTCAGGACACTCTGTATGATCTCTCGAGAGAACAGTTGAGCTTCAATGTGGCAGGCGATGTGATGAGTAGGCTGCCTGGTTTGGTGGTACAGCAGCGGCACTTCTATCCTTTGTTCCCGCCAGCGAGAGGCAGTGGGAAGATGATGAGCCTGGATGGAGGCTATGTGAAGTTGGCAGAATGGGGCAACGTGCGGCCGGATGTACTTCTGATGGGTGGCGGATTGACAGCTGGTGTCAAGGTAGGTCTACGGTGCAGTTCTCCCAAATGGAGTGACTTTTGCTAACTGCGTCGACAGGTAGTGGACTCTGTCTTGACATTGAACCCTGGCCAGCTATCGAAGAAGAAGGCGGCGGGAACGTACGCAAGTATGGTGCTGCAGCGAGGGAAGTCACCGACGAAGAAAGAGAAGGGCAAGAAGAGAGTGGACGCGTGCCGAATGTCACGCATAATGTGTTCGAGCGGGCACGGGTTGATGTTCTACGAATCTGAGCGACGAGGTCATGGAATGGTCAGCGATGAGGAGCGAATAGATGAGCCTGAGCATCTTCGTATAGCGATGGATCTACACTGAATATGGGAATTCGTCTTGTCGACATCACCCCGCATCGAGGAAGCCCATAATCTCACATTAGGAGTGGTCTCTCGATTCGGGATCGTGTCGAAGCTGGCCATATCTGACATTGTTGCCGTGGTTTGCGATCAGTCACATCGATTGTACCTAGCATATGCGCACAGTGTGCTGCAGCTGGATCGCACCTGCCACGCTAGGTAGAACGAAACACTCCTACACTTCGGCCGTCGGACTCAAGGCAACAGCTGATGGCATGACGCTTTCTCATATGATATCTTCGATTCATCGCAATAAACGCATCTCTCATTCCACATCTGCAATGTGCGTCCGCTACCGATGCAGAGGGCAACTCCACCATGGAGCGCTCGCCTCAAGGTTCGGACTCATCTCATTGGCTGTGACGCCAAAGTTCCAGCTTTTGAATGGGCGGACCTTTGGTATCCTTGTCTGCCACCAACTTGAACGTCCAGGGCTTGGATCTCAGCCTTACTCTTTGGTCCCGTCATCACTACACAACTACTTCCGTGTCATTCTTTGTTGGTGTCCTTCAGTATGCTCATGCCATTTCCGCCCGTGACGGACGCTGTCTTCCGACCTGACGGCACTCCGTCGATATGAGCACCTATGGGCGTGCCTAAACATCTTGCCAGTCACCCGAAGGAGTTTGCTTGCGGCTGAGCAAAGCATATTGAGGCACTGGGCCAACCACAGCTTTTACAATGAGCCATCCAAGAACGGCGTTCCGGCATTCTGCATTGGAAAGCAACGTTCATATCCGACTTCTCAAAGTCTCGCCAGACCTGTGTGATGGCTTGATCTCGATGAGCCTCACGCACGTACTCCTGGAGACAGAGTCGTACAATTGCTTGTCTTACGTCTGGGGAGAGACGGCGAGCGATCACGAAGTTCTCATTAACGGCAACGTCTTCCGTGTCAGACGGAACCTCCACGATTTCCTCGAGCGCTCTCGTACATTATGTCCTCACGAGTATCTGTGGGTTGATGCAATAGCTATCAATCAAAGCGACGTCCGTGAGCGAAATGCACAGGTAGAGCGTATGGGAGAAATCTACAAAGATGCTGGGAAGGTTTTCATGTGGCTGGGAGTGTCTGCAGGGGTCGATTCTGTCGTGTCACTCGTACGAGACATGGCAACTGTGTACAAATCCGTGATGACTCTGCGGGCCGCAGCTCTTGACCAGTGGAGCGATCATCTTGAGCCAGCCCCCGGGCCTCTTGCACCGTGGAGCAATTGTTTTTGGGCAGCATGCAGGCTTCGTCTGAGTCAACTTTACGTGCAGGTGGATCCTGACAGACACACGCTTGCAGCCAGATTGATTTGCATTTTGATCAAAGAACATGTCGTCGCCAGTCCGGATCGCTTCAAGGAGAGCTTCACTGCTATAGTCAGTTGCGAATACATCTCAAGAGTGTGGGTGTGTCAGGAGGTTGCATACGCACGAAACCCTTGGCTGGTGACTTCCGGCAGCAGCCTGAGTTTTCTTGACTTCATGTATGTCTTCGGGTTCGGGGTTGATGATACCAAAGATTCTCTTGCCGCTCACAACTCCGTGGTCGACGCAGCTGGAAGACTATTGGCCGGATGCGAAATGGGTTCACTGTTTTCCCTTCGGCGCAGCTTGGAGGACAAGACCAAACACAACGAGAAGCTACAGAGTCTAGTGAGCTTTTACGCTTATCGCGACAGAAAGCTTGGGTGTAAGATTCCGCGGGATCGGATCTACGCAATTCGTGGCCTCATAGACCTTGGGACCCGACTATCTGTGGACTATCAGACGGATGAGGTTGCCCTTTTCTGGAAAGCTGCGGATAACTTCACGAAAAGTTACGGCGACAGTGATGGCTCTTATGAGATACTGTCACTCCTTCACTATCTTCTAGAGATAGACGTCTGTCGACTTGGTGCTCAAGCTGGAGTCTATCTGTTCAATTTTGGCGGCAACGACCCTGACACGAGAGCCTCATTATTCCGGGGGAATGCATGGTCCATCTTTGTCAGTTGCCGGTTGTGGTCTGACAAGCACAGACAACTAAAGTTCGTGCTCAACGAGCAGCAGCAGCAGTATGAGCTCGACTCAGCCACGACTGGTGTGGGAGCGATGTCTACTGCGCCAGTACTCATATGGCTGGACCGCTACGAATGGGATATTAGGCCTGTCAAGCCGACCGACAGGCTTCTAATACGTGCATTAGCTGCCAGCTCGCAAAGCGCTAATCCTACAGAGAACAGCCTAAACCTATTGGACGATGAGCGGTCCGGCCGACTTCTCGCTGCAAAGCTTCCTCGAAAGCTTGTGGCCGAGATGATTCAAGAACCCAAAGGCTGGCACATTCCGCCAGTGGCAAGGCATGCCAGTGGCAACACTGCTGATACGTCGTGGAAGAATTTCGATGATGCAGTCGATGCAGAGTGCAACAACATCGTAGGAACGCAGCCCAACGCCGATGAGCGTGAGCTTCTCGACGGACTGAGGTCCATCGAATGGAACTACTGGGATGAATAGCGACAGTGGAAGGCCAGTAGCTCACCTCCGAGGCTAATTGGTTAGATCAATGCTAATGACTTGTGTGGTTGCTGTATCTAGCTTGGAAGGAAGGATCGGCTTGGAGGGGTAGGACCAATCAGCTCGATCATGAGCAATACCATCAATCAACTGTGCCCAGCAGACTTGTTACCACCGAGCCCAAGAGATGCTGTTCCGGGCCCGCTGACCAGGCCTCGACAGTCGACGAGTATATATATCTGAGCAGACGAGGCTCGAAGATGGGGCTGCCTTCCATCGTGAGCTCATCTCGGAATGTGGAATGTGCGTTTCGTGCGGTCGTTCATATACCTACGTATAGGTCAGCAGAAGGCTGAGCTACTCTTCGAAGACAACAACGCAGCATTTGCTGCTGAGCCTGCCCGAAGTGCCAAATATCTTGGTGCCATTCAATCATTTGATGCGTGGTGTTGGCTTTCAAGAAGCACGTCTCATTATCAAGATCTCACTTGCTGCAACGCAGGATCTCATTGTATTGTCCGTATTGCTTTGGTCCATGTTCTTGAATCACCGGATGCCAGCTCCCAACCCAACTCCACCGCCACCTCTTCTCCTCGCAAACCCTTCCCTCCGCAACCCGCCTCTTCCACTACTCACCATACCCGGCACAACCCTACGCACACCGTTCCACCCACCTGCAACTGCCGTGCCACCTTGCACCGCACCGCCGCTCCGCATGCCAGCACTGTCCTCTCCCATCATTCCTTCACCTGCTTCACTCCTCCCGCCACCATCTCCACCACCACCCAAAACTCGCTCAAGCCCCAGGTCCCGCCAGACCCCCTCCCCATTTGTATTGGCCACTGCGCCCATGCCACCGCCTTCGCTGTTCACTCCGCCGACTCCATTAGCGCCCAAGTCCCCACCTCTGGCCCGCAAAATCCCAAAAGCAGCATGCTGATCTGGCACCAACCCATCCTCATCCTCCGGGTTCACCGGCTCCAAATGCCTGGGCAACGGTATCGGATCATACGGCAAGAAGTGTCCAGGTAGGTTCGCCTGTCCGTGGTCTGTTGAGCCACCGCCTCCAGGCCCATTGGTTGTGGTAGGAGGAAAGTGCGTTGGTGGGCCGATGAGGTTCATCGGATGGTGTGGCGTATTGGTGAGGGACGAGCGGTGGGCATGCGTATGGGAGTTGTTGGTGTTCGAGGTGGCGGGGTAGGAGGATGGGGGGCGGCAGAATTCTTCGAAGAGGTCGGCGTGGTGGGAGGCGTGCAGGTGGAGGTGGGTTGGGTGTGCGTCGCGGGACATGGTGCGGTGGTCTGGTCTGGGCTTCTGGTTGATCCGGGGTAAGGTCCGGTGCGGGCTAGGACGGTCAGTCTAGAGCTTTGTGCTTGTTTAGTCGTGATCGTGAGGTAGGCTAGCTTGGCTAGGATAGAATGGGGCGTTGTGCGCCAAAGAGTGTAGAATACAAGAGGCTTCGATGTGGCTTAAGGTGAAATGGGTATGTACTGATCTGTAGTTGATCGATGTCGCGAGACACGGTAGCTTGTGTGCCAAGAGGTCGTTTTACTGATCGGGGTATTGAAGTGAAGCAGTCGCGACTTGCAACTTCGGTTTTCACTCCAGGTTCAACGTGTGATGCTGGTCTGTTTCCACAACAGCGCATTCCTTCCCTCAATACCCTCCAGATGATTCTAGAACACTGTGAATCTACGACCGAACTATGTCCCCGTCCTCTGCTCGAACACGCTACACGGCCTGGTGTTAATCACCCGTCCCTGTGGCTGTGCGCTTCTCCGCGCCTTCAATGCGGTCAACCACTGCCCAATCAGCACCTCACCAGCCACAGCCTGCAGCTGCTGCGCCTCCCATGACGACGCTAAGCTTCACTACCGTGTGGATCCTTGGGAGCATGACGTCTGCCGATCCTTGAGACTGCCGCCAAAGGAGGCAGGAAATGTGTTTGAAACCCGGATTTCTTTTGCATTTCCTTTGGCTGGCGTGCGTTTTCGCTTCGAAGGTTTACGACAAGCACGAGTCGGTGAGACTGGTATATAGTCTTGTACCTGTCGACTGATCTGTTCTTCCTTCTACTTTGTTTGGACCTTGCAGAACTGTTGTCGCCGGCGTTCCTACCTGTCTACATACCTACGAGCACGCGAGCTAACCTCTGTGAGCGTTGCTCTGCTTCTGCAGAGGCTGTGACCTCAAGTTTTGAGCGGTCCGAGAACTAGCCGCCGACATGACGTCCATCGTAACGAAGCTCGTCCTGCGGAAGCTCTTCAAAGAGAACAAGGACAACAAGCAAGGAATCGAGGTAAGCCCAACCCCATCACGACCACCACAACGACACGATCCTGACATAACGTCCAGGATCCGTACTTTGAAACCGTCCCCGCAACCCGCCTCGGCTTCAAGTCCACCAAAAAGCTCCCCAAAGCGCACCCGCCGGGCCTCACCGAAAAGGAATCTCAAGTCCTCACCAAAGCCAAACGACGTGCCTACCGCCTCGATCTCAGCTTAGGCTCCTTCTTCGGCGTCCGCGTTGGCTGGTCCGCCGTCATCGGTCTGATCCCAGCCATCGGTGATGTCTTCGACATGCTCTTGTGCCTGATGGTCTACCGCACGATCTGCTCTGTGGGTGATCTGCCCAGCAACCTCAAGATGCGCATGCAGTTCAACATCGTGGTTGACTTCCTGATCGGTATTATCCCGTTCGTGGGTGATATCGCGGATGCAGCATACAAATGCAACACCAAGAACGTCATCCTCTTCGAGGACGAGTTGCGCAGACGCGGCAAGAAGCGCCTAAAGGGCACCGCGCAGGAGAATATGCCGGATCCGAGTCTGGGTGATACCTTCGACTATCAGGCTGAGGAGGAAGCGAGGACGAGAAATGGTGGCGCGCCGCCGAGATACACGAGCCGGAGGGATAGGAGGCGAAATGAGAGTTTCGATGATCTGGAGAGCCAGACTCAGGGGACAGTGTATTCCGACCCGAATGCACCACTTCCGCCACAGGCTGCGAGGACCAATGACAGGCGGGATAGGCGCGGTCGCTGAGCGGCAATCAGCAGCGATCATCGACAACCAGCTCTTTCAAGGCGGGACGAACGATAGCGCCTTCATCGCGCCTTCTCTTTGTCCGCCCGAGCTTTCCCTCTGCCACGACCACCACTCAAGCGCTCGCCTCGACGTATGAGGTCCATCGTCCATCACGTCGTACCTTGTGCTTGGTGTTATCTGTTTCCAGCGAAAATCGATATCCCTATATACCATTGTGCCTGCTGTTGGGGACCGGAGCGATTAGGAGTAATGAATTACTACGCCACACTTTGCCTTGCACTACTGTGCCCAATCAACCTGACAATCGATCATTAGTCAAGTGAACTCGCCAGTGACTTCACCCGGATAATCTGGAAGGTCTCCAGCTCCTTTCGGAACATCCCAAACTTCTGATCTGTCCAAGCACGGATCCTAGCAATGGTTTGACTTTATTAGAACCATTGCTACATGCTACAGTAGAACAGTACAGTAGAATAGTACAGTAGATTCCCCACCGGTCTCTACTCCCGCCCCTCACACCTCATGATTTCTTCACCATCCGCTTCCCTTCACCATCATCCTCGTCCTCCGGCTCGCCCTCACTCCACTCCGCGTCTTCGTCGCCTACGGCGAAGATTGTCTCGCCGTCCAAGGACTGCCTCGGCTTCGAGGAAGGCGGATGCTGTCCCAGTGGTTTTGAAGGTGCGCCTCTGTTGGCCTCTGCTGTTGACGACCCACCGAACGTGTCTCGCTCTAGATCGAGCTCCGCTTCACGACGTTTCGCGTTATTGGGATCGTCGGGGGAGTCCAAGTCGTCCAGACTGTCCCGACTATGCACGGAGCGGAGGTCGAAGCCGTCGTCTTCTTGCGCAAGCTAAAATCACGTCAACACAGGCATATTGAACAGTTCTCGGAAGGTGACATACCTCATCACTCATAGCAAACCGCCGATTATTCTCCGTTGGTCGCCACAAATACGCAATAAACGCTACATCCACAAAATACACACAGTTCAGCCATCCATCCAGCACGAACCACCTTCCCCTCCAGTGATTCGGTATGAAGTCCGCCTCACTCGACCCGGCTAGGGCAAAGCTGTTGTAGAAGAAGAATCCGAAAATCACCATGATGCTGCTTAGCAGACACCACCAGAGGCGCTTGTACATTAGGGCTTTTGTCTTTTGTTTGCGGTCGATTAGGTCCTTCATCGTAGCGTTGAGGGAGGATAAGGTCCAGACGTAGAATGCGGTCAGGGTGCCGGCTAACGGCAAGATGACGAACAGGACGATCGGCCCGACCGTGTCCGGCGTAACGGCCAACGAGGCAATCGCGTAAATGACGCCGAAGACGAAGTGCACGATCGCGAGGATGCGGACGTAGATCATCGTCTTCCCAAGACTGGGCTTTACGACGCCATAGCCCATGCAGACGATCAACAAGAGGAAGAACGACAGCGAGATCCGCCCCGCGTTAAGGACGGCGACAACGACGAGGTAGATCTTATTTCCGATCGTGTTGCCGTGGCGGTTCTGGTAGTCGTAGAAGCCCCATGTCATGAGCTGCTCCACGACGAGGAAGAGCAGCGTTGCGGCTATGTAGTTCTGCACGGGCAGGACATCGCTGCGGTGCTTGACGTAGAGGAAGCCGAAGGCGCTGATCAGGAGGGCGTACGCGATAGTGAGGCCGGCGTAGAAGGGGAGTTTGGCGATCTGCGCGGCCGGGAGCTCGCCGAAGGCGTTCCGCCATTCGACCACGGCGGTGTAATCTTGGTTCGAGAAGGCGTAGGTCGAGACGCAGTAGTATCCCGTCCGCCGTATTGGGTAGTTGATGACTTTGGGGTCTCTGAGGTGTATTGCTTCGTTGGCTATAGGGTTGTGTGCTTTTTCTGTGGCGTTGGGCACCAGGATGAACTGTCCGATGTTTTCGGACGTGCAGAATTGGCGGTCGACGTTGGCTTGGTCGCAGATGGTCTCTTTGTCGAGGTACGACTGCGCGTTGTCGGGGAGGCGGCCTATGAGCTCCTCGTCCCTCCATTCAAAGAGAATGAGTGAGGCGAGCGGATCGGAGTCGTTGGACGCCGGAGGGTTCGTGGTAGGGAGTGGGAGGAACTTTATGAGGATGAAGGGGTCGACTGGACCGGCCCATTCGCTGCGGGCGTACATGCCCGAACAGCGCTGACGGTTGGCATCATCTTGTTTCTGGGAAACGAGGTATCAGCATGATCACGCGCGCAGAGGGGAGTCGCTCACTATCTGGACCTCATTGCCGAGTACGATAGTAGCCAGCGAAGCCAGCACAGCGATGGGCGTCCATCGCTTCATGGCGGAGGTGTAATCACCCCCGAATTCGAGGATCGTGAAGTGCGCCCAGTATGAACGGCTGGGACCAGTATTTAGGCTCGTAGCGAAGCTGCCTTCGTCCGACCAGGCGAAGGATCCAAGTTTACGTATCACGATCCTACAGGTGTCGGCGCGGAAAGTGAAGGCATGGTCAATGGTATGTAAATAGAAGTATGTATGTCGTGCAGGCAGGACTGGCCGCCGTGAGCCGTAAATATCTCCGACGGCGATCCTTGTCCCGGGGCCCGGATATATTTTCCACAGTCTCCAGGGGCCGCGCGAGCGCTAGAGTCTGGAGGAGTACTTTATTAGAACAATCATTCTCTTCGTACTCGCTGTGCTTCTGATTCGTAGTGACACTGCACAAGCAGAAGCTCGACAGTCGTCTCGATGTGTGCTATACTTCCCTCAGACAGCCTACTATCCGCATGGTCTGCTTCAGAAATTCCACAATATCGTCCACACCCTGAGGCTCGTTCACCCAGTGTCCCCCATCCTTGTACTCTTCCATCTCAACGTTCATTGATAACGAGTTCACCAGAACATCCCGCATTCGCCTGGCGTTCTTGATAGGAACTATGTTGTCATCCTTTGCGTGACCAAGAAAAATGGGAGTAGACCTGAGCAATGGCGATGATGATTCTCCTTGGGATCGTTGACCGAAGTACATCGCCTGGACTGCAGAGAACAGCTGCTCGTCACTAACATCAGAAGCTTTACGACCTTCAGCATGGGGTGCTTTAAGGTCTTCGACCTGGTCGGCGAAAGGCATCCAGCTACACAGCCCAATCAGACCAGCCATACCTTGCCCGTTGGCAAAGAAGGTAGCCAACGCCGTCGCAAAGCCCTGGCTGATACCTCCCAAGTATATATGTCGTCGAGGCACAAGAACTTCCTCAGCTTTGATCACATCTAGCAGAGCCGTGACGCTTTGCTTCAATCCCTCCATTTGCATATCGAATCGCTCCTCTGGGTTTTGACTGACCATATATCGAACCATCGCCACATGTTGAAGTGTTCCGAATGAAGGATTGGTGCTTGAGGAAAGACCCATCTGATGCCTGGGAATAGGTCTGGGAGGGTGCGTGATCCACCAGCAGGCTCAGATGCCTCGCTTTCGAGGAATTCGTCTGCGAAGTCTTGCGAATTGCTGTCCTTGCCGTGGAGGAAAATGACTGTGTGCGTATGTTCGCTGGTCTCTTTGTGGATTACTGCAGACATGTTGGCGTATAGATATCTCTCTCTGGCCATGGTGGTAGGCATCTTGTCGTAATGAGGCGGAGACTTTGGTGTTGGAAGCAGGTATAGACGAAGGAATACGGTATGAAGATGCGAAGAAGAGCTAAGGAAAGAGACTCGGCAGTTATAGACATGCCTAAGGTACTCACGGCCGTGCCTGCCTTGCTGAAGCTTGTATAACTTTACATTTGCAGCAAACTGGTCCTATGAGTCAGACTCATCAACTTTGTCTGCCTCGCGAGCTCCAGCCGCATCCATCTCACCGTGACTGTTGATGTTCGAGCAAGTAGGTCCCGCATTGGCTCATCGGCAACGAGGCCACGAGCTCTGGTCTCTGGGCATTTGGCGCTAAGTGGCCGGAAGTCTGCAACGTATGTGTGACGCCGTGTCAGTGCAGATCGTAGGCGAAGTGTCGCGTAGGACGCGGCATCGACAACAGCTGGGTCGCGCCTTACCATCAACCCTGACACCTTTGACCTAACAACCAATCTGGAAGCTGCGATGATGATGGACGTGCACTAGCCTCCAAGCCATGCTAGCCCGTGACTTGTCATTTGAAATGCTGCCAAGCACCAATATAATTGTCTGTCTCCCTCGCGACTACCATCGTGCATGTCAACTTCGGACTACCAGCATAGGTACTTCACAAACAGCAATGCCTCCAGAATCGCCGTCTAAGCCATGCGCCGACTGCACCACCAACGTAGGACTCCACAACATCCGCAAGCGGCCCCTGTGTACAGCATGCTTCACTCGCTATGTCAACTCCAAAATCTTGAAGCGTATGGAGTCATACCGGATCAAAAGTTCTTCTGGCATCAGCCATGAAAAGAAGCGTCTTTTATTGCCCTTGTCGGGCGGCGTCTCATCGCTAGTACTACTAAGTGTCCTAGCTGCCCAACTCCGCAAGCAACTGGACACCCAGGGCCGAACGGCCTATGATCTGGTAGTATGTTGTATTGATGCGACGCCAAGGGAAGGCGGACGGGACGAGTACGGCGATGAGCTTCCCAACGATCCGGCAGAGGCGAGCTGGTGGAGCCGCCTCGTCGCGAAATTCCAGGAAGAGGAGAACCCTGCCATCAAGTTCTACGGCATGCCCAACATCACACAAGTCTTTCTCATCGACGAAAACTTAATCACAGACCTAGTCGCAACATCGCCCCTTCTCACGCCTCCAAGTGGCATGAAGTCGGACACAGAGTACTACGCCCACATCATCAACGCATGCAGCACACCAACCGCCCGAGCCGACATCCAACAGATCATCCTAGAGCGCTCCATCGTCGCGCTAGCACAGCAGAATGACTGCGACGCCGTGCTCTACGGACACTCAGACTCCCGACTCGCGGGGCTCGCTCTCGCAGATGTGGCAAAAGGGCGTGGTGGGGCTACGCCTGCAAGGATCGCGGACGGGTGGAACGAGGCAATAGGTCTGAATGTGAACTACCCGTGTCGGGATCTATTCAAATCCGAGCTTGAGCTGTACGTGCAGGTCCAGGAGCCAAGGTTGACAGACCTGGTGGTGTCGCCCGAGGAGGCGATCGTGGATGTGGAAGGGACCGCCACGACAGCGGCAGCAACAAAGAAGCAGAAAGCGCCGATTTCGGTCAAGAGCATGACCATCGACGACCTCCTCACAGAGTACATCACAAGTCAGGGGGAGAAATACCCAAGTATCATGGCGAATGTGGTGCGAACAACGGGCAAGCTGCAGACGCAAGAGACGAACTCGCCTGCGCCGAAGCAGTTCTGCAGGCTCTGTCGCGGAACCATTATTAGCCGAGCGGAAAATGACGAGTCGGCGAACAGAGGTACAGTGAACAAGGAGCTGTGCTATGGATGTGTGAGGATGAAGCAGGACATCAAAGCGCGGTGAACAACGGCGGGGTATCAAACGAAAACTGGATAACGAAGTGCTCGACTCCAGTTGGATCAATAGAAAGATTTCAGATTGACTCCTTGAGGCGGCATCTGTCCTTCGGCCTCACGACTATGTCCTGCTGCGATTTCGAGTCAGATTCGATTACATGTTCTCAATTTCCAGGTTGGGGCGGCCTCTGCGCGCCCTGACCCGGCTTCTCCTTCCCGACCAAGCTTCGGGAGTCTCCTATCAGATAGAACATTGGCATCGGTACATCCCTACCAACAGCCAATCCCTCCGCCTCCATCGCATCCATGACCGTGTCCAGGCTTTTTTCAATTGCTCTGACAGCTAGGCCGTTGCTCGTGATTGTAACGATGTTGTGTGCCCAGCTGTAGAAGAGGACTGACGCGTTGAGGTCTGAGAAGGATTCCAGTGCTTTTCCTATGGCTTGGGAATAGTGGATGTGTAAGCGTTGGGCTATCGTACGTGGAAAGGCGGGACAGGGTCTGGCGGATTCTGGCGAACTGGAAAGGACGCTCAAGTGAGAGGAATCTGATGCTGACCCCGACTTGCAGACTGGACTTTGCTCGTCACAGAGGCCTCCCTGACATGGAGACTCGGATGCACTTGCGGCGTTGTTGGGATGGTCTACTTCGAGATTTTCTTCGAGAAGTGCCTTCAGATCGACATCCACTTCCTTTATCGGAAACTGCAGTCCTTTGATGGGCAGCGGGTAAGAGGAGAGCGACTTCCAGCGAGCTTGTAGCGATTCTCTCGTCTCTTCAGCAGCAGCAGCATCATCATCAGAGCCCGCCCTGGACCTACGCAGCGGTGACATTGATGATGACCGCCTCATGCCAAGTAGTATCTCAACCCTCTGCCGCTCCGACTCTGTCCCCATGGTCTGCACAATCTCTCGCGCGCGATCCGCCGCCGCGGACGTGCAGACGAGCTCGTGGCCCGCCAGTAATGGGTACAGGGTGTTTGGGAGAAGGGGCCTAGCTTCCTCTCGAGTCATCTGTCGGTGGAGATACTGGAGTGCAGCGTGGTAGGTTGATGTGTGCACGGATGTGATGGTCGAAGGCTTGTAGTGACATTGATCGGACAGGAGTCCAAGGAGAATTGACGTGTCGATGTTAAGGATGGTGGTGAGGGGAGGCTTGTGCGCGGGAGATGGCGACATCTGAGCGAGGCGGGCTGGTGTCAAAGCCAGACAAAGGCTCTGTTTGCCGGGTACGTCTGTGTAGAAGTTCGGTGCGAATATAGTCGAGGAGGCCTCTGGAGGTCTCTGTGCGCCAGGAGCAAAAGGGTCTCCGGTTGTAACAGTCGTGCCTGTGTTGCGAATGTCTTCCAAGAGAGCTGCGACGGATGGGTGCGGATCATCTGAAATATTCGGTAAGATGATATGCACACGAGGATGTCGATAGCGTGCGCGAACGTATGCCGATGCAGACTGGAGCGCTTCTGCCGTGCGCAGAAGTTTCATTTTGGGCACTTCTGCAGAGGCGTTTGCGGTATGACCTTGTGTAGCGGAAGTGGAAGACGTATCGGACTCGTCGTCTGTTGAGACCCCGCCGTATTCTTCCCAGCCCTGCTTGGCCATTTCGAAGATCAGTCTTTTCTCTGTGACCGAGGATATCTTTATCCATGTCTGTCCATCGTCTGCGACGATGTCGATCTGGACTTCCTCGCCGGGTTTTCGGTGTCTGAAGCCAATACGTCCTTTGATGACGGGTATGCGTTTACCAAGGGCTCTTATTCCGCGACAATGCTTGGCTGCTGACCACCATAGCTGGTAATGACGGAGGTTTGTATTTCTGAGCAGTTGAGCATGTTGTGTAGGCGCTACTTGCTCGCTTCCTTCATCGTTGTCGTCCTGGGCCCTGGAGACAGCCTTTTCGAGTGTGTCGCACTCAGCCTTCAGACCTTTCCGGAAATTTGGAAGATCAACATCATGCTGTGATTTTTGGCAGTCAAATATTGCTGGAAGACTTTGAGTTCTTCTTGGAGGAGCAGCGCCTGTTGATGGAGCTTATGTAATGACATGTCGATATCAGCTGGACACATCTTTCTCGGGTCAGGGAGGCCGCTGAAGGTCTCAAATCATTTCGCCGACCAGGAGGTTGATTTTGAGATGATCGTTACTCGAGCCCCAATGAACAGGAACTATCTATTGTGGATTTCCGGCTGGGGAGGACGCTGTAGGGATCCTGATGCGACTGGAAAGTGGGAAGCGTCTTTTGTGATGAGATAGAATGTCGGCGATATGGTGACACTTGTTGTTGAAGATGGTTATTTTAGCATGACTGAATACCTTGAGTGACGCGAAGTCTGGGCTTTAACCTTTGAGCCCTCTGATTGGCTGATGCGAACGTCTGTCCTCCTGGAGCCCGCCCTACTGGTACAAGACTGTTCGACCTGTTTCTGCTGCTTTCGAACCGATTCCAGTGAAATTTCACCTCAGATCTGATCCTGTGGACGCCACATGCAGACTCTAGTATCAGCAGTTGCCATCATGTTGAACCGAGGATTGACCTGTACGACCGCACTCTTGACACCATTGCTTGGAAGTCTCGCAGTCGGCTCTTGGCTCCCCTCGGTCGCCTGTTGCAAATCCCATACTAGCAGATCTGAAGAATCACCTGTTCCGCCAATGACAAACCGACCATCTTGCGTGAAGCACGCATCGCCTTGACCTAGAGGCTTGCCTGACGTCGAGACTGGCGCTGCTCGTCCTGTACCATGGGTCTTGCCCACCAAGAATGATTTGAGAGTACCCTGAAATGAGTCCAGCACAAAGTGACCATGATAATCCGTCCCAACAAGCAGGCTCTTGCCATCATTCGAGAACTCCAACTTGGTCCAGGCTCTACCCTTCGTGGTCGGGGTGTAGCTGTCTTCTAGGTCGTCGAGGTAAAATGTAGCGAATGGCGCCTTGTCGAAGTTCCGAACGTCGTACATGAGTATGGATGAGGTAGACTGTGAGGCTATAGCCATTACTGCCGCGGCTGGATCGAAGGCTGCCAGGTAAGGTGTAACCAGTTTCAGCTTGCCTTGCGGACTTCTCGAGTTCAAGTCCCATAAGCATACCAGATCGTCGTTCCCGCACGATATGAATTGATCGTTGGCAGGCGACAGGGCGAGACATGTGACTTGAGAACTGTGGGCAGTGAAGTATCGCACGAAACTCTCATTGTGGAGCTCGAGCAATCGCAGCGAATTTTCCTGCTTGGTGCTGGCGAAGAGGACCTGCCTAGGGTGATGTGTGAACTTTGCAAGATGCACGCCATACTTCTTGCTGGGGATGCTCTTGGTCTGCTTTCCTTCCTTGACGTCGAAAATGGTCATTTGCTCATCATCTGCAGCAGCAACAAGAAACTCGCCAGCATCATCAAAGTCGAGCGACGTGACATGCGTGCTGCTTCCATCTGACCGCTTCGTGCCCTTGAATTGCTGTTATCGTTAGTCGTAACATCGTTCGACACGCCGGAGGTGGGATCTACCTTGGCCGGCCTATACTGCTGGACTACGTCTGCTACTTTCTGCTGCACCGCCGCCATCTCCGCCCTCTACCTTGTTCGCTTTGTGAAACTTCTCAGGCGCATTGACTTGCTTGCAGGAGAAAATTACATGTACTCCGCCAGCGAAATTCTACCACTTTGTCGAGTAGACACGAGGACGCTTTGTTCGCGGTGCTAGAATTCTCTCCAAATTGGCAGCCTCGCGAGACGTGACGAGGCTGCGAGGCCTGAAGTCTTCGATTGCGGATATGGAATTTCACTTGCGGGCACGTAAGATTTCCAGTGAAAACGAGTCCCGGCAGAAGTACGGCGATCTAGAGAATTAGGTCTTGTCGTCCAAGTATACAGTACTCGACTGGATCGCGCAAAAGCAAATGAAGTGTCTGCAGAAATCAAGATTCCTCATCCAAAGGCGATTTCGCCTTTGGACCCCTGCTGCCCACGCTGTCGGTAGGGCTTGCTGCCTACGCCCAGAGGAGTTAGGCGTCATCATGCCCTCGTCCGCTTACCCGAAACCGGGGGCCCGTCGCGACACTTTTTTGGTTTGCCGTAGGATCGACTCACCCGTCAGCTCACGCAATTCGACATTCGTTTGCCTTCGCGCCTTGTGAGGTATTACCAGTACGAACAGTAAGCCCCAACGAGTACTCAGTGTAACCTGGCGACCATACGAACGTATTTCCTCTCACCGGAGCGCAAAGCACCTCCTCGGCTCTCCAAAGTATAAGCTGCCCTCGCGACCATGCTCACGCGGTAACCTCGACTTCGAACACCATAGAGAGAAGCGGGACAGAATAGAAGAATGTCGACAACGACAGGCGCCTTCATAGCAGGCGGCATAGCCGCCTGCGGCGCCGTAACAGCCACACACCCTTTCGAAACAGTAAAAGTACGGTTACAGCTCCAAGGAGAGCTCCAGTCCAAAGACGTTGCAGTCAAAAAGTACAAAGGCGTCTTGCACGGTGTGAGTGTAATAACGAAGAATGAAGGTGCCCGAGGGATCTACCGAGGCATAGGGTGCGCATACATCTATCAGATGTTGCTCAACGGGTGCAGGTTGGGTTTCTATGAGCCGTTGAGGGCATATACGACACAGGCTGTTTTTGAAGACTCTAAGGTGCAGTCGCTCGGCGTCAACATCTTCGCTGGAGCTGCGTCGGGCATTCTGGGAGCTATGGCCGGGAGCCCGTTCTTCTTGGTCAAGACCAGGTTGCAGTCATTTTCACCTACATTGGCTGTTGGGACGCAGCATAACTACAAGAATGCTGTTGACGGGCTAAGTCAAATCTACAAGTCGGAAGGGTTGAGAGGTTTATATCGAGGAATGGGAGCTTCGATGGTCAGGACGGGTGCTGGAAGCTCGGTGCAGCTGCCAACGTATTTCTTTGCTAAAAGGCGATTGATCAAACATGCTGGGATGGAGGATGGGCCGGCGCTGCATTTGTTGAGCAGCACTGTCAGCGGCTTTGTGGTCTGCACTGTCATGCGTGAGTCGACACTAATCAATGACCCGACCGACATGCTAACACTGTTCAGATCCCCCGGACACGATGATGAATCGCCTCTACAACCAACGCGGCAATCTGTACAAGGGCATATTCGACTGTCTGTACAAGACTGTGTCGACCGAAGGAGTATTCGCGCTCTACAAGGGCTTCGGCGCTCATCTTGCCCGAATATTACCGCATACGATATTGACTTTGTCGCTGGCCGAGCAGACGAACAAGATGGTCAGGATATTCGAGAATAAGCTTCTTCCGGAATCGATCAAGGAGAGCATATAGACATCTCGGTCGAAAATTCTGGCGATAATTGTGTTAGTACCAACAGTCAACCCTGTAAACTGGAAGTTGGACATGTTTGCCCTCGTTTCGTGGTGCTGGGTGGTAAAAAACGCCGTTGAGCATAGTTGATGCACGACTCCACCCGTCTGCACGACATGCAGCTTCTTTCAGGGTAGCCGGGACGAGACGAGACGATTCTGCTTTGATGGCTGACGCGGATAGACTACCTAAGTACGCAAAAATCGGGACTGGAATGTGCGGTACGAGAAAATTCGAGGTCCATGGGACGCTGTCTTGCACAGAAAGCATTGACCATGGGCTCAACGCGTTCCATTCAACGCGCTTGGGTTTCTGCTTCTATGATTTCTGCGCGTTAATGGAAAGCATTCATCTTCCCCACATTACATGATCTTGTCGAGACAAATACTCCTCTTGAAGCAGGAAACAAGATGGTAACTACGAGCTTTTGGTGGCTCCTGCCTTTGTTACGGCTCAGCCAGACGAGAAATGCAGACGCGAAAGTACGGGCACCGCAAGAAATTGCCGAAGGCGTATGTCCTGCTCTTGCGATATGTACAGTTGGACTGCAAGCGGTCCACTACAGAGAACTGTTCTCCTCCAACACGATCATCGACCGTTCAGGGATGGCAAATCTTATATCATCAGAAATGCCCCGACTGAAGTGCTTATCAGGACGACATTGACCCACACAATTTGCGAGACTGTGAACGGCAATGCGATCAGGAGCACGAGCGGCGGCACATCAGTGGTCGACACGACGGCTGGCGAGACACTTTCTTCTACGCCTCCTACTTCGACGTCACAGTCGTCTCAGAGGAATAATCTGCAGCGCTCATCCAGCAGTCAAACACCTAGCGAGTCTCGCAGCCTTCTCGTCGACTCAACATCTTTCGATCCTTCCTCCGCCCAAACCTCTTCAATTCCCAGTCCCATCTCTTCACAACAGGTATCCAATCTGGTAATCGGCGATGGCATACCCGGAGGCCAAGTCAGCGACCTACCGCCCGGTCTGTTAATCGCTCTGGCGGTCGATCGGCTTGCCGGCTCTTCCCGTGCTGCTGTGCTCAAGCGACAGTCTGATGACAGAGATCGGGCTGTAGACGTTGTGAACCTGATTCCCGAAGCCTTGCCTGGAGGTCTCGATCAGGAAGACTGCGATGATGCCAGTCTACTGTCTCTACAAAACGGCGTTCTCGTTCAAGGAAATCGTACCGTCGACAAGACCCAAGGAGATTTTGATACGGTGCTCGGTTATTCCGATGATGGACAAGACAATGTGGCACGGACCAACAAGACATTCACATTGACAGATGGTTGGTTGTCATGGAATACAAGCGACAACGGCGTAGCGACTTTCTACTTCTGCGACGGCCTAGTGTATGCTGCATTCCAGGGCGCCGCTCTTCCGTGCCCGCGTGTCCGTGTGGGTGCTTTCGACCGTCGGGCTTGCTTGCGGAAGTTAGGGATCGATGCGGGCCCTAGCGATTCCACTTCGCTTTCTATGACCACGCATGGAGCCAATCAATCTGTCGACGGCACTCTGGATGTGACTTCTTCTACTTTATACACATATTCCTATTCAACCACACCATACACAAGTCCTCCCGGTGACAGAGGCGCAGCAACACTTTTAGCTGACTCCTCGATCTTACTGTCTTCAGCGTCAACAGCGGCATTTGACGCAACGTCGCCGCAATCCTCCATGAACGAAGTCGCTCCTGTGTCTACCAGCATGTCTTCCTCGGAGCTCCAGCTATCAACAGTGTCCGAAACGACGACAAGTGCGCCGGTGTCGACGCTTTCGTCATCGGCAAGCTCCGCAGATTTGCCTACATCTACCGGACTTTCGCTCAGCACCCGTTCATCAAGCTATACGATCACAATTGGTAGTCTCTCGATACCTACACCATCATTGACGGCTCGCTCAAGTGGTCTCCCATCACCATCTGCGCCATACACAGAACCCACCACAAGCCGGTTTATCACCACATCATCGTCGCTGGATACCGACGTCAATGCATCTTCCACGATCCACAACACGACTTCGGTGTTCTCCAATCAGTCGATGGTATCGAGCACGACGTTGTTCGATCCGATCGTCCCGAGAACCAACTCCTCTTCAATTCAACCATACTTGTCGACCAACCGGACCTCTCTTGCGAGCGCGTACCTGAACACGAGCTCAGTTGTCACGAATATGACTTCACTCTCAGCTTCATCACAATCATCGACCAGTCGGACGTCTCTACTGAGCATGAATACAAGTTTGAGCTCGATTGCTGGCACAATTTTCTCTTCCTCCAGTACAGCCTCGTCAGTCTTGCCAACTACTTTCAATAGCAGTCCGTCAACTTCAGGCAATGTCAGTACAACAAATACGACGACAACTACCACACTGACAACTGCCGCAACAACACCTGGCCCAAGGACGAGTCCGTCTTCAAGTGCGACTGCCACAACAGCCCGAACGGTCTGTGTGGCCAATTTACCCGCTGCCTGCGCCAGTCTACAACTTCAAAGCGGTGTCGACCTACAACTGGCTGCCGCTAACTGCCAAATCGCTATACTACAGGTTCTGAACGTCGGTACCTTACCAGCCTCCCTCAGTTGCCTCCTCGCGTCAAACGTGGTCACCGAAACTGGCCCGGCCATAGCTGCCTGCGTTGCAAACTCAGGCCTCTTCTGTGCGGCCCCGTCCTCGACCAGGACGACAACGGCAACGACACCTACCACTGGCACAACGACCACTAGCACTGCAATCAAGTCATCATCCACTACTTCAACGACCAGCAGCAATTGCGTTGTCAACCTGCCCCTGGTCTGCCTCGACCTTGAGGTATCCCCACTTCTCGGAACTGCCTTAGCTCCACTTGGTCAACAATGTTCTAATGCTTTAAGCCAGACTGTTAACCTCACTGCGCTCCCAGGCTCACTGGACTGTCTCACTACGAACCTTGATGTTCTGGCCACTGGCGCCTCGCTCGCCCAGTGTATCATCAACTCCGGTGTAATTTGCGGAACACAACCTACGGCTTGCGTTGTAACCTGAGGCCTTTTCTGCGCCACCACACCCTCTACCGTAATCACCCACACCTCTGGCACAGCCTCTAGCACCGCTCTCGGCATCTCCTCTAGCACCGCTCTCGGCATCTCCTCTAGCACCGCTCTCGGCATCTCCTCTAGCGTAGCCACCAGCCAGATTGCCATGCTTGACCTTTGTCTCCTAACCCTACCATCCACATGCTCCAGCCTGGTCAACATTAATGGAGTGGCTCTAGCAAATAATGCTATTGGCTGTACAACCGCCCTGATTGCGCTAGAAAATGCTGGGCTGGTATCAGACGCCAGGGTTCTACAGGCCTCAAATTGTGTAGCCAACTCGGTGGTTACCGTCACAAACCCGAATCCTTTAGGCTCGAATTTCGTGGCGTGCATCAGCACTGCTGTGCTCTGCCCCCAATAAAGTCGCTGTGAGGAGGACCGCTGGAGCCATACAATACTATGGGAACTTCCGGGATTTCTTTGAGATCGCGGTCAGTGAGCTAGCTGATGAGTGGAATCTTCACGAACACGTCTTGCGCGCTGGAGTGATGAAGACTTTCATCATTCGAGAGGCCCTCACGCACTACACAAATGTGGGTCGTTTCAACGTGTCGGAAAGAGCATTTTGCATGCCAGGTCATTGTTACAAGTTAGTCACGCAATGTATACCGGAGCAAATGCAGCCATGCGAAGCGATCGAGGCGGACCGATTCGACACAATCGCAGCAGCTACGATTCAGACGTTGCACGCGGCACAGGGTCAAGCAATGTCACGGGCATGAGGACACAACGCTGGTCTTCCGTACCGAACTTGCCGAGGCCATAACCTTGGAAGTCGAATCGCAGTGAGGAGTTGGTTGGTAGTTACTGTACTTGTACTATACCTTGAGATAGGTGGGTAGCTTAGGGTTCTATTGGAACGAACCATTCAAGTTCAAAGTGGATCGGTTGACCCAGAGAGATATCCATAGACGGACTTGGTAGACGTACTGACCAACTCGAGCTATCTCTGTCGAGATCCGCAATTGCATCTGACGACTGCTCAAGTGCTTGCAGAATACAAGTTGACTTCAGAATGTCAACTTGTGGACTTCGGCCTCGATGGCCTTTCAGTCTACTCGGCCTTGCCTTTTCAGCAGCGGCAATGAGGCACGAGGAATCTGCAGTCTGTGTCACCACCAAAATCCCCCACTAGTCTGCAGGACTTTTCGACTTGCTCAAACATCCAATCAGAACGTTTATTCATAGCTCCCAGCTAGAATGGACCAATCCTCTGGCGCTGCAGCCTGGGAGTGAGCTACAGAAGACTCCAGATTCCTAAGATATGATGACTGTAGTCCTCCGCCTTGCACATCGCCGATGCGCGGACGTGTTCTCGTTCGGCTGATTTCAGCATCGAAGCTGTTGGGCGAGCTACATTGTACACGTCCCGAGAGAGCCTAGGTGACATAGCAAATCTCCCGAGACTGGACGAAATATACAGCGACCATGGCCGCTGTAATCGATCGCGAGCCATATGAGTATCGCGGCTTGGATAAGACGACGCGCGATATCCGCGTGATAGATCTATTTCGATCGTTATCTACTGATGGCTTGATACAATGCCGCATCCGGACACTGCAGCTTAGATCAGCGTCCGAATCCAGAGCGCTGGGCTTCAGAGCTCTATCGTACGCATGGGGCAGTGCTCAGCAGCCTCAATGTCGTATCATTGTGGATGGCAGGATTTTCATGGTTCGTCAAAATCTTCATGACTTTCTCGAAATCTACCGGAAGGAGATTCCGCAGAAGGAGACCCATCGGACGTTGTGGATAGACGCTGTATCGATCAATCAAATTGACACGCAGGAGCGAAACCATCAGGTGTGGATGATGAGCAGCATTTACCGCCAAGCAGAAGAGGTTGTGATATGGCTTGGGCGCGATGTCGAGATCAGCACCAAACGATTTAGATTGAGCCTGTTGGCGCCACTCTACAGTCTGCTCACCCGACTGGAACGGAGGGTTTGGCGCTGGTATGCCATGCACAAGAACTCGAAAGCCGCTTCCCTCGTTGAAGACTCATTATCTCTCTACGGTGAATGCTCCGATTTCGTTCTCGAACAATCGTTACGCTCGGCAAAAACAACCGCGTTGTATAGGAACCCATACTTCGACCGGCGATGGGTATACAGCGAATTGTTGCTAGCGAGGAGCAAAAGGGTCCTTGCGGGTAGTGTCTCCATGTCATGGGCAGAACTTTTGCTTGTGTACAAACACACACCGGAGAGAGACGTGTTATCAGACTGGCTACAAGATAACATATTCATTGTCCCATACACAAAACCTCAAAAAGCAGTCCCTCTGGACTCTTTGCTTTCCAAACTCAACAACACAGAGTGTGAGCAGCGTCACGACTATATCTACGCATTCCTGGCGGCATGCAGCAATGGATCAGCGTTTCCTGTCAACTACAACTGCGACCTCTTTGAGCTATTGCTCGGAGCAGCCCTTTTCTGTATTTGTAACATAAAGAAGGGGCCCAGCGTCAAATACAATGACCTGTATGAAATTGAAACTCCATTTAGTGAGCTAGCTGATGTATGGAAACTTCACGACAGAGTCTTGTCAAGCGATATGTTGGAGTGTCGTGTTGTTCAAGAAGCGCTAGCGGACTATACGACCGACACTCGATTCAGCTTGCCGATTGAAGGCGCGATTCGCATGCCGTCCTATCGTCGCAAGCCATCAGCGGAGTATATACCCTCCGGATTTTCTCTCAGCTATGATTCCCTTGTGGCACAAACGTCTCATGCCCAGCGTGACAGCTACCTCGGACGGCTCTTGGTAGCTTCAGACGTGACGCATGTCCTTTTCAGCCGGGGTATACATACCAGCATACTACTGTTACGAAGTGTGCAATCACACCGTGAAAGTGTTCGCTTCGTCGTCATGGGTCATCTGCATCAAACACGGGAAAGCGATCGGAATCACTCATGCTACACATTCACTTCTGAGATATACGGGACACGAGGACTGCCCGGGATCTACGTGAAACCATACAAAGAACGTGGTGGATGTGATGATGACTCTGTGCTTGTCTTCTCCGACCTAAGGGCGCCGTTGGTCGCCCTTGGTCTACCAAGCAGACCGCATCAGCAGGGCGTTCGCATGGCAGCGCTGGACATACTGTATGATACTGTCTCGTTCCCTCTTCCATCCGTTAAGTTCGAAAGGGTAAATTGTCCTAGGACCTGGAGCAGTGACTATACCCTGATAGATCGGACTAAATGGCTAGCACCCGGTACTGGCGACGATACCTCTGCCGTCGGCCATGCAGAGCAGTCCCCTGATCCTCTCAGGGACCTCGAGTAGTGCAAGCAGAGGGCCAGCGTGTGATGCATGTACCAGGCCATTCGACGGTCCTCACTCAATCAGCAGGAAGTGTAAACGCCGTCAATGACGTCAGCAACGCCGGCCTGTATGGTCCCGCGAGTCAGCGACATCGAAGGACGGCAGCATCTCAGGAAGTCGTCGCTCACGATCTTCCAACCCGAGCCTCTCCTGCTTCGGGGTCGCGAGTCTCTGCATGACCGGGCTGTCCCACACCTGTACTGTCACAATATTTGACTCCTCCCTCGCGGATGGGATGTTCAGCTGGCAACCACGGCAAGCCTCACTGATGGCGCGAGGTGCCTTCATTGAGCCTGTCATCTGCATCGCTACTCAAGCACCAGCAGCGAAAAGACCTATTGGTAGAAGCAGGAAGCTTTTGACACCAATGCTACCGCCAGATCTTCGATCCTTGCCATGTGCAGTGAGTAAGTGCGGGATGTTCGGTCTGGCCCCAAGATCTTCGAGGACAGCGCAGTTGCATGTACAAACGATGGTGTGCGTCGATCAAGGAAGCTGTGGAGGTAAAGGTCATCATGCCTGACCTTTCGAATATATGTACACACCCACTCGTGCCAATGGAGTTGCACAAAAACTTTGCGAGATTCGCTTGCTGAATACCGCTGTTGACTAATTGAATATCTACACTCCAGTGCCAGTGTTTGGTGTGTCTGACGCACAGAATCCCCAATGCAGCTGTTAAGGTGGAAGAATGGACGGGGGAAAAGGCGATGATCCGATGCGAAGGTGGCGATGCAAGCCTGATCTGATCAATTCATATCACCCACTACTTTCTCCTCTCGCAATCGGCTTGCGAGGCTCGTTGTTGTCCTTTCTGGCTCTAAAACTTGTCGGTGCTGCAAAGGCTGCAGTATCCTTCCTCATTGTATTCGAACTACGGGCGACGACGTTTCGACCGGCGTAGCTGTACCACGACTCTGCGTCATGCTGTAAGGAGCCTGATCAATGTTTCGTCAGTATACATTTACACAGTCCGGTGATCAGCACATGGCAGAAGGCGTTCGGACTCGCAGGAATGCAGGTCGGGACTCACCAAAACCTTCTTCGCCTCCCAAACCCTCCACGCCAGGTTCTCGACCTTGCCATCTGCCTTGACCACCTCGGGCGCAAACTCGATCCCAAACATCTCCTGCAACGCGTACACTACCCGCTTCGCAAACTTTCCGTCCCTCTCTACTAATCCTCCGAATACTTCCCGACTTGTGGATGGTGCAATGTCCGGGTCCCGATCGAAGCAGTTCTGGACGACAGGTAACAAAAGTCGCTCGATATCCTGACGGACATACGCCTCAGTCTGCGCCGTCATAGTCGGACCCATAGTGACAGCAAGATCCTCTTCTTTCCAGTGTGGAATCTTGATCTCGAATCTGGGCGACAGGGCAAGGACGTTGTGCTTACCGGCATGGTGGTAACGGAATTCGTAGACGCCGATTGTCCAGAAGAGCTTGTCGCCGGAGAAAAGCATGCTGCCTGTGACACACTCTTCAGGCTGGCCTGTGTGAGGGCTAGTGCGCTTTGTGCGGGCGTCGCTTGTGAGAATACCGTCTTCGGAGTTGAGGAGATCAAATTCGCCCTTGTTGGTGGCGATCCATCTGCCTTGCGAAGGGACCTTTGTTGAGTCTTTGGAAGGGTTGTCGGAGACCTTGTAGAGACCAACCCAGTCAAGTCTGGAGTGATCGAGAGGCGCGGTCCATTGCACTTTGATCGGCGAGCCATATTCGATTTGAAGGTGTTTGCCGTCTGGCGATGGCTCGGTGCCGCCCATGATTTCCAAAGAATACTCCTCTGTGTCAATACCGACGAGTTCAGAGGAGAACCTATTCATCTGAAAGAGGCTCGGATACTTGCTGAAGAACTCTCTCGATTCGTGAGCCATGTGGTTTACTCCATCGAGGAGTTTCGGTCGAGCAGAGTCCAAGAGGTTTTCCACTTGGTCGAACGAATCACTGAGCACTTTGTCCAAGTTCTCTTGCCAGTCTCGGAATGGCGGCGGTAGTGATCGACGCAGGCTACGTACCAGGCCAGCATCCTGTCGCAGGTTTCGTCCGTACAGCTTCTGCATGTGTGGTCGTTCGACGAATTGAATGAAGGCCAAGCTCAGGGTATGGCTCAGCAAGGCTAGTCCGAAGATAGACTTACTGCTGGTGATGAGCGCAATGCCCCAGAGACCAGCCAGTCCAAGGACTCGTTCTGGATTGTTCAGGAAGCGATAGATACCACCATAAGTAAGCTTTGGATGTTGGTCGAAGAAAAAGTCGCCAAAAAACCAGCCAAATTCGCCGAGCTGACCATATATGCTGGCAGCCACCCAAACTTGTAGCGCAATGAGACCAGATCCGATGACATGCTTGAATAGTACCAGGCTTGAGCTCCAGTCCTCAGGGAAGGTGTAACTTTTCCACGCCGCGGCGACGAATGAAGCGTAGCACATGGTCATACTGAGATGATATGTACCCTTCCACTGTCGCCACGCTTCCCAAGTGCTTTCACCATATTTGAGAAAGTGGCGAGTCCAGCGCTTCTTGTTCGACTGTCGATTGAGTAAGAAGCCGATACCAACCGAGTACCAAATTCGGCAGAGACCTGCAAAGAAGACAAAGAGTGCTCGAATGGCAGGCGTTGTTGGAGTCAGTAGTGTGACAGCTAACGACAGCAGTTGTATAATGAAGATTGAGGAGTCCGTCGTGCGATGAAAATCAATGTTCTGGAGGCCAAGCAAGTTGTGAGTGACAGGTGCTGATTACTTCCAGCGCTGGGCCAACTTTCCGCCGTGTCGGTCCTTGACGGTGGCGGGCGCTGGCCACTGGCTGTTCGTGGTGGCGTATGGACCTGTCGGCGAGGTGGTGGAGAGCTGTAAGTTCGTTCAATGTGAGGGTTTTCGACCCAGACAAGGAACGCGAACTGAGCTGCATGAGCCGCGACGGAGACGAAGCACACAGTCCAGCTGGCAGCCATCAAGGACATCCCGTAGTAGCCAGTGTATCCAATGGAGTACATGGGGTGAGGGGCCATCTCGAAGACACCATCGAAAATGAGCTCTTGGTCGATCAGATAGAAGAAGTCGCCCCAGTACCAAGCAAAGTCCTTGACCACTCGATGGGCATCAAGCTTAACCCATATGTTGAAGGCAAAGAGTGTTGTGCCGGTCAGCCATCTTCCTACAGTCATGAGGGTTCCCTCTCCCGCCGGCTGATGAGCACAGGCGAATGCAAACAGGCAGTACGACACAAAGTCACACATGAGTATCAGATCGACGACTCGCCTGAAGAGTAGCCATGTATTGTATTCGATTGGTGCCGCAGCGAAGTCGTAGTCCTTCGGGATCTTGGTCTCGAACTCGCGTTTGAGGAAACGGTACAGCCCAGGTCGAGGATTCTTGCCCGTTGCAGGGTTGACGAAGATTTTGGATTTGCGCGCCCATCGCACCAGCATTTGATAGTGTGATTGCATGTGCAGGAGATAGCCAATGCCGACATTGTAGCCAGCTCTCCAGAAGGCATAGATGCAGCCAAATACCGGTATCCGATAGCCTGGTGGGAGTGCCCATAGGGTGAAGATGTGGACGGCAAGAACGAACAAGACTGCAATGTCAGATATGTTCTTGGGCTCCGATGGAGACAGTAACTGCGACACCATGTCGTGTGTGTACGGAACTGTAAATACTACCAGGCGTGTTAACGAGTCGGGGCATTGCAAGTGGTCTCCAACGTACCTGTTCCGTCGGGCGTGCGGCCGAAAGTCTTCTTATCCTTCTCGTCGGCGACATCTTTCTGGTCTTCGAGAGCGTTGAGCTCTAGGACTGTCTGCCGCGCTTCATCTGTTGACTTAGCTTGCAGCGGGGCATTACGCTGCCGAAGCCCCTCTTTGTCTGTTGCTTCGGCCATGACCAGCTCTGGGTATGATAGAGTGTTGCGTTACTGCCGCGCCTTCATGGCAATGTTCGTAGCTAGCTGTTGAATCGTGAGCTAATGCAACCACCCCGGGGCTGTTGAAGATCTCCGGAAAAGTGGAAGAGACGAGTACGAGCGAAGACGCCAGCGAATATGAATCCACGGGCCAGGTGTCCGCTGCACAACTACAATGAAGTCGAGATGTGGCTACGCGTTGGGCGGGCACTGTGAAGAAAACGCGTACCCTCAATGGCGTGTATTCGTTTTGACCATTGCCCATATAAGTTGCTGACCGGAAATGTATTTCACGTGAGGTGAGGGGCCATCGCTTAGCCGGAGACAAGAACATGTGAAAGGTGACGTGATCCAAATGTTTTCATCGTGGGGAGACAGCATGCGTTCTCGGCAGTTGCTCGAATGTCTGTTCCTTCCAACTTGAACATTTGAAGCACAGTTGACATCTGCAAGCAGTTCAGCGAGGTACTCAAGCCTCAGCTCGGGCACAAAAGGCGACCAGGCGCCCACAAGGCGTCATATAGCATGTTACCGACTACTGACAGGCATGACGCACCGTGGCCGTACTTGATGCCTCGATTGAAAGCACCAGGGAAAGAATGACCATCTTGGGTCAGTAGAGGGGTAAATCTGGTAGCGCTCAGCCCTATGGTACATCTTTTGGGGGTGCCGGGATGGCTCCTCTTTTGTCTCCGAGGCCGCCCGCGGGCGCTGGTCGCATCATCGTACTCTCCTGAGCGTAGATCAATCCCCTTGCGTTGCCATTATTGAATGATTGCATAACAGCTGACTTCGAGTCGTAAATCCTAGGCTTTGGAGATCTTAAGTGCGGATTTCCTTAGCTCCCGCAGACTTCAGCGCGTCGAGCGTCCTTGTGCTCGCGCGACTGAAGCCCACCAGTGGCGATTCCGGTACTTCAAGTTTCTCCGTTTCCTGGTGACAAATCCTCCAAACATTTAGAAGGTTTCGATTATCTCTCTATATCGCCCACTTCAGTGAACTTGTCGCTTGAGGAGACGTCAATCTGATTGCACTGACTGATAGCCATGGCGCCGTCGCTCGAAGAGCCGGTCGCCGATGCTCTGGAAAACCATCTGCGAACAAAGCCAGGTGAGCATCGACCCCGAATGCCACGATTCCTTGACTGATTCGCTATGTACCAGATCTTGTCGCACCGGAACCCGAACACTGTCCAGGGCCCGAGTCAGAACAGGCGGGACAGGGTGATGCCTGCAACGGCTGTCCAAACCAAGCGATTTGCGCATCGGCGCCCAAAGGACCTGATCCTGACATACCTATCATAACAGAACGTCTCGCAGGCGTAAGGCACAAGATACTAGTCTTGTCCGGCAAAGGCGGTGTCGGAAAGTCAACATTCTCATCACTACTCTCACATGCATTCGCCGCCAACCCGGAGTCTACAGTTGGACTGATGGACACAGATATATGCGGACCCTCAATACCTAAGATGATGGGAGTGGAGAGTGAAACAATACATGTTAGCAATGCTGGCTGGAGTCCTGTCTGGGTTAGCGACAATCTAGGCGTCATGAGCGTGCAATTCATGCTACCGAACAGAGACGACGCTGTCATCTGGCGAGGGCCTAAGAAGAACGGACTAATAAAACAGTTCCTCAAGGATGTTGAGTGGGGTGAACTCGACTATCTTATCGTTGACACCCCTCCTGGCACATCAGACGAGCACTTGTCTGTCAACTCGTTCCTCAAAGAGTCAGGAGTGGATGGGGCAGTGGTGGTCACGACCCCGCAAGAAGTTGCCTTGCTGGACGTCCGCAAAGAAATCGATTTCTGCCACAAGGCGGGCATTCGAGTCCTTGGACTGGTTGAAAACATGTCTGGTTTCGTCTGCCCAAAATGCACTCACCAATCTCAGATTTTCAAAGCTACGACTGGCGGCGGTGCTCAGTTGTGCAAAGACATGGGCATACCGTTCTTAGGTGCCGTTCCTCTCGATCCGCGCATTGGCATGGCATGTGACTTCGGGGAGAGCTTCATGGACAGCTTCCCAGAGTCGCCTGCAACACAAGCGCTTCGAGATGTGGTCAGAAAAGTGGGCGAACTGGTTGGAGAAGATCCCAACGAGGTGCTCCCAGATGGCCCGATTTAGAAGGCATCTGATTGTTGCGGTTCACAAAAACGGTAGCCTGGATCACAACCGTACGAAGTGCTTGGATCTGCGGTTCTCATCGATGCCGTGCCTGTCAGGTGTTGTTCGGCATGTGATATCCACTGATACGACTTCGAAGCCCTTTGCGATGCAAGCGAACACGCGGCCGGATCGTCGTTCAAACGTTGCAGCAGGAGCAGAACATCCAAAAAGAAAGAAGCAACGTTTGGCGGAGTCTTCCCAGACCAAGCGCGATTGGTCGAGAGTCCCTCTTGGCGACGCACCCCTGACATTGTGGGGTACCAGTCTTCACCTCCTTCAACATTCTGAAACGTCGTCCGAAGAATTTGCTCTGTCTCAGCTCCTGAACGGCGTCAATAACGACCGGTCGACGTTGTGGCTGCATGGAAAACTCTTCACCCAGAGTCCTCCTGGCGGAGTGCCCCGCTGTCAGTGATCGCAGTGGCCATTCAGTATTCTGGTACTGCCCCTCCTGAGACGTGTGCCCGCAAAGAGTTGCCACGATTCACCGATTCCAGTCGAGGCCACATGTCGTGGCTGCAGTCGAACGCGGGAGCGTGGATCATGGCACCAAGGTTCATGCCGTGTTTGGAAACCCCTCGCAGCCTACCCGGGCGGCCTTCACGGTGGATATGTTGAGTATAGTAGAAGTGTTTCCTCCAGCATCACCTGTTACATTTCTGCCTTGTCAAATCTTTGAATACAATCACACACTCATTGTGCCGTCGTCTCTTTCCTTCTCTTCAGTACGAACGAGTCTGGACTCATATTCATTCTACCGCCTTGCAGGGCAAGGTCGCCATTCATTTATACCAACGTCCAGCACTTGACGACTCTCCTTCAGCATGACCAGATTCTCCTCGTTCCTTTATGTTGCTCTATTCGTTTCACTGGTCTTGGCCAGCCCAATTTCACAGCAGAAAAAGCGCTCGTTCCGAGTACCAGTCATACCGAATCCGCATTATCGCCCACATGGTCCTCGAGCATACAAGCGAGCGCTGAATAAATTCGGCTTCAACGATATCACTTTCAAGGATGACGGCGACATTGCGACACGGCTCAAGGCAGCCTCAAACATGACGACGCCTTTGGCAGAAAACACCCAGGATGGAGCTGTTGCGACTGCCGGCACACAGAACGATGCCCAGTTTTTGTCACCCGTGACGATTGGAGGGCAAGAGTTGATTATGAACTTCGATTCTGGCAGTTCGGACACCTGGATCTTCAACACGAACCTGCCAGCTAGCGCACAACAGGGTCACACCGTCTACGACCCCACCAAGTCCAGCACCTTCAAGAACCTCTTGGCTGACTCGACGTTCAACGTTACCTATGGGGATGGATCAGCGGTGTCAGGACCAGTCGGTGTCGATACGGTCGATATTGGCGGGTCAACAGTCGCCCAGCAAGCCATTGGACTTCCGGACGTTGTCTCAGAGTCTTTCATCGTCGACAGCCAGTCGAATGGACTGGTCGGACTCGCTTTCTCCAAGTTGAATACAATCGAGCCTCAGAGGCAAAATACATTCTTCGAAAACGTGCTTCCTGACCTGTCGCAACCAGTGTTTACAGCCCAGCTGTTGGGAGGCAAGATAGGAGCTTACGAATTTGGGCGAATCGACTCGTCCGCCTTCACAGGAGAGCTAGCTCGAATCCCCGTTGACTCCAGTGAAGGATTCTGGAAAGTCCAGGCCGATCTTGCAAATGTGAATGGACGAGATATTCCCATCGATGGAGGATCGGCGATCATCGATACAGGCACATCCCTCATGCTCGTGCAGGAGCAGATGGTTGTCGGGTACTACAATCAGGTGCAAGGTGCAGAGCTGAATCAGCAAGTGGGTGGGATCATCTTCCCTTGCAATGCTGCCCTACCAGATCTCAAAGTCCGCATCGGAGATTCATATGTCGCGACAATACCAGGCTCAGGCATGAACTTTGCAGAGGTGGGCACAGACACTCAGACTGGAGAAGCGTTTTGCTTCGGCGGTCTTCAGTCGAACCAGGGTGTTCCATTCGCCATCTACGGAGACGTCTTCTTCAAGTCTCAGTTCGTAGCCTTCCAGGGCGGCAATGATCCTTCGATAGGAATCGCCCCTCACGTATGATGGTTTAAGCAGGGAGGGTTCCGTGGTGATTTGCATCTTAGCGCTTGGTGTTTTTGGGCATTTACAGGATAGAGACTATACAGACTTGACGACTATATCATGACAGGCTTCCCGGTCCACATACCGGTTGAAAACATACCTTCTTCCCAGACTTTTGCGGTCTTACATTGTGTCTGCCTCGTAGCTATCGATAGCAATTTCGTTTTTGCTTTGAGGAACCCTTGGCTCCTTCCTCGGTGTCTCGATGATGTCTTGCACTTTCCTCATGCACTGCGTCAGATGGAAGTAGCAGTGAGAGGGTATCTGTGGCAGTCGCTCCGGCATGCATTCACACGGCAAGCTCGACCATGGCGAGTGCTGCGAGCTTCAGCTGCGAGTCTGCCACGATGGTCTCCATCATGGCTTCACGAGTTCATCGGGATCAATGCATGCGTAGCTGTAGCATCTTATCCAACGTTGGCAAAGATGGCGAGCCCTGCCGATGAAACGACTTCATTACTTCGTCGCAAAGCCAAACGAGATGTGTCGGAGGGCAACATGATTGTGACGGGCGATTCTGCGGAGAGAAAAACTTTTGAGATCGCCATCCCCACCACAGGAATTCCTGGCTGCTACTCAACCTTCCATTGTTTCGACGACGGCACTACGTGCGAGCAAATACACCATCCACAACCTAGTGCTTCTTCCGAGTTCGACTTAGACACTGTTCCTGCACATCTTCACCAAGCCTTCAGATCGCCCGCCGAAGTAGCCATCTCTGGAGCCATAGCGGCGTCGAAGACGACAGTTGAGCCGACGTTGCCCTGCGAGACCGAAGAGTCGACGAGATCACAGCACGAGAACTCCAAACCGCAGACTATTAGAGTCGGTGACTCACAACCTCACCTCGACCAGCCCGTACCTCGACAGACGTCACAAACACTTCACAACTACAGCGCACTATCCTCTGGAATGAGTGACCACTCTCGACAGGCTTCAGCCGACCTCCAAAAGTCGCCAGCAAAAGAACACAAACCCCTCGTCGTCGGACGCACGAAGCCACCTCAGTTCAACATGTCCACCCCAAATACAGCCGCAGCCGAGGAGGAGCTCACAAAGAATGTCGAGACCAACACCATATCCGCCGCCCCAGCCTCAGACACACCCACCGCACCCAAACCCAAGAAAGAGAAAGCCCCTAAACAGCCCAAACAACAGAAACCCGCACCGGTCACAGCCCCTCTCTCACCCGCCCTCATCGACCTCCGTGTCGGCCACATCCTCCGCGCCATCAACCACCCCAACGCCGACTCCCTGTATGTCTCCACCATCGCCATGGGCGACCCCGAAGGCACCGAGCACACCCAAGTCGACGAAACAACCGGCAAAGTAGTGCGCACCGTCTGCTCCGGCCTCAACGGTCTCGTTCCCTTAGCCGAGATGCAAGACCGCAAAGTCGTTGTAGTCGCAAATCTCAAACCCGTCAACATGCGCTCCATCAAATCTGCCGCTATGGTCCTCGCTGCTAGCCCCAAAGCGGAGGAAGGTGCCGATCCGCATGCGGCTGATCGGGTGGTGGAGTTGGTCAATCCTCCGGAGGGTGCTGAGGCGGGTGAGCCGGTGTTCTTCGAGGGGTGGGAGTACGGTGAGGGCAAGGGGCCGGAGAAAGTGTTAAACCCGAAGAAGAAGCAGTGGGAGGCGATCCAGCCGGGTTTCTTCACTGGGGAGGACCTCGTGGTTGGGTTCGATGCGGGCAAGAGCGAAATGGAGGGCGACAAGAAAGGCGACCTGATTGTGAAGGGAAAGGGGAAGTGCACAGTCAAGACGCTGAAGGGCGCTGTTGTGCGATGATCGCCATGGTCCAAAGCCAGACGGAAGAATTGGGTGTTTGAAGGCCAAAATCCAGCAAAATATGCAGGGATGCGTACTATGAAATGACACCGGCATGAGACTATGGATTATGCACACAGCATACGGTACCCTTAGCATAGCTCGATACAGTATGATACCAAGTTAGACAGAAGACGATCGAATGCACATGCATTATCAGATTACCACCAATCTCTCTTCCGTGATCGAGCGAGCTTACGTACAAAACCCCGTCGTCCGGTTGAATGTCTCTGCTCTACTCCCGCCCATCTCTTTCTACTCATCCCACGGATGATCCGTCTCCTACAACTTCACCCGCTCCTGACTCCCACTCAACCTCCTCCCACCGCCACCAGGTCTGCCAACCATCCGCGGACTTGCTCCAGCAACACCAACACCGACAGCGACGCCACCGCTTACACCACCAGAGTTCCCTCTTGCCATAGGCACAGCACCGCTGATCGGCACACCAGCAGCAGCATTGGCGGCATCATCCATCAGCCCCACGCCGGCATTGCTGAAGCTGCTTCTAGTACTGGTCGTTGAGCCTTCGCCGTTCGTGCCGCTAGCGGGGACAGGCGCAGTCGGATTGCGAAACAGCTCTGACGGCCGATCGGTGTTTGACGCCATGGACGTCCTGCCTCTTTGTAGACCCACCGGTCTCGCCGCGGCCACGGCTGGCGATGTCGTCGAGGAGGAAGGTCCGGGCGCTGGCACCCCCGCTCCACCCTGGGACGACGGTTGCGACTGTCCCTGCTGAGCCGCAGCAGCCTGATGATGCGCAATCTGTATCCTCTCCCTCTCGCGATTCAGCAACCACTGCACCTGTGCACGTATACTGAACAGGCCCGCACCCTGCTGCGCCTGCTCTTCCTTCAGGCGGAGCGTTTCGTTCATGTGCATCATGCTGCTTTCGGCGTGGTTGGCTTGCAGGCCGTGGAGTTGGTCGCGGAGTTGGGAGATTTCGTGGGCGAGGTGCTGCATTTCTGCTTCTGCTTCGAGATGTTGGGAGTGGGAGCGGTGATGGGGTGTGTGGTGGTTGACGACGTTGGGCGTTAGTGGTCTGAGGTGGGCTGGGAGGGCGAGGTCCGTGTACAGGTTTGGTGGGACGGGGGAGTCTTCGTAGGGGATGCGGGGGACTTCCTCGATGGATAGGGTTGGTGAGGGAACGCGGGCTGGTGTGTCGACGCTGGATTCGGCGTCGGTGGGCAGGACGGGCAGGACGCGATTGTTGATGATGTCGTTGATCTTGTCAAGGCCCGTCTCGAGGACCTCGTTGCGAACTTTTGCGAGGGCGAGCTGCTCTGTCACGGACTTCAGGTTCTCGGCCTGTTTCTTGAAATGTGGCGCTAAGCGAGCGAAGGGACAGCCAACAGAGTGAAATTCCAGCTCTTCGGGTGATGAGAAAGGGATGTTCGTGCTGCACCCGAACTCGACGCCTGGACAGTAGCTTGTAATGTTTGCCTGGCAGATGTGTCCATTCTGGCCGGCGAGGTAGGCTTTGACGGTGATGCGCTCGCCACAAGCCTCGCACTTAACGCCGGTTGCAGGACAGTCCTCGTCCTTGTGCTTCAGCCATTCGCCGCGTCCGAGCTCGATGACTGCGCCACAATCACATTCGATGTGTGAGCTGTGGATACACGTGCCGTCGATGAAGTTCTTGCGCTTGACCTTCTTGTCGCAATTCCGTCCAGGACAGTCCATGGGGTACTCCCGACATTCCTTGATCGCGTGTCTCTCCATATATCCGCGTGCATGCACAGCCTCGCAGTCGTCATTTGGGCAGCGGACTTTGACGTCGTCGCACATGTTGACGATCAGGCGGGAAGCGCGTTGCGGGCGGCCAAGAATGTATGCTCTACATGTGGGACATTGGACGCGTGGATCGGGCTCCCGGCAGTATTCGTCGTAGCATTGGCGGCAGAAGGTATGATCGCAGTCGAGGACGATTGGGTCGACGAAGGGAACGTGACATATTGGACACATGAGGTGCGGGTCATAGTCGGAGACATAGTCCAGGTCACGGAGGTCGATCTTGGGTTCTGGAACGGGCAGGCCCTGTGCAAATGGTACGTGCGCGGATGCTATAAGGCGCGGTTGAGCGGATTGCGTGCGGATTGGGTAGGTCAGGTGTGGGGACGGCGGTGTCGATGGGCGGTGGAACTCTGCGAATAGTGACTCGAGGTGGTCTTGAAGTCCTCTGTCAAGTGGCTCGACCTCGTCATCGTCGTGGTGACCGTAGCCAAAGAAGGCGGACGGAGGGGTGCTCATTGTGTATGGTAGGTTGTATTAAGCTATGCGGTGAGAGGGAATGTATCGATCAAGGCAACCGGAGGGGTCCCATCATATTCATGTAGGTATATTCAAAGTATTTGTAGCAGTTGGCAGCGATTGATCAAGAGACTGTGGCACAGATGTCGCACTCGGGAATATGCCAGCACATCCCATGCAGTGTCCTTGACAGACGCAGGAACGACTCGACGCTTGCCGCAGGGCAAGATCGGGCTTACCCCACGCCGCTGCCAAGGTCTCGGGAGGCCGGTGCCGTGACCTATGAAGAGTGACGGAATAATGGGGCCTGAGGTGGGCGGATGCAACGACATCCATCCTTCCATGTCTGCACTCATCAGCTACATTGCGTTATACCACAGGCCGACCTAACTCTACGCTGCTCGATGTGTCAGACTAAGATCACCGAACCTGACTCTCATTGACCATTCCCCACCGATAGACGTCCGGCAGCATCAAGACGGCTCCGTAGCCCACCGCAGTTGCCGCCGGTGCCCGTCAGCAGCCCTGCTGCTCGGCCCACGCCATGTCCAACGCCTCCCAACTCCTGCTCCTAGCAGACCACATCAAGCTCTCTCTCCTCGAGCGCCAACGCGCCATCTCACTTAACCTCGACCCCAATCCCTCCCAAGACTCAAACATCTCCCGCTCCCTCGAGTCCTTCCGCGAAGGCATAGAGTCCCTCGCCTCGCGCTCTTCCGACAACGACCAGATCTCCAACTTGCGATCCCAGTATCATGATCTTTCCAAACAGTTCCATGGCGATGCCTCGACGACAGCAGAGACGACGCTTACATCGCCCAATGACCCTACATTGAAGAACGACTTCGCGCACGCCCGGTCTCGACCTAGTCAAGAACATGGTGCCCGACCGAACATGACCAAATCCTCCAGCTTGCGCGGCAAAGACAGCCTGTCAGCTTCAAACAAGAATGTCCGCTTCCGCGACGACCCTTCCCAGGATTCGCTGGACGATTCACCAGAAGACGATGATCCCAATCGCGCTTCATTGTTTCCTCAGCGATACACCGACGACCCGTCTCCCACTCCAGACCCAACAGCAGATATGACCAACACGCAAATCCACAGCTGCCACCAACAAGTCCTGCAAGAACAGGACGACCAGCTCGACACTCTATCCGAGTCGATCGGACGACAACGGCATTTGGCGATGCAGGTGGGCGATGAGTTGGAAGGGCAAGTTGCACTCTTGGATCAGGTGGATCGAGGTGTCGATCGGCATCAGGGACGTTTAGATGGCGCGAGAAAACGGCTGAAGGGTGTAAGCAGTAAGGCAAAGGAGAATTGGGGGATGACCACGATCGTGGTGCTGATTGTTGTTCTGGTGTTGTTGATTGTGGTTTTGAAATGAAACCGAGAGGTCTCAGCGGGAACTCTGGGGGATGTGCACAATTAGCTCTCGATCAACAGCCTCGAGGCACGTAGACCTGGGATGTGTATCTATTTCTGTTCTCGGGACGCAAGGCGCAACGGGAACTGGAATGATAGTCAATGGAAGGGCATCGTTAAGCGAAACCTGCACTGAATGTACCATGGCTGTAAAGATGTTGTGCGGACGATGCATTTCCAGCGACAGAAACGAGATCATTGTGGATGACAACGGCACGACAACGTCAGGAACATACACGGACATCGTAAACAGAGCGAGTCCTACGTCCCAAGCCGAAGATCCCATGAAAGCTACCTATGCACAATCCAAGTAACGCAGTGACAGCGCACACCACGAGTCACACTCTCAAAGCAGACAACTCGAATGACCCGCGCCGCACGGAGCTGTCTGCTGCCATGGCCTAGATATCTTCGCGGTGAATCGAAGTACTAGATTAATAAAGATCATAAAAGAGTGCCGAAGAACTCTCATCCTCTATCAATCAGCGAGCCGTATATATTTCCGTGCAGAGAAGTAGGTAAAGGTAGGCCACGTCACCACCAGAACCATCATATTTGTGGCTCTGACTTGATTGATGACATTGCCATTGATGAACAGCACATGCCATCCGATCTCGTAGCTGCTGCGATATGCGCAGTAATAAAACATGTGGCCTATGCCTGCTGTTCGGTCCCGTCGACCACGGTCTAAAGATTGCTAAGGCAAGCGGATTCCGTTGTCTTGAACGAGACTTGATCGTCAGACTCTTCCTCCTCCAGTGTGCTGCGATCGGAGCCAGGTGGCACCCCCTTTTTTTGCCAGAATGATGTTCGCTCCATCGACACTAGCTTCATGGACGATGATGAGTCTCCTGTGTCATCCGAGTCCGAGTCTCCTGAGCCCTCGAAAGTACCCCGGAATTCAACCTCTTCGAACATGATTGGCTCAATCGCAAACGACATAGGATCGTAGAGGATATCCAGCGCTGACAAACGAAGGTTCCGGTACCCAGTCCAGCCCGGTAGACCGAAGACGATCACAGCAGACCTCAATTCAGACACAACAAGATTGGGCTTTCCAATGTGGTTACTTGACCGTCTCAAGTGAATGCCCGGCAGACCTTTTGGGCCGTATATCTCTGTAGCACACGTGAACTTGTGGGCATCACTTGCGTGATCCGGGCGCTCTAGGGGCTGTTTCGCGAGAGATGTGTACTCTCGCCTGCCGTGAAGTCGGCCCAGAATTTTGAAGCACCTACTTTGGCAGCAGGGGCCCTCGCATCGTGACAGCAATACCATGGTGACCGACTTATCGCGATGGCAAGTAACAACGTGTGTCGCCCCAGCAGCCGCAAGCACTTGGTCAAAATAGCTGGTCACAACATTGGCACCAGACTCCGTTATGTCGAAGAAGAGATCGTAAGTCATCACATACTCGTACCGCGACACAGAACTGAAATGTGAACCATCTATCAGGAAATCGGTCTCACTTGGATGGCTGAAGCAGTCCTGAGCTGTATAGCAGGCAAGACGCCTGCCAATGCTCACAGCTTCAGTCATTGGGCCGCACGCGATCTGCTCATGCAACATCCACAACTCCGCGAGACGTTCAAACACTTTCGAAAAGTCCGGTGACATTAGGTACGCCATCCCATCGCTGAGATTTAGCGGGTTAGAGAGGCAGAACAAAGCTGTTCCGAGCAGGAGCTCGATGAGACTGCAGTCATAGCTGATAGGAAAGGATGAGCCGTTGTTACAGAATCCGAGAAAGGCGTACACGTAATCGTGGGTTTCTTGGCATCGCGTGCGGCGATAGTAATTCAACGCAGTCTCTAGAGCTGTACCCCTCAATGTCAACTTGTCCAAGACGTCGATGTAGTTTAAGTCGTCGTTATCAGCGTAGTCCCATAGGAGCATTACAATTGGCCAGGATATCCGAATGGTGCCAACATATATCGTCTTCTTCCTTGCAAGCAGCATCTCACCATAAACCCACCGACGGTCAAAATATGGCGCTGCAAGTACGCTCTCTATGGTCGCTGAGCGCATTGATCGTTTCAGAAGATGGTGATAGGACCTCCCGCACATCCTGTTCAATGGAAGTCGTGCAAGGCGCTGCATCAGTGCGGTGCTTCTGAATAGTCGCCTTATGAATGTGTTACTCGAGAGCAATTCCGTGCTGCTTCGATTTAGCATTGTCAAAGGGCTGTGGACTGTCGCCAGGAGGCGGAACAGGCGAAGATCCCAGCCAGAGGCAAGTTCGATACCCCTACCAAGCCATGTCACAACTTCCTCTGCTCGCTTGTAAATGTCACTCATCATCCACACCTGATGGTTACGCTCATGGACGTTTGCCTGGTTGATACAAATTGTGTCGATCCACAAGGTGCGGTGCTTCATTCGCCTGGTCCACTTCGTTATATCCTTGCGGTAAACCTGGAGAAAGTCATGGAGATTTGCCCGCACCTCAAGGCGCTTTCCGTCGACCACGATTTGATGTTGGTCTTGCTCAGGATTGCCCCATGCATATGAGAGAGCTCTGTAGTCCAGAACGTGGTCATCTGATACCGGGCTGAGTGTTATTGTTCGTAGGCGACCTTGGATCATGCCATCGCTAGTCAATTTGGGGAAGAGATCGAGGACGCGTATCTCGCGGGCATCTTTGTCGACACCAGAGTACTCGTACGGTTGGCGACTAATGGAAGTGGTCATCGCTCCAAGCTGTAAAGACCTCTGTGATGCTTTAGCTTCGCATCGATCTTAGATTTCTTTGCGAGCCGTTCCAAATGGGAAGCCAGACTGACAGCTTCCACCACTCACATCAACTTGTGGGAACACGCACTGTTGGCGCCGACAGAAGCTTCGAGCATGATGCCCATATTCGACTACTCCGTCGCTGTCATATAGACCATTCTCAGGCTGCAGTGTCGTCGATGCATGTCCTCATTAACAAGGCGCTGTCCAGAGCTTCACGAAGCACTTATCTGATTGGATGATCATGCACGTCAAAAGGTCCTGCAGATCAGCCCGGGATTTTGGTGTCGCTACCGCCAAGCTTCGAAGGCGGGCCCAAGTTCGGCGGAAGGCGCCCATATCCTACGCTCGCACTTGCGCTGACAGCGCTTGGAAGTCGTCAGGTGCGACTGCAGTCCGGAACCCGATATAGTTGAAGGTTGGCGAGTAGGCAGGTACGTCCACCAGAGATTTCTGCCGAGCCCGTAGATCCACAGTTTGACCACAGCCGGGCTAAACGACTTACCTATCTGTCTAGGTACCCGGGCAGGCGAGAGGTATCTACGACTGGACTTTTGCTTCCCTATTTGTTCCTGTACTCTTCATTCAGGCAAAGCGTAGACAGCTTCGCCGCCTACTGGTGGAACACTTCAAGCAAACGCTGTCGCTGGGCCGCATGAGGTTACCCTGCTCTGTACGCCGTCTATCCCGTCTCTTGTCAAGCCATGTGGTCTTTCTCGTGGGCAAGGATCGAAGGTGAGCAGAATAACTTGTCAAGACCTGTCACTCGGTACTCTATCTTTCTTCTCGTTGTGCCATAAACTCAGTCTTGTCTGCAAAGTTCAAAGCTGAGCAAGTCCTCTTGTGAAGAATTCTGACTCGCATATGCCCTGGATCGCAAGGTCTTCATTTTTTCCTCGTCGGATGCAGGTATCAGTCCACGGGGCAATTTGCGGACGAAAACCTGCAAGAGCCCTGCACGCTTCTGTTGAGCTGGGATGCCACACTGAGGCACATTAATGACATGCGATGGAGGGACACCAACGACATGCGGCAAGGGCTCGTCGCGTGACGTGTAGGCGCTCGGATCGGGCGGCGTCCACGTAGCTCTCTCGACAACATCGAAGCCGAGGTGGTAGCCCCGCGGAAACATGACTTTCTCAAAGTCGACAGGCTGTATAGGATAGGACTCTGGGTCGTACAGTCCACCTAGAGCTGCGATGCGGATGTGTTGGTATTGTGGCCCCGTCGGCAAACCGAGAAGAATAAGGCAGATCGTGAGTCGGTGAAGGATATAACTATGTCCATATGATCCCCAAGACGAGGCCTGGTGTAGACTTCTGGCAGACCATCTGGGCCGTAGAATACAGAATACAGGTTGGCGGCAGCAGTACCTCGCCCCGCCCCGTATGTCATGAGAATTTGACCTGAGACGTGGAACTCATCTTTGCGGCACTCCAATAGCAAGAGCTCATCTCGCAAATATCTGCCGCTTGCGTTAAGGTAATAAGCGTGTGTCACGTTTCGAAATGTGGGACTTTGGTCCAGATAGTCCCTTATAGGGGCATCGATCTGCTCCAGCGAAACACAAACAAGGTGTTCATCAGCAAAGTGCTTTCCTGCAGGCCACCTGAAGACGGCCTCGGCCGTATAGCCAACGATTCGACTCCGAATACTTGCGACGGCAGCCGCTCGGTTCGACAACAGCCGGTCCTTTCCCAGCTGCCATTCATCCGCAAGGGCGCCAACGGATCTGCGTACCATTGCAGCATCCTGGAGCGACGAAATTCCGTTGAACTGAAGCCTGGATACACAGAAGAGAGCTGTGCCGAGTGAGAGCTCCAACAGACTACAGCCGTAGTCAATAGGAAAGCTCTGGCCATCATAACACGCTCCAAGAAAGGCGTAAACATGATCGTGGGCCTCTTGACACTTTGAATGTCTGTAGTGTTCCAAAAGATACGCCAGAGGCATTTCATTTGTTGAGCGGTCGAGCAGAGAGCGCAGAAACCTGTGACGGGGCCAGGAACTTCTTTCTCCATTCTCTGCATGCTCATACAAGAGCCTCATGTTCGTCCATGACAAAAAGCTGCTTCCTGCGAAAATTGTCTTATTCCTCGCAAGCAACATCTCGCTGTATACCCACCGTCGTCCAAAGTATGGTGCATTCCATAGGTCATGTGGTACGCCACATGGATACATGAAGTAGACACATCGCCTCGTGAGGCAATCGAGGGCATTCAGTGCTTTGCGTGCTGACCATGACATGACCATATCCAGTCTCGGGCCCAGGGCACATATGCTACGGTTCGGACGCCACGGCCGACCCGAATGCTCCTGTGAAGCACGCCGATCGAGGCGCTCAGATACCTTCCATGCTTCGAAAACTTCGTACAAGTAAGTCAGCACGTGAAAATAGTCAACACCAACTCCTTCGTGTAAGAAGATATCCGCATCTCGCCCAAGCCAGATCACGACCTGTTTCGCTTGGCGATAGATGCTGCTCATCAACCGGACCTAATGATTGCGCTCCTCTATGTCGGATTGATTTATACATATCGCGTCTATCCACAGATTTCGTCGTTTTGCGAGCTTTGACTTCCTGCTGTACGCCTGCAGAAAGTCGTACAGGTTCTCGCGCACTGTGAGAAGCTTGCCGTCAACAATGATCTGACGCTTAGGTTGCTCGGGACCCCATGCATAAGAGAGAGCTCTGAGGTTGGTTGCTTTGGACAATTCCAGCGTCTCCAAACGACACTGGATGAAGCCGTCGACCGATAAAGTGCGGAAGAGATGAATGAGTCGTATCTCGTGGGTGTTGCCGTTGAGACGGGCATAATCATATGGCCGGCGGTCAATGACGCCAGCCATTGCTCATATGAATGTGCCTGTGCGATGTCGAGGGGCTTCGCATCGCAGACATGTCTTCTCGTATGACACACCCAGTGTGCCCAAGCGAATTATCGGGGTTGACGTCGACTGCCGCGGAGGGCAAGTGCGATTGCCATGAGGAAAAGGATTCCGAGCCGTTGCGCAGTATAGGGCTGTGGCGCTGTAGACTCAAGCCCTTACAAACAGGGCGCTGCTAAGCGCCGCAGAAGCGTTCATTTGATTGGATGTTGGATCGTCGAAAGGTCCTGCAGACCAGTCCGGGACTTTGGTGACACAAAGTGCAGATTCCTCCATCGTTACTGTCGAGACGAGACCAGAGAATGAAGGAGACCATCGAGAGCCCGCGTTTGCTGCATTTCCAGATGGCCCTTGACGGGCAGAAGTGTTTGGGCTATCTGCTACGTTTCTCTTGTGCACTACCCTTATCTTCGCAGGAGCGGGATGCTGCTATTTTCCGAGGACTGGAACTTCGGTTCGTGCCTGCCTGTGAAATGCGATTGTGTGCTATGCTCGGCGACGCAGAAGCTCAGTACCAAATACTCCTACATCGATGGTGCGGTAGGGTCCTCGGCCCATCCGGATCAAAGTGACTGCCTCCTCTACCGATTGCACTTGTCGTCGTTGGGTCCGTGATAGTTGCTGCTGCTCTTCCTGCAGCGCCTGTGTGTTTCCAGCCGCAGTCTCTGCAAGGTCCTGCGCCTCGAGCTCTTTGGCTGTGTCGTAAAGAAGGTAGTCTAAAAGGACGGCATTGAGGTGGACCTGAACTTTTCTTCTCTCCTTCTTGGGAACTGAGGATGCGGAGGATGAAAGAGGTGGCATCGTTGGTGATTCGGACGCTGTGGCTGGCAATTCGGTTGCTTGTGATGGAGATCGTGCTGGCAGATGTGGTTCGGTCGCCTCCATCGATGGTTCGGCTGGTGAACTGATATCGGCTGTGTCGATTGCATTGCCGGCTGCGATGGAGTGTGGGTCTGCGGAAGTGTCAGACGAGGGCACGGCTGACGGCGTTGTGGGGAGACCCGTGGTCATTGTTGGTGCCGAAACGTCTGCTGTATCGGTCTCTGCGTTCGAGTCACGTAGTGAGACCGCTTCCAGAGCCTTGATGGACTCTGTGCCTGTCCGCGATATAGGGTCAGTGACCTCAGCGTTCGCATCCAATGGCTTGGTGCCAGAGGATTCGATGTCGACTTTTGCATCCGGTGCTGTTGCATCAATGCTTTTGCGTGGGCGTGATACGATGATGCCGCCGCTTACTGCGCCGTGTCGAAGAGCTGAGCTTGCAGCCACACTTGACGGAGGCTTTGCCTCGCACTCATCAACTTCATGCTCAACCTCGACCTCCCACGTCTCCCCACCCAACCTCACAATTTCCCTTCTCAACAACTCCACAGCCCAGACGCTGCAGCCCCGGATCTCTACCTCAAGATCCTCACCAGACTCAAAGATCTCCTTACGTCGGATCTTGGTCTCTAGTCGAGGACTGTACCTCAACACACCTAGTCGCTGCAACATCTGAGGCACTCGATAGTCGGCGAACATGGTAAGCGCGGTACCGATGTCGTCGAAATTCCCGAAGCATTGACCACGAAAACACGCCCAGAGATCTGCGACGAGGATTTGTGCTCGTTTGTGTAGACTGACGGTGCGATTGGCGAACGTGTCGGTGTCGGAAAAGTGGTTTGGGAAGTCGGATGTCAGGAGGTTGACTAGCCTGGCGGCGGAGTGGTTGGCTTCGTTTATCAATGCCAGAGGATCCAGATCGAAAGCTGTGCGAAGGAGGTGAACTCGCTCGGCATAAAGAGGCATTGGCTCATTGGTGGCAGAGCGGAAAATATGTGCCATATTCGTCGTCGGTCAAGGTCGACCAGCTTATCGGGGTGGTTATGGGATAGCCTGCGATGGAGCACTTACCTGTGAGCGGACTGCATTTCACTGACTCGGTCTGCTGTACGTGGCAGGGAGTGGTGCGTATCTGGGCACGGTGTACTGACCTTCCTCAAGAGCTCTCTGTAGCGCAGCGACAAGACTCCAATAGCCTGTCCACTTCCTACCTCTGTAGTCTACAGCAAACCTCTGATCCTCGGGCAGATCGGACCAAAAGCTGAAATTGAGAATGCTCATCGTGAAGATAAAGTTCACAGTCGCCTCGCCACCCCTTGGCTTAGGATGCAATTCATGCCTTGCCCAGTCGTAGGTCGAGTACTGCCGCTTCTTCAGCTGCTCGTAGAGCATGACCGCGGCCTGCTTCGTGCCATGAGTGACGATGGCGACATCGATGGCATTATCGTAGATGTACTCTGCTGACTTCAATACACCAGTGCTTGGAGGGGCTTCAGGTCTAGGACCGAGACCAAGAGATTGAGCGAGCAGCGCAAGCAGCTCGGGATCAGCTTCGTCATCGGACATTGCTTACTGACGCGACCAAATGGATGCTCAGGAGTCAAAGACACTGCTGACGGTGATCTCGGTAGTTGCAAGAATGGTTAGGAATCCTTCTAGAAGGATGACTCTTGCCGTACACGAAGTGATCAACAGCGCGACACGGTCGGCCTTGATAGAGAGCGAGGTCGTAGGGAAGAGATGTGCAGAAAAGTTTGCCCTGATTCCGTAGATTTTGATGCAGGTCCGCCACCATGCAGGAGATGGAAGGATGCAGGGGTGTCCAGGTGCGCCACTGATGGGTGCCGCGAGCGCCCAGCGATGCTTGAGTTTCAGTGGGCAACACTCTGCCCAGCACGGGCTCTCCAAGTTACGTTTCTGGAGCCTCTTTGCCCCATTGGGCCTCGCTTCGAATTCGCGGTCTTGAGTGGAGAGCGTCACGATCACGAAAGCGCAGTGATTGCGAACGACAAGACTGCGCTTCATCGTCTCGTCACTTCGTCTTTTATTCGTGTTATCTTCCACTTCACTATCAACATTCACTGATGTCAGACCTTCTATCTCGATAAAATCTGCCTTACCACGAACCTCACACTCCTTTTCAACCACGCCGGCGATGAAGCATTCAAGTTCGTCGTTGTGACACTTACCCCGAATCCGTACTCCAGATAACTCAAGTTTCTCCAGCTTCTCACGATGCCTCGCGAGCGCTTTGTGAAGCAGTCGTTGGGCGTCGTGCAGAGAAGACTTGTCGAGGTCAGTGCTACGGCATCATTGACCACGATAGCCAAGCTAACAGAAAGCAGTCCAAAGTGCTCCTCGTCGGCGCCGGCGGCATTGGCTGCGAACTCCTCAAGAACCTCGCTCTGACCGGGTTTGGCGAGATTCACATTATAGACCTCGACACGATTGACCTCAGCAACCTCAACCGACAGTTTCTCTTTCGCCATGAGCACATCAAAAAGTCTAAAGCGCTTGTCGCGAGGGAAGCCGCACAGAAGTTCAATCCAAGAGTCAAGCTAGAGGCTCATCATGCAAACATCAAAGACACTCAATTCGACATCAGCTGGTATTCACAGTTCACCCTTGTCTTCAATGCGCTCGATAATCTCGAAGCTCGGCGGCATGTCAACAAGATGTGCCTGGCTGCTGATGTGCCGTTGATTGAGTCAGGAACCACCGGATTCAATGGTCAGGTTCAAGTGATCAGAAAGGGTATTACAGCTTGCTACGATTGCCGGCAGAAAGAGGTCCCCAAATCATTTCCGGTCTGCACCATTCGAAGTACGCCGAGTCAGGCTATTCACTGCATCGTCTGGGCCAAAAGCTACCTTCTACCAGAGCTGTTCGGTGAAAGTCAAGACGCCACCCCTGAAGTCGACGTAACAGAGCACTCAGACAACGCAGAGGAGATCGCCAAGCTCAAAGAGGAGGCCGAAGCATTGAAGAAGATCCGCGAAACGATGGGCTCGGGCGATTTCGTACAGAAAGTCTTCGACAAGGTCTTCAAAGAAGACATTGAGCGCCTCGCACAGATGGAAGACATGTGGAAGGACAAACCAGCCCCACAAGCAGTCTCATACGCCTCCATGGCCGAGCTCTCCACTGACATTGACCCCTCAATCGCCCAATACGACCAGAACATCTGGAACATCATCGAGAATTTCGTTGTCTTTCGCGACAGCCTCTCACGCCTCGCCGCTCGCCTCTCCCAAGAACAAGCCACCACACAGTCCGGCGCTCCATCACCCTCAATTACCTTCGACAAAGACGACAACGACACTCTCGACTTCGTCACCGCAACCGCCAACCTCCGCGCGCAGATCTTCGGCATCGAGCTCAAGTCAAAGTTCGACGTCAAGCAGATGGCTGGCAACATCATTCCCGCTATTGCTACGACCAATGCCATGGTCGCCGGGTTGTGCGTGATGCAGGCCTTCAAGGTCCTCAGGGGCGACTACGAGAAGACAAAGATGATTTTCGTGGATCATGGAAACATGCGACCGCAGCCGAGCGATGCACCGAATCCGGAGTGTGTGGTTTGTGGGAATGCGATGGTCAGACTACAGGTCGACCTTGAGAGAGCGACGCTGAAGGATCTGGTTGAAGATGTGTTGAAGGGCAAGCTGGGCTACGGAGAAGAGCTGTCCGTACTCAGCGAACAAGGGCTGATCTATGATCCGGATCTCGAGGAGAATCTGGAGAAGAAATTCGAAGAGCTGGGTGTGAAGAAAGGCTCTTTTCTAATTATCAAAGACGACGAGGATGAGGACGACGAGTCAGCGCCACGGGTTGATCTGCAGCTTGCAGTCGAAGTCAAGCCTGATGGCGAGGATGCCGATGGACCTGCAGTTGGCTTGCTCCTCAAATCCGGCGAAGAGACATTCGAGGTTCCGCGAAAAGCGAAGAAGGCAAAGGAACAAAATGAAGCCATCAACGGCAATGGCGTCACCAACGGTGCAACTCACAACGGTGCTGGCGATGACGATGGAGTGGAAGAAGTCACCCTCTCAATCACGGATACCGGCGCGACGGCAACCGTGAAGCGCAAGCGCGATGCTGACGAGGCGGAGCTGGACACGAATGGTGTGGACGGTCCTGCAAAGAAGGCCAGATCCGATCCAAAGGGCAAAGGCAAGGCTGTGGACGCAGATGTCGTGGTGATTGAGGAGGATGATGGGACGATTATGATTGATGATTGAGGAGAGTTTGGTGGGACTGATTCAAGAAATCTTAAATTCGATATCTGGAACGCCAAACCTGCTCAAGGTCAAAATCGCCGTTGGGAACGAGTGACGACCAAGAATTCATGGCCATCGAACAAGAACAGACGGACGATCGACTCGAGAATCTATTCTCAGCTTGAGCTATATTGACTAATGCAAAGTAGAGCGCGACGCGCCAGGTCCGCCACAGCGACCTTATAGTGCCAGTGGAGGCATCACACTTGGCCACTGTGCACCAGCAATCGGCTTCATCGTCAAGGGATGATCCGACGTCTTGAACGATGCCTCGGGTGCCGGCCGTGGGCAATCGACCTCGGCTGTGAGCTGCTCCACGCGATCAATGGGAGTCTCCAGGTCGCCGAGTCGTTGGGTGAAGACCCAGGATGGTAGCTGCCGGATTCCTTGAGGAGGGAGGCAAAGAGAGTCCTCAGGAAAAAGGCCCAAGTACGTAACGAGAGTGCGCATTCGTCTCAGCTTGGAACCCTAGGCAGAGATTTCAATGTGCCTGGTGAAATCGTGGCGACTTCAAGCTCCAGGACTTTGGTAGATACAGATATCAATCAACTCATCGAACCATGTTACTGTGCTGTCGTTGTTTCCCGTCCTTACCATACTAAGGCTCTTGTCGCGCATAAGTCGTGCAAGCTCCGCGTCGTTTCTGATTTGTGAAGCCGTCGGGCCCAGTGTTGTGACTCGACATGCTGCCGGTTCGAAGCTAGACGTACATTTGGATGGCCCAGCAGTTACAATATCGTCCACAAAAACTGTCCTCCGCGTCGGTCCCCTATGACCCACAGAGTCGCGCTTTTCGCTGATGAGAATCTGAGGAGGTTTCGGAAACAATCGTCCTGGGCTGGCTACCCGTCATGAGATTCTATCTGCCGACTTCTGGCATCGCCGGTCTTTTGTGTCTCGCCGCCGGGCTCGCTTAGGTTGTTACCCGTGCCGTATTCGAACGTGCCAATGATAGGGACCAAGCTCGGAAAGGCAGGATCTAGGCTCGGCTAGTTTCACCTGCCTTAACGCCTTAGTATAATTCATGGTCGTGCGCCCGTGGCTGCTGTATGACACCCTTTTGACAACTGCTGCTCCTGCATTCTACAGGCCAAGACTCGATCTAACAGTCCGGACTTTTGTATGTCTCCTCCCGCTTCATCTGAGGCGTGCTTGGCTCTCAGGTCATGTCATTGTCTCATTGGGCGGTCTTCCCGCCTTGCGAAACATGCATCAAGCCACGATAAATAGCGGCGATGCAAGTTTGGACAAGCAGGCAAGGCAGACTGTCAAGTGAGGCTGGAGTGCGAACCAGCAATGCTACGCTCCGTACTTCTGTTCCATCCCCTCATGTCACAGCGAAGCTCTCTGGAGGCACGTCCACTAAGCCTTTTGGCTGAGATACGGTCGTTCTCGCATTCTCATGTTCGTTGCCTGCACACTTTACGATATGTATAAGCGTGTACCTCTCAACGAGGCTGACATTGTCGATGATGGACGCCGTACAGACTCTGAACTTCATGCCTCTACCGACGTGAGCTCGCACGACCCCATACCGGACGCATCGACTGAGTCAAGCTATTTTGCCAACAACGCATGCAAGGCTGAAGCCAGCGAAGTCATACACCAGCGAGAAGATGCATCCTCGACTTCAGGACAGATAAGAGCTGAACCAGTAGCTCTATCTCGACCGCAGCCAGACCGCCATGCGTCGGTCGCGCTGCTCCGACGACTGCTTTACGATACCTGGCTTGCTGAGATAGCACTGATGCTGCTCAGCATAGCGTGCCTCGTCACAGTCTCCGTTATACTAGCCTGCTATCAAGGAAGACCGGTGGACGAGTTCAAGCCGACACTCAGCCTGAATACAGTCGCCGCTATACTCATTGCAGCTACACGAATATCGCTTGCATTCGTCACGACGTCTTGCTTGGGTCAGATGAAGTGGTGTCGAATGACCCGCAACGCCAGGGCGCTGAAGGACTTACAGGACATGGATGAGGCCAGTCGCGGTCCTCTGGGGTCGCTGCTCCTACTGTTCGGCTCGAAGATAGTGTCTATCAGCGGTATCGGTGCCGCGGTCCTCATACTCTTGCTCACTACGGACGCTTTCCTACAGCAGAGTATAGCAACGAAATTCGAGCTACGTGCCGTCGACTTTCAAGAAGCTACTATGCCGACTACCGATTATTATCCTCAGGTGGCGTTGTGGAAGCGTGATGCTAACTTTTACGGCTTGGTGCAATCCGTCATATGGTCTGGAGCCTTCCAGTACGATCCAGCTGTGTGCTCTAGTGGTGATTGCACTTGGCCAGAGTACGAGTATACAGGTTGGTGCCACGATTGCGAATTCGACAAACAGCTATCGGACTGGCAAGGCTGTGAAGTCACGATTGACAACTTTACCAAGGGCGGAGATTGGTCGAAGACGTATGTGCTACCTTGCAACCTGACACATCCGAGTGGATTCGGCCGATTCGTATGGCCCGCTGATGTCACTATCACGGGCCAGGCATTTGGGATATATGACACCACGACAACGCATAGCTTAGACCCACCGTCTAACTTCGTCTTCAATCGCAATTATGATAACTACTACCAACTCTGGAAGGGTGACCCCTGGAACGGCGATTCCTGGGAAGGCGGATATGGACTATGGTCGCATAGCATCCAGGACGGGTCCTACTATTCAGTGTACGAAGATGGTGTTGTTGGATCTATTACGAACCCTCTCTACCCCAGGACTGCAGTCTTCCTGGACTGGTCATATGACGAAAGTGCTAAGATCCTGCGGAGTCAAGTGAACAGGACCATAGACTGTGCGCTATCTCGGTGTCGCAAGAGGTTCGAGGCAACGGTCACGAACGGCACGCTTTCAGCCCGGCCAAAAGGCACCACAATGCTGACCGAGTACTCCCCAAACGCCATGGGCAACTATACGATAAAACCCTCTTATCTCACCATCAAAGATAATTACACTAACATTCCCTATCGGCCCTTCTTTTGTTATAAAGATATGGCGCTACCCCAACCGCGATGGTCTGAGAACATGGAGCACGACATCTTTTTCAACAATGTCTCTCTCCAGGCTTGGCGATGGTCAGACCCAAGCACCTGGACCACCTGCATGTACTCTAGAAGCGAGTTCGTCTCGGAACGCCCATTCTACAGGACCTGTACGAAGGTAACAGCACCAAGTACAGATTCATGATAAACCGTACTCTGGACGAAGATTCCAACACAGAGTCCCTCCAGCTAGGAGAGAAATTCCTCATGAACCAAGACTCCAACATGCTCTTCGCAAAGATCAACCACGGCAACGATCTACCCAAGGCGTTCGCGAATCTCACCACGATGCTGGACTACGCTGGTCTAAGGGCAAGCAACCAGACAACGCTCGGCGCAATGTACGTCAACACGCCCATCATCGCTGTCCGCTGGGAGTGGCTCATCCTCCCGGTGCTGCTGGAGGTGATGGGGCTCGTCTTCTTCGTGCTGGTAGTGCTACAGACCCGGCGTATGAGGGTGCGCATCTGGAAGACCTCCATCTTGCCGTTCATCTATCATGGCGTGCCACGGGAGGAATTGTCCGAGGGGAGCTCTGACAGGTCGAGTGACATGTTGCGTGATGCGGAATGCGTCAAGGCGCGCATGGATGCTTGTGATGGGACAGGTCTGTATGGGCGGCGACTGAGGGTCGTGCAGGAGGCCGGAGTCCCTGGGAGTTCAAGATGAGAGGGTAAAGTTTGAGAAGAACCGACGCAGTGCACTGCAATAATGACGACAGTCTCTTTGTTGCCTGACATCTTCAACGCTTATAATTCCTCAACATCAAGAGAGAAACCATTGAGTGAGACGTGAAGTGGACGTTGCGAGGTGGCCGGATCTTCTTCTCAAGCCTCGACCTGCTGATCGATGTTCAAGTCGCACTGGCAGTCTACATGGACGGATTTATCGACCCGGCAAGGCTGGCGCGATATCTTAGCAGCTTATCAATCGAACCGGGACTGAGGCCGGTGGGCTGAAGCAGCAGTGTGCCCGCGTTGCATCATAAGCAACTGGTGCGAGCTTGTGGCTGAGTGGCTGTGAGATCTGGAGTAGTGTCGCAGGTGTATGTAGATGACAGTTGCCGGAGCTGGAGCACGCACTAGAGACAGTCACGGGCCAGGACAGCGTGCCGAGCATTCCTCATAATGTCCATGACCTCAGCCATGCGTCACTTTTGACGCGTGCCAATTTTTCAGACAGTATACGCGACAGACTCATCGACTACTCCCCGTATGCGAAGCCCGCACTCATGCCTCCGTCAACATTCAGCACGGTGTTGTTCGCGTATTCGTTCGCCACACAGAAGACGACAGCATCAGCCACCTCTTCGGGTGTGGCAAATCTTCGCAGTGGAATCTTTGCTTGCAGTCCTTTGGCATACTGGGGTGTAAAGTTCTGCAGCATTGGTGTGGCCACATAGCCGGGACGCACGATGTTCGCCCGGAATGGTGGAACGTTGGAGATATGCTCTGCTGTCGACTGTGGAGAGGCTGTAGTGACGAGCCTGCGGTACATGTGTCCCGCTTCGCCGGACAGCGCCCGAACGAATGCCTCGAGTCCGGCTTTGCTAGCTGCATAGATTGAGGTGCCGTGGCCGCCTTGCGTGGCGAGCAGGGAAGATACGGCCACGAAGACTCGGGAATTCGCTGATGGTAAGGCTTGGATTCCAGATTCGAATGGACCGACAAATTCGTCTCTCAAGTCTTCAGGCCGGAGTCGTTTTCGAGCTTTACCATAGTTAAAGGTCTTAAAATAGGTCCGCAAGAAAATCCTCGCTATGGCCATGCTTGCTGTGAGATTCGTCCTCAGTATCGACTCGACGTCGTCCTCGGAGACGTTGAGTATGCCTTTAGCTTGAGCAATGCCGGCGCAAGAGATCACCGTGTCGCATTCTCCACCGACAAGGATTTTCGGGATATCTTTCTCGACTTGTTGGAGGTTTGTGATATCGAACTGATTCAAGATGTTTACGGCAGCATCCGCACCGGCAATAGACGTCAGCCGAAGGAACGTGGGCTTGACCTCTGGCCACTTCTTTCGGGTGAGAATCGTGATGTGTGAGACACCTTCCGCGAGCAGACGCTCCGCAACGGCCAGACCGATCCCAGAGGTGCCTCCGGTTAGCAGGATCCTACGGCCTTGACATAGCTTTCCAGACGCTCTGATGGGCGGAGAGGTCCATTTGTGAGGACTATCCGAGGTCTTACTGGCAGTGTCTGCAGACGGGCTGGTGCTGCTAGCCTGTGCTGTTTGGTGCGATGGTGCTGTGAAGTTGGTGGGTTCAGTCCCACGAGCTCTTAGCCCCTCAGCATCGTTTCCCAGCTCGCCGATGTCAGTTGTATCCGTTTTTTCGTCGATACCTCTGGCGACACCGCATTCCTTTAGATGACGATAGAGCACATTGCCTGACGAGAACGTAGCGTTGCATGTCCCGCACGTCTTGGAGCTTGCGCTCCGTCGCGGGACACGAGGTACCGGCTGTTGCCTGCAAGGTGTCTGCGACTGCGTGAGAATAGGGACAGCACGCGGCACGGTCTTCAGATAGAAGCTACGAGCACTTGCTGCGATAACTTGCATGGGGTCGACGGACAATCTGGACCTAAATGCCCTGACCGAGTTGCAGAAGGAAAGAGCGACCTGGCTGCCTTGTTGCCTTGCAGCGTGCCTTCACATACTCCGGTCAGCCACAGTATCCCTCTGCGTATTTTGTCAACTTTTTCAACACTGCGACTTCTAGGTCTCTATTAAAGGGCGCTACCACGAACACAAGAAACGCAATCTTCCACTACCGCAGCGATGGCGACCGCCGCTGAGCCTTCCGCATACGTCACCCTCATCTCATCCGACGGTTTCGAATTCCATATCCGCCGCTCGGCTGCAGTTCGATCAGGCACTATTCGACGCATGCTATCTTCCGAGAGCGGCTTTGGCTTCGTCGAGTCGTCTACCGGTGTCTGCCGTCTGGAGAGCATTAGCGGAATTGTGCTTGAGAAAGTGGTCGAATATCTGTACTATAATGAGAAGAACAGAGAGATGAACGGAGTGCCTGATCCAGAGATTCCAAGCGAGTTGTGTCTGGAGCTGTTGATGGCAGCGGACTATCTGGACTGCTAAGGGTCCTCGGACATCGAGCAGATGAAAGCTGTCGACGAGAAAAACGACAACACAGACGAACAACGCGTACGACCAAGTGACTGCAAGCGCAGCAGGGCAAAATTCTGCCACCACGGTACGCGTTGTAAACGCCAACCGGGGCCGTTCAGTGCCATGCAGACTCGTCCGGGCACAATTCAACGATCTACCTTGTCGTCCGGGGATGGGAGATCTGCCCGCCGCGCTGCTTCTGGCAATTCATCAGTCACGCAAGATCAGTTGGATTCGGATCTCCCGATCAAGCTGAAGCTACAGCCATCGAAAGCTTCGAAGAGACAAGCGTGTGTCCGAGCGTCCAGATGACCTCGATAGTCTGCCGACTGTGCGGACGATCCTTCGACGACATGCGCAGGCAGGCTCCTCATCCAGCAGAACGGACTCAGACAACACCTGATCGCATAGGAATCAGGCAAACGAGCCACATACGACATAACGACCACAATGAGATACCCCATTTACGACCTAACCATTCCCCTTCGCTCTCCACTACCTGCTCTGACTCGATGATGATACTTGTGACACGTCCCCCATCCCAAGCATATACATCTCACCGCTCCCACTTGGGAACATCCTACGGTGCAGAAGTCTATAGCGGATGGTATAATAACCCCCAGTCCAACGATATTCAGGCAGTCCGCTCCATTTCGCTTTTCTGTGCTGGTAAAGGGGACGTTCTATTCGTGGATACATTTCATTAGGTTGGCAAGCCTCTCAAGATTCACATTTGCAGACCGCGGGACGATCTGTAGAAAATTCATTTGATGAAGGAATCATGGAGCCCAACTTGTGAACACAGCTGGCAGATAATCGTCTGAGCCGCCACTAATAGAAAATGCAACGCAGACATTTAGTCGCCCATTTTCCATGACCTCCCAAGTCCCGTCGCCCGAGGTTAGCACTTTCACTACCACGTATCAGATAGAGGTCAATCCAGGAAAGAGCCCTGCCCAGTATAGACCATCGTGCTCCCATGCGTACTCTCTCACAAACTATACCTAAACTTCCGGTTCTGGAAATCAGTCAGATCCTCCAAAACCTCCGATCCATCATCCGGCGGACTTGGGTTTTCCGCCTCCTCGCGATCGCGTTTCTTGTTGCGATAGACCAGCAGAGCACGCAGGACCAGTGCCAGGATGCACTGCCCGACCGAGCAGGCGAGGACGGTCTTGACGCCGGTCTCGTAGATTGGGGCTTCGCGGGCAAGGAAGGCCTGGGGACCTGGGAGAGGGGTGTCAATTAATGAATAGTTTGTGAGGAAGAATTGAGCAGTCTGGGGTTTGGGAGACGTACCGATGATGTTGCCGATGCAGTAGGCGAGGAACACAAAGGCTGTGCTCGTGGTGCGCTTCGTATAGCCTGCGACGTTAGAGGCAGGAAACTGCAAAGCGATGACAAGGGCGCCAACGAAGGACCCGACCTGGTGTTGCGTTAGTGCGCTAATGGACAGCCATATGTAATGCTGGCTTACCATGTAGTATCCGGCCAAGCCACCACCGAGATTGGTACGTGGGAGCTTCCAGATAAGAGTCGTCCCGATTATAGTAGGGCAAAGCCACAGAGCCATGATGTATGTACGAGCATTCTTGATGCGTGAAGCGAGGAATGGCCCCGTGAAAACCCACATGACCTGAGCAAAACCTTGTGGGATACCATATAGCGTAGTCCTAAGCGGATCACCGCCAGCCATAGACTTGACAATGAGCTTGCCAAAGTTGCGATGCCCCCATTGATGATCTCGTTGAGTAGTGTGAAGAAGAAAAGAATCCAGATCTGGGGATCGGTCAATGCTTCGCGGATTTGCGACACTTTGATCTTTCGATTTAGGACGCCAGTACGATTTTTCGCAGCGCGAGCAATCAAGAGAGCCCTCTCTTCTGGAGTGAATTTCTTCCAGCTCATAATGTCGTTTGGTAGTCGGAAGAACAGAACGATGGCCCAGAGGACCGTTAGACCACCGCAAATGAGGTAGATGATCTTCCAGACCGGGAAGTTCTTTGCATAGCCGACACCATAAAATATGATCCCACCAGTGGCACTCCCAACTCCGTTGAAGCAGTAGAACATGCCTGCGCGAGCGGGTTGTTGATACTTGAGATAGTACTGACCAACGATCATCATGAAGGCCGGCGTCACCACACTTTCAAACACACCCAGCAGGAATCTCATTGCAGCAAAGCCAGCAAAATTGTGAGTTGCAGCTGTACAGAGCATAACCGTGCCCCACATGAAGCAATAGCAAGCGATGACTCGACCAGTGGGAAAATGCTGGGCCAGGTACGCCGATGGCCATTCCGCGAAGAAGTATGCGAAGTAGAAGATAGAACCTAGCCAGCTGTACTGACTACCAGTGATGCCAGTAGTCTCGAAGAGGTCGAATACGGCAGAGTACGAGACTGCTTGTTTGTCGATGTACTGCAGAAAATACGTACCACACAGAAGCGGCATGAGGAGCAAGTCGACCTTGCGAATGACGCGCTTGTTCATGGCAGTGTCTTCCAGCAGCTCGGCCAGATAGTCGCCACTGAAGTTGTGCTGTTGGAGAAAGAGGCCAGCCTCGTCGAGATCCTTGATATCTCCTTGTATGTTGCTCCGGGCGGTCTTCAGGTTGTCGTCGTCCATTTGGCTTTGCTGCATCTCTAGAGGGCCGGACGTGGCCGCCACAGTCTTTTCGTCGTCCTTCTGAAGATCTTGCGGTGAGCCCATCTTGGTTGTCGTGGAAGGATGGAAGTCCAGCCATGGGAGATGCGTGAAGGATGGGAAGCCATATGTATTAGTGGCTCTTCATTACGGAGAGCACATCCCGCCTGCCCGCATAAACAGATAGCGCTAGCACGTATATCTTGGTAGCGCTATTTGCGAGCCGTGATAAGGACTATTCGTGGCATGCAGTCGTTCCCGCGATGTTCGCGGAAGCCCAAGTCGGCATTGGACGTGTTGCCGTAGGCGCATTGAGTGTAATAGCACCAAACATCCCGGTGATTTATCAATTGCCACTCGACCCGATAACGCACTTGGCTGGAGACCCTCTTTTGATGATAACGCGTTAGCGATGTAGAAAAGATGGTTGGTCGCGGGTACTGCTGAGAGTGGGCAGGTCACTCAGTGTAGGTCGAAACCCGGCGGCGACAAAGTCCGATCAGCGCATCGTGCCTGCAAGATGCCGTTAGCGTATGGCGTACTGTCCCGCACAGCCAGAGGTTCATCAAGGTCGCCGTTGGCTTCCGTTAGCGTCACAGTCAGCGGGCTGCTCCGAGACTGGCGGGCTGCCGGTTTAGTGGGGAAGTGCGAGGCACGGATTCAAGGGGAATCTGCCCGTGGTACAGTCGGACATACCTGTAATCGCCAAGTACCAGGTATTCTCTGATGCTCACATCTCTACTGGAGTATCACGGATCAGTCCTTTGCCACCATAGGTCGCAACAGACGACCACCACACAGTCGCGATGCCCAACATCGTCGTGATCGGGTACGTTCCCACCCTATGACATCGATAGCCAAGCCACCATCGCCTTGCAATACTCGCTGACGCTTCCTCCAGAGCAGGAGTCTCCGGCCTTACCTCCGCTCTCCTCCTCTCCAAGGATCCCCAGAACAAAGTGGCGATCATCGCCAAACACCACCTAGGCGACTACTCCATCGAATATGCCTCCCCGTGGGCCGGCGCAAACTTCACACCGTAAGTAGGCTCACCTCTAGGAGACACCAAAAAGGCCAACACCTGACCAACCTGCAAACAGCATGTCTTCCCGCGAAACCAGCCGCTGGGAGCGCCGGACCTGGCCGTACCTCAAAAAACTCGCCTCCGAGGTTCCCGAAGCTGGAATCCATTTTCAGAGTACGTCCTTCGTCCGACATCGTTTCAGATCGCTCATTTGAGCAACTCCGCACTAACGCACAGCAGAGAACAGGATCTACCGCCGGAGGAAAGACCTTAGCAGGCTGCAAGACGGCAGCGCATCGATGCTGAATAACGTATTCGCCGCGGATCCACATTATAAGGATTTCGTGGAGGACTTCCGGGCCTTGCAGGACGATGAGCTGCCTGAGGGAATAGCGTCAGGCTCGGAATTCAGCTCGGTGTGTATCAACACGATGCTGTATCTGCCCTGGCTGGTGGGACAGTGCAGACGGAATGGCGTGAGCTTGCACCGTGGTACGATTGCACACGCTGGTGATGTGCGGATTTTTCCGGGCACGAGGACGAAGGTCGATGTAGTGATCAATACTACGGGTTTGGGTGCGATGAAGTTAGGCGGTGTGACTGATCAGACGATGTTCCCCATCAGAGGGCAGACGGTGGTGGTGGGAAACGTGGCGCCGTTCATGCAATGTCATTCTGGAACTGACGATGGCGATGAAGAAGCGTGTTATATGATGACAAGGGCGTCAGGTGGTGGGACAATTCTCGGAGGGACGACTCAGGTCGGTAATTGGGAAAGTCAGCCAGATCCCAACATTGCCAATCGTATCATGAAGTGGGCTGTAGAAATGATGCCTGAGTTGACGGCTGGGAAGGGTGTCGAGGGTCTCGACATCATCCGTCATGGTGTGGGCTTGCGTCCAGGCCGAGAAGGTGGCGTACGCTTGGAAAAAGAGAAGATCGACGGCACATTGGTGGTGCACAATTATGGGCACTCTGGTTGGGGCTATCAGGGCTCCTATGGCTGCGCTGAAGAGGTGGTAGCGCTCGTCAGTAGTATAGCTCCAAGGGCCAAGCTGTAGGGGGAGAGCCAAATGCTGCAATCATGTTCTGCAGCCGATGTACCCTCCGAGCTTTCTCTCATGCCGAGCTTCTTCAAGAAATATTCGGGCTTTGGTCGTGCTAGTGGTTTGGTGAGGTTATCGGCGACGCTTTCGTCGGTTGAGACTCTGGTAGGTGAAAGAGCACCATCTGTTACCTTCTCTCGGATGAAGTGGTATTTGACATTGATCTGTTTCGTTCTGGCGTGATACTCACCGTCCTTCGTAGGCTTCTGACTGAATTATTGTCGGTGCGGAGCGGGAGGCCATTGACCCTCAAAGTTGCTCTACTGCTGCGACAACTCGACCTTCGACCACCAAAAGTCCGTCTCCTTCTGAAAGACATCCTCGACCATGACGGCTGCCTCGCCTACGTCCGAGCCCCCAAGCAATTGCGTATTGTCCTTGCCGAATACCATGACCATCGCAGCGTCTCGATCAGACTTCTGCCACTCCTTCCGACCGCTGTAAGTCCTTTTCAGCCTATTTGGATCGCCATAGCAAATGAAACTGACTGTATAAGCGTGCAAGATGCCCGACAACACATCCAAATCTTTTGACTGCGCACAAGTCTCAGGATCTCGGACTTCGTATTGCATATTGTCTCCGTGACGAGCACCCTCCACAATATTCCTCCGCATCGCCCAATGGTACAGATAGACGGGTGCCTCGGGGCTGGCGTAATAGGCTGTCTGCAGAACAGGTGCCACATATGCGTAATGGGCGTAGGCTGCTTCGATGCGTTTATACTGGTCTCCAACGCCGTGATCTTGTCGGTCCTCTTTGTAGATGGAATATGTATCTTTGCTAGGGTCTGGGTACAGCTTTTCGATAGCCTGGATGTCCTCGTCGCTCATCTGAGGCAGCAGTGTTTCCCAGAACTTGGTGAACTCAGAAGACTCTTGCATTTTCTTGTTGACGTACAGTGAACCCTCGTTGCCCACAAAGCCGGTCATGATAGGCATTTTATGCCATCTTCCCTTCTTCCAGGCGTCGATCGGACGACTGCGGATAATTTCGCCGTCAATGACAGGCTGGAAAGCCCACCTAAGGCTTGGGTTGTATTTCTGGAAGACCGTGTTCTGCGCCTTGACGATGGTCTCCAATGGCAGAGATCGGAGGTATCCAAACACTTCTGAATCCGGCATTGACTCTGGGCAGCCAGTTTCTCTTAGATAGTCTTTGAACTGTGCTTCGTGTATCTCGGCGTCGGGTTGCCTCACAGCGCGTGAAGTCGGTGCTCCACTCTGGATAATCACCTTGTGGAAAGGTGGCTTTTGGCCCTCTTGGTAGTTCAGCAGATGGTGACCGATCGAATGTGCACCTGCCGAAAGTCCTGAGAGAACGACGTTTCCTTTGTCACCTCCAAAATGGTGAATGTTCTCCTGAACCCACTCCAATAAGCAGATCTGATCCTTCAGACCCAAATTTAGGGCGCCCTCATCAGCACTCAATTTTGAAGGTAAGAAGCCTAGAGAACCGAGACGATAGCCAAACGATACACCGAGGAATGGCTGTGCGGACCATCCGACCATAGAGGCTGTGTTGTGCATGGCTGCATTACCGCGATTGAAAGCTCCGCCATGGAAATAGACCATTACTGGCAATGCTGTAGCGTCATTGTGCCGTACTTGTCGGAAAATGTTGACAGTCAGGCAGTCCTCGCTTTCCTCGAGTTTCGGACCGATCACGAGGAACTGCTGCGCTGGTGCTCTCGGTCCCCATGTCGTGGCATCGACTGTACCATTGCTCTTTTCGACTTTCACGGGTGGGCGGAATCGACGATCGCCGGTAGGTGGTAGAGCATAAGGGATCCCTCTGAAAGCTTCGACTGCATGAGGAAACCCATCATGAACCGTGGCGCCGACGATGTGTCCTTGAGGCAATCGAACTTCTGGCGCTTGCTGCATCTGCGTCATGGTCTCTGAAAGATGCAGAACTGTGTTGCTCTACCATGAGTTGTACCCAGTGATGAGTTGATGGCCAAGATCATCAACCGACACTTAAGATGACGTTGCACCTCACAGAGCGGCTATTCATTATCCACCGAAATGGCCTGATAGGCGTCGTGTAGAGCAGCGGCCCGGCGTGGGATGTGCAGATGCCGAGTCCTGGCCGGTGGAGGTTCGTTCGCTCTTCTCCGTTCGTGACCCCAACCGCCTCCGGCCCTCCATCGGTTGGGTAACATTCGTGGTTGCATCAGATATTGGGCCAATCCGGGTCATAACTTTCATAGCCATTCCACCAGTCGACCTCGTAGCTGTTGAAGAGGGCGTCTGCTGTGAAATCGACAGGAGCTGGCTGGGAATGATCGACGCCTGGCAGCGCGGGTTGCAAAGCTGTTGGGTGTGAGGCATTTTGGTTGAACGGTGCGACAGTTTCCCTTCCTCCAGCACTGTCAGAAGGGTAAATCGAGGTCGGCGAGGCGACATCATCAGGTTGATCCACTGATGGTCTCCGCGACAGTCTCGTCCACTGAGCATGTTGTGTGTCTTCGTTGGCGTCAATAATCGAGGCAACGCCGTCCTTCACCGACCGTGTGCCGATGCCGGAATGTATGCATATGTCCAAGATATCTCTCACCTTTGACAGGTCGATGCTGATGCTTTTGGTCTGGTTTGCACTAGCTGTAAACGCAGAGGCCATCATCTCCTTAAGCTCATGCAGCTTTCGATCCTTTCATGATACATGTCAGCAGGGCGGCAGCCACAAATTAGAGTGGGGGGAAAGACCTACCATCAGTTTCATTGAAGGACAGGCGGGTATCATCCTCTGAACAAATTTGCGGCAAGTTTCAATGTTGCGTTCCTTTTTGTGCGCTGTAGCCGTATCGACTGAATAAATAAGCTGCATTTCGATCGTGGCTACCACAGCAGCGCAGTAGCCTATTGTTGAATCGTATATCTGGAAGGCTCGCGCTTCGATGAAGCCGATAAAATAGAGAATCCATCTCACATGATGAGTGGCATAGAATGATGTCTGCTGACGGAAGAGCTCCGAATCGTGCTGGCTGCCCTGAAGCTGCAAAATGATGAGGAGCGGGTGGTTGAGCAGGCAGATCATGGTATGATACATGAAGCGGCTAAGCAGCCAGGGCGCCCAATATTCGCGGCACGACTCAAGGTCGTCAAGAGTCAGTTCGCGCAGTTCGAAGTGTTTGATGCGGTGCAAATGCGGCTGCAGGCGTGTCTCAATACTCATGACCCCAGAGAGAGTCTCGTTATACCTCGAAGTCGTTAGCCAGGGCCACGTATCCCGTCCACTATTCAGAAAATGTCGGATGTAGGCCATCACTTTGACCCACTCGTCGCTCATTTCGAGCACAAAGACCATGATACCGTTATCGCCTGTCGAATGCTCATAGGATGATCGGTACTCTGGTCGAATGTTGTGGAGAGACGGTGTAGAGCAACTTTGTGGGTACACTATCAACTTGCGGTCTGGCATCTGTTCCAGCTGTGATGTGAAGCCCAACAGACGTCGAAGAAGGACGACGCTCCAGTAACAGCATCTTTTCTCTTCTGCGGAGGCTTTGACGGCCTGACCCGCATCGAGTTGTAGACTCTCGCTGGAGAGAAGCATACTCGTGAGCGAAAGCAACGATACGGCCTTCTCACTGTTGCCATCTGATAGACACTGTCAACATAGGTTTTGTAAGCTCATGCCAGTCGGCCATACGTACCGTCAAGGTAATAGCGCGCGACGATAACCAGAGCCTGCAGAGTAGTTAGCTCGGAAGTACCGCAAATCACATCCTCGAGGATACAGTTCTCGATTGCGGCCTTCAACAGACTTGAATCGATTTCATGGGAGAAAAAGGCTTTGGTGCCAGCGAAACGGAGCGATGACAATAGTATGGCAGAAAGTGTGCAGCCACCCCGGCGGTGAATAGTTTGAGCAAAGTCGGACGATGGAAAGAGCACTAGTGGTTGACATGCATGATGTCTCTCGTAGAGCTTTGCCAATGTGTTGACATCAGAGGTCGAGAGGTGCTTAATTGCATTTACTATCATCGAGTATCCTTGGCCGCCAGCTGTCGGGGACTGGCTGAAAGGTGCCAAATGACCACTTCGTTGAGTACCAATGGCATTGAGATCGCGCTGATACTGCTCACGCTGCGAGTTGCTGACGATGTATTGGACTGCTGAGCCGAGTGAGGTTGAACGCTCATCCTGTCCTTGAGTTAGCAAGCACAAGCCCCAGGTATCAGGGTTGCGTCAAATACCCATCGTTCCTCGCTGATGGGATCTGATGATGCTTGTAAGGAAGAAGTCTGCGTCACTGGATGTTTGTCGCTCGTGAGAGCCAGTATCGGTTGCAAAGGTTGTCCATAATAGAAGCATGACTGGCAGAGCCGAAGACAAGTGCTACATATCGGTCGCTCGCCCGAGCACTTGCCTTTCTTCCTTCGGCAAGGCTCACATGCTTGTCGAGCGCGCTTCGGAGGTCGCGCTGACGCCATGTAAAAAGCATGTAGCAAAGAACATTTGAAGGCAGGCACGTCCTTGCAGTAGGGCGGCCCAGGAACTTGAAGATGGAGATTCGGTCACGTGTTGAGCGGATGAGCCTTCACAGCGCCGCCGGTTGACTGGCAGGACTAGTGTCAGGCAGTGAATGGTGAACTTTGCTGTGCCGCCTGGGCGTCTACGTCGTCTACTACATCAGAGCTATGTCAAACGCTTAAAACCAGACGCTCTGGCTCGTCCTGCCCGCAGGTGAGAGGTTTCTGCGCGCTTTCCTGCTTGGCAGAGTACTTCGCCTCTGTGTCGAAGGCATTTCCCCCTTCGAGCGCCGGGTTGCCTCGAAAATAACCTGTTTATATAACGCCTGCAGCGAGGACATACACCACATGTTTCCTAGAGCAAGTCGGTCAGAGCTTCAAAGCGTCTGACTTGTTACCTGATTGAGTCGGTTCTCCCGGTTGGTGCGGGTACTTTTGAGCTCCGACTGCAGTCCTACAGAACACATCTTTCCGGCAGACTTCCCTGCCACAGCGGGCTTCAGTCTGTCCCGCGAGGGCGAGGGCTCATGAATCATAGTCCCCCCCAAAGGCTTCGCGAAAGCAAAGCCAAACGATGGGTGCACACACATATGACTTCAAATACCAACCAACATATTTCATTGCTCAGGTATGGCAAATTTGAAATATGGCAACGACGACAGCACTACTGACGACGACATACACCGCAATCGACGGTCTACTATCTACTAGACACAACGAACACCCCCAAAGGCTTCACAGAGTAAAGCCACACGATGGTGCACACACATATGACTTCAAATATCAACATATTTCATTGCTCAAGTATGGCAATATTTGAAATGCGGCAATACCATTCGACAGATGTTGTACGAAGGAAGGAAAGAAAGTCTCTGAGGGAAAATGGGAGGAGCCAGGGTTATATACCCTGCGATTGTGCCGGTTGGTCTGCCAGATCAGCTTCTGTGACTCACAAAATCCTTTCTTGAACCCGGCCCAATGATGAATCTCGAGTTGGATACAGCTGGCGGAACTGTATTTGTATGTTGCCAATCAAAATTCGAATAAATGGCACAGGTCGTGCTTTTTCATTTGCTACAGAAAAGCAGCTGAAGCCGCGAGAGTACATTAAGCAGGAGTAAGTGACTCATGCGAACCTTGAAGCATGTGATCCGCAGCACACGAATGAATTCCTCCAGAGGACAAGTGTAACGAATCGATTACCTACTGTAGGAGAGCACTGGTGTCGATTAGATGCCCATGAGTGAATCGTCTCAGGGCTGACAGTGCCCGAAATGCGAATTTTCAGGGCGTCGAAGTCTTTTCCTTAGGCGGTAGCATACATACTGTAAATTCATGGGCCTTCGGGCGGGGTCTGGCATGGTCTATCGCCCACATGCGTTTTTCCTTCTGCTGTCGTGCCTTCAATGACGATGGCGACGTCAGTTGTGCGTGTACTTCAACTCCTCGGCACAAGCATCATTGTAGTGGCACGGTGTGCTCTTTCTTAGGGAAGAAATACGCGCGTGGCTTGAAATACGAGATGCGCCACCAGATTAGCGAAGCGCTAACGGGTAGCCTGCAGATCACTGACCGGGGTTCTTTAGACGTCCACGGTCAATCAAGTGGATTTTCTGGGGATGTATTGAGGGGATCTTCACAATAGCATCAGTTGTGTCGAATATATGTACACGAGTATTCTGATACGTGTTGTGTTTCCTCTTCCACGACGTGCCATCACTGCCGCTCCGGCGGCCATCGCTCCAGCTTCTTCGGCCATAATCGCTTCAGTTTCTTCATCGGACTCTCGTTCTCCTTGTCCTCGTCCACGCTGCTGAAGTGCTTCTTCCGCTTCCGCTCTCGCTTCGTTCCTAGGGTCTCCTGCTCCCTGTTATGCATCTCGTCGACGTGAACTCTTGCTCCAGATAGCTGCTTTGCACCGTTACGGCGCTCCTTCGCCTGTTTCGCTCTGAGCCGCTTCTCTGCGTCTTGTGCCCAGTAGTCTTTCTTCTCCCATGGGTCGTCTAACTCCAGCTGCGCGATGTCCCATGCAGCAGTTGGTACTCCGTGTTTGAGCACCTCGCGTACGTTCTCTGGGGGTATCAGTTTTCCTGTGTCTTCTCGTCGGGCATACTCGCGTCCAAGGGGAGGGACAGTAGCCTCCTTAATGGACACGCCATACTTGTGGTCGGTGCTGTAGCGTAGCCAGTTGTCTGGATATTGTGGGCCGCAGAATCCAGAACCTTGTGGCGACAGTGTACGCGACAGCGTGCTGACCTCCACTTCCATACCTCCACTGAGTCTGGCTGGCCTCTCCTGTTTTATCTCCCGCCATTTTCCTTCTGCCGATTCCTGGGGTGGTGTAGGAACTCGGAGCTCGAGCACATGTCGGTAGTCGTCTACGAGGCTTTGAGCTGGAAATCTAGACCGTCGATCTACAGGTAGATCGAGCAGTGCCTGCGCAGCGTGTTTCTCCTCTCTGCTGTACTCGTTCTTGCTGCTGTATTCGTCTTCCGTCTCGTAGGGGTCCTTCGCGTGGACTGAGAGAATTTCCGGTCCGTTCAAACCGAAATGGAAGTACTGGGCGAGTTCTTTGCCCTGATAGGATGGTGGGCGGACGATGCTGGGTCGTTGGCCAGGACTAGTTGTGTTTCGAGTTGCTTAGCAGCATCGTTGACGGCGTCGAGGAGAGCTGCAAGGGTGGCCGTTTCTTGTTGCTGAGCAGCATTGACGGCTTCGAGCAGAGCGGGAAGTGATGCCCTCTTCTCCATTTTGACCGAGGTCGGAAATCGAAGACGGAGAGTGATAAAGGGAGCCATTTTGAATGTGATGCTGTGAAGATTGGGAGTGTATGAACAGAATGTTGTGAAGCTCGAGAATGTATGAATGGACAGCGTGAAGACCGAGAGTGACGAAGCAGTGTGATCAGAGTGTTTTCGGTTTCTTAGGGCGGGCAGTGGGCTTAGGGAGGTCCCTTTGTGCCTGTGTGAGTAGTTCCTCTCTGGCTTGGCAATCGAAGGTACTCGTTGATGCATCTTCCATATCCTCGATGAAGAACTCGCCCAGCATATCGTCCACTTCACTCCATTGAAAACATCTGCCACTTCACTTCTGCAACTCAACATCTGCTTCTCAAGCTCTCTTCATACAACAAACTACCACCCACATCATGACGATGCACACCCGCCGTAATCGTCAGCCCACAGCAAAGGGTGCCGAGTACCAGGAGACCCTCCACAAGACTCCCTCTCCCAAGGGCATCAACAACAGCAGCACCAAGAAGCCTTCTCCCGCTGCTGTCTGCAAACCTGTAGCCTCTCCTGCTCGTAAGAGCAACAACAAGAAGACCTCTTCTGCAGCTCGCAATGCTGCAGCCATCGCCGTTGTTGAGGCAATCGACAGATCACCGTCGTTCTCGCCTATCTCTCCTCCCACCTCACCATCAAGCAGCAACAAGAGCAGCAATCCTCTGCAAGCTTATGACAACGCCATGGCTAAAGCAGCCGCCGATGCTCTCGCCGACTTCAGCTCGGATACATACTATACCGAATCGTATCCGGAGTGGAAGTTCAGGATGCGTGGAGAGCGAGAGCGTGCTGCATGGATTGTAGCAAAGCCAAAAGGAGCACCAACAGCTGCAGAGCCATCGTCGGCGCGTCGCCGCCTCTTCACATCTTCAGACATGGACGATGATGTCTATGTCGACAACGACCCGCCCATATACATCAAACCGAAACTTCGCCGGGATCATGCCCTTATGGGTATCACGGCTGGCGTTCGCAAGCCATCTAAGAAAGGGCAGTACAATGGCTGCCATATCCGAGTCCACAAGACCTTTGCCGCTAATCTGGGTCTTTACTACCACAAAGATGGTAAGGGTGGCTGCATCACGCCCAAGGAGCTGGCACATGATAGGGAGAAGTTCGCAGAGATAGGCATCGACATTAACATGCCTGTCGGTCGGCCGATTGATATCGACGAGTCTAGCATCATCCAAAGGCGCACGACTTTCTAGGGAAAACGCAACATCGACGTTAGAAAGCGAAGCGCGTCAATAGTCTAGCGTTCCAATCTCTGCTTTTTAGGTCATCGTCAGCGTCGTCGACCACAGCCATCAACGCAGCAGCATTTTGTTTGCATACCTGGAGCTCGAGGAAGAACATCATCATACCACCCTTAGCGGTATACCGACAACAGCCGCTCACATTTTATTGAGACGGTGCTGAGAAGTCTCTGACTCCGGCATGACCAGCACATGATCGATACTTGTCCAAACAGCGGAGGAAGAACGGCCTCTAGTCCTCAGTCTCCAGCACATAGTCAGATGCAAGGAACTCATCGCCATTGACAAACATCCAAGAGCGTCTTCTTTAGGTCCAGCTAGGAGAAGAGAATATCCATGCAGGCATCACCAATGTCGCCATCACTGGCTACGCCACCGAATCTGGCCCAGGAACACTTTATAGTATCACCGGCCCCAGCATGGCTCTCGCCGAGCAATTCTTCGTCGCCTTCGAGCCGACATCGACGACATTGGCAACTTGCATACCCATCAAAGCCGTCCAATGAAGGTTTCCAGGAGCAAGAGTCGCACGAACAGGCAACCCTGTTACAAGGCATCAAGAATTGGTCAGACCGGGAATTATATGGTACTGAAAACAACTACCGAAAGTCTCCTTTTCGAGCTCCATGAATTTTGACAATAGATGCATCACAAAACAAAGAGAGCTGTCTCAAACACATATGCTGGGATGCAAATTCTACCGTTATCCATCAACATCCGTGCGTGCAGGTCTAGAGGGGCATGATGACGACAGGTATGCCCGTGCCAGGGTTTGGAGAATGCACAGGAGCTTCCCCTCAGGAGAACCCTTCCACATAGAGGCTTCAGGGGCTCAAAGCCTTGTCCCAGACAATGTGTACGGCGCAGTGGTCAAGTCGAGGAGACTTTCAATTGAAATGGACTTCTCGCGCAGGGCAAATGTGCTCGCTCGAATGGGTGCTTCCGACTGCGCCGTGTAACGTTCGGAGCCACAACACGTCTCGAAAGCGCTGATTTATACCTGGAGAAATACTACCGCAAACTCATAAGTACGCTGGAAACCGGTCGGATCAGCCGTGACAGATGGCCCATCAAAGTACCTTTGGAAGCGCTCAGTCACACTCACAAGTACAATTACGTGGAAGAAGGCGTCAAGATTGGCAGAGCCAAGGAAGAAATTGCCATGCCTACCCAGCAGTATATTTCCCGCACCCGGAAAACATACCCACGACAGCTATGAAGACCTCGGAGGAGAGACAATACCCAACCCTCATTCATGAAGTGGCACTCAGGATTGTGGAACCATAGGTCTCGTTCATGAAAACAGCAAGGTACTTTCGATCGCTAGGACGTGTACTCACGACGGTCGTGAAGAACTCGAAGAAAGGGAAGCTCTCGGCGGTCGACATAACCCGTGGACACAGCCTACACCATGACGACTAGTTACGGTAGCTATATATATATCCTAAGCACGGGAAGCAGGACAAAACAGCTGGAGACATGAACAGCCGAGCCATCGGACGAGACCTGCTGCTCTTGCAGTAGGACGAGAACAACACCGAAAAGACCACAGCATTCGCCAGACATCGTACCGCGACCCGAGTAACTTGACCTTCAGCCAGCGTGCGTTGGGACGCCGCTACTAAACGCAACAATACCCAGGCGACCAGCATGTCAAATTCTCACGGGTCTTCAAACACAGACGCACCAAACGCCAATGCAATGGAACATGCTCGTCAAGGATACTCAAACCGACAAGGAGTATGTGCAGAAATCGACGTCGGAAAAAACGCAGCCGCAGGAACATGGAAGGGATCTACAGAATCATAGGCACTGACCTGTGAATACACGAAGGACTCACCCCAGAAAGTCACATTGAGCCTAGGACCGCTGACGCTACGGGCTTGACGACAGCACAGCTGACTTTTCCGGCAGTAGGGGCAGTAGGAAAAGGCTCATGGGTTAAAGGAATGCCCATTGCTCTGTGGCTTAGGTACGGGTGTTTAGAGAAGCCTAGGACAGGTGATGCTGCGGGTAGGATTGGAATGCTTAAGCAGGGTAGCAAAATGCATTCATCGAAAGTAGCGTGACGCTTTCAAGTCTGAACATGTTTGTGCTGAGGCAGCGATTGCTCAGCGTATATAATCGCATCTATACATTACGAAGGCTTGCTGTGCTTCTCGTGCCAATTGCGGCTCTTCAATTCCATACTCTTACTCACTGCTACTCAGCTGGCATTGATAGACCTCTAGCAACATCCTTCGAGGGCGGTAGAAATCCGTAGTGTGGGGTAGGCAAATAGGACGACCGTCGTCCCGATTGACTATTGTGCGGGATATTACGGGGACGGGCGGAGATAGGGTCCCATTTAGGTCTTCAGCCTTGGAGAACTTTGGAAGGAAATGATCATGTGCGTGTCTTCCATTGCGGCTCCTGTTCCCTCTCCACCATTCCACAGGGCTCTCAAACGCGCTGTAGCCGCAGCTGCCTTCTGCAGGATATGCCTGAGTCTGCAGCGATCAGCTGACACTGCTATCTCCGTGGTGTAGGGTATGCAAATCAAAACTCTACCCAAGGTCTCTCGACACGCCGGATGACTCGAAGCCATTGTCAACCCCGGATCTCTCGCTGCCCTAATCATTTCATTGCCGCCTGACAGCGCCTCCAAGAGCCCTGGCTTGCTGTGTAAGGTACTCAGCATGCGGAGCAGATGAAAGACCACTTTGGGAAGGACGTCTACTCGTCGAGGACGGCAATGGACTGATGTCTAGAAGCTGACCACAAGACTAGACCACCCGCGGCCCTAAGCGGTGACCACCAACCGATCAACAGCATTGCGTCGCCGCTTGATATCGCCTCCAAAGGTACTCTGCACGCGGAACAGATGGAAATCCGCTTCAGGAAGGACGCCTGCCTATCCTTCGAACTTGTGGACGTTCGGAGGTTGTAGACGATCACCGGCATGCAAGTCAAAGCCTTGGCCCTGCCATGTCCTAGCACTTCTGCACGCTTTCTCCTTCCCGACACACCAGCCCCGACATCAAACAGTCCAGACCCCAACGCTTCCACTCCGCCGTCCCTCAACAAGATATCCGTCCTTCAATCGGACCCGCTCAACCACACCTCGCCCTGTATTCTCATTCATGCGGTCTTCTACTGACAGGTTGGCTCCAACACCAACATCTACCTGCCGCCCGTCGGTCTTGTCATAAACCTTAACCACGTCCTCCCCGGCAGCCGCAACAATATGCCGCGAGTCAAACATCATTGAGGTTATTGGATTATCGTAGGCGAAGGCGTCGTAAATACTGCCTGTGCGGAGATCCCATATCTGTAAAGGAGAGTGTCAGCTGAGTGCCTTTCGAGGCAGAGATCGTATGCAGGGGAAAAGCTGTACTTACGCGAATACTCCGATCCACACTCCCCGTCACAAGATGCGTCTGATCGAACTGCAGACACGTCACGGGGCCCGTATGACCCACCAGACTTCGGTGGACTTGGCCTGACCTCAGATCCCACAGCCGGACCATCCCATCTGCTGTCCCACACGCCAGCGCAGCGTCGAAAACCTGTAGTGCGCCGACAAAGTCCGCGGTTGCGTCGGCGGCGCGACCTGATGGTCGCCATTGCGGTTCCGATGTTGAGGTTGGGTTAGTGTTGATGGTAGCACTGGCTTGTGCCGCAGCCCAGAGAACATCTAGGGTCTGCACGCAGCGACCCTTTACGAGATCCCATTGCCGCAAAGTTTTGTCGGCGGAGCCAGACACTAGAGTGTCGCCACGGAGGTGCAGAGCGGTGACTTCGTCGATGTGAGCTTCCAGCACAGTAAGTGGACAATCCGCCATTGCGTCCGGTGGGGGTGGAGGAGGCTCGTCTTCGTGCTCATTCCCAAAACCGAGTGCAGCCTCTTCGTCTTCCTCGTCGGCGCGGCTGGGATCATCATAGGTAGATTTGTGTTCGTGGGGCTCGTACCTCGCTTGGGAAAGGTCCCAGAGGCGGATAGTGGCGTCGAGGCTGCCGGTGGCGACGATGTTGTCTTCCACTTGCAGGCAGCGGACGGACGCCGTGTGGCCTTCGAGGAAGCCCATGCATCGGCCTAGGTTGAGGTCCCAGACGCGGACGGTGTCGTCGAGGGCGGCGGTGACCATGGTGCCGAATGGCTGGTCGAAGTCGAGGGCGGTAATAATGTCGGTGTGTGCTGGGATGGTTTTGAGGTTGGTGCCTGATTCGAGGTGCTCGTGGAGGACGGGCATGGATTTTCGTTTAGTGTACTTTGGGCGGCGGCGCGATTTGGGTGAGGGTGTGACTGATGATGAGGGTAGCTTTTGGTAGATGGATTCAGACATGAATGACGGGTCTTCGCCTGTTGACTCGGGCGTCACGGGTCGATCCTGCGTTTCGGCGATAGATGCCGCCTCCATCTGAGCATCAAGATCATCCTGCATGTCCTCAATGTTGTTGTCGAGATCCTGTAGCTCCTTGTCCACCTCTCCCTCCTCGTCCTCTAGACTGGCCAGCCTCTCAAGCACGATCTGTCGCATAGCGTGCAGATTGGCGATCTTGCTATCGATCTCCCTGATCTCGGTAGCACACATGTTCTTTCGGATACCCATCATCTCGAGTCTGTGGTTCACAGCATTTCGCTTCTTTTTGACGCTTTGTATCGTTGGCGGTCCATCTTCTTCTAGATCGACAGCACCAAGGAGTTTCTGCTTGGATGCCCGCCGCCTATGGCCTTTCCTGTGCTCGGTGTCGGCCTCTGGCAAAGAGGCTTGAAAGCCCTGAAAAAGCGAGTATGTATTGTCATCATCGGGGATGTTGCTGAGCTGCTCGTCGGAGATGTAGGTGATGGCTCGATGGGCGATCTCAGTGGGGGCGACCCGTGCTCTGATGAGTTCAGAGGGAGCTTGTTGGGTAAAGGAGAAAACTGAGCGCTGGAGGGCTGGTCGACGCATGGTCCTCGATATGCTCCGCATGGCATTGTTGTACTGTCCTGTTGTTTCTTCGCCGCCCATTAGTTGTCCGGCGGTGGCTGTCACCTTGCGGCCAAACGCCTCGAGCTGTCGCGTCTAGTGGAACTGTGTCAATTGACGCTACGCGCCCATTTGGGACCTAGGCAACGTACATCTAGCACTGCCCCGAGCACCGAAGTCTCCCCCTCGTCCGCCATAGAGGTTCGTCGCGTCTCTGAAGCATTGCGGCTATGTGTTCTGGAGCCGGCCATCCAGTACAAGGAGATCGCTGTCCCCCAAATGGGAGGAGCTTCAATCAATATGGGAAAGCAAGGTCGTGTCCGCGAAGAGTCCTTAGCAATGTGTATGTATTCAAGCAAGTGATCAAGTCGGTGGCCTACAAGCTGCACTGGAGATGAACACGATGCTTGTACCTAAGGTACCCATGTCGCTTGCACGCGAGCCCTTGAGACCGCGGCGGCAGCGATGGAGAAAAAAAGTGACGTCCTCCGACCTCCGACACCCCTCCCCACACAGCAACGGCCCGCGCACACCTTGAAAGCTCCAGCACTGCATGATTCCTGAACAGATCTCACTTCAGGCCAACTACACTCTCGCATTCTTTTCGCATACTTGAAACACACGCACTCTTTAGTATTCATAGATGGCCTTCGCCGCGGCTCTACCTAGGACTCTCCTTCGCACCTCGACATAGCGCGGACGAGCACCAAATCGCATGCATACACCTTCACAGACGAACGGCGAGAAGACGCTGGTAGTGCCAGGCGCTACGAACGAGACACCGGCTCTACAGCACAAAAGGTCTTCCGCGAGCATGGACAGCGCAATCGACCTCTCCGATGCCACAAAGGCTCTCGACCTGGCGAACATTCGCTTCCAGCTCATCCGTCTGGAGGATACCATAACCTTCCACCTAATCGAACGCGTCCAATTCCCCCTCAACGCCACGATCTACGACCCCCAACTCCTCCCCATCCCCACCACCAACCTTGCCCTCCCACCCACGCTATCCCTCATGGACTACATGCTCTCCTCCACCGAAACCCTGCACTCCCTCGTCCGCCGCTACGACTCCCCCGACGAATATCCGTTCTTCCCACAAGTCCTCCAGCGGCCGATGCTGAGCAGCCTCGCATACCCACAGATCCTGCATCCGAACGACGTCAATGTCAACGATGTGATCAAGCAGAGATATATCGCTGAGATCCTGCCGGAAGCATGCCGGCATTTCGACGGGAGGGGCGATCGAGGCGAGGCCAAGGAGAATTACGGGAGTGCCGCGACGTGCGATGTCGCGTGTTTGCAGGCGCTGAGTCGGAGGATTCATTTTGGCAAGTTTGTTGCGGAGTCGAAGTTTCGGAAGGAGACGGAGAGGTTTGTCAAGTTGATCAAGGCTGAGGATCGGAAGGGTATTGATGAGGCGATCACGGATAGTAAGGTTGAGGCGAAGGTGTTGGAGCGGTTGGGGTTAAAGGCCAAGACGTATGGGACGGACCCGTCGATTGCGCCGGCGGGAGGTGTTGAGGAGGGGAAGATCAATGTTGATGCGGTGGTGCGGATGTATAAGGAGGTCGTGATTCCGTTAACGAAGGTTGTGGAGGTCGAATATTTGATGCAGCGGCTAAAGGGGACGGAGTGGGAGTAGTCGCTCAGCTCTCGTGTCGAAAGTCGTTCCTCCATCATGCATCCGTAGCACAGGCGGCGGTGCTGGGAAATCCTCACTCAGTAGAACAATAGACAGACCAGAATCAGGCCGCACCGGTTTGCTGCAAAGCCACCCCAGCCCCTCAAGCTCCTAGCGGCTTCAAGAACTCCCCAACCGCGGCCACCGCTTCCGTAAACTTCCCCGCCTCAATCAGAATCAACCTCCCCATCGGCCGAATTCCCATCTCCTGAAAAGCCCTCTTTGAATCGCTCGTTCCCTCGTCCCGCTGCGTCGCGTACTCATAACCACCCGCACACAGTGCATATCGCTCAAAGACTTCGTCCTCGGGATGGAAGTACATCGTCTCGAATGCCCCTCCTCCAGATCCACCGCTGCCACCTTTCTGCTTCTTCTTCTTCTTCGGTCGCTCATCTTCACCATTGTCGAGTTGTGATGCGATTTCCGTGTAAGTCTTGCTTACGATGAGGTAATGCGTGAACTCGTATGGCTCGCCTTCCTGGACAGCCCAGGCGATCTCCTCCGGCAGGAAGGCGTACATGGGCGGTGCGACTTCTGCGGGGCAGTTGATGAGGCGGTCTGTGAGTATCAAGCCGATCTTTGGGAGTGGCGTTTGTGATAGCAGGGTTGTTAGAGTGCTAAGTTGAGTATTGCTCGCGCTGCGAGAGCGTAGGTATGATGCCAGTTCCGCCACGAATGGCTTGCTGCCATCGGCAGTGGTGTGTGTGTGCAAGTTTATGACCGACAAGAATGCATAAGCGTCCGTTTCCTGCCCGTCGACTTTTACTGTCGATCCGAGAGTAGGCTGGCTAAGAATCAGATCTGTGAGGGCGGAGATGTTGAGGTTGACGGCGTCGATGTCGAAGAGCTGGTTCAGTAGAGACTTGATGCCATGGAAATCGATCTCGGGGCTGGGATCGAACCACTCGAAATCCACATCGAGAGTCTCGAAGTCTTCGTCCGAGTCGCCTGAGTCTTCTTCTACGTGGGCGTTGCCACTGGAGTTGGTGATAGCCTTGTCTTCTGACTGTTGCTTGCGCTTCGACATGTTGACTGTATCCCAAGTTGAGGTGGCTATGAACGAGTGGTTTTCAGGATGATACTTCGATCCGTTAGTACCTACAAAATCGAAAGAAGGCAACCAAACCGGCATCGAAAACTTTTTGCCTTGTCTTGATGTCGGAGAAAAACAGCCTACCGCGCATTTCGCAAAGTCGTTTCAGCAGACCGGATGACAAGTCGACACTACGGAGGTAGGTAGATACTTTGGCTGGTGCTTCCATAACTTCTTCCGTGCTAAAACTTGGGACCTGCAACCCGTGCTCATGAACGGATATGGTCCGTTGTACCATGCTGCTCGCCGTGTGATCTGTGCGGTGATGACACACGCCAAAGCGCTTGACTGGTTTCAGCCGAGACCTGGAAGTCTGGAACATTTGCATCTCAACCCGCCCGAAGATTGCCAACGACAGCTGCTCAGCTGTTGAAACCCTAGTATGAGCTACTTTCACAGTCTTGTTGCCTAGGTAGCGCCTGTCGTTGAGCAATTTGCTACTACATCGACCTTGCAGACGGGGCCGGTGAGCAAACGATCACGGCTGCAAATTCCCGCCGATAACGATTCCTTCCCCAGTTGACAAACAGTACACATCGTGCCTGCCTGAGCAGGAGGTCCAGGTAACTGCGACCTCATCACACCACGGGAACGAGGATCACTTGTCACCGATCACAATGCCGTGAGAGCTTGAAAATCCCTGCCTTGCACCGGTCTGGACAGATTCTCTACTTCATCCCTCTTCCACCCGTAAATCCTAAAGCCTAACCTCTCAAATCCCTTCATAACGACCGATACTTCCATACCAGGTAAGTCACGTAAACGAGCGGTCAGTCTTGGACACCCTGGCTGTCCATCACCTTCGGATTCTGCGGCTGCTTCACACCACAACTCATTTCTGACATTCTATCCCTAGTACGCCACAACATGGGCAGAGTCTGCGCATCTTGCTCACGAGAGCTCCCTCGAACGTCGTACACAGGCAATCAGTGGTCTAAGCCAGTCGGAGTCTCGCGCTGTGCGGCTTGCGTACATGGCCATCAGATCGACATCCCCGTCGCCCCTTCTAACAGCGCCGGCCGGCACAACAACGCTTCTCGGGCCGTGTTTGAGGACGACGCTCTCGAGTACCCGTTTGCCGAAGGCGCATTTCGTTGGGTGGCCAAGGGAACGTATACCCACGGTGAGCGTGAAGGTCAGGCTTGTGTTTGCAAGTGGTTCAAGTCAGGCTCGGTCTTCTCCAAGGACTACTTCACACTCGACATCAAGGCCGCGGCCAAGGCACTGGAGATCGTCGACCTATTCAACAATATGGGCATCGTAACCAAGACTGTGAAGATCAATGTTCCTGCGGTCTGGACAGGATTGGAAGGCAGCAAATTGAAAGGTGTAAAGATGATCGTTGAGCCATTCATCCAGAACTACGAGAAGTTCAACAGCAACACTGGTTGGGTCGACGAATCTACGACATGGGGCATGGTCATGCAAGCCTTGAGCCACTTCAGCTACCACGTCACCCGCGGCAACTTTGTCCTCTGTGACCTCCAGGGCGGTATCTACCAGAAGGAAGTCGTTCTCTCAGATCCTGTCATTCTTTCCCAAACCGAAGAGTTCGGCGTCACAGACTTGGGCCCGAAAGGCATCAGATCGTTCTTCAGTCAGCACGAGTGTAACCCTTACTGCCGAGACCACTCGCACAAGCCAGCGAACCCGCGACAATTCTACGAGCCTCAGGAAGGATCCCTGATGCGGATGCGGCGCACAGTTCCTACCTCTCTGGCTCGGCCTGCTGCATCGTCCCGCCTCAGAGAGATCTCTGAGTACTGATGGGTTCGTCTGTGGAGGCGTATTACAGGGCATTCTCTTGGAGAGAAAGCCACCATAGGAACACCTCTGAGTTTCAGGCTCGGTCGATGAATGACATATTACAACAGAATATGATATGGCTACTATCACGGACCAGTGAAGACTTAAGAGAGCTTTTTGAGGATCTCCTCTTGCACGAAAATGACGAGGCACTCTACATAAGCAGTGCGCCATCATCCGCAATCGACTTCTCTGCAGTAACTAGATCTGCGCACATTGGTATAATGGGTCACAAACCCTCCGTGTAGAACAAACGAATAAAACTACCTACTGCCAGACCATATTGTATGTCCATCGCTTCACGAGACCGGTTGACAAGCTAGGTTGCTACCTACGTTGGTCGTTTGCTCGAACATTTTTGTCTATCTATCATGCACTTTACCATGACCAGCAATCGGAACAATCTCGTCCAGGCTCAAAAAGCCAAAATCCACGCGTCATCCAATCGCTCATTCGTGGCCTTCAAGCCTCCTGTCACAAGTATCGAAGGCTTCGCAGTCAGAACATCTGCATCAAACCACCCTCTCGGAGGCGGTGTCGGGCCAGATGTCTCAACAAGCTGCCATGTCTTAGACGCGATGTCGAAGAGCCAGACATCTCCGAGCATGTTTCCTGCACCCGCATGGCCCAGATTGCTCGGATCACTTTCACCAAACATCGTCACCAAGGACGGCTTCCCGCCCACCTCGAGAGCAAGTAGGCTGCAGACGCTGCGTGCCGTTGGCCCAGATTTGCCGTCGGCCTCGTAAGTGATTGTTTGCCATGCATCTGCGGCACAGTCGTACACATCAAGAGCACCGCCGTGCTCAACCTTGCCATCAAAGCCGTTCATGCGCCATACTTGCCCTTCGGTGTATGCGATGGATGCTCCACCCCTTGCTGGACCTGGCGCGTCAGCAAGCTGCTTCCAAGTCCTCCATCTGATACTGAACGACCACATGTCGCTCAGTCTGCCTTTCTCGGGACAGCCAGCATGCAAATAAATCTTGTCGACGCCATCACTGGTCATAGCGTGATAGCTGCGGCCTTCGGGCTTCGGCGCACTATCATCTATCGGTCCGATGCGGGCCCAGCCCTCCTCAACAGGACCCAACACCCACAGTACACCATTCTCCTCAAGGGGTGCCATGTCGACACCCCCACGCCCAGAGAAGAGGTACACATTGCGATCTACCGTTGTTGTTGCTGACCCAACCCTTGGCTGCGGACTCCAGGCCGTGGCAGTGAGCGTGTTCACTGAGGCATGATCATCTGGAAATGAAGGTGAGAAGAGCCATCAATACCTAAGTCTGCTCACCTCGCAGTAGATCGAGTACGTGAGTATCACCATCTATCGGTTCTCGTGGCTTTAGCTCGCCGCCAAATATGCACGCGCTGTCTCCGATGATCGACAATGAATGCGACGACTTCTGTAGAGCCGGCAGCGAGCCCAGCTTGCGCATCTTGCTGTCATATTGATGTTGAGAAGTCAGAGAAAGACGAGCACGGTTGCGATTGCATTTGAGGACATTAACGATATCAGGCAGTGAATCTGCACGACGCGCTCCTCTCAATTCGGAATCTCTGAGCAGTCAACCGGTTTCGTGAAGCGACCGAAATATCCTTACGGCACTGTCATTTTGATGGATCAGGAACATCATATTCGTCAGTCCACTCCACCAAATTCTCTTCATAAGTTCAACTGCCTTCATGTCATTCTCACCATGAATTCAACTTCCTCTTCACGCGATATAGACGCGTTATTCACACAACAGCTTCGACTGGCGGACCATTTTGCGCATTTTACGCAGCTTTACGCATCAGCACAAGCCTATGGCTGATGTTCCAGAATCAAGATGTCAGTTGATTGGCCTTATGACTCTGTCCACTGCTACAAACGGCATAGTATGATCAGAGCAAAGACGGATTGCGAGTCCGAGCTCTTCGCGTGGGCAGTGCTTCGTGAGAGAAACGTAGGCTGCTCTGTTGCCCGCAAAAATAGAGGTAACACACTCGGACTTGTCCTATCGCGCGGCTCCTCCTAACTTGCATCCCATACACTTTCAGGAACAGATCGACATTAATGTGGAACAGAGGTGTACACTAACAAGACTAGACGACCGGCGTGATGGGGTTTGGAGAAAGCAGCCGTTGTTGGCGGCAGGTTGGAGGAAGTTGAGGAGCTATCCGATCGTACAGTTATGGCAGGGCATTGTAAGTGGCAAGGTTCAGGTTTGACCTGTGACCCATCTTTACGAGAGTAGACTGGGGACAAGCAGCCGCACCGTGAGAGCAGACATTGAACCTGAAGACAGTTGTCTGAAGGTTTGGGCATGTCCATCGTTGCAGGACGGCTAAAGCTCGATATCGATACAATATGGCAGAAAAGACGATAGAATCAGGTATTCCCTGGCTTCGACCGCCAGCAAAGCGCTACGTCTTCCGCAACGCCAACCTTGTTGACCCAGTCCAAGGCATCATCCGCAAGAATGTGACCGTCACAATGAGCAACGGCACCTTCGAGTCCGTCACCTCACCATCAGACCCAGACCCGAACCCAACTCCAACAGCATCCACTGCCTCCTTCACCGAAACCATCGACCTCGACCTCACGAACCGCTACATCCTCCCCGGCCTAATCGACAGCCACGTCCACCTCCAATACGTCCCCGGCACCCCCACACTCAGCCAAATGAAGCGCCTCCCACTCGAGATCCGCTCCTACCGCACACCTCACCTCTGCGCCGCCATGCTGGCCCGCGGCTTCACCACCGTCCGCGACTGCGGCGGCAGTTCCGTGGCCCTCAAGCACGCCATCGCCGCCGGCATCGTGCGGGGCCCACGCCTCTTCATCGCTGGCCACCAGCTCTCTCAGACTGGTGGACACGGCGATCTGCGTGATGAGTATGAGGGTTCGGGTCAGGAAGGGACATTGTGTTGCGCGGGCCATGTGTTTGGGCCAGGGCGGATCTGTGATGGGGTGGATGACTGCATGCGCGTTGCGCGCGACGAGTTGCGGCAGGGAGCGGATTTTCTTAAGATCTTGGGCAGTGGTGGGATCAGTAGCAAGACGGATGCGTTGGAGATGGTGCAGTTCTCGGGGGAGGAGATTAGGGCGATTGTGGGCGTTGCGAGGCAGAGTGGGACGTATGTTACTAGTCATGCGTATACGCCTGAGGCGATTCGGAACGCGGTGCTGAATGGGGTGAAGGGGATTGAGCATGGGAATTTTTTGGATGCGGAGACGGCGAAGTTGATGGCGAGGGAGGGCGTGTTCTTGACGCCGACGTTGAGACGTATGATGTTATGCGGAGGGAGCCGTTTAGTGCGTTCTTGCCGGAGGAGAGTAGGCGGAAGAATGAGGCTGTTGTTAAGGCGGGGAAGGAGTCGGTTAGGATTGCGGACAGGGAGGGGGTTGTGATGTGTTACGGGTCGGATTTGTTGGCGAGTATGATGCAGTTTCAGACGAGGGAGTTTGTGTTGAGGGCAGAAGTGTTGGGGGCTGGCAAGATCTTGCAGGCTGCTACGGTCAATGGGGCGAAGATGCTTGGGATGGAGGGGAGGCTGGGGCAGATTGAGACGGGGTTTGTGGCGGATATGTTGGTGTTGAATGCGAATCCGCTGGAGGATATCAAGGTGTTGGATAGTCCGGAGCAGCACTTGTTGGCGGTGATCAAGGAGGGTCGGGTTGAGGTCAGTCGGTGGACGAAGCTGCCTGAGGAGAGGCAGCAAAGTCTCAGCATAGAATAGCATTGCCTGGAGCATTGCCGGATGGGTTCCTGACTCAAAGCACTCGCATCGGTAAGCCGAATGACGGCCATCGAGAAGGGGAACTTAATGAGGCTCTGGTTGAATCGCTATAGCATCCGCGATAGGAGATGGCCTACGCAAACATTAGTGCATTGCTAGCAGTGTTTAGCATCATGCAGACTCGAAGGCCTAAACGATAAGGATGGAGAAGTTTTGGAGGACATCGAGCGAGCTCCAAAAGGATCGACATGTTCGTGGACTCGTTGAAGAACCCCCAAAATATACATGGCATAGGATTGATAGATCATTGCCTCTTCGAGTAGTTTGCCGATAGCCATGTATCTGTCACTTCGGCACAGAAACCCGCGCCCCCAACGACGCCCTGTAAGGTCCGATGGATACTTATACAAGAGTGCTCTTGTGATGTCCAGCGTGCACGTTGTATACAGCATCGCCAATTCTGTGCCTCTAAAACGCCGACAAGATGGGAGAGATTTCCAAAATCGAGGCCGTCGCCGACGATGGCAAGATTGTCGAGCCCAGTGGTAACGTCCTGTACGACATCGATCCGGCAGCCGAGCAACGTGTGCTGAGGAAGATAGACATGCGCGTGATGCCTCTGGTAAGTCAATAGTGCTCAAACAAACCATTTCCAAGCATCGCGCAGCACTCACCATGCCTGACAGATGTTCCTCGTCTTCTTCTTCCAATTCCTTGGTATGTCACGTCATGTCATCGCCCCTCTGTCCAACCATGCTTACCTTACGTAGACAAGCAAACCATCAATTTCGCGTCAGTCTTCGGCCTGCAGCAAGACCTCAATGTCAGCGGCAGCGAGTTCTCCTGGGCCGTGTCACTCTTCTATTTCGGCATCCTAACGGCACAATTTCCAATGACCTACTTCATTGCCGGTTCCCAGCGACACTCGTGGTAGCGGTTGCGGTGATCTTGTGGGGCGCCTGTGAGATGTGTCTCGCAGCGCCGCATAACGCAGCTGGACTGCTAGCGACGAGGTTCTTCCTTGGTGCGTGCGAAGGTGTTGCGGCACCTGGCTTTGTGGTGATTACCAGTAATTACTATAAGAGGTCTGAGCATCCCATTCGGGTTGCTGTATGGCAGGGTACGTACTGCACAATCGACGCGCATACCCGTGACACGGCGTTGCTGACAAGTCCAAGGCACCAACGGATTCGCACAGATCATTGGAGGCATTCTAATGTACGTGATCGGTCAATCCGATGACCTGGCGTTGGCGAGCTGGCGTGTGATCTTCATCGTCGCGGGTTGCGGAACCATTGGCGCCGGCGCGCTGTTCATCGCCTTCATGCCGAGAGATCCCTCAGTTGCGCGGTTCCTCAATGAGGAGGAGCGACGCATTGCGGTGCAGAGGCTGGCAAACGACAGAGCGACCAGGGACAGGAGCCAATTCAGTGCTGATCAAGTCAAGGAGGCGCTCTTGGACCTACAGACCTGGTTCTACTTCGTGTTCGGATTCCTGATCTGCATGTCGTCGCCCATTTTGAAGGTATGTGTTGGCGTGAGACGTTGGGACAACAAATACTAACGGCAGCAGTTCTCTTCGCTTGTCATCAACGGCTTTGGATTCTCCAGGTTTCGGACCATGTTGGTTGGACTTCCAAGTGGTGCATTGCAGATCATAACGACCTGGTCCGCGGCGTTCCTGATGGGATATACCAAGAGTTTCCGCTGCTTCTCGGGGTTGTTATTCACTATCCCACCGCTGGTAGGCAGCATCCTGCTGCTTTGCCTCCCAGCATCCGCGAAGTGGGGTATCGTGGTTAGCACTTGGCTCGCAGCACAGTCTTCGTCCTTGATTCAAGTCAGTCTCAGCATACTCGCCTCGAACGTGAAGGGCAACACGAAGAAATCGGCCGTCAGTGCTGTCTTCTTCTTGGCGTACTCGACTGGCTGCATCGTCTCACCACAGCTGTGGCAGAAGCCAGACGCGCCACGCTACACCAAGGGCGTGGTGGCGAGTATCGTGTGTTGGTGTTTGTTCATCATTAGCCTGTTGGCTTATTACGTCATGTTCCGCAGAGTCAATCGCAAGCGAGATGTGGAGGTGACGGAGTGGGAACCTGTCGAGAATGGGAAGACCGAGTTGGACGCTGCTGTCGATATTGACTCGGATATGACTGACAAGCAGGATATCAAGTTCAGGAACACCTTGTGATGGACGAGTATCCATGGCCCACGGACTGGGAGTGCTCGAAGGAGACCTGACCTCAGATTGGCCGCCGATTGAAGTAAAGGAATGCGGGCTTCACCTGCAATCGATCCGCTCGACGGTCGTGAATGTGAAGCCGCTGCTGTGAAGAGATGATCGGCCATGGAGAGAGCAACGCGAGGGGCGATTGTAGGTGTGCACTCAACTCACAGCGTCCGGTCTCGCAATCTCGCAAGTAGGTGAGCTGCAGAATGAGCAGGAACTCAGATACGAGATAGTCGCAAGCTTTACAAAATTCTGGTACTCAATCAATGGGGTATCATATGCAAAGAACGCCAGCTCAGGACATGGACCATACTCTCGTGAACCCACTCTCATGACTCCGACCCGGCAGCAGCCGACCGCGCTGCGCATGTGATTCTGATGAGATGTCACTCACCTCTTGGCCCCTCAGCCCCGCCCACGCCCACGCCCTCGTCCACTACCTGCACCCCCTCTTCCACCACCTCTCCCTCTTGGCCCTTTCCCTCTCCCGGAGACTTTGCCTCCCAGACGTTATACGACCCACTTTCCGCCTCTCCTACCCGCAAATAACTCACCACCCCAATGTCTACCACCGCCAAAATCACATTCCGCTTGCCGTGCTTGATCTTCGCTTCGACTTTTCGATCTGCTGGCAATTCGTCGGACGGCATAGAGTCCAGCAAGCTGCCTATTTGGGACATGGTAGGGACGTTTGTGGCGCGGGCGTCGAGGACGCAGATGTGGAAGTCTGGTGGTGGGGGAAGGGATTTCTTGTAAGCTGTGTTGGAGGGTTTGTAGACGTGGTAGGTGGGGGTGTATGCGCCGGTGGGCTGTTGCGGTTGCGGTGAGGAGATTGTTGTACCTGTTGGTGGCGGTGGTGGTAAAAGGGAGACAGTAGATGGTTTGGGCGTCTTGTAGGACGGGATGAGGGCGAGAGAGCGGTAGATGTCGTTATATGATCTGTGTAGGCCTGGGCTTAAGAGGGGCCCATGAGATGGGCAGGAGGGCCCGAGGCGGGGATTACTGATGAAGTTGAGGAGGCGAGAAATGAGGCCAGGGGTCCGCGATAGTGGTTGGGGGAAGCGAGACGGTAGAGGGATGGGACTCGAGTCGGAGATGTGGCTGTTTGTGTGGGCGTCTTCGGCCGCATACCAGCCTGGGGCTCGATGCACAATGTAGCCCAATCGTCGGAGGTTGCTGTATACGAGCCAGCGATCCATGTTGAGGCCGCTTCTTCCTAGAAAGGTTGCGTATGCGCCTTGTAAGCTTATGGGGAGCTCGTCAAGTGGTGTGTATGTGTGTTTTGGTTTTTTTTCAGAGTCCACGTCGATTTCAGTCTCAACTGAAACATCGTCGTCGTCCTCGTCGTCTGATGGGTCTTCATCGTCGTCATTTGGCAAGTCCGGCCACCGAATGTCCAGCGTGCCTCTCTCGAGCAGGAACAGTGCTTCTTCCGGCAGCAGCCAGGTCCACGAGCGAAAATCTGCTCGACCAAATGTTCTGCCGAATGTGCTCTTGAAGTTGTATACCACCACGCATCGATCGTCCCAATCGCGTCCAACCAGCCCCTTGCGTAGTCTGAGGTCACATTTCTTGCCCTCACTTAGGTCCTCAACGAGCTGACCCACATTATGGGTCTTCGCTGATTGTGATCGGACGAAACTGAGGGCATCTTGCATAGCCTGTCGACTTTCATCGAGTACATTCGCCTGATGCTGAGTCGGGTTCGGCTCGAAGTCCTTGGTTCCTCGCTTCAACAGTGCGCCTTGTGAGGCCTTGCTGCCGCCAGCCAACGATGCCAGCAAGCGGAAATCTTGTGCTTCATCTTCGGCGTCATCCTCGTTGTGCTGGTCGTGGCCGGCAGCAGAGGCGCGGAGGAGCGCGTCTTCGTCGGCGTCGGCCATGCGGTAGCAGAGCTGGCGGTGCGGTCGTGGCTATAGGGTGTTGTAACATATGGTCTCGTCGTATGCAATGGGAGGTGAAGTTGACATGTGTTCATCGAAGAATATTGAGTCATGTATCGATAAGCTGAGCGATCCTGACTCGTGCATCCCGAGGTCTCTTGGCGCTCCGGCTATCTCAGGCTGTACGAGAACGCCAGGCACCAACTTCCCCATTCCCGTCTTGACTACGAAACAAACCGGTCCTGGTTCACCGCATCCATGAATGGACTTCCGGCCCGAGCTGCTACATTCAGACAAGTGACATATTTCTAAATATTACGAGCTGCAGAGGTACTACTAGGCAGGATGCAACCTCCAGCCATGGACGATGCCAGACGTGCAAGCTTGGAATCAATCGAAGCCGTCCTTGATTTCATCCGAGGCAACCTTGCTAATATCGAACGTGTTTGGGGCCGTGACTCTGCACAATGGCGATCCGCAGCGCAGCTCATGCAGAAGCAGTTGGATGAGAACCTGAAGACCGCGAACCTCCAGCAGGACGATATCGCAGATATGTTGAAGAGTCTCAAGCTCGGACACGAGGAGGGAGATTCAAATCTCGTTCGCAGCGCCCAGACCCAAGCCGTTACGTGATGAGGAGGCAGTCTATGATCCTGGCATACGCTATGGAAAATTCCTCAACAACACGCCACGAGCACATGCTCGGCAGTCGGAAGCGGCGGGATGCCTTTCTCACCCCACGGACTTGGCATTCAGGCTGCGACCATACTCTTTACGTGCTCGGAAAGCCGTTGAGTGCCTCGTTTGCCTGCCAAGATAGTCTCCGATTCGCTCGCTTCTTTTGGAACGGCAGTCGGCAGTCCCGCACATGCATTCTGTGACACAAATTTCCGTTGTGGAAACAAAACGGCACACATTCTGGGCGTTGACTGCAGCGAAATTCTGAAGTCGGCTCGACCAGGTCTCACAAAGTCATGTTCACTTGCAAAGTTTGAGTACAAAGAAATACAAACAAAAAGCTCGGTCCAAGTCGCGATAAAGTCAAGGCAAATTTCCGGAAGGGCTTGATAAGCCACCTTCTTACGCGATAAGAGAATCCCGCGCTTTCCTCAACTTTCGTAGAAGCTTCAGACGCTCCAGAGACACGCGACACGTGCATACGCCTCGAAACTTCGATCCTCAACATAGAACTTTTCTTCTGTTTGGCATCAACAATCTCTCATCCGGATCTCGACTACCCGCCGGTAGAGGAATGGCCCCATCGGCCGCCATCGACATTCCAATTGTTCACCAAGACACACAAGACCAGATCGAAGTTGACTCCTCGTTCAACTCAGTCGTCGACGACGTCTTCAGTCCTCTTGATTCACTGTCAACATCGGTCAGTAGCATTTCTATTGCGGACAACTACTTCGAGGAGCAGTCGCGAGGCGCGGCAGATCTCAGAGTCAAGGAGCTCGACCTTGAACTTGAGGCAGAGAAGTACTTGCAAGCTGTCGAGGAGGATCCTCTCCTAGCCGACTGCACTCAAGATGCTGTCACTTTTGGTCAAGGGCCCGATGCCTGGCTCTACCATCCAAAGTCGGGTGTCTTCGACTTGACCCGCCGATCAAACGAGAAAGTCCACTTCCCGTCGCATACCGACAACATGACTGGCCTGCTCGTCGATCCGAATCGCACTATACTCGTTATTGTCGACATGCAGAATTTCTTCATCAACCCGGACTGCTATCCCCACAAAGCCGGATTAGGAGCAGTCAACCCGCTCTTGAGAGTGATGGAAAAGTGTCGCAACCTGGGAATCGAGGTGTCCTTCCTGAATTGGGTCATTGATGAACAAGATATGATCGCGATGCCCCCTGCTGTGCAGCGCGGCTGGAGTTCCGATCGTCTTCTGTCGCATGGAGTCGGCTGGAACGTCAACCTCGGGTCTGAACTGCCTAACGGCCAAGGCAGATGCCTTTGGAAAGGCTCCTGGAACGCAGAACTATACAGTCCAATCAAAGATGCGGCCAGAACCGACGATGCTGTGTTCTTCAAGAACCGTCCCAGCGGGATGTGGAGCCGGGACTGCGACATGGCCAGGTATCTCAGTGAGAACAATCTCAAGACAGTCATGTTCGCCGGAGTCAACACAGATCAGTGTGTGCTTGGTACGCTCACCGACTGCTACAGCAAGAGCTATGATTGCATCATGATCCGTGACTGCGTGGGCACTGCCACCACTGGTTTGATGGCTCAGGAACTAGTGGAGTATAACGTGGAGCGAAACTATGGTTTCGTTCTGGATAGCGGATGTGTCCTTCAGGCTCGTGTTCTATGCACTTAGCAAGCGAGCATCATTGTCTCCGGCTTGGCCGCGTCTGGTCGAACGCCACCAGACACTGCATGACTTAGCAGTTTGTTTCACACGGAGTTCGGGGCATCGTCGTTGTTACTAAGCTGGGGCAGAGAGGCGGAGAGCTCCGCATTCGCATGGATTCTACGGAGTTCCTCCTACGATGCCTCAGGCATCATGCAAGCATTTCTCAGACCATTTCATAATTCAGACCAACTATTCCCCCAGGTCCTGTACCTTCACCCACTTACCCATGAGTGATTGAGACTCGAGTATGACTTGACTTCGCATCGTCTATGGGGCAATGCTCGTGATGGACAGAACATGGACGAATTCGAGAAACCAGAGGGAATGGGGTAATCATAACCGGTGAACATCGCCCCGCCGGTTGGCTTGGCACTGATTCCGGCCCCTGCCATGCACTTGAAAACGAGAGAAGGAAAGAGCGAAGTGCCAGAAGAACATCTTCGCAAATGGCAAGCGTTCCTCCATTCACCTATAATTGGTCTCAAACTACTCTCGCTTCTCTACAACACCACCACTAGCCCAATATTTTGGTTGAGTCGTCTCTGGCAGCTCGGTGCTCATACGCCGATGCTTTTCATCCTCATCTATTGGACGTCGGCTCTGCTCGACGCGAGCTGAATCAACGCCGTGCACGGAATTTAACTGTCTGCCCGGTGACATCGCCTTGGTCAACACATCTGCGCTCCGGGGCATAAGGCATGTCCCGACATAGGCGTGCGCCCGAGCGGCCAACCACAATAACTCTGAAAAATATTCGTGTACGTGACCACGACCTGCCCTGAGGTCAGATGGGTGTTCTCCGCACTCCTCGTCAACAGTTGTGGGTGCTGTTCAGCGGAGGTCGACATAGACTCAATCCGAACCTCAAAGCAGTACCGGCACCACCCATAAGTCAACCTCATGCATATTTATTCCCTCGGAGTAAGTATGCCTTACCTAAGCTCGATTCAATACGATGTTGACACGCTAGCGCTCTCCGCGTACTGTGTGCGGGTACACAGCCTACCCACCTTCGGCTTTCATCCTCAATGGAGAAACGTGCATTATTGTCCGTCCTGGCGACTTTGAAGTCGGCCACAAATGGCCATCGAAATTGATGCATTGCCACGACTGTCTAGACCTCGAGGCAGCCCCAACCTAGGACCGGCTTGACCTCCAGATGCGTCTCAAGCGATGTAGGGGTCCGTGTGGCGGAGTCCTCAAGGGGCAATATCGAGCGGAGACCACAAAACGCTTGTGCTTCAACAGAACGCTTCAAAGCAGACCTGCAGTATACATGGGAATATCCGAAATGTCGCACACGTTCGCGCATATCTGCTCGGCGCAACGCTCGCAAAGTTATGCGCAATGGCCGACGACGAAGAGGGCGACAAGCCTGTCATCATATTCGGCATCGTCCAGGTGCAACCAACATCGAAAATCAAGAGAGATAGAGAGCTGCACAACTCAGAGGTCAGAAGCCATGCGATGAAAGTAAGTCTTGTTCTTGAGCACCAAGCGTATACAAGGCTAAGCAAGAGCGTAGGTCGTGCATGAGCGTCGACGCAGTGTGTGCAGCTTTGAAGGTTCATCACAACGTACGCTAACTCGGATAGATCGAAAGGCAGCGGTGCAGCAAGATGCCAAAATCTCGAAGACGTCAAGAAGATCGACGCCTGATGCACCTACACTGCCTTCTGCCTGCAGCGCACTGTCCTACGGCAACTCGGATCCTTTCGAAGCTACCGGCGCGATCACCATGACGCCAGAAGTCAGCTACTGTGTGAGACTGTGGAAGGATACTCAAGCTCGGTAAGCGTATCTTTTGCTGTCGCCAAAAGTCGTTCCTGATCAGAGCAGAACACACATCAACCGCTGGGCGTTGGACATATCGGGCGAGGAAACCTTCTCTCCAGGCCTTGCCGCATCCTACCATGTGGCCGGAGCACAATTCTTGGCTATCGAACTTTCCACTGCACGCGAAGTTGTAAGTCTGACACATCATAATTTCAGCAGCACTCAAGTTGTAGCTGGAAGCACCTATGCCAGCCTTAAAATGTTCTGGTGCTTCGCGACCTCCCCTCGTCCGCCGGACGCGACACCGTGACCGTCCAACAGAGGCTGACTCGTGAGCATAGGACCTCGTAGGTGGCTGGGCTGCCATACAGCTGTATGGCTTGTGGCATACTCTCCCACAACACATCAGATCAAGCATGAAGCAAGTGTTCTACCAGACACGGGAACTCCTGCTTAGGAAGCTACGAGAACGCCTTTCAGCTACCGAACTCACAAGTCCGCAGGAGAGGCAATCTGTCGATGTCCGCACCGCCGATCTTTATGACCTAGTCATCAAGACCTTGAGACTTCTAAAGATTGCATGTGTGGAAGATGAGTGAGTCTGTCCAATCCCGGTTGTCGTGTACCTAGTTCACCTCTCCGCCATTTCGCGTGGGCGCGAATGTGCACAGTTCGACGCTAGTATATGTGACTGACAGTCTATACAGTGGCGAAGAAGCGCGTTTGCATGCAGCTATGGCGGCCCATGTGAGTGATCTACCATGTTCCTGCCACATGCTCTGCGATTCGAGCATCATCTGGCCCTTTGACGTCGTTTGTGTCTCCTGTCTCCTAATCTCGCTTTAGCGAATGCTCTCTTCAGACCCATGGCCTAGTGCTGCTTTGCTGACTTTTACGCAGCTATCAGAAGATCCTCGAATTCAGTTGACGGAACATCACTGGCAGCAGATGTCAAGCCTGTCGGTCCGCACGGCCGCCATGGCAGTGCTATGCGATGTCGAGCCTGCGGCGCGACTTATACGAAGGCCACATCTTGACTACAGCTTCGATGGCTGGCTGTACCAGAGACTGCGACCTTTCTTCGCCTGCCATCCATCTGTGGTGGTGACGGAGCTCAAGTCGAAGCCAGGATCTACTCACCTCTCTGTTGATTCAAGAGTGGTGAGAGATGCAGTGGAGACCACTCGGATCTGTGCTTCTCTTTGCAAACAGCCTATATCTTTTCGAAAAAGGACCGAGCACGGCCATGAGATTTACAAGTATGGCATGACTGCAACTACCTTCGCCTTGGGCCAACTACTCACTGCATATCACGACCTAAAGGATGACCAATGGATGTCGAGCAGTAGAGAGAAGCAGGATTCAGCACATGTCGGCACTGGAGCTCTGCGCCATCATGAACTTGCATTAATTTTGACAACCATCTATGTCCTGTGTAAGTGCACACGAGAAGTTTACATCGACAAAAAGGACATCTACGACACCTCCCACATACTCTTCCCGCTCCTCCGGACTCACTTGGAACGTGCGAATGCTCAAGCCAGCAAAGAGGCGACATTCTGGATGCTATTCTGCGGTGCTCACCACGAACGCCGGGTCGAACATGGCCTTGCACTCCAGAGCGATCCACCGCTGACTGGATGGTTCCGCGTGCGGCTCCTTCGAAAGGCCCGGGAGCTACAAGTCAGATCCTGGTCCGAAGCGCAGAAGATTCTCTCGCAGTTTGTATGTCTCGACCGTCTGCAACCTATAGACCACGAAGCATGGTTTCACGAGGTCACTCTGAGTGACAGCCACGAGTAAGTACTCAAAACGGCAACTACTCGAGTACTCAAACGGGGAGTACTCGAGTAGATGGGGGCGGAACGGCCAATAGCCATTGGTTCCTGAGTGTTAAGCGAGATCTACTCTTCTCTTCCTCTCTGCCTTGACCCCCCTTCCTGACCAATCAGGGCTTGTGCATGGGGAGAGTGGAGCCCTGCTATGAGTACTCGAGTATATACTCAGAGCACTCGATTACACTGCTGGCGGAGTAATCGATTACTTGAGTACTGCCTCGTGGCCAGCCCTGGTCACTCACAAAGCACATCGGCGTTCGAGTAGTACACGGACGGACGCAGCAGCACAAGTGACACTGAGGTGTTATTAACAACGACGTTAGAAAGCCTAGCCACCTGTAGGTGGGTAGCCCATCTGACCTTGCCTGGGCCAGATTTGCGTGTTGCTCTGATTAGTCCAACCCTGCTGATAGATCTTGTTTGCTGGGACTTCCCCTTCACAGACCAGGCAGATGCGGATGATTTGCTCCCTCTCAGCGTCCGTACGCTGAATCCACGTGTCCCTGGTGGTGTTGGTGCACGGTAGCTGGCAGTGGCTTCGCCAGGTGACCGAAGTGCCGATGTTAAAGGGGTTGGTACTGCAATCAGGAAAGTCATGGATGTACGCACCTGGCGAGTTATGAAGGCCTGCGATTCCAAATTGGTCGGGGATGTTGCGGCGTTGAGCTGTGCGCCCGACAGCTTTGTACGGAATCTCATACTCGGCTGTCTTGCACTCGCCGCACAGCCAGTCGCGTACTGTGAAAGCGCGATTACGTCTGCTCACTCGACGGATCGTTAGTTTTCCATGGTTCCGGCATCGACACTTCTTCTTCGGTCGCGGGACTACACCGTTCATGGTGCAATCATAGCACGGCATGAACATCGAGTCGTGCCGCCAACGGAAGAAGTCCCAGTGGAAGTTCTCCCAGTCGGCGCATTCGCTACAGATCCAAATGTTTGGGCCATGAGGCGGATTATTGCCTCTGTGCCCTGTACCTTGGCAGCGGAAGAATTGCAGACGCGTTTCCACGGGCTCGCGTACGTCAACGTTGGCGTTCGTGTTTCTGCATAGGCGCCTCATGTTGCGGGTCACCCACGGACCTTGGTTGGTATCCACGTACTCAATGGCGCGAGGCTCCCATGGAAGCCTCCGCCGCACGGCGATCGGACTGCGGCGATTGCTGCATCGTACTTGCAGCATTCTTTCGAAGTATGGGTCTCCTCCGACAGGCATGGTCTGGATCGTGAGATGTTGCCAGCCCGGGCCAATGCTATAGTTGAATAAGTCGAGGAAAGCTCGGCGGATGAGGTTATAGTCAGTTCGGTGGGGCTGGCGGTCACCAACAATATGGTACAGGATCTGATTGAGTATGCCGGGCTCACCTTCGAGCGCCCGGCGGAGTGCTCCTCCCATAGGAGGGACAGGTCGAGCAGCTCGGCGGACTCGACGCGGTGGTGGCGGTAAGCCGGCCGCGTTGAGGGGCGTTTTCTGGCTGTTTTCGGTTGTTCTAGGCATTGTCAGCAGTCTGTGGAGGTTATGGAAGCTGAAGAAGGCCAGCTCATTACATTTTGACTGCTACTTCTATGACTGGGAAATCACTTCTATGGCCTGTGCTTGCTTCTTCCGTGCCTTTGTGCGCATGTCAAATCTCGCGGTGTCAAAGACAGCAGACCAAAATACGGTCTATAGCCAGTCTTTGTTCAACATGGCGCCCATAAGCCGTAAGTCCACCAGACTCTTAGATCTGATGATATCGGCGGTCGCTTGCCGGACAGCATGCTACGACCGAGGACAGTGAGAGGGTGGGACTCACTGCGTTGGCCGCCTCGCGGAGGATAAAAGTTGCCTCGCCCTTGCAACTCTAAACTCAAGCCCAAGAATAAAAATGTCGACAATGCCTTTTGTCTTCCTTTACTGCATCATAATTTTCTGGTCACTGCTATGCGCGTGCTTTGTCGCATAGTCTTCGCTACGAAGCTCTTTCTGTGCTCAATGTGGACGTCAGTCGAACAAAGACTGATGGACTACGCCTATATGGCGAGCCATCAACCAGCATAGTGACTCTGCAGAACGACCACGTCACTGATTAATCGCCTCCAATATTGGAACATGCATACTCAATCTCAGTCGACCGTGCTGGCGACTAAGCAGCTGACCACGCTTCGCCTGACCGCCGCTGCACCATCATCGTCCAATAGCCTCACAGATTGTGTCGCTCCGCATCTAGCGCTTCGTGATCCAGAACATAAACAGTACGCTTGCTACCGCTGACATACCAGCTTCCGCCGGACGGAAAATGGTAACTTCCATGTCCCGGTGTACCATGCTATGATCATGGAGAAGCCAGACAACCGCACTGCCATAGCTGTTGACGTTCAAAAGTGATCAACGTGAGATCATTATAGATCGTCTTGTTCACGACACCACTCAAACACAATCCTCCCTCTCCGACCGGCGAAATCTCTTCAGTTTCAATCCACTCTTGCATCCTACATCGAATGGTCTCGATGCCATACCCCAGTACGTGTCGTATAATCGGCTCGCCCATCGTGAAGTGAATCCTACAACGCTCGACCATTGTAGTCTGCAAGACTTTGCGGACACGCCGAGAGACAAGCCGCAAATTGGACACCCATTCTGGCGACCAGGAAATCGATATCTTCTTACGCTGATACATATTGCTGATGTTAAGGTTGAAGTTCTCGGGGATGGTAAAGGCGATGATCTTCGCGAGGATCTCTGATGGCATGGTTTCGAGCCTTGGTAGCGGTTTGTCCCATTCTGGCGCAGAAATGATGTCGGACATTCTTGACTCAACACAGGACCGTATTCAGGAGGATGAGGCCGATGTGATCAGGGTCGCGATGTTCACGGGCTGCTCAGGGATAGCAGACAACGGGAAAGGTGAGTCGGACGGCAAGTGATAAGAAGGGAGGGACTCAAACAAACGCTGAAACTTGCTGACTCGATATACAACACGAAACTTTGGCTTACCAGAATGCAGCGTCCTCAGACCCAGGTATTCGATAGCAGCTGCTAGCGTGTTCCATGATCACAAGACGATGATATCTGCCTGAGGTCCAACCAACACCGCATTGATGTTTTGATCATTCAACACAACTTGCCCACCACGCAGGGAATATCTCCGCAGCAATTGTTTACAGTGACTCAAACCCAGCGCCTGCCGAAGTAATCACTTCTGGACAACGACATACTTCTGTCCAGTATTGCAACTACGGATCTTCGCCATGGATGACTTATTCGAAGTCCTCCTCGAGGAAGGAGCCACCAACAAGAAATCAAGACAAGCTCAACATCCAGGCCGCATCACAAAAGGCGGCTCAAAGACTGCCGCAGTCCCTGCTAGACGACGAGTCAGAATGCCCTATGATCATAGCTATGCAACACCGCCTTCGTCCAACAAGCCAGACGCCCCATATGGCATCAAGTTGTGCTACCAAGAGAAGCGAGCAGACTTGACACCAGACACCAACATCAACCTCAAATTCATCGAAGATGGGAAAGGTGCCTTCAGTATCTCTATCGTAGCCACCAACAACGCCCGGTCTTATGATGAACAGCCCATCTCCGAAGTCGACAAAGTGAGGATCAAGTACACTCTCCAAAAGCTGCGCGAAGAGCTATCAAAATATTCCGCCGCAATGGCCTCAACTACTAGCGAAGGCTCCCCACCACCAACCGCACACACAACGACCAGTCCACCAATGACCATCTACGACGAAGAGGACGAGAACGCGATGCTCGCAATCGAAGACGCCCCATCAACCTCCCAGCTGTGGGATCAACAACCAGTGCCCGGTACAATTCATCGCCAACCTCTTGCAGAACTCAAATCCGACGCCGAAAAGCAAGCAGAAATCCAGTCCGCCTTCCTGTACGTGATCACTGCCCTCCAACTACGTCTGAATGCGCACTACCGCGCTGTACGCTCGAGCACGGTGGTGGAGGTGGATGACCTGATGGGGCTATTGACTATCGAGGATGAAGAGGCTGCCGAGGAGTGGTTGGTGCGGTTGATGGGTAGTTTGGGTGTTGGTGATGGAAAGATGGAAGATGGGGATGGACACGGCGAAGTAGCGCTTAAGACGGAAAATGAGGAGCTGAAGGAAGAGTATGAGCCGGAGCTGTGATAACGCCGCTGCTGCTCATTGTGATAGCAGTGATGTTACGGCTGTGCGTTCGAGCGGGCTGCGGCGAGTGCCGGGAGACTATGGTCGACGTAGCTGTGATTCAAGTCAGGGGTTGAGCGAGCTCACGCCGCCCTGGGTTGGATGACGACGTGCGGCTGGCAAGAGAAAGTACTGTCTTCCCTGAAACAACCCGACGACGCTGCGAAAGGAGTTCTGCGATCATGGGTAGACATGCCGGAGTTCTGCTTGTGTAGGATTGGACATGTTGTCGAAAAATACTGCTCAACGGAACGACTTCGAGGTGTCACTCGATATGGAACGAATAGACACCACTAGCAAAGACAAACTAGCTTCCTTCGTATGTACTCGCAATTCAAGTTGCCTTGCGCCTCCTTGGCTCCACTTACCCGCCCCAATGATCTTTATTTTGGGGCAATTGTCCTAGGCGAGGCCGTCTGCGATTGGTCACATCATCACTCACGGCGTAAATTTGCTTGGCTTACAAGCTGTATATACGCTGTTGCAGGCAGCGGTGATACTCACGGACGTACCGCGCCACCATATGATTGACTCGGCCGTGCTGTCATGGCTCTACTACAGCAGTGGAAGAGTATAAGCAGGCGGCAGGGGCATGTGTACCCGTTACTTTTGGATGTCCACAACTTTGACAAGGCACTCATATCACCTCCAGATACATAACAACCTTGAAATATTTTTCCATCATGCGTCCGCAGTCTCTCCCAATCATGGGTCAAATCCTCCTGATGAGTATGGCAACAGCGCAGAATACCAGCTCACCACCACTCACTCTTCCCTTGAGCCAGGACGATTCATTCAACTTCCAGCTTCTAGCCGTATTGGCGGTAGCGCCCTATTCAGGCGCCGACGTCGGACCCGTCCTCGCAACAGCACAACAAATTGAGCCAGGCAACTTCTCTAGCTTCTCTGAAGCGTTCTACACTCTCGCAAACACGACCAAAGCAGAGGCCGAAGATCCCCAGAACGCCTATGACCCAATCAATGTGCGCGACACCTGGTTCTCAGCAGCCACGTACTTCCGAGCCGCCGATTTCTTCCTGCACGGCGACTGGACCGACCCTCTCATCAACTTGCTTTGGGAAGAACAGACCGCTGCTTTCGACCAGGCGCTCGCCTCTCTGCCGGTACCCGGGGTGCGAGTGAGAATTCCAGCCGACAATTTCACAGTGGAAGCAATCTGGTATTCCTCAACGGCAGAGGGAGGAGCTCATCGTCCAACCCTTATCCTCGGCAACGGCTACGATGGCAGCCAAGAGGACCTCTACCACACCATCGTGGTTCCCGCCCTCGCTCGCGGCTGGAACTGTCTGACGTATGAGGGCCCGGGACAGCCCAGCGTTCGCAGGTCGCAGAATCTAGGCTTCATCCACGACTGGGAGCGAGTGGTGACTCCTACTATTGACTATCTTCTCTCCGAGCACGCCGACGACGTTGATGACGCCCGCCTGGTACTTTTCGGATTCTCGTTTGGGGGATACCTCGCAGCTAGAGCCGCAGCTTTTGATTCCCGACTCGCTGCCCTCATTCTAGACGGTGGCGTCTACGACACTTACGCAGCCTATAGCGCCGCTCTAAGCCCAGAACTCCTCGACCTCTACCTGTCTAACAACCAAACCGCCTTTGACTCAGCCGCGGAATCCCTACGGACCGATCCATCTCTACCCTCATCTATCAGGTGGGGCCTAGAGCAAGGGCTGTGGTCCTTCAACACCGAATCCGCATTTGAGTTCTTGCAGAGAACCAGCCTGTTCACCCTGGAAGGCGTAACAGACAGGATCCAGATACCAACGTGGATCGCCAATGCCGAGGCCGAAGCATTCTTTCCAGGACAATCGGCGCAGGTGGCGGAGGCGTTAGGGGACAGGGCGACGCTGCACAACTTCACGGGTGCGGCGGCGTATCATTGCCAGGTTGGCGCGTTTCAGGAACTGTCGAGGACGATGTTTGCGTGGCTCAATCAGACGTTGAGTTGATCTGAAGCGCGATGGGAAGTCGAGGACGGTGGGTGGGGGAGGCGGTGGGGAGGTCTCCTCACACGAGCGTAGCGAGCAAATTCCTGGTCGTGCCGCAGGCAAACAGTAGAAGGTTGACTGGGAGTGAGCGTTGCCTTACGTCGCGCGTGAGCAGTGGAAGGCGCTGAGTCATGTTGAGGATGAGACTTTTCCTTACCTCACTAGAGCCTTTGTCCATTGAACAAAGGAGTCTTCGAGTGCCTGATACCATGTTGTTCGAAACGCGTAACACTCAAAGCGAATCCTTTGCCCGTTGCCCCGTGTTGCCTTTGTGCGCATCGCCGACCCACCAATTCGAGAAGTGCCTTGCGATGTCCTGCTTAAGTACCCAGCAACGCGACGGTCTCCTCGAGACTTGCTTCTCATCTTCCCTCCACCTTCTCTTTGACACGCACGAAGAGAGTCTTGCTGTCCTTATCGTTCGATCACACCAACGAAGAAAGTCAAACTTGCCTCCAAGCCTTTTGGACAGATCACACTTTGATTTCGACAACAAGAGCACTCACACCCGAAATAACAACCACAACCAACACCAAAATGGCGTACCAAGCACCTTCAATTCGGCCCACGCCCTTGCCAACACCAGAGCCGTTCGTTGACCCTAACGAAGACGTAGTCGACTGGTCAGAGGACTACGACGAACTTCCGCCGAACGACACAAGCTACATCGCCTACCAAGAGTACCGTTATGGTATCACTGACCACACGCAGGCACCCATGGGATACGATCGGTGGACTGCTGAATGGAACGGTAACGAAGAGACGGGTGCGATGCGAATTGATGACGATGGCAGTGAGCCTGGTTGGCCTGTGGGTCGTGATGGCGATGTTGACGGCGATAAGGAGAGTCTTAGCTCGACCAGCTCGAAGCGGATCTCAGATTCGGTACAGAATGGCTTGAAGCGAGTGCCAGCTGAGAGTTGGTCTGAGATGATGCGATCCAGGGATGACGGCGACGAGGACGAGGCAATGGATGAGGACGAGCAGTCCGACTCCGATTCCTCTTCTGGAAGCGACGGCGTCGACGAAGACGCCAACCTACACAACTCCGATCTCCTCGATATCGACTCAGACTCCGACAGCGACAGCGACTCCGACGATGACTCCGAAACGCACCGCAAAATCGACCTCCCAGACTCCACCATCAACATTCTGATGCCGAATGAACACAATCGGGACACCACTCCAAACACCGGTCTCGGCGCCACCCTCACCTTCACCCGCTCCTCAAGCCCCAACTCCTCAACCAAGATCCGAGAGATGGAGTGGTCCTGGGCCTCATTCGATGAGCCCGCATCCGCACTCCTCCAGAACGACGAGCTCCTCTATCTCAAGGACACCCTATGGCAGATCCGCGAAGCCATTCCGAAGATGCGAGACGCGGCGAGTCAGGCTGACAGGGATGAGTTAGAGGTGACCGTGCAACAGCTTGCCGCAGGGCTAGAGCAGCATCGAAAGGCGAGGGATGCGCTGCTTGCGGAGCAGTATGCGCGACGGGCTAGGCGGGGTGCATTCAGTGGTGCTGAGGCCCTCGGTGGTTCGAACGGGGGCGAAGCCGATCGTGTCTTCGACTATCAGTTGGAGGTGGCGAAGAAGCGGGCGGAGGAGGCCGTGCAATTGGAGAGTCTGTTGGGTCTGCTTACTCTGTCGGACGAAAGTCAGGCAAAGGCCGGCTTAGACAGCTTGATGGAGGGTCTGAGGTTGTAAGTGAGCTGTACTCCTCGAGACGGATGATCGCTGCAATTGTAGGCTCGGATAGAGTTCGGGCTTGGAATATCAAGTCTGATGAGACGGACTTTTGAGATAGATTGATGAGCTGGACTGGTGGGCTGGATTGATGAGCTGAGGTGATGTGCTGGACTGGTGTGCTTGGTCGATCATGAGAGCTGGACCTCCTAGTCAAACACAGGCGAGATATTCGAGTTGATAGCATCATGGTCTTTCTGTGATGGAAAGACAAGACGGCCAGTTTGTATCATGGTTGAGATGTAGATGCTTCAACTCCAGAGTGGTAATATTTGGTGATGAATGAGAAAAGTGCGACCCTTCTTAGAGTTTCTTTGCGACATTTCGGACGGCAGTAGCGATTCCAATGATTTCGGCACGACAAGCGCCACCGCCATGATGGAGTGACGCCATCGACACAGTGCGAGGTTACTATAACGGAAGTTGATCAGTAGAAAGATAGAAGTAATGCAGTACTATGATGACATATTCATACCCATTGCGTATTAAGAACTGGCTCAGCGCGATAAGCCCTATCCTATGTACGTTGCTTGCGTGGCCTGATGTTCCTAGATCCTGGTCTTCTCTTTGAGTAGTCCCTGACGTGGTATTAAGATGTCCGTAGATCTCGTTGCTCCCGATCATGCCGAGCCGTTGTTTGATTGTAAATTTTGTTCTCATGTCGCTTCGCAATTCGCTGAGCCGTGCTCGATCGTGGGTGCCTGGTCTCTGTAGACCTGTTGCTTATATTTTGAGGCTGTCAAACAGCTCCTCAATCTTTTGATTCGCAGCCTGGTCATCTCTGATGGTCAGTAGCGACATCAGATCCTTCAGGGGCTCCTCCTCCTTCGTTGTCGCCTTTGCTGCGTCCTCCGCTCCCCAACCGTCTGTGTTCTGAACGATCTCTCCCTCACGTCGAACTTGCTCGAACAGCATCCACGACCTTGCTGCTTCGTGCTGATCGATCACACCCTGGAACTGTGCAACCGTCCGCTCGACTTTCCTCTTGTCCGCCAATGTCGCAGTCTCCATCATGGGCAGCGATCTTCTGGTGTCTATTAACATCCACTTGACGAAGTCCAGCTGCTGGTTATCGAGAAGCCGGGATGCAGAATTCGCGTCCGCAGCCCACCAGAAGTTGACCTCTTCGATGCAGCCGTCGTACTTGTTGTACTGGAAATTAATGGCTGCGCCGAAGCCCATCTCGTCGTGGACTGGCACGCTGACATCGTCGGATGTGAACTCGAGACGCACACCGCTTGGCAGCATAAGGGTCTCATACTCAGGGCGGACAGGGGCGGCTGGTGGTGTTGGATTTGGGTCGAATACTGGGACAGGTCCGAATGGGTCCTCTAGCGGGGTATCGACGACTATGTCGAGGTCGTCATCGTCGTCGTTGTAGTCGTCTGAGAACATATCAGACATCTTGTCGGCATCCATGTCGTTGCGCAGTCGAGCCAGCGAATTGGCGAACTGAACGTCGTTGAATGGGTCAAATGGCGCCGCATGCGACATTGTGATATGTTATCTGTGGTTGTGAGGTGACTGTTCTGATGAAATCGTCTAATGTGTGATGAGTTCCTGTCTGTTGGTAGCAGTACTGGAGAAACTGTGTTGGAAAGAGGAAAGAAAGAACATCTTGCGCACGGTGAGGGATATGAACGGGCCTGCAAGGCAGTGAGGCAACAGGCTTTTGCCATGGCCTTTCACGACCAGCCTCGTCTTTTTGCTCAGTGAAGTAAGTAAGTGATAACAATAGGCAAGACGTCTATTCAGGTGTCCAAGGCAATATCAGAACATCACGTGATGGGAGGAGCAAAGGCAGCTGAGAGACCAGATTGATACCACGAAGCCGCGCTGCCCACCGATTGCTTCGCCCAGGAAAGTCGTGCAATCGATAGCTCGTGATGAAGATGAGCCGTCCAGGGAGACCAAGCTCTTTTGAGCGTGTTGAAGCGTTGTCGATGGCCGCTCCCGATCGACGCTAGATCTGGCTTCGTGATCCGCTGATAAAATTTCATATATATGCCTGCCGAGTACAGTCCTGCGACTGTATGGCCAACGGACTCGCTTGCTGTTGAAAGTACGCCAAAACTTCGCGATGTGATCAATGACATGGTGTGTTTGTACATTGGGCCCGAGTCGCTCCCTTCTTCTTCCAATGACCAGAATTAGGCGCCAGGTTATCCGACTATTGTTGTTTTGTCTGCTTGGAATGGCGAAACGGCTCCCATACGATACATGAGTCTTGTTTTGTCGCTCGGCTTGATCGTTCCAGGCCATTCCTCAAATTCCATCATGTGCCCCTTGAGCGAGTCTTCGAGTCTGGTGGATCTCGTCGTCTTATCCATCCTGCTACCACGAGCCGGATTTCGTTTGTGCCTGCATCTTCTGCCCGCTACGTCAACAGATGGTTCCGATCCATCTGATCAGGTCAGCGCACTCAATACGCTTTGGCAGTGTACACATAGTGCCAATCGCCATATGCGATATCCTAGTACCGTCATCTTCCTCGGAAGTGCGTCAGCTCACTCGATGAGCGGCTTCTTCTCTTTTCCGACGATGGCCACGCCCAAACACGACAAGGCGTTGTGATCATTCGCTCTTATTATGGTGGCCAGGGGCAGCATAGGGTTATCCGCATTCACATGCGCAGCATCTTTTGCTGCTTGTTCGATTGCTTCCATTTCTGCTTTGCATCCAGCGTGGTCCAGTGGGCAAACAACAATCGGCTGCTTGAGTACGATGTCTTTGGCACCGTTCAGTGAGGCCTACAGGCTTGTCAGCAAATCACCAGCAAAGAAACGGTTTACCGACCTTTATCGTGAGATAGAACTCTACTTTGTAAAGACCTGCTGTAGTCGTGAAGCCAGAAACCATGTACATGGGAAAGCGATCTTTGACCCGTGGTAAAATGCCGTCACCGTCTCTTGGATCCATATTGGGAAATATGAAGCCCATGTTCGTGAAGTAGCCGCCCTCTGGCAGCTTGATACCGACCTGCTCTGTTCTTCGTTGAAGCGTCCTGGACACGCGCTTTGGCTCATCGCCCTCGTGGTTGTATATCACCTCCTCATCCACTGTAATCTCTATCCTCTTGATGGTCACTTTCTTCGCCTTGCTCAGCCAATCTGGGTTCGGCGATAGCTTGATATAGACGCTGACTGGATCCATGGGCCCGTACGACCACCGAGGCAATGATATGCCGAGGGTGACTAGATGATCTGTGACTCGTTCCGCCGCTTCAGGCCGATTGTACATCCCGAAGGTTGACAAAGTATCGTATCGTGTTATGGGCACGGGAAATGACCACCTCTTCTGCTCTCCACTTCCATAGCCGACCACAACGAGCAACTCATAGTATGTCTCTGCGGTTCGCGACTTGAGTTGCAGGCTTGCGGGCGGTAGCCTCCTGTGCGTCTCCTGACCTCCTCTTCCAAACGGAATGAATATGACGAAGGGAAGATCCATGTACATGATCTCCTCGAAGGGCTTACTGGCCTGGCACCTGTACAGGAGCATTTCTTTCCCAACCACTTCGGTCGACTCCTTCCTGGGCGCCGCCAGATGTTTCTTGGTGACGGAATCGGCATGAGGATGTATGCTTTCCTTTCGCTGTAGACTGATTGTGACAATGGCAACTTGCACCGGGCTGCTGATGCCATGCAGCGGTCGTAATTCCACCGTGCCTTCTATTCGAGGCTGTGGCGGTCAGTTGGGCAGGAAAGAACGTAGCCTTGAGCGCACTTACCAGAGTCGCGGAGATGCCAGGATAGCCCACGAGGTAGTTTGTATTCGGGCGACCTGACACCCGCACGAACGCGGTCATCTTCTGTGCGGCCTCACTAGCAGTCTGTGGTCATGAGAGGCGGCCGTGTTGATGGTCTTTATACGAATAAGCGATGACGACGGGCTACGACATGAGGTTGCGCAGCCCATAGGTGCATCTGAGATGTGTTCAGATGCTGTCACATAGAGCACCCGAACCGCAAAGACAATGCAAAGGTCCTTTGTCGGCGAAGTCTGGTCTATGTCTGCAGATTCCTTTCTTTGACGTCTGCGGGATGTGGATCTATCGCGAGGATGCGCCGAAGCGGTCGGACAGGCGTGCCTTTGTCTGTTGACGCGGGGGACAGATGTCTCGGGAGGTCTAGCAAGTTGCGGAATATGTTAGGAGATGGCGTCAACTGTGGCACTGGCAGGCGCTGCAATTGTACAATTGGGAGTGTGTGTTTGCAGAAGGCAATGATGATGGATCATGCTTTGGTAATTGCGGTCGAGATCAAGTTCCCGGTACAACGACTAGGTTAGGTTCATCACCATGTAGCCAGCCAGCCGCCTGGGCGCTTAAAGCACCGACCATAGCGGAGAATAGGGCCAGCCAACCCAGAAATGAGCTTATGATGATCTACAGAATCCCACGCGGCAAGTCCAACCCCCATTTAACCAAACTTCGGTCCATTCTGAGATCATTGATGGTCAATACTCATCTATACATTGACTCTATCTCATATCCCGATCTCTAATGCTATGCAGAGAGGTAAATGCCCGCCGCAGCGCTATAGTGCTGCCTGCTTTATGACACATCTTGTGTGATGCTGCACGTTCGATTCCGCACTTCGTGCAACGTCCAGGCTGTCCGTACTGCTGTCTTGGCCGGATTCTCCTACGACAACGTCCACCATGTCTCGGGGACTTCGTGTCCTGGCCTTGTTCCAAGACGGTGTCTTTGCGGCAAGAATGCTTGAGTGCATACGCTGCACCCAACATCAAGACATACGTGCACACTGTTCGGCTCATTGCACATATGAGATGCTGACTGCCAGATCGCGAGTCTTACCCCGCCTCGAAAAGACCGAGTCTCGCGTGCCATCAACGAGGCGTAGATGTGCTTGTTTAGAGCTCCTCCGGCTTTACCGAGGAGCGCTCTGCATATTCAGCTGGCCATCGGATTCGCGTGCATTGTAACTCTCTCCACGACAATCTTCTCGCCCTTTGGACGATACTTCTTGTCTACTTCAACCTCCTCGATTCTGTCCAGAGTGCCGCCCTCTTCGGCGCCTGCTATCACTCTGCCGAAGACTGTATTCTTGCCGTCGAGGTGAGGTGACTCCTTGAAGATGATGAAAAACTGACTGCCATTTGTGGACGGACCTTTGTTGGCCATCGACACCATCCCTCTGCTGCTGTGGCGGAGCGCTGGTATTTTGATCTCATCGTCGAAGTATTCATTCCAGATGGACGTGCCTCCTTTGGTCGTCCGCATTTCCGCATTGGTACTTGACGAAAGAGATGTGTCGCCGCCTTGTGCCATGAAGTCTTTGATAACACGATGAAAAGGCGTGCCTTCGTATGCTCCTGACGCGCAAAGCGCCAGGAAGTTCTCTGCCGTTCGTGGTACGGACTCGCAAAACACCTCGATCTTGATATCGCCATGTGTGGTGTGCAACGTGACCGACATGCTTCCTCGCTCCCGCCGCCAAAGATACTCCTCTACCAACACCCGGCGAGATCAGTCGATGTACGAAGTAATGTGACCGGGCCGTCAAAGTTCACGGGCATTTCGATATCAAGATTGGAGTGACTCACGTGACTGTGGTCATTTGACAATGTTCTTTTCCAGGCAGGCACGATTCCCGCTTTGCACACCGGTCGGTTCTCCATCTTGCTCGCTGCTCCGAATCGCGTTATCGTGAACCCCTCCTTCTTCGCGCCGAAGATACGCACCAGACTTCCGTACATCTTGTCGTTCAGAAGGTATGCGTGGTGCCGTTCCCTCGGTTCTGCCTGCGGAGTAGTGCGTGCTTGTGCCGCTCGTGCTTCGTTCGATGTACGAAATAGGTAATGTATCATATCATATCAAGGTGAGCCCCTCCATATGATTCTGTTAGCTATAGTTGCTTTGTTAATCAACTCTGCTACTACACTCATCTAATTGCCCTCCACACCTGACATCTGGAGTCATCCACTTGACGTAAGGGCCTCGCACCACGTATCATAGCATGGCGTCCACAGCGACTCAAAGCTACAAAGATATTTCGGTGATCGCGCGGAAACGGAGAGATACAAACATCGCCGCATATTTCCAGCCTCCAAAGGTAGACGAAGCTTCCCTGCCTAACAATCTGACCGAGCATGCCCTCAACTCAGGGTATTATACATCAGAGGAGCGTACCATCCTAGAGAGCGAAGCCGAAGAGATCCTGCAGAATGTTGCCAGCAAGAAATGGACGGCTCTCGAGGTCGCCAAAGCTTTCTGCAAAGCCTCAGCGTACGCACAGGAGCTCACCAATTGTGTGACCGAGGTGCTATATCCCGAAGCATATCAGCGCGCTCAATACCTCGACGACTATCTTGCGAAGAATGGCAAGACGGTGGGACCTCTGCATGGCCTGCCCATCTCGCTTAAGGACTGTTTCGTCACGCCGCCACATCCTTCCTCGATCGGAATGTCCCCATACGCCAATGAGCCAACAGACAGCGAGACCGTACTCGTCACCATGCTTCGGGACCTCGGAGCAGTGTTTTATGTGAAGACCAACGTTCCCACTGCAATGATGATGGCTGAGAGCATCAACCATGTCTGGGGCGAAACCCGGAATGCTTTGCATAAAGGCCTTACGCCAGGTGGCTCTTCGGGCGGTGAAGGAGCACTGATCGCGTTGAAAGCTTCACCGTTGGGTGTCGGTACAGACATAGGTGGCAGCATTCGCATCCCAGCTGCGTTTGGCTTTCAGTATGGCTTGAAACCGTCTTATGGTCGCTACCCAAGCTGGGGCGGCAAGACCGGCATCACAGGTCAAGAATTCATCCTAGCTGTCAACGGGCCTATGTCAAGATCACTAAAGTCACTGGAAATCTACTCCGAGGCTTTGCTGTCCGAGCAGTCTGCACCATGGAATCGCGACCACAAGTGTCTGCCTATACCGTGGAGGAAGAATGTCATTCAGCCCCCGGGACGCAAGCTACGATTGGGGCTGGTCGGTAATAACGACGGTCTCGTTCATTGCCACCCGCCTGTGGAACGGGCACTAAATGTCACCAAGGAGAAGTTGGAAGCTGCTGGCCATACAGTCATCCCGTGGGCACCCAAGAACCACGATGTCATCGCGAAGAATCTGGTCGCCGCATTCTTCGACCTGGGAGGGTCTGCGATTGTGGACATGGTGAAGCCCCACGACGAGCCTATATTTCCTTCGATGAAAGGGTATGAGATGGCCGCACAGGCCAAAGAGATTGGTGTCACGCAAATGCGTCAAATGGTCGTGAAGCGGAATGAGCTGCAGAAGCAGTATCTCGACTACTGGATGACGGGAGCGCCAGATGGGCAGCCGCTGGACGGCATAATCATGGCTGTGGCTCCACACGCGGCCCCTAGGCTAGGTGGCACGCAGCCTGATTTGTACGTTGGGTATACTGGAGTTTGGAATCTGCTAGGTAAGTTTTCCTCATCATATCGGAGTATCGCTAACAACTCCAGACTTTTGTGCGTGCACTTTCCCGGTGCTATTCGCGGACAGGAGTCTTGACAAAGCTCGAGACTCGAAGACATTCAAGCAATTGTCGGATATTGATGGCCGTATACAGGCAGACTATGATGCTGAGTTCTACCATGGTGCGCCTGTGTCGCTGCAATGTGTCGGTAAGCGGCTTGAGGAAGAGAAGGTCCTTGAGATGACCGCAGCTATTGCGCAAGCGTTGAAGGCATAGAGGTAGTCGGAAACTGTTCGACACAATCGATTGAACATATACTATCTGTGTTCGATGGTCGGGTAGATCAGAGATAACCCGGTATCTGTACATACATTCTCGATTTGTGAAAACAGGTTTCCAGATGAAGCATTGATTTCAATCTCCGGGCGGGCGGGCGATGAACACAGCTGCCAACGGCTTCTAGCAAGCTGCCGCTATGTATGGTCTGCTCTGTGCAACGCTGTCTACAATCTCATCTGATGTCCGTCATTGCACAAGAAAAAGACCGGAAGTTTGAGCCGCGACGCGTAGTCGCGTACCTAAAGTGGTTGCATTAGCGCATTTTTCTGGTTGTCAGGCGCAACTGCCCGTGACCATCGTCATACATTGAACTTCACTTTTGACCTCACTCAACTTGAATCCAAGGCTCTATATTCGACTTTGATCACAACTACGACGACTATTTACGCATTCTCGCCTTCTGACACGACACACGCAAATAGACTCACTTGATCGCGCCACACATCTTCCCACCAGCCACCATGCCGCCCAAAACCCGCCGCCGAGCAGCCCCTCCAGCGCAAACCACCCTCTCATTCAAGAACAAGGTCACCAAGACGACGCAACAGCAACAAGAATCCAAGAAGCGCCTCTCCGACACCGTCAAAGAAGAGATCATCGAGCACGTCTCAACTCCCGAACCACAGTCGCAATCCGAGCCCGAAGTCGCTTCAACAGAAGTCGAGCCTGAGGTCGAGGTTGAGGCAGAAGCTGCTACAATTCAGCCAAAGAAGAAGAAGCGAGTATCAGGGACAAGCACGTCAGTCGACTCTCGGGAAGCCGCCGCAGAGAAGATCACAGACGCACAGATCAAGAGCTACTGGCGGAAAGAAGAAGAAAGCAGACTCGCACCCAGAGGTATGTCACATGATCCATCCCGACCCCTTCACCCTTTCTCCTGCAAGCCCATACGACACACGACATACATCTTTCCCTTCCCTGAATACCATCTTCAACTATGCTAACGCCGGGGGCAATCAATAGTACACCAACAAACCCTCCCCCTCCACGAAAAGATCCTCCGCCATTTCGACCTCTCCGGCCAATTCGGCTCGTGTATCGGCATCACCCGCCTCGCCCGCTGGAAGCGCGCTAATCGCCTCAACCTTGAGCCCCCGATCGAAGTCCTGGCCGTCCTTCTTCGGGAACTCGAAGGCACCACCCCTGACACCAGTGTTGCGACCGGGAATGCTAAGGCCAAGAAGGGAGCCAGTGCAGGAAAGAAGGGCGCGAGTGGTAGTAGGAGTCAGGGATGTAGCATGACGGCATACATCGATGAGCTGGGCGGTGGCGCTGGGAGACTTGGGACGGTCGACGCTTAGGGAGTGTCGAAGAACAATAATGAGGCTAGGCCACGTCCGCAAGGAAAATACCTCTTCTAGCGACAACCACAACGACCGGTATGAACCGACTAGCGATTGAGGACGCAGTCACTGGCCCGCATGATGGCGACGCAGGGCCACGCGAGTATGAACGACTTACCTCTCAGCGCGAGGGCCGAGTTCGGCGTGTATGAGTAAGAGTGAATGAGAAGACCGAAGCTAGTACACGCTGCAGTCTACTGTCACCAACAAGCCATGTCTTGGTTGAGGTTCCTGCGGAGCGCACCGACGTCAACACTGCAGTCACTGCAATTACCCGCGTTTATTGTCGCCCACTACATCAATCTATGGTAGGCGGAAGCCACGACTACCTAGGTAGGTATGGCCAGAGGCGTCAGAGACATCGTATTTCCCATTGCAGGTGCGACAGCGGTGTCAAAAGGACTATAGGCGTTAGCAACAAGCAATACCGAACAGAAAGCCATCCGTCGTTCTCGCTGCTATACGATCCGCCGGGTGAGACGAGAAGCCGTATGCCGGTCGCTCTTAGCGCTACTGGGACGATCTAGCTGTTCGGTTTTCCAAGAAGACAAAGCTCATTAAGATTTCCATTTCCATTCCCCAGTCTCCGCTCTAATGCAGTAGAAGCAAGAACCAGATGAAGCTACGTAAATCCATGGCAGCGAACCGCGACTTGCTGCCCGATCGAAAACTTGGGCTGACTCCTTTCCTTGAGAACCTTGCTCCCATCCACTGACACATACTCGAATTCGTCCTCTCAAATCGTCCCTCTTACCCATCCACTTACATAGTCCCAAACTCCGGCACGGTAGTTGTCTTGCCATTCAACGCCAGCGGCACAATACCACTGACGTGCATCTCCGGCCCAAACACGTGCATATTCAGCTTCAACTCCTCACCAACCGCCTTGATGTTCTTGAGACCCTCCTGGTAGTTCGGCCCTGCACGACGGACCCAGATCTGGGTACCATGCTCGTTCAGCACGGGTGCCACTTCGCGCAGCGCACGAATCACACCCTTGAACGTCGACGCGACATTCGTGAAATTGGCAATGCCGCCGCCGATAAACAGCACTTTGCCTTCCTTGTGCATGGGAGCGCGCAGCATGAGATCGAGCACGGTGCGGGCGTAGTTGTAGGTCTGAGTCTCGGTGGGTGCACCGGAGTACTCGCCGTAGTTGGCGAGTTCGCTGACGAATCCGGCTGATGCGATGGCATCGGCGTACACGACGGAGGCGCCGCCACCGGCGACGAGGGTCCAGATGCGGCCGGAGGCGTTGAGAACGGTAAGTTTCAGGGAAGCACCGGTCTTGGCGTCCATATCAGAGATGTATTTCTCTTCCTTGCTCATTTCGCGGCCGAAGGGGGCAGGGAACTCGATGGGCGGGCCAACATCGATGGAGACTTTGCCGTCGGTCTTAACGCCTGGGAGGCCGAGAGCGGCCGGGCTGCGGGCGATGGCCCATTTGACACCGCATTCAAAGTCCGCAGTCTGGTCGAGCTTGGCTGCGAGATCGAGGAAGTGGACTTCGGCGGATGTGGCATCGGCGTTGGGAATGACGACTAGAGGGTTAATTTCGAGGTAGGTAAACTGTGAGTCGACGTAGACGGAGTACAGGCGGATGATGAAGTCGAGGAGGACGTTGTGGACGCCCTTGGGGACGTTCTTGAGCAGGGCCTTGGCCAGCTCTTGGTGCGAGGGGAAGTTCTTGAGGTCGACTGGGATCAGGACCTTCTCGGCCTTTGCGTCGACGTCGCCGACATCAACACCACCCTCGTGGGTGAAGAGGATCCAGTCGCCCTGAGATGTGTTAGTGGCTGCAATCAAACGGAATTCAGTAACTGCGGCTTACATCTCTGACGGAGTTGATGTTGATGTAGTATTCAGTATCTTGAGGGTGAGGCACGAATGGCTCAACCAAGAACTGTGATAGTGTGCCCACGACATGCTCGACCTGCTGTTCCTTTCGTGCCTTTGTCTCGATCCATGCGCGAGCCTCAGGCCAGGTCTTGTTCAGTGCAAGCAGGCCACTCTTTCCTCTTCTCTTGATAAGTTGATCTGGCTTTGCGACGAATTTGGCGCTGGTGCTTCAACCAAGGGTATGTAGCCTCAGCCTGGTCGAGGACTGCAGATACTTGCTCGTCTTCTGGGAAGTAGATGGATGCAAGTTTTGACGGGGCATTGTGTTGACCTGTTGACTTGAGAGGTGATGGCTTGACGAGAGGAGCACGAGTGAGGTGGTAGTTGAGGATGGCCTTGCCGTCGGCCTCAAGGATCGATTTAGCGGACATCTTGGAACAGTGAGTGGTATGACTTGGGTTGAATTCAGTGAAGGCGGTGGACGACTGCTGGAGACGGTAACTTGGAGAGACCGGAATTCAAGTAATCGCGACCAAGAATACTTCAGAAGGAAGGTGGAAGTACTAGCAGCGACAGTCAGGAAGTCACCGGTGTGTATGATGCTTCAATCGTGAATACAAAATTACTCGTGCGCTGGGAATTGGTTGTTGATCGTAATACTGCTTGTTGGCTGTTGGCTCCCTTCAATGCTCGGAGCGAGTTGGATCACTGCACAATACTTTTTTCTATGCCCCCCAACTAAGCTGCATAGAGATTGGCCTAAGTGGAGCAGATTTCCCGTTGTTGGGGAGGGAGCTATTTTATGTTCTAACTAAAGATCGCGCCGCCAACGCCAGGAACAGGATGCCCAAAAGGCCATGTCGGCCCCCCTCCGAACCGCCTATAGGCTCGCTGGACCCCTGTAGCGACCTTTTCGGAGGGGCGGTCAACGACCCTGAGGCACTCGGTAGGCGGGTAGCGAGCTTGCTCCAATGACGTTGCATGCGGAATATTCAGTTTACTTTTTGTTGGATCGTGTGAGGTCTACACCGAGCATTTCACCTACTACCACGGCGTGCACAGCATGGTGAGGCACCGAAGGACTGCGACACGATGATAGTGTCGGCGGACCAAAGTGAGAGATGAACACATTTCGGGGCCAGTATACCTTGTATAGCAGCGGACTGCCTCATGTTTGAGGTATGTCGCAGTCTTGATATGCTTGCCGTCGCCCAATGAATGGTTGTCAAGGGGTCCGACGACCAGTTCCCTAGGCTAGGTATCGGAGTCCGCATTTCATGTCGGTATTCTTGTCGTACTTCGTATCACCATCAGACCATTCGGATGTCTCATGGTGAAGAAGCAGAGCCAATCTCACCGCCTTGCAGCACAAGCAGAACATTGGGGCCGTGATAGTCCCGTTGAGGATAGCTTGACAGGCGAAGATCAAGGCCCCGAAAGCTAAGGCGGGAGCGAGGACTCAACATTGCGGGCAAATATTTTGAGATACCAGGATAGCACCTTCTCCACATATTTTTTTGCGTGGTGTTGGTTACCCCTACCAACCTCATCCAACGCTTTCCCGCCAGAAGACCGCTCACACAATACCATTGACGACCACCACTTGCTGCTCCTAATCCTGTCCGTGTTGCTCCATTGACCATACATTCCTTTTCAACCATTCTCCCCATAGCCTTGAACATTTGATGTAAGTCTCTTCTCCTAAATCGCACTCACTGCAGCCCCTCCTTGCTACAATACTTCCCAAACCAAGACACGACACATTTGCTTTGAGACTGACACTATGGGAATACCAGTCCGAGAGAACTCGCCAGACATGCCGGCTACGCTCGCACCTGCCGCCAACGGCACGAATGGCGCCAATGGTGACAGAATGAACGGAAGCAGAACACCAGCACCATACTCGGCTGACCAAAACATCAAGCGCTTCGGCGCTCCTTCCAGCGCTGGTAGCCCTCTACAAGATGTTCTGTTCCACAATAAGTCAAGATGCTTTGTCTAGTAAGTCTCGAGAGCCGGGCATGAACGGAAACGGAGGACTAACGCCTCTGCAGCGGCATGCAGCCCAAGGCTGTCCAGGGAATGCTCGACTTCGATTTCATCTGCAAGCGATCGACACCCTCCGTAGCCGGCATCATCTACACATTCGGCGGCCAGTTCGTCAGCAAGATGTACTGGGGCACCAGCGAGACCCTTCTGCCTGTCTACCAATCAGTAGACAAGGCTTTCGAGAAACACCCAGATGTCGACACAATCGTCAACTTTGCGTCGTCACGATCAGTCTATACTTCTACGATGGAGCTCATGAACATTCCCCAAGTGCGATCGATCGCCATCATCGCCGAAGGTGTCCCTGAACGACGTGCCCGCGAGATCATGGTCACCGCAAAGGAGAAGGGCATCACAATCATTGGCCCTGCCACAGTCGGTGGTATCAAGCCCGGTGCATACAAGATCGGCAACACTGGTGGTATGATGGACAACATTGTTGCTTCGAAACTCTACCGCAAGGGCTCAGTTGGCTACGTCTCCAAGTCCGGTGGTATGTCCAACGAGCTGAACAACATCATCTCACAAAACACCGACGGTGTGTATGAGGGCATTGCCATTGGTGGCGACAGATATCCAGGCACATCATTCATCGACCATTTGCTCCGATACCAGGCCGATCCGGAATGCAAGATTCTTGTTCTACTCGGTGAGGTTGGTGGTGTTGAGGAGTACCGTGTTATTGAGGCGGTCAAGAACGGCACAATCACCAAGCCGATCGTTGCGTGGGCCATCGGTACTTGCGCTGGCATGTTTAAGACCGAGGTGCAATTCGGTCACGCCGGTGCATCCGCCAACTCACAGCTCGAGCAAGCTACTGTCAAGAACGAGTCGATGCGAAAGGCCGGCTTCTTCGTTCCAGAGACCTTCGAAGATATGCCCAACGTGCTCGCCGAGGTCTATCAGAAGCTTGTCAAGCAGGGTACCGTCAAGCCTGCACCAGAGCCAATCCCACCCAAGATTCCCATCGATTATGCTTGGGCGCAGGAATTGGGTCTTATCCGAAAGCCCGCTGCTTTCATCTCCACAATTTCAGACGACAGAGGTCAGGAATTGCTATATGCCGGTATGCCAATCTCAGACGTCTTCAAGGAGGACATTGGTATTGGCGGTGTCATGTCTCTTCTGTGGTTCCGCAGACGTCTGCCACTCTACGCCAGCAAATTTTTGGAAATGGTTCTCATGCTCACAGCCGACCACGGTCCAGCTGTGTCAGGAGCTATGAACACCATCATCACAACTCGTGCCGGAAAGGACTTGATCTCCTCTCTGGTTGCTGGTCTTCTCACCATCGGTTCACGATTCGGTGGTGCGCTTGACGGAGCAGCCGAGGAATTCACAAAGGCCTTCGACAAGGGCTGGTCACCAAGAGAATTCGTCGACACGATGCGAAAGGAGAACAAGCTCATCCCAGGTATCGGCCATCGCGTCAAGTCACGCAACAACCCCGATCTTCGTGTCGAGCTCGTTAAGGAGTTCGTCCTCAAGAACTTTGCTTCGCACAAGCTTCTGGATTATGCTATTGCCGTTGAGACCGTGACGACCTCGAAAAAGGACAACCTTATTCTCAACGTTGACGGCTGCATTGCTGTTTGCTTTGTTGACCTGCTCCGTAACTGCGGTGCGTTCTCGCCCGAGGAGGCTGAGGACTATCTCCGCATGGGTGTTCTCAACGGTCTTTTCGTGCTCGGTCGATCGATTGGTCTGATCGCCCACTTCTTGGACCAGAAGCGTCTGCGGACTGGTCTGTACCGTCATCCTTGGGACGACATTGTAAGTTTGACACCATATTCTATGACTCTTGAGCAGTCTGCTAACGCATTCATCAGACTTATCTCCTTCCCCAGCTCGCCAAGGGCGGCCTTGGCAACGAAGGCAGAGTCGAGGTCAGCGCTGCATAAGCTGTTGTCTCGCTCTGTCTTGTCTCAATTTGTACGCATGTTTAGCAAGACCTGCATAAGTGGTGGGAGGATTGGCGTTGTTGCTTCCGGCAACTTGATAATTTTCTGTTAGCGGCAGCGAGGACGTGGATGGAATGACCATGAGGATTCGATCGATGATCGGAGAGTCTGTACGTGCTAGAGCATATACTCTTTACCCATTTACGACTGCAGAGCTGCTCCTGTTGTGGCTATCCTGTCCACCGCGTTGGATGCGAAGGCTGGAGAAAATCTAGTCTTCCGATTTCATGACACAACCCCATGGAAATTCCAGGAATCTCTGGTTCGATATTCGGTCCCGTGAAGCGAAGGAATTATGTAGATCTTAGAAGGTGGTTTTCTATTCTACCCATTCACCCGTCGGCAATTTACTGTAGCCTAGAGTCACACATGGCCATCTGCAATTCCAGATCAGGCTTGAGTGTTGACCATGCCAGCAATCTCGACTCAACTGCTCATTTCCAAAACATACTGCCCCACTGTCTGATTCTCCCACTCCTTCATGAATAATCCCTTTCTGAGCCCGTAATCCCTGCGCCACCATCTGAGAGCCTCGTCACCGCTCATTCCTATCTGAGCCATTCTGTTCACGAATCGACTCTCAATCCAGCTTCCAAAAGCCTCGTTTTCGCGCCGTAATCTCGAATCCCCAAGGTCTTCGTGGTCGTCTGGAGCCTCTGCCACGGTCGCCATCGGACGAGCCGTAGACAATGCACGGAAATTGCGCAGCGCGTGACTGCGTGCATGGGCGGCTAGCTTTCGCCTGATCTGGCGCTTGTATCGCTTCAGGGTTTTGGATGTCTGTCGGGAATGGTTTTCCTCGTCGTCGTCATGGAAATCGTTGGTGGCGTTGAGGGCGTTCCAGGCTTTGGCGCACATGTTGATGCAGAAGTTGTCGATTTGTTGAGTGATCCAATCGTCCATACGACTTCCACATGCGGCGCTGCCTTCGATGAGTTTCGAGGCGGCGTGGACGACCATACGCGAGGTGTGTAGACAGAGGCGGCATGGTCGATACGGAGCCATCGCCCTCCACGAGAGCCAGATGCTTGACAGAACCCAGACTGGTACGCTGAGGTAGTGCTTATTGGTGAAGTGAGCCCATGCGGTCTCCGTAAAGCCGCTCATGCGGATATAGGAGTTGAACAGGTATGCCATGCGTGCGAAAATACCCGTCTTATGTTGGTACAGATCGTACAAGCAGCTGTACGATTCTAGGCAAGCCCTGTTGAGTACGCAGAGAACGGCGAGGAAGGTGAAGACTGCGCCAACAAAGTGCCGAACTGCTCTGAAGGTAGGCATCGTGATGTGGTATCTCGATGGAATGCCGGTCGTTTGGTGGGAGGCTAGTGCTTGGAGCGCGTGAAGGATATCAGGAAGAAGAGGCTCCAGATCCTGCTGAAATTACCACGCGAAGACAATGAGGAAAGCAGTTTGCAAATTTCAAGGTTATGCATACTGGTGCCTCTCATTTCCTTTGTGAGGTGCATTGGTAATTGCCTGCTCGTCCGCCTCAAGAAAGCCCTGGCAAAGACTGGAAATAGCACTCTCAGCGAGATGTAGTTGTTCGCGGTGCGCGCGGAAATAAAGGTCTCGTAGACAGTGTGTGGTTCGAGGACCATATCTGCTGCGATAAGACCGGTCGTCCAGGCCTGCACCAGCGCTTCATCCGTGTTGGAAAGTATGCTTGTCCACGTCTGTGGCCTCGACAGCCGCACTGTAAGACCGTCATCGACATTAGAAGAAACACCACTCCACGAATGCTTCTCAGCCAAGTCTCGAAAACAACAGAAATGGAAAGTCGTCCTCATCCAGCACTGACTCGTCCAGCGGCGAAGGCTCAGGACCTCTCTTCGTCCTCAGCACTCGAGAGAACGAATGATTTAGCTGGCCTAGCGGTACTGGGATGGGTCCGAACTCTCCATACGACATGTCTCTGTCGTCGTCCTTGGTGCCGAGGTTTGCAGTCGCATGGCCTTCGAACCAAGAGACGAGCTCCGAGGCGAGGCGAAGAATGCTCCCGAGCATCTTGTGGGCGTGGTTGTGGATGTTATGCAGGGTTTCGAGTTTCGCTGAGACATTGGCGGCGCGACTGTGTACAGATGAGTTGCATGTTGAGGTGTTCATCAGCTTCTTTGGGATGGCATCAATGACTCGAATCGACCAGGAAAGAAGGTGCTGATACTGTAGTGGCACCCACTCGGCAATTGACTCGACCCAGCAAGAGCCCTCGAAGAGCGCCTTACGCGGAAACGGATTCGTCTTCTCGCTACGGCGCGGCCATAGGATGAGTGGGATAAGGACTTTCATCCAGATCATGTTCGCGGTCAATATGCCTTGTAGGACGACGACGTATACCGCTTCTGTTGGACTGCGCAGGCAATCGACGATGCCAAGAGCGAGGTGATACCATTGCGAGAAGTTGGCGAGCGATTCTGTGTAAGCTTCGGCAGGCGAGTACTGAAACTTTGCCAAACAACGATCGATGGCAAGTGCGAATGGGTACGCTGCCAAGTCCTTGACGTGTGGAAGAATCTCGCGGACGAGACTCATAGCAAGGTCTGGCGTCGGTATAGTAGCGAGTCGTGGATGTGCTGCAGTCAATGACTTGGTCAGCCTTCCATGCAAGTCTTTAAGGCCGAGCTCGAAGGCCGTCTGAATCTGCTCTCTTCTGAGTTTCTCCTCCACCACTGCACAGCCTCGGACTGCAACGCTGAAATCATGAGCAGCGTCGGCCATGTGCGAGGTCTGCGCGACAAGAATATAGCACGTGGCTAGCATAGCGTCTGGGTGCCCAGGTACGCCCCAACTGGACTCGTCCTTAAGAGCATGCTGGAGACCTGCGATGGCTCTACCCCGATGCTTTAGCACCTCTGCATGAACAAGTGCATCGGGACGCTCGATGTTAAGCTCTGCTGCACCAAGGGCCAACATGGCATGCATCAGATACTTATGCTGGTGGGAAATCTGTGGGATGTCATTGGCCCAGATTTTGCGGTTGCCGAGTGGTAGGGGGTGCGGGACATTCATGATGAAATGGTGGAAGAAGCGCATCTCCCTGAGGCAGAAGCGCATCTCGGGAGATCGAGCCGCGAAGTCTGATGCGCCTAGATTCGTGACGAAGATTGATATTGGTTGGTGTTTTCGAATATGGCCTGCCAATTTGCCAGAGGAGGCGCGGAAAAGCTCAGCGTATTCGCATGAATTGCCGCGATGCGAGCAGTTCGCGCAACATGGCTTTTCTTCTCCGCATTTGATCTATAGTGGCCAACATCAGAATGGTTCGACGGTCCCAAAAAAGAGAGCGTATGCGAAGAATACTCACTTTGCGCTTCTTGCATTGCATACACCTGACCAGGTTAGCCTTCTACTGGTATGGTGTCACGGACGCAGCTCCCGTAAGTCTGACCACTTATCTAGCAGTAGCCAGTGTGACCGCCGGAACAACGGAGAGCTATCAACTCACCCATTGCGGCTCTTCGTGTGACCCTTCCGGACTGGCACTGCGCGGTCACTAGTGTCCCGACCTCGGGGATCCATTTCAAGCGCAGGTACACCACCTTGAACGACTGCCAGCCCTCCGATCCAAGATGGGTGTGACATCGTGTTCCTGCATCTAGAGGTAGCGTCTGCTCGCAGTGGCTGAAGAATTGCTCCGCGTGTGGTTTGGTGTGATTGCTCGAAGATGCTGCTGGTATCACGGAACGATGAGTGTCAGAAAATTGATCGCGAATGGACCGCAAAAGCGATACGACAGCATGACAGCCAGAGGGCCAGGCACCGATGCTGTGTACGTTGTCTGCTGCGTGCTTTGCAATAAAGCGCCGACACACAAACCGCCTTTTTGTGGAAAGATTTGACGAAGAAAGGCAGGAAACGGAAGCGACGTATTCGTCGTGGAGTTGCCTTTTCGGGCCTAGAAAAGACGCGGAATGACTAAGCTAGAACAGAAGTCTAGCCGCCAAAGGAAGTGAGCAGTCCACTCTCTGGCAGAGTATTGATATTGACGCATCAAGCCTGTGTCTGCAGGTCAGAGGGTATTTGACCTGGGCCTCTCATCTTCAAAGCCATAGCGAGTACTCGTCCTCGGTAGGTTCATCAGTACCTATGACTTGCAAGACAGCGGACGCGAAGATAGACTCCTCAATTTCCTTGAAGCGCTCATGAGCTGAATGCATGAGCTGCCCAGTCCGTGTGCCATCCGCCATGAGAATGAGTGCGCTTCGTGCTGCAGCCTCGGGAGGCTGTCCCTGGACGCCGACCACGTCCAGCAATTCGCGAGGAACGAGACCTGAATACGTCCAGGATGGAGCGATGGCATTGATCCGAATAGGCAGGCCTGCTGCACCCAGCAGAGTATGCATCCCACGCATGAACCCCAGTACGCCATGCTTGCTGGCAGTATAGTCGACTCCACGGTAGTGGGTGAAGGCCGCGATTGAGGCTGTGACGATGATACTGCCTCCGTGCCCACCTCGATCAGGCCGCATATGAAAGATACCGAGAGTCGCAGTGTTGATACAGGCCTTCAAGCACACTTCTTCACAGATCCAAGTAGGCTCCTTCAGGTCCCCGTTTTCATCCGTCTCAGTTGAGAGGTAGTCTGCTGCATAAGAAATACCAGCATTTGCGAACACATGGTCGATCCTGCCGTGTTGCACTTTTGCAGCATTGAAGAGTGCAACGAGGTCCTTCCAGATCGTCACGTCTGTGCGGTGAAAGCTCAAGTTCGGGTGTGAGAAGCCATCTTTTGGACATTGTAGGTCTCCGACCACCACCTTTGCGCCCAAGGAGAGCAGTATCTGAGTTGTTGCAAGACCAATCCCGGATGATCCACCTGTACGCGGCGACGAACTGATCAGTGCTGTGTTCCCAGAAGTATGTTTCGGGCCTTGGAGTTCTCATACGTACCGGTAATGACTATCACCTTGTCGTTCAACGATTCCAAGTCACTATCCTTGATGAGTAGTTCCGTCATCTCCGAACAGCACCAAAATCACTTCGGCGAGATTATGCTGACGAACGACATTGCAGCTGTCGATGCAGACAAGTCAAACATGCCTTACCTTCGTGATGTTGCAACAGTCCTGGAGACGCCGGAGTCGGAACCATAAGGCGATCCATCGCTGCCTTCTGTCCGTGTGATTAGAATTCGGCTACTGACTCAAGACATGTTGATTCACGATCTGGCCGGGGCCAGTATTTCGGCGAATTAGGTATGTGGAAGCGCTCATGATCGTATACTCGTGTTGCGGCACTTGCACGGGACCCTATCCTATGGACGAATGCGAGATACTGCATGTTGCTGCGAGCAGGTCGTTAATGCCTGCCCTGTCGGTGTACTATATACCTAGGGAAGAAGATCAAAAGTGTCCAAGGCAACTGCGAGTCGAACATCAGCAGATGTTCTCACGTGATCTGAACTTTCGCAGCCAATCAGAAGCACTCCCAGAAATATGTCTGCGATCTTGACTTGACGAACATGTTCGAACCTTACACTCTCTACCAATCTCAAAGCGCCTCCCTGTAAAACACACACTCTTCCATGTCTCGGTAGCACCACGCATCCTGCAACAATGGGAGTCCTCGGCATCCAAACCACCTCCATCGCGCAGGTAAGCTCAACTTCTCTCCATCCCGCTCCAGAGCACTGCACCATCGCGCGCAACGACACGTCGCAGCGCACGCAAACACAACTCCTAGCATCCGTCCGTGACCAATGCATACGCAATCGTCGCCATCACGCGCCATACCTATCCCTCATGAGCCCATTGCTGACGACCCTTAACAGAACGGCCTAACCCATCTCCTCCCCCCCTGCACCCTCCTCACCCTCTCCTACTGCGACGTCTCCCCCTCCTCCCGCGGCCTCACCAACTTTCTCCGCTCTGCGAACCACTTCCCCTTGCTGGCCACGCGCCACCCCGCCACACAGTTCGTCACAGCCCCAAAACCGAACAAGCATCCAGTGATCACAGCAAGCTACATAAACGGTCGCTCCAAGAGCATATGTGTGAGGAATATGCGGGTAGAGGAGGTTAAGCAGAAAGTTGAGTTGTTGTTGGGAAACGATGGGCGGAAGAATCGGAGGGTCGGGGCGAGGAAGGTTGAGACGGGGATTGTGGAGGGGGTTGGGGATGGAGGGGGTGTTAGGGGGCGGTTGGAGTGCGCTGCATGGGGGTGTGAAGCGGGTTTAGGAAAAGAAATCACGTTGCTGGAGGTTTCGTGCTCAATAGGGGGACGGCCGTGGAAGTTTGAGAGGAACAAGTCGCGGGACGCAAGATAAACGGCTGCATTGCGCTGTGGCTGGATTGAGGTGCTGAACCGACCGAACGACAATGGTGAACTGAACACTTCGAGAAGCAACAGACGCTGGTACAGCAGCACCACCAGTCACAGCCCTCGACCAGTGGCGACAGCGTAGCCCGCGAAGAAAAAACGATCTGACCACCAGATCGACTCTCTTAAGCATCAAACGTGCAATCTCAACGATGCGGCCAGAGCATCGGCATCTCCCAGCTTCTTCCGGCGGCCATCTCAACATGATGGAGAAGTCGAAAGTCCGAGGAGCAGAGCAAAGCCAACAAGGTCCGCGGCGGAGCACTGGCAAAGGCTAGCCTTTGTGGGGAATAAGTCTGCCTCTCGCTCCTGTGACTGGCTTGAAGCAGCACACGCTCAGCCTAGGCGTTTCGCAGAGTGTGCCGGCTCTATGAGCATGCACTCTACAGAGACTGTATTCAGGATGAAAGGGGCAGGGCAGACGTATCAATGCGGAGCAGACTCGGCGAGACCAAACGCGGGTTGGATCTTACGTAGAATAGCTGAAGTCACGGCGGACGCCACGCGGAGGACAAGGTGATATGTCGAGCCCTGAGACCGCATTGATCTCCAGCCCCCATACTCAGGCAGGCAGGTAGCTCCTGAAGACAGCAAAATACGGTCCATGAGATATATAATGCAGGCCTTGGGATCTAGTACTGTTCATCATTCATTTCCGGCGTATAGGCAGCAAAAGGCAAAACGCTATCATGTCCTAGGTGTCAAAATCTCGTGGCAGACCAATCGTACCTAAACCTGAGACATACATGCGAAGCAGAATTTGCTTGCTCGTCTCGACGTTCGTCTGCTCACGACCCTTCCGTCACGACTGATCTATTCCTCGCGGGCCTATGAGCGGTGGCCGTCGCAGGAGGGATGCCGCCGTCCTCCACTGATGTCGGCAACGAGAGGTTCCTGAGCCCTGCGCCTCGCTGAGGTTGTGCCCGATCCGTCCCTTCCACTGAGAGGAAATGCACCGTTATGCCTCGTCCAATATAGCCCTGTTCAGAGGTAAACCAGAATCATCCCATCCTTCCCATCCAGCTTCGTATCGCACCCCTCGATCACGCAGAACTTGAACACATCAGCCGCCCCCGCCGCGGCTGCCGCTTTCGCCTTCTTGCTCTTTGGGGCTGGCTTCGTATTTCGCGCTCGCGCACAGTCGCCACAGTAGACCTGCACAACTCATTAGCACACTCCTCACAGTACTGATCGGAATAGAAGAGGAACTCACATGACCGCACTGCTTAACAACCCAAATCTGACTCTTCTCCTCACTCCCCGTCGCCAGCTCCTCCTCACACCGCGGACACAGATAGACACCATTCTCATCCAGATCCCCCGCAAACCCCTCCGGCACAGCCGGCGGCTCCTTGTACGCATCTCCAGGAGTATTATTCGGCACCTCCTCCGCCCGATCATCCAACACAAACGCCGGACGCGCGTAGTCAAATGCTGGGACTTGCTCAAAGTCCACGTCTAAGGCCCCAAGTTGGTGGTTTTGCATAGCTGCGACTCGCGCCAGTTGGCCGGCGGGATCACGGGGACCGACGTAGGGACGGATGAAGGCTTCGACGCGGTCGCGCACGGCTTGGCCGCCGTGGCGGAGGAGGTTGCCTATGTTGCCGTTGAGGAGTTGGGGGAAGGTCCTGCGCGATCTGCTGCATAAAGTATGCCTCCCGCTCCTCGAGGTCGGTGGGAAA